TAAATATGGTATGTTCTATAAAAGATAAAAAATATCCGGCTAAGGCCACAAGGAACAAGCGGAAAACAACTTTTTTGTCTGACCGTTTGCCCTAATTTCCAATTATCCATCAATTACAAAATTGTCAATACCTTGGCCGCTTCTGTAAAAGACGAAATGAAAATTTTGGCGGGAGAAAATTGAAATTTTACAAGAATTACCATGCCATACGAAAACTATCCAAACTTATGCCCAAAATTGTCACCGCATCCCCAGTTCCCGATCCCCTCGCACTCCCTCCAACTGCAAATCTCCCCAATCTTTTTGTACTTTCGAAATGAATGCCCTCTGAATCTGTTGCCCATTAATTGTCAGCCGGCAGAACGAAAACATAGTAATTCTTGTGCCATATCCAATTTCAGATATTCGAAAGCAACAAAAAACTGAGCATTCCTTATGAGCTCATTTGGAGAAAAAATGGAAGGGAAACGGCGAGAGTCTCGAGTTTTTTTCACTGGAATTATTTTTACGCCAAATTTCATTTACAAAACCTAATCTTTTGTCGGTTTTTTGTGCTTTGCGAAGGGAAAGAAAAGAAAAAAGGTGTAACTGGAAGTGACATGTATAATGTATGAGGATTAGTAAGACTGTGGTTACAAAATACTTTATGCACATTCGAGAAAAACATGGAGTTTACGGTTGTCAAAGGTCGAGTAATCAAAAAGAAATAAGGTCAACTTCTCAGATTTCTTTCTAACTTTTCAGAAACCTTGTATACGAGTCATATAAGTTTTTTAGAATTTTAGCTGATTCTTGGTGACACAACGTCTTTGCCGAGATTCATCTCTAGATGCTGATTTTACCCGATCTTCGCCACTTTGCAGTAAAATTAAGACTTTTTACACAAAATTTATTGAAATCTATTTGAAAAACTGCGCTCATTTTACCCTCCACTCCTCAAACCAACATACATAGTCGATCGTTTCCCACGAATATAATTATATTCCCCTCCCATCTGGTTTAAACCCTCAGGTCAAAAGAACTTTTTCTAAGGTTTAGGGCCCTCATCGGAATTGGTTATTTTCTACACTAAAAATGCATTTAAAAATAGTCAGGAATTGATAATAAACAAAAAATTTAATCAGGAAAAAGATACTCTTAATTAACTTCAAGTGTTTTTCACAGTTTAAAAAACCGGAAAACTGTACGAAAACGGAATTGTAACATCTTTTTCAATAATAACAAACTCAGCTGTTGTTTCAAAAAAGTTAAAAGCATGATTAATATCCAAGATTTATATGGTCGATGACAAACACAAATCTCGTTTTGATTCGTTCGGGGGAAAAATGTTAAGACTTCAAAAACTCCGACCGTAGAGATCCAAAGTGCAAACAAAAAAAGATATGGGAGTAAAAAGGGGAACAGATTGTGTTGAAAACAATGTTACGTCCGAAAATATTATTCATGTAGAATGGCTAAAATACGAGTGAGAAAAAGTTTGGATGTAAAAGAAAATTCAGACTTGAGACAAGGAAGTTAGACGGCTCCAAAGGAGCAAAATTGCACGGAAAAGGGTCAAAGTCCGGCGAACACGTGGAGAAAATTATATTTTGCATGGACCTAAGGGCTTATAAACTCATTCTAAAAGTAAAAATTAATCAAAAATTTAAAACATTTTTTGAGAAGTAAAAATTTTTTGAAAAAACACAAAACAAATGTCATAAATTTATATAATCACTAAGATACACAAAGATCGAAGTGTATTTAATCAGGGAAATCTATCAAAACACATTCTGCAGCAACAGGAAAGTCGGAAAGATAGCGCGGAATTGGTTCGGTTTTAGTTATTCCCCAGAAATTTGGACGGGTTTTCCCCCCCGTTTCTTGCGTCCGCTTTGCACCCCAGCCAGGGGGAGATGGACGAAGGGGAGGGGGGTCGCGGTGTCAGACAGTGCCTTCTCTAATCTCTTCCCACACTCTCTTCCCGCCTTTGCTGGGAAGAAAGAAAGGAACGCTTCCCGCGCCGAAACCCCTTAAAATTGCATAACATGTTATTACCTCAATTGGGGACGCTATTCGAGCTAATCTGGAGGACAGAGAACTTTGTGGATGACGGAGTTTGTTGCTAGATAAGAGAACAAAAGTTATCGGAAGGTTTTAAGACTGGTTTTGTATCTTTTGAGAAGGTTGGTTACTTCAGTTTCTTGTCACGGAAATTATTCAATTTTTGCAAAAAAGATCCCGATGAGATACGTATTTGACTCTGCAAGTGTTAGCTTTTACCTTGGGGGAAAAGTAAGACATTTAGCGACTTTCAGAAACGACCTGTCAAGCTGAGAAATGTAGCCAAAGGAAATATACACAATTTCTTGCAAGGTGCCATTGACCATTGAAAACTGCCTACAAAAAGCAGGTTCAAAAAGACGAACTAAATATGTAGAATTAACTGCAATGTCTGCAAGATTACAGCACTTTGCAAATATCTTGAAGGATTTTATCTAAATTCAATCAAAGATTATACGTCAGACCAATAAATAACACGTTACTTTACGTTTCTTTGTCCAATTAAAAGAAATCTTTTGCTCTTTTCATAAGCTTTTTTTAAGACTCTCTAAACTCGCATTGACAACTTTACGGCGGCTGTAATCGAAGGTCACCTCTAATGACGTTAAATTTGTAAGAAAAAATAGACATCCCGTTGTCTGTTCTCTGGTCACCGAGGCAACAATTCTACTGCCCAACAAATACACTCATAAAGTTATATCTATACGACAACAGTGCCCATGAAAGGAATGGAATATGCAGCCCACTTTAAAGTGGTCGAAAAACCCTCAAAGTTATTAATGAATGCCATTTCGGAAAGTAAGTTTACTTCGGCGAAGATACAAGACCGTTGAAAGCAATATTGTGGAGAGTTTAATTACGAGATAGCTTTGAATTTGAACCCATTGTGAAGGAAGAAGCAGATTTCTTTACACAAAGAGACAGTTGCAGATTCCCGGAGATTATCTTATCGAATAACGAGCAACGGCTAAAAAGATTTCGCGTTGAATGAGGAAAGGGAAAACTCAAAAACATGTACAATTAATGGAATTAATAAAGCTTAGAGACAAAATAAAAATTTTTTGAACATGTTTCGTTCGTCTTCATTTCAAACATCATCAGAAACCTTTGGAATTTGTAGTTAATGTCAGACGTTCGTTAAACGACATTGAACCAGCCATTTAGAGATGAAAAATGAGCAAACCATTGCCATTCAATCTACTGGTTTATTAAAAGTAATTTAAGGAACTGAAAAGTCGGCAAATGCCAAATCATGTGTTATGACTTACAGCCATAACAGATAGCCACAACCATCTGCAACGACACTTGCGGGCAACCACTTTGCCGGCAACCGACATTTTTTGATTAGAATTACGATTTCCTCCCGTAATCTACGTAGTACGATTGAAATTTTACATTGACAACTCCCTGGTATGATAAGTACACAAATCTATTAAATTCATCCACTGCTTTCAAAGTTATGAGAGTTTGTTTTCAAACAATGGTAAAAATTGCCTGGATAAGATTATCGTAACTATTCAAGCCACGTATACACCTGGAAAGTTAATCCGCAACATCTAATTGTCAAGCCCATCGCTGGAATTTCCAGTTGTAAGCAAATGTTGGCTGATTTCAAAACATGCCGCAGAAACACCGTTGTTTTCCAAGCTGCCCGCAAAGTGGTTGCCCGCAAGTGTGGGCCCGCCATCGGAGGCTGCATAACTCTTTAATTATTAGATCGAAGTGTATCCAACGGCTTTATGAAATAAAGACAGAATTCGTATTAGAATAAAACATAAATACTTTAATTAAAAATGAAGGTCAAATCATTTTGAGGTCTAAAAATTGTGTTTATTGCCGCATAATTTCCGAAAGCTGTAACCGTTCGGCATAAAAATTTGCGAAGGCCTGAAGAAAAAGCAACTTTTTGGGGATCGCTTTGATTTTCGATACTCTCGACGGCAATATTGTTGGTGGATACATCTTCGGCTTTACGGATGACATTTCATGTAGGCCAATGTTTCACTGAACTTATGTATTACAGAAGTTGAAAAAACCGCACCAATTTCTGGATCTCGTTCTTTAAGCTGTAGAACAAATTAAATCATTGTAAATCCAAGCTTACTTATTGCCTAAGATGAGCTCTGAGATCCCCAAGAACTCGGCCTGAAGAGGAAACAATGTGGAACTACCGAGGATTAAATATGCAGGGTCCTCACCATAACGTTCTGTTCCTGAAATTGCCATCCCCATTTCTGGAATAATTTATTTCGGAACCCTTGCTTTCTCCAGTTTTTTAGAAGACTAATGCTATATGTTTATTAGTATATCACTCGATGTCCTTCATTTTTTCCAATTATACCCTCCTTTTTTGTGTATGTCAAGTCTCATGGGGTTTATAATTACTGAAGATACACTGTAATTAAAACGTATTTACTTATTGTAAGGCAAGACACTGTTAATTGAAGACTTGAGAATTGTTTCTAAACAGCCTGACATTCAGGGCAGTCAGATGGATTGTGACAATTGTAAAACAGCTGTAACTTTTCTATGCTTTGTCATAAATTCTGACACGCAACGCCATTTTTCTCGTTTTTACTGTACCAATTAGCCGGTTCCAGAAATCCGGGCATTTTCCGCGTTTCATGGTTACGCCAACAATGCAATGTTGGTGTAAAAACGCACCGCAAAACAATAAAAAGCCCTCAGGGGAGGGGGACAGGTATTACGCGCCGGAACGTGGGTTCTATTCCCGGCAAGTTTGGGTAGTGTTTTGTTGCAAGTGCCGTTTTATTATAATGTTCATATATTATAAATTTTCGACAAGAGATTAGCGCCATTTAGGATCTTTGGTTGGTTTCCAAATCGATGTGTGTGATGCATATTCAAATTTTCGGACTTTTTAGCTGGCAGTATTGTAGAATCGAATACGATATTTAAATGCATTCGGAGGAGAAAATAGACCTATACTATAGTTGATGAACAACAATACTCATTCAGGCCCCCGTACCTTCTTTTCCTTTCAACTTTTGGTCCCCTTGTTCGGAGCCATAGAAGCGTAAGATCATAAGACAAAACCCCCAAATACGTCGTATCTTCTTTCCCTTCCAAAAAATTTCTGCCGGAAATAACTAATATAAGAAAATAAACCGCAGCACATCCTTGACTCTGCAACTTTCTCTCAATTTGTTATTAATTTGGCGTCAAAATATTTCTATTCCGAGAGCGGGTTAATTTACATACGAGTGGAAATGACATCTACTGGATGTGTATTCCGGCATTTATATTCGGAAAATGTATCGAGTTTAGGGTAGAATAGGAAGCCGCGTCATTGTTATTCGAATACTTGTGGTTTTTTAGGATGACCATCAGTGTTTTTGATAGCCGTTAAACGTTTATCGTTTTTCATTGCTAAATTAACGTGTTGAGGATAATGCCCAATTCCAAATTACTCGCACGTGTAGTTTTTTTTTGGTATTAATTAATTAGTATTTTACCTTGTGCTTTAATTACATGTTGTTGTAAACGTTTTTTACAAGCTACTGGAGGACCAACAACTCTAGAGTGTTTGCCCTTTTTGCCTCGATTGTCACGCCTTTCTAATAATAAGCAGTGTGATAAGTGGTAATAACTGTAAACCCAAAACTGAGGTAGTTTCGTTAAATATTAGATATCTACCCACGCAACCAAAAAGAGCTCATCTTTATATAGTTTTCCCATCATTTTAGGGTAGGACATTTGGTATAAATAATTAATATTGTTATTCTTTTCACACCAGGCAAACTCTCGAATTGATTGACATTTCCGTGGCAGAGGTAATGTCAACTGACGCTTGGTTCAAATCACGTAAGAAGACGTCCAAAACTTCCTTGATTTGTGACGTGTTTCAGGTCTGGAGTCTTCGTTTTGCATTTTTTGAAACTTTAAATCTTCATTTTGTCAAATGAAGGTACTGTAAAATTTAATCTACCTATCTATTTCCGGTAGAGAGCATTTTTATATTTTGAGCGGGTTTATATGGTATTCGATTACATGTTCAGTATGATGACATTTCCAATTCTTTATTTGTTTTTTCGTAATTTCTCGATTCTTTTTCAGGATTCTCGTTCCATTATTATGAAGATAGCCACTCAAGAGTACACCTAATTTGGAACATGGTAAGTATTTTGGTATGGATAAACTGCGGGATAATTCTTTTTGATTTCTTCTGCGTAGACCGAATAAAAGCAGTCAATATACAATTCGTATTTTACCTTGTAAGAATAGTATAATTGTGAAGTTTTTTTACTTGAGTCAGCGCATTCAAAACTCGTTGGACCATCTCTATAGCGTCCCTAGTCTGTCCACTGTCACTTTTTGATGCATTTTTGTTTACCCCAAACGACTACATCTTACATCGTTTTTACTGTGATCGGAAAACGTTTCCCAAAGCCCCGCGGGCCGAAACGAGTTAAGACAAGTGACAAGCGTAATCCCAGTCCTGAGATTCCGGGAAGAATGGCCAAGGCCTTATAAATATATTTAAATTGTGCTATGTCAGGAAAAGTGAAGAGGAGAGTGGAGGGCACTCGGCTTGGAACAACTTCTGCGAGTTCTTCTGCATGGAAACAATTCAGAGGATGATGACAAATGTGGCAGAGGTGAGCCAAGTGGTTTCAGTAGCCAGTCCACAGCTTGATGTAAACCTAAGTTTGGGGGTTTTGTTCAATTCGGCTCGCAAAACTCGCAACGCAAAGATTTTATGAAACTGGGGGCCAAATTTAATAAAATGAAGGGGGTTTCCTCTAACGTTTATTCTTCCGGTTTTCCATAGTTTCTGTCCCGCAAAGATTGCTTAAAGTTACAGAAAATACTAAGGCTTCCTATGAGTTATAACATAGAAATACAGAACTCGAAGTTTCATCAAAATCAGTGCATTTTAAAGTCTGAAATTACAAATTTCTTAATTTACAGATCATCGCCGCCAATGCCACGGAGCCCCCGGACCCCAATGACCCCGACACCCATCTCCGCCGTCTCCTTTCCATCATCGGGTTCGGTATCGGCCTTGAGGCAATAGCCGTGAATATCTTCGCCCTTTGGTTCTTCTTCAAGATCCCTTCAGCGAAGAATGTGCACGGTCGTCTTTGTATCACCAAAACAGCCTCGGATCTCCCATTTGCTGTGGCCATGACCTTCTGGTGGCTTCCATGGTCCTACTTTTACAAGAAGTCCGATTCGTTCCCGGGATTGCATGGGCCCAATCTCTCTTTGGACTTTATTATTGTCACAATCACATTTACATCCTATTATTTCGCGCTGAACGTGGAGGTGTTAATTGTGTTGGCCCGGTTCACAGCCGTGTTTTACACATTTACGTTCAAAATGATCTTCCGACAAAAGTTCATGAGTCCAATCCTGTTTTTCTGCCTGGCCTTAGGGTTCATTCCAGTGGGTAAGAGGCATGAGAAATACAGAATGTTTTAGAGTGCTAAAAGAAAAACTAAAATTACACTTTCTTGACGAAACAATCCTCATTATCATAATCTTATTTCAGCCTTCTCTTCCTTCACAAATTACTGTGTCATGTACTATACACCTCTATGGCTGGCCTGGGATATCCTGGACATAACGGACTTCCCACAGCCTTGTAAATACATATCATCGGCGTATGTTGTTACATACTCCTACATCTGCACTCTGGCCGTTTTTTGTATTATTATTGCAATGGTTACCGTATGGAAACTTCATGTTCTAAATAATGTAAGCAGTTACTTGGGACATGAATGTAAATTTTAATTTTACAGTCAAAGTTTGCTCAGAATTCGATGAGTTCAATGCAGCGTGCTCGAAGACGGCATTCAGAATGGGTATTACTGGTTGTTAGTCTGACCTCACCTTTTGTGATTTCGTTGCGAGGATCTGTGTCTTTGATTGCCTTCTTTACCAAGCCTTGGAGTCCGTTCAATTCAATGATATCAGAGAACTTCGTTTATAACTTCATCCTGGACTTTGTCGTGGTGCAGGCTAATGCGTAAGTGGTCTAGGCACTCATAGGGAAAACTCGCTTATCAGTGCGCCCATTATCTCTTACTGTTAAACTTTTATTTTCAGAATCATCCAGCTCTGCATTAACCCTACTTTCTGGGCATTTTTACGGGGAAATCCCCTCTCCACGCTCACAAATGCCACGAAAATGACACCGATGCAAAAACAGAAAATCAATGATGTTTGAGACTGTATATAGAATCTAAATAAATCGGTTACGTAACAGCCAACCCGGTCCAATATTTGTTATCAGAGCTGATAAGATCTGATTCGGAAATTTTTAGGGGAAATGAGAATTTCGTTTCGGAGAAACTCAAAAATAATGATTTCCCTTATTTTTGGCATCGCCATTTCACAATTTACGTTTGCAATTGTCTTAATTATCATTCAAATATATTATTCATGAGAGTCTGAACCCCCATTAAAACCCGTCTTCTTCCGTTTATCAAAAGTCTATTTGCTCTTTTGTCGATCAACGACGACACATATTTGACATGAAGCTAAAATGATCGGGTCAAAAGGCAAATGCGTTCGCGGACGTCTCTTGATTTCTCCATGTTCATGCAAATCAGCGGTTTTATAGAGGTCGTATTTTGTGGGAGACGCGTGGGTGAACATAGGCAAGAATAGCATCGTCGACATTATTTTTCAAAAGAAATTGAGTTGAGGTTCTCGAAGCCTCATTCTAAGGAAACCGGTTTTTTGTTTCCAGGTTCCCCGCGAAAGATTGCGGAATGTCAAAAAACCTTGGCATTCTGTTTTAGCAAAAAAAAATTTATTCTTCGATCGAAATTGATGAACAAAACAACAGTTTGCACACGAATAAGACTGACTACTCATCTCCATTTTGTTATTGTGATATTCATATGATTTTCGCCGAACTTACTGAATTTCTCCGTATATTACACTTGACATCAGATAGCGTTGTCTTTTCTTACATTTTTTCTCCGTGATGCTGTTATTCCTTTTTATTAACATCTTCTTGATTCACGATAGGCAACTAAGATTAATTTCAATGGTGTTGCCGCTTGTTTACTTCTTATTGACCTTTTATGATTCATTCTTTCAGATAATCTTTGTTTCAAGCTGGGGGAGAGAACTGTTTTATGCTCGTGGTCTGCTTTGTTGTGCTGTCTGTTTCAGAGTTTATTTGAATTTTAGGGATTGTGTATTCGCAGTTGTTTAAATTGTATTCTCCATGATGGAAAGTTTAGATTTTTGTCCCCAATATTAAATAAGGTGCTTTTTTTGCTTCAAATGCGCCTTGAGACTTCTGGTAATAAGTACTTGCCCGTTTGATTTATAGTTTTTTTGATAATTGTTTCGAGTTTATTACACCTTATTTCCAAGAGTGTAAGGTCAATCTTTTTATACCAATTTCTTCTTCAGGGAGATGGCCGATGACTCGGTGGGGGATCAACGAGTGTTAGTGCGCCCCGAACGCCGGGAGGGAGATGTGATCTCTTCTCACCGAGCCATTCTGACTTTGTCCAAGTCCATGTTCAATGCTGGATGTTTTTCACTCCCTTATGCTTGGAAGTTGGGTGGTAAATGGGTAAGTCTTTCGATTTTTTGTTGTGTTTTAGAAGGATTTCTATCCAAAAAAGGATGGTTGCAGATCTCTTCTGCTTGATTCGTTGCCTGCCCTTACCTTTGTCGAGATCTTTCTTAAATTTTGTTAAAGAAGTTCATAATTATTTATATTTTAGGTAGCTTTTGTTCTTACCTTTGTGATTGCTGGTCTCAATTGGTATGGAAACCACATTTTGGTCCGTTCTAGTCAACATTGGGCGAAGAAGTAAGTCGTCTTTCTTATTCCTATTGGTCTTTAGAACTGGTGTCCCAGCCTTGGATTATGGCCATTTCGCCAAGAGAGTTCTCGATGCTTGCGAGTTTCCCTTCCTTCGGCGGAATTCGAAACGTTTCATGTATTTTGTCAACATTACCATCCTCTTTTATCAACTTGGGATGTGCTCGGTAGCTATCTTGTTTATCTCTGATAACATGGTCAACCTTTTGGGGCACTTCTTCGAGGGATCGGATCACACCAAGACCGTGATAATGGCGACAATCGCAATCGTCTTTATACTCTTCACCAATATGTTCACTCAGATGAGGGTTGTGAGTGCCTTTGCGATGGTGTCTTCGATATTTTTCATCTTGGGAGCCGTTGTTATAATGAATTACACAGTCCAACAACCGAATCATTGGGGAGCGCTTCCTGCTTATACGGACTTTAGAGGGACCATATTGTTTATTGGCATGTCCATGTATGCATTTGAAGGACAGACTATGGTGAGTTTACGACGGTATTTTAACTATTCCTCATTGTAGGTATACAGCAGTGACTGTATACCTACTACAATATAGGATTTTTATGTAAACCTTATTTTGTTTTAGATCCTTCCGGTCGAAAACAAATTGGAGAATCCTGAGGACTTTCTTGAGCACTTTGGAGTTCTTCCAACTACCATGTGCTTATGCACTTTGTTCATGACAGCTATTGGATTCTATGGATATAATGGATTTGGAGAAGCGATCAAGCCCACCATCACTATGAATGTTCCATTGAAGGGATTGTACTCCGTTGTCAATGTGTGTCTTATGATTCAAGCGACATTAGGACATTCAATCGCCATGTATGTGGTGTTTGATATGTTCTTCAAAGGATTCAACAGAAAGTTTACAAGTAGATTCCCAAATGTGCATCAACAGGTGAGTTATTGATGTATTTATGGGTTTATGATGATTTGAGGTCAATTGAGATGTTTTTAATTTCTTTTTGTATCTGGTTTTAGGTAGTAGATAAAGGCTTCCGAATCTTTTGGGTCCTTCTCACTTATCTTATGGCCATTCTCATCCCGAAGCTGGAGATTATGATCCCTCTTGTTGGAGTGACATCAGGAACTTTGTGTGCACTTGTCTACCCGCCCATCTTCCAAATGCTGACTTTCTGGACTGAATGGAAGGAGACATTAACTCCCCGACAAAGGTACACTCAATTGGCCATCAACTTTTCGGTCATTTCCATTGGGATCGCTGCAATTGGAGCTGGCCTTTATGCGAATATCTACGAGATTATGCTAGCCTTTAACCAACCATTGTGATTCTTTTATTGTGTCAAATTTCTATGTGATTTCGGATTTTTTATGGTCACTTATGGAAAAGTATTTATTTTAGGGTAATATCGTTTCCGTTGTCCACGCTTTATCATATCGAAAGGGTTTGTTAGTGCCTTTTAGTTCATCCAGTCCCTTGCCTTTCCATCTCCATCCATATTATACTGGTCTGACGTCATCTTCTTCAATCTGTAAAGTTTTTTTATTTTGTTCAAATTTTAAATATGGATAAATTATTGAGTTGATAATGGAATTCAACCATGGTTTGGCAAGCAATTTTTCTTGAATCAAAACGAACTTCGGTTCAATTATCAATTTAAGAAGGGGAAGATGTGAAAAATTGAAATTTCGCTATGGCAGACAGCAAGTAGTTGTTTTGAACTTGTTGGTTTTTTTAAACTTTTGGTATAAAGAACGGTATTTAGTTGAGGTTTTAGAGTGTACTTTCCTTTGAATTTATAAGTTCATAGTCGAAAATTCTTTTGATTTCAAGTACTACAAGCCGTATGAAGATGTTGTTTTGACGAATACTTTGAGACCGTTCTTTATAACTACCAATGTGATAGTGGATTAGAAAGTTTATAACTATATTTGTTGGAGGCGTTTGGAAACAGACTGTCTAAGGTCGTGTTTAAAGTTTGGTGGAACGGTGATAAATAATCTATTTTCTTGCTGTATCTTTCAAACCAACTCTTCGCAAACTGTTCGGCAATGGATAATAATTGTTGATTGCGTTGTTTAAAGTAATGTAGTTGCGAGTAATCGAAAGGTTTCTTAGGCTCGCTTCAAATTTTCATTATTTCTCGTTTATGCAACTTTAAACTGTGGATTTATTTTTCGTGGATATAGTTTTGTTTTAAAGGCAAGGTCAAAGATCGTTTCTCCAAGATACATTGTTTTCCCCTATAAACACCAGTTATATTGAAAAAGGTCGTCCTTAAACATAAATTAGCAACTTGTTTTCACTTAGAAACTCGAAAGACCAACGGTTCATTTACAGTAATCCGGCCTCCCTTCCTTCACGTGCAGCATGCCATGGACATGTGAAGGGAAAGGAAATGTGGGTGGGACTTGCCATCGGATTATCTTCCCAATTCAGCGTCTGATAAATGGCTTTTCATAGGTATATAATTTCAATTTTTGCAAGGACTACAGAAATTGCTGTTGACATGATGAACATGTTGTCATCTGCCGGACATCTGACCGATTTCATTGTTTTTTTTCCTGTTTATGGTCTGATCAGACCTTTTATCTAGTTTATAAGTCCTTTCAGAGATTAGTATGTTCGTATCGATACGAGTATATTGCATTTGGTAATACTGAGACTTTAAAGGGAAATTTTTTCATTTCGATTAGATATGGTCGGATTTGATAGATATAAAAGTGGAGTAGTCTTCGCACTCCTTGGATTTACATATTTCCACCTGCTGTCCTCATCTTTGCCGTCAATCCATCCATATTTTCTTCATCTCCGGTTCACGTGAATTCCTTGCGTTGCACTTGGTCTTCGTCCCTCGCAAGCAGACGCATTCCCCGTTTCGCGGTCCGGCGACCCAGCTCGGACTCTCACTCTCTCTCTCCGCTCTGCAGATCGGGGTTTCCCCCTCCTCGAAATATCGATTATGGGGTGATTGCACTTGTGATAGAGATAAGACGTCTAGATTGGTCTTTGTTGGTTTGTACGCGCTGTTTACCGGCTTGAATTGGAAGGGCATTTAAAAGGGGACTATAGTAATTTCGAACCAATTAAGTCGCCTGTTTTTCGACCGTAAAACGGTCAATTTGTTAGGATTTCATTTGTTTTAGTTTGGATTGCCCTCCTTTTTTGAGAATTTTCTTCAAATTGCCGGTTGTGTATGTGACCGTTTCAACTTTTTTTGGTATGTTTCCATGATTTCCACACTCGTTGCATTAGTGATATTTCGTTTTCGAATGAATTGTTGCGTCATTATTTTGAAATCCCAAACGTTTTTGGCCCAATTTCCACCTTTAAGATTTACAGAAGTTCAGCGAAGTAATAAGTAACAGTATTCATATTTCTATAACGCGTTTTCAGTGTATTTTGTTATAAGAGAGTTCAAGATTAGTCATTCTTTTCAAGTCTGCGTGGATTTTGGAAAGGTGGGATTTACATTGGAATACGTGCAGTTTTAGGGCTTGCGGGCATGTCTGTGTGTTTTGTTCGGGATCAGATTTAATACGAAGAGGACGGTTTGCGAGAGTTTTGTGATTGTAATTTGTTATAATTGACGATTTTACCGTTGTTTATTCAATTTGATATCCCGAATTATTCCATTTTTCTTTCAGAAACTTGGGTTCTGTGCTGAGCCTTGTCCATCGCATCTCTCCATTAAATCATCGTCCATCTGAATCCACAAGATGAGTGCCTTTGCGTCAACTTCCCAACAAGGAGATCTCAGCCAAATTCTTCGCGGATTCACGGCCGGAGGCGTCGCCGCCGCTGTCTCCAAGACCACAGTAGCCCCAATCGACAGAGTCAAGCTGTTACTTCAGTTGCAACACCGAGCCCAACTCAAACAACATGGAGGTCTTGTTCAGGCCGAGTATAAGGGAATCACCGATTGTTTCAAAAAATTGTGCGCCGAACAAGGGGTGATGTCACTGTGGAGGGGGAACTGTGCATCAGTCGCGAGGTGCTTCCCAACGCATGCATTGAACTTCGTACTGAGGGATTATTATCGAATGCTGTTTTTGAACGGAGTCAACAAGAAAACGCATTACGGGAGATTTGTCGTCGGTGAGTGCTGTCGTCGTTGACAGGGATCGTGCTCGAGGGCCTTATATTTTGATGAAACTTGACTGGAATTTTGAGAAAAATCTGCCAAAAACTGGATTATTTTCGAAGTGAAGAGTTCAAAATTTCCACATTTTTTTGTCGCTAGGTACTCCTCGTTTTCCTTCTCTCACCAAAAAATTTTCTTTTCGATATCACTTACAAAGCAGGGGCTGGCATTTTTGCTGATTGAATTTTAGCCTAACAAAATAACTTATGCAAAATTCGAAGCATATCGGATTATCTTACCTTGAGAACGTTTTAATTGCATATTTAAATTTAAAACCAGTAACTGTACGATTCTTTTAGGCAACATTCTATCCGGAGGAGTGGGAGCAGCCACAGCCCTCTGTTTCGTCTACCCATTGGATCTAGCACGAACCAAACTCGCAGTCGAACTGAAAAAAGATGGATCCAAGAAATTCACGGGGATTTATGATTGCCTGAAGTCGATCGCGATCAAAGACGGCCTCTCGGGAGTCTACCGAGGCTTCTTCTGCTCTCTCCAATTTGTTGTAATTTCTCGCGCCGTCTTTTTTGGAATGTTTGATACCCTGCGGGGATCCGTGGTGGAGGATCCCAAGACTCTCAGCTTCTTCACCATGTGGTTCATGGCACAGGTAAGAATTCTTTTGCAATTTTTGAGTACTATTGGTATAAATAGTAACTAAATTTTATTTTTAGACTTGCGTCGTCACCTCGGCCTTCCTGACATACCCAATCGACACAATCCGACGGAATATGATGCTGGATTCTGGGAAATCGACCAAAACTTTTGCAAATTCGGTCGATTGTTTTATTAAAACAACGCAACAGAATGGCTTCAGAAGTCTCTACAAAGGAGCCCTCAGTAATTCTTTGAAGTCATTTTCCGGCGCTCTGATGGTCGCTCTTTACTACGAAGCCAGCAAATACATGTAGATACGGATGTATATTTGTTCCCAGCATTTTGTAGACCCACTACCTCGCAATTTCCGGTAAATACGAGTTGTCGAATAAAGACTTTGAGATATAGATTTGGCCGATTTGAATATTTTTCTCTTATTTTTGGGGATTTTTTGAAAAATTTTGTTGGTTTTAGTGCTGAAATATTAGGTTGTCCCACAAATAATGTCCCTCTTTGAAAAATTTACTTCTGCGACAAAATTTACCGTACTAACAGCAATCTAATTAATCAAAATAATTACCATATGCTTTAACACGTTGATTACAACGTGCCAAGCATTTTTTTATTCCAGTAGTTTAAAAGTCCCGGCTTCTGGAGCCGATGAAACTTTTGGAGGCCTTTTCAAGGGCGTCTTAATTGATTAATTTTCTACCGCGGATGAAACGTGGTAGATCCTTGGACAGGTGGTAGTCTGCATAGGCTATCTACAACGAATATACCAGACGAAGAAGAGTTTCGTATCTCGGTTAATTCGGCTTCTGGAGGGTAATTTTTAGAAGGTGAGGTTGCGCGTTTCCGTTAAAAATGTTCGAACTTCTGTGGCGTACCGTGGAAGGCCGATTGTGCAACAAGCTGTCTATGCAGGTACAGTAGGAGGTGGTGTTTACAGTTTGGCCCGGTTCCAGGAAACAGTAATGCATGAATCCCACGTTGCGCCATCAAAAATTGACCGTCACCGTCTTCTAGAGGAACTCAGACTTTGGGACGTGCTGTGGTGGTACCCCGGATGACCACCTTTGAGAAAATCTTGCCTAGGTGTCGTAGTTGATTCACATTTTGTCACAAGCTATGATACGATCCAGAAAAGCAGGATCTTAGGCTCGGTAAAGCAAAAAAGCGAAGCCTTCATTCTGGGCCTTGGTCCAATAATATGGGAAGAATTCGTCGAGCTTTTTCTTGAATTTATCGACATTGCACTGTTATCCACCGATAATTTTGATACCACCACAATGCCGGAAAGGCATCGGACGTGGATTCCATGACTTCCGTCGACCAATGACCTCAGGGTAAATTCGCAAAGCTGGCATGACGTGTTTTTCCTTCGGGGTTCCTGTGGCTAGGTCGAATTTTTTTAAACGCTCGTTTCACCGTGGCCGGACTCACAGCACACTGGCCGAACATGGCGTTGATATTTGGTGTAACTTCTAAAACCTTCGTACCCTGTTTTTGCTCCCACAAGTTGATGGCACAAATCGTCCCTTTTTCCGAAATTTTGAAGTGGGGCTAAATTACTGTAATTTCATCGAAATATGGCAGATGACATATTAAACAAAAGCTTGAAATCATGGCTACAAAATGCTAGAATATTACGAAATTTGGTTGTTGCTTACGTTTTTTATAGACCTTTGACTTGACCCCTCTCGAAGAGGGACATTATTTATGGGACAACCTAATAATTTCAAGACTTTATAATTCTGACGAGGTTAGTTGATTGGGAATTAAAAATGTAAACAACGGTATTTTGGCCAGCTTACATTTCCTCGAACACCCAAATTTTATGGGTTCCCCACCACTAAAATTATAATGGCTTTTCCTGAGTGAAGTTAGTACTCTTTTTTGCGCCATTCGCTCCTCTTTTCCCCTCAGGGCCCGAACTCGAGGGCGAGAGAAAATGAAGGATTCAAAGGGGGCTTTCTCAGCTTTCGGCCGCCTCAAAATGGCCCCAAAAAAGTAGTTGTTATTTATTGGGGGCCTGATTGATTGTTTATGGAATTTAAGAAAAATTTTTTACGTTTCAGTTGGTTCGTTTATTTTACTGACTTCTTGCAGAAGAAATTTTTCAAATTTTTAGGATTTTTCGAAAATTTACGGACTTTTTCCTGCTTATAATCCTGTTTTTTGACAAGGGATGCTTTTAAAGTAATATTAAAATTACTTTATAGCCAATATAATTTGTAAATTCACCATTTCCTCTCCAAATAATCTTTGTTCAGCTGCATTTACGACGATTTTTCCACGAGTACCACTATTTTTTATCGTGTTTCCTCATTTCCCCTAAAACTTTAGAGAAAAGCACTACCAGAAACGGAGATGATTCGGTGCCAGAATCCGTAATGGATTCCCATCTGGCCATAAAACCTCCAAACTTGTGAGTTCTTAGAGAATAAGCGCCTTAATTTCATACGGTAAAGTTCTTGAAGAGGCTTAATTTTGTTGTTTGTTTATCACTTTTGGGATAAAGATTTGTTTTTCGGCCAAAAATTGATGACATAAATTTCTGGTATTCAAGGAGAGCCTTTGAATATTAATCAGTAAATAGTAATATAAAATCAAAGTTTTGGATTATGAAAACCTTTTGCAAGGGTTCTACAGGTGCTTTTTTCAGAGTTTATAAAGTTTATTCCAGGGTTTGGAATTAAGTTTTCAAGAATTTTAAGTTACACTTGACAAACCTAAATTTCACTACCTTTATGACCAGTTTTGACTTTTCAATTTCACGAATTTCAGAGCTTCTGCCGTCCTAAAACGATGATAAGTGTGACTGCAGCCGCCCATTCCTTCCACCGTCCCTCCCGATCCCTGGGAACTCATCTCAAAGCCTATGGAAGCGGTAGAATTGCTCTGAATGCCTCAAATTCAGAGTCAAATCATCCTCAAATCCACCAACCAGGGTTACTGTACGTTTTCAGAAATCGTTAAAAGGCTCAGATCTAGAAAGAAAGTGATCTTCAAATTGTGGCATCTGCTCGTTAATTTATTCAAAAACTTTTGTCCTTTTGTCAAGTTTCTGGTGGATGTTGAGGAAAGCGAGGAATTGATCAAGAAGAAGAGAAGAAGGAAAGCCAAAGGGAACTCCATTTTTGATAAATTGGAGGATGACGTCATCCTAAAGATATTCAAATTTGTGGATGGAGAGAGTGTTTTGAACTTGGAAAGGACTTGTTCCAAATTGAATAAGCTGATCAGAGAGCATTGCGATGATCTACCGAAAATTCAGAAAGATCAGGCAAGTGTAATTTTTGAATAATTAAATTTGGAAGGCGAAAGTCTGCGTGCTATGCCTGGAGAAACTCCGCAAGGAATCACTGTTTAATTAATAACAAATAAATACATGATTTATAGATCAAGCTCTACTTTGATGAAGGGGAAGTCATCGTTTCTCCGGTGGATGAAAGAAAAGTTCCGTCCAGATACACAATGGTTCCAATTGAAGTAAGAACCGCCTAGATGGCCTCACAATTCAACACATTGTATTTTCAGTCGCTTTCCAATTACCTCCGCCATTTGTCGACCTTATCTCTGTTTATCCGAGGTCTCATCCCGGCCGAGACCATTCCCGTGCTCCGACGGCTAGCCAGGTATCGCCTAGACTTTAGCCAGATATACTTTTTATGGTGCGAATTGGATGTGGATGCTGATGAATACGTAAGGACATATGAACAAAGAATATTACATCTGAAGGCAAACCTTCGTAAACCAATCGGAATTAGAAAAAAAATGTTATAAATAGAATCTCCGTTGTCTGGAGTTTAATTTTGACCTAAAATTTTAGGGCCAAGGTCCCTGAAATTGTTCGTTATAGACGGGTTTTCAGTGCACGGAGGTTCCATTGCATATGATCCGCTCTTCCTTAACACCTCTCTTTTTCAGCTCAAAGGTCTTTTCCTTTCGAATTCCGATACCTTATCAGATATTGGCCTGGAATCTTGTTCTCCAACCCAGCTGATTTCCGACTCTTTAATTGCCGGCAATCTCCAAAAACTGGTCTCATTGAGAATATGGCATGACAGTTCAGGACATGTCTATCCGATTACTGATAGAACTCTGTTCAAATTAGTGGAGTAAGTGAATCAAATTGTCAATGCCTACTGTAAATTGCTATTTTTTAGACTAATGAAGAAATCAAACTCCCCATTAGAAACTTTTGATCTGAATTCTTGTCGAGTGACCGTAATTGGAGTGACCAGTCTGATCGAAGCTTGGTATAATGAACCACTTGTCCGAGGGAATTTGTGTTTGAGCTTGAGGAATTGTGGATTCAGCCAATACGACCTGATGGAGCAATGTAGAAATCACAACATTCCCATTGATATTACCGGGCTTTTGGAGAAGGACGAGGGAAGTCTTACTGTAAATGTGAATTGATTTGGTATGATAATGAGTAACTGTAAATAAAATCTGCTTATTATAATGATGAGAAAAGATATAATTTTGTAACAGTACTATTTATTAATTAAATTGAAAATTCCAAAAATGCAAAAACTCTGGCGAAGATGTTAGACCAGAGAACCGTACGGTTTTTACGGGATCAGCGGTACCCCTACCACTGACCCTATCCACAAGACGGGGAGAGCCGAAGCCACCCCCGGCCCCCTACATTCAGGGGTTACGTGGGTTCAATTCAATCTGACATTCATCTTGGATTTGTAATTTGTGGGACGTAGACGGTAGATCAGAGGGGCATGAAATCGAACTTGCTTGATGAAGGAACAATGATTCATTAAATCTGGGGTGGGATTTGCATCGTTGATGACATCGGTCATTTTTTGGTAGATTTGAACTTTTAGGGTCCATTTCTGTAGACTTGGAAGTCCGGAGTTGAACTTGCGTTCGAGTTTTTCTTTTTGGCGGGGATTTGTGGATTGTTTGCCCCTGCACTAGGCAGGGACGCTCTTCGCGATTTGATTTCTTGTATTTCTCTCGAAAGAGCAGCGAAAAGGCGAAAACGATTGGGTTTGCGATCTGAGCGATCGTTTTTTTCTTATCAAAGTCTTTTTCGCTAACCGTCTCTTCTCGTTGCATGGAATCTCGATGCAAAGTCGTCGATTATGGCAGTAGTTTCTACAAAAAATTCGAGCTACGTATAATAGAATTGATATGAGGCAAATCCGGAAAAGGTTGCAAAATCAGAAAAGTATGAAAGTCATAGTTCAAGAAGACTGCAGATTCAAATATGAATTTATGTATCATAAATTATAAATATCTCATTACCAAAAAGCAAAACAAGAAACCGAATGTCCCTATGCTGCACCGAAATGACACAATCTGTAATATGTCATGATGAGCAGTCTTCTCGACCATTTTAAAGTGATTTATCCTCCCAACGGGACTGTTTGCGACGCCCTTCTTGTGGTATTCTCGGGTTTACAAGAGTGCGGAAGACGAGATTCAGATGGCGCCGAAGACGCTTCTCATGTTTGCAGAAGACAAAGGTGCGAGCATCGAGACTAACGGTGGACGATCCCACGTTTTTGTTTTCGAATTTTTTCTTGCAATTACCTGCAGCGAAAGTCGCATATATCCGCTTGTTCTTGAGGCATCTTCATTTGATGTGTGCGGCGATTTGAAAGTTGGTCTTTTTAAGTGCCGTGGATTCTGGTTTGTTCTTTCTCAGAGCCATTTAAGGCGTCCGTTCGGATCGTTGTTAATTTGCATTTGATGCCTCCCCTTGACCATGAGATCCTCCATCCGCACCCGCAGGGCTACGGCGATTGCACAACGTGCATTTATTCATCGTCATTCCAAATTTATTTGTTTATTGGGCGTGTTGAAGGGTTGAGTTACGGGTTCTCATTAAAGGATAGTGGGTTACAAAAGAGACGTTGATTTGCATTTCAACGTTTTTCAAGGGCATTTAAGCCCTGAGGCAACAGTCAGATTAGTGGGATGACTCGGACAATCGGAAGATTCGGTAAATGTCGTCAATTATGGAAACTCTTGAACAATCGGTGTCTGCGAGAGTCCCTTGTGGGTTATAATTATCCCACTTTTGTAATCCGTGAACTCATCGCTTTCGACTTCTTTTGTTTTCGAGAATAAGTTCATGTTGGGGTTATTAAAATGGTTCCCTATTGAACTTGCTTCGTGGGGGTTTCGTCTGGATCAGGGTTCAGAATCATCGCCCAAATTTTTGTTTCAGATCATGCAATATTTTTGCTTATCGTTAGTTTTTTGGGAAAAAATGGATTTTAATCTGAATTTTTAATCGATTTGTTACAAGGGAAGGCTTCCAAGTGGGACGTTCAGATTTTCTTTACATCTTGCACACACGTCAAGTCTATTCCTCAAAATTTTTTGCTCGCGCTTTGCAGACAACTTGAACGATCTTTGCCGCCTTTGACTAGCATCATCTTTCTCGTTGATTTCGAGTTATATTTGTCATTTTAGAACAACAGTTAGATTGCTTTCCCTGTCAGTAATTTTTTCCAATTCAAATTTGTACAATAACTGCAGCCCATTTCGGAAGTTCGACGGTTATTGCGCAAATATTGAAATCTCTTAATTGGCCAGAGAACCCGTTCCTTCTCCCTTACCCCTCCTGCTTCTGCTTGTTATCCTCACTGGAAACTAATCAAAGCGTGGGCAGTGAGAACAACTAATAAAACAATACCAATAATGCAACAACATTAAACGGCGGAAGCTCTTATAATACAATGACGGGAGGAAAATTTTCTAGAGGGCGCTTCTCTGAACGAGCGTTGAGGATGCGGGATTCGGAAGGCGGGGACGAAGGAAAGATAAACGGTTTCGGGGCGATCACAAAAGAGCCAGACGCTCGGAGAATAAGCGAAAACGAATCTGATGGTCATTGAAGGGCTTGGGCTAGGTTTTGGTGGGCTCAGGGAAGTCAGAGGTCTTCATTAATTAGAAGAACAATATTTATGGGATATTCGGAGAGCTCAATCATTCTTTCTACAGTAATCTTTTGGTCTCCCTGAGCATAACTTTTCTTTTTCTTTTTTGTTTCCAATTCATGTTAGCCTTCCTAGTGCAACCATTCTTTACAATGTCATGAACTTTGAAACTGCACTCGCTTTCTAATTCCCAATCAAATTTTGTCTCCTTGTAACACGTTGACAAATCCTGATTCCTAACCGAGGCTAATCAACGCGGTCCTCTTCAGCTCGCTAGCGACTTTCTTCTTGGTCTCGTTCGCCGTAATTGGCAGTTGTAACCTCTACAAAGCGACGCTCAAATGCAACATGCGCTAATTCGAGCTCGTTCTTGACCTTTTTTGGGAAAACTTTAAAAATTACTCAATTAATCATCGACGTTTAGACTGATGGTGAACTGATCGGTGGAAATGGCGAGATCGATATTCTTACATCTCCTTTTACACTTATTATGTTGGGGACAGATGGTGGAGCAGCCTCCCAACATTTACAAATGGATCGAAGAAAATGCCCATATTTGTAAGTTGAGTTACGTTAATAGTAACATCATTTATCCAGGTACGAGTGTGCCATCGAATGGAGAGAATATTGTAAACTTTCTGACCCCAGCAGAAGGCCTTAAATGTTCGTTATGCCCTGATCATAACCCTCGAGAATCCCCAAGTAGTGCTTGTGCCGTTGAATTAAGTCCCAACGAGATCGATGTAGACATTGGATGTCATCCAAGTAAGCGCATTAAACGATTCCAATCAGCTATTAATATCGTTTAATGACGAGATCTTTTAATGTGCATAATTACGCAACCAATCGCTCATTTCGTTTTCAGTCCCGGAGCTTTGTTTGATGGAGCTGAAAACTCGTTACGCTGATTTCTTCACATCCAAACCGAAGCCCGCGAATTCAGCCAAATCAACAGAAGACATTTTCATGACCAAGTCGAATCCCTTCGAAAAAACCGTCATAAACCAGTTGGGCAGAAGCAGTAATGTCAACTTGAAGATCAAGACGCCACGGAAAGAGATTTCAATTCCGAAATCTAATGTGTTCGCCCCTCAGGAGACAACAAGAACGACATCAACTTCGACGACGACTAGGCCAGCTACCGTTACGTCAACAACACCAACAAGCACAAGTACGTTTACCACAACAACCACAGCTACTACAGTTACAACACCCACTACAACAACTTCTCATAGTACCACAACAACGACTACTACACCGACAAGTACCATAACTACTACTGCAAGAACGACTACTACTACTCAGCCACCTTTCCACGCTGATAACAACCTCGGGACATCATCAGAGCCTCTAGTAAACACTGCAACAGATGCTTTTGCTCTTATGACAGAAGTGGATGCAGACAGCGGAGGCTTTACTACAATAAGAGCTAATATATTCAGCTCTCCCAGTGTAATGCAGCCGGTTAATTTGACAATCAACAACACTGATATGGCTATGCATTCGAGGACAGCGCTGCCTTTGGGCCCCCTGAACAAAGAAGTTTTGCCTGGAGATTTCAAATGGGGAGAGAAATCTCATATCGATAAAAGAGTGGGCCAATCAATCTGGGCCAAGCGACCGACGTTGCCTAATTGGATCAACAAGAAAATGATTACAACGACTCCGACAACATTAATTGTTAATGTTTCGGCTAGTGTGCCGGGAACAACAACGAAAAAAGAGTGCAAAGACGCGCATTTGGTAAGAGTTAGACCATTATTCATTGTTTCTATGTGCAAAATACATATATGATTAATAATTTTAGCTATGTTGTTTCTGGGCGATCGCCGGCGAATGCGATTCGAATCCATTTTGGATGAGGATACACTGTTCCAAGACGTGTGGAACATGCGATTGCTCACGTAAGTTTGCTTAAAACTATTCTAATGCCCGATGAACACTACACACAGAGCAGATCGTATCTTACCGTAATCTATTTAGTAAACGAAGCAGACCAATGCAACAGCACGGGCGTTGTATGTGAAATTCCCACTACAACGACTACAACAACCACCACAACAACGGCAACATCGACAACTCTGACAACAACCCTTCCAACGACGACAACAACAGAAGAAACAACTACGAGGAATTATGGGAGGTTTACAGTGAAGCCAAGATTAAAGTTACCCTCCTGGAAACAACGGCCGTTGCCTCCAGGGCCGCCGAGTTATAAACCACCCGAGACCGATGAATTCATTGATAGGGGAGAGCCCGGGATTCGACCTCCCTTCGAGCCAAAAGATGGGGTTTTACTGGATAAATTCCCGGCTTATGGGGAGGGCTACGGAGCTAGTGGTCAGGTAAGTCAAATCTAATTTTACTCCGAGTTTTCTCAACATCCATGATTCAATTGTTTCAGAGGTCTACTCTCGAACCTCCTCCTCTCACCACAGAATTTGTCCCGACTTCCACCACCTCGATCCCACCAACCCCCTCAACTACTACTTTCTCCACTTGTTTCAATTACAATCCCCTTTGTGAATTTTGGGCGGATCTCGGAGAATGTGCCAAGAATCCCTTCTGGATGCGGCCCAATTGTCAGAGATCCTGTCGAAGTTGTGGGGAGAGCGTTGAGGATGTGTACGCGCCTCAGGCTAAGCCAGGATGCTCCAACGAACATCAGCTTTGTCCATTTTGGGGATTTATTGGGGAATGTGTGCGGAATCCACGATGGATGCTAAAACATTGCCGGCCGAGCTGTCGGGTCTGCTGATTAGACAATATGACCTTTCATTCTTCAAGTACTACCATTTGATAGCACTTTCAAATTTTTCAAAAATAGATCAGGTGTTCCGCCTACCACAATATAGAATAGCCAGCTCAAGGCAGAAAGCAATAGCCTAATCCCCCAAAGTCAGCTTGCCATGCCTAATCAGTCGCCCGTCGGCCGGACCGTCTTACAAATGCATTATTACAGTCGTAATCTTACTTTAGCCTTCTAATGTATTCCCCTTTTCTGTGTACAAATCTCAGTTGTTATGTCTTTTTTGGTGCTTGCCAAACACTGTCGTTGACTATTCAACGGCTCTTCAGTGAATTGAAAGTCTGTGTAAGGAAATTTGAAATAATTTTAATAAACAGACCGAAGATTAGTACCTTAGCTTTCTTTACAGCGAAATAATCACAAATATATATGTCGAAAATTAACTCACAATCAATGTTAATGTTTGACACGCAACGGAACCCAAAAACATGGTATAATAGGCTTGCCAAAACAATAAAGATCGATATCAGACATCAAGTTTAATGTAAAAAACTCAAATTAATTCTTTTATTTTATTTACAGGAGGATAAATTCACCAATAAATAAGAATGGAATAAAACTCTGGACAAGAACATCTCCTATGGAGTTATCACAAACGCGTTAAATAATAAAAATAGGTAGAAAAAGTGGGCTACAAAGAGACGATGCGCAAATGAGATATAACTATAACTTATTATATGTAATAGTGAGATGGTAGAGTGAGTGGCCAAGATAGGCAGATTTTCGTGGAGGGACCTGAGATTCGGGGGGAGTACTGTAACATTCTCCATTTTATACAAAAAAAAGAGTTCCGACACGAAAACCTGAGGAAACAACCGATAATTGAATGTGGTCTAAACTAAAAGCGAGATGATCATGATCCGTTCATCGAATTGGGAGGCATCATGAGTCCATTTGGAGGCATTCCCATTCCCATTGGGTTTGGCTGCCCCATAACATCCAGACTCTGCATGTTATTATTGGCATTTTGATCATACTGGGAGTTCTCTACCCTCGCGATTTGACGCTCGTCCTCTCCCATGTAGTCTGATCCCATCATTGAGGGTTCCGCAACTGTCATAACTTCGTGGGGCATCTGCATATTGTTGTACTGAAACAAATCGACGTTAATTTAGGCAAAGAAAGACAAGCCAGACTCAAGCTATTACACTACAACTATATCTACTCCAAAATACCTCAAACGCCATCTGAATGCCACCGCAAGGACTCCAGCAATATTGGGCTTATCAAACTAACAGCCGCGCCATCTTATACTTGATATATATACGGATTGTTTTCATTAGTCAAACATTCTTAGTGTTCAATCAAACTAATTTCTTTCAAACCCCAAACAAAACCCTCTAATTTTGCTGAATAAGGTGTAATTTGTACAGAATATTCTCAAATAACTTGCGTTCCCTTAATGATTAGTAAAAACATAGTAATTTTGAGACCAAGTGCTAATGAAAGGAAATATTGCAGAGGTCTTAAGAACTGTTTCACTATAGTTAATATAAAGGTTCAAATTAATCTGCTGTTTAAAGTATACTTCACTTACCCCAGGCGGGAATGGTTGTCCGGGCATTCCAACTCCATTTGGTGGAGGTCCAGAAGGTCCAGCTTGAGCTGCCGAGCCTCCTTTTTTCCTTCCTCCTCCTCCTCCTCCTGCTGCCTGAGGTGCTGTTCCATTCGCTGCTGTCTTCCGCGACCTTTTCCTTGTTGTCTTGGCTTTCGGTTCTTCCACTGGCTGCGGTTGCATTTGTTGTGGGACATTCATCCGACTCTGCATCTTATCTTTGGTCTGGTGCATATCAAATAATACCTTTTTTAGACTCTCTCGAGGTGTGTTATTGAATGTTTTGCTCGCTGCCATCAGTTGCCGCATTGGCTCCAGGATCTCAGCGTTTTTGAGGAGCTCCATTACCGGCCGTGGGATGCCGCAAACTGTTTGAGGAGGGTATTTCTGAAAGGAATAGTAAATAAAAATCAATTTAAAAAAATTTTTTTCTGGTCTAAAAACGTGAATCAAGGTTGCATGTCCGATAAAATATCGAAAGCATTCTTCATAAAAGCTATTCGAGTTGAAAGACACTAAACTCATCACACAAATAAAAAAAAGGTACCTGATCAGATTCTGTCGGTGTTTCTTGCGCATATTTACTTTCCACAAATAAATGCCGTATCCTATAGCTGAATGTCTCATCAAACATTCCGAATTCGACAAAGAACTTGGACATTGCTGTGATGTTGATCTTCACCGGCTTCTCCATGTTCATGATCCAATCGACCTCCGCATCTAAAGCCACGCCCATTGCAATTCCGTTTCCATTGGCACAGAACCTTTCCTGTTGACTTTTAATTTGAAATTTCATATCCGTTACTGAGTTCATGTAGGTCATGAAGAGACGGGGGATCAAGGTTCGACTAATGGCTAAAATAAGACAAAAAGTTATTGGATTCCATAACTTCTATGATTCTAATACACTATAAATTATGTCTTATTGTCTCTAAACCTTTTGCTTTCCTCTAAAACGGTTAAAGAAAATTAAAACTCTTGAAAACTTACAGTATTTCTTCGGAAAAAGACCTTCCGGTCGATTCTCAAGTATCGAATAGGTGATGTAACTCTCTGGTTCGAAGAACTCGTTGGAAAACGCGTCCCACCATTGTTGAACATGATCCGGATTCAGATTCACCTGCAAAAAAACGATTGGAAAAAATAAAAGAATTTTTTTGACAGAATTCTGTCGAATTTATAAAATATGTCATTGCAAGAAAAAATGTTGTTTCGTAGCGCAAACTACGCATAGCTCAGTGTCATTGCAAGGAATGAGGCATTCAAGGTATGTAAATTTATATTTGATTCAGTTTTTAATGTTCAACGTACTTGAATTATAAATTTTTCAACTTTTTTCCAAGCTCGTCTCTCCAAAATCCTGTCTGAAATGATAAAAGCGGGAAGAAAGTACTATACATTTTGTGTGTTTCGAATGTCAATGGAGGGATTATATTACATTATCTCTTTGATTGTAAATAAAAATGGTTTAGCTAATACTAAACTGGATAATCCATCGGTATTCCTGTTTTTGACATTTTCCTAGGCAAAAATGAACTCCTTAGGGATAAAGTTTGTCCTTTAGTGTAAAATTACGATCGGCGTCTCTACTCGGTCTTTTATTGATATTGGACTTACTCGACTTTGGGAGAAGGCTTCGAGTCGTCGATTCATTTCATCGATCCGCATGTCTAGTCTCAACTGATTAGGGAACATGGCCATGTGAGGAGGACCATTGGGCATCATGGGACCTCCCATTCCCCCCATTGGGCCCATGGGCATTCCTGGAATTCCTCCGGGCATACCTGGCGGGAGACCCATCTGGAGGCCAGGCTGAGGAGGCATCCCCGGCTGGGGCATGTTCGGAGGCATGGACATGGCTGGGTTTGGCGGCATTACGGGATTGGCCATCATCAAGTCCGCTAAAAGACGAGGGTTTACGTGTTTGAAAAAATCGCGCTTTCAGTTGCACGGTGCAAAAGATTTTTCAATCTCGAAATAATTGATAGCTTGCCACGAAATGTTAATTTTTAGATCTTTTGACTTGTGTTGGATGGGTTTCCAAGTTAAATGGTACTTTGTACCGTATTAGCTCTTTGACCAGGGATCGTTTTGTTTTAATCACAGTACTTGAACTTTCAGTTTCATCTATTTTTTGATACTAACGAGCAAACGATTATTAAAACCACATTCCAATTTAACTAACCCCTTATCTAATTAGCTTACGCATTCGAAAAACCCCCACGATAATTAACTATTTATTCCCCACACTCTTGGCTACAATCCATTAATGGGGATGATATTCGACCAACGCCAAAAAAAAAGTACGAAATGACTTTATTCGAATTAAAATTGAATAAAAAATTGGAGAAGAAGAAACGAAGCCGGATGGCCTCGGCTTCATGAGCGGCGGGTCAGTATTTTTTGGGGCCAACCGAAAAAGGGGGTCCGTCAAGAGGGGGGTGGAGGGCGGCGAAGAGGAGGAAGGAAGAGGGTCTGACACCCTTTGCCGCTTAAACCTCCCTCCCTGCGCACCCGAGCCCGCTGCCCGCTCCAGAATTTTTCTGTCATCTCTTCGTTTCCTCACTCTTTTTTCGTTTCTCTGCCGTCTCCCTTCTCTCCGCACTATCTCCGTTCTCTTGGTTCTCTTTCAAGCTGCCCAATGTCTAATGTTTTCGGCCTTTGTGCGTCGCTTTCCCTTCCCAATTCTCAATTTTGGGGTCTTTTCCGGGCGAAGATGGGACTCTGTTTATTTGGGGACGGAAAATGCCCACAGGGTATTCAAATTCCCCCCTGTTTTTGATTAAAAACAAAAGATTAAATCAGCAGCAGAACACAATTAATGACAGGCCCAGACGTCAAGTTTTGCCAAGGCCTCTGATACCTTCAAGGTGTACCAGGTATAATATAATTTTCGAGGATTTACGGTTTTGAAGTTTTAAAAGTCTTAAAATAATAAATGAAGTCCTATTAAAGAGCGGATGAGAACGTTATGATCGTATACAATGACGCTGTTAGAAAGTTCTCAGATTTTTGGAGAAGGAATTAAAATTATATGGGCTTTTAGACGAAAAATCAAGTTTTTTTGTCTGTAATCGTAATTACAGAAAACTGAAAATATACGCATGAGAAATGAGGCTGGGAATAGATGTTCCAAATAGTGTAAGAGTTAGTGAACACGCTTTTAATTCGTCGTATTTTAGGGTTACAGGGATAAAGCTTTAATTAACCGATGATTACGTCAATTATGGGTAATATATCGATGCGATCCGTTTAGGAATAATAGTAAATATGGGTCTTTAGTCATCGGAGGTTCAAGAAATGTAGATCCGATCTTAGTTCAGGCGACATATTGCTTTCCTAACCTGTCCAATTTCTATTTATGGCTTCTGTTTTGTCATAATCTAAATTGCTTTCCCCAATCTCGCTCAAAGATGATTATAATGTTTACAGAGTCGATTTTAAATTGCTTTTGGTTGATTAAATCGGCCAACATCGTCGAGAGTCTACTTATATTGTAGTAAATAACATTCTAATACTCTTATTTAGTCATTATGACCGTCGACGCGGCTGATGAGTTCGGCAAGGCGGTATTCAGCCAGGCTGTAGCCAAGATCCTGGATAATATGGGATTCTCAGCCTCGACAGATGAAGCGTTGCACTTGCTTAGTGCGCTGATGAAGAGATATTTCGAGGATTTATGCAAAAGAACTGCTTTGTACAAAGAAAATGGTGAGTATTTATATTTTTATTGAAGTTTAGAAAAAATTTGTGCCAGTAAGACGAGAGAATGCTAATCCTACGCAATAGATTTAAGAATACTCTTTCTTATGATGATTTTTAGCTCAAAGGAAGAATTGTACCTTTGGCGATATTAATAGGGCCTTCCTGGATCAAGGAATCGTCTTCTCAGAGCTCCATGACTACGTTTTACAAGTTGGAAACCTCCCGGTGACTAAGGTACTACTTTAATCTTTTAAATAATGTAACACTCCTCTTAATCCAAGATAATTGAATAATGCCTTTCTTGAAGGTTCCACCCTACCCTGTGAAGAAATTAAAAGATGCTGTGACGGGTTATTACTCAGAGAAACCGAAAGTTTATATAAATCCTGATGAAGTTCCTTCGATTGAGAGTCTGGGGACAGGCGAGGTGTTAGAGCCTGAGGTAATTGAGATGGACGAACCTCGACCGTCGACTTCGGAAGCTATGGATACGAGTGATGTGGACAGTAATGGAGAGAAGGAGAAGGTCGTGGTCAAACAAAAATTGTAAGAGATTTATTTAGCAGTACAAAAAAGTTTTCTTTTGTGGTGTTTGTGAGTTACTTTGACTTCTTTTTTGAATTATAAACATGATTTAAATTTATTTTAGATACACTTTACCGGCCGAAAAAGCGATCACCATCCCCAATTTCCTGGATATGAAAGCAGATGATCTTGGGATTGATTTCACCCAAAAACCAGCCAAAGAGGAGCCGGAGACTCCATTCAACAAGTCATATGAGAGTTTTACATTCACTCCAGTCAAATCGGACACCTCGAACATCTCAGAATCTCATCAGACAATACCTCCGCCCATTCAGAAGTCTCAAACTCCAGTTTTAAAACCGATCGGACCTCCTCCCTTGAAACTATCAAAGCCCAGAAACTTTGGAATGGCCCCGTTCTTACCGCCGGAGGCTGCGCAAGTCATTGATATCAAAGAAGAACCTCAAACTCAAGTTCAACCAAGTCTAGTACAAGAGGGACTTGACATTAAAGAAAAAGTAAGTTTTTTTCTGTAATTAAGACTTCTTTAACTTTTAGTCGAAGAAACACAAGAAGGAGAAGAAAAAAGATAAGGAAAAGAAGAAGGAAAAGGATAAAAATAAGGAAAAGAAGCACAGAGAGAAGAAGGAGAAGGTTGTGAAAGGGCCATTGCCTCCAATGCCAGGTCTGGATCGGTTTGAATCCTTTCCATCAGCGCCGATTTTGGCACCAATTAGTCGAAATGAAAAGTAAGTTAACTGGATTTATTCAAGTTGTCTGTATTTGGCAATTGTAATATGACTTTTGTTTAGTAAAATCCCGACCCCACCAGTCTCAGTCCCACCTCCCCCTCCAATGGAGCCAATCTCGATATCAATTCCATCTTCAATGCCGCCGGCACTATCTTCAAATCCACCTCTCTCAGAAACTCTTAAAATTCCATCAGGGCCTCCTAAATTGCCAGATGAATCAAAAGAAACGCCTCCGCCGACGTTGGAGCCGGCTGAAGCTACAGTAATCCAGCCGGCGCATGCTGAAAATAAAGTGGAAGAAGCCAAGGTAACGATCTTTTTTTTATTTTTATGGATTGTAGAGTAGTTTCCTTTTTGAATGTAATAATCTTGAATTCAATTTTTAGAAGGATAAACACCACAAAAAGGACAAAGATAAGAAGGAAAAGAAGAAAAAGAGGGACAAAGAGAAGAAGGAGGGGAAGAAAAGAGATCACGAAGGGCACGTCCTCCCTCCAGTCACCTCTGTTATCACTTCCCAGCCGTCTGCCACTATGGTTGATTCAGCTCCGATGATCTCAAAACCCGCTGGAATCAAAATAAAATTCAAACTTGGCGGCCAGAACTCGATCGGCGAAAGTTTTTCCCCTCCGAAAGATGCGGTAATCCCAGAAGAACCCCCACGAAAACAGCCCAAATTGGAACCGATTTCAATTCAAACGGAGCCGGCGCCGTTGAAAGTGGAGCCGTTGAGGATATCCCCGCCAAAGCCATTTATTCCAACACAAATTACACCTGAACCAAGTGCAGTATCAAATGAAGCTGAGAAGGAGAAAAAAGAGGAGCCAATGGAGATAACGGAGGAACCGAAGATCGGGGAATTACCAAAGTCACCGAAGAAACACAAGAAAGAAAAGAAACATAAGAGGGATAAAGAGAGGGAGGAAGGGGAAGATAATGGAGAAAAAAGGTTGGTTTTCGAATGGAAAGCATTTGAATACGCAAAAAATTGTTCAGGACGTAATATGAATTGCTTGTTTTTGACTTTGAAGTTCTGATTTATAAATTTCAGAGAGAAGCACAAAAAGAAAAGCAAGGATAAGGAGCGCAAAGAGAAGAAGGAGAAGAAAAAGCACAAGGAAAAAGAGGATCGACCAATCATCGACCGGCCGGCCTCCAATCTCGATGACACCCCACCAAAACTTCCATCAGAGCCATCATTTAAAGTCAAATTCCCTTCGGAAGCTAAACCTGAAACACCAGTAATTGAAACTCCAAAAGTAGAGCCGGTCCCTGTGATTTCAACGATGCCAATCCCGCCAGCTGCCATAACCCCATCAATTGGGGACGCATCGATTGAAAAGGATAAGAAAAAGAAGAAAAAAGAGAAGAAACAGAAGAAAGATAAGGAAGAAAAGAAGGATAAAGAGGGAAAGAAGGAGAAGAAGGATAAGGAAAAGAAAGACAAACCGAAGAAAGACAAGGAGAAGGAGGTGGACGCAAGCAGAACATCGACTCCAAAGTTGGTGGAGAAGGAGAAGCTAAGTTCATCAGCAGCGTTGAAGCCGAAGATTAAGGTGAGTATTGGTTGATTTGAGCTGGTTACAGTGGGAAGGTTAGACCTTGATGAAATTTTTACGAAAATTGAGATTTGATTTTTCTTGGGATAGTAGTTTAACTTCTTGATCACTTACAATGTGTAGGAAGACTTTGAAGAAAATATGAGGCTGCCGTTCAATTCCATTATTATTCTCTTTTTTGCATCAAGACTACTTGTAATGCTTTTATATATTTTTTTAATTTTCAGCCTGATAAGCAGCTCTCTCGGCCCGAAACTCCGGCAACTCGCCCTTCGTCGACCATCAAAGAGCCCATCTCCACCCCCACCCCACCCAAGACTCCTGTGGATAAGATTCCTCGCCCTTCCAGCTCCAAAACAAAAACCCCAAAAGCCTCGAAACCAAGACTAAAAAAGGGGAAAAAAGGGAAAGGAGAAGGCGATGACCACGTCTGGGTATGTCCAAAATGTTCGGTGGCTTATGTGGATGGCGCTGCGGATATGGTCGGTTGTGATGGCTGCGACCAGTGGTACCATTGGCACTGCGTGGGCATGGTGAGACCCCCAGCCGATGATCAAGATTGGTTCTGCCCGGAATGCACAAAGAAAAGGAAGGGAGGGAAAATAAAGGGAAAGAAGAATTAACTCAGCTAGTGTAATATAATTTAACATATCATTTGTAATTTATAGCATGCCTTTCAGAATTTTATAACCTCATACAAAGACCTCTAATTTAATTCTTGTGAACTTATTAATTGGTTGTTGTAATTTTACATTCTTTCATTTTTTATAGAATGTTTGTTATTGTTGATACATAATTTATTCAGATATGATCGCGATAAATGATTTACGATATTTTGCTGGATAATTTTTGTCGTTTTATACTTTTAGAGTACCTCTGTAGGAATTTGGAGAAAAATGGTCTATGATTTCCGAATTTGTAAAGGAATTTTTAAACTTATTACAAATCAGAGTCATATAACTTCTGTTCAGGTTCCTCAGGTGTCACTCATTCCTTTCCATCACCTACAAACTCAGTTAAGTTCAAAAAGGCCTAGTTTAAAACCATTTAAACTTTCCTTGTCGCCATCCATCTTCTCCATGTCCGTGATTCCAACCATTTCCCAGTTTCTTCTTTCGTAAGTAGGGCAAGTTGTAATTACTTTCAGCGACTACTTTAAACCCCAATTGACGGCCCATTTTAACTTCCATTTTCTACTTCAAAGCCCAATATTTTGTTACAGTAAATTCTGTAACCTAATTTACAGCGTTTGTGAAGAGAGAAGGGGGGAAAACCCGGAGGGTTTCCAGTTTTAATTTCACGCGTTTCGTAAAAATACGAGCAAAAATTAAAACTGTTTGACAAACGCTCATAATTAAAATCGCGCTTCCTTTTGCGGAGGAAGAGTAAGTAAATAGGCGCGACTTTTAAAGATCAGCGTTAGCGGAATCTCGTTTTCACCGGTAACTTTGAGATTGTAAACTTTGAAATACCTAACAACAAAATTTGTAGGATTTTGCGTGTAAAATTTAAGTCATCAAGCGCAAAATAAAAAAAAAACAAAAAAAATAATTCGCGTTTAGAGAAGAACTGCAAAAAATGAAAGAAGCAAAAACAAATTCCTAGGACGACAAAAAAAAATTATTAGCTTGTGCTTTGCAGATGCAGATATAGTATTTAGCGATTTTTTAGGCAAGATACCATGGAAAGCACAGAAAGACGATAGAGGAAAAAAATTGGCGGTACTTTCTTATATTTTTCGACAAAAATAGACCTTCGAATAAAAAGTTTCACATTTTGTAAGCAAATTGCCAAAATTCTGTTCTAATTCAGAATCCCTGAACCTCTTTGGACTTCAACCCCCTCTTAATAATCATAGTTTTGTTTTCTGCCATGTATAATACAAAAGATGATTAAAATCTGTGTTTCGTTTTTTCTTTACAGCAACCATTTATTCCACTTCCGGAGAGCTGCATTCCTGACCCACTAAACTCCCTCATTCACACAAAACTTAATGAAAGAACCGTGTTAATGTCATAACAATCATCTCCACATTTTATGGCCATCTCCATTCTCCTACAAACGACCTTTAATAAACTTTTAATGACCATCTTCCAGAACTTGTTATTAAAAAAATTCTGGATCGAACAAAAAGGACATCAGAATTTGAATTTAATTGGCGATTTTATATGGAATGGATGTTGGAACTTTTATAAATTCAGTCAAACTTGTTGTCAATCCTTTCATTTTTTGTATTTTTTACCATTCCCCAACAGGTTGATAAGTAGCTGTTTTCGAAATAAAATTTTTTAACTTTTTGTGCAAACCGATGACTAAATAACCGCCCCAAACAAAGAGCGGTCAGGAAAAGAATTTTGTATACATTTTTCCTCCAGAAAACATAAAAACTAAAGTTGAAAAAAACGTAAAACTTGTGTTTTGTAATTCGAATTCCGCGACTTTAAAAAACGGTGTAAATCAGGTCAAATGAGGTAAGACGCAGAGTGACATGGCGCAGTAAACTTGTCATTACAACCACACTACTGTTTACAATATTTGGAACAAGATGGATACGAATTTCGAGGTCATTCTTGTCACATTCAGGCGATCCGATGATCTTTTAATCCCCGGATAAAAAGCGATAAACCATCTAATTCTCACGCTTGCGCCTTTCCCCGCCTAAGGGCGTAAAAAATGATTGGAACGAAAGTGAAATTAAGAGAGTGCGGAGGAACGAGAGAGTGACATTTTGGCGAGAATATGTGTTCGAAACGATTTATTGCGCAAGAAATACGAGCATCGAAACAAAAAGATCATCCAATTTGAAGAGAAGGGAAGATAGAGAGTGTTAACAACAGCGAGACGTCAAGGAAACAAAAAAATGTCGTAAAATAAAAGATTGCGCAACAAACAAGAGGGCGGAGGGAACGGCCGAGCCAGTTCCGGTCTTGATTAAGGGAATGGAGGTCAGGGGGAGGGGAGCCGGTTGCGTCAGCGGCGACTAGCCACCGGAGGAACCGGTCCGGGCCCATTACCGAACTTGATTCGGACGGCAGGTAACTGCCAAGAGCGGGAGGAGGGCCTCCAATCAACGAGAGGCGGCCCAATCTAAGTGCGCAGACGGGGAAAGTAATTGAAGGCCTAACTGGATTCAACGGACACGACGCGGAGATAGCAGGGAGTAGACAGTCGTCACATCAAAGACCTACATTAACCTCTACGTTGAGGTTACCCGGGCCCCTCCCTCAGCCCTAAACCCTTTTTGTAAACTAAGTCGGGCGGCCGGTTTACAAACGGAACGGCCTCATCGCATCATGACCTTGCTAATCACGTCGTAATGGCCGACAGCACGTCACAAGATAACCTCCAACCGGTATACTTAAGGCCGCGCAGGGTCGGGAAGGCTTCAGTAAGGGGAAACGACCTCAACTCAGACTTTGCGAAAAGTCATAATATCTTTGCTATTCACTTATATGTGTCATTATACTTGGCTTGATACTTCTTATTCTTAGTTCATCGACTATTTATTATCCTTTGTTATCTTTCTTAAATTACTTGTTCTTCTAGGTCGCCTAAATATAAATTTTATTTGTAAATATTTAAGCTGAGATGTCATTGTCTCCAGTGATTAAAGCCCTTTCTTGAACTCACCATAACTCTCGTGTTGATGATTAAAAGTAAACATCCTCCAGACAATTCTCGACAACTTTTTTCACCGTTCAGTAGCCTTTAGGTATAAGCGTTGTTCCGACTCCAAAGAAAAGATCTCCCGTCTATTCCGAATGCCATATTATTCCTCATGTTTGTCCACTTGTCGGATCATTGCGCGATTGGAAACGTCTATCAGACGCTCATCCCCATGACGTTTCGTTGATGACAGAGCTCGAGTTTCAGGTTGAAATGCGGGAATTAATCGTTCGAGCCACACTGGTGGCCCTGTTATGTGGCCAAGTCCATTGCCAATTCCGAGACGACTGTTCGGATGCGCCTAATACGGCAACTAGAAATATGTGTTTGCGGATGCGGCAAATGGACACAAACGCTAGGAATATTGCTCAGAACACAGTGGAAGAGGAAGCGATGCCTCCAGGATCACCGGTTTGGCAACAACCAATCCCTGTGCCATTCAACGCCAGAGGGCAACTGGCCACACATCCATATGATTGCATGACATTGCAGTGTCTTTGTCCCTTCTTCAGAGTAAGTTAAATCAATGGACACCGCTTTTTTGGGTCGTTCTCTGCAAAGGTGTACGTAATGATTACAATTCAGGGCCAAATGAACAATGGAAATTGTATTCTCCAAAGCGGCCAGCCACTTGCCATGGGCTACAGAAAAGAGTATCGTATGCTGAATGACGACGAACGTAGACGATGGCACTATGCGCTGACTGTTTTAAAACAAAGTGGAGAATATGACAGACTCAGCGGAGAGCATATGGTGGTAAGTCAGCTTTATAATTACTTTACAAAGCGTTGATAAAACAATAAAACGATTGTCTTTTAGGTTGGTGCCGGTTCTGGCGCTCATTCCGGCCCGGGATTCCTTCCCTGGCATCGGGAATATCTGAAAAGATTTGAGATCGCCCTCAGATTGATCGATCCAAGCGTCTCCGTTCCATTTTGGGACTCTGTCATGGACAATTACCTTCCCGATCCCCGAGATTCGATCCTCTTCACACCTGACTTCATCGGACAAACTGATGCCAATGGATTCGTCGTTAATGGGCCTTTCGCTTATTGGAGAACATTGGAAGGACGGGCGGCCATCTGGCGGTGAGTTTATTGTTCCAAACCTATGATGACAAAAAAACACAACCAATTTGCAAACATTATGAATATTTTGCAATATTTTCAGTCAACTTGGGATGGAAGGCGGCCTTTTCACGGAAGCCCAACTCAACAACATGATGCAGCAAACGAACGTTGAATACGTCATGGCATACACTGTTCCTCTTCCAGGTAAAACCAACAGAAATCCGAAGAAGAATCGAGGATCATATTCATTTATTATCAATACATCTTTCCAGGTTGCCCTTACCCTCCAAACTACCAAGCAATTGAATATACCCACAGTAACATTCATTTGTGGATTGGCGGAGACATGAAACCCCCTACGACCAGTGCCAATGACCCCATCTTCTACATGCACCATTCATTTGTCGACTTTCTTTGGGAGCAGTGGCGACAACTGAGACAACCGAGATGGTTGAGAGAAACTGTAAGAGATTTAATTTTTTGATAAGTCTGGCCAACTTTACAATCTTTTCTTTATTTGGCCATACAGAAACAAAGAGTAATCTAAGCCATCACATTTCAGCAATACACCCCCGACATTGCCCAATGCGCAAACCCCCTTCACTTCAGTTACGCAGCCATGCGACCATTCAACAACTTGTTGAACAGAGATGGACTCTCCAATTCCTACACCGACCAGATGTACAGATATGCCCCAAGAGCCGGCTGCAGCGCCCAAATCCCAACCTGTGGCAGTAAATATCTTTTCTGCGACACTCGAGGATTCCCTCATTGTGTGGCCAAGGTGAGATTGGGAGGTTTGTGCATGGGATACGAGGGATTCGACGCGTGTTTCAATGGGCAATGCATCTTCGGCCGATGTGTTCCTGGCCCTACTCCCGCTGTAAGTTTTAATTTTAAAAAATTTCTGGAACGAATCGTATTTTACCCCGTTGTTCGAGCACGCACTTACCCCGACTTTTGCAACTTTAGCCGTTCCGAATCCCCCGACCCACAACGACTCCGGCGCCGGCTCCAGCTGCCACTCGTCGCGTCGCTGTAAGAGTCCGTCAAGCTGCGCCAACTCCATTTGTCGACTGTTTCAATCGCGATCCATGTTGCGAGGAATGGGCGAGACAAGGGGAATGCGACAATAACAAGAAGTACATGAGCCGATTCTGCAAGGCCGCTTGTCATCGATGCACTCCCGCCTTCAACAGCACCAATGGTATGTTGTTTTAGAGTTTGGTAATACCGTTTTAGAATGCCCTGATCGTCATATTTCGTGTCAACAATGGAGTCAACAAGGTCAATGTTCGAGCGGAAATTCTCAGAAATTTATGCAAGAGAATTGTCGACAATCTTGTAGCTTCTGTTCGGCCAAGAAATCAAGGACGTGTCCAAAGCCTGATGTGAGTAAAACAATTTTTTTGATTGCCGATGACCATAGTTCTTAATCACTTTCACCGTTATACTTTCAGGCTCACAAGGCCACAAAGCCTGAGGGTCCAATCCGCCGTGCTTTCAAGAAACTCCGTGCTTTCGTTGGTGCCTAAACAATGACGGCTGCTGAAGCTCAAAAGCCCACCTTTAACCTACAACAATTGTTCATACTCCTCAGATCTCATTCCTAAATTATCTTAACTATTAGGTCACAAAAACTGCCATCATACCGGTTACAAATTACGTGTTTTAATAAACTTTAATAAACCCTTAAACCAAAGGCCTTGTCATCGCTGTAAACATTCTGTTGTTCCCTCAATCCCTCAAACAAATCTCATCGATTGTTTGGAGCCCCAGCTATTCGAGGGTCTCTGATTGATATCCCTCGCAGCAGCGGATATGTTTCAATATTTAGCGAAATAATTAAACCATAAGAACATATAAAAACATGACGCCTCCCTCATTTCGCTCTCACTTTCTTTTCGTCGCCGCCACGAACGAAAGCGACGGCTTCTGGAGTTGGGGAGGGAACTGCCCTCCAACTTCTTCGCCACATTAAACTAAACCGGCTGGAGTCCCGGTTTTGCCAGAATTTTAATTATTTCATCGAGGCCTACTGCTCTGTTTGATCAATCACAGCTTCTCGAAGGATTGAGCGAGAGGAAGGAGAAGGTGGAGGGGCAGAACGGAAAAGAAAACTCATTGTCTGTTTTGTATTGATAAGGATAAAGAGCGGAGGATCTCTGGGTTCCGATGAGAGTCGTTGTTTTGCTGATATCGGTCTATTTGGTCAATGCGGAATACAATCTCTCCAACGATGTGGGACCAAGAAGGGCACGGAGATACGGTAAGCAGTTACAAACTTTGCAGCATTTTATGTCATCATTTTTCATTACTTTTTATAGACATTATTTTTTAGTCCTGGCGCGGAGGAAATGGGACTACGATGTGCTCACATGGCGATTGCATTCTGATAACATTGCTGAATCCGACCGCTTCATCATACGGTAATTCTACGCAACTTTTCAGAGCTTATTTTCAGCTCGACCCTTCATCGGGCATTTTCCGCCTGGTCATCAGTTTCTTCCTTAAAATTCATCGAGTTAACGTCGGAACAAAAAGGAATTGCAGATCTGAGCATCTCTTTTCTCAAGGGCCGACATGGCGATGAACTTCCTTTCGATGGCCCCGGTATGCAACCAATTGTCCAGTCAAAGTCTCATTCACTAATCAAATTCCAATGTCTTCCCCATTCTCACATAATCTTAACGATCTCCCAAATTACCTGGCTACCTGATCTTCCCATCTTCCGTATTCTAATGATCTTAATTACAGACGGAATTGTGGCTCATGCGTTTTACCCCACAGTGGGGGTTTTGCATTTCGACGCGGACGAGAAATGGACCCTGAATCGCGATGACGGTATTAATTTGTATCAAGTAAGAGAGCAACCAGTTTTGTTTCGATTTGTTTGCAAAAATTAGTGGGCTTGCAAAGTGGCAGTTTTTGGTTGAGCAACTCTCATGCATGCAGTATTAAGCCGAATAATTTTTAGACCGCCTTGCATGAGATTGGTCATCTTCTTGGCCTAGAACACTCCACGGATCCTCGGGCAGTTATGTTTCCCAAGAACCGGCCGTTTAATCCCGGATTTGAATTGGCGGATGATGATGTCAGAGGGATCAGAAGGCTGTATGCTCCACCAAAACACCGGTTAGAATCCACTCGGTTATTCAGCAAATTAATTGCTCAAGATCTCAAGAAACTATAAACTTATGAAAGTGGAATTGCTCGAACAGCGATGCTCAGATTTAATTTACCTTTCGCGAAAGCCGTACACTAGGTATGTCTTCGTTGTTTTTGAAGCCCTCAAGTTTTGAGATTACATTCTGCAGAAGATGTATATGTTTTAAATTGCTCTATTGGAATCTGAGCATCGTCTCCCCGCATTCCCCTCTTAATTAGGAAGACATAAACCAGAATTTTGATCATTATTTATTATTCATCACCAACCATTCCGTTTCCTTTTTTGTTATTTGTCTACCCTCGGATTACCGGTAAACAAGCGCCTAACTAGTTATACTGCCCAAACTATATCAATTTAACCTTTCATTCCTGTCACTTTGATTGACAATATAATCTCTTACCCTACTGCTTATGGTATTGTATTTTAACACGTACAAGTGTCAGCTCTCAATCCATCATAGCTCCGTTTAACCGACCTAATCAAATTAATTGAGCGGTCGCGCACCTGACAAACGTAGAACAAACAGTAAAAAGTAGTGTTAAATAAGGGGCGAACGAGGGCCGCGAAACATTTTCCGATTCCCGTGATTCAGAGGAGGCCCCATTTCGTTTTCACTCCAATTGTAAATCATGGCGATTGTAAGTTTTTTGAATTGGTTTTACCTTTGTATTGTTTTAGAAGGATTCATTTGACAATTTGTTGAAGAAAACGCAGAAGATCTTCAAGAAAGGAGGTGAGTTTACTTACTATAGGTTTTATTGTTAGTGAAAAGTTCAAATTAAATATGTAGCAGTCAAAACTGTAGTAGAAGAGTTGAAAACGCTAGGCAATTTTTAATTTTTTTTCGCAAAGTTGTAATTTTAAAACTGTAATTTTCAGAACTTTTCATACACCCTATTGAGTGAAGCTCCAGAAATTTTTAGCATCCAATGATGGGTGTAAAGGGTCTACATTTTTTATATATTATTCTTAAAATGTTCCTTTGTCATCAAATATTGCCTTTACATCCTTAAAAATCATTGCAAATTTTTATTACTTGCAACATAAAAAGTGTAAACATGGGAGTAAAAGCGGTTCCTCTTCTCACTTTCAGCGAGATCTTCAGCCAGCAAAAGATATTTTTATTTCCTCGGGGTTTAAAAGATTAAACCATTAATTTCACTTTGAACTTTTTATGTGTCTAGAAGAGTTTCTTCCTCATCATTGTTTGTAAAGTCATCGTATTCTTTTATTATTTTAAGGGAATGATGCTGATCGAGCGGCCCAATCCACTTCTAAAGCAGTGAAAAAAGCGGCCAAGGACGTTGCCAAGACCACAGAAAAAGCAGGTAAATAAGGTGAAGTCATGCAGAGTCAACAATCGGAAAGTACATTGTCATTAGTTAGGACTTTTTCAAAAGTCAGGAAGGGCGTATCAGTAATGTTTTTTTTATATTTGACTATCATTATCCTTGCATGAGATACGAAAAGAACTCTATTTTTAGCCCATGCCGTTGAGAAGGATACCAAAAAAGTCCTCAAAAATGTTGGTAAGTAACCATTGCATACATACATCACTTGTTTATGCTTTCATCCACTTTTTATGACATAATTTTTTGCAAATAGATCCAATAACAGGCCAAGATCTAGAGTTACAACTTGTTCTTTTCCTCTTTGAACTTCGACTTGTTCTCCAAAGTTAATTGAAACATTGTGATTGGAGCTCACGTGTGCTCTCTTAATTATTTACTTTGTTTTCAGAAAAGTCTCTGAAGAAGTAAGTCAAATTGGTCCACTCGAGGGGATGACCTGCTTGACACTTGAAGTTGCAACGAATTCGGAGTTCATGCTATACTTTATTTTCAAACTTTTACCTCTGCACAGCATTCCGAACTTTTTTCGCCGCCGATCGGTGTCCAAAAAAATGAAAAATTAAAAAGTGCACATTACATTTTCATGTGTGTAAGGGTAGCCAGAAGAGATACCGGCAAAAACAAAAACTCTTTATGTAGAGCAATCAATTTCCTTTCAGAGTATGTAAGTTTTGCCTTCAGGTTGTCCGCTACCTTTCAGAAAATCGTCACTAAAAAAATGGAAATTTCGATTTTGAATGCCAAAAAATGTACTTTCTTGGGGCCACCAAAAAAGATGTTGGAGTCTATCGTAAAGAGAATTTCAAGGGCTACAACATATTAAAATTTCAAGATTTTTGTGGGGGTTTAAGCCAAGTTAGAGTGAAAAAACCCCTGATTTTGCACTTTTTCTCGATTTGTTTGCACTTTTAGTGCAAAAATAAAAAACCATCCGTGGGCGATGGAATCTATGTGTCATGTCGGATATTCATGCCAAATTTGAAGCTTCGCCGACGCTCCGGAGTCGCTGAATATCCGTTTAAATACGAAACCTTAGAGTACTATTTCTGTCGTTTGAAATCGCTTTATGTGCTCCAAGATCCCTTTTGATCAAAAATATATTGCCTGTGTACAGTGTATAACAACATCTTATCATTTACTCACGATATATTTTTTTCATTTCGAAAATTGAATTTGGCAGATAATCCTTCACAGAGCCAATTTTTTGTTGCAACAACCAATTAAATTAACCGCCAAGCTGAGTTAGACTTTTGCAATTAAGTCGTTATGCAGTTGTTATACACTGTATACAGGCAATATATTTTTGATCAAAAGGGATCTTGGAGCACATAAAGCGATTTCAAACGACAGAAATAGTACTCTAAGGTTTCGTATTTAAACGGATATTCAGCGACTCCGGAGCGTCGGCGAAGCTTCAAATTTGGCATGAATATCCGACATGACACATAGATTCCATCGCCCACGGATGGTTTTTTATTTTTGCACTAAAAGTGCAAACAAATCGAGAAAAAGTGCAAAATCAGGGGTTTTTTCACTCTAACTTGGCTTAAACCCCCACAAAAATCTTGAAATTTTAATATGTTGTAGCCCTTGAAATTCTCTTTACGATAGACTCCAACATCTTTTTTGGTGGCCCCAAGAAAGTACATTTTTTGGCATTCAAAATCGAAATTTCCATTTTTTTAGTGACGATTTTCTGAAAGGTAGCGGACAACCTGAAGGCAAAACTTACATACTCTGAAAGGAAATTGATTGCTCTACATAAAGAGTTTTTGTTTTTGCCGGTATCTCTTCTGGCTACCCTTACACACATGAAAATGTAATGTGCACTTTTTAATTTTTCATTTTTTTGGACACCGATCGGCGGCGAAAAAAGTTCGGAATGCTGTGCTCTGCTGATTAAATAATCTAATGACAAAATTTTCCCTTGATTGAATAAGAAATAAATCATTGAAAATTTTATGGATATACTGATGCTGCAAAAAAACTGTAATCTTTGCAGACATTCGACAACTCTTTTCCACCTCATTGCAACAGTGTAAACATAAAATTTTGCGAAGTTATTGTTCAATTCAACGCCGAGTGTCATCATGATCAATGTGTCAGACTTTGGCCGCTGCTAAAAAGTCATTTTTGTGTCTAATAACTCACAGCCAAGGATTGATAAAGCCATGAAACGACCGTAATAGACGTTTCGGTATACTAGTAAGACAATGGAGACAATTTCAAGCCGCCAGGATTACTGTAATATAAGAAACCGGCGTTCTGGCCGCATATAACCCCTATCATAAAACGGCCATAACTTTGCCCAAACATATATTGGGCAGCTAATTTTTCTTGCGTTGCACACTATTTCAAACGATATATGTTTCGTTAAAAAAGCAGGGTGCAACTATTTGCCGATCCCTTGTCAGGCAGGGACCGAATCTGCATAATGAGTTGTGATGGTGTGGTAACTAAACACGAAATTTGATAAAGTCAAGATGATAGCCGAGCAGTCCTCGGCACTCCCCATAACGAAGCAAATTTTAGTGAAACTCTCGGTCCTTATCGGAATATTGTCCCTGCTTTTCGTCATTGGGGTAGGACGCTTTGTCTATGTACAGTGGCGGACCTGATCCAGTGGCAACAAAATGCTTCCGGGAAGTATCAAAAAATGCAGCAAAATGCCTCCTCGTCCAGGTGAAATTTCCGAGTTCAAAAGGGCGCTCGCGATTTCTGTGAGGAAAAAAGTGCGCCTTTCAAAAAGTTTTTTTTTGGCTTGGAAATGGAGACATTTTGCTGCATTTTTTGACAGTCCCCGGATGCAAAATGATACTTTTTTAACAGTGGATCAGGTCTGTTACTGTGACTTCTAGACCTTAAATTTTGCATGGAAATTGCTGTAAGCTTAAATATTCTACAGAAGCATAGGGTCCACTTCAACTAAATAAACGGATTGTTGCAATAGTAATATGTATATTTACAACATTCAATCATTACTTCTGAGAAAGCTGGTTTTTTGGAGAGATAGTGTCTTTTCTAGTCATCGTCTTAAATCCACGCTCGGATCTATGTAGTGACTGTGGGATTAATTTAGGGTCTTTGAACGAGATCATTCGAATTTTGCTCCGGAGAATCTGAGATTTTAAATACCTAAAAGAAATTTAAATTGCATTGGATGTCTCCTAAAACACGAATAACACAAACTTTTCAGACGAGGTTCTAGGCCCCGCTGGTCTTTGCCAACAGGGGAATTCCGCCCAATGTCACCAGTGGTGTTGGAACCACAGCTACAAGCGTAGTATCTGTCGCACCCGTCAATGCTGGTGTCAAACATATTGAGCCTTCTGCAACACAAATATATTTTTTTAATACGTTCTGAGCTGAATAAATGGACTTGCCTTGTCATTATATTTACTTCCTTTGCAAAGTGATCCCTTCTAACACCCCCTTTTGTTCCAAACCCTAATTGCGAACGGCTCAAGAGCCTATTAATTTCCAAATCTCAGCTTCATACTCCGTTTCCTCGGCTGTACGTACACAATGACATATCAAAACAAAAGGCGATGAGAGGGTGGGGTGCCTGCGAGGTTTGAAGAGACCTGAGAAGTTGGTTATCCATCCTCCAAAAAAACAAAAAAGATCCTCCCCCTCCATTAATTTCTGTTCCCAAAGTGATTTTTCTCGTTTCCTCCGGGCTTCTTCTCACCCCCGGTCGGAAGGAGAAGGCCGGTTTGTCCCCGGATTACGTTGATCCCCCTCCTTTTTGCCCCATCCACTGTTTCATTGGGCTGGAGGGCCGGAGGATCAAGCCCCGAGCGTTTTCTTACTTTTTACTCGGTTTTCTTGTTTTCCCCTTCCGGCTTAAATACTCAAAAATCAAATATTTATGTAATGTGGATGAAATGTAACGAAAGCTGGTTCTAGGAACATTCTCAGTGAAATAATATTCAAATTTCCGCAATTTAAGAGACTCCTGTTAATTTTTTCGTTTACTTTCCTTCATTTTACATCTAAATTTTACTTAATTTTAGGCCAATAATCGTGTTTCACACAGTATTCCGCATTTATCTTCCATCTGTGCGCAATTGTCTCCATCGTTATGTATAAGGAATTTCTAAATGGGTAATTACAAGTCAAGACCATCATTGTCTTGCGCAGGTAGGTGTTAGAAAGCTCATTAAATGGCTTGAAACTTAGATGAATTTAAAAAAAGAATCAGCGAATGTTATTCCTTAGTCCGTTCCCGACTTTGTGACGATGTCAATCCGCGATGGGACGAGAAAAATCCATTGTTTCAGGCTTGTTTGTAAGTTAATTTTGTCCTAATTTATGTGGTGTTTTTAGTCTCGGATCAGTCGAAGAATTCATTTTGTCTTTGGATCAATTGAATTCTGTTGATGAAAAGATTGGACTGAAAGATTTATCACTCCTTCATTTAGTCAGTGTGGGGATTGGAGAAAACGTAAGCGATCCTTTTAGGACAAGTATAATATAAACTCCAGCAAGCCAAGAAAATCGAGCTTCTTCTCGCCAAATGCGAAGATGATGCCAAAAGGTTGTCGCTGTTTCGGCAGCGAACTCCCAACAACTTCACTGTTCTTCATTGTGCCATCTACAAGGTAATCTAAAACTATCTCCCCAATCAGTTCAAGAAACGACTTGTTTACCACCATTGTCATCATTTTTGCAGGGTGATCCAACAGTCGTCGAGACCCTTCTCAAAGGCGGTGCTGATGTAAATAATTTTATTGAGAATGCCCCAAGTCCCCTTCATTTGGCTGCAATGTGTGGGAATCCAAGTGTAATTGATCTTCTGCACCGTCATGGTGCAGATCTGCATTCCAAAGACTTGGTCCAGTTCACGCCCCTTCACTGTGCCGTCTATTTTGGGCAAGAAAAAGCGGTGAAGGCGTTGTTGCATTTGGGAGCTGACCCAAACTTTTGTGGCGGCGTTCAAGACCGGCCGTTGCATGTGGCCTCGGGGAAAGCCAATCTAAATATTGTTAAATTATTGATTAGTGCTGGTGCTGATTGTAAGTGGAAGAATGATAAATTGCAGTGAGATGCAACAACTTTAATCAAAATAGCTTTAATTAATGAATTACATTGTTTTAGTAAGCCTGGCAGATGACGAAGGGAATACCCCGCTTCACTTTGCTTCATCGACCGGCCAAGCCGCCATTCTCGCTGCGTTGTTGGCCGAGGTCAAAGATAAGCAGCAGGTGAGCCTAGAAGTGTATAAAATTTAAACTAACCTTGTCCATCTCTTCAGGCGGTCCTCAAGACTACAATTTACGGAGACACCCCTCTTCATGTCGCATGTTATCATGGGAAATTGGAAGCGGCCAAGATGTTGCTCCCTTTGGGTGGATCCGCCATCCTTAAACTCGAAAACGTCTTTCACGAAACCATACTTCAAGCTGCTTGCACATCCGGGAAGTCCTTGGAATTGGTCGCGTTTCTGTTGCGACAGCCAGGAATTGATCCAAACCATCAATCGCAAGATGGGCACACAGCTCTTCATAGTGCTTGTTATCATGGCCATTTGAGGATTGTGCAGTATCTTCTGGACAATCAGGCAGATCAAAGTTTGACAGCCAAGGCAATAGAACAGTCGGGGACAGAAAGTGAGTCGTTGATTTTGAAAGGAGATGATGATCGCCCTTTTCAGATAAGAACACAGTAGCATCGGCAATGATGGCACTGGGAAGGTTGGACTGTGGCGCTTCGTCAGAGAGCGGAAGATTTAGTAACAGCGAGGAGGGCCAGCCATCTCAACAAACACCGATCCTATGGGCCTATGAAAAGGGACATGATCAGATCGTGGCACTTCTAAAATATTACGCCAACAAACGTCCGGAGTCAGACGTGTGCAGTGAATACAGGTAAAACTCATCATTTTTGGTTATTTAGGAACTGTTGACACATAACATGTCAGGTGCTCCTTTCGATGACAAGAAGTTCAAATAATAAATCCAATTTTACCGTAACATCAATAGCTATCTCTAATCGAAATATTCCAGCTCGGGCGATAGCAGTTACACGCCCCTGCCCAGCCCCATGGGCCGACTTCGGTCGATAACCAAGGAGAAGACCGAGATCCTCCAACTCCGAACAGAACTCGACAGTTCCCTTCATCTTTCCTTGGTCGATATCGAGATCAAAGGCGAGATTGGCCAAGGGTCCTTTGGCAAAGTGTACAAAGGAGTTTACAAAGGGAAATCTGTGGCTGTTAAGAGATATCGAGCGTTGGCGTTTGGAAGCAAATCTGAGGTTGACATCTTTTGTAGAGAAGTTAATATTCTCTGTCATCTGAACCATCCGAATGTGATTGCCTTTGTCGGAGCTTGCTTGGATGATCCAAGTGTAAGTGGTTGAGATGTTTTGGGGTAATGGATGTGAATTTTAGCAATTCGCAATCATCACAGAGTTCGTTGCTGCCGGGTCGTTATACAAGCTGCTGCATAAAGAAAAAAGGTCAGTTTTTTGTCTATACCTAACCATTAGTTTCAATAAAATTTTTTTATACAAAACCATACTTCCTTGACACAAGCTTTCTACAAAATTTTCATATTCTTATTTTAGAGTCCTCAATATCAAGGTGAAGTTAGGAGTTGGCATTGACGTTGCGAAAGGAATGAGATATCTCCATGAAGTTGCCAGTAGGGCTGTTATTCATCGGGACCTCAATTCCCATAACATTCTGCTGCACAGTAATGGTCGGGCAGTCATTGCTGACTTTGGAGAATCGCGGTTCATTTCGGAAGATGCGGAAGAAAACATGACCAAACAACCAGGTAATCTTCGATGGATGGCTCCAGAAGTGTTCACACAATGCTGCCAATACGATGAGAAGGTGGACGTGTTCAGTTATGCGCTGGTGATTTGGGAAATTCATTCAGCAGAGTTGCCGTTCGGACAGCTAAAACCAGCGGCAGCAGCGGCCGAAATGGCTTATAAAAAGAGTAAGTAATAACTTTGGATTCAAAGGAAATTTTATTGGAGAAAAAGTAGTACTGCGTATTTTAGGTCGACCACCGCTTCCTTCCGAGCCCACCTCTCAATTCCCTGGCCATATTATCAAAGTCATCGAGGATGGCTGGAACCCCAATCCAAATCTCCGGCCAACCTTCACTCAGATTCTCCAAGAACTCGCCCCGTTCACTCCCACCGACGAAGAAAGGAAATTCGTCTGTAAATACGAAGATGATGGCAGTACAGATGAGGGAGAATTCTCCGACCTTGATGACTTTGATCTGGAGATGCCAAAGTCTGTTTCCACTCTCAAATCCCAGTTCGAGCAGTTGAATCATGGCAAACCGAAGGCTGTGTCGCCTTTAGTAGGCATCTACAAACCGAATGGAGTGGTGGAGAAGTTGCGGCAACAGTTGGACAACAACGGATACGTCTCTCAAGCAGCTCGGAGCATACAAGCGGCCAAAAGCGCGACCCAACTGAGGGATTCGATTGTCCTGTCGAGAGAGGCCAAGGTGGCACAACGTCAAACCGCCTTCAAAGAGCATGATCATCATTCAACGGGCAACTTTACATCCAAAAACACTTCAGAATCCGAGGCTTGATTCCAGACGGAATCAGGACCACTTTAGGACCAAAAAACAACACGGAACGTTGTGCATCACGGGTCACACAAACTTCCATTGCTCAATTAATATAATTACTTTCATTAAACCTATTATTATTGCCATTTATAAAGCTAATGCGCCTTGTTACTGATCCGTATACAGGGTGTCCCAAAAAAAATGCATGTTATTTTTATGGCTACATTTTATATACCAAACAAAATTTAGCCAAACTAACGATGGATATCAGTAACATAGAGGATTATTGATAACATATCAAGCCAGTTTCACAGTGGCTGCCCTTGGTGGCGATATAGAGCTTCAAAAGTAACTTAAAATTTTGGGCTCGGGGCCACAGCCTTTTTCGAGGAAATCGGTCCCGTTCTTGGCGCAACGATTACTTTGCCATTCCAAACTTTTGTGGTGTGTAGTACAGGCAATGGCCTCCAATTGAAAAAAAATATAGTCAATCGGGTTCAGATCCGGCGAGCAGACGGCCATTTTGCGGACGGGGTGAAATCGGGAAAATCGTTCCCATTTCGGCTCCTGAGTCGATTTTGCCTTGTGAGCCGGAGCTGAGTCTAGGAAGGACGCCAAATTTGCATTGCCGAGGTTCTGCTGAGTCAACAGAAGTACGGGAAAATCAAGATTAACGCGGCGCTAAAATTTTGCCCCCTTGATCCGAGAAAACCATGGAATTCTTGCCGCTGGGAGAAATTCCGCCTTAGGCGATGACGGCCCGGATTTTGACGGTTTTCGACGTTAGCCGACATGCCGAGGGCCTCATCTAAGAAGATCCAATTGCTCTGGTGGTTGTGCATCCGCCAAATATTGGACCACGAACGAATGCGCTCACGTCTGTGAGTTGCGGCCCAGCCCTTGAGTTTTCGACATTTTTCGCGCCGCACGCACTTGCCGTCTGCTTTAAAGATCTGAGCTTTTCACAGCTTATACAGCGTGAGGCGTAGCTCATCATAGACTATTCGGGTGACCGATCGGTCGCTGATGCCGATCTCACAGCCAATTTTTTCTTGAAAATAGCGTTTTGCTGTTGGTGATCTCCCGGTTGACAGAACCGCTGGCGGTGCGTTTTCCTTTACGTCCTGAACGCTTACTATCGTTATCAAGCTCCTTACATCGCGTGATTACTTTTGACACAACGTCCTTTCTATACTGGGCAAATTTACAACTTGAACGGCTCAAAAATAGTGACAAAATCGCAGTTCCTTTGTTTCACATTTTAAAAAACCATGCTACTTAATCGATATGAACCCAAAACTGAAATGACTAGGGCAGAAAAACACGGAGATTTTAGCAGTACAAAAATCTTTTGGCCTGACCTAAACATGTTCGCGTCAGGACCCATGGAAAAAAACATGCATTTTTTTTGGGACACCCTGTACAACTTTTTTCTGGGATAATTTGTAGAGGTTCTCGTAAAGTTCGTAATCCGACTGAATTTGCACAATAATTTCCACTTAAATTCCCCGATTTGTTCATGAAAATCGACGGACTCAATCGAAACGCAGAATCCACGCGAGAAAACAAAAAGTTTCCCTCCGAAGAGCTTGTATTTCCATGGATTTTGAGGTCAATCCGATCGTGCGCAACATTTTTTATGATGTTATACTTGTCTTCAGACGACATTTCGGACTTTTTGTTGCATAAAGTTGCAAAAATTTTAATAAAAAATGATGATTTCTAGCCTTTAGTCTGTTTTGTCATCCTTATGCTTACATTATTTGCTCTTTTCGGATCTCCTTCATCCAGAAATCCCTCCAAATCGTCTTTTTAATAACGCTGCTGTTGTCCCCACTCGACTGTCAATTCCGTTTAATATCGGATAAGATGCGCGCCTCTTGCTCGCCATATTTATTGTCCGCAAATTAGCCGCCCCGCCCCTCAGGGGATTTCCGGAGAAAGTAGCGAAGCCGTTCATTTAATGGTTATGACTCCCATTTACCAGAGTAATCGAAATTACATTACTTTTTATGGGATATTACTCGTTATTGGCGACTAAAAACAACGCTGTCCTCAGGCAATTTCGCTAATTTATTCAAAAAATAATAATTTTAAGGGCTTCTCCCCTCACCGGCCTTCTTCGTTTTATCCCCGGAGGGCATGAAACTCTTTTGCGGCGGCCATAATTTTTATTTTTTGGACGTGACAATCCACGGAAGGAAAGGGTCATTTTATCGAATTTGGGGTCCATTCATTCGTAATATATATATAGACGGAGAAAGTGACCAGAGGAAACGGGGAATGTTTTGGCAATGCCCTGAGGGGGATTAGGGATGAGGAAGTTTAAAATATTTGTTTGCTGACATTGTTATGGGCATAATAACATTACTTCTTGGCATTTAGCAAAGGGAACCAGACAATCTTCAACCCCTGTTTGTTGGCTATTTTGTTGAATTATTTTGCATTAAACATTACGCACGCAATAATCCGGTTAAATTGACTTTAATCCTCTTTGAATCCCCAAAAAGGACTTTATTTTTAACGGGCCTCTGACGGCACCGCTTTTATTCCAAAACGAGGCCAATTAATCATCATGGAGGTGGTCTCCAACCAATCCAAAAAAGGTCAGTTTGGAATGAGTGGACTCTTCTTGGACTCGATATTATACTGGACTTTGTGAATGGTAAAATTTTAGGAAATTTTGTGATTATGTTTAGGAATATCACTTTTATAGATATAGCTGCTAGTGTAAAAAAAGATTAGCAGTATTTTGCTGACTAGAAATCTCCCTAAGGCAATTTGCTTATGTTCCAAGCACTTTTTTGAATTCGATACCAGTGGAAATTCAAAATGGATTTGGCGTTGAATTTCGTTTTCCGGCAATTAATCCCCGAGAAAGTGGACAGGATTTAATTGAGAGATTTGGGTCGCTAATTACTCTGGGCTATTCATTGGTTGCTCAGGTAGTCCTTAATGGGCGTGGAATATGTTTTTGCGCCGAATTTGAGGATGAATACAAATGAAGTGTAATATAATGGGTTTTAAGTGGTCTTGAGTGCGAAGTTGAGGGTTAATGCGGGAAATAATCGAGTTGAGAGAATTTCGGAAACAACAGATTTGTTTTCAATAAAGTGCAAAAAAGTAAATTTCTAATAGGAAGAATTTTGTTTTTACATGACCTTAAAATGCCATTTCTCACTTTTTACATCCATTTTTTGCTCTTTTACATCTTCCTTTTTCCTCCCAAATTAGTCCAACGTTCCACAAAACGCACTATCTCATCGGGTGTTTCCAACTTTTTTTGTTTCAATTCCCGGCCGAATAAAAGAAAAAGAGAATAAAACCGCAAATCCATCTCATTCTTGGTCATTTCTCTTGTTTTTTGTCATCCAATTTTGCATTCTTCCAATCTGTTTTCTTTTCTCTTGTGTGGCCACAACATGCGTGTTTGGCCAGCCTTCTCGGAGAGCCATTGTTGAATGTATAATATAATGGGGAAGAGATTTTTATATGGGGGTTGTGGGCGGTCATCTTCATGCTGTTGGGATCTGTGATGAGAAAGGTGTTCATGATAAAGAACGACGCAAGATTTACAGATGGCAAGGGTAGAAAAAGTGGCAGAATTTCAGCCTGTCGGGCAAATTTTTTTATTTCTCTAGTTATGGTCATAGGCAACAAATTTTGCGTAGATCTAATTATGAGGCAAACAGTTTTAAATTGCCCACAGTTCTGACAAAGGCGTCATTTGCAACTTGATTCCTCAAATTCACACCTCGGTTTTCCATCCTCAAGATGTCAATCAAATCATTTATCTTTCGCAAGTGTGTAAATCAAACTTCTTTTCAATTATCCCTCTTCTTAAACTTCTTCTTTATTAAAATTTTGGTTTGCCCAAGGAAAGATACGTTTCCACATTTTTTGCCATTGCTACTTTTACACTGCATACTTGCAGTTTTTTATACCCACACTTTTACATTTCCACCGATACGATCCGTCGTTTGCATTATTTCTGATACTTTTCTCCCATCAGGTTGTTATGGTGACTTCAAAGTTTCTTCCCAACGCAAAAAAGAATAATTTTCTTTTGTATTTTTATTATTCTTTTGTATTCCCATTGTGAGGAGAGGAGTCGGGTGTAAGGAGGGTGTCCTTATTGAGACTCGCCCCAGAGGGCGGAAAGAAAAGGCAGACGAAGCGTAACAAAAATAATTTACGGGCTTTGTTTATTACTACTTTTGTACAATATGGCTCATGATTTTCCTCACTGACTAAGTGTGTTTTGTACAGTTTAGATTTTTGTCAGATTTGGTCTTTTTGAAAGGGATTTGTGGAATGATTTTTACTTGTTTATGAGGCTGTTATTTTGTCATCGCAATGTTTTTGGGGTCACGGAGTGAGTATTGTTTTGCAAATTGTGCGAAAGGCTTTAAAAAATTGGAAAAAAATGTTTTCGCTTTCCAATGACACCCAATATCCATAGGAATTGCCACTTTTGAGCGACCGTAAAGCGAGTGGATCTAGCCATATAAATCAAAATTTTTGAAATTTTTTTTGTGGGGATTTTGAGGGTATGTCTAATTTTGTGTGGAAGCAGTGTGCTACGAATTTCCAACTTTTCCTAAAATTTGTTGAACTAGAGTCAAGAAGTTTTGAACAAATCCAAAATTTATTTTTTCACAATATTTTTTTTATAAAATTTCAGGCTAAACTTTTACCATTGTTTACCGAAATCTAATCTTATCTGTTCCCACTTTCTTGTGAACCAAAACTTAATCAAAACAAGGGTTTTAACAGACGTTCCAATTAGCAGTCTACTGTCTGCCCCTCCATTTTCAATTTGTTTTACAACTTGTTACCTCTATAAAGTCTGAAGCTCCCCTTTGCAGAGCAATTTGTTATTGTCCATTCTGTTTCTCGTCCAATTCTTTAAACCCAAATCTTTTTTGATCGCGATTAAATTTCCCTCTTTTTTTAAAGCAAAGGATAACAACATTTCTAATTAGAATTACTTTTTAAGGGTTTCAAAGTAAAGATTACTCTCTCCGAATGGGTTCGGACCAGCTTTTGTTGGATGGATCCACCCATTCCCAGAAGACGGCCCTCTCCATTTACATGTTACGGGTCTATAAACTGGCCAAGAGTTTAGTCATCGCTCTAGTTTTGGTGTTCTTGCTATGGTTTTTATTGATAAATTTTGGGCCAAAGAGGAAGAAAACAAAAGAAAATGATGACATAATTCAGAGGCAATTGATGGAGGTACCAAAAGATGTAAGCGCAATAATTTGGGATAAACATTTTTCTTCTAGACATTTGATGGTTATATCAATATATATGTCGCAAATGACATCCCTGTGGATGAAGGGGTCAATACGTTCAAGAATTGTCCAGTCAGCAACTGCTTGATACATAGGAACGGTAAGAGATTTTCTTAAGAATGTTTCAAATTTTGTTCTCCAAAGGTTTAGGAATCTTGATTTGTAAAATTTTTGCTATCTTTTCGTTGTAAGAATCACTCCCTTTGTAGCCGCAGCATATCCCAAAGCAAACGCCGTAATATTGACATCTAAATCCAAATTGCCCGGAGACAAGACGTCTGGTCAAGTCTGGATTCTAAGTTTAATGGAGAGCCCGCTGAATACGCAAGGATTGGCAGAGCTCAATGGAAAGGTAGGCACATTGTGCTGGATATTGTTTACTTTTAGGTAAACTTCACCGCTTCTTATCGATATGACAGTGATTTCCCCACTCCATACGACTATATCCGGCAAAGCAAAAAACCGTTGGCTCAGTCTCGCCTTAACTTAACAGCGGGTGAGTGTACACATGTACTAGTTTCTTGCAAATGTTATTAGGAAGAACTTTCACTTTTCATACGGCGCATATAAGGAAAAAAGTCATTATTTCCGCCGTATCTTGACTGCAAAGACCTTTAAATGGGAGTTATAGTATATAGAAAGCGCCGGCTAAATTTTCCAAGGATGACTAATACTATTTATTATCCCATTTACGTGTTATAATTTACACTATGGATTGCAGAGAAAACAAAGAAAGTTTTGTGGCTGGTCTCCAATTGTTTTACTCCAAGCCGCCGAGATCTTATTGCCGATGCCTTGGGGCAATACATTCAGGTTGATATCAAAGGAGAGTGTGGCGATGGAAGGGTTGGAGTGGAAGAGGGATTCCGATTAATGAGAGAGGAATACAAGTTTTATTTGGCGTTCGAGAACTCACAATGTAAAGATTATGTGACCGAAAAGATGTTCAATGCACTGAGGTGAGTGGCTTCAGAAGTTTGTTTCATTTTTTTTTGATATGCTGTAGCTTACTGTAAAATTATTATTATTTTCTTCAATACTGTTTAGGGTCTGCAACACTTATTTTTTCAGAAACAACATTTTGCCAATTGTTTATGGAGAAGATAGAAAATTCTACGAACAAATCGCTCCTCCCAAGTCCTTTATCCATGTCGACGACTTTGACAACGTGAAAAAGATGGCAGAGTAAGTTTCGGAATTTTTGATTACTAATTTTGTTTCCCTCGGCTTACACTTGCTACTTCTAGATACCTAATCTACTTGGACAAAACTCCCTCTGCTTACAATGAGTACTTTGAATGGAAGAGTAATTTCTATCTCTCCGACTCAAAGTTTTATTGTCGCCTTTGCTCGGCGCTGCAACGGCCAAAACACAAAATCTACAAGGATCTGGAGAGCTGGTGGAATGGCCAGAAAGATTGTAAAATCAGCTCTGAACCAAGGATCTAGAAACGATCATTTTTAGTTGTTTTATTACCGCTTTACTTGCATATTGAATTCCACACATATCTTCTTGCCGCATGTTCTCTTACACTTTAATTTCCCGTCCAAATCTCCCTCAAATAACCGCGTGATCTTTTCCTCAACGATCTCTCAGTCAAGCTTGTATATCATTAATTGTAATATAATACACAATTTTAATAAAAATATCATTTTTTAAACTTTTCTTTGACTAAAAAAGACCTAAAGGAAGTGTAACAAAAGCTTCCACCCGCTACAATTGAGATCTCATTTTCTCTCCCATAAAATTACAGTAACCATTTCTCCAGAATACACGCAAGTTGTGGTTGATTACTTTCGGTACACCCTCTTCATTGCAATTAATTCCGACCTTTACAACTCAGAGTTCTCTTCTGTTTTTATTGCTTCAGAAGAGATAATAAGATTTTTAATGAAAGTTTTTTTAAGTAACAATAATACTTTTATACAAGTAATTGTAAACAGAAAGTGTTGAAACGATTCACAAGGTTCACCAATAAATTCTGCAGAAACTCCGGGAACAGTGGGGGATGGCACGTCGCGAGACGTTACTATTTTTAGGGCTCAACGATCTATTTTGCATTCCAGATTTAATATGATGACGTCATCGTGGAATTTTTGAATTCGGGAACCGTCAATTTATGACAAAAATCTTTGCAAATGTCTTTCAGATATTTTTTTTGCATAACTCTCAACAAACAGGCTTCTGGATTTTAATGCCGACAACAGAGAGAAAACTTCCCAAACTTGAAGCTGTGACCGGTTCTCAAAGCTTCAGCCAAAGGCATCGGATTTCTTTTATAGCTATTTCGGTATCCGTCAAATGAAATAACTTTCTAAACACCGCACTTGAATAAAATCCTCTGTAAACTTTTCTTTGCCCATTTGTCGTATGTTTTGATCGAGTGATCACTCCAACATTAGCCACTGATTGTAATGCACTTTATTTACCGACTTGAGTAGATTACGTCATTGCTCTAGGACGATAGTAATAAACGAATCTATCGTTGGAACCATTCTATTTATGATTGCGCTAAGTCTCGATCCTTCTGTTTCTTCAAAATTTACGGAATAAAATTGGTCAAAAATATAATCTGTTTTATTATTTATCTGTATGTACATATATACAACACCCGTAAACATATTTGCCATATCAATAAAATCTGGTATATACAGAGGTATGAGTGGCGCCTTCTTTCATTGTCTTCAGCATTGAGTTGAGTCATTTTCCATTCCTCCCACAATTGGAGCTTCCACAAATTAGCCATGCCCCAGCTATGCCGTCTGGATTCCCGATCATTCCAACTTCGTTCCCTCTCCACAGTCCTCCCAAACCATTGTAACCGGCCGAATTACTGTAGCCATAATCGCTGTAGCTTCCATAAGAATACGGATAAGGATTGACATAGGGATACGGTAATGAGGATACCGTAGCCAGTGCCACAATAAAGATCAGAGCCGAGAATTTCATGCTGACTTAGATACTCTAGATTGCTTTGCTTTGAATCCTTCTTTTCCTGAGGCGGTATTTATAAAGGGCAGAATGTTTTTGTTATTTTCCCAAAGTCCGTAAAAGCGACGGCGAAGAATGTGGGAGGAGACTTCACAATGGACACCTGGAGGTCAATGAAAAGTTAAAGCCGGTGACAGAAAAGGGCTACCCGATTCTAAATAAGGACTAATTCGAATGCGATAAGCTCAAATGAACAGAGGGATGTGTAAACAATTCAGAGAACATCAAATTAGGAGAATTACAGGGTTTTGCTTCGAAGTTCTAGTGGAGTGTAATGATCATCATGGCACACTTAGATCATTTGAAGCAAGAAATGCCCAAAATTGTTTAAAAAAAAGATGATTCTAATCGTCAGAAAAAAGAATAGTGACCACAGTGTCTGAGCTTGTACATGGCAAGCTTGACTGAAGCATTCGGCGATCATTCCGGAGTTGGAAATAATTCAAACAGTTCGCAAAAGTTTCTGTTTCGAACACATCGACAATCATTTGTGGTACGACGTTTGCTTTCACAGCCATCCTGTGGATTTTTCGTGCAAAAGCCATAGCAGTCTAGTCTATAAATTAGAGAATGTTTTTAAAGTAAACATTCACAAGCTACCAACTTCTTTACAATTGAATCTATTGCGAAACTTTTCCTTAACCACTCTCTGAGCTCGTAAATATCTAAAACATAGAAGCTATGATTTAGATGACGCAATTAATCATTCCCAATGTCAGACGTAGATTTATTTCTTAATCAGTTCACAGAATAAAAAACTTTCCACTGATTACCTTATTACAACAGCGTTTTGTACCGAAGATACCAAGAAGGGAGCGCAGACTCCGACTCTGTTTTCGCCATCAATCATGCCTGGGAAAGTCACAGAGTTTTGAGAATTATCAGCAGTTCACGTGAAGAAGTTTGGTTTATCAAAAGGTGGGTATTGAAGGTTCAAAAAGGCTTTAATTGAAGAAAACATGACAAAAGCCTACTATTACAGCTTCCAGAATGGCGTCAGAGTTCATTTCTCTGATTTTTGGATCAATTTTTTATTGTCGGTTTATCTTTGGCGGCCTTACAACGTCATTTCTTTTCGTTTAACGGCCTCACAACGTCATTTCTTTCCATTAACTTTTTGGTTTTATGTTCACTAAGTTCATTACAATAACCGAATGGATAACTGTTCAGGGTTGTTTTTTAACCTTTTATAAATTTAAAATTCATCTGGGAGACGTTAAAATAGTCGAAATAAAAAATGTTAAACTAAACGCTTGTGAGCCTGTTGATGTGTAAAAAACAAAAAGGATAAGAGACGATATTAAATGTTCAAGGTGGCTAACAAAAATAGACACGCTTGGTGGGAAAATAATCCATTTTTACTTGATGACGGTACAGTAATTTGGATCATGTGGGAGACAAATGAACATGTGGATAACGTGGGAACCATATATTCCGCACGATTTTTTGAAATGAAACAATCGTAGATTGTTGTCCTTGCCAGGCACGAGCCACACGTACAGAAAGAAAATTTTAAAACTAATCATTTTAAGTCACCTCCAACTCATAAAAAACAAAATACCAACAAAAACATTTGGCCTTTCGACCTTGATTTTTTTGGAGTTTGATACATAGAAAAAATTACTATGTGTTTTGGAGACAAAAATTATGATAATTTTTCAATGAAAAAGAATTCACCTTAAAAAACATCGTTTTAAAATTACATGTCATCCAGAAAAGTTTTTTGATGCCGCAATTATACGATCATGCCCATTAAACAACCCAGTGATGCTAATTCTCTCCGACAGCCGGCAACAAGTAAACAGTTTTGTCGTCTCTGTTTCTCGGAAAAATAATGTGGACTCGCCGTCTTTGAATCGCCCATCATCGCTTGGTGACGGCTAGCCGTGGCTGGAGATTTGGGGTCCGACTGCGACGACCTTTTTCTGCAACAAATAACACTAATTTCCCGTCAAAAGTAAACATTGTAATCACAGGGCTAACATACGCCTCTAAAATCTCAAATTCCGACTCCAAAGTTTCTACAGAAAATCGAAACAAGCTAAACGCACAATTTTTTACAGTCCTGAATGACTTTGAAGTTGTTTACAAATAACGTTGCAATCTTATAAACAACTTTGCAAAGAGCCCTTACTGTAATCACTTTTTTTGTTTTCGTATACATTGCCTGCATGATCTCCGATTTACAATTACAGTTTAAGCCTGAATTGTGACGGTACGCCAGACTTTTTGTTTACAGGAACCGTCTTCTGATTACCTGTTTCTTCCGTGTTGACTTATGACAAATGGAGATGTAAGGCGTTAATTTGATGATTGATGCTCTCATGATTGTAACACCGCCTCTTTAAACCCTCTCAAAATACGATAGCTGCCGTTTATAAAGCGTCAAAAATGACTGTCGCAACAAGAACGGCGAATTGTAGAGTCGACGATACACTTTTTACTTTATCAACTTTTCACAATGAAGTTGTTGCTCTCAATGGCTCTCTTGGCGACTTGTATTACCCTCATCTCAGCACTGCCTTATCCCTACGTGAACCCGTATCCATACGCTCCATATGACTACAGCGGATACAGTGGCTATCCGGGGTACAATAACAATGGAAATAGCGTTAGTTACGGTGTCTTCGGAAGAGGAAATAATTATGGAATGATCGGAGATCCCGATGGATCTTTCGGATTCTGGCTTCGATGTGGGGATTCGAATTGTGGACGGAATGGAAAATAGGAAGAACATGTGTGTATACGATACCACAGACTAGTGTTCACACGCATATGTCATCGTTCTTTTCAATATTATAATATCGATCTCATGTACAATATAAAGTTCTACGTCAATAAAGTACAAATTAATAAATAAAAAAAATTCCAGATGTGATTGGTCCATTTGTTTCTGAAGGGAACATTACAGCTTGTTGAAAGTTTCCTTACTTGTTTCGTAAGCAAAAGAAAACGTTTGCTTTTTAATAATGATCAACGCTTTCAAAGAACGGAATTTCATTTTTCTGAGAAATAGAAACATGGATTCTATTGAGAACAGATTTAAAGCCCCATGTGAAATATAAAGTTCTTAAAAAACCCTACCGTATCCATGAAGTAAACAACGGATTCCTCCATCGCCGGCATTTTTCAAAACTTTTCTTGGGAAATGGAGATTCGGATGTTCTGTATGCCGTGCCCCGACTTTCTAATTCGAGCTTGTTCATGAAGTTTTCGCTTGGTTTAGTTCGTACTTCCGTTCCGTGTGGCCTTAAAGGGACTTCAAAGAGATGTTGCGCTTGTCAGTTTTTGATGAATCCAATCAAAAAATGTCTCAGAACTAAAGCAGTAGGTAAATTACTGTGTAAAAAGTTTGCAAAACGTCTGGTCTTTTTTGACAGTATTATTGTTGCGCAATCTCGAAACTTTTTCAGATTTCCGTTGAGTTTGCAGCTGTTTTCCCTGAAATTGGCTCAGTTATCCATCTGAAGTAAAAGTCGACCTAAATTGAATAAACTCTGAGTCCGTCTTTCAGGCCGCTATATTGGGATCGCTGCCGTTCCAAACAAAAAATAAACCGCGCAACAGATTTGGCCGCGAATTATGGGAACAGATGCGGAAATTAAATAATTTGGGGCTATGCATTTCCGATCCCATTCGGAGATTATTAATGTTTTCGCAACGAGGAATAACCCCCTTACTTCGCACTTGACTTCTAACAACTTTCTGGCCCTACTTTCTAACAACTTTTTTGATTGTCTCTCAATATTATGGCCATATTTTCAAACATTTATTCGTTTTCGTTTCCATATGTTTATATAAAAAGATATCTCGCTTGTCCGCCTTTCCTCATTACCCGCGTCTTCAGAATCCGTCCCAGAATCCACTTGTTTCCTCTGCTTCGTATCTTCTCGAGGGCGATCTTGACTCCGCCCTGAGGGCCCAGTCCGGTTTCCGGCCAACCGAATCTGACGAGTGATGAGTTTTCTCGCTGCGAAAAAACTTTTTTTGACGTTTTCCATCAAAAATTATCCGTTTAAGGATCTCCAATTCAGATATCGCAAGTCCATTCTTGGGGGGAATGCGGGGAAAAGTAATGCGGCAAAAGGTGAGGGAAACACATTAAGCGAGGGCTTTGTTCGCCTTAAGGCGTATTTTTGACGGGGTTGTTCAAGATATTGCAGGTATTTTTAGTGGCTTCACATGGCGATTTATACGAAAATGTTCAAAATCAGATGGTCTCATTTTAATTTAATGTTGGAGAATTTACCAAAACAATTTAATAGACCTAAACTCTTCAGAAAGTTGGCGTGGCAGATCGGGCATGACAAGTTTGAAAAAAATCTGGCCGCCGTAACACAAGAAATTTAATTATGTGGAGTTATATAAAGTCCAAAACTGTTTAATCGCCTCATTTTGCTTACTTATATATTTGCACCCTCCTACCTGTGAGAACATCGCTCAAGCCAAGTTTCGTTCCATTTTCTCGCCCAGTCTTTCAAAAAATAATTCCACAAAAATAATTTTCGGGATTAGGCCGGAGCTTTTGTCGCTCCCGTCCTAATACTTTTTGTCTACTTTTACAGTCCCCTTCAAACAGAACAGAGTTGTTATCCAATCTCGCGGAAATTAGACCGAGAAGGAAGCGCGATTAAACCTTATAAGGGCAGTTTATTTATTATAAGGATTAGACGCCGAAGGCAATGGGGACACAAGTTTGGAACGAACGGCGCGGGGACGGGAAAGGAGACGATTAGGGATAATTCTATTGTAAACAGAGGGAAGAAAGATCGCAGGAAAGCCGGTAAGGACATGTTGGACATGGCCTGTAAGGAGTTTGTTGGAGCTTGAATATTCAGATGCTATTTTGATTTTTCAAGGGAACTTCTCAAAGTTTAAACTTCAGATTCTTTTGAAATTTGGTACACTTCATCCATAAAAACGCGGAATTTTTGACTAATTTTTGTGCTAATTTTTTGCCAATGATTTTTTTTCTTGTAAATCCACTCCGATTTCCCTCAACTTTCACCTAGATTCCTATTAATTACGGACCTTTTTACGCGGGTTATAAACTTTCCTTTACGACCACACTTGTCCGGAAAATATTGGCAAATAAACTCGGGAACAACTGGCGATCATAAAGACACCATTCGGCATTTTATTTGCATATCTCCTATTGTATAAATACCGTGGATGTATCAAATCCAATGTTTTTAATCCGATTTGAAATTATTTTTATAGAAAACAGTCTTCCGTTTATATCTGGTGCACATCTGCAACGAAGAACAGAGACGGGAAATATAAAAATAACCGTATTATCATCGCCTGGCGACTAAAACCCCTCAGGGCAAACGATTTTGGAGAATTTGAGGACGGGAAATTTGCAATAATTGGCTGGAAAAGGCGAAGATGGCGTTTACAAGGCTTGGAATCTTGATTTTAATGGTTGAACTTGGTCAATTTGGTAAGTCATAAGTTTAAATTTGTCTGAATTTCGCAAAAATTTTTGTTTTCTCTAATTTCCCACCAACTTTTGCAACTTTTTCATTATCAAAATTCCATTCCTTTTCGATTCTTTTATATTATTCTTGGTATTCAGCGCTTTATGATTCCATTTTCGTAACATTTCCTTTATTTTCCGCTTAAATTTTCCAGTTTGATGACTTCGAATACCCCAAACAAAAATCTTTTTTTCTTGTAATTTCCGTTTCGGAATATTGCAAGCCCTGAGGGCACAAAAAGAACTGCTAAATTCCTATTGTTTTAGGTCGTATTTAACTCTTTTTTTGCTTCCAAAAATAAATTGTCGGCGACTTTTGGTCCCGAAAATTTCCGAATTCAAATTTCGCCACTTGAATTTGCATTTTTGGCGGGCAATTTTTTGATTGAGAAAAGATAATTTTGAAGAGCGCTCCGTATGTTTGAAGCGGGAATTGGGTTACGCAACGCGTAACGAGATGCAAATCGAGTAAAAGTTGAAGAAAAAAGGCGAAAATGGGATTCCAAAAATGAAAAATAGAACAAGAAAGTAAGACGAAAAGGAAATTTGACAGAAATCGAGAAAGATTCCTGTAATATCATTTAATCTCGACATCGATTACTGTAACATCTTGCAATTCAAGCGTGAAATGCCGCATTGTTTGCTGAAGTTACTCATTTCTGACGCAATTTGCAATATAATCCATAAAATTCCTTCAAAAAGCGATAACATTTTGATGACATTTCTAATATTTTCGGCAGTCAGCTGAAGAAATGGGCTTCTTTATCTCCGGAAATCGGCTCCAAATATTTTAAAAAGTCATCAAATCATAAAAGATATACATTCCCAAGAGAAATGGCTTCAAAATCCACCCATTTGTAAGGCAAAATTAATAAAAATACGGTAAAATACGGACTGAAAAAATAAAAATTAATTAATTTTTAGTGTTGGCCGGTCGTACCCTCACAAAAGAGGAATGTCTCAAATTTGAACGATCAAATTTTATACAGAGAGCTCCAAAAGTAAGGCTTTTACAATTAAAATATATAAGATACGGTACACCGATGAGAAATTAATCTTATTTTTCAGGTGGTCCGAGTCTACGAAAGCGATCCGGCTTATCTACATTGCACAGTACCTCATTCAAACAATAATTTGGTAAGCAATTTGTACCAGTCTTCGGAAAGGGAAAGAAAATTACAAATTCAAAAAAACACTTAAAAAGTAGTCAAGTGTTTTTAAAGTAATTAGTCATTACAAGAGCACTTTCACATAAGAAAGGTCCGTTTTGGCTGAAAAAACAGCTTGGAATACATAATTTATAATTTTTCTGAAAGCTTTGAAGTTGCCTAAAAATGCAAAATTTTAATATGCTTCCAAACTTTTTATACATAGTACGTATTATAGGTGGCCTGGACTCGTCTCACAGACGATGCCCTGCTCACCGCCGGAGGGCAAAGTTTCACTTCGGACAGTCGTTTCCAAATCTCGCCGAAAAGGGAAGCCAGGGATTGGGTCCTGAACATTCGACGGGTCATGTTGTCGGACAGCGGATGCTACATGTGTGAGATTAACACTGAGCCCCAATCCACTCAGTACACGGTGTATTTGGAGGTATTCAAGAAGAAAGAGACGCCTACGAACAAACCAGAGACCTCGGTGACAGTGAATAGTAAGTTAGATTAAGGTCCTTTCATTGGAGATATTCAGAGCCAAAGACAACACTGACCGCGAGGATGGAGGGGAGCACGATCATTTTAAATTGTACAGTAGAGGCGGACAGACATTCAACTATCGATGTGTTATGGACAAAAGATCGGAAACCAGTGGATTTATTTGATGAGAAAAGTAAGACAGGCCATGAACTCGATCTAAATATATCATTTGCCTATTCCAGAATACGTAACATCATACAAAACTGTGAGCAGAAATCTGATGGTCTATGTTCTAAAGGTGAACGAGGCTTCCCATCAGGATGACGGTCAATATGCCTGCGAAGGAGAAGAATTCCCTCAGCAATCGCAGACCGTTCATATTAATGCAGGTATGGAAACATTACAAATTCATATTCTGTTTTAGCCCTGGTTTCATCACCCAATAGCTCAAGCTTCCCAACGCTCAATTATTTTATTCTCCTTCTTTGCGTAATAACACATCCAATCTTATGTTTGTAAATGAACTTGTACATTTTTGAAATGTTACTGTGGCAATAAAGATATCAAAAAGTATTAGGAGTACCCTGACCGCGGAAGCAAAATTGCGAACGCCTTCTCCTCTAAATATTACCTAAATCCATGTAAATTTCACCCAATAAGACGCAAATATATACTGAAATTTCTACCATTGCATAAACCATATGTTTATTTCAATCCTCATCTAATTGTCTTTCTTGAGATGCCCATGAGCAGGTAATGTAGACAATCGGACGGCTTTGGCGGTAGGTCTGAGGATAGTAAAAGAACAAGTCAGATTGTCGTCCACATTCATCATAGCCGCCGCATTATCAAATTGACCACAGTAATGGGGCGCCGAAAAAATGGTAACCAATTTTCTGTTTGCGAAAAATTCGTATCCGTCCTAAAACCATGAAAAACATAATAATAGACCCACCTGAACAACTTGATGTGCTCTCGCGATCAAATCAATTTCCAACTGCTGGAGGGAGGAATTTACAATGTCGGTGCCAAAAACATACGAAACTCCGCGGGTGTTCGGTTGCCAACCTTTGGTCCAAGCGTCCGGATCCGACCATAGAAGATCGATATAAAGAGATGGATTCGGCGGATCCACAGGGCGAGTCAGTGTTCGAAGCTGATCAAGGTTTTTCAGCTGAGGAGAAAGCCCACCGTGCATGCACAGAATCTTGCCTAAAACCAAAATAGATTGGGCATACCTAAAAAACAAAAACTTTATAAAAAACACACCGCCGACGAGTCCGGCAAATGGCATGGCGTTGAAAGCATCCTGAAAAGTTTGCCACAGTCTCACACTTTGATACCGACGATTGCATTCTTCAAAGAAACCGTAGACTCGATTTATCGCCGAACATTCATGATTTCCACGCAATAAAAAGAAATTCTCGGGGTATTTGAGCTGAAATGGAAAGATTTTAGCGGAATAAGGTGCCCAAATTAAAGCCGATGGAAAATCTGAACCAAAAAAAGAAAACAGGAGATTAATGAACAGATACAGCAGTAAGCCGACTTGAGACCTCGAAAGAAAGCTTCCGTCAGATGAAAAAAAATTTCCAGTAAATCGTGACACTTCGTCGTGAGAACAAAATGTCAAACCTTCTGGCTTACCTTATAACAAAAGAAAAGACTAATCGTCTCCAGATTCTGTCTTCCTCTGTCGACGTAATCCCCAAGGAACAGATAATTGGCGGCCGGAGGGAAACCGGCTCGATCAAAAAGTCTCATAACGTCGGAGAACCTAAATTAATGTCATAAAATGACTATTTCTAGCATTGTAAACGCCTGAATTTAAACAACTTGCTGTCCATGGGTGTCTCCACAGATCTTTATTGGCGGGTCGACTTCTACCATGGAGCTTTGTTGCAAGAACACTTCTCGAACTGACATGCATAACTGAAGGAGCTCCGTCTCCCGGACCACTTTGGTCAACGAACAGCCCGGTGATCCAACGTTTAGAATCTTGCAGATCAACTCATCCAGATCCAATTTGGCTAGTGGAACATTTTGGGTGAGAAGTGGCGCCGGGGTAATCACTGGAGTTGCTCCCGCCATGACGATCTGAACAGCAAAACATGATGCTCAAGGCTACAATTACTGAGTACCGTATGTTTTCAGTTTCTCGTTGATTCAATGAGATCGCTGTGCCAAGAGATTCAGGCTGATAACTGGACGGACTTTTTGCTTGACCCGGCGAAAGGAACAACCGAACCGAGTTTATTCGTTCAATGATCGAGAATGAATCTGAATTCCGGGGTCAACAAGAGAACATGGAAAACGACGAGTGGTCTCACAACACAATTGTCAGAAAAACGGTTTTGCCCATAAATTTTGACTGATCGTGAAAAATTTTTATAACAGACTAGGGAGGTACATCCATTCATCGATGACCCTTAGGGGCTTTGGATGATCCACCGGAGGCTTGGCCGCGACTCGGCGAATGTTCGGCGGCGACTTGACGAAGGCATAGACCATGGCTACTTTTTCGTAGACTCGAGTTGACGTAGCTACGTAGAGTCTACAGTTGCAAGAGTCTCAACTCGACACTAACTTCCCAAACGAAAAATTTGGATGCCAATAAGCTTTGGCATTCTGCCCAAGGCAAAGACACTTTGATGGTCTAAATTCTCTACATTCGGCCAGAGAAGAAGCTGCGCCCTGAGGACGAAATATTGTTCCTCCGAAGAGCACTTTCGTCTTTCTCTTCTGCTTCCCTCTTCCATAGAGCTTATCTATCCGAACAAAGGACGCATGTCGCCGAATTTATTGCCGTTCGAAAAGAATCCCGTGCTCTTGGCCAGACATTCGCCGTTTTTATTTTCCTTTTTATAAATTGGAGTTACGAAGATGCAAGTGAACATGGTTATGCAATATCAACGCCCAACCCTGACACCTCGGAGCATGGGCCGTTTTATTATAACAATCTTGGTTTTGACGATTATTATGTTCTACACTCTTCTAATTGTAAGTTGTGGTATTTCATCGAATCTTTTTAGTATCTAAATTGAAAGTGGAAAAAATTGTGTTCAAGTGCAATATCGATGGAATAATGAATGCTTCAAAGTTCCATGAGTTCGGCAATACTTCGTCAAAAATTCCGCGCTGCAGGGGTCCCCGACATAGACAAGAAAAGAAAGTTGAATAAAATTTTCAAATTATTTTGATTAAATTTATAAAGTAAGTTACGAAAAAATTATTCATTGATGTTTTCTAGCGATTTCAATGTTCAACGTAGACTCGAGATGCTGGGCGATGAGTTCAGCATATTCCATTGGATGTCTTCCAAAATGATTCACATGTTCTGAGTCGTTCCAGCATTTCCATTTCACAGTTTTCCCCTTCTCCAGCTGATCATCCTTGAATGCTGCGATTTCCCGATGATAACAAACAAAGTCCGCTTTGGAATACAGATAAAGTTGATGTTGAGGCAGGTCAGGAAAGGAAAGGAGATGATTGTAAGGCACCATGTGTTTCATATTCTCCTTGTTGATGGCAGTTTGGACTTTGAATTTTGGATATGCTGATGCAATGAACGGGAGACGACGTATTACGGCGTAAGTGAGGGTCAGCGGGTTGCGTTTGGATCTGGGGATTTCGTTCAGATGGGCTCGGAAGAACTGGCCGAGTCGTCCGGAATTGGCTGGCCCACTGAATTATTATTATTAGGTAAATGATGACAAAAGAAGAAATTATCACGGTTGGTTTAGGCCCCACCTGTCTGCAATCCATCCCTTGACCCGCTTTTTGATGATGTTGCCATCCTGTTCACGACTCAGATTATCCCAGATGTTGGCAAATTGTCCACTTCCATTAACGCTGAACGTGTGCACGATCAGAGGACGATCTTCATGGACGATTGGCCGGAACTCGCGGTGATAAAAGCGATCGGCTTCAGAGAGTTGAATCCAAAAGTTACTGTCAAAGGCCGGAGGTATTTTCGCGATGGATTCGAAGCTAAGATACGGAAAAATGAAATTGTGAGGCCATTAGGGAGGACTCACCCCAATTTGTTGTAGAGCTGAACGTATTTCCCGAGTTGTTTGATGTGACATCCTCCCCAACCGAGTATCAGAACCAACGGATCCTTTCCCATGACCTACCGAACAAAGTTTGAAAAAGGAATAATCAAAATATGGGATAAGCAAAGTCATTTTTTGGAAGCAAAAACAGGATCGTCCAGTCTGGAGCCTTGGGATGAAGTCGTCCTGGATTTTTTACATCTTGTTTCATGTGGTAGTGTCTTGGAAAGTTCGTCTGAAACCAATCAAATGTTATTCCGATCTGGTTGTCGGTGAGGTAAGTTTATACTTTTTAGCATAATTTTTGCAGCCTATGGAAATCTTTGAACAGCGAGTAGTTGGAAGTAGGTACGAATTCATTCCCATTGATGGAACACTCAAGAAGATTGCTAATACGGGAGAATATCAAGTAGAAGTCCCTGGGAATATCCCTATTCTTCTTGAATTCAGATTGTAAGTTCATCTTTTGGTATTGATTGCTGACTTTAGTTACTCAACTTGTCCTCTACGATCTTCTGAAGATCGGCCATGCCGAGTTCGTTATAAAAGTATTGGGAGACCACGGCATGGAGCAGATGTAACAGAACTGGGGTCATCAAACGTTGTGCAGATTGATACCTTCGAAATTAAAAATGAACCATGCCCGGATCTCACTGAACAATTTAGCACAACTCTAATCCCGACTACTATTATTAGTAAGTTATGTTATTTTTTATTAAGCGTAATTTTTTAGGGACAACAACTACAAAAACAACAGCTGTTAATGAACGCAATGTCACACAACCCGAATATGTCGAAGATGCAAGCCGCTTCGATCTTCGTCCAGAAATATTCGAAATCGTGGATCATGGGCAATACGACCACTTTGATGACGGAAATACAGTATACCCAAATGTTTTTTGTATATTGTTGGTTGTTTTGATGATTAAACAGTAAATTATGCAGAAGTTTAAGATTTATTGGTCCACGGGAAAGGCCCCGTCTTTCAGTACTTGTATTTTTTTATTAATTCATCGAGTTTTTTGTGGTACACCATGCCAATGTAATTATAAAAAATATTTATTGGGTATTCTGAATAATTATTATGTAAAACGATAACAAAAGTGAGGAGACACAGAAATTCATGTGCAAATTTAAAAATAAATTTGTGTTTTACTTTAGGAGATGTCTCAGAATTGAACTAGACCATTACGGGACTTAAAAATAATAAATAAACAACTAATTATCTACAAAAAGAACAAAGCAGCTCGAAAAAATCCAAGACGTCCTTTTTGCCTGCTTCACAGGTGGGAAAATACGATTCAACAGGGTTTTTACATACAGAAACAACAAGATTATAGGGGTTGGATGCGGGGATAACAAATATTTGAGGGTTATCATTGGTTTTGACAAGTTTTTGGGGGGATTATTTTCATAAATACAACAATCAACAGAGATGCCAGTGGATGTACACGCGTGGGTTTAGAAGATATTCGGGGATTTGTACAGGGATTCGACCCATAATCGAACGATGTTACTACAAGGGATGGGAGATGCGTCCCGGTGTTGGTTTAGATGCATTTTCGATAGAAAACGAGATTGAATTCATCGAAGGAGCGACCTTGTTGCTCTTCGCTCATTTTGCATGACATTGAAGAGTGACCAACTCGGAAACGGTACGCACTTTGCATGAAATCACCGGCTGTGATTTGGAAAGTCATCGAATCGATCTGAAATTTGAGTTATATTAGCTTAAAGATCAGAATTTGGTCATTGACTGGTCCAAAGTTTACCTTGATCATGTCTGGCTGAGCTGTCGTTTCCTCTTCATTCGTCTCGAATTCGCAAGATTTGTGCTTGAATCCTTTGAGAGCTCCACAATTATCCACAAACATTCCCTTTGGCACGCTGAAATAATGTGTTGTAAAATGAAATTGAAATATAAAACACAATTAAAATTGATGTTACAACTGAAAATTCAACTTACTTCAAGCTGACATGAAGAGAAATGGTCGGCATGTAGGCGGACACCGGGATGTACAAGTTGTACCGCCCTTTCCTGGGGACACAACTGCCCTCCACACAATACCTCTCATCCAAAGTCACGTTCAGGTCAGTCAACTTGATCTGAACTCCATTTCCAAATGGCTTCGGCTTTCCAGAATCGTTGGAGATGACCACGGGTGCTCTTTCTTTCACTTTTCCATCCGGATTAGCCAAGGAAACAAAGCTGTCGATCGCCGAATCTTCCAGTTCACTCATGTTGTAGACGGATGGAGATGCGCAACAATAAATGGGGCAATGCATTCCACCGGCTGCACACGTCGCTAGCAATGGATGTATGAGAGTTTGGTCCGGAGGAGACCATTCCTTGTTCGTCAGATCAATTATGTTATCCATGAGCATTGGCGGGGTTGTTGGGGGATTCCTGGGGAAGGAGTGAGGTGTGTAAACGTATGTTCGGTTGTACCAGTCCAACACATAGAGTGTGCACATGGTAACAAGGCTGAAATAAAAAAACGTTATCAAGAAGGTTTTGATATTAGAAGAAGAAATAATCAGAGTTTACTTACCATAATGACATAATAAAGACGAGTGCAATCATCGTACATTGTGTCATCTTGGATCCGCATAATGGAGCGTCTCGGTTATTTCCTTTTCTGTATTTTCGATATTTATATCCAATCTGGCTGGCAGATCCAATCTGACTTGCCGAAGCGTCGAATGATGGAGTTGATGACGCGACGGAAATCTGGGATTGAGAGAGGAATTTGGAGTCTTCGGAGAGTTTCTTGTCTTCATGCTCCTTTCCGACCAATTGGGTCAATCCAGAGAGGCCTGAAGCCATTGAAGCGCCAAGATGACGACGTCGTCTTGCATCCTTGGCCAAGAGTTCAGCGATCTGTTGAACCTTGTCCACACGACCATCGAGATGGCCATAAAGACGACTTAGTTCTTGCGCTGCCGCAAATCCTTCGTAGAAGATTCTGGTCTCATCCACAGTGTAAAGTTCTCCGTTTTCCTTCACGGCGTCGGGTAAGACCTCAGCCAATTCTTGAGCGATGACACCCACTCGATGACGATCAGCTTCCGAAAGTCCCCATTGTTCGGCCAATTCCGGTTTGTAGGCGTATTCCACGATTCTCATCTTGTTGATTCTTTCCATCGCTTCTCTGGTATCGACCGGCACAATGTCTTCTTTCACACGTCTGTCAGAAGGCCTAGTCGTGCTTCCTGTGGCCACAATGTTTCCCATTACGGAGAGTTGGGCATTATCCATTGGCCGATCGGTTCCAATAGCGACTTGGCCGTTGAAATGGAGAACATTGCCTGTCTTTTGCCATCCCAGGTCGTTCTCCTGATTCTCAAATTGACCAGGATTCGAGGCTCGGACAATAACGCGATCAGAAGCATAACCTTGCATCATCACGCATCCATTATCAACTTCAGCCATAAATTTGACCACCAGCAAAAAGTATTTTTGATCTGGATTTGGCTTTCCACTCTTCCTGTGATTGTTGAGGGTAGTCTCGGAGAAATGGAGCCTTGGCACGGTCTTCTTGGCCAATTTGTGGGGCTCGATAATAATCTCTTCTCCATCGTGCTTGATCGGTTTTCTGTCGGTCTGAGATTGGCGGATTGGGATCTCGCTCGAGGTCATCTCGGACTTGACTCCACAGAAGACCATCTTGAAGCGACGAATCGGCTTCATTTGTTTTTCATGGCAAATATAGGCCGGGCGCTCCTTCACATCCAGATGGCAAGTAATCTGGAAATGGTTCTTCTTCTGATTGACGAAACAATTGTCTGGTTGAACAAAGTTGAAGCCCTTGTCAGCGATGACGTTGACGATTGGATGCGCCATGGGTTGGCGTCTCTCATCGTAAATCGGCGACCAATTGTTGGGATCAAAAGGTTGGAATCTGATGGTCCGATGATGTGGGCCATCATCAAACTCCTCCACGGACCCTGAATGGGGAGACGACGAGCTCGAGTTCAACATGTGTCCCATGGGCATTGGGGTCTGAGCTGGATGCATGATCTGCTCGTTCTTGATCTGGGCCAATCCATCGAATCTTCTTCGCTTCTGGCCAGCACGAGCATTCGTATCCATAATCTCATTGTACTCAGCCGCGTCGTTGTCGTTGAGATACATGTCCATCGTATACCCGAGGTGTTGCTGCTGAGGGAGGAAGTTTTGGTTTCGTTGATTAAGTTGTTGAGGTGAAAGCTGAGCGGGAGGAGTGTGTGAGGGATAACTCATGTAATCAGAGTTGGGAGACACCTGGGTCTGATGCAAAGGCTGACGAATCATATTAGGATCTTGAATATGCATCTGTCCCATTCGATTGTTTAACATGTTGTTGTTGGGCCTCTGTTGTTGGTATTGATATTGGGCATATTGGTCTGGAGAATAGGGGGCATCAGAACTGGGAGATCCACTCGAAGCGCCAGCTGAGATATCGGTTATAGGAGGAGAGTCGGGCAGTCTGGACTGAGCGGATTGCGGATATCCGACTGACAACATGGCATTATCCAGACAGACCGGCTGCTGGACTTGTCGCATCTGTTGTTGCTGTTGTTGTTGCAAGATGAACTGTTGCTGCTGCTGTTGAGTAGGTTGTTGATGGAATTGATGTCCATATAAGGGAGCGGGACTGTCAGCTGGAGTGTCGCCGTTGCTGTTGATGAACTGCAACAAGTTGAAGTTGTCGCAGTCACTCAAAGGATCGCTGAAGCCGGTCTCGTCCTTGAATTGATGGGGTCTTTGGCTAGCCATCAATGGGAGTTGGGTGTAATCTGGAGAAAAGAGAGCGTTGGGTTGTCGTTAAACGACGTTGCCAAGTCCTGACAAAATTCTTAATTCTTTTTCCTTTTTTCTGAAAACAGATAATCGTTATTTTGATCTTAAAGAAGCCGCGATAAGTAATAATCTCATTTCTGGACACGAACGACGCGAATTCAAAGGTCAATTAATAGGAAATTAAACCATTTGGGCTCCTTATATCGCATGTTTCCGATGTAAAACTGGAGGTGATCAGCCCGGAATTGTTCAGAACTTTCTTCGTATTTATAAAGTACCAAATTTTGGATTAGAATTATTTATTTTTAGGAAGAAAATTCTGAACAATTATTATGGGGACTAAAGTCGGGGGAAGTTACAGTAACTGGGGAGATGTAATTTGTTGATTAGACCAAAATGAGTAATCCTTTGAAAAAAAAATAAAAACAAACTCGTTACATAAGCCATACTTTGAAAACTCGATCAATAAAATAAACAACCACGTAAAAAATTAATGTTTTCTCAAACTCCCTTGAATACTGTTAAAAAATTTAAATATACAACAATACTACAGTAAAATAAATAAAAAATGAACAATCATATATATAAGACAAAGAAGAGATACCAGCAAGAGTAGACGCGTTTGGGGTGGCGTGTTAATAGCGAGAAGACCCATGGTAAAAGAAACTACATTCATATACATCTCCGATAAAACACTAGATTGAATTCATCGAAGGAACGGCCCTGTTGATCTTCACTCATCCGACAGGACATTGAGGAGTGGCCCACGCGGAAACGGTAGGCACTTTGCATGAACTCACCGGCCGAGATCAGGAAACTGGTCGGATCCATCTGAAAAAATTATGATATTATTTACAACTATAAAACCTTGGTCTTAAAAAGGCAAAAGATCTCACCTTAGACATGACCGGCTGGATAGAAGAGTCCTCGTCGTTATTCTCGAACTCACAAGACTTGTGTTGGAATTCTTTTAGCGCTCCACAATTATCCACAAACATTCCTTTCGGTATCCTAAAAAATAAATTCATTATAAGGTGTAAACGATAAATAATCTTTAAAACAGCCCGTAAACTCACGTTAAAGAGACATGAAGATTCATTGTGGGCATGTAGGAGCTAACCGGGATGTACAAGTTGTATCTTCCTTTCCTGGGGACACAACTTCCTTCCACGCAATATCTATCATCCAAGACCACATTCAAATCAGTCAACTTGATCTCAACCCCATTTCCAAATGGTTTTGGTGTTCCCCAACTGTTCGACTTGTAGCTTATCCTTTCCTGGACCTTCTTTTTCGGATTGGCTAAACCCACGAAGCTATCAATCGATCGTTCTTCTCGTTCCGTGACATTGTAGACTGAAGATGATGCACAACAATATTTCGGGCAGTACATTCCACTTGCGGCACATGTTCCAAGCAATGAATTGATGAGAGTTTGGTCCGGAGGGGACCATTCCTTATTCGTGAGATCAATTATGTTATCCATGAGGACTGGAGGTGAGGTTGGTGGGTTTCTGGGGAACGAGTGAGGTGTGTAGACGTATGTTCGGTTATACCAATCGAGAACATATAATGTGCACATGGTAACGAGGCTAAAAATGATTTGATCAGTAAAAGATACAACCTTTAAGGGTTTTGAAAAAAGAAAGAAAGGACGATGACTTACCATAACGACATAATTGAGACTAGCGCAATCATCGTGCATTGGGTCATCTTGGATCCGCAAATCGAAGGATCTCGGGCGCTCCCCTTTCGGTACTTCTTGTATTTATATCCAGCTTGACTGGCAGACCCGATTTGGCTGACACCATCGAAGGATGGACATGAAGAAGTGATCGAATACTGTGATTGACTCAACATCTTGGAATCGTTCAACTTCTTTCCAGAATCTTTCCCGACCAATTGGGTCAATCCAGAAAGGCCTGAAGCCATTGAAGCGCCAAGATGACGACGCCGTCTGGCATCCTTGGCCAAGAGTTCAGCAATCTGTTGAACCTTGTCCACACGACCATCGAGATGGCCATAAAGACGACTCAGTTCTTGCGCTGCCGCAAATCCTTCATAGAAGATTCTGGTCTCATCCACAGTGTAAAGTTCTCCGTTTTCCTTCACGGCATCGGGTAAGACCTCAGCCAATTCTTGAGCGATGACACCCACTCGATGACGATCAGCTTCCGAGAGTCCCCATTGTTCGGCCAGTTCAGGTTTATAAGAATACTCCACAATCCTCATCCGATTGATCCTTTCCATGGCTTCTCGAGTGTCCACTGGGACAATATCTTCTTTGACGCGCCGATCAGACGGCCTTGTCGTGCTTCCGGTGGCTACAAGATTACCCATAACAGAAAGTTGAGCTTCCGCGAATGGGGAGTCGGTTCCCACGGCGACTTGGCCATTGTAATGCAAGAGACTTCCATTCTGTTTCCAGCCGGCATCAATCTCAGGTTCTGCGAATTGTGCCGGATTCGAGGCTCTGACAATAACACGATCAGAACAGTAGGCCTGCATCTGAATGCTTCCATTGTCGACTTCTGCGATGAATTTGACCATTAACATAAAGTACTTCTGGTCCGGATTCAGCTGTTTCTTGTTGCTTTTCCGATTGTTGTTGTCTGTGCACTTTGAGAAATGTAATCGGCAGACAGTCTTCTTGGTTACTGTATTATTATTCAGTTCAATCTCGTCTCCATCGTATTTGATGGGCTTTCGGTCGGCTTGAGATTGGCGGATTTCAATCTCATATGACGTCATCTCGGCCTTGGTTCCGTAGAATAGCAGTCTGTAGCGTCGGATCGGCTTCATCTGCTTGTCATGGAAGACATAAACCGGCCGATCCTTGACATCCACATGACAGGTGATCTGGAAGTGGTTCTTCTTTTGGTTGATAAAGCAGCATTCCTTCGGACTGTAGGCAAATCCTTTATCCGCGATGACGTGGACTTGTGGATGCGGGATTTGTTGTCGACTCTCGTTGAATAATGGAGCCCAATTGGCAGTGTCGAACTGTTGGAATCGAATGGTCTTTTGTCGCGGGCCGTCATCGAAGTCTTCCACCGATCCGGAATGAGTTGAGGAAGAGCTGGAGCTGATCATCTGACTCATTGGCATCGGCGTCTGCGAGGGATTAATAAACTGTTCATGTTTAATTTGAGTGAGAACAGGGTCCACTCTCTTCCGTTTCTGACCGGCACGGGCGTTGGGATCCGTTTCGAAAATACCATTAAAATCTCCAATGTTATCATTCAAATACATGTCCATCGTAAAGCCGAGATGTTGTTGTTGTGGAAGGAAGTTCTGATTATGATTCAATTGCTGAGGTGAGAGTTGAGTAGGGGATGTGTGAGATGTGTAGCTCATGTAATCAGAGTTTGGGGACACCTGACTTCGCTGGAGTTGTTGTTGAACCAGATTCGGATCCTGAATCCTCATCTGTGGCATCCGATTATCCATCTGCGGATGTTGTGGTTGGAATTGGTATTGAGGATACTGCTGATCCGGGGAATAAGGAGCTTCCGAACTCGGTGATCCACTCGACGCTCCAGCTGAGATGTCGGTGATTGGCGGGGAGTCCGGGAGTTTAGTCTGCACCGAGTTCGGATATCCGTTGGCCATCATCGCATTGTCCAAACAGACCGGCTGTTGGACATGCCGCAGGGGTTGCTGATGCTGCATTTGAGGCTGCGGCTGATGGAATTGCTGGCCGTAGGCGTTCGCCGGATTCTCAGCAATCGGATCGCCGTTGCTGTTGATGAACTGCAACAGGTTGAAGTTCTCGCAGTTGCTCAACGGATCGCTGAAGCCGGTCTCGTCTCGGAATTGGGTCCTTCGATTATTCGCCATAAATCCTCTCTGACTTCCAGAAGTTGTGTCGTGAAACGACAGGGGCAATCAAGGGATCACGACACTTTCCTTGATTTGTTTCTGAAAGTGAAAGTAATGCGTAATGTCTGGAAAGGGCTCGGATCTCTCGCGTTCGGCGCCTATTCAAAAAAAATGCCGAAAATGCAAATGATCTGGCAAGAAATGGCGACAAGTGAAAGTGAAAAGGAAAGTGGAAAGAGCAAAGTTTAATCGAATTTGTTTCCAGTAACAAATCTACTATCAATTTGAAAATAACTGGAATAAAAAGCAGACAGTAAATTCCCCCAAAGCTGTAAAGCCTACAGAAAACTGCGTGCCTTCCAAGGTCGAAAGTGCGGAAGAAAGGACCAGAAACCTGGGCGCGACAGAAGGCTCCCGTCATCCCGATTTTTGCGCGTTTCACACCGACAACCAACTCGGCTGTTTTTCGCGAAAAAATCAGTCGCGGCGACCTTCAAGGAATCCGTTGAAGGTCGACGAATCCCCTGACTCAGCCAGGAATAAAAACGTTTCAAACTTTCGCCCAAGGCGCTCTTGCGCAACGCTCAGAACGCGTGGAAAATCTGAAGCGAGAGCGGGGCGGAGGAAGGGGCAAAAGTGCAGAACTAGTGCGCTCAACGCTAAGGTCGTTTGAGGAAAGACGCGACGCGAAAATCGATTGGCCAAACGGTAACGAAACCCGGGGAATACAGGGAATTTGAAGTACGAAGAATGTTTTGCAAAATAAAGTCAAGAAAATAAAACATTTTTCAGAAACCCCCCAATAAAAAGTGGAAAGCGTCGCGGCGTTCGTAGAAAAAAGAACGTGGAGGCCAGAAAGGTGAAAGAAGCGATCGGAAAACCTCGCGCACTCCCTCGGAAAGGCCCAGACAATAAACGCGGCGTTCGGCGACATAAGAATTTCGAAACAAACAGCAAAATTAGCATCGAAATATGAAAAAAATTTAAAAATGTCATCAAATTCGAAATGATGACAAAAAATTCCATAGAATGAGGGCAACAAATCGGTATCAGAATTAAAATTATATCAGCATGTTGTGCGCGAAATCCGCGCACAGAATCGTACTGTTTTTGTGCGGTCACACGCGATCTGCCGAGCGTCCGCCGGATCCCCCCGAGAGCGCGGGGGCAACCCAGAGAGAGAAAAAAGGGGCGGCTGCTGGGTCGAGGATGGCCCGGCCTGGTACGGACATAAAAAGTGATGGGGAAAGAGCGAGCGAGACCCCCCTGTGTTCTCTCTTTCTTCCGTCTTCCGCCTCTGTGGCCTTCGCTCTCGGGTCGAGAGCGCGCCGTCAGTTCAAGAGCGGTTCGAAGGCCGGGCGAGAAGGGCAGAGCGCGTGTAAGAGACTGGAAGAAACATGGAGATTGGAGTGAAAAGAGCTCGGAGAGGTCGCAAGACGAAGACAAAATACTGAGGGATGTGGAGAGAACGGAACGACAGGGAAGAAGGGAGAGTTGTTCTTTTTTATACTCTCTCCCCGCTACCCTAGGCAAGTTTTTCACGTTTCCAGCAGAAGAGAAAAACATGAAGCGAACTGTCTTCTTTTCTCGACCCGCTCTCTCACATCTAACACAATATTTTGATTCTCTGTTTATCAGAGGGTCTATTCGAACAACCATGGTTTCCAAACGTTTCTCACCTCGTGTCCCTCTCTTTTCCTTGGGTCTTTCTATCGGCCAATGGCCATTTCTATAAATGCCCAGAGGCGGTTTAGGAGTTCTCCCCCATATTGTTTTACGTTCCAAAGAGAGAAACTAACCAGAGGACAAAGATTGCGGGCGAAAACACGGATAGTGACACGGCATAGGACGAGAAATCCGGATGATACGCGGCAATACATGATTAAAATTGGGAATGTAAAATAACAGCTAAAAATACAACAAGAAGAAATCAACTTAACAGAGGATATACTACAGTATTTAAGTTATTTAGCTGTGGAAGTAGAGTGACTAAATACTGGCATTTCGGATGCATAAATTAAAAACGCGAGTGAGCCCAAAAAGAACTCCAAGAAACAACTGAACGGCCTATGGGGGGAGAAGGTCGAGAGGTAGTGCCATTCTCTCGGCCCGCTCTTTTATTTTATGCTAAATGGACACTGCCCAGCAAAGAACGAAGGAGCGCTCGTTTCGCGCCAATCGACGGGACAGCCATGTTTTTGTAAAAGGTCGAAGGGACTGTCATTTAGGGTCAATTCAAAACTGGGTCACTGTTTTGTGAACACTCACAATCCCCTGTTCAAACACAATGACCTTCACAATTCGTCAGAATAGTTACAGTACCTTCAAAAAAGGGCTTTCAAAAAAACGTTCAAAACTTTTGAGATTTCAAAAACGACCCACTCTGTAGGTCACTTTTTGTGAATTGTGCCGAGGCCCTTTTTTGGTGGCCAGATACCGTCTTTTTTGTAGCCCCTCGGAGAAACAATTTCGTTCCCTTTGCCGTTCGCATGACGATGATAAAAGGTTTTCCTCCGGCTGGCGCGTGTTGGTACAAAAAAGCAACCAAAAAACCGTTTTCTCGAAAGGCGTCTGGCAAAAAATGGTGGGTCAAAAAAAGTAATTTACAATGGGCTCAGAAGATATATAAATACGGTAAAATTAAGAGGGAAGTATTGAAGCAGGGTAGGTTGCGGTTCATCCAGATGGCAAAAGGAGGCAAAAAATGTTCCAAATTAGTGATAAGTGCATTCAATGGTGAATACAACGAAAATACACATATTAAATAACCAATTTCTCAAATTCAACCAGTAAAATACATAAAAAAAAACAAAAGGCGATAAAAATGTCTGCAAAAAATCTCCGGTAATCATACAGTACCCCAAAAGTAGATCAGCCCGCAAACCTTGACCATCGCCCGGATATCCCACTGAAAAGACCCAATATTATCCTTGACCCCACTCCCCACCAAAAACATTCACATTCACGTTCGAATTTCGACCTCACGTCCTTATTCTTCTTCTTTGTTTTGGCGCTAAAATCTGTCCCGCCCATTTATCTGAAGTCTCTTTAAATCCCTCACTGTCTAGACTGTCTCTCCATGTTTACTATACTCTCTCGCTCTTCTCTAGGTTCTCCGTTTTCCGGCGTTCTCTTGCAGAATTTCCTTTCGAAACAAACACAACAAGAGTCGCCGTTCCGCGGCGTTCCATGGCCGTGCCGAGTGAGCAGAGATCACACAGAATTGAGAGAATGTCATAGAGAAAAAGTGAAAGGGACAAAAGCCTTGAGGAGAGTGGCCGAACACTCTCTTTAGATACTATTCTAAAGTCCGAGCATGAGAGATGTCGGTAGAACAAATAAAAAGAGGAGAGCGGCCAGAGAAAGGTCGTAGAGAGTACCCTCTCTTTACGTCAGATGGCCGGTGACAGGCACCACAGTACACGGGACACTGGAGTCGCCGTTCCATTTCGAAAAACGTTCCCTTTGGACGTTTCTCTGCCCTCGTTCAAGCCTCTCGCTCTCTCCCAAATTGCGGCGAAGACTGCGTGTCTTGGGATTGCTTCGACAGAGACTCGAAGAAAAAAGGTCAGTGGCGACTCCAATTATTATGATAGAGTATACCGTGAAAAAATAAACAAAATGAATGAAGATGATTGTAAACTTGGCAATAATAGTCAAGTCGAGCAAAAAAACATGCGATTTTGGAAGTAAAAAAGAGCTTGTGATCGGGGAAAACAAAAGATCGCGGCCAAAAAACACGAGGGATTGGGTTACGGTAGTGAGCTTCTGAACTTTCGAAGAAAATAGACTCGAAATCAAAAGTTATTATCTTGGGCTACCATAACAACGTAGGCAATCGATTCTGCGATTCCGAAAGTCGCCGACACCTGTTCGACTATTCAAATACGCAGATCTTTGATTTACCGCCCTCCCGCGAATGGACAGTAACGCATCCAGATGCTCGGAGTTATGAAAAAATCTCATAAAACCGAAAAAAAAAACTTTTTGAACAAATAATTTGAGTCCAGGAAATCGGTGCTGCACGGTGCTTGGAAAAAAGGGAGAGGTGGGAGAATATGGCCAACAGAATTGTCCGTTCAAGCGACAAACCTGGGAACGAGAATGGTCATTGTAATGTCCATTACTTGTGACATTTATGACATCAAATTTAGGTTTCGAAATAAACAGCCATAAATTATAAATTACAAGGGTTTGATCGCAGGGCGAACGTCCTCGACCCAGATTAATAGGCTCTCGTTTTTTGGGCTTTCGATTTTTGTAATTAGGAAACGGAAAATGACATTGACCCCGAAACGGGAAAACAAGGTGATTAAAGGCAACTTTCTCGGCAAAATATATACAGATCAAAGGGAGATGTCGACATTAGACATCTTAAACTTCAATAAAATAATATTGGATATGGCCAAAAAGATCTGAACGAGGCAAAAGGCCAGTTCAAAATGAAGTTGTTTACCACACAACGGAGGGAAAGTAATGCAAAAACACTGTGGCTGAGGCCACAAGCACAAAGACTATTTTTAAGCGCGTTTTAATTTAAAATTCGTTGTCGTCGATGACAATGAAACTGGTAAACAATAACATCGGAACGGCGCGGAACGACGGATTAGAGGCATATTTACCACTTCAGAGTCAATAATTCGAGGTGTGGGATAACGTAAGGCTTCAACGAAGGTGCTTTTGACATTCCAGTGGATAAAATCGTATGCAAAATTTCCAAAAATATCCGCCAAAAATAGTTCGTGAAGAAGATGGCACGGAAACTTGATATTATCCATGGTAAATTTAAGTAATAAACAGTTAAGAAGCGCCGCACAGTGCAATCACTCGGGCAGATTCAACCCAAAACAGTTGGCTGGGTTGTTTCAGACCGGTTTCTTGACGAAAAAAGACGACGGCGAAGCCGGCGCGACAATGAATCGGGCATGTAATAAAAGGAAATTTAAGGTTTGATAACGCGTTATTCAAGAAACTTGACTGTGATCTCACATAAATTTATGCTCATAATCTGACATAACCTCTAACGTAATACTTTATTGTAAAATTTATAAAGATCACCCATGTTTTGTACTATCATTTGCACTTACTGTAAAAAAAACAAAAACATTATATAACACCATTATATATAAGTGATATGAAAGTGTGAGACTTCGGTTTCAACCGTCTTGAAGGGTTATTTGACTAACCATTTTAACAACAACCATCTTAGAGATGAGAAAACAACAATAACCTGTCCATTAGTGGTTAGTTCAATCTTTACTGCAGTCACCGTTTTGAATCGAACTCAGGGGTTTGACCCATTGATCCGCCCGTCCGTCCATAAAGTTTTCCGACATTTCTGGCTCAGTTTTGAGGAGAATGCATCGTGCCGGATTCTCTGCCGTAGTTGGGGCCCATTCAGTTAGTGGAGCGTCAGAATCTGACAGGTTAATGAGGGAGGGGTCTCCATTTGGATTACTGTAAAATAAAATGAAATAATTAACGATAAAAAAGTAAAAAAAAATAAACAAATATTAACCTACCCATAACGACAAAAGTTGGAAAAGTACTGAGTCGTCAACGAAATCATTTTCCGGTCCTCCGAACTCAGACTGAACTTGTTGACAACAAATGCCCTGAACAGATACACAAGTTCGTTGCAGTGAGTGGCCCCATCGAATGGTAAGATGTGTCTGGCAAGCCCGATCTGCGCTTTGTTGAAATGAGTGAAGCAATAAAGATAAACATCCTGATTCCCTCGATCGATTTGCTGCCGGACGTACTTTTGGGTCGGTGCTCCCATTACAACATCCGTGAAGAGCTAAAACGAAATTTAGACATTCAATTTACTACACTCGACCAAGAAATAAATTTCTGAACTTACTCTAGTGCAAACTTCTCGGATGCTCAGTTTGTCCTCCACATGCAATCGAATATACATATTGGTCAGTAATCTCCGCCGTTGAGCAAACCCAGGCTCACTTTCGGGGATTGTCTCGGCCAGGATTTCTTCCACCAGATCGACCGAAGACATTTTTCGGGCGATCAGCTCTAAAATTGCATAATAAAAAATCTTGCACAATCAAACACTAACTTACGGAATAGCAACCCTTCATGTTCACTGACCCCAACTAGAATAGGTTTAACTGGGGCTTCAGCCCTTAATTCGTCAAGAGATTTGGGGAAAAAAGGTGGAACTATTCTGGGGGAGATCTCCGTACTCGGCTTCAGACCGTATCCACTCGAAGACAACTTCATTTTAGTACCAAACTCCATGGCATCTATAATTCGGAGCGCTTCGTCCGTCTCCTAAAACGTAACGTTATGTCATACTTCAATTCTTAATTTTAATACCTAAATTATTACCTAAAAACATACCTCAGTCGTCAATGTTGGCTTGATTCCCATCCGACGCATCCTCTTTCGGCAGGTTTCCACATTTTTGTCATTCATCGCCCACATACAATGAGCATTTCCCGCCATTGGCATAATTTTATGAAACAGATCTGAAATGAAACGTAAGTAAAAACCAAAACGTTCGCAAAACAGTTATCACACATTCAACATACTCCAAGTAAGTGGACTAAGCGACAAGAACTCCACTAGTGCTCCTCCAGCACTCTGGCCAGCTAGAGTTATGTTATGTGGATCCCCTCCGAATTTGTGTATATGTTTCTGCACCCATTCCAGCGACATCTTAAGGTCAAAGAGGCCCAGGTTGTCAGGAATCCGACCATCTCCAGTGGTGAAAAACCCAAGATATCCTAATCGATATTGGACTGTGACAACAACAATGTTGTGAGGTGTTACCTAAAAAAATAAAAAATAATCTAAACTTTCCGCAAACACGATTTTGACGGTCAAAAAGCTACGCAACTTACCAAAACGTCGCAGATCCCCTGCATTCCGTATTTCTTTGTGCCATCACTAACAAAAGCTCCTCCATGAACGAAAACCATCACGGGATGCTGGGTGCTCGATGTTTCTGTGGGCGAGAAGGTGGGAGCGAACACGTTGAGGTACAGCGAGTCTTCTGAAGTCTTCTCCGGGTTTCTCCATTTCTTTTGAACAAAAGGATCCCTTTGGATTCCACGAGGAGGGAATTGAAAACACTCCAAAACATCGTCTCCAATGGGCTCTGGAGGTTGTGGATGCTGCAAAAAAGGGAATTAACGATGCTGTAAAAGATAAATATTACCAGTAAATAAACATAACTACAGATTCATCTAAACTAACCAGAATGCATGCATGCGCGCACAAATTGATCAAAATTGATCGCGAATTCTTGGCAAAAACAAAATTATGTTTCCCCGAGCCGCGCCCGATCATAAGAAAAAAATCTTTTTGCAAATTTTTCTGCACGAATTGACTGATTCGAGCGATCAATGTTACGATTTTATGTTGCCTGATGCGGCTTTACCTATATTTCCGAGGTTGTTTTGGCTTTAATCTGCTGGCGATTTTCCTAAACCTACCCGAAAACGCAAATCTCCGATTGGTGGTTTGGCGAATGGAATAGACATGAAGACCATGGCCTGACTGTTCGATGGCTCTCCACAATCAACGATCTTCCCTATGATTCGGCCATAATCATCGAGTTGAATCTCGGGTGAGTTCGGGAGCTTCTTGAAGGTGGGCTCAGTCATTGCGGAAGTCCGGCGGGGAACCCAGCTTGTGACCCTAAAACTAGTTCATAGCAATTCGTTGGCAATCTCTATCCACAAAAAAATAACGAACTTCCTAAAACCACCCATATTCGGCCCCGGGAAATCAAAAAATGAAAATTAAGAAATTCGAGTAATTTCTCCAGAATGCGTCAACCGCTTCCGATTCCAAAACCCTTCAGGGGAAACACTGATAAACTTTTGATAATAACATTAGTTTCTTATTCCTTCTTTTCCCCGAACTTGCACTACTTTTTAAGCGAAAGGTCACACAAATTCAAGCGATTTTAACATTTTAAAATTCATAAAACCTTTCATTGCATTGGGTGAAAGGGAAGTTCTGTTGAACTTAAAGGGAGAAGTTACGTTGTAAAGCCTTGATCGAAGTGTAAGGTTAATATTCATTGAAAACAGAACTTAGAGTTTGAAATTCTAGCAAAGATGACGAATGATTTTAATTCTCATTAGAGCTCCAAAAATTGTCCCCTTTTTCTGTTCTACTTCCGATAGTATTTTCGATAGCAAAACACAAAAAAAATCTCTGGAATTTCCATACAAATTCAGAGTCTCTGGGAAAATTCAGTTTGAATCATTTTTGGGCGAAAATAAAAATAATCTAAATATTTTTTTACAAAATCTGAGAAAACGAAGTTTGCTTGCGTATGATGGATTTTGGCAAGAAGTGCCCCCAGGGAATGTGAGTTTACATCTAATTCGAAGGGAAAATATTCGGAAAAGTTGTTATGAACGTCACGAACCACAGGAGAAGGGATTGTAAAGTGATGTAAAAGTGGTAAAACCATATGTCGGTAAACAAAAGTGAAGGGGAAACTTTCATTAACGGGATATTGTAACTTATTTAAATTATGGGTAAATTTTGTCAAACGAAATTTGGATAATTTTATTGGGAATAAATTACATAAGCTTGGGAGAAGGTTTTATCAAGTTTTATTGTTAAAAAAACTCGTTTACAGTCTCTCTAGTTTGCAAAAATAACGGCCAAGGGTTAGAAAACGTTGTAAATTTAGAACCTAAGTGAGTTCATTAGGTAGAAAAATATTTATAGAAGAATAAATTGCAATTCTCCGTCTAAATATAACTTAAAGTTCACATATCACAAGTCCACTTTCCCAAATTAGTGGTCTCCACTCCACCACCATGAAATTCTAAAAAAATAGCCTTGTGCAGGGGGGAGCGCAAGAGTTTCCTCTCCGAATAGTCGGAACCCCCGCAGAAAGGACACCCAAAAAACGCCTATTCAACCCTTGGAAGCGGGGCTGGCTTAATAAGCAGACTGTTATAATTAAAGCGTGGGCGCGACCCTTACATCAGCACCTTGTGTAATTCCCCAAATATGCAAAAACTTACTCATCGGAAAGAGGGGGAAAATAAAAAAATTTTGAGGGGAGAAATCGCGCCTTTTGGTTCTTTCGCGGGGCTGTCGCTCTATGACGCCTTTTTGCTCTCTTTTTACTCCCCGAACCTCAACTGTTTCTCCCCCAGCAGCACCCCCAAAACCTCTCAATAATTTTCTTTCTAGCTTTTCTCATTGAACGTTTCAAAGTCTAAAGAACGGCCTGAGGGCAAGGCTCGAAATGTCGGACTTTTTGGTTTCTACAGTTTTTAGAATAAAGGCTTTATCTCTTTATAAACTTCAGAGGTGTTGGTAAAAATATTTTTAAAAAATCAGAAAGAAAAGGAAAGAGTCACGTCGAAGATCTAGTGTGCGTCACCGGAAAGGCGCAGACTTTTGTTGAGAACATAACTGGAATGGCGTCAGCGGTGGTGTCATACTGGTAATTAGTCATTTACTTGTAATCATCGCTGTTTTCTCGGGGAAATGCCATCATTCAAGTTTTTATTCGTGATAGATAACAAGCACACAGAAACCGTGATTTCACAGACTTTATACGTCGCCGTAGACGTCCAAATTCTAATGGCATTCGGTAATTTATTTGAAATGATCAGTTTTCAAAATTTTGAATGATCTCCTAATTAGGGGCTCACTTCGTTTACCGCATATTGTCTTGGATTTAATCCAAATTTTTTGGACAACACATTTATTAGTTAAAAATTTAAATGTAAAACAAAATGTAACGACCGTTACAAAGACGGTTCTTAGTGACGCCTGACACTTTTGTGTTTCACAACACTATAAGTCTCGCTGTGTTCATGCGACCAGCTAACCTGGCCTCCGGCAAAGTTGGCGAAAGCATCGTTCAGGTAGCCTAAATCTTCTTCCTTGACTCCGTGCTTCTTCAAAGTTTCTATGAGTAGTTTGTGGCCTTCACGAATGCTCTGAAAAGTGTTGTGTCGGCTTTGCATATATCTGATTTGGGCTTAAGAGAAATTAAAAACTCACGTCCTTGCTGGAAGTCTTGCTTGTGATGGTCCTATAGAAACTTCTGATCTCCTCGACGGCGTTGTAATTGACCTTTTTGCCAACTTCAAATGTGTAAACAAGCACCCTACGCACCACTGACGGATCAAGTTTGCTTTCTTTAAGGATTTCTTGCTCTTCCATAAAACTGGACGACTACAAACAGATTTCAAATTTTAGGAAAAAGCAAATCTTACTTTATGAATAGTCCTGAGCAGGAAGATGTCTTCGTAAAGGACAGTAAGCTCATGTTGATTTGCTCCATGTTTCCTGAGCAGATCGCGAACTAGTTTGATTTTCTTGATGACTCGAAGCAAAGAATCTCCTCTCAGATCGTTGCCGTCGACCGAGCAGATAGCGCGGTGGACGGAATGGACAGCCCGGCGGACGTCAACTCGGTGACGTTTGCCAAGGCGAAGAGCCTAAATTTAATTTATTGGCTATAACAGAAAGACTGCAACACCTCATCATCCAAGAAATCAACTCTCTTTTGCACATCGGCACGGCTAAAATCATATCCACCATCTCGGGTGATCGCCAATAACTTGTCGTAGACATCATCCTTGGTGCAGAGTTCACAATCAGCGATTTCGAACTCGGCTGCGACACTGGCAGCAATGGCTAGACAGAGTAGTAATCGCATCTTGGCCAGGTCACCGCTTTTGATGGTGAAGTCGGGCGCCTGACCGTTTAAATAGCCCAAGTAAGCATTCACGAAGCAATAAAACATATATTAATATCTGCTTGAAATTAAATTTTATTGTCTTTTACAGTGATGTGAAAGCCCAACTTGCAAGGGGTCAACGAGGTCCCATGAGATCCACTGCATAACAAATAATCGAAGATGGTAATGTGTGGGAACGGAGATTCACAATTGGGGAAACGGAAAAATACGGCAACGGTGGTCCATAATGTGCAGATTGTCATCATAATGGGCATAATCCGAGAGTCCGTTCGAATGTCATATACAGATATTCTTACAAAATTACACTTTTATGCTTACAATCAAATTTTCCAATATTACATCATTCTTAACAATGTTACAGTTAAAACGCGGGGTGGGTTTCCGGTCTCAGTAGACCGCGGCGGATCTTGCTCTGCATTTTTTGAGCCATTTACGCTTGCAGTGGCATCGACCCATTATGGACCAATCCCGTATTTTCAGTTCCCCAATTGACGACGTTCAGTGTGGGAAAAGTTGTTTTGGACGGCACAATCGCGGATTTCCCACTAGCTCAATCATAATATACAGACAACAAATATTCGATGCGGTTGATTGTTTGAGTGACCAAGCACCTCTTTAATACTAAACTACATGTCACTGAACCAAATCTTTATTAAACCCTACATTAACGCCATGGATGTATAACAGAACTTTATATTTATTGCTTTCCGACCTTCGTGAAGTCGTCGCCAAGGTCTGTCAAAAGTTTGACTTCGTCGTAGAGCTTAACGTATTCGTTGTGTTCGATTTTCTTCCCTGACTTCAAGTTCAAGATGATATCCAAGGTCTTGCTCATCAACAACGGGAATGGATTTTCCTTGAAGTTCATGGAGCAGAGCACTTTTCTGAAACAGGCGATGTCCTCGTCGACGCTTACCCCCGTCTGTTTTCCAATGCGTTCAACCTGAGAATAAAGGTACAATGATTGTTGTTATATTGACTTACATCTTTGACGATGGCTAAAGAGCGTTTTTGAACACCTTTGGCGCCGACTTTGTATCCGGCAGCAGTTGCCGCTTCCTAGAGCCTTTTGTGGGCGATGTCGTCGCTACATTCAAGTTTCTAAAATTTTTTCTTATTATTGCCTTTTTCCTTGGCTTGCTTTTGGAACTCCTTGGCAGATAAGTATAGTATCCTTTTTGGAACCCGCAGAAACAAAAGCGACAAGGGAGAGGATGAAGAGGACGAAGCGCATGATTGATGAAGTGGCAGTTACCGATCTTTGTCATTTTTATAATGACTCCGGGAAATTATTAATTAAGATTGCCAGACAATCAATTTTCACAATTTAGGACAAGATCAGAATATTTATTAGGTCTAGAAGTATGACTCCGCCGTTTTTTTGTTTTGCATTTTTTACAGGTTGCAGTAAGGTTTAAAAATTTCTTTTGAGATCCTCTGAAAGAGCATTCAAAACGCTATCTATTGATATATGTTTTGTATAGTAGGGCTTGACACAGCGGTTTTTATGAAGCTTCAAAGATGACCAACTTCGTCCCTGGAAAATCGTCATTTGCGGGAAATTTTACCCTGCACGTGTAACGCGAGAGAAAACGTTTTTAATGCATCAATTGCTTAGAGAAGCTTACGTTAGTTGTGCTTAGTGAGAAAAAATCCATGGGGAATGGGTTTAACGGTTCTAGCCCCGTGATTTTCAAACCCATCTAAAAAAATTGAAGATGGAAATTACTGGATACAAAGCGATGCCCATACACAAAAAAAGTTGGCCGTGGTGCTCAAAGTGCCACAGACAGGGGTTTCACTCAGTTTGCAACGAATTGAAAAGATCTAGAGAGAACGGACTTGGGTGTCTTATGGAATGACCTACAACAATATAGAGAACTTGCGAAATTTTGATAGGCAGACCAAAAGGAAGCTATTTTTGTATCGTTTTATGGCCACAGACGAAAAACCCAGCGACTTTGAGAACTCGAAGCGCATGCGACCGCATAGTCTAACATTACCGGTAAGAAAGCGTTGCGCTGTATATGATGACATAAACAAGTTGTTCTTCAATATAAGCTCTTGAAACTCGGTAAAACGTTTATTGGCCTCCGTTGACAACAGTGGCTGATGCAATTGAACGGAGAGCTATGACTAAAGCGGGCGGAATGACCAATTTTTATTTTGCTGCATGATCGCGCTAGAACCCATGTTGAAAAACTGGTCAAGGACACCCCAGAACAGCTAGGATGGGAGATCCTACCTCACCCGCTATACTCTACTGACAACGAGCTTTCAGATAAGCACTTATTTCCACCGATAGCACACGACCTGAGGCAACAGCGCTTCGCTAAACACAATGATGCCAAAAATTAGGTTGATATTTGGATGGCTTCAAAACAGCCAAAAATTTTTTTTGGTGGATTGAAAAGTTGGCCAAATTACGGAAACACCTCGCAGTTAATAGTAGAATATAAAATTGAATAAGGTTTAGGGTAAAAATTTTTTGCTATGATCAAAACAATCAGCAGAAAAAAACGGCGGAGTCATACTTCTAAACCTAATATGTCATGTACTTTTGGTTTTGATTGTACTGTAAGACATATTGCTTGTTCATTACGCATCAGAGCGCCAAAAAATTATGTGTTTATGATAATTATGTGTATGGGCGGCTAAATGACGTGGGTCTTCTAATGTAGGTTGTTGTATGTATGGTATGTGGAATAGCCAAGTTATACAAAGATTATTTAATAACTCAGTCTTATCGCGGGGTATGAGTTTTTTTTGACACAGCTCATGGGTGACACCGATATCTTTCAAAAGATTGAAATTGATAAAGATGAGACGTTTAAAATTAATTCTTTTTTACGGCATTCTGTAGAGCAGATTTAGAGAACGACGACGCAATTTTATCTCGCAAAATTGCTTCATATTTCTTGTCAACCGCCGAAGTGCTCATAAAATTTTCAATATCAATGTAAATGTTGAGAGCGTCAAATTGTCGATGTTAATGGTCGATTGTAATGGGTATAGAAACCAAGAGATGCAAATATAAAAACGGTCTTGTCCAAAAAACCGCATTAATCACGATGAAGTTGATTGTGTTCTGTTTGATGGTCGCATGTGTGTCGGCTTTAAGACTTCATCCGCCCTTTCCCCACGGTCTATGCGCAGACGAGCCTGTCGTGGTAAGTTTCTGATCAATCCGTAATCAAGGTTTTCCAAATGCTTAGATCCGATGCAATGACCAAATCGCGCTAGACAAGCTGCATTTATTGTCGGAGCAAGCTGGGTATTCCGTCAACTTAGAAGCAGTCAAACGACGAACTGACCTCTTTGTCAACGACGTAAGCGAGGGACCATCTTTGTAAATGAGTTACAGCTCTCCTCTTAATTTGTTTATTCAGGTCAGAAGACTCGGAAAGAAATATGGCGTTCCCGTTGAGAACGACCTGAAATGCATACAACAAGTCATCTGCCAGATTGAAATCAGTCCCGAAGGACTCCAAAAACTGATTGACAAAAACTTTGTCTTGTTTTACCGGCTTTTCAATGGGAAGGTCCCCGATTCTGGAGAGTTCCAAGGTGTCCAATTCCAAATTAGATTTTTGCAATCTTTGAAACACTTGTTGGAGGAATACGCTGGAAGAAATGGAACACGAAGTGGACTTGTCCTAACTCCTCTTTAAGATTGACTGTTTTTGATGTGGGAAAAATAAACATTTTTATGAAATATTGGGGATTTGAAATTCATCGGCGATGCAATTTCCGCAAATCGCAGAAATTTTTTCAAAAAAGGCGGCGTTAACTTTTGCTACGTCGTTAGCAGAGTAAAATATTAATTTTCCAGTTTGTATCGTTTGTGGGCGACTTACAGATCATTAAGTAGTATGCATAAATTGGTCTTAACGGGAATACGGTGTATTTTTTTCGTTGCAACACAAACTGTTCTTGCAAAGTAAATGAATCGTTTATTTTTTTACGACTGCGTTTACTTAACATATTGGTCGTTTATTCTGAAAATAATAAAACATTTGGGATATTCTGTTTAGAGTTGGCGGACCAATAATTGCCTTCTAAACATCTGCCTGCGAAATTCTCTGGCCATCGCATCCAAGAAAGCAGCTTCGTTTTCCAATCCCAGATACTCCGAATCCTCAATTTTTGGGCGTTGAAACGCCTTACCCCAGATCTTGATGTTGTTAATCAATTGGCGAGTCTTTAATGCCAGTGTGGAGAGCCCGTACACTTCATCGACCGAGCAAATTGATCTTTTGAAGCACTCGAAATCAAACTGAATCGGATATTTGGTCCTGTTGGCCAACCTATGAATCTGTAAAGTTGTTTAGCGATTATTTCCCAGGGAAGTTCCGTAAACTTACGTCATCCACTATGAGCTGTGTTCTTTCCTGGACTGCATCGCGGCTAACACTGTATCCTGCCAGTTCGGAGAGAACCAACAGTTTGTCAATGATTATCCGGAGGTTGAATCTTCCCTAATTTTGGGGATTAAAATTCAGAAATAAAGCTTGCCTTGTTTTTAACACCGGCACAAAGATTATACGACCTGCCAACGAGGCTAGCAACTCCTCTGTCTTCGTTTTCCTTTTCACTTTCTCTAAGCCATTTGGGCATATCGTCAATCACATCTAGGCCCTTGGAAGACACGCTTCCAAGACACAATACAAAAATCAGCCACTTCATTTTCAATCACAATACCACTGAAACTGTGGATAAGGCTTTTAAACACTGCCTGTGCGAACCTGATTTGCATTAAATTGGCATTCTCAATAGGGATGAAATGTAATTACTTTCCTCATTGAAACATCTAATATATATTGTAATGCGTTTGGATGTGTGCATCTTCACTTTTGGACAAAATCTTCTTTGAAGGACAAATATAAGCAACGTTTTCCAACGACATGTCGCAGATTGCAACTACCATTGATGGAACCGGCAAAAAGTTTAAGCTCTCACCGATCACAACTTTTAGAATTTCCACTGGACAATTATTTTTCAAAAAAAAAAATTAATCCCTTTTCCTCAGAACGGACAAGTTACCGATGTCTGAATTTTATTCAAATTAAAGTAAAATCATATATGTCGTAAACTTCCCCCTTATAATTGTTGTTTAAGTGACATCTTATGCATTTCTACTCCCAATGTGTCTAGGAAGTCGGCTGCTTTGTATATTCCCACGTACTCCGCCTCGTCAATTGGATTGTGACAACTCTTGGTTTTTATATTAGAGGCTATGCGACGGGTTTTCCCGGCCAGCTGTCTGAATCCATTGCGCTCGCTGACCGAACAGATCGACTTTTGGAAGCATTCCAGGTCGATTCCAATACTGGAATGGTTGGCCTTTTTGGCCAATCTATGAATCTGGATAACATGTTCATAACTTTAATTGTCATTTCAGAGCTTACGTCTTCTACAACCAGTGCGGTTCTTTCTCTGACTGCAGCTCGGTTGACGTTGTAACCAGCCAGCTCCGAGAGAAGCAACAGCTTGTTCAGAGCAAGTTGAGGGCTACATCTTGCCTAAAAGCTGAACGTTTTCCCATTATTCATACCTTCGGTCTAACACCTTGACAGATGTCGAACAACAGTCCACGATCGCAATCATTTTTCTTTTCTTTGTCCTGTTCAAGCCAGTTGATTATATCGTCAAGGCGAAGACGTTCGATACATGACACGGTTGCCATGCAGGTCAACAGTAGAATTAGCCACTTCATTTTCAATCGCAATGTAAAAGAAAAGGTAGACAAGGGTTTTAAAGTCAGTGTCTCTAATTTGCATCAAAATGATGAGGTGTAATTGCCTTTCCCATTGGGACATAGAATCTATAGAATATTCGGTCTCAATATTACCAGCGAAATTAATTTTTTAGTCTCATCGTCAGTCCATAAAAATAAATGCTTCCCATTATCCAGCATTCCTTTTGTTATAATTAAAAATCTGGTGTAAGAATTAACCACATGGCTGACAATGACAACCTGTAATATAATATTATAAACGGATTAATTACGGTCGCCACATTTTAACAGAGACCAAAGCATCACAAAGATATGTTCGCAGTTTGTTTAACCAATTATCAGTATACAAAAAAATCGACGCGATTCCAGGTAAGGCGTATACGCCATGTTGATCAATAACTTGGTCAATTCATCAAACCGAGGTCTCCGACCCGCTTTAACAGTCATCAAGGTGTTTAAGAATTATTTTTTCCTTCCGTTCCGTTTATTTATTTTTTCTGTTGATAAAATATGGCTAGTTCCTTGTATTCTCTTGTTCTTCTGTTAATAGTTGTTGACACGCTTTGTAAAGGTAACCCGAGTATCCCTGAGTTATCTGAACAATTTGTTTAGCAACAGAGTCTCCAGGGTTTTACACTTTGAACTCGCAGATTTCGGAAGAGAAGGCGGATGATTTATTCAAATTTCTGACAGATCCCAGGCTTTCGATTTATTCAAAGCTAACAAATATTGAGGAGTTGGGAGCTCTAGATGAGTTATTTGATTACATCCTTACTGAGCATTCAAAGAAGCATGAAAATATAACGAAAGATGATCTTCAAGATCTCAAAAAACAATCGCTCGAGGTAGGCTTTTGAGAATTATGATTTCTATTACAAATACCAAGCAAGATTAATTTGTCATAATTTCAGGAATGGCAGGCATATTCAAATAGCAGCTTCCAAAGCCACGAAGCCACCAATCAATTCAAAAGTTTCATTCAGCCCCTTATTAATGATTATCTTGACCTTCGAAAGGAGATTCCACAAGATCAGCTGGAAAAAGACTATGGATTTTCCGCTTTATTGAACGATAAACTGATTGATTGTAAGTACAAACATTCTCAGCGGTTGTATGATTTGCTTAGCCATTAAGACGACTGACGAATCCAGCAAAGTAATAAAAGAAGTCCTGGAAGATAAGACAAGAAGCAAGCCCATCTTGGTCAAAGAGTTTGCCGAAACTTATCCCACACAATGGGCGGATGTGTTGGATGCTGCATTAGAGTACTGGAAAAAGGAAAAGAAGTTTGGCAAGGACGTCGCGGAAATTTTGAAAGAGGTACAAACTGTTTGAATAGCATTTACGAAACAAGTTTTAGCTCTGGTCAGAGGGCAATGGCGACGGTGATTTCTTTAAATTGTACAAGGTTTTGGACAAGATCTCAAAGTTGGATGACAATAAACGGAAAACTTTCGAGGCCCTAACGCCAGTGACTGCAAAATATTTGAACGGTTGGTTTATCGGATTGCTCACATTTTATAATTTGGCGGTATTATATGTACTTATTCTAGCCCTTATGCAATTTCCATTACTTTCAGAGATCTTGTCTCTTGCGTCGGTTATAAATAACAAAGTGCAGTTAAAGGACGACATTGCAAACCCATTGGTCACAGCCGGCGTGGCAAGTAAGAGCTGTTAAAAACTTTTTTCTTTATAAAAATAGCAACTTGACGATTATTTTTAGAAGTGGTCAAGTTCTCGCTAAACCAGGCGTTCGAAAAGCTGAAGGAAGCCAAAAAGGATACCAAAAGTCTTGTGAAACTGTTAAAGAGCGACAAAGTAACGTTGTTCCATAAATTTTACAACATCAGCCGAGCCTTGCCTGAGGAGAATGTGCTGCAAAGTGGGACCAAGGACCTCGAACAGAGCGGGTTGGATAGGAAAGTGATGAGGTCCTTTGAAACTGTAAGTTGGCGTGTTTAATATAATCCATTTTTTGCAGCTGATACAAACTTATGTATCGCAAAATGGTAAAGCCAGCTACTTCTTGAATCGGGGGTTAAGTGAGGAAGGTATGATCCAATTTACCTTGTTATGGATACAATTTCTTTAGACGGAAACTTGTTCTTGGCTGATGTCATGAATCGACTAACAAAGCCGCAACTCGAGCAACTAAAAGGACTTGTGCCCGGGGCACGGAAAGGATTGGAAGGTACAGAATTTGTGTGTATTCTAGCGTCAAAAGAGTAGCGTTGATTAATCATATTTTTTAGAGTTTATTGCCACGATGTAACTTCGTCAAATCGAAGTGTTCTAACGCCCCTCCTACAATTCACAGTTTTAACTTTTGTTTTGTAGAAATAAAAGCCGAGTGTTTCCGGTTTCTCCTTTGTTCTTGCAGGATACCTTTGCCAAATGACTGTTCCGAAAGCCGCTAATTAAAAAATGCCTAATAACGGGAAATGACATTCTTTTTTCGCTTAAAACATAAATTAAGTGCCTCCGGGTCGAATAAGCCATTAAAACAGTTAATATTGAGAGCGTGTCAAGTCCTTCATCCCATTTTGTGGCTTCTCCGTTCTCTGATTTCTTTTTCTGAAATCCAAGCTCTTCGTTTCAACGGGCCCGGAGGGGGATAAAGGGACTTTTGAGACACTCAAAAATGCGCACTTTTCACTCTCGACACACACTTTAACCTCAGGCCCAAGGAGACGTAAGAATAAAGGGTTTTTATGCTTATTCCTCCGAAATATTGAGGAATGTGTCATGTTCTCTGTTTTCAGGGTGGGTTTACTCTGCTGATTAAATTGACCTCTCTACATTGGATTAAGCAAATATTAAACATTCTTTTCACAGGTTTTGATGCCGATTTTTCTTCCCTTTTAAGCCGCTACTTAGTTTCATAATAAATTGTTTGAGATTAGCCCTCAAAGTAATCGCGAGTAGTCTCAGACCTTTGAGCGATTAGAGGTTATGTTCCTGCTGAGTTCTTTTGATTTTTAAGGCCTTTGTTTCTATGGAGAGTAAAGTGTACCACATGTAAACAAGTCTAAGAATGGAGTAAGCCCTTTTTAAGACTTGAAAGAGTGGCAAAAAGGGCGTAATTGGATAACAGGATAAAGATATCCAACTTTTAGAGGCTTTATCGGAAAATGTTTTAGTTTACCCTTTTTCAAAGGGTTGTACGAAAATAAAGAACCATGTCGTTCATTGTTTTTTACATTTGGAAGTTTTTGGTTTACAAAAAAAAAGCCCTCCGAAAAAACCCATCCAGTTCGGAATCCTTAATCTGGCTTACATTACACATACGTGCATTGCATCGGAAGCCGGCGTTTTCTTGGAAAACAAGTGTATCTTTATACATCCAGACCTTTGGCATTTACTTAATATTTCCCCGGCTTTCATACTCGCGAGTTTTGAGAGAAAAACTATTTTTGAAAGAAGTTTGTTTTTAGTTTCAAAATGAAGTTACTTATAATGGCGATGTGTTTATTACTTGCGATTATGCCCATAAGTACAGAGATCTGCCCACTGGTTGTGCACCAAGTGTGCAATGACAGGCACAAACAACTCAGATGCGTTTGCGCAATGAGTTTGGATGAGGTAAGTGAGTGTTGTAGAAGATTATTTTTTTGCGATGTTAGTGCAACAACCGTATTTGCTTGTGACCTAAGGGTGTAAAAAATATTTTTTTACTGAAGTGTACTTACTCAAATTAATGCTCCATTTCTATGGTAAGAACTGCAATAAGTGCTTGTGTGATTTCCTTGGGACAAGTTTCATTCACGCCATGAGCTCGCAATCAAAAACTGCCCTTTTAATTCTATTCCAATAAACTTTGCACTTTCATAAACAACTAAAAATCTGGTCTTTAGGAGCCACCACCGGAACAAAGTTGTTCGAACATTGTAAAGGTGGAGAATGTGAACGACTTCGAAGCCGTCAGCGTCATCTTCAAACTCGACAACGCCGCCAGATCGCTGAAATTCTTCCCCGAAGAGAAATTCAGAGATCAGTTAGCGAGTCTGCTAAAGATCGAAGGGGTGAGTTATAAAGTTGGCATGGCATTACTAACAATTAAACTTGCAAAATACACAGTGCTCAGGGTAAAGACCAGTTTGTTGACTTTTACTCATTGATTGGCCAAATGATGGATTGAAAAATTATTAAAATAACTTTGCCAGTTCTTGACCCAGACCCACGTCAAACTCTTTCCGCTCATCAGATCACTCAAAAAATCGACGAAACAAAAGAGTTCAGAAATTGAAATTGATTGCTAATTACTCGAAAACAGGAAACAGGTGATAAGTAATCGGACAATTTCCGGCAATACAACGCTTTTGCATTCCGAGGAGAACAAAACAAGTACTGTAGCCTCCGGAAATTAGTCACAAATTTAACAAATTCCTCTAGGTGGTATTGAACTGAACTTTACACTTGAGCAAAAGACACTGTAGCAGAAATCTAGAATAGTTGAGATACGTGACAATCTAATGAATGATAATCGAAGCTTTTTTGACAATGACAGTGTAATGATTAGATTAAAAAACTACTGCATAAGTAACCTTGTCCGATTGCTAAACTTCACAACTCTTTTCAGAACGACATCTTAATCCTGAGGGTCCATTGTCTCGATCCGGAAAAGAAGTTCGCTGTTCAATTTGTTGTCGTCAAAAACGAAGACGACGATGAAGATAACGACGGAATAAAGGATTCAGAAGACACTGAGGACTCCAGAATCCCCTTTGCCCAGAACTATTTCATCGATTCTGATGTGATTGTGAGGAAGTTGAAGGTGGTCGGAGCCCTCAACAGTTTGGCCGGCCTTAGGGTTGACAGCATTATCAAGGTGAGCAATGTTTAAAGGTCTTAAGAGCAATTTGACCAGCTCTTCCAAGGGCATGATATCAGAGTCGCGACGGAACTTCCGCAAATTTTTTCTGAATTTTTTTGACCGGAAAATTCAAAAAACTTTGACCTTTAAAGAAAACTGCTCTAAGGTGATCATGACGTCTCGATCCATCAAAAAAAGTATTCGAAATCACAAGAGATGTGGGTGGGATGTGATTTATCATGATGACAAGGAAACAAGAGAGTTTGGGTTTTTGGAAATTAGATTTGTTTTCAAAAACATGAAGAAATTCGATGACAATTTACATTTCTTCTTAAAAGCATTGTAAAAAAGACTATGAGGATCTTTAAACTCTAGAAAATTACTGTTCAGGTCACAACACTGTACCCGATGGAAGCCTACGTTGACAACACCGTCCTCCTTTTCCAGGCCGCCCTGGCCGCCGTCTTTGTCTTCCTCACCTGCCTTTGTGGCTGCTGGATAGCGTGCAAACGGAATGATTACGAAGCGGATCTTCAGAAGAACTGATTCCCTTTCTATCTCAGCTTTATTCACTTTTTTCCTCAGCCTCTTCAAGACATAATCAACTGTAGGTCACTTAATATGTAACATTTATTCAATAAATATGATCTTTCGGTAAGCAAATATAAAATTCTGGTATTTGAGAGACTTTTTCGCCTAGAAAGGGCGATTGGCTGGGTTCCTGAGCTCGATGAAATCACGGAATTTTTTAAAATTTTGCACAAAACACTCAGAAATTGGAAGAAATTGGCTTATCTCATCGAATTCGTGGATCCCAAGCCTCGCGAACAAAGTAACCGGCACATGGATAGACACTCGAGGAAAGACAACGATCGTATTTAAATAAACATCCGCTTTCGGGCGTCCCAAATACACAAAATGTACAATATGGTCGGTTTAAACACTTCCAAAGTGTAAGTGAGCGGGAGAATTGGCATAAAATGTCTTTGGAATCATTTAAAACTCGCTTAGATTTGTGTTAATAGCATGCTGAATCACTTAAAGGCACTTAGAATTGCATTGGAATCATGGTCGGTCTTACTGTAACATTTCAAGTACTGTAATTTTGAGATTGGTTTGATTTTAACTAGACAAAAGTCTAAAAAACTAAACAAGTCGATAAAAATCTAGTGTGTTCTGCCTAAAAAAAGGTGTGTAGAATACGGTAAGACCTCCAGAATTCGGCTGAATATTGTAGCATTTTACAATTACCCAATAGAAAACTGTGTACAGGAATTACAAAGAGCCGAGGTCATGGGACTGTGGGACTAGCCGGTGGCTGCTGTTCCGACCGTTTCTTCGCCTCCTGATGACATTTCCGTTCCTTTTTTGAGCCCTTCAATGAATTGGTGATGAACTTCAAAAGCCCAGCTGTAATCGGGGTCTTATCCTTACTCGAATCTGTGGATTTTGTTGACGATCTGGCCGATGAATTCCTCTCCAATTTGTCTCCAGACGTCGAGGGACAGGAAGAAACTGTAGACATCACGGACTCGGGTCGATTCTCATCGTTTTTCCGCGCCAAATCGACCACCGGATACTTGGCCAGCTTGCCATGTCGCTCGGGAGTTGGCTCGTCGGCCGGACTCGACGGACTGGCCAGACAAGTGGAGAAGCTGGACTGGCACATGGCCGGCGTCGAAGCGGTCGTTGGCGCCAAAGGAGGGGCCATTTCAACGCCCTCGGCGATGGCGTCAAGGGGTTTCCTCTTGATGATCGAACCCTTGGGCGGCGATCCCTTGCCCGAGGCCAAGTTCCCCACACTTTGGGCGTTCCGTTGTCGCGTCTTCTGTTGTTGTTGCACCTGTTGTTTTCGAGCATTGGCGTCGGCGAAGTCTTGGAGACTCTGCGCTCGACTCCTCACGTTCTTGATGCGAGGAGGGAGAGGCCGCGATGGAAACAACTTCATGTCTTTGGTTACGATCGGAGCCAGCATTCTGGACTCTGAAATCAGCGAAATTAAATTAATTCGGCTAATAAATTAAATTATTTTTGTTTATCCGACGCGATTATACCATAGAAAATAACAAAATACAACATATAATCCGACATTCAATTAATCCGGAAACATCTCAGGGTGGAAGCCTTTTTTGAACCCTCAGGGAAAGTTCAGAGATCGACTTTTCTCGATGAGTGCTCGTTCGGAAGGCGCCGTAAACAATAGTATTTACTATTTATGCAAAACAGACGGTCTGGTATTCAAATTCGGTTGTTCCCGCCAAAAAATTTAAAAGCGATCAGAAACTATGCAATTTTTTGATTCTGCAATTAATAAATCTCGCTGGCCAAACATCAAGGAAATCAGAAACCGCGATCCGAAACGTTCCCAAGAAACGGAACGCTCTCTTCCCCTGCGACGTAACAAAACATGTCCCCGAACCAATCGGAGACCGTTCATTTGCACAAAGAAAAAAAGAAAAATCGAAAAGAAAAGACTGCACCGTGCAAAGGAATTAAAATGCACTGTGCGCTCTCTCGATCAACACATGCTTCTCTTCCGCACGGTGCAACGAAAAATGAGTCGAGAAAATGCACGGTGCAAACGAAAATCAGAGAAGAAAAGAATCGCTGAAAAAGAAAGGTCGAAAACTGCAGTCGCCTTTTAAATTTGCACGGTGCACTTTCCGACAAAGAAGAAAAAGAGCTGCACCGTGCACGACGCAATGATAAATCGCACAGTGCAATGCATGAAAACAACGAATTTGAAGAAGAATGCGCAGTGCGATCGACCAAAAGAGCCGTACGGCACTGTGCAGTTTCTTTCAAAACATCGTCGCCGGGTTTTATCGCTTCTCTGTCCGCGACATCCGGGCGCCCGCCCAGTTTGGCGGTTTCGCAATCAGCTGTTCCCCGGTCACAATCAGTGGCGACAAACCACACAAGAAAGAGTTCGGCGACGGGATGACGAACACGGGTTTCTTCTTCGAATCCCGTCGCCGCAAATCGGGGTTCCCCGTCGTTGGAAGAGAGCGACTGGAAACCGCCCTCCTTTCCGATTCCCCGAATTCAGCGCGACTTCAGAGCGTCAAAAGAGGGGAAAACTGGGATTGCGACAGAAATGTCGCTGTTCTTCAAAGATCACTCCTGAGCCGCAAAAAAGAGAGAACGGTTCCAAACCGCACAGTGCTTTGGTGGCTCGGCCACTGAGAGACTCGGACCTTGGCCACGGAGCGAGAGCTCGGCTTTCTGTGACCATTCTCCCTGAGGGCTCGATTCAAAAACAACCCCTCGGGCATGAGAAATAATGGCCATTCCAACGGGACAGCAACAACATGTTGTCGCAAAAAAAATCCAGTGCACAGTGCACGAATGAAAACAATGCACAGTGCAAGACAGTTGCATGCACAGTGCACTCAAACCGATTTTCTGGAAATCATCCGCACAGTGCAAAAAGCTCGAAATTTCTGCGACAACAAAAACAAAAGGATTTGCACTTTTGCGACCAAAAGCAAAAAATCGCAACATTGCAAATGGAACGCGACACCCAATCCTCCAAACACGCGCAGAACGAAACGCGACATCCTGCGAACGTGCAGTCCGCGTCCAATGGGAAAACGAATGGAAAATGTGTCGCGGCCTGGAACGCGACCCCTGGCCAAAAAGGTGAGATCGCGATGACTGGGATCGAAGGGCGGAGAACCCGAACCGACCAAGCGGACTGGCGACAGCTTCGACCAGACCTCGGTTTCCCGCCCATCCCGCGACAAGACCCTCACCCCCTTCTGGAAAAACAGCCGCTTCCCAATGAACGGTGCGGCGAAAGGGAATGTGGAAAGAGAGAGAGAAGCCAAGGGCCGGCCCGCACGGTGCGACAAAAAACCCGGCCAAACGAGGGCACGACCGCACCGTGCGAGGATCGAGTCCGGGCGCACCGTGCAATGGACGGGGGTCCGAGTGTGAAAACAAGAAAATGGGTCGGCCCGCGAATGGAGGGGCTGTGTCGCGGGGAGAAGAAGAGAGAGTGCGTCATTCGCCCCCGAATCCATTGAAAGCGAGCATCGTTCAAACAAGAATGGGGCGAGTCAAAGGATTTCTGTGAGTGGGAAGAAAAGGGATTGTAACAAAAGAGGAGAGCGGCCAGAAAGGAAGAGAAATGAAGATATGGAAGGGCCTCCGAAGAGGGTGGAAGGGCACAAAAATATTGTGGAGACTGGAGAGATTGGACGGAGGAGGGACCGGGGCCAAGAGCGACGGAGACATCGCACGGTGCACTCTCAAAAGGCCCGATTTCTCAACGAAATTCATGCCCAAACCGGGGACCCAGGCAGTCTTTGTCTCTGGATTCCAACGCCTCTGGCCTTTCTCTGCTTCTCTGTCGTCTCTCCTTTTCCTAAAGGCTCTCTAATCTCTCTGCGCTCTCTTATATTCCCCTTGTCTCTAGTTAATCGAATAGTCTAGGGCTTTAATGGAAGGAGTTTACCAAAGTTGGGACTTGAAAAAAGGTGATATCATGGTAATTAGAGGAGGAAACGTTGAGCAAAGAATTGTCAAAGTGATGTCAACGTAGCATAACAGTAATCCGAATTAATGAAAGTTCCAGAAGAACCAATAAAGAGAGGGATGTAACAACTTTTCTTATCGCAAAAAATAGCTGATGTTGATGTTTATATCGAGAATTTAGAAACGGAATGTCAATTCAAGTACAAAGTCGTTAAATCCAATGATAAAAACACTTAAAAATACAATCAAGAAGGACGTATCTCAATAAAACAAATCTGATGCAACGAGAGCAGTTAATTGTAAGTTAATTTCCCTCCAAAATTGTTTCCCAAATCAAAATTCCTCCTCCGAGATGGTCAAAAAATGAAATGATCTAATGCCCTGAGGGCGTTAATGACCTTATTTGTTGCAACAAAATCGAAATTATAGAAGGAAACAAAACGTTTTATATTGAAGTTTGTTTGAAAAGGCAAAAAAATAAATAATCGGAAAGAAAACAATTACCGACTTCCTTAAATAGTAATCTCATTCCCGCAAAGTGAGGGTGTGGGAAAACAGTAGCCAGAAAATGAAAAACTTGACAAAAGTTCAAAATCCCTCAACAAGACACTCAAAATACTGGCTCATCCCCTTAGAGCAAGAGCGAATTTGTCAAAAACGAAAATAAATACCAAATTGGGGCAAGGATTGCGTCAGAAGTAACGAGAAATCTTCTTTTGTGCGACCAGAAGGCTCCAGAATTCTGATTCATTTGGAATTTAAATAAGAAAAACTTTGGGAAACTTCTGATCACTTTTCCTTCCAAAACCAAAATGACGTCAGTTGCGATGATGTAAAGATGATAATTTAAGAATTTGTGGGAGGAAAGGCTACGAGAAAACATCAGAAATCAAAAGATTCGTAGAAAAATTGCGGTCGATCAAAACAAAAAAACCAAAAAACTTTAAAGAAACCATCTGCCTGAGGCATGAATAATTTCTAGGCCTGACTCATTTTATTCCAGCGATTTTAACAGCTTTGGCCCATTGTCTAAAGCACGAGTACTCGGAAATTCCAGAAGTCAGGTGAAAAAGAAGCAATCCAGAAAAGAAATTGTTTGAACTTCAACTCCGAATTATAATTGTATGGAAATCGTGAGAAGAAAAAAAACATTTACCGAGTAGTATGGTATTATACCACACAAGATCTGTACAAAATTGCACGTTATTAATGTTCAGGAAACTCCAGATGAAAAGGTGAGAAAAATGATGACATTACAGAGATAAATCAGGACTAAATTTATATTAGCTCGGAACAAAAACACAGGCATGAAAAGACGAAACTTTTTTCTGACGTCGAATCCTGTGAAAGTAAACGCATGAAAGGGATTACAACAGCTCTTCAAACAAGTCATAAAAAAGTGTAGGATGAGTAAATTCGAGGGAAAATCGGAATGTAAACATCAAGTTTCACGTTGGAGTTATGCGACTTGTGCGAAATCAGCTTCAAAACCCGCAATAGGCTTGAATTTAGATAGATTAGTTGTTAAAATGTAAAGACAATTAACCCCGCAGCACACCTCCAAAACGATATCAAACGTGCAAAAGAAGGACACGTCAAGACTTGAATTATTGTTCCGAAAGGAAAAATTTCCATTTCCGACAAAGTTTTTTGGGCTTTTGAATTCTCCAGTTTCCGTTCAAAGACTGGGACATTTTCATTGTTCGAACACTCCAGATATTCAGAATACGTATTCAAATTTATGGAAACACAAGTGTTCTTTTTGAATACGAAACACTTTCCAACGATCCACGTGATCCCCTAAGGGGCTTTACGTAAAAAGTTCAAAAAACAGTTAAAAATGTTGGAATTGGAAGATCAACTTCGAACTTTGACCCACCGTCACCCCCGTAATTGTTAACCGCTTTAATTAATGGTATTTCGGACTCATCGGCCGCGCCTAAATTGTTGTTCCAAAACCCCCCGCCAGAACCGGAAATTGTCGGGAAAACAGCGTTCCTCGGCTGGAAAGTCCTCAGGAATCGAAAAAAAACGAGGAAGGTAAAATATTCACATGATTTTACGGTGACAAAGCCCAAGAAAACAAAAACTTTTTTGCCTTTTATAGACCTTATCTAATCGAAAGCAGAAGACAGAATGGAAAAGTTACGAAATCCTCGTATTTTGTTCACATTCGGTGATCAGAGAGCGTCACAGAAACGTTTATCACTTCCACAGTCATGCATTTTGTTGCCAACAGCATGTGATATTACACTGCAATGCACTGTGCGGTTTCTGAATCGATCACAAAGAATTGATATGACCTAATTTATCGCCGAACTTTGGAATAGCAGGGTTTGCAGTGAGAACGGGAGTTTAATTTGAATATCGTTGCTCCCACGAAACAGGAAGCATTTTGCGAAAATGGCCACAGATGGTGTAACATAGGGCTACACGTGAGAGTGGAGAGAAATACGGATTTAAAAAAGGTAATACTCTTATCGATAGAGGGTTTAGAGTAAAGTAGGGCTAAAGTGGAACAGCTAAAAGCTATGATAAGAGGGAATTTAGGGAAATCAAACGATAAATTTGATTCTAAACTTGTCTATGACCATAAGAAACAGCCAAAAAACTTATTTCTTCCGGTCCAGACAAAGTTTTTCCTCCAAAAGTCACAAAACTAACCCTTTTCAAAGGGGAAGTAACTTCCTCGAGGCAAAACAGAAAGATCAGCGCCATTGGCAGGGCCCATTTCCGAACCCATTTTTCATCGATCACAAGTCGAAATGTAAACATGATCACGCCTTGTTTTGCATCTCGCGACTTTTCTTATCGCCGTTTCGTTTGGGCACTTATCAAGTGCGTTCCAAGCGAATTTAGAGCCAGAGGGAGGCTTTGTTTTGAGCATAAAGGCCTACGTATATTGTTCGTCGGAGTTATTTTTGGACCTTTCGGTGATTAAATATATAGATGTAAATATGTTTTGTTTTACTTTTTGGAAGAAACACTGGCACAATACTGAATTATAAAGAACACCCATGTTTTGAGGCCTAAAATTCCTGAAACTCTTACACCTTCAAAATTTCGCAAGACGATTACAAAAACAAGACGTCAAAAGCAGCAAAATAGCAACAGAATGCACATCGGAAATGACGCCGACGTTGGCCGTCATCGCAAGTAATCCCTCAGGCCATGAAGTGATTGGGAGAACGCGTTCCGACGCCCATGAAAGACGAGTTGAAAATAGATCGCCGACGGTAACAGTTGGTGGGAAGGTGTCACGAGGCAACAAGGATATTAATTTGTTTTTATAAAAAACAGGAAGGTTAACGTTGAAAGCACTGGTGAAATGGCTCGAGACGATCTCGACTTGTTTTGTCTTCAGGGCAAGGCAAGTGTCATAATTCCTTGGAAAGAAATTGTAAAAAATGAAAAGAATGCTTAAAATGCCCGAGGAAAATGTGACCTCAAGTCTGACAACAGAGGCTCGACTTCAAACATTAAGGTCAGAATATAAATGATATTGACAAATCAAGATGGATTTGATTTTGATTTGGCTGCGGGTGCATGTTAGTCTGGCCTTCGATGCCGAGAACGTTGGAGCCAAAAGTTAAAAGACTTGTTCATATAGCATCGGCTTTTACTTCCACAAGCAACAAAATAATCAAAGTAAACTCCTATAAGAAAAGTCTACCGTATACAAATGTAATAACAGCATCTTGGCACCAATGCCCACTCCCAGCCAATAAACCTTTATCAACTCCTAAAACAACGTGATAAAAGTCTGCTCGATTTATTTTTATCCCGGTCGTCTGATTGAGGGCTTCTTAATGAACCGAATTTGCTCAAAATACATCTCTGCCAATTTCTTTTTCAAAAAAAACACCTTACAATTGACAAATGGCCAGAGGGTCAAAGTCGAAGGCGATCTGGCAAAATGAAAAGAAGGAAGATTTGAACCATATGAGTGGTTTGTAGAAACCAAAGAATTCGCCTCAAAACAAATAAAGCTTGTTTTTACTATAAGCCGAATGTAAACACTACATAATGTGACGTCCAATTTTCCAAGCAATTCAGAAATTTCATTGGGAAAGAGATCAGGAAAATGTAAGCTTGGCGGTAAATAAAATAAAAAAGAGGTTACAAGTCTTATAAATCGTGTTGGAGTCATCTGATGCGGGTCCCAAAAACTGTAACTGATATAAACAAATCAAGCTAAAATAACCTCAAAATAATCTTGGAGTAGACTTTTTATGACATTGTTACAAACTCACCTCTGCTCTTTCTACCATCTTACGGCCTCCAATGACGTTTCGCGTACGAAGTTTAACACCGGGAGTTGCCCTTCTTCCATTCCATCTTCAATAAAACTACTTGGTTTGTTTTACACCACCCGAAATTCATGGCGTAAATTCAATTCCTCCGCTTGTTTTGGTTGTTTTGAATTGTATTATTGTAGATGAAGACCGCCCATACATGGCATCACTCCCATAACGTCGCCGCTCTAGTCCGCGACGCAAAGGCGAGCATGACGGCGGAGAAGACGCTGGAGAAAGCGAGAGAATATCTGGCGAAACTGGAGAGTAATGTGAATTTAGGAGGTATCAATGAAGAGAAGAGGCGGAAGATCAGCGGATTTATTAGTAATCTTTGTACTGAGCTCGAAAAAAAGAGAAAAAATGGAGAAGGAGATAACAGCGGTAGGTATAACACTTGATTGTAATCTTTAAAAGACTTTGGTTGCTTTTAACGCAAGTGCACTTTCAGCGTATTCCACCGTATCTCCCGGGAACAACGCTGATTTGATGTATGGAATAAGAAGTCGCGCAAAGTCCGACCCTTCGCGTAGATTTACAATGGGATCCCAAATATTTTCGACATACACAAGTAACCTATCTCTGACAGATTCAGAGCATGATACCGATGACGGTTACAATGCTTCGAGGGAGTCGGAGGAGACCGTTAAGATCGAAGAGATCTATGACCGACAAATGCCTGTAGGTCATCGAATTTGCTTTCAGTCCTTAATACATATAAACTCACTATACGTTTTATATAAATTTAGTGGGCTCTACGATTGATCCCGCATATTTTATTCTTCGCATCCTTGCTTGTATCCGTCTATGGAGGCGCCCTTTTCCTTCAACTCATCGATCCAGCAATGGCCAAGGCCCCTCTGGTACGAGTGGTTTTAAATTGCTTCGACGGGGGTGCTCGGTTGGGATGGGGACAACAAACTCCAACCTCATCTTGGGGCAGAGTATTTGTCTCCGTTTACAGTATTTACACAGTGGGGCTGATCAATGGATTTATGGCAACAATTGGCTCCATTATCACAGATATTTATTGCGTGCATTGGCCAGTGCTAATGGCCAAGATAAAGGGAAAGGTAAGCACAAAATATGAGCTCAAAGAAATTTGTTTTTAGGACCCCAAAGTAAATGAAATAGGCCATGTGATGTCGTTGAAAGTGCTCCTGTATTTTAATGTGTGTATGATTATCATCGGCTGGTATATTTGGTGCTATCAGTTTGAGCAAATGACTCTGGTCGACGCAACTTACTCCAGGTAATCTTTGAAAGATCATATACCGTAATTGTTGTTTTCGTTTATCTCAATCTTCATTACTTTTTCAGTGTGATGACCATGATGGCTGCCGCTTTCGGAGACGTCCATCCCGATCCCAAGAGCCATTTTCAATTAATGGTCCTGATTCTATATTACCTTATTGGTATTGCTATTTGGGGCGGCATTTTGGTCATCCTTTCCAGTTATGTGGAGATCTATTACATCGGTAAAATCAGAGAATTCTTGAGGTATTTGTGGGTAAAATACCGGATCAGACGAGAGCGACAAAAGGAGGTGAAAAACTGCTGCGATTACAACTGCCACAACAATGCGGCTTAATAAAATTAGAAGCCGTTTTCCAACATTTATTTTTGCCGAAATGCATCGTACGATAATAAACTCCATCAGAATGCTATGACTTTTTTGCAACCAGGACAAAAATCTCTTCAGAAACGATCAGTTTGAAGCCTTTCTTTTCATCAGTTTCAAAGCCGCTCTTCTAAAAATACACTCCAATTTTACTGTTAGTTCAAAACAAAAATTTAAATTGAATATGCAGAATGATTACCTGCAAAGCTCCAAGCAGCTGCTCCTTGGTCAAGAAGTGGCATTTAAACCGTCGACCACCGAATGCATACTCGCTGGCTTCTAACACACCGCCTTGCACAAGATAGCCGCCCGTTTTTACAAGACTCGACGCATTCAAAACGGCTTTTTCGTACTCCTCCAAAGTCTCTGATGCATATTCCAAACAGAAAACGGTGCAGACAGCGTCGAATTGCTTCGGGACCTCTTGATTTGGATCTTTCAAATAATGAACACCCGTTACCGGAGAGGAATTGTGAACATTCACGGCCAGGACTCCTTTCATAATTTCTCGGGCTTTATTTTGCATCATCTCTGTGGTTTCTCTTGAGGCCTCGATTGTTTGAATCCATTCACAAACATTGCTCCAATCAAACGTTGACTGATTCTTCAGCCATGCAGACACGGTCTCCCGGTTTATCTTAAATTTCACTTCTTTGAATTGCAAGATCTAACTAGGAGATGAGTCAAAAAATAAGGTGTTTACCTCTGCATAATCGCTACTGTAGATGTTCTTCGCCCGATGACGCATTATAATTGGAATGTAAACAGTTGGACCCGCACCCAAATCCAGAACATCTTCGACTTGATTGGGCAGTCGATACAGGATCCCAGGAAGAAAAAAGAGGACAACTTGCATGGCCAAGTCCTCTTTTGCTGTTTTATAAAAGCCTTCCAAGTATTTGGTGGGATCAAACTGCACATACCTCGGTTTGAATGATAATTTGGCTTGACTTACTTGTTCCGCATGATCTTTAGCGTTGAATAGTGGCCAGTCGTCGTCTTCGGGGGTCTCTTCCGTTTTTGCAATGGGCGCATCGTCGGTAACCACCATTCTTCAATAATGTGAGATAACACTCAACATTCACAAATGATAAAAGTAATGCATAAATGATAAAGCTATAATACGAACCAAAACATCACGCAAATAAACGCAACATAAACGCCCAGACAACGTGTTCTCTCCCTTAACCACAACAAAAGTAAAGTCTCTAAGTTCATTTCTTTGACCACCCCGGAGCATTTTGATCTCCTCTCGGCCCGATCTCCTCTGAAATCCGAACTGAAACAAAAAACGCGGGGGTAAGGGTTCTTGTTTATTGATTACTTCAACTCTAAAATATTTCGTAAACCGTAAATAAGGATTTATTGTTTACATCATGAAGATTAATTACATTTTTGGAAGGATGAAAAGGATAAAATCAAGGAAAACAACGTGGTCTCCACGTGGTGAAGGTTCTCTGGCCCAATGTTTGTTAACAGAAAAGATAACAGGTGGCCGCTCTTCTTGCAATTCCAAGAACCAAGCGTTCAAGAAGACTGCAGACATATGGATATGCTAGATACTAGTTTTGTAATAACTGTTCAAAAATATTCGCAAAATAAAATTATTGACGATTAATTGAGCCCGAATTTAATGAATGGACAAGTACCCGGCTACACAAATTGCCGCAATGAAGAAGGAAAATAAAAAGAATGCCATCTCCCCAAACAACAATAAATAAATCATAAGAATCAGATAAAGAAGAACACAAAGAATTGATCCACATCTGCGGAACTTCTGAAGAGTGTCCTGAGGCAACCGGTCAAATAAACGGACCTCCAACTTGCAGTACTTGGAATCTGGAGAGAGGAAAACATCGTCGGCAAAGGATTTCGACAATGAGGGTTCCTAAAACAAGAACTTTCAACGTTACAGAACCGGCAATCCTTGCGGTTAGAAATTACTAGCTAATCGATGGAAATGATTGAATTATTATTCTAAATTTTCCAAAAATTTTAATGGAAGCTTTCTCTAAATGCCAAAAAATCTTTGCCGAATCTATGAGCTATGCAAAACTCGTCGTCCATAGGTTCTGTATTAGTATCCTGCCTTGCAGAAAATTTCGATCATTTGCCTCGAAGATCGAAGTTGACAAAAATCTCGGCAATTTTCTTTCCGAAACTTCGTCGGTGGATAACGCGTCTTTGACTTTTTAAAAGGCAAAATAAAAGGAAATATTAAGAAATTACCCGTTGACTTTCCTCGGCTTCAATAACCACCGCATTCATCTGTCCAAAATCATAAATCCCCGAATCCTCCAACGAGATGATCGTGGTCTCCTCGGATCGGGAATCCAATTCACAGACTTCGGCCCCTAATTTTAAATTAGTCATTTCGGCGTGTGGAAACCCGAATGGAGTGGGTCAAAAAAGTTGAGCGACAAAGGCCGTCAATTTAAATATTGGCTGGGAAAAAGGGAAATACATAAACAGAAATCTGGGGACTTTATGTGAGATGATAGATATTATAAAATCATGACTAAAAGTGCATCCTTCTAATTCAGGCTAGACGTACATCTGGCTACAATAAAATGCAATCGTAAAACAGCTCTCCTCACAGCACTGTCAAACATTTCGTTCATTATTAGGACAAATGTTTCTCATGGTAAACATTTAGATTTGAAATGACATTCCTGAAGGGCCCTCCAGGGAGCCCGGATCACTGTGATTTATGAGGTTTTCGTCGAAAAACGTTTCCTAAAAGACACTGAACGTCAACTTCGGAGGAAACGTTACATGATAATAGAAAAAATTCGGTGCGGAAATCGCCGGAAGTGACCTAAGCGTCGAATCTACTTTTCATTCTTTGCAAACAAAGTAGTTAAACAGGGAATGCACAGGATGCGACTTTATTATCTTCATATTCTCTCATAGAGACAATATGAAGCCAACAGATCAACCGAGAGCCTTTAACCAGTATTTAAAATTGCTTTGTTATGAATACAGTACCCAAGCCTCCTACGTAGCAACTTCCCAACTTGTCAATTTCGGTGTCATTGTTGCAGCAGCCCGTTACGCATGAATAAAATAGCCGGAAGTAAACAGTACGTAACCAGCGGTAATGTCGAAAACGTTCCTCAATAAAAGGTTGTCCTAATGTATGTGTGACAGCTGATAATTTTGCTGGAGTTTATTTCGGTTGCGGTAGTAACCTTCTGGCCGCAGGTCCGTAGATGGCATTTGGGGATGGTATTATGAGTACTGTTTTAGGTTTATGCATTCTGAAGTTACTCTTACATTCCCAACGAATTCGGCTTTCCAAACTACTGTAAACAGAATTAAAAATTTGAGATTCGAAACACTGGGCGTGTTTTCGAAAACATTCTACAACAAGTTTGCACAAATATTATTTATTTCCATTCTTGCTGCTGCATGAGGTAAATCGTCGTCGATCCGGAACACATATATAATTATAAAAAATGTTTTAAAAGAGATACCCGAAGCTTGATTAGAATATAGAAAAAAATCCGGAAAACTAAAACCCCGCAGGAAAAGATTTGGAAATATAAAAGATCATGAGTGTAGACTACAAAATCTAATCAGAATTCCATCTTTTTTGCCTTCGGTGGGCTCAACGGGCTTACGGTAATTGAAATCCTGCACATCTTCTTGAGTTTCAAGCGGAATACGGTAGTTTATTGGAAGTGTAACCTCCTGCTTTTATAATTGAATTTATGTACCGCATACCGCCCCTACGCATCGACGATTTCTGTTTTTATATATGTAGTTAACCTAGACTTGGTAGCTAACCAAATAGCAAGCCTCAGCCGACTATCAAAGAAAGCACAAGAATGATATCATCATGTACGACTGACGTTGTGCTTAAAAGACGGTAAATAGAACTATATAAAAAACTGAGTAAAACCATATCAGATATTCAAATTAAGCACATAAATTACAACAAAAAATCGTAAAACTACGCATTTTTATGCAAAGTTTATTATAACATTAAAATAGAATTTTACTTGTTACCTGCTGCAACTCTCTCCTCAAACGAAATATCCGTTTATACAAAAACGTTAACCCGAAATAGTCGTTTCGTTAACTATGCTTGCGTTTCACCGACACGTACGACAATTAGAATACTAGAAGACAGTTCAAAAATTTAGAATTCACAAGTGCATGAAAAAGGTGGAAAAACGAAACTTTACGTTGACTCTAACCTTTCCTCAAATTTTAATTTATTCAGATATTATTAAATCTGTGTAAAACTGTCATTCAAAAGTATCGGACAGATGTTTTCTCGGAAATCAAAGTCGAACTCGTTGAAAAAGTTGAAACGGTATTCTGCGTGACATTTTGAAAAGCCAAAACAACTAAATTTGGACCGTGTATTTTACGGCTTGGAAGATATAGAACTTTTTTCCAGTTGTAGAAATAAGTCTAATAAGAATGATGAGGATTCATTACACACCTATTTTTTCGAATTATAACGGACGTTTCAAGGGCAAAACATTCTGTGACATTTTGCCTTTAAAGCCGTAGTAGCGCAATTCAAATGTAGTTGTTCGTGTCCGTTAAAGTTAGAGATTTAATGTGCTGTAGCTGCCTTGCACAGATCAGCCACATAAGTTTCGATTTTAAGAGAATCGAAGGCCCTATATACCCAACTTGCTGATCCATGCTTCAGCAAAGTATAGTACTAAAAAAGTAATGAGGACGCACATCCTTTATCCACACAGAGGGCTTAAATGAATTCTTGATTGTCTTGAGTTTTCAAACTTTACTATTTTCCAATAGCGACAGTTGCAAGGAACGAGCTTTGCCAAAATGCAAGAATCTCGACTACCAAAGCAATTTCTTCCGGGAGAGGTAGATGGCTACATCAGCGGACTGGAAATGTCTGTCCATTTTGCGGTTTCTTTATAGCTATTGGATCTAACCATCCTGTTTTGGCAGACAGTATTTTCAGACCAAATATGGTTAAATGTAGGACTATCCCAAAAATACATTTCTTTTTTGAGTTTGTAGTAAAAGTACCTCTGACTCTTACTCTGACTTGGCAAAAAACTTTGACTCACAGAATCCACCCCTAATAATTTATTCGTTTTGCCGGTTTCTCACAGCTGTATATTGCTTGAAATTTCCGTCGACAATTATTTAATCCTATCCGTGACCTACTGTTTTGATTTACGTACGTGTTTATCCCCGACCCGAAGTTACAGCAGTCGTGATATGTACGTAATTCGAGTCAAAACTCGCTAATTTCAGCTCGATTCTGGAAAGGCGGATTGCCGCTGCAAATAATTAATTGCCCGTTTCTCCTGAAGCTTGTCCTAGGTCCCGCCCCAACGTCTTGGTACATAAGTGGGCACGGGGAATTAGAGCCAATATCAGTCATGAACAGCATGCTCCGGTTAACTGTAACAATCTTCTTGTTGAATTTGCTTGATGAAAACGTGGACGGATTCATTCTCGCAAGCCAGGTTCCACACCGAATGGAGAATCGCGTCGATTACGGTAAGATATTCAATTTTTGTCTGATTTATCAATAAAATTTGTGTTATACTGTAAAGCTGCTGAAGTCATACTGTGAGATAGATCCACAAAAAACTGGAACAACCACCTCCAGAAGACGTTTTACCCTTTTTATTTTTTTTTGTTTTGCATCTATGGCAATTGACAAAACTGGTTACGTAAAAATGATTTTAGACAAGCCCGTTTATTGTCCTAAAGCTATGCCTTTGACCCAAAATTCCTCCATCGTTTTCAGATAACACAGAAATTTAAGTTTTGACCCTCCGATTTTTCCTACAACCTTCCTGCCTTTTCTTATATGCAAATGTCAAAAAAAAAGGCTTGGCCATTAAGATTTCGGTTAAAATTTCCCAGCTGCCATAATAGGCCATAAGAAATATAAATTTTTGCTCACAAGGTATGACAATCTTTTGTCTCCACATATATGATTAATTAGCTGTTATTATGTATTAAAGCATTTACTTCTGATGTCATTTGCAAAAAACAAGTTTAAATATTAATCAACTCGTTTGCAGACCCAGCACCGTACAATCCAATTGTTTTGTCGCAACTCCTGCAGATCCCGCGACTTACCATCGTGCCCGTTAAACGCGACAACAAACCAGAGAAGTCACGGGAGCGACAGAATGTCGAAGGCCACATGATCAAACAGCCCCTGCTGAAGTTCGACATGGTCTGGAGAAGGTTCTCGGGTCACAAAAGATTCAGCAATGCTCTATAAAAACGGGATGCCCTCAGGCATGATCTCTAAATAGCCGTCCTACGTACGCCCATAGATGTGATAAATCGATCTCAATGTTTACCTGGCCTTATTTATTGCATTCACTACTCTTTAAAATATTCGTTGTTGTCAAAAATAAAGTGCGATATTACAAGAATGTGAATACTTTATTCAGTTCTGAGATCTTTACACCGGTCGCAATTCAAACACCATTACACTTACACGTCGGGGGATATTCTTTGGCTTCTATGTCGTACGTAGAAGGATGAAATGTATGTATGTACACGTAGAGGGAGCTGAGAAAATTCTCAAAAAAAGGATAAGGGTTGTTTAAAGTTCACTGTAGATTATCCAGGGATCCTCGCGAATGTCGCCACAAAGATTGTACGCGCAGGGATGCTGATCCATCTCCAAAACTCGGCGATGTAATGAGGTTGTGAAAAAGATGGGAAGCAGAATAAAAGTTACAAATATCAGGAATCCCGTGGCTCCATTCACGAACACCGCGGCTTTGTCGTTCTCGGCATGCTTCTTTTGGATTAACAAGCGGTTCTTACTGAAGATTTTATAATTTGTAATCGAATATTCGGAAGACGTAGATGTATTGGAGATGTTGGAAGTTATGGAGTTGGAACGGCGCTTTGTCATCTGAAACCAAATGTGATAACTCAGCATTAAATCATACTTATCGATACGCGCTTAAAGGCCAGTTATTGGGACCCGATTAGATCGATAAATTCGGAATCAAACAAACTAAATTTGTGGCAGAAAAAAGCCGAGCTCTTCTGATTCATACCCCCGAATGATACGCAAATAAACAGCTTGTCAGCTGGCATTACCCGTAAATTTGCTGTAAAGTTAACGATGACCAGTCTGAGCGAGCCGAATGCCACGTCTTATTGAACGAACAGCCTTTTTGTAAGAGAAATGTTATGAAACCAGCTCGGGAAACTTCCGGACAAAAGAATCACAATTACACATTTAGGTTGTGACTGTAAAGGAGGTTTGAAGGAAAGAAGAAAACGATTCTATTTTAGAAAAAGTTATATTTCACACACATGCAGAAGAGGTAAAAATTATTTTAGCCATGTTTGTAACCACGACTTTAGTTAGACATCAAACGTAATATTAAACATCAAAAAATCATCCATAAGTTGTATAGTTGCATAACTTCGAAACAATCGCAAAGATTGAAAATCTCCGGAGTATATAAAGGCTTGCAACCGCCAGGAAACAAGGTCAATGTCGCTAATAGGATTATAAACGACAAAAGAGGCGGTAACGGAAGATGCGGGTCAAGGTTTCTGTTTGTGGAATCCAACGGAATCGGGAAATATTAAACGTAATACGAATTTCATGAGAGCAACCTCAAAGTGATAAGGTCTTCCCGGGCCGGAAAGGCCGGGCTTTCATAAATTGTCAGGCCTTATTTGCAGCTATGCTTAGTATCAAGACAAATGAATCAGCACTTCCGTGGAAAGATGACTCAAAAAATGGTAACAGTCAAAAATAGAGTGGAGTTTGCGCCAGACAGTCGTTTAGGAATTCTACGAAAGCATGGGGAAATTTCGAAATAATAATACTTTCCCTTCAGACGGTCTTAACCTTTCCTTTGAAAAAAGGCATTTAGGAACGGTTTAAAAAACGCAGCTTACAAAAAAAGGAATCTTTTTGTCTGTAAAGGGTTGCTCACTTTGCAAGACAAAGAACTGGGATTTTGATCTTTTTCAATATAACACATGCAATGTTGTATAATACAAAGGTCTACTGCGGAGGGCACCTAATAACGGCAGCACGACATTTCCGGAATAGGGACACTTCCGGAACGGTAAATAATACGTTAAACAATGATACCCCTTACCTGGTTTCAACATTAAATTGTAGTTCTAGTATCAGCGTTTAATTGTAAACACGTTTTTATACCCGCACCTGAAATTTTGGATCAAGGTTGATGATGTTGTTCATGGTTTAACCTCCTACCAAGAGCCCCGAGTGGCCTCGATAAGAGCTGTAAACGATGCTGTCGGTAGTAGTTATTGCACTGATAAGCTCACATAACAACAAACAATTACATTTCTTGCCATAAAAATTTCTTAGCGTTCTCAGTTACAATAAAATCTTTTGATGAGTAACGAAAGTTGGTAGGGGGATGTAACATAGTACATAAAAGGATCGTGCGTTTCTCAGATCGCAGATACTATACCTAAATTTCTTCCAGACTTTGCTTGATCCCTAAGAAAATCCCAAAAAAATGACGATTCAAAGAGCAGAAAGAAATGCTGGAAATATTACCAGCTCGTTTGATCGCAATTGCACTCTTCTTGGCGCTATAAAACGACTGGAGTCAAGGTCAAAAACTATATAAGTCTTTTTTTTTACAAAAATTGCGATAGTTTCCCGCTTTCCTGATGTAAAACAGTTACTTTTACGAACTGCTGAATAAGGCTTTTATGAGGTATACAAGAAATGAGTCTGACTTTCTCATAAACAATGTATTGATCAAAAATCATTGAACATATTTGCCCAGCGAATGATGAAAAGTTATTACCGCCACCTGTGACAACCTCAACAAATTACCGACTTGCTGTCATTGCGCAGCAATTCTATTGTCGTCTTGTCCATCAAACAACAATGTCTCCACATGTTTTGAGGCCGAACCGAGACCGCTAAGATTACAACTTTAAGTTTCCATTAACGGGGTTTGTGCTGTTTTTGAAAATAGCTACAGTTGCTTTCAATGAAATGTGATTACACTGCAGAGTGTGACCTTATCAGCTGATAATGATCGAAGGAAGTGTAACATTTCATCAGCTGGCAGTACCATCCAAAAAAGAATTGTAATTTGACCTTATTGTAAGGTTTGTTTTAAAAATCCCGTCAAATTAAATGCCTGTTTCCATTGGCCACAAAGCAATTCTATTTAATGTGGTAAGCTTGCTCAGGCATGGCAATCGGCCGGGCTTTTTACTCCAGACTAGGGAAGTGTACAAACTGACCCTCACCAAACATCAAGTGTTATATACCATTCGAAAACCCTTGACAATCAATATTAGAAATTACTTCCTCTCCCTTCTCTGATTCTCCGGATCAGATAACTTGTACGGTATCAAAGGGGCAACTCACGGCAACCCGAAATGGAAGAAAAATTTTTCCCGCCCAGTTTTGAGTTTCGTCCAAACGAAGTGCCAAAATTGACAAAAGAAATAAAATAATTCCGAGAAAAATATTTTTCGGTTGGAAAATCCCACGAAAAATTCTCTTGTGACATTTTGTTTGATTTCAACCGATACAAAATGGGCGAAGTGTCGAAAGGAGCCAGAAAACACTTCGGGTTTCCGTGTAACTCCCTCTTGACCTCTCTCCAAATGCCAACTCCTAAGGTCTCCGTTTATATATTTATTGATGGCCGCTTATACAACGCTAAGAATAGCCTCTTCACGAGCGTCCACTCTTTCCTTCCAACGTTTTCCGGTGTTCATTGTCGTCGTTGTCGTTCCGCAATCGTTGTCGTTGGAACGTCCGGTCGTACTGTGGGACCAAATGTGGGTCTGGGCGCGGCTCGTTGGCCATCTAATTGTGGGACCTTTGAGAGGCTTGGAGTAGACGGGGTGGGGTTGGTGTGCTGGTTAGATCGTAGATTGACTGGCGATGTCTGAAATATAAAATAGTTATGCCTTTATGACAGGACAAGGATGATAGGTAATAGCCAGAGACTACAACAAAAGAGGCAAAGTCTTACCGATTAATGCTAATCACCTGCATTCGGCTTAAGTTCTCACTTCGTAATGAGATCAAGTGGTCTCTAAGGGAGCTGTCTATCGCCAAATCGCCGACGACATCCAGTGGGCTTTCGTGGACCGTGAAGGTTCGGCCGAAATCCGGGACGTCATCATTAGTGTATCCTTTGGGCAATGGCGGGATCTGTTTTACGGTTTCGTCGCGCTAAAAGATGATAATTTACTTCATTATTCCTACCTTTTTTCTGATAGTCTTAGAAGACCGAACTTTTTGATTTCCTCTTCACTTGTCTTCAAGGCCTTGATCTTGCGCCTTTCTATCACGACCTGACCTTGCTCGAGTAGAAGCCGAGCCAGTGGTTGGCTGGTTCATGACACAAAGGCCTTTTTCGGGAAAGGCTGGTCTTTGGGACACGAGATTCTTTCGACTCCAAATTCTAAAGTAAGGATGATTTAAGTTAAATATTTATTCGTCCTACCTTTCAGTCCGTTGGTAATGTTTTCAGTAGTTGCGTTTGATGCAAGGTTTAACAGGGTAACGAATTGGATATCCGTTTTCTCCCGATCCTCATCCAGAAGTTTCACCTTCGAAAAGGGAGCTTCATTCTCCTTCTGTTGTTTCAGGTGCTTGTAGTACACCGTCCTGTGGAAAACTTTGACAAAATAGTCTTCTTTCCATGTCGGAATCCAATATCCGAATCTTAGCTTTGCCAGCTTGTCGTTGCTGAAGGCTGTGCACCTTTAGATGCTGATTCAGAGCACCAACGGTTATGGCCCTGGCCATGCTCTTGTGTCCACAAAAGCCACACCATGGAATTCCAGTTTCATCAACTCTATAAAGAGGATGGTGACGGGCTTCGTCGGAGACCACCGACATACTTGCAAAAGTCCCTTACTATGAATGAGCCAAATTTCCAAATTGAATTTTTGGTTGAATAATTCGAATTGAAATTTTCATAAAAAATGCGAAATCTTGGGAATTTCCATTTTTTATAGTTATTTTGAATAATTATCCATTATTGGTCATGAAGTACAAAGTTCAAAACAAAGGGTTTATTTATTGCTATTTACATATTTATTACAGTAAATAATCAAAATCAATTACACATGAAATCTGCTGAATCTATAGTCGAAGTTGCCCATGATCAATATTTGAGATCTGCTTTTTAAAAATAAAACTGGAAATTTTTTATTGTCGGCATTTTTTCGTTCTGGCGCATATGTTGTAAGCCATCTTTTACCTCTCCAAAAACCTCCCTTCTTCGGCAATAAATCAGGTAATTTTGTTCAATTTTTTAATGGTTCAGGAGCATTTTTTCTGACGTCAATGGTCAAGCCAGGGTATATTTCTTATAGAAACCAACAGGAATAGATGGGGTTTACTTTTCTCCACAGCGCTTTCTTTCCATATGCGTTACGGAATATTCCCTTTATCCACGCTTGCCACCTTTTTTTGCTGATAGAAAATTTTTATGTTTAAAATGGTTTTGACCAGCCGTTGAAATGAGTTGATAAGAGTTTCGGAGTGATTCAATGAGAGAGAAGGGAGAATTTCATGTCTAACCTGAGCGTTGTCCTTGTTTACTGATATTTGATTTGATCTTCTGGTTTTTAGATGATCGCTTTGGAGCAACGGAAGTTGATGTAGGCGTCTTTTGTTTATTATGGCATTTAGAATTGAAAGGTGGATGATGGTAATAGGAGTGAGCGATAAGGGGACTGAATTCTTGCTAAAATTAGTCCTCGGTCTGAGTGTTTTTGGAAGAACGCGAGAGTTTATACCAGAATTTTTAGTTAAAATCTAATCAAACTGATATATTGGCAGTTATAAGGAGTGTAATGTAAGAGGGGATGTATTGGGATGAATTGAATGCCTATTTATTGAAGATTTCTTCTTTATTGCTTTTTGGTTTCAGGATTCCAAACGGCTCGGAGAGTGAGAAGCATAACGAAGACGACGTCCCCCGTGCCCATTACGGCGGCACAACGCCAGCTTCAATGCCGGAAATGAACCACCAAGGTGGATCTCAAAGAAGTTCAAGAGGATCGCCGGCATTGGGCTCAGTTATGGATCCCTTGCTCTACGAAGAAAGTCCTATCAGCAAAGATCGACGGAAGTTCCTTATCGTTTGTGTGTTTGACTCAGTATTGACGACAATGTTATGGCTTTTGAGCACGGTAAGTTCTTTTTATTACTGTTTTCCGCCTTTAGGTCCTGACAGATGAAAGCGTCGAATCCTTGAAAATTGGGTATTTTTTATCGATTAGAGTCGAGAAGATAACATCTCGAAATTACTCCTACGTTTTTGAATGAAGCGGAAAGAAAATGAAGGGGAGAGAGATAATTGGTATAGCTGGCAGAGGAGTCCGACGTTGATTATGAGTCAAAAGATAGTCTGTGGGTTTATTTTTGGCTCTAAATTAAATTCAGAAACTAATGAGAAACGGTTACATACTCAAATTTATACAAATTATTATATCAGATCTTTTATCACATAGCTAAATAAATTAAATTTAACATGTAAAGGCCATATATTCATGAGATTTTCGTGATGATTGAAGCCAGTTTTCTTCTGGAAATGCTTGTTTTCTCGGATTCAAACGGTTTTTCGGCGGTTTCTGTGGATTCTTCGACGTGAGCGTCTCCTGCAAGATAGTGGTTGTTTCGGTCAAAAAATGGTTTATGTCCCGCTATCGGAAAAGACAGTTTTGAAATAGCACTATTTCATTTTCAGGTGACGAAAGGAGATGATTGGCCAGCTATTTTTTTCACCGAAGTCAACATTTTCGAGCCCAATTTCTTGAAGATCTCCCTGTTTGATCTGGTAATCGTGGGAGTTCTTCGAACGGCTCTACTCCTACTTTTCTTCGCGGCCCTCCGATCCGAACACTGGCTTCCCGTTGCCTTTACAACTACAGTAACCACTGGCTTCATCGTTGTGAAGATTCTATTTTTTTTCAAAAAGGATCACGGAGCCCTGCCTCAATACCTTGTTCTTCTGGCATCCTTCTCCGTGGCCTGGTTCGAACTTTGGCTGGTCCCATTCCGAGTGTTGCCTGGGGAAAGACGTGATGTTGTCGAAGATTCAGAGCCTTCTGTTCGACATTCCGACGCCACATCGTCAGGTTTCCGGCGAAATAAACGCATAAATGACACGACAAGGTGAGATCCGAACTTTTTTACCTAAAAATATTGAAATTGTGTTCTCATTTGATCTTCATATGGGATGATCTATTATATATCTATTTCCAGAAGGTATCCAGTCACTACGGACGATGACTTCAGGTCCGCATTGGAATACACAACAGGTAAGGTGTTCAGAATGGGTTGAATTGATCGGACTTACCCTTTCTTTGAGCGGCGTGTCTTTATTCATCTCCTTTTCCTTCTTCCTTGCTTCTTTTTTCTCTCGTTTCTCTTGTTTTCTTTTCTCTTTTATGTACAAAACGTGTCTGAAATTCCTTCCGTATTTCCTTCCCATCCTCAATTCGTAGATGATCTGTGCTCTTCTTTCGTCGACGGAATGAATTTTTGGCGGCTTCATGTTGAAATAATAGCTCTCGTCATCGTAATACATTCTAAAATAGATGTAATGTTAGTCGGGGTTCTAAATTTGAAGGGATCTCTGATTAAGCGGGCATTTTAAATTGGAAGAAAGTAAATTATATTGTTTGACGTTTAGAAGGTGATAAACACACGAAATAAACCAAGAAAATATTGGAGTTTAAAACGCAAGAGGAAAAGACTAATTTTTTATACGATATGACGCCACATTAGTCTTCGTTTTGGCAGAGATATCATTAATAAGTTATATATTTTTTATTATTCAAATTGCAGATGAAGAGCGGACCCCGGGTGCCTCGAAAAACAAGCAAATTACAATCCCCGGCTTTGGAAATGTAGACCGACAAACCGCCTTGGGCATTCTGACCGATTCCTCACAACAGCTGGCTCAATTACTGAACGAAGTCCCGTTATGGAAGTCGATGAAGAACTCGGATCCAGTGATTCGCAGCCGGGACGCATTGTTTTACATCAGAGCCGAATTCCATACGGATCCGAAGACTCTGTTCTTGGCTGCTTGGAGAGACAACTGTTTATGGAATCCCCAGGTGAAGAAGATGAACTATTTGATCAAAATAGATGCCCAGACCGATGTAATACATCTGGAGACACAACCGGCATTAGGTGGATATATTGCCTCAAGGTAAGAAAGGCGTGAAGTTTAAATCCGGGGAATAAAACAGAAATTAGTCTCAGGAATAACATCACATGGTCAGAGAGTTAATTTGAGGTAGTTTTTCAACCCAGAATTTGTTCAAAACGTTAACAATCAATTGACTGATAATGCGGATTATTGTAAAAGGGAAGGAAGAACGTGATTAAAGGGGTGTGGAAAGAATTTGAGGACTCTCTGAACTACGTCAAAGGTCCTAACAAAAACTTGATTAGACATAGACAGGAGGGTGGAAAGATCAATCGAACCTTGGAATTGCTTGTTTTTAGTGTTACTGTAGATATTGCCAGTGGTAATTGAAATAAAATCTGATCTTAGGTTTAGGAAAGCGAGGTGTCCTTTTTGAAAATCAATTGAATTTTGCAAAGTATAACTCCCGATAAAATGAAAGGACCAAAAATAATCAGCGAACAAACTGAACGAAAAAACAGGGTAAATCATAATATAAAAAAGATCTAAAAATGGAAAGATACTCAAATTTGATGAGATAGGGCAACTACAACATACTGATAGATCCGGGTAGACATTTTACAAAAAGAAAGACAAAGAAATGCTAACAGAAATAAAATTATTCGGTACTTCCGGTGGAAGCCAAACGAAAAAAAAACAAACAAAACAGATGGATTTAATATTGCTTTAGTGAAAATGGATAGAAAATGATAACAAAAAAGGACACGATCAGAGGGTCACATAATCTAACTTTTTCAAATTTCAGACATTTTGTGGACATTCGTCGAGTGATTTTCGAGCCCGAAACCAACGCTTATACCTGTGTCTACACCTCAATCCCCACCCCGCTGAAGCCCGAAGAAGCCCAAGGAGGTGTGAGGTAAGTGAATTGAAGTTTGGAAACACGAAAAAATTTAAATTCGGAGGCGATTAATCGAAAAGAAAAGCGATACTCGGAGGAAGTAACGGTCGTCAAAAACAGATCGTTACTGTGTTATGACAGCAAGCCATTGATGGGGTTGGGGTTACGTCGAGAGTGCAGTAAATGGTGACTTCTTTGAGAGGAACCTGATATGGCGAAACGATCTTTGGACTAACTACTCCGAATCTAAGAAAAATATGTTGGGCATAAAGGTTACTGTAGGTTGAACTATTGGTCCCTTTTAGTAATGGAAATGTTTCAATAGTTAATTGAGATAGAAAATAGTGAAATGCACCAGGGTTGACAGTTGATTACCTATTTACCTATTTGTTTCTCTCAACTCCAACCTGGGTTTTCCCAGCCTATCAGACCTCTAAAAGTCGTCTTATACAACAAGGCTGGCATTAAAAAATAGTGGGACGATTGATCGATGAAACGACGGAGCTTGCAAGGAAACTGTAATTTGTTGGTTTACAATAAATTAAAGGGATTAAAGTTTCGCGATTGAGAGATTACGAAGAATCAAATAAGAATTTAATTGCAAGTTGGTGTAAACGACATATCTGGGCATCAGAAAGCGATAGACAAGCCCAGTTGATGTATGACTGAAGTCTTTTCTGGATAAAAAGAGTGTAAATCGAAGGTGGAAGTCAATCAGTTTACAAAAACAGTTCGATCATTAAATGTTGTGACTTGTAGACTGATGAATGTGATATAACCATGGTTTTTGTTGACGCAATACTCCCCGTTCCACAAAGAAAAGATCAATGAGGTATCAGTGGGGTTCGTACAGCTGTATTTCCAAATAATTTATTCAAAAGTTTATTCTTTTGGGCTTTCCAAACTGATGGGATAATTTATTTTAAAATGCTAAGCCAGTGTAGTAGTCGAACAAACAAGGAACAGGGTTTAGAATTTTTTGATCAGCCCCTGGAGGTCACTAAACGAAGATAAGAGATTCAAGAAATTATTTGCAGGTATTTAAAACATAAATCACTTGCTTCAAATGGTGTTATAAGGCGATTTTGCAAAGTTGCAAATGTGGAATGAAGGCCTTATTATTTCCGGAGGAAGTTGGTTATCATTAGTTACATCACTTTGGACTATTGGCATGATCGAGTCATGCATTCATTTGGTCCGTTTGTCTTTTGGTTCAATGCCATTTGGTCTATTGTTCTTCTCAGTTGCTGTTTGAATATCATTTCCCCGTCCACGTGATCGCAGTGATTGAAGATTTCCAAACTTCAGCCCAAGACAGAAAATTTTTTTTTTGAATTAAGCCATGTTATATCTTGCGTATAAAGATCCATTACTTTCAGAGGCCACAATCATCCCAATCTCCTTCGAATAGCCCCATCAACGATCAACGAAGGAGTCTCCATATTTGAATGGATTATGAATACGGATGTGAAGAGTAATGTCCCCAAAGCCCTCATGAAACGAGGCACCGTATCCTTCTTGTCGGCCTATCCGAAACTTTTGGAGGCTTACATCAAGGAGCGTAAAGAATTTTACGAAAATGAGGTTGTATGAGGAAGAGAGAGCTGCTCTGATTATGAATATCAATTGGGAAAGCTGAGAGGTTGCGATGAAGTGATTGCAATACGATTTTTTGTGCAATCCCAAAGTCCTAGGCTATTACAATATTTTTATTATACTACTGACAGTTCTTTACAGTTTTGCTTATATTGTCTTGGATATGAATTGTAATGTAGATCTTTTGTTGGATCACCTTCTCTCGCCCTCGCCGCTTCATTTAAAATCTCTCCGTGACGGGTTTCCTTTGTGATGTCCCTTAATTTATAACAAATTTGTGTAAAGATGTATATAAAGGTGTTATCACCAAACGACATTCCATCCTATCACTCAGCAGATACCATATTACACTTTGTGATTATAAGCTTCAAGCCACCATCGTTTTATGATGTAATTATATTGTTTACAATAGTCTTTTCCTTGGTTTTTATAAAGTATTGTTAAGAAAATCAGATTTATAGGACGATCCAAGAGTTACTCTCCGCTCGGTCTATGGCAACGTCCATCGTTTGGAAGGGCTCGTCCAGCGGCAAGATTTATTTCCTCGGTCCCAGGACCTAAGAAGCGCCGACCTTTCTCCGAACTGCGCGACAAAACGGCGGCGACAAGGCATAAGCAACACAAAGAAAGCGCTCGGCGACCCTGACAGCGACCGCGTCCGTTATTTTCGCCCTCCCCGTTTTTGCGCAGGGACTCTGATAAAGGGAAATTTGCATTTTCAGCTCGATGACCAAAAATTCTTTGTCCCGTTCGACTTTTTGGTGGCGGAAACAGAAGGCTGAGGCGGCTGAGATTCTGTCAATGTTGTGCAAAGGTCATAGCCTTCTCGACGACAAAAACTGTTTACTCCGTATGCGGGGTCTCGGGACGCATCGTTTAATCAGTCCAGGCGTCGAGAATTGACGCGTTCTTAACGGGGGAGTCGGCTCTTTCGGTTTTTGTGGGCTGGTGAATGTTTTATGCAGACGTTTAGTTCTTCTATAGCCGGCTTTAGGTTTTTGACAGTGCCGTAAAGTTCAAAGCAATGTGAAATCTTCGGAACGTATGTTTAAATTATACACGTTACGAAGTTTGTTTTAAAAATTGGTTCTGTTATGTGTTTCCATAATGATATTTTTTCTCGACTTGATTGGTAGCTGGGGATGGCTGGGACTTGTTCAGGCTCAGCCAATAAAAACGTGAGGATGGTAAACGGCCGGAATCGTGGGCCATTCTTCTCGTCAACGAACTGCTCTTTTTCAGATCCCGCATCAAATAACTTCGTCAAAAGTTGAGCTGCAAAAGGTCAAAGTTAACGACAAAAAAATAATTTGGTAGAAAAAGAGGAAAGCTTACCCTTCGCTTGCTTCGTATGCCGAATCAAATGCCATGAAGGCGTTTCTTCTCTCCAGAAATTTTAATCATTTTTTTACTTCTTGGTCACCGATTTGCTTTGCGGCATATTCAAGAAGACTTCCATGTATTTTTGATTTGTAACTACATAGTTTCATGACCTACTGAACCTGTAAGACAGATACATTGTTAACATACCAAGCCTCTAATACCTATAGTTTGAGCCATATTCGGCCGTCGATTGTTTGAACAATAAAAAGGCCAAATATTGTAATCCCAGGGAGTGGACGAAGAATGCAGTCGTGAATGAATCGCGGGGTACACCAATTATTTTAATCGTAACCACGTCATGAAGCTATATAATATGTTTTTCACTTCTGTACCAAAATAATGTCCCACATGCTCTTTCATTAGTGTCTTTTCACCTTATACGTTATTGAACTTGCGGGTTTCGTTGAAATCGGATCGACGCAGGCCGCCAGTCGCGTCGACCATCTTCCCCTTTGCCGTTTGTGGCTGTTTTTGTCGCCTTTGAATGCGAGACGAGAAAAAACATTCGATGTGCGTTTTTTTCGTCGCACCCGCCGGGTTTTGCTCTCGCTCCCCAAGGCCCCTCAATGAAGAACCTGCGACGAACTGATCGAACGCGGGCGGACTCCGAGTTCTGCCCAAGGTGAAGGAGTTCTTGTTTGCGTTTCTTCCAGCGTGCGCTCTCTGCCGTCCTGTCGCGCTCTCACCGTTCCTCGCCCTGTCTTCTGTAATTTTGTCGCGTGCTTTGCGCCATCGCTGTCGCTTTTACGGGGACACCGGGTCGAAGGGCAAGGTTGGGGCGTCACAAAAAAGAAAGAAGCGACAAATGTGATCGCGAGGCGTTTGCAGTCGCTTGTTTGGGGCTGGAAAGTCTTGGCGTGCTCCTCCAGCGAGGCTGGACGGCATCTCATCCAGCCGTGTTGCTGGTCTTGATCTGTGATGCCCATCGTACCTTTCTCTCCTCCGACGTTCACTTTCTTCCGCGCATTCCACCCGCTTGACCCTGAAATGGCAGCTTTTTGGTTGTCGCGCTCGCTTTAGTCTTGCCTATCGCTAAAATAAAGTCATCCGGGTCCTTCATAAACCAAAAGTCCCCTTAACTTGGGCTTTGTACCGTCATTACAATAGATCCCAGAACTCGCATCTTCTTTGTCATCCTCTAGTCCTAAGAATTCGTCTTCCTTCGTTTGTCTTTAGGCATGCCGAAGCTGAACTCATTAGAAATTAATTAACACCCGCAATGGGGATGGATTATGGTGTTGATGACGCTCTCTGTTTGGGGACCTCAAATTTTTCCAATGTCACTGTTTCGCCACTAAAATTGTTGGAAACTTTAAAGCGAAAGTCGGCTTTCATTTCCCGTCACCAGATGTCCCCGATCGTTTTCGCCGGTATCGATCGCATCGCATGTTTTGACACATTGCCAGCCAAACAAGAATGCTTTCTGTTTACTTGGCCATCTTTGACGCGGCGCTTTTAATTCTACCGTTTTCCCTGGGCAGGTTTGAGTGTTGCTTTCGGAAATGCCGTTTTATGACCCATATGTAGATAGAATGTCTTATCTAGAAGTAGAGGATACAAGTTTGGCAGTTGAAGTAGAGTGTTGGTTGTTGTTGTTGAGAGAAGTTCCCATTTGAGAATGAAAAAAGCCGAACCCTCAACGCCGACTGTACTTTACTGAAATCCCAATCCGTTTAATGACACGGGGCCGTGAGCCGGTCGCGGTGTCGTTGGACGTCATCGCTCGTATATTTTTTGCGCATTTATTCCCCCCGACTCCGGCGGCCGCGGCCCAATTCCATTTCTTTTTTCAGCCATTTTTCGGCCGCTTTTCCATTCGCTTAATGCGTCCGTCGGCGCCGCCAGCACACGCCCGGAGGCGCCTTCAGGCTCTTTCTCGGTGCCCAGCGGATTTTTGCAGTCGACTTTGTGGCGTCGCATTTAACGGGGAATGAGCGGCCGAATGAGGGGGAATGTGGTGATAGATCTCGGTAAAGGGGTGTAGAAATTGAAGTTACAGTCTTGGAAGCGCACAGCAACATGTTTGGTAAAAAATATTGTTTTTCCAGGTAAAAACTTTGGATTGTAAGGTAAAATAAACGCGTATCGTCATTGATTTACTTCCTTATGCTAAGAAATTCCTTGATCCGCCAGCTCGTTCCGTTGATTTTGTACCTCCCAGACGTTGATGTCTGGGTTTGTTAATTAAGTGTAAGCTGGACGCATTTCCTAGGAGTTAAATCATCTTCAGGACCGAGAATTTTTTTGCTGCCAACGGAAGGAGAAGCGGCGAAAAATGAGTTGGGGTCCGCCGAAGAAGCCCGAGCAGTAGATGAGACACGCGTTACGGTTGGCTCATTTTCGTGTCCGGAGGGCCGCGCGCCCACCCTCCCTTTCTTCTGGCCGTCTGTTTTTGTTGGGCGCGCTTGTGCCCTGAGGGCATTCAAGCCCTTTTTTGAGCACAATGACTTCTGGGCCTTGCAATGAGGACTGTAACCTCAGCTGGACCACTCGCTAGCAGTTCGGCATCAACGTCTCCACGAGATCTCAGCCTTTTTTGCCCGTTCTTTCCGATTTTTTTGCTGTGTTCCCAAGGAAATGCAAATTCGGCGGACGCGCTGGTCCCAATCCCCGACGATAAATTGCGATAACACGATCGGTGGGCCATAGTAACTTTACACAAACCCATTACGCGCCAGCCAAGTCCCGTTTTGAATGCGAATTATTGCGGTTTCTGATGAAGTGCGCCCAGAAAAAGGTCTGGGTCGGGCAAAAAGTAATATTTCTTGCCTTTCTCCGGCGTTAATTATGGAGCGCACGGCCTCGGGGCATTTTTTGTGCCGAGACCGGAATTTTTTTGGCCGAAGGTTGTGGGGCCGCGGTATAATTGGAGGGTCGGAGTGATCAAGGTGCCACGAAGACCAAGGCTTCCCGGGTTTCCTTCGGATAATCCCGGCATCCGCCATGTTTTGCACCACCTGTTTATCGGAGCAAAAAACAACTCCTCAAACATTTTTGTGTACCGTAACGTCCGATTTGACGTTTTAAATTTTCTGCCCATTTTTTGCGCAACTCTTGCGCAACGTTTTTTCGGTGGGGCATGAATTGTTCGACTCGGAAAACCTGTTCCAGTCCCGGCGGGCTGCCCTCCGTTCCCCCCTTTAACCTTGCCAATCGCTCTCTGCGCGCACCGTGCGGAAAAACGCCAACGGACAGAGCGGGCCGAAGAGAGCGCACGAAACGCGGAGGGCACTCGAGAAGGGAGTACGCGAAACGCAGAGACTGATGGGGTGAGCGGATAGACCTGCTCTTTTTACAATTACTTTCTGTTGTTCACGCTCAAATGTCCCGCACGGTTTTCGCCGTCCCCCGAAACGCCCGCCAATGTCTCTTCCCTGCTTCTCTGCGCGCTCTCCGCCGACGCCGCGCTCTCTGCGGATTAAGATTACAGTAGCGACGCGTCTGCGTGAGTCTTTCGTTTTCGCGTTGCCAACAATAAAAAATTGAAAAGGGAAGAACGTTGACGATTCGGGCATTCTCGCGGGTTCTTCTCGCTTTTACTTTTACAATACGCGTCGATGGAGAGGATGAGGGGATGGAGACTTGGAAAACAATCGTTCTGGGGGAATTCTCATTTGTGCAGATGCAAAATAATCATATTAGGTGCCTTTCCTTTTGTTATCGACTCCATAAACGCGCGCCCAACTTGTTTTAGTAACCACATCAGCTTCTGATTCGGTTATGGCCAATAAAAAATGAAAGCGAGAAGCGGCGCGTGGGGTTTTAGCGCCGCCGGGCCCATCAAAAATTCCATGCATTTTGCGGGACCGGCGACAAAAAATTATAAGCAAACAACGGCGCCGAAAGAATATACATCAAGGTCTGTCCTTCTCGCAAGGCCTCGAATGCGTTTATTCCAACAACTTTACAAGCTGAACGCTTTTGAGAAGCGAGGTGTTCCCGCGTTACATCATTCGCGAAATAAACACATTATCAGGGGTGGCAAAGGGGCCTCTTTCTGAAAATTTCCGGCCCGGGGCCGACCAGGCAAAACACCAGGCCCGGCCCGTTTCAGAATTTGCCCGGGTGCGAAATGAAAATTTTCCTTTGATCTTACCGCCTCTGTGGTGCTAAAATCTGCGATGTACTATATTATGTTCTAATTTGGGCCTTAGATTATAACATTCATGCAAAAAAAAAACTTGGGATACTAAAAATACAAACCCATCAAAAAACTGCCCCGGCGCGAAAGCATAGAGTACTTTTGGCGTTTCGATCCTGCCCGGTAAAAACCAAGACCGGCCCGTTTCCAAAATTTGTTATGCCCTGGGCCCGACCCAATGGTTTACGCCCGATCGGGCCGGCCCGGTTGCCACCCCTGCACATTATCCATTTTTATCGTTTTTTTATCGTCATCTCGTCGTATTTTCTAGAAAACATTTAATGTTATTCTTGCAGGTTAGCACGTTTTTAAAGATTTCACCGCACTTTCGCACCACTACACACAGACCATGTCGGGCAAGGCATCTTCGTTTAATTTGACCCTGATCGACGCCTATTATCAACATCCGATGCTCTATGATAACAGACATCGCGATTACAAAGTCCAGAATCCGACCAAAGAGGCCTGGTTGGAGGTATCCCGAATCTGCAGTTCGACGCGTAAGTGCAGATTTATCCGGTGTTCCATATCCATTTGTTTTTTTTTTTTGTTACGAACAGAAAAGCGATATGAAATGAGCCCCCATTTTGTAAAAGAAATCGCACTTTGCGAGTCATAAAACGAAAGTTTAATGGGTAATCTAATTAGCCAACTGTTTCTGTAACGGCTCTCTCTTCAGCGGACGAATGCAGAGCGCGATGGAAGGCGTTGAGGGATCGGTTCATCAAGGAACGCAAGAAAAAGAATGCCAATTCGTTGTACAAAGCAGCATGGCCGTTGTACCACAAGATGGAATTCCTGGAGCCATTCATCGAGCATGCGTAAGGAGATCAAGATTTTTGATTATTCTAAAATTTTAATATTTAAAAAATGGAATTTGGTCTAATCGGAGCTTGTTTTAGTCACAAGAAGGATGTCCGGATGATGAGAGCGCATGCTTTGAATGATCTCCCCAGAAGGACAATCGAAAATGTGGTCGCTTTACTGGTCCGCGAAGCTCAAGGAAATGCGATGACTTCACAACAGACGCCAAGTATGGAAGTGGATACTAAGATCCCACTAACGACTGCGTTGAACATTAATCCTGAATCTTCAGAAGTCACTGTTCAAGAGTGAGTTTGTCTTAAATTTAAATATTCAATTTTTTTTGTCAAGTTTGACCTTTTTTTACGTTTTAGGGATGGACATGAACTGGAGAAGTTCTATTTGCGACTAATTAGGGAGGTAAAACAGCATCAATTATTGTTCGATTCCTCGAATTCGCTGTATAGGGTTACAGCGGCAAGGAATCGTGTTTGGGAAGAGATTGCGCAGACATTTGGAGAAGGATATACAGGTATGAATAGTAATCTTCAAGTCTAATATAAAAAATTTTAACGACGTAAAATGCAGAATTTGAAATACTTATAACTATATTATTTTAGCCAGTGAATTGCGAACAAAATGGCGATCAATCCGCGATCGCTATATCCGAGAGCGTCGCCTTTACAAAGAGTCGATTCAAGAAGGAAAACCCCGTTTCCCCAAGTGGTCGTTGTATCCCGAGTTTTCTTTCCTCGATTATTATGTCGACCAATCCTTCCCTAGGCCATATGTCCATCAAGAAGGCCATGATAATGATTCGATTCACTCGGGAGAGAATCAAATGCATGTGGATACAGAGGAACAGGCGTCTCCATCTTCATCTTCGTCCACTCCCTCAATCGTTGACCCAACTCCCCTCTCATCTTTTGTGAATTCAAGTCTCCCAACGAATAATAACACGATTAACAATGGCAGTCTCCTTCAATTGTTCCAAAAATTGATTCAGAATCAGCAGAATCAGATGTTGCCGGGCATGGGGATAAATGGGCTGGATAATGGGCAGGCTGAAGGGCCAAATAACTTGTTGTTAAGTGAGTCGAATTCATTTTGATGACTTTTTCAAGTAATTGAAGACTTTATTGGCCTATTTAATCCCCAATTATGTTTCAGATAACATCACATCCCTCATCCAACCCCGACCTTCTCGTCCCCGCCAGTCCACCCAATCCAACCCTTCGCCCCTTTCAACGGCCTCGCTCGCTGAGGGTGTTAACGAAGCCCTGGCCGACCTCAACAAATGTGCTGCCAAACTTACCTCCATTTCTCAGGGAATCGCCGAAAACGGCCTCGAATATTCATTTGGACATTATGTGGCATCGGAATTGATGAGAACCCCAGAACCGCGACGATCGGACATCCGGAGAGCGATCTTGGCCTTACTTTCGGCTGAAAATAAAACCAAAAATGAGACGGAAGAGTTGAATCACAACGTCAGCGACACTTCCACAACGTCTTGAGAGCCTAAAGGAGTTGTCTACCGTTTTCTGAGTCCTCTTTTGGCAACTTTTCCATCTTAAATCTTGTACTTTGATCCCATTTTGAGTAAGTCTTGTCCGGTGATTTTCTTGCTTTGTTCTTACGTTTCCGGTCTGCCTTTACTTTCCCCTCCTCTACAACATATTCCCAGAGTTCATATCCCCGTTCCCGCTTACTTCTTCATCTATAAAAATATCAATTTATTTCTTCCGTTTCTTTCCGCATATCCTATTTTCCTTCATTTTGCTTTTGTAGTTGAAGTAGATCTTACATTCTCTATTCTTTAGGACGACTCTCCTAGAAAAAGAGCACAATAGAAGCATTAGATGTTACGTTGTTATACTACTCGCGACATAAAGTTCGTTGATTTTGTACAGTCCGTTTTCTCTGATTTTCGCGGCCGTCGCCGCAACTTCCCGTTTTGACCTTCGTTTGCGACATGCAATTTTTCTCGAGGCGACTCCAAATTTTGCGCGCGACGTCGACGAATGAATTCTACCGACTTTATGTCCCGAGTAGTATCAGATATCAGATCTCTAGTGTCGCGGCTTTTGTATTAGTGTCCTCAATCGTATAACCTCGCTAAACTTTGGTCGATTACATCAGTCGTTTTATTTTGTTTAATAATCACACGTTTCCATAGTTGTAATGTTAGTAATCAATGCTAGACTTCGTATATTTTTACGGAAATCAAATAAATGCAAAGAGTTAAAGGCGGAATACGTGCAGTTTGTAAAGTAAAAAGGATTTAGAAATTACATTTCTTATTTTGTTTTGGCCTGTTCTACAAAAAAATGTTTTAAAAAATTATTTGGAGGTGTATAAACAAAAATGTTTCGGTGAAAAAAGTCTACTGTTTAGCCACCTGTTATCCAGGATGTAACCAGCTCCAGTTCATCAGTTTTTAGCTTCCGTTTTTTGGAAAAACGTTTGTAATTTTTTGGAGAAGTGTCAATATGTAAAGTGGCCAAGAATTTAATTAATAAATAACACTATTTACTGCACAGTTACTTGCCTTTTAGCGGTCGTAATTGTCATCTTTGTCCATGCCACCGAACATTTAGAAGGTAGCAATCCTTTTCGTAGTCGCCAACCTATTACATCATCCCCAACTCTTGCCTTTGTATTATACTTGCCGGCAAACTTTCGCAAGTCGTTTTTCTAATTATGTAATGCCCGCTTTTAATATTACAAAGAGCCCAGAAAAGTGTTAGTTTGGTGATCATGGTAACAGTTGTAAAGTCGTCAACCCTTTGTAAGCTAGCAGTTACATGTGGAGTCTGTCAAGGAGTGCCGGTGACGCACTCTGTGAACAAAAGGAATTAAATTTGAAATTGTTTTTAGTTTCGAGTTGTTTTTTTTGTGCTAATGATGCAGGTAATGTTCTTTCCCCGCCCTGAGGACATCTTCCCAAATGTTTCCTTATACTGACACAGCCGAGTGCTCTCTGAATTTGTTTACTCCTCGGCTTCGTCTTAATTAGCATGTCCATCAATTTTTGTACTCGGTCCGTTGCCAACCAACCCCCTTCCCTTTAATCTTCAGATGTGCATACCAACACCTTTACCCGAAATCTTTTACAGCCAGTGGAAATGCCCGCAGGCCGGGTCCGCCTTCGGCTAATCCATATGCGCTTATAATGCTATCTTGATGGCGGTCTCTTTAAGGCCGCTTTCGCCTCTTCCCGGGGCCGCACAGGCCTGCATGCCCTTAGGGCGAGTACGTGTTTCCTCGTCCTATCAATTATTACAATTACTGTTTGAGTGGTTGGTTCGTTGACGATTTTTTTCTTGTTTGTCTGCACTCACGTTGAGATCCGCGATGGCAATTGTACTCGAGATTTCTTTGAAATTCAGAGCTTTTCCATGGAATTAATACCATAAGTTGTTCTTTAAATAAGAACTGTGATAAGCGTCATTTCAGGCGTGTTCTGATATTTATGTAAACGGATATTGGTGTTGCCCCAAAAAACGTAAATTTCCTGTTTTCAGGGTCTGACTGCATAATCATGACAGATGCTGAGCAAACAATCAGCCCGTCCACTGAAGCCGATCAAATATCAGAGGTTATACCTGCCGACACAACCTCCGATCATCTGGTAGATGAACCAACGGAACCAACAGAACCCCTGGAAAATAATAATTCTGAAGAGGCTGGTGATGACAAAAAGTACGAAAGAAAGAGACGACAAAGCGATGCGATTAAAGATAAAGATACCCTCGACAATGTGGAGGCGAGGAAACGGCGACAAAGCGATGCTGGAGTCTATAATCAAAAGAGAGTCAGGTTGGAAGAAGTTGAACAAGTAGATGAAGAAGGACAGAATGAAGATGGAAACGAAATCAAAGAGAACGGAGATGCAGGTCATACGAAGGAGAACAATGTAGAGAAACATGACGGTGAAGCTACAGAAGTGGAAGATCCAACAAAGGCACCGGAGCTATCAGAGGGTAATCTGGAATCTGCCGAAGAGTCAGCACCGGAGGGCGTTGTCGAAGTTTCTTCGGATGTTCAGATCGTGATTGAAACGATTGATGAATCAGATGAAAGACCAGCAGACTTGGAAGAATGCTCGGATCAGGTGCCGGAGGAAGAAGAAATCTCCGTCCCTCCAACTCTGGAAGCCGAGAATTCCACGGAAGAAGAGTACAGTCAAGTCAGTGTGCTTTCAGTGGAAGAAGTATCCCTAGCTGTAAGAGGACTGATCAGTTTATGATTTTTGAATTTAGACTGACCAGCAAGAAGAGATCGTTGATGCTCCGCAAGAGACAAATCCGGTGACACAGCACGATGGAATCGAGCCAGAACTGCCCGAAGACATTCTCGATCCCCCTGTTGACGAAGTTGTGGAAGAACAACAACAGGATCAGCCTGAAGGAGAGATAACAGAGGTTGAAGCGATTCCAGAAAATGGAGACCAGCCGGTTAATGTGTAAGTCATCGTCCAAAATATTTATCAGTGATATTCTAGAATTGCGCCACAAGCCGAGCCCGAAAAGAAGCCCTGCGGCGGTCAGGATGAGGGTCTTCACGTTCTGGCTGCTGCCGCTACAGAAAATGCTAGTGAGCCTTCTGGAGAGGCGACTGAGCCTGTCGCGGAGGTCTAAATATTTGTTCTTCTTTAATTGTCTTGAGTATTTTTCTATCAAAACAGCGAACTTTCATTAAACATCATATTTATTACTATCTATCTAACAATCAGATCTCAAAATACAGTAAACAATATTGTGGTAGTTGATTAGCACTTACTGAAACATGTCACTCTTCGATCTCCTGTCCCTTATATGGTTATATTGTCATTGGCATATCGCCTCCAAAGGAGTTTTCTTTTCTGTAATATTTGTGATAATTAATAAACGAATGACTTTTGGAAGGGTAACGTGTTCATGTTTTATTTATTCGGATATAAAGTTAAAGTTTTCGTTTTGTTATTTCTCTCTTCCGTCTAAATGCCCTAAGGACATTTCATGCATTCATTTCGCTTTTATTGTTTTCAGATCTCACCCTCGAAAGTCCCCAAATATAATTTTATTTCTTTAATTTTTTGTGTTGTATTATATAAAGAATTGACTGCAGTAAATGTCCGAGTGTTGATGGTCATTGTGACACAGTGTTATCGCTGCAGTTGTATCATAAAGTGAACTCTCAAAAGAGATCATCCTTATTCTTTCCGGTTGTTACAGAGCCATTCATAACGCTGGTCATTTTCTTGGCTATATATTGTGGCCAAAGTAGGCTCCTTAGCGATCTGCCGGCCGTCGATGGGTAATCCTAGTCTCTACAGAAACTCTCAGGTTAAATTAAGAATGCTCGCAGCTGAATTAACCTTGCATAAAATGGTGGTTGGTGTTTATCGTGTATTTTATAATGCATGTTTCTGCTTGTGCTTTTTGTGTTTTTGTTGTCAAATCATTCTTCTTGAGATCTGTGTATATATGAAAAAAAGGCAAGCCACAGAAGCCCTCAAAGATCAGCGAGAAGAAGGGGTGTTGAGTGATGACATAACCCACATATTACGTCACAGACTTGAGTAGATTTTGAGAGACCATCCAATTTTCATTTGAATTCTCCATAATCTCATACTTATCAACGCAATGACTTTACATATCTTTCGCTTTCTTGTCCGCTTAATATCTTCTATTTATGCTTGACAAAAAGCGGATTACATTGGGAGTTTTATGCCATTTGAAAGTATTGAATAGCGGGCATAAACCTCATTCTGGCCCCACCAAAATATATTATTTAGAGCTGTTTTCGGGAGGTTTTTTAAACGTCCGAAAACTCTGCTTAAATATTTTTTCTTCATTTTTCGTTTTGTTTGGAAAAAATGTTTGAATGAGGCGGAGAGAAGGGAATCATCCGAAAAAAACTGTTTCCATTCCCTCCACTTTTTCTAGACTTGAAGCAAAAAACAACTTCTAAAAGATATTTCGTCTTAATCTCCGAATTATATATGTATATCGATGCTACATGACTTCTCCAAGTCCATCTTCAGCAAGTTGTTTGCTAGCTAGCGTTCTCCGAAAGCCTGTGACGTAATATTTGAGTTATGTCATCACTCGGCAATGCTATTGCTGGCAGATATTTGAGAGCCTTTTTGGGATGGTTAAGTCTTTTATTTTAGAATATAGACATTGAGAATATCGACTAAGTGGGAGGGGGCATTGTAGTACTATATAATCATCGATAATCAACGACGTTCCTGGACACCTAGAGTGCCTGTACTATGTTGAGATGTTTGTACAGAAAATCTGTGAATACCAGAGCTTATCGTTAAACAAGTTTCGATAAAGCCTGCAATTATTGCAAATCACAATAACCCTGAAACGCCCTGCGTCATGACAGCATAAATCTGCTGTCGTTTAAATTTGCGGCTCTGGGAAACTTGGATAACCCAATTTGAGCTGTATTCTAATTCCCCTTTGCCTCTTGCCTTCCAAAAACGTCTCCCACAATCTTTGACGATTGATATTTATTTTTAAAACAGTTACTCCAAGATTGTAAGTGTCTCTTATCGCCCTTCCCTCATCACCTTATCATTCCTCTTTTGCATGTAAACGTGTTTTGAGGATAATTTCAAAAAACTTTTTTTTTTAATATTTCTTTCGATTACACATCGTCTAAACATGAATGCTTCCCGTTTTTTATCAGATTTCGGATTTTACGACGGATTTTATAGTAACGGCGAGATGAAAGAAAGAGCGGAAAGTTATTTGTTTTCGCTTTTTGTAGACGTCTTGGTACTTTCTTGAGCGTTCAGGATGTTTTGAGCGCGCTGAACCGTTGTTTATTCGAAGCCCCTCGTAGTTCGGTGTATCCAATTTTGGGAATTTTTAATGGATACAATGCATGGATTATATCGCGACTTTGATTAATTAAAGCCTCTTCTTTTGGTTTTATGTTTATGGCGGCTGAAGGAGGAAGGTAGATTTTTGCTGCTTTGTGTAGTAGTCGGGGAATTATATTGTGAACTGTAATTGGATAATATAGAAGAAATAGCCTGGGGGAACGATTTTAAATAAGGATTGCGCGACTTAAAAAGTTTTGTCGCACTGTCCTTACATGGAAGGTGTTAATCAAGGAGTTTGTGCTTAGACAAAGTTGATGCTAAAACTTTTCAAACTGGTCGAAATGGACCATAAAATTTATTCGTTATTTCGTTTTATAAAGATTCATTTTGGCCAAAAAGTTTAAAAATGTTCGTTATAAACAGGCTTCGGGAGTTCGCCGTTCATTTCTGCACAGACTTTTAAGGGGATGACAATTGCGAGTAGAGTTTCCTACGCATAGAATGCACCTTCACGGCAGCTAGATGGTTAGCTCTTTCACTTCCCGTAACGATTGTCTGAATAGCCGCAGGAGGAGTTTGAATTTTTTTTATCGACATCCATGCAACGAAGCCTGTCCATCACAACCAAGATTTTTATGCATATGTATACGACCCCACCGCACTTTCGATTAGATCCCAGAAGTTTATCGATAAGAAAATAAAGTAAAACGGCGTCCAAGTCCAAAGATGTTATTTATTCAGCTTAATTTACGCTATAGCTTGCCAGAAATTTATATTTGTATTTTAAATATTAATTTTGTATTTGCGAACTTTGCTTTTGCGTGCTACAGATTGTTCCCATTGTATTAAACCAGCCAGCGCCGTAGAGTAAGTTACCGGATTTTTATCCATAAATCCGAATTTTTACTTTTTTTGAGATGAAAGACACAGTTCGCAGCACAATTAGAAGCCTCCCATTTTCCCTCTTTTCTCTATTTTCCTTCCCTTTTTTGGAATGAAACGAGATTGTTTTGAAGGTTCGCAAGGTTTTCAATGTCTTTTCTGTTAAATTCCCCTTCCAATCACATTATATTATACTTATACGTACTCGATATCTCAAACAATGAGTGTGCTTTTGGCGACAGAGAGTCTGATGAGTAGATAAGGGCAGGGGGAGTGGGGAAAATTGAAAGGTTATTACTGTAATGTAATAATGATTGTCCTAAGTCCATCAGTTTAATGAGAAAATTTTGTAATCTCGGGTGTTCAGAACCGGGCTAATAGCTTTATTCAATTTTCTGATTATTCATGTACTTGAGGCTTTACAAATTATTTTAGAGTGTAAAATGCCTATGTTGTGGTCATGTTTTTCTCTCTGCTTCGAACAATCTCAAACGTCTTCGGTGGCTCTCCTAGAGCAAATTGAATCCGCTTCCAACGAAGCCCTTCTATAACAAACAATTCTTTGATTGATTGTCATGTATCCGTTATGTTTTGTCATCATCACAACGATTTTCATTTTTGTCTTTGCTTTCCTTTCCTACCCTAATTTATACTATGACGTCATGCTTGTATATTTTTGTCAGTAAATCACTTATCCAACTCAAGTAACGCTATGATTCAGCTTCATCTTGCTCATTCTATAAGACTTGTCTTACATTTCCGCAATGCATCTCCAAAAGTGCCTATAATATGATTTGTGATTACTCTTTGCTCCCTTCTACATTATTATCCAAGTTCTGAGGAAATGTGGTTTTGCGGAATTCCGAGAGTTTTGGATGAAAGCCGAAGGAGAAAGATGCAATTCGACGCCACGAAGACCGGGCATTCCTTCAACCCAAAAAGTCTTTGTCCGGTGCGGCGTTTTCCGCTCGGTGAACTGAACAAACTCGGTAATGTAAAAAGCTGCCTCTTTATTTGGCCATGTCTTTTGGCCTCATTTCGTGCTCATTTCCCATTTCTCCACTTACTCTTTCTATTTATTTATTATGGGTTAATCGGAGGGGAGCGGTGTTAAAACGGGATTCTGCCGGTTTTATTACTATCGGATATAGTCAACGCGCGGTTCACTGAATTCGATGATAAGACTATCGGTTTCTGTCATTGATACTAATCCATTCAGATCCATTTGTCCCTCTATTCCGTCTTGTAACATCAGGTTATATCAATCTGTCCAAGATCAACCGTGCCATTGTAATCGCCACCTTTTCAGTGATATTGTATTTCCATGCACTAACTATCTCCTCTAGTATTTCTCATAAGTTCTTGTCTCCAAATTCTCTTCGTCTGAGCGGGTCGGCTGTTTTGACGTTAGGCCGCGCACTCTTGTTTGGCTAAGGAAATTAAGCCAAATGTAAATTCGGTTACTTCGCTTGTGATGACAAAACATGACGATGGGATGGATGGTACAGATATTGGGAAGGGGTGGAGACTGCTCGATCGGAAACGCAAAGGATGAATATTATGACGAAGATCACATTATAGCACCACAAAGTTTGAACTTGGCTAAAAGCTCTATACTATCAAGAACTATCTAAGACGGAGAGTCCCTCATTTACATATAGCAGATCACGTTTTCAAATCCTTGCAGATGGTTATAAAGTGTTTCTACTGCCTTTTTCATCCCTTGGAAGGGTTGTAAGCATACCCATTCTGTCTTCCAAATAGTCAGTTTGTCTTTTCCGTAATCCCCGCCGGTCATTTAGATGTTTAAAAGCCCGCAATCTTTTGTTTACTCGATTAATTTAGCCCCAACTCGCCATCCCGACCTCGCAGATCCTAATCTCATTTCGTTATTCCAATATTCCGTTTGATGACTCTGCAAAAATCGAATATGAAAATTCGGCGATGTTTGGAGTGGAGATCCTTCCCTCCTCAGTAAATGGCCATCTGCTTGGTTCCCGAATCACAAAGATTGGGAAGGAATGGCCGCACTCTGTCCTCGCTTTAACCTTCAGAGATCTCCGAGCAAATTATATTTTTTTGTTTTTATTTCGTTTGGATTTACATTTGTTATTAATTACTTTCCATTGTCGTATCTCACGGGATAATGTACTTTCAGCAGTAGGAGTTTGGCTATTTGCCCGGTAATTCCGTGTTTAATAACTTGTAATTTGTTTTCTATAAGTTCCAAGGATGAGATCTTTACATTAGGACTGTCAATTTAATGTCATCCAGTTGTAAATGTTCATTATTTTTTTGTTTTAAATCGGAATCCTTTATGATATGAGATCAAAAGAATCTCAGCTCTGCAAAATTATTGATTACAGTATAACCTGTCCAAACTAATGAATACAAAACCTCTCCGTCTTCATTTAAAAAAGTTCCTTACGATGAAGCACCAAACGAATCCCCAATTCACTTGTACACAGTAAAGGTTTCATTGTAATCTAATTGTTATTTTGTTTCTAATCTTTCTTTGGCCCTTTTTTAATATTCGGTCTGGAAGAGAGTGTCATTACACCCTTCAATTTTGCGTGACATAACTTTAACAATGAACATAAAAGCATTCGTTGCAGATGCCATCCCTTTATTACCCTTGCCAAATCGCGGATGCCGAGAGGAATGGCGTTGGTTGAAATAATGAAGACAATGTTGGATGACGAAGAAATGATTCGAGTTCCCGAAGTAAGCTATTAATAATCATTTCAGGGCCTCTTGATACTGTTTATCCATTTATCTCTTCTCTTAAAGTCCTGGCGACTTCCTTCCGTCTTGTTTCTCTTTGACTGTTTGACCTTTCACTTTTGCAACGCCTCTTGTATTATTTTACGCCGTATTTTATGGATATGTTTCCATTGGTCATCTCCTTTTTGTTGTCGGCATCTACAAAACTGTTTATCGCAATTTAATCCGCCAATTCTTTGCAATATAAGTCGTATCCTTTAAATTTCCTAATGCCTAATCCGATTTACTGTACATACAAATGTGTCATTTGTGTGGCCGATGAGGAAATTAATTTCTAGGATTAGGAGGGAAGTGCCAGCGAATGGGGGTATTAATAGGAATCATGGGGCTTTCAGTGCACCATGGGAGCGATATATACCCACCATTCTCGTGCTTGAAATTACTCACTATTTGAGGAGGATTTGGTGGGTAATATCATTTCCTCTCAAATCGTCAAATCTTTGACCTTTGAACTGTCTGAAAGCCGTCTCTCTATCCCTCTGATACCGCCTTCCCTCAGGCCAATTAGGGATTTTGAGACCAAACATATGTTGAGTGAGAGATGATAAGATAAGAGGTCTCAAACTGACGGAGTTCTAAGTCGCTTATCACAAAAATATTCGAATTTCTGTGATTTTGAAACCTATAAACACTGGAGACAGACAACACAGAGTCTAGTGACGTTTTCCGTTTTTCCAAGCCAAAAAAATATTTCTAAAATACGAAACCGAAGACTCTTATCCTTCCAACCCTGAGGTCAGGCCCCTCAAACTGCACCGTCAACTTGTTGAAGAAAGAGCGAACGCACCCCAGAGACCCTTCTCCCGAGAAGGTTGGGTTAGAAGAGACGGTCAGAGATGTAATGGCGACTGACCCGCACCCTTGACCTGGAGCAGAGTCCTTGTGACATGATGAATTCGCTGTTTTTCTAATCAATTTTCGCCCGCCTAAAAAACTATTTTTTGCCGGTCCCTCGCCCGCTAAGTATTTTTTGTGGTCTACTGGCCCACAAAATTCGCTTTCGTCTATCTATCCCTGTCTGCACTCTCTCATTCATCGCGCTCTCTCTTCTTTGAAGAGCTATTTTCTTCCTTTCTCTTTTATGTGTGGTCTCTGTCGTCTGCTCGGTTTACAGGATCTCTCTTTCGCGTCTCCCTTCGGGGGTATTATCTATGCCCATAAAATCAAACATCGGCGAGGTCAGGGGTCGGTGTTTTAAAGCGAAGAGACGCGCGCCAAACGTTTCGCATCCTGTCCTTGAAATTATCAGCCCATCAGATGGATGGGGAACAAAACGGATAGCAGATTTGTCTGTGCGATGCGGCAGCACTGTCTGTGGGGACCGAGCAAAGGGTCCTTCCCTCGCAACAACGCTCCATACTACTCCAAAAACCGATTCCATATATATTACACTGTCTGGTCAGACCATTTATCTCATAGTAAATCCATCGGTCCACATCACGTTTGACAGTGTTTATAGTCATCACACTCCACTTTAATTAATCTTTAAATCGCATTCCATCGCCGTAACCCCACTCTCGTCAAAGCTGTAATATTTTTCTCAAAAATAATATTGTGTAACACGACCTTATGGACCGTCGCATCATGATACGGCCTGTCAAGTTTGCCTACTACTCTTCTAAAAGTACACTTGAACGGATTTCTCTGAAAATTTGAATGAAATCCCGTAAAAAAAGAGGAGTGTGGCAAGGAAGAAGAAAGGTGTAAAAACTCGGGGTTACTGTGTATTTTTTTGTTTAAAAAGTAGTGCGCTTTTTTCTGAAGGCCATCGAGAGAAGGGGCTGTAAAACGGGGCCTTCAACGCGCTGAAATTGCACTCCAATAACGTTGTTCTCCCTGGGAGATCTCTGTTTTCGAGAGATTCTTTCCCTTTTCTTTTCCCGCCATGCCCGTCCACTTCTGGCGATCCTTTCTCCTACACCTTCTCTTTAATTTACAGGCACTTTTCTTTACGACTCTCTTCCTTTTGCATTGTCTTTACTCCTCTTTTCGGCCGTAAAATGGCTTTTGTTGGGTGAAGGGAAGACCCCGCCCCTTAGGCGGATTTTCAAGAACAAATGACGGGGGAAAAGAAAAACACCAGAGATCAAACGAAATGCAGAGAGCCCCGACAGCGACAGACACGCGGACCGAATTGCACTGTATATGTCAGGGCCGGCCCCATCACACAAAGCCGCAGCGTGTAATAAAAAAAAGTAATCGGCTCGGCTGGCGCGGCACCTCTTCTCTCGTCGCTCTCAAACAATTCGGCGGGTCCCTCGGGGAGCTCTCTTCGGACAACACACTCTCTGCGTATCGGAGACCCAGACGAAACGAAGGCTCCCCGTCTCTAACCCCCTACTTAAAGGTTATCCTCTTTCCCCGAAATTTCTTTAAACTGCCGCGGTTCTCTGCGGCCTCTCGCCGCACAACTCTCTCTTCCTCTAGCACCAGCCGGCGGACTGTTTGTACAGCCCTGGCCGATGCCTCTTCGCGCTCTGCCGCACCCCGTTTTACTACGGCGCCATTTTGTTTCGGAATCCGTCCCTCCTTCCCCTGCACTGTGCATCCACTTGTGCAGCTGCCCGGTTGGCTGACGGGCCCGACCTCGACGGTCGGATCGATAAATCATGTGGGCGTGCCCTTGGCTCGGCTGGCCGGGGTCGGAATGGCAGGCGGAGTGGAGCCCCCCGCCCTTGCCCTGCTCCATAGGCGTGCACATTCCGCTTCGCTGCACTGTCGCCCCGGATCCTGTCGCCGAAAAAGCCGGGGTCGGAAAAAAGAGCGCCCCGAAGAGAGGTCGCTTTCCCTAGGAGAGCACAGACAGTGGTGGTGAGAGCGGGGGAAAGAGAGCAACCAGACATCCAGCGCTTTCTTTAAGGGGGTGCATTGCACGGTGCGAGAGACCGCCGCCCCTTTGAAGAACCCAAAAGGCGTCCGTTTTTTCGGGGGGAGCGGCCCCTAAAACTTGAAAATCTTTGGGGAAAGGTCCGCCAGCCTTACCTCTTCTATTTACAACTATCCCTACGTTACTTTACATATTTTTCCGTTGTTTTTTATAATTTTCCGAGCTTCTCTTGATTCTACATCAAAAAACGCGATTTTCCGGGGTTCTCTACCAAAAAATCAATGCCTGAAATATTTGCGATCGCCATACGGCGTGGGAAAAATATTCTGGGATCATTTCACATAGAAAACTGACCTGTAGATCTATTTCTGGAAGGGGTTTAGTCAAATTTACCCCTCAACACTTCCTTCCTGTCTTTGGATTTCGTAAATCTCCAGGAAACTTCAAGAATTGTGGCCATACCCTAGCAGGGGAATATTAAAACTGAAAATTCCATGGTGTTTTCAACTCCTTCGTCACAACATGAACCTAAAAATTTTTTATTTTTATTTTTTGATCAATATTTGAGATTTGTCCTAATTGCCAGATTTTTTCTTTTCCACAATTCTATTTTGTTGGACGAATTGGCAATCTGTGATGCAGTTGGGCCAGTAATTTCTCCTTTGCTAGGGTATTTCCATTTTTTATTTTAGTGAACTTTTATTTTAGGAGCTCCTTTTATTTAGGGTAAAACGAATTGCAGTAGGTCTTCTTACTGGACCTTTGTTTTGCTCGGTATAGGCTGCATGCGCGTCAAATTGTCCGGATTTGTATTTTGTCTGAGGGATTATACTGTTACTGGCAAATTTACTTGATTTTTGCGAATCTTATCTCCTTCCCGGGTTTCTTTATATTAGAATTATTTCAGACACAAATAGGTACCTAAAATATTTTTTTTGTTAATTCTAACTAGAAAATACTGTTTGAAAGTCTTCTTAATGGTTAGTTTGTTCGTATTTTACAGACATTATATTTTGTTGAAACATTTTTATGTTCGTATTTTAGCCGGCGCCTTCTTTGGCCAAATGAAATGGATGGCGCGCGGTCGGCAATGGTTAACGATTATTCCGGCCGTTCCACTCAACTCCCCACTGGAACTAAGTTCAATCCTGTGAATACTAAGAAAGCCAGCCGAGTCGATCTTTTAGCTTCTCAATTAACGTGAGTTTCTTTGAGATTTGTGCAGATGTTGTTGTTTTTTGGCGTTGTAGGTAGTCTAATGGCCATAATTTATTGGAAGAAACCGTTTTTGGCCTTTTTTCGAAGTTAGAATCGAAAATCCTTAATTTTCATTCAAAAATTGTTAATGATCATGTTTTACTCCGTTATTTTCAGCGAAAAGGCGAATAAAAACTCAGTCCAAGCCCTTCCTCCTCGTGTAAATGGGACCCCTCCCAAATCCACTAAGCCCGGTCCACAGGCGAAGGCCAAGAAGGACGAGAAACCATCGACGCCGATGCGAACCCGGTCCAAAAACTTTGAGGAGGCGACCTTGACCCCGGCCGAACAAGCCACCTTAGGCGCTTCGTCCTCGCTTCTGGGCGCGGTTACGCAACAACCGCAGTGTATGGTCTGCAAACGAGGCTTCCGGAAAGGTTCGGCGTCGGCCAACAATCTACAACAATGTCTCGAATGCAAAAGAATGGCTCATCCCGGATGCGACGCCAAACTCTCAGCGGATCAGATCTGCCCCGACTGTCGACCAGAAGAGCCCAGAAGCGATTCCGGCATCTTGGATGGATCAATGGAAGCTGAGTACGAAGCGAAACCATCTCCTTCAAATGTTGTTCCGGACGTTGTGATGGCGGTCGATTTGGAAGAGGAACCGACCAAGCGATCGGTCACCTCGCCTTCCAAAAATCCCATTCTTCCAGCCCCTTCGGATTCAATCGCAGCAAATGTCCAGCAAAGAAAACGACAGAGGAAACCCCGGCAAACAACGTCGCCTCAGCCTTACAGTCGGCGATCGGCTTCAGCGGCCTCGGAAGACCGGCAATCCCCGGCGGCAGCTTTGAAAAACCCAAGAACGTCGCTGTTATCAGGGCCGTCCACAAGTCAGGCTCTTCAGGGATTGATTGGTGTCGACTTTGACGACTTTAACTCGGATTCGGAGCCTTCGGGAAGTCCGGACAGCTTTTTGGGATCAAATGCGAGAAGTCGAGCAAATGATGATCAGGATGAATACAAACCCAGCAAGTAAGTAAAATCTAAAATTAATTTGAATTTACATTTATTTATTCGACAGGTCTTGAAATTGAATTCTTTTATCTTAACGTTGTTGACTTATTTTTTATGATTATTTAAGATCTCGAACCCGCCGGACGGACAGCACCGTTTCGACCGCCGCTCGTTCCAAAGGCAAGCAGAAGTCGAAACCGGCCCAACAGAAGCCCTCGATGCGAACGCGGTCGGGTGGGAAGCCGGCTTCATGCATCACTCCGCATGGAATGATCGCTCCGGACAAGAATCATCGCGGCCGAAAGAATTGCAAAGGGAAATCAGCCAGAGGAAGACGGGCTAATCCCGCCGCTGTTTTGCAAAAGCCCCAGCGACCGGTCGTTGAAGTGACACGACCTCTGGAAGAACGACAGCGAACGTCGAGCAAGGTCCGAAGTCATGACGATGTGGATTACATCAGAACAGCCATTGTCAGCTGTCGGGAGAACCGATTTCTCGATTCCACTTGTCTGTGTTTGGTCTGTGGAAGTGTGGGAAAGGATTCTGAAGCGACTATGATCACGTGCACGAGTTGTGCGCAGAGTTACCACACGTATTGTGTGAATATGCATGAAAAGGTTGGTTTAATTTGATTTTTTCCAATCTTGATAGAGCAATCTTTTATTGTTTCAAAGACGTTTTTGTTGTTTAACGGCTAATTATGCGGTTTTGGTCATTCCAGCTAAACAACACCGTCCTGAAAAGGGGCTGGCGATGTCTCGACTGCACCGTTTGTGAAGGATGTGGGACCGATAAAGACGAGTCGCGACTGCTTCTTTGCGAGGAATGTGACATTTCCTTCCATACTTATTGCCTTGATCCCCCTCTCAAAGAAATCCCGAATGGTCCGTGGAGGTGTAAATGGTAAGATTTTGTTGTTGCTTATCACTTTAGTGTTTGAATTGTTTGTTTATCTTTCATCGATGTTCGTTCCAGGTGTGCGACATGCTGTCGTTGCAACAAACAAGTCCAGTCCGGTCTGGATCTCTCCAAACTCGAAGGTCTCTGTGAAACCTGTTATTCCCTCCGGAAATGCCCGAAATGTTGTCGATTATATGAGCCCGGTGATTTGCTCATCAAGTGTCATCACTGTGAACGATGGTATCATGGCCCCTGCGAAGGTCACAGCACTGAAGACGAGGTGGAGAACGCTTCGGAAAACGCATTCAGATGCTCGTTATGTCGGCCAAAACTGAACACTTATCGTGAGTTTCCTAGATAGCAAATACAATTGATTAAAATTCGAAACCTTTTATGAGTACGTACTTTTAGACGAGCAGTATACCTTCATTGATAATGTCACGGTCACCCGATCGGGCTTGGAGACGTTTCCCAAACTTGGTCGGACCAATTCGAGCCTGTCTTTCCACGAAGGCGCCTTTCGATCATCCATGGATCAAGAGGAATATGAAGGTGATGACATACCCAATGAAATGACCTACTTTTCCACCGGACCCCGAGGAGGAAGAGGTCGAGGGTCAGGCGCTGGTCGAAGAGTAACTCGTATTGGTGTTGGAGGATTTATTGTTCGAATTCCGAGGCATCGATTACTGGCTGAATTGACCAATCAAGGAAAGGAACTTCAGAATGAACTGGTCGAAGGAGAAGGAGACAAGAAGCAAAGGAAGCCAAGAAAACCCCGACGACCTCGTTTGGAAGAGGCCTATCCCCCGCATATTCAAGAAGCGTTCTTTGGAATAGATCCCGTCGATTCTCGGACAATTCTGGAGATCCCGGTGGAAGAACCAGTCCTCGGAGAGCATCATAACTTCAATCTGGAGGACAAAGTCAGCAAATTGGGTACTGAACTTCCTGGCCAAGCCGCCGCTGCCCTCAGAGAAGCCGAAGAAAGCGATCTCCTCGGGCTGCTCGATCTAGGAGGGACTGATATTGATGATGGATTCGATTTTAATCTGGGTGATGGATTGGATTTCAATGATCAGTTGGGTCTGGCAGATGAGAGCCTGGATATGCAAGATAACGATTTTGATGACATCGAGACGACCACCGACCGCCAACAATTCCTTGCCCAGATGGAGGAAAGTCACGAGAGACAGCGGCAGCTCCAAGAACAACAGCGACAGGGTCAGTCCGCCATGAATCCCCTTCCTCAAGCCGCACTCAAAGGCATGCCGTCAGCTGCGGGTCAGCCCCATGCCCAAGAGAAAAATAATTGTAATGCGGCCACGGAGAGCTGGGAGAAGGACGAACCCTTGGGCGACAAAGCAACCAAGGCTGCTGTTCTCTACTCGAATATGATCCATCCGGAGCTGAAGGAGAAGTTCCCTCAATGGAGTGAGAGAGTGAAGCAGATTAATAAGATTTGGAGACAGTTGGATGCTGACAAGAGATCTGAATATGTAAATAAAGCCCGAGAAAACAGAACGAATATGCCGAGGGGAAGACCGAGAAGAGATGCTGGGCAGAAATTATCGGTGGACGATCAGGATACCTCAAGGGATAGCTTCAAAATGGAATCGGTAAGATTTTAATTTATTTATGAATGATCTTTTTGTTAGGTAGAATACGGACAGTCTATGAATTAATTTAATAATTATGATTTTGAATTGCAGGGCACCCCCACCGAGGAATCGCAGCCTCATCCCAACCAAATGCCCCCTCCAACTCCCACCCTCCAACCTAATGGAACCCCAACCACTCCACTCTTCCCTCAACATCAAGTCAACCCTCAGATTCCTCCACAAATGAATCAGATGAAACAGCAACAAATCCATCCCCAAATGGCTCAAACTCCCCAACCGCAGATGATGAGGCCTCCGCAACAAACTGGAATGCCGATGAGGCCACCGCCTCCACAATATCTGAATGGGCACAGCCAAGAACAAGGTCAACCCCCAGTCAACCAAATGCAAGGACAGATGAATCAAATCCCGGGGCAGGGTCAACCAATTCCCGGTCAAATTCCCTCTCAAATGCATTTCCAGCAGGCTCAAAATGTTCATCAGCAACAACCTGGACTCCTTCATCAACCTCAGCCAATGCACCCTCAGCAACAGCAACATCCTCAAGCACAAGTCCATCCAGGAATGCATCCACCACAACCTCATCCAGCGCATCAACAAATGGTGCAGCCTCCAATCGCCCATCTTTTGAGCAAATTGTCACGGATTAAGTTGGATGAATACGTGATGATGAGGAAGACATTGTATGGAGTTGAACAAGAGCAACGGCAGGTGGAAGAAGAGCTGAATAAGTACAGAAAGATCAAGAAGAACATGAATGCAAAGCGGAGGAATGTGAGGAAGAATTATCAAGCGGCGCAAGAGAACCGGAGTGATCAAGCTCTACCGCCCGAAGACCTTCCACCAGATGAGATTGAGAAGTTGGAAAGGGTTATCAATGATGTCACCTGCACTCAGAAGAAGAACGAGGCTTGTAAACAGAGATTCAAGGAACTCACGTCCAAGATTACCTCTTTCGAGCAGTCCCATGGTCTGCCTGAGCATAAGAATGTCCCTTTGGATGCACTTCTCCACGCCCAAGCTCATCCAGAACTTGTACAACAACAAATGTCCAATCAAATGCAAGGACAGATGCCTGCTCCTTATGGTTACATGAATCAAGGAATGGAACAAGGACAGCAGCTCCAGTCTCCAAACTTTCCCATCTACATGGAGAACCAGAATACGATGCTTCGACAGCCGACCCAGCCTTACCCCAATCAAGCCTTCTTCAATGGTCATCCGGCCCCAGTTGGCTATCCAAATGGAGTCAGAGTACCCGCTTACAGTCAGCAAGTTGCCCGTCAACTCGTGTCTCCAGATGTTGGAGGCTCTTCCCCAACCACTCCAGCCAGCGGTCGGCCCGGATCTTCGGCTTCGATCGACCCCACTCCGAAAACTGGCCGTGGTCGCAAACGGAAGCGAGTCATGCTACCGACCGATGAGACACGGACACCCATCATGGGAGGTCACATCTATTCGAGATTGAGTAATGACGTCGACCGAGACGTTTACGATTCTCTGGATTTGATGGTCAACTGGGTCACCTTGGCAGTGGAAAGCGGAACCGAGACTTTGATGAGGAAACTCCCAACTTTGAAGGTCAGCGAGCCATTTGATGAACACTTCAACCCGTATCAAGCCATCGAACCGCCAAAGGCCAAGAAGAAACGGCAGATTGCGAAGAAGCCGTCGAATAACGAGGCCAGCGAGTACGATCTGTTTGTTGGAAAGCTGGAAAGTCAACTGAAAGGGTGTATTATCGAGAACTTGCAGTACGAACAGTCCCCGGACAGTGGAGATCGCCATTTCTCGGATGACACTCAGCTCCTCTGGAGGAATGGTGTTACTTACTTTGATGGGAATGAAATCGGAGAATACCATCCCAACTTCATGCCTGATTATTACTCAGTGGTCGAGAAGTTCGAATCATTTGATCCAACTCCCATATATCCACGTCCAATGAATCAAATTTATTGTGATGTGGATGTGAGTGATCTGGCGACGGCTGAATGTAATGTCACTAATACCGAAAACCAATCCATCAAACAAGAATCCATGGAAGTTGATGAATCAGAGGGCGAGAAAGAGCAGAAGGACGAGCAGGATGAACCAGAGAAGACGGTTAATATGGATTTGTATCATCTGAAGTGGAGAAACATCGGATCTGACGAGATTGGAGAATCGACCATCCTCCCTCTTCTTCATCGTGTCCCAGAAAGAACAGTACCAGTGGAACCACACAAGTCAGCCATCAAACATATCGTTAGTGGAGATCCGGATGAGAAGTTCAAAGTGGAATTGATGGGAAATCTGGATCTGAGAGAAGAGACGATCAATGAATTAAAACAGATCCTCGGCCAACCCTCGGAGATCACCATCAAGGAGATTGTTCAAACACAAAACACCGTGGTGGTGAAGAAAGAACCGGTTGAAGTTAATAATGAACCGAAATGTCGTTATTGCCAATCAACCATCAAGCAATACCGAGTTCGCGACTTTATTCTCCAACGAGGCGTCACCTTTGGCATCACGGAGCCTGAAGTTAGATCACTTTGTTCCATGAAGTGCTACTTTTCCAATGCTGCGGACAGTAAACGAGCTCTTCATCAGGAAATAATCAGGATCTCGGCTGAATATGTGGACGAATTAACTGTGGTCCGGCTAAAGGACAATCTTCGACAACATGTTTTGCGAGAAAATCAACGATTGCAGCAGGCCAAAGAAGCGGCCGCGGCTGGTCCTCAACAATTGATTTCGCCGATTCCAGAAGAGATCTTGGCCGACTTCCCCTTCTTTTTCCAAAATAACATCCATTCGAAGAATGAGTTGGTGATGAAAGTCTCCGATCTCCCTCAAATTGGAAGCCTGAAACAAGAGGAACGGCCTAAAGGAGAGTTCAAATGGCGAAAGACTTTCTGGATGATATACGACGGGTCCATTCTTCAGAGCTTCGAACGACCGCACAACGAGGTTCGGCAGGTTCGTTTGTGTTGTGGTTGTCATGTTTCTTTATACAGTTACTCTCTTTGTATCCCATTTTTGTTTAACGGTTTGTGGTGAATGCACTCTTTATCTATCCATGGTTTTGATTTCTTTATTTTCAGAAGTTCGCTGCCTTCCAACATCAGCTGAATGGACGCGTCGCTTCTCGAGACGACGATGATCGAGTCTGCTCATTCTGTGGCCATCGTGGGGATGGAGAACAACATCAAGGAGGACGTCTTTTGAACGTCGATGCCAATGAATGGGTGCATGTCAACTGCGCCATGTGGTCCTCGGAGGTTTTCGAAACAGCTGATGGAGCCCTGATGAATGTGGAAACTGCCCTGAGAAGAGCTGAGACCGTCAATTGCAAAGTTTGTCATCGTCTTGGAGCTTCGTTGAGGTGTTACAAATTGGATTGCCCGCATCGAGAGATCGGTTATCACCTTCTTTGTGCCAAGAAGGCTGGTGGAAAGTTCGGAAAGGACAAGAATTTCTACTGTCCGGCTCATGACATCCGACCGGAAGCCTGTGTGAGTCGATGGGATAATTTGAGAAGGATCTACATCGAGAGGCCGGAGAATCAGCTGCTCTCCAAGATATTCAATAACACGTATTCGACGGAGATGATGATGCGTGTGGGTAATTTAATCTTCACACAACTCGGACAACTCCTACCAGAACAGCTGAAGAATTTCCATACTGAGGAATTCATATTTCCAGTTGGTTATAATGTGATCCGACTCTTCTGGTCTCCTCTCAATGTGAATGAATTGGCCAGATATGAGTGTACCATCAGAGAAGACGAAGGTCGCCCACTCTTCAAGATCAATTTCTTGGACAAAGAACTCACTGACAGATCCATGAATGGGGTCTGGTCGAGGATTCTGATGGCTGTCCAACAACTCAGAGAGAAGACCCGAGCCCAAGGATCCGAGATTCTGAGGTTTTATCCGGCTCTCATGAACTGTTCCATGTTATACGGACTGAATGAACCGGCTGTCACAAAGATGACGGAAAGTCTTCCAGGAGTCGATCAAATGTTCGATTACTCATTCAGACATGGAGGGCTTCCTCTAATGGACCTCCCATTGGCGTTAAATCCCTCTGGATGTGCTCGATGTGAGCCTCACTGCAGAACCTTGGTCAAGCCGCGATTCAGGAGTCTAACCCAAAGTCCATTGAAGGTGGAGAAGATCAAGAAGGACGCATTCAACGCTGAGATTATCTCGAGGGAATCCAGAAGATCCCGAACTCAAAGGAATATCCATTTGTTGGGTATGGATGAGAATTACATCAAGATGATGAGGAAGTCCGGGATCACCGAGGAAATGCTGATCGCCGCTCATGTGAGATACGATTCCAACAACATCCACAACGCCCATTCACAGTACAAAAAGATGAAAAGCGAATGGAGGAACTTTGTTTATTTGGCCAGGTCGAAGATCCAAGGCCTGGGATTATATGCGAAAAGAGATATCGACATGAATACGATGATCATCGAGTATGTGGGGGAAGTGATCAGAAGCGAAGTTTGTGAAGCCCGAGAGAAGAAATACCTCGCTCAGAACAGGGGCACCTACATGTTTAGGATCGACGACGATTGGGTGATCGACGCAACGATGAGTGGAAGTCTGGCCAGATATGTTAACCATTCCTGTGATCCGAATTGTTTCACAAAGAGAATGAAGTATAATGACGAGGAGAAGATTGTGATCGTCTCCAATCGACCGATCAAGGCTGGAGAAGAGGTAAGAAGAGTTTTGATATTAATTTTGGTATCGACTTGGGTTTTGTAGTGATGATGATTCAAAATTTTACTTTCAGCTGACCTATGACTACATGTTCGAATTGGAGGACGACCAGACCAAGGTCCCCTGTCTTTGTGGTGCTCCCAATTGCAACAAATGGATGAATTAGAGATTTTGTAACCTTATTTTTAACCGTAATTAGAACCGGCTAGAGCCCCGTAACTAGTCTTGCTAACCCTTACATTTTTACAGTGAATGTAACGATCATTATGTACAGTTTTCTTTTACTTTTCGTCGCCTTATAAGAGTCTTAACAAATTTCTATATTTTAATTTATTTGGATCCGAATTTCGTAACCTCGACACGGGTATTTATATCGATTATAAAAGTGTTTAAGCCCATCCAAACCTCTTATCTAACCACACTTGTACATGTTATATTGCCATCTTTTTTTGTTAATTAATAATTGTTGTATTTGTCTCGATTTTTCTTTTCGGATTATCGCCGTGATCTCTTTTTTGTATCATAAATATCGTCATTTTGGAATCTGCAGTTCTTGTTATAAAAGAAAATAATAAAAATTTTAAAATATTATACTTGGGGGATTACTGTAATATTTATTTTAATAAATCACAATTTTAGATTCCATAAATCACATCGATCCTTTTTAAAGTACTTATCGCCCTCTTTACAGCTGAAGGTATCAGAGAATTCGGGCATGTTTTGCAGAGCCCCCATAACTCGGTAGAGATAAGGCGCTGTTTGTCGGGAATATCCGGGCTTTGTAGAGGAAGTCGAGCAAAAAAGTTTGGTAAAACTCCTGAAGAATTGCTTTCGGAGACGGATCTGATCGTCCTGAGGTTTTATTTCCTTATTGAATGCAGTGTATGCGGCAGAAAGACCTTAATTTAGGTAAATTATATTATTCTGGATCCTACCAATAAAGTCGGCTATATTTTCCTCTGTGAATTTCTCCGAATACCCGTCAAATCGATGATATTGCTCTTTAAAGCAATTGAATACAGTATCAAATTCAGTTGTATAATTCCAGTAAACCCTGTACGAATCCCCATCTCTGATGGCCACATTGTTGATGGGATGCCCCAAAAATTGTGCGATCAAAAAGGCCAATCTACCGTAAGTTTCGGGTGTATCTTCACTTCCAAATATGGGTGGCTGTAGCATGCCTAGAGGGAAGATTCCACCGTTGGTCTGATAATTAAACGGAGCCAGAGAATCGATGATAAGAGGGGTTTGGAAGGGATGGGCCTTGAAGAACTGTTCGTCGATGAAGCGATCCTCTTCGATTTCATCAATGTAAACAGTGATCACTTCTACAGCAGCTATCTTCGCGAACAAGGCGTCCTGGGCTTCTTCGGAGATCCAGGCCATGGAGGAAATTCGTTCCTAAATATCCAAAATCTTTGCCCTCTTGCATGCCTATTATAACTCTAAATTTGAACTACCTTTAACGCCGTAAGTATATTTGCAGTTATTAGACTGACATCATCTACAAATTCGGCCCTTTTGTCATCAATATTGGGCAAGGTTTGGTCGAGAAATATCCGATTAATCGAATTCCAAAACTCTTTCCGTCTAGTCATTTCTTTGAAGCAAATCTCTTCGGGATTATTAAATGTCTCCTTCCTCGTTGTTGATAATAATTTGAGTCGTTTTTCCCACAGACATCTGCTCCAGAACTGACGGGAATATCTCAGCCAAAAGCTGGAATTTGGCTGCGAAAAGTGTTACTTATTTTTTGAAAGTGTACAACATGTATAAGAGCGGTGAAAAAGAATGTAAATTTTGAAAAAATTTCGATTTCGGGGAATAATGGTTAAAAATTAAATACAGCGAAATTTTGTCTTTTTTTTCAAAAATCTTGCACCAACGCTCTTATATCGTTGGATCATTGGTGTCTGTCTACCTGTTAGAAAGGGTCCTGACTTACAGTATTTCCTTGGTTCAACACTTTTATAACCTTGAGGCTATTTTGTTTAGCCATTTCTTCAAATACATCTCCATCTGGGGCATCTTTATTACAAGCATATTCGTAGTAATTATTACAAGGATCATATTTTTCCGTCTTAGTCACTGAAAGTCGCACATTTTCCACAAAAATTATTAATAATAAGAGCAAAGTTTTCATAACTATCAAGACTGTTCTCCGTTTCACTCTCGGCGTTACTTAACACACCGTTATCTCCAAATTAACCCGCTTAACGCCAATCGCCGGCTTAGACATCACTCCCAAATCAAGCACGATATTCAAGATTATATTTATTTCAAGTCCTCAACAACAAAATATAAAAGAGAAAAGATGCTGTACAATTTAGAGCCTCTAAGAAAATACTACAAACTCAATATGTTAGGTGTAGAAAGAGAATAACTGTACTTTCACTCGATTACTTTCTAAGAGATCATCACAATCTTACTGTAAATTTCGATAGGACATACCAACATAAACACGGAGAGAGAGTCAACTCAGCAGCATGTATATCAAATAAAAATAATTTCAGCTGGCTGCACATATGACACTGGGGATTACAAATATAAATATCACCCCATTTAACGTACGAATTGTTTAATGAGAGGGTATTGTACATGACTGTCCACCAAACACAACTGAGCTCTCATGTCTATTTCATGCAGAGCTCCTTGACGAACGCGTTGATCCTCCAGAAGTTACCAAACACATCCATGATCTGCATGTTTTCATCGTTGGTATCGACAATGTTCTGGAAACGGATTAAATTTAGAATTTCATCAAAATAAATTAAAAGTTACCTAAATTAACACAAAATAAAATGCAAAAAAGACGCACCTGAATGCTACTGCTCATAATCAACATCTGTCCGTATTTCTGCGCCCCTAGGGCCAATCCATGTCGTTGCGTCAGGATATGGAAAAGGGCATTCAAATACTTGGTCCTTTCCCTGGCCACATCTTCTTTCACATCCAATCCCAGTTCCAAAGCATCTGGATTGAAGAGAAGACAAGCCTTGAAAGCGGCGAATTCAGGGATTCCGATCTCCAACTTCCTCAACGGAATCATGATTTCGTCCATTTGTCTGTGATATATCGAGCGACAACCTGGGATCTTGAGGGAATCCTGGGACTGGCGGAGAATATAAGCACCATTCGGATAAACAATCTTGTCCGGCCCGTAATCCAGCGAGTAGTAAACGCGATTGAGAATGTTGAAGGTGAAGGCAAAGTTCCTCATCAAATAATACTGAAAAGAAATGTAAAGAATAATATAAAAAAGATAAAACCGACTAATTTTAAAGGAAGGTCTCTTACCTGATCACTCTCGGCCAATTTGACAAACTCTTCGAAAGACTTGGCCCATTCAATGCACAATACGAGCTCTCGGATATTCCATTTCTGAATGTCCACCATCGATGCTGGATACAGCTCTTGGAAGACCGTGTATACCTAAACACCAATATCAATCACAACAAAACGAGAACTTACATCCACTTGAAGACTATTCGCCTGTAATAATAGACTCTGCGTCTGCAGAGCTTCCTTCACATTCTTCGGCTGAACTAATTCTTTGGTCCGAAGAAGATTGCACATCTTCTCCGCGGAATGTAAATATTCAATTATCTTGTCGTCGCCAGCTTTCATAATCGGCGACATCGAGCCCATGGAATAGCGATCGTCCTCGGCGGAGCTGTTTCTCTTCATCATCCTCATCTTTTTGGTGGGGCCAATCCGATCGCGGTCATTTTGAATGGCACGGGCATCCATTCCAACGGCCACACACTTGTTGAAACGACAATGACGACATGCACAACGGACATCTGGAAGGTAAGAAACGTTGAAATTACCGATCAGAAATGAAATTTGTCGATGGAAAAAAATGAGTGTCAAGAGAGTGAGACTTGACCCGAGAGGGAGAACGAGTCAAGTCTGGACAGTAACTCGAAGTCGCAAACAGGGGTGGTCAGTGGGCCGGGCCGGCCCGTGACGGGCCGGCCAAACGGGCCGGCCGGGCTCAAAAATGGAAAATTACAAACGGGCCGGGCCCGTCACGGGCCGGGCCGGGCCGCGGGCCTGGGGGTTTTTCCGGCCCGGCCCGTCTAAATTACAATGCCAAACCGTTGGCATTCATTGTTTTCGCGCCGGGAAAATTAATTGATGTTGTTATAGTTGCTGTTTCTCAAGTTCTAAAACGTTTACAAGTCTATAGTTCCATTATAAAACCACAAAACTATCACATTGATCCTTTACTAGCTATATCAACGCCTTTTTTGCCTAAGTTTAGATCCCAAGCTTGGGCGCAGTTCGCAGAACCCTCTATAAACGGGCCTGCACGGGCCGGGCCAGGCCCGTCACGGGCCGGGCCGGGCCTGGAAAAAGACTAGACGGGCCGGGCCGGGCCGGTAATTAGACGGGCCGGGCCGCAGGCCGAAAATCGGAAAAATAGGGTCCGCTGACCACCCCTGGTCGCAAAACTTGCGCAAGAAAACGTAAAGGTAAAGGCATCCCGGAAAGTCCAGAGGGTCTTTCCAAGTTATTCAGAGCACATGGTTTTTATCACCATAGATGGACTTACTTTTGTTAACGTCACATTTGCCATTGTATTGACAGACAAACGTATGTTCGGAAACGATCGTCCGTCTGAAGAAGGTCTTACAGCCGTTACAACTGGCTACTCCATAGTGATATCCCGTTGCTCGATCCGAACAGACCGCACACAATTCCCCCTCAGGCACTTTTCTACCTGAAAATAGATTTACATTGTAAAGACTGTTGAATTGTAGTTGTTAGAGTAATTTTAACTTAAATTTCTTGACAAGAAAGGACATACGTTGCCTTGGCTGGATGTTATCGCCACAGGAGGAAGGTGTTTGGGGGACTGGCAAACTTCCCATATGACTGCCCAAGGGGCTGTTGTTTACTAGGCCATTCTGGAGAGGAAGGATCCCGCTTTTGTCATCCAAATAATCCGACAATTTACTGGTCGATGGCCTGAAAATTGATCATTAAATATAACTTTATACGTGGGATAAGAGACCGTTGTCTTGTTCCAGGCCTCTGCCGCTGGTTTTCATATCAAACATGAACTCACCGGAAGCTCGAGAACAACAAATCGTTGCTCCCGAAGGCCGGGGAACGATCGAAAGTTGACGAATCCAGGTTGAGTCCCTTCCCGATCGAATTTATCGACGAATTCAGCGAGGAAATGCCGGACGAAGAAGACGTTGAGGCGTGAGACAACACCGAGCTGGCCGAGCCGTTGCCTGGACTTAGCGCGGTGGACTGGAACGCCGGCTGGAGGCCGAGGCTCTCTTGGGAGACGACACCGTTCAGAATGGGGGCCAGGGTCACGGAAGATGGAGCCAGGGTTCACAAGACAGGGACAGTTCCGGCCCTGAGGCGTCTAGTTTGTTGGGTTCTTCAATTATATAATAGAAGCAACAGTGAAAGGTGTTGCAGATTGCGGAAGAGAGGGACTCCGCTGATGCAGTCGGGAAATGCTAAAAATATATTATGTCAAAAGCTGAATATATACGCAAATATATGATCAATTACACGGCTGTATTTAAATCCACAGGAAATATCGCAAAGAGAAAGTGGGACCAATAGCCTTTACACTTATTCTGCGATGAAAGGGAATATTAATCAGGTCTTCCAATACGTCAACAAAACGCCGAAAATTTACAGTCTAGTAGGACAATTTAACATAACTCAAACTGATGACATCGAAGATCTACCGTTCTTTTATATTACCGGTTCAACCGTTGGATCTCGTCATCGGAAGTGACAGCAGAAACAAACACATAATTAAAGACGTAATACCAGCTGTGCAAGGAAGACATTAGACTGTCATGTGTAACATAAAATATTTACAAGGACCCCTCGAAATGTCTCAGTAACCCCTGGGCAAAGAATTGTAGACGGGATTAACTAAAAAAAGGATAGAACAATGTTTATTTACAGAGGGAAAACAATCTACATCCAAATCTATTTCAGTTTAATAATTGTGCCCCCAACTACAGGATGTAAAAATTCCAATGCAAAATTAATGTAAAACGTCAAGGGATGTACTTTGCCAAACATTTCAAGTCTCGGAACGAACTGAGCTCTGTTCATTTCGTCGAAAAGTTACCCGTTTCCTTAGAAAATCCCCTCGACGATCAAACTTTTTGTGACATTACAACCGCCACTTAAGCCATTTCAAAATACACCTGAGCATCTAGAAAAGAGCTGGTCATACCAAATTAATTCACGGAAATTAGAGGGATTAAACGCCCCGGGCAATGCGACGTGCTCGGGCAATTCTTGAGAAGAGATGTAATTGGGAGAAAACAAGATAAAGATGGATCATCAAAGGCTCGGAAATGGAATAAAAACATAGCAGAACAAGATGTTACTGCGGATTTCATGTGACAGTGACGTCGTTACAGGCACGGCATTACATCCGAAAACTGGATATCAGACGCAGACTTCGACTTATACGAAATTCTGTCGCAAAAACTCGCCCCTCGACCTTGATATAAGAGAAAGAGCAGATCTGATAACTGATAAGAGAAATAAAGGCATTTTGATTAAACGTATATGTGATTCATAGACATACTGTAACCAGAGAATTACAGTATTCTTTATTGGACAGTGCTGTTCGAAGAGGTGCCCGTCTGACGAGTATTGGGGATAGTCACGTACACAAAACATTGTAACAAAACAACCCGAGGAACGGAACAAAACCCTCATTCGAGAGACTATGGAGAGAGGAGAGACGGCAGGGATACAAACAACTCACGGTGCCCGGCTTTAATGCGGGCGCCTGAGGAAAAAACTTTTTTGGGCGCTTTAAAAGTTGTCTCCTGACAAAAAAAAATCTCCAGAACGGTAATAACCCGGATGATAAATTAGTGTTGGCAAAGATTTAGAAAAAAATGGCCCAAAGACTAAAAATCAGAGAAATTCAGAGAAGAAAGGCTGTAATTTACTCAACAAAAACGGGGAAAACAGTAATAATAACATTGGTAAATCGAATAATAAGACCACATGCCTGCGAGAATGGGCGTTGTGGAGCAGAAACTAATTTTAAAACTCGATTATAAAATGTTTTCTGTCTGAGCCACATGATTTTTTCTTTGTTTATTGATGATACCATGGAGGAAAAACATATTTACCGCCCCTCACCCCCAGCGTTTGTTTACCAAAAAAACATTCGAATTCCGGGGGGATTTTGAATAAAAAAATGAGTGCCTAAGGCCATTTGCAGGTATTTAACTGGGAAGGCGGGGTGAGAGTGCACTTTTCCAATTAGTAAACTTGCTTTAAATGTAAAGAATCGACGGTAAATTGCGAGATTTTTTGATTGGAAAAGCGTGAAGTGTGATAAACAAGCCTTTGACAAGCATTCTTCCTTTCGATTCGTTATATCTGGTAGAAAATAAAAAAAAAATCCGCTAAAAAAGGACCTCACTCCCAAGACAACGATTTTAATTAGCTGAAACAAAATAAAAGTGCAAAACAGAATGTTAATTGCGCCTGCCTGCCTCCGGCATTGTGCCAAAAAAAGGGGAATTAGGAGCAAAGAGACGATTTGAATACATTTGGTATGCACGGAATATAAAAGGGCAAGGGGGAGGAGGGGACGTGCACGGTGCAGATGCCCTCACAGCTAGCTCATTTTGTGAACTTTACTGGCTAACTTTGAACCCTAATCTACTGTTTAAAGGACCCCACTCAACCATCATGAACACTGATGTTTATTTTTAAACCCGGTTTACAATCGATGCAAAAAATAAAAATCCCACACATAAGAATTACGTAGATTAACGAAATAAAAGTGTAACAAGCCCCGAGGGTATTTACTCTCTGCACCAAAAATTGTTGAAGATACGGACAGCGAGAAACATAAGGGAATTATAATCTGAAGGGAAATGTAAAAATAAACGGAGATGAATCACATCTGGAAGGAAATAAATACAGCGCAAAATTACCCCAACACAACTCAATATGCGCACAATTTGAAACGTCAACGCCACCCACAGTTCCCGTCAAATTGGGAGAAAATTCATTTCAACCGTAAGTAACTATTACAACTACACATTATAAGAAAGATAAAGCGCCAGTTAAAGAAGAGAATACCCGTCGTTTCCACGAACAGCCTTACAAACTACCCGAAGCCGTCATAAAAATGTTCGAGTTTAATATAGACCGGAGACAGTGTGATACCGAACATGTTGTAGTCTATGTTACAGCGGCCTTCTTAAGGCAAATACAACAGCTTGAGGACGCTGAAGGGTGTGTTATTCTACTCTCAAATGTAACCTATTCTCTCCCCCTTCATTCCACTCAAAATTGGTTTCCCAGAACCCCCGCCAGCTCCAATTCCCCTCTTTTTTTTTGTCCCCCATTCTCTAAAGTTCACTGGGCCCGCAAACAAAAAGGGATTCGAAAGAGTGCACAGAGTACAGCGCTGTTTCTTAGCGTGTTCTGTGACATCAGCACGCCGAGTTATGCTTTTTCGAGCATAACGAACGGATATGGCGTTAACAAAGGGCCGAGGACATGCGGTGGTCCCATTTCTGAGGGTTTCTCTCCAATACACCATGTATAATATAATTCGGACTACAGTATTGATCGAGCCCGCTCTCATGTCTCTCGGATTAACCCCCAAACCTTTAGGTCTTACGCGGTTAATCGGTCTGCGGAATGTGACGCCAAAAGTTGGCAATGCACAACTGAGATGTCACCATAGAGTTTTAAAACTTAATTAGAGTTGAAAGAAGGTGCACAGAGAATGGGCAAAACAGAAGACGCCTCAACTCGCTCTTATCACACGCTTTACGAAAGGGTAAACGCACAACAACAGTTTGAATCGAACGCAAACTATCCGAAAGATAACATAAACTGATAAACACCCTGCCCGTCTTAGCATACATAATACGAGAGGTCCTCCGAAATACTGTAGAGTCAAGTGTTCCGTGCCAAATCCGCGTCAAATGCCCCAGGCGTTCTCCTTTTGCCGCTTTTCGCCCACAATTTGTCTTTTCATTCCCCAATTGCAAGCCGCAGGTCTTTAGGGCCATTACAAAGTGCCGTCGAAGCACAATTACTGTCGCCCACTTTTGCAAAATAACGCCTCGAGGCGAATAACTCACTTTCCCTCTCTCAACTTACAGCTCCAAATTATGAAACAAGATAAATGAAGCCGGGGCAAAACGGGCGAAACATTCATAAGCACGGTCCCCCCGCTTTTGGCTCGGGACTCTCGCCAAAAGACCCACAAATATTCAACAGGCAGCACAAAAAAACAAAAACTAAAAAACCTCGCGGGCTTTAAAAGCCAGACAAAAGAGGGAAGAAGAGAGAGTGCAGAGAAAGGCGAGAGAGCAGAGAAACAAAGGAAAGAACGAAGAACATCGCGGAGAACGTCAAGAAGAAGATTGAGGGGCAAAAACAAGAAAACGGGGAAAGAACAGCCAACGGGGAAAGGCACGTACCATGGTGAATGTAATTATGTAGTGGACGAACGTAAGAAAAGTTGGTAAAAAGCACAACAAATCGAGGAAAAGAACGCCCAAGCCGACGAGAGAGGAGAGAAACAGAGCAATCGAGAGAAGGTGACTCGAAATGGCCAGAGAAAATAATCTGACGGAGAACACGCCACAACTACGTGACTGTCTGACCGTCTCTTCTCTTCGCACAGTCTCTCCAAAAAGAGAAGATTGATTAAAAAGAATGTCCGAGTTGTTTATGAATAAAAAAGTAAGTGGATGGGGATAAAAAACAATGTCATCTGATGTCATCAATATCAGTGAAAAGGACGTTAAAGTAAATCTAAACAGCAGTAAATAACCAGTGGTAATTATAGTTATTCGACTACAAAATGCAAATTTAATAGCCTCAGATTGTGCATTGTGCAATGAGAAGTGTCTAGAATGAAAATAAAATGCGAAAAAAGAGTGGCTACAATTACTTTGCATACCCAAAAATTGTAATCTCCGTTTGCAGAACGAACTTTAAAAGGTCGAAAATGTCAGCAAAAGCCTGAATTCATCCACGTGAACGTTTGAAAAAATGTAATCGAAATCTTATTTTTTGGGGTTGCACTTTTAGAAATTCGGAAAACAGAGAAAAAAGGATTAGAAACGGGGAAAAAAGAAGGAGCGAGGTCGCCCCCTTTTCTTTTATTACAACGTCACAGTGATATAACACTCTCTTCGACACTACTTTACAATACAGCTGCCGAATTACAGGAAAGGGGAAAAGCGCAGAATTTGGAGAGAAATTGTATTGTTTAGGAAATGGGAAAGTGCCGGAGGGGAAAGTAGGGAGGTTCTTTAAATTTGGTGATTATATAGGGGGTAATATAATATATAAATTTTGTTTTTAAATCCAGTCAAAGGCGGAAAATTCAGTTCAAATTTGGACTAAATCTTGTCGGAAGAAAACATAAAGTTCCACTCAAACAAGTGCCAAATTCAGTCAACCATGGACAGGATCCGCCCAGCGAGTTATTGCAAGGAAACCCAAGATATTCGACGATTTCTGAAGAGTAGAGACTATGGAAATGATGAGAAATGGCCGAAGAAAAAACGATTTCAGCCAAAGCCCTTGTGGATTTCGAGCCGAAGAGAGTTATTTTTGGCAGAAACACTGTCCCGTGCTTAAGAAAAAAGCCGAATTACGTCCCCAAAACGTTGGCCTCACGTAAAGAAGATGAATTGGGACTTGTTCTTCCGAAAAAAGTAAACAAAGGCCGAAACAAAAAGTGAAAGAAAGGTCAAAAAGAGTGCCTCAGACCCGCAGATATCAAAAAAATAAAAAACATATCGAATATTTTCAAACCAATGCAAATTCCTTTGGACCCGATATCATGAGTAACATCGGATGGGATGACAAATGCCAAAGAAGACAAAACCCACACGAATAGCCGGTTATAAGGAGCGCTCGGCTTGTAATTGTAACAGCAAAACCCATAAAATCGGGGCGCAGAAAGAGAGAATGGCCGCTGCGATCAAAGAAAAGGACGATCCGAACAAACAATCTGCTCTAAAAGTACGACGAAAGAACATTACAAGTTCAAAAATTCATTTCATCGTAAACAGGAGAGACTTTTGAAGATTGGAAGAACCCAAAAAAATCTCTTGGATATGGGTAATATTTGAATGTACATAACTATGGGATTTACTAAGCCAGTATATTGTAACTTAATATAATAACTATACTGGGGGGCGACCTACATCTGTCGAGAATTTATGGTCGAAACAATAAGCCTATGTTTCATTTTCAAAACGAAAAATTGGCATTCGAAGTGCGGATTCGAAATTCTCGACAAAAAATTTTAATTTTTCGAGCGAAATTCAACAAGATCCGGGCCAAAAAATACTTCTCTCTGGCCGTCTCGCACACTGATTTTACGTTATTTACCTCTCTAGGAAGATCGTAAAGTATTCCGGAAGCCTCTGAAAAGCGCGCGCCAGGAGTTTCTAACATTGATTTATGCCCTTGATAGACAAACAATTTGAAGGAAATCTTCGCATCGAACACCCGTCAAAAAAGTCCACGTTGTCCGTGAATCGGGTCTTTTTGACAACACCAATGAATAATTCTGTTTTCTCCCCACTCTCAACGTTATAAGCTGATAACAAAACAGCCGGAGGTGTCAACAAACTTGTTATGAAATCAAAATAATTATTTTTTTTGTATTTTTAATTAAATACAATATTTACAAGTATTGCTCTGGAAATGCACATGTTCCAGGAAGAGTGGAAAGGTTACATTTATGTAAATTGCTCGTAATATTCGTGGAATTGGGACAAAGTCCACGGAGAGGATGATCTTTTGGACACAAAAACAGCGACTCTTGGTTTAATTAAATTTCTAATAAGGCGGCAAAAAGAGACGGAATTTGATTATTAATTTATGGCATACTATGGCAGTTAATTTATGGCATACAATAATAATTAAAACTTAATCCTAAATGTAATAACAATACAATTTGATCCAGAAACCCTCCGAAACTCACTTTTCTTCACATCTCTCACAATTGTCAGCCCCCCAAAGCTATTCGGAAGGCGAATCGATATTTGAAATGAGAAACAAAGCAAAGGGCGTAAACAAAAAATAAAAAAATATTTTGAAACAAAATCAACTTTCGCAATTGGTGGGGCACAACTTGGTGATAAACAAGCAGGTAAAACAAGGATCAGCAGAGAAAAATGGACGGACAATAACAGTTTATGGTGTTTGAGATACTAAAGCAGACGCTCGGGGTTGCAGAAGGAATTGATACAAAGTCCGAGTGGTACGAGTTTGTTATTTTCATCATCAAAATTAAGGGGATTTTTCAATCACATTAGGGAACAACATTATATTATAGTATAGTAGGTCTGGTAAAGGGAAATATTGAACGTGGAGAAAAGACGTGCATAGATTTTCTTGTATGGGATGCATGCATAGACTAAAAATCGATTACTGAAAATGTTTATTCGTGATTACATCTGAGATACGATCCTTTCAAATAAGAGCCAGTAACAAATGTTTTGGCTCGAAAGTCTCGAAAATTTCTGGCAAATCGCAAAAGGAAAGTCCCGAATATAACCCAGAATTATTAATTTCTAAGGCCCATCACACCGAGAGCATCAAAAAAAACACTAGATGTTATCCATGAATAATATACCAGTCGAAATTATTCGATATTTTCCACGGCCATTTCCCCCATTCCTCATTTTAATGGGCGTCCCGCATAATTATCCCCCATGACGCCACAAATACACACGCAAATGTTGGCTAAAGTGAAAGCGACTCGCCCATTTGTAACCGCATTAAACCAAAACTATTTTCCACCAGCAGGATTACTGTTTATTCACTGTCTGCATTCTTGTCTGTTGCTTTGGAAACAAGTCTACATTTACGGCGGGCCAGACCTTGTTCATACGCGCACAGGGCACGCCATTTACACCCGCCCAAACTTGTACACCTTTTCTTGTGTGGAAGTGGCCTCAGGGCTTGCGTCCCGCCCGCCTCCGTATGGCCTCATAATTACCCCAAAGACGGAATATTTGCAGTGCTGGAAGACTTTTATGGAAGGAATTGTGAGCCCAATTTGGTTCGCTAATTAAGTTCCCACCTCACACCCTAAGGGCTTTTGCGGCGATTAACGGAAAACGAGAGCGATTCCAGCTGAATGCAACATCCAAGGTCCGATTCCACCGTTTTCCACGTCTCCTTTCTTCCAATTCTCATGCCGTTTTTTGCGATTTTGAAGCAAAAAAACGATTAAAAACACAAATCATAGAAAAGGGAATTAAGCGATTATCACGCCATATTTGTGACCTCGGAATGCGAGTTCAGATAAAAAATATAAAAAAAATCGGAAATATCCGAAAAAGTTGTTTTAAAAGCTGAGATCTCAGCTGAAACAATAGACAAATCCAGTGGGAACTTCAATAAAAAAAAAGAATTTAAGAGTGCAAAGCGCTGCGAAGAAACGACTCGGTTGCTCGGAGAATGCCCATGTTTTTATTGTTATGCCGCCTTTTATGCCCTTCAAAATACAAATGATCGAACTGGGTGGGAATACGAAGGGATTGATAACTAGTGTAATGTTTGCGGTGAACGAAGGAAAGGAGTCATAAATCGAGACAAAACACAGTCATCGTACCATTTGTAAATTGATAAAACCTTTAAAAGGTCATTGAAATCAAAGTTTCACATCAAGAAAACAATGCCAAACTGAACCCTCTGACCAGGAAAGCAATCGGTTTGCATAAACATCAGTGCGTGTAACCCAATATTTCCATCGTCATAGCCACAGGCAGGGCGAGATTTCCGAGTTCAAAAAAGGAAATGAAACGGGAGAAAAGGTAAAATGAATTGAGGAAAATTTGGAAGCAAAATCATGACCTCCAGCGATTAGCGAGAACTTTGTCGCAGCCTTGAAAGGCGTGGAGGAGTCAAAAAAAATGTTTTACTTGGAATTTTGAGGTTTTCAAGTATGTATATTCGGGGCTTTCCGAGTTCAGCCTGCCATGCAAGGCAACTCAAACCCTCACGGTTTTGCCCGTTTCATGTACTACCTTAGCCCCATATGTTCTTCTGTACAACGAAAGAAAAACTAAAAGAAAAAGTAGAGCTAAATACAAGTTGGGGGCAAAATATTAACCATTTATATCAAAGTGAGAACATCCATCATATCAACCCCTGACCACTCACTTCCCTACGAAAACAAAAAAGTTTCTTAAAACAAGATCTTGAAAGGACCGTTCCTGCTTATCCAATTCGAAATGCATACAGATGTGGATGCCAGAAAAAAAGAGAAAAACAATTTGTGACAATTCTATGAAATGTCATCAAACCCTTGTCTGCGAGGACCCGAAATAAGGATTAGATAAAAAATAACACCGCTGAATAACTCTGTCGTAGAGAATCCAACGAGTCAAAATGTAACTTTTTGAATAAAAATTGTTCTTTTTTGTTTGCACTTTTATGTCATCCATTACCCCCACTGGGGCCTGAACCTTCACCCGAATATTTTGTAAAAGAACGGGGTGATGTCAGATCCCACGAGGGAATGAGGGACTCTCATCTCGTCTGAAGATTTTTGACAACATAGTTAATGAGCATGGCCATTCAATTGGCAAGTTTTAGATATTTTACTATGATATATGGATACGTATAGTTACAACAGAGTTCTCTTCAAACTTTTATTCTCAAAATAATCAAACCCCGAAATCACAAGGAATCGAAGAATGGTTCAGCTAAAAGTTGTTTTTGCCGTTGATGCTTTGCATTTTAAACTTACATTGGCCAATTCTAGATCTCTAAGCCCATTTTCGGCGATATTCACATCGAAAGTTATCCGATCCTTGTACGAAAAACATTTTCCTTTGCATTTGTACTTACTAGGATGTCTATTTTATATAAAACAGAATGTCTTACAGCTCTAGAAAGATGGTTGATGGGGCATCTGGCTTGAGAAAGTATTTGTTATGATAGCCTGTCACGTTGAAGGTATCGACGGTCGTCTCATATGTATAATAGTTCATTGTCTACAGAAAGAGTGAAAATGATTACATTTAAATTTTTTATTGACGCAACTTACCCCTTGCACAGGTTTCCCCAGACAAGTGATGTTGTAGGCATAGATAATATGACCGCCTGCGGGTCTAAGATCGGTTCGGTTAGCTGTAGAACAGACATAAAGAAGGGTGATAAGGATTACAACTCCCAGTCTCCCCATTCTCACAACGATTTGAATCAAATAACACAATCACCGCCATCAAATTAAATATTCATGGCTGGGGGTTTAACTGATGTTATTCATGTCATTTGAACATGAGAGCTTTTGAGTGATAACAGCATTTTATGAACGTCAAACATGGAAGATTTCAGGGTCCCTGTAGAAAGAGACCTTTCTCTGATCATTCCTCCCCGATTTCCAATCTCTCTCCCTTGCAGTGGACGTTGGATATTTGGTGGAGATGGATTTATGACTTCCAAACCTCCTTTTAAAGGTCATGAGCTTTATCTTTCTTGCTGCATTCACTTTGCTCGAGGGCCTTTTGGAATGAAAAACTTATGGAAATTTATTTTATTCATTCTGAATCAAGAAGTCAATTAGAAAGGGTTACAGTACTGCGTGAAGTCTTCGTATCTACATCCGAACTTGCAGCAGATATCGGCGAATTCATCGTAAGCCGGCTTGTTCCATCCTCTCGATTTACTCAGCATCAGAGAATACATGGATTGGGGATTGATTGTCGCCCTTTTACTCTTCAAATCTCTCTTTTTTCTTAACGGACAAGCTACCATAAGAGCTTCCACAAATGTTTGCCCACCTGAAGTAGTACTATGGTCATATAAATTACATATAATAAAGACCTGAAGAGAGTCTAATAAGTTACACAATCTTGAATAAACTCCTTTCAATTAAAGATTTTCAGTTTGCACAATGAAAAAGATTTCTGAGAAACACTCTAATTTCAAGATTACACATCAGAATTGGAGATGCACAGTAAAAGTAAAAAGAAAATTGATAATTTCTATTTGGAGGGACCACCCAACTAGGGAAATAATGAGGTCAGAGGTCGAAGGTAATGGCTAAGCGTCTTTACAAACCGTTGATCTGAAGTTTTATGCTCGCGATGCAATAATTGGATAAAATTTGGCATTCTTTCCCTGGTACTTTCAGGGAATTAAACTTGACTGCCAGCAAATTTGGAACCGCCTTTCTATTAGGCCAGCTAAATACTAATTGTAAGCCATGAAGCTTTTTACCTGTGAAAGATCAAATCTCAAAAGGCTGCTAAGTTCTCAGCAACAACCCTCGTCGAATTCTCGGCTGTTTCTGAAAAGCGCAACCTGATGCAATTCGAAGAGAATTGAGATTGTCAGAGCAGATCCTAATCGGGAGTTTCTTTAAATATAAGACTTGTTGAGTTCCCCATTTGTAAATTATTTATTGAATTACCTGCTGGACAAAAGTGGAATGCTGGAAGTCGGTCTTCTGGAAATTCGGTGGGAATCTGCCCATTGCACAACACCACTAACCACAAGAACAATACTAATCTTTCCATCGTCAATAAATGAGCTATCAGGAGACCTTGATCATTTGAGAATCCTAATTTGTAATTAAATTATGCTAACAGCCTTCTTTGATTAGAATTTAACTACTTTTAAATCCCTGATGACTCTGTTCTCTGTTCTGTCATCTATTCTATTTATTACAAAACGTATAATACAAATAAAAAACAAAATAAATACGCAAGAATTCATTGCCAAATAATAACACTTTTCCATCGCCAACTTTCTACAAAATACACACAGAATGTTACAGTACTCTCTCGTTTCTTCAGTCCCAGGAAAAGGGCGCACAATGCGGGAAGAAGTCGGTCAACTCGCAGCCGTTCTTACAGCAGATGTGCATGAACTCGTCGATGGTGGCCGGTCGATAATTGGGGTCCTTTTCACTCAACGGGACCGTGCTCTTGTCGACGGAACGTTTCCGTCGCATCGGGCAGGCTAATTGAAACGCCTCGAGGAAACTGCGGCCGCCTTAAGTAAGGAGATTAATCGCCGCGGTTACAAATTACATTACTTCCAATAAATCATCCCCTATCAAGATACGAACATCTATAATGGCTAGAAGAAAGGCCGAGAGAATCTTTGGAAGAGTGACGTCATCTTGGAAGGATATATAAAATCCCGAATTTCTTCTGCCTGAACTCTCTTATGAATTATTAAATGGAATTGTAACTCAATTACTATTCCCACGAGGTAGATCTTACTCTCAAGCGATGAATAAAAGATGAGTACATGCTGCAGTAAAAAAGGGGAATGCATCATCGCAGACATCGTATAATTTGACTTTAAGTTAGGTACACAAATAAATACATACAACTTCATGGACAGAATAGAGAATATAATTGGACTGCTTACCTGGCGGACATAACTTTAATTTCCCAAACTTAAAATCGTCTGGTTCTTCTGGCTCGGGCTCTGTATTGAAAATGGGTCGGACTTCGAATTTACTGGCTGAAAACGGGATGGCCATCGCTAGGGAAAGGAGGACCAGCATCCAAAGGAGGGTCTGAAGGCTCAGTCCGCATGGGGACAGCATCACCAGGCCAAGTCGCGACCAAATTTAGTCTAAAATTACTGTGAGAAAAACATCATACAAAATGATGACAAATAATCGCGGGAAAAACGAAAAATCTGGACAAAATTTATACAATATCTACTGGAAAGGCTCTTGCAAGACGTATAATATAAACATTAAACATGTTTGAGACAGCTTGTAATGACATTTCTATGGAATAAAATAACTAAATAGCCTTAAGGTCAGTCCCGCTTGATACGAAAAAAAAATAATTTGGATTTAACATTAGCGTTAAAAAAAACAAGATGAAAACTGTGAATCAGAGAGTGTATACCCTTATATATTAGTCTTTACATCAGGCCACGCTTGATGACCAAAGTAAATAAAAGTTCACCAAATTTGGCAAGATGCCTCCCATCTAATCCGAGTACAATATCCGGCGACGGTTCCCGTAACGCCGCTTTAGCCGAATCTTGTCATAATTACAAAATTCTGATGACATTTGCCGCCACACCCTCGGGCGAAATGCCGAGAAAAGACGAGCCAATGCCGCAGGGCATCCGAGAAAAACGGAAAAAAGAAAAGCGCAAAAACGACGTGTTTAACAAGCTAATTGTAACCTCGGCGGAAACGGATTTGCTGTCAGTTTAACAGTAGGATTAACTAGGAAAAGGAAGTCACCCCCACCAATCAAACAACATCAGGAAACTTTTGGGCGCGCCCCATTTAACAATCACGTTATTACGTGTGTGGTTCATGCATAACATCATCTTATTTACAGGTCTCAGAAGGAGTTATGAAGGGTTTAGGCGAGTCTTGAACCGTTACAGGACAGCACCTTATAAGATGATTGCAATATGGAGGTCTAATAATAGCAGTACAGGAGGGTTTAATATTGTGAAGAGGGACTGGAATAACCATGCTCATCAGACTTGAGACACAATAAGATTTGAACTTTCCAGACAATTAAGGACACTTTTACCCCGCGCTTTGCAAAAGTCGCAGATTTTTTTTTGCAGTGAAAACTTGCCAAAAAATTTTTTTTTCAAACCCTTTTTTTCCACAACTAATTTGAAAAGCAAACTCTGAATTTTCCAGTCGTAGACAGAACTTGCCCAAAATTTCAGGAAAATATGCGCTAGACGTTCTGAGGACTCCACTGGCCGGGCTTCAGTAATACAAAAAATAAATTTAAATGGTCCGGAAAGTACTCCCCACCCAGATGACTTCAGAGTTGTGTAACGCCAACCAAATCATCAAACCAATATTTGAGAAGTCACGCAACATACGTAGCTTCATCTACATGGTTAACCCAAGAACCCTACATTTTAGATGACAGTCCGCTAAGGACCAATTTCTGGCCAGAAACTACTGACGACTAAAGGAAAATGTTAATTGAGTGATATAAAAATGGAGAGATTTCTGGAATCCGTTCTATTCTCGGCGTAATGTATACAAGTTGCGTTTATTTTGCAGAGTAATTATGATGCAACTAGGGAGAATGTAAATTGTAAGCTAAACATTTCTTCGGAGAGAGCATCAATCTAATCTTAGGAAGGGATAAGTGCACAGTAATCTATATAAATATTACAATTTCACTATTTTTAGAAATTTAGATATTTGTAAGGGTATTCTGGTCTATTTGTAATCACCTTTACCCTCTAAATTTATGTATTTTTTGTCGCCTTTTCATGATCGCATTTCTGGCCGATCTCGATCTTGTTGAGCGCTTCTTCCGTGATGTAATACCTTCGTTTCCATCGAATACAAAGAAAAGAAACCATGCCAGTCGAAGGTCACTTGGAGTGGAGGCTTTTCTCTTATTTCTTCGATCTTTTCTTTTGTATCGAGAATGCGGATCATCCTTTTTGTTGCCTTCTTAATTTTTTCCGCATTGTAAGTGACCATCCTCCGTTTTGTAATTCATATCAATTTAGAGCTGATTGTCCCCGAAAACAGCAGGCCAATGAGGTGAAACCGCCCGCTTTCGAACCGGAAGACCATTTCATTCAAAGCAGTTTTGTTCACAGAGATGTGACTGGTAAGCGACAAGATTGAGTGTAGTCAAAGTTTAGATGATGACAAACAATATTCAATTATTGTGGCCGACACTCTTCGAGATCTGAGGAAACGTCTGCTTTCCTCGGCCAAGATTACCATCGACAATGAGAACTTGGATTGTTCGCATGGGGGGTTCCCTAGATGCAAGGAGTTCTCACCCGAAAAACCATATCACTTCTTGGTCATCGAGGACTCGTAGGTCGATTGAATAAGTTTTAGTCACAAATTTTGACAAAAGTTGCGCAATTTTTATAATTTTAGGACAACTGGGGCCGTTGTCTACAGTCTGGACAGAGAAAGGAACGGGCTTGACTCTCGGCTTGTTGAAAACGCACTTCTCGAGTAAGACTTAATTTGTTTTATAAACCAAAATTTTAGTGCTTTCTCCCGTCATTCAAAGCACCCTTTGACCGGTTATGTAAGCGAATCGGCCGAAAAATTTGTCGGATTTGTTCGAGAAGTCAGCATCGACGAATTAATGGAATATGCAGAGGAGAATCAGGCGATTCAAGATGCAGAAAAACCAACAATCTTCAGAAGATCTCCATTCGAATTGAACCTCTTGAACGAGCGAATAATCGAGCTCCGAAAGGCAGACCAATGTGAACGCCCGGTCAAAGGATTAACTGTCTATAGGTGGGACAATGAAAGCAAAGCCGTTTCGAGCACTCCGCCTACTCCCACGTAATACTTTCTCTTCCAGATCCGGCGAATTAAGTCCTCTGATTGATCTCCACAACAATGACGTCATCTTTTGCCTGTTCTGGACCAATGTGGACACGGTTTCCACGCATGTCTACCAACTTTGGAAGAAATTGGCCCAGGAATTGTCGGAGGATCCAAAGATTAAAAACCGCGCCATCTTTGCGGCCGTTCCTTGTCATCGAGATCTCGATTTGTGCTCAGCTTTTGGGATCCAACACTCGGATCATCGAACTGTTTTTGCCCTGAGGGGATCACGGAAATTTGCGTCAAATTATGGAATCGGAGATCTCGAGTTTTACAAAAATTGGATAAAAATGTATGTCGCCGAAAATTAAACGACAAAATGCACGAAATTAACATTATGTTGGACACGCATGTACTCTGATACATATCTAAATAGAAACATGAAAAAATGCACTTCTTTCTATATTATTTTAGGGTCTTATCCGGAACATTAAACCAAGTGCAAGATGAAGAAACGCTAAAGAAGATTAGGAAGGGACTGGTCGATGGCTTCGAGGAGAAGGAACTGCCCCGGCCAGCGGTAACAATCGGCGTTTTCCCCGAGGAAGACATGGATGAGTTCAAAAACTATCGAAAGATCAGCTCTATTCTTGCTGGAAGATACCATTTCTTCTACAAAATCGATGAAAAGTAAGAAAGCGGTGCAATAAAAACGTTGGTTTCACCCACAAAATGAGGGTGAAACCAACGATTTCTGGATCTAAAATATCTCTCAAAAGTCAGTACTACAGTAATCATTCCAAAATTACAGTATCCCCTCGCCCACTGTCTCCACATTCCGTCCCTCCGAAAAGACCAAACGAATCGATTACAACGGCAACTTCGACGTGAAATCCCTGACTTCTCACGTCACTAAGGAGTCGCTTCCTTCATTGGTAAGAGTAATTTCACTTTTGCAAAAAAAAAGGCCGAAGACTTTTGCCCGTCCGGAAGTTGGCAATTACTTTGTTTTAGCTGGAGATATCGCGCGGATTCACTTCGGATGTCATTTACCGTTCGGACCGCGATGTTCTTCTTCTTATCCATGAAGGGGATCAGAAGAGATTGGAGGAGATCCAAAGCCTCGCTTATGATAAGCAACAACAAAAGAACTATCTATTCGCCCATCTGAACGCGTAAGTTCACATCACTTTTAAAATAGACCGAAAATCACAAAAGCCTATAAAACTGAGAGTAAACCACAAAAATAACTACCATGACATGAGCCAGAGGCGAAGAGTAGCGGGACAAAAGTAGCGAATAATTAAAACGGAACGGGAAACGCCGGAAATTAAAGGAACAAAAAGAAAATGTAATAGGAACCTCCAAATGAGGGTGACACAAACAGCAGATTGGGTTCTGGCCTAGTACTAGTAGTCCCCAATGGTAATCATGTTCCCGGAATTCTTTCAGCGTCGTCTCTCTGCCCATCATTCGATTGCTGAGAAACCTGAAGGTGCAGTCATCAGAACTTCCGGTCGTTTGCCGGTTTAATCGCGATACTTTTGGATGTTTATCCCTCCCGGATAATCAAAATATTATCCATGCACTTGACGGTATAAAGGATGGTAAGTTGGTCTTCATCCACCCAAAAATCCTTTTCTTTTCTGATGATAGTACTTTCAGAGACCCTAATCGATAGGAAACAACCTCATCCTCTCAAGGTTTTCCAATTAGAACATGTTGATTACGTGTTTGGAGAACAAGATGTCCAACTTCTGGCTGAACCACTAATCTCTTCAGGCCATGGGGGCTTCAATCATGATGCTGTGGATCCATCTGATGGCACAGGGGGATGTCCAATGATGAAACATTTGAATTCCATTGGTCGGGATGAGCTTTAAATCCAACTCTCGTCCTAAAAAATATTTATTTTCAGTAACTTCACATTGAAAAATGACTTTCTAGCAACTAATAATGATAAAAAAATTAAATCGAAATTTGCATGGAACAAATAGTAATACAGAAGTTCATTTTTTCAAAGGAAACTCTTTTCATTTCATTGTTTTACTCCTCTCACAGGATGCCGGTATACGTCTATTTCATCGATGACGGCAAGGTCCTCGACCAATCCTTCATCGTCACCTTGCCTGAACGTCGACTCACACCTCCGGAGTTGGTTCAAGAAGTCCGCAACCAATTGGATTTGTCGCCCCGACTCCGTCTTCTGGCCACTCGCTATCGGATGGCCTTGAGTTACTTCGAGAGTCTGAAAAAGCCACCAGAAGGCATTTCCTCCAATGATGAGGTTCAGATGGCATTCGGACTCAAGGAAGACGACTTTGTAAGCCGTCGCAAAAATTGCTTGGCATTTCGTCTATTGGCTACTTTTTTGAAATTTCAAATTTAAAATTTTTCTGACACGAATCAATCTTGACCAAAAGATTTTAGATACCAAAATTCTTTCAAGGATTCTCGTGAAAGTATCCTTTTCAGTGTCCCCCGCTCCCGATTTTGTCTTCATCTCATATCCCAGCCAATCCCCCGGTCAAGAAGGAGATTGCAGAAGACGACGATGTAATTGTTGTGGAGGAGATTAACGATTTCAAGTCTGCACTTCCGCAACCAGCCTTTGTCGAGAATTCTCTGTCTCGTCGACCTCAATTCTCCTCCAATGCCGTTACTCCGTTGTCCAACCTCAGAGTTCCTCCGGGGAGTCCACTTTTCCATTGTTTGAACCGTGAGCATAGTCCAGCAGTAAGTTATTCTTTCGATTCATCGAATTTCAGACATTGAAAAAAGCATTTCAAGTGACTTTGCTTTCTGCGCAACCTTTCGGCGAGTAATATTGCGTTTTCAGCTCAACTCTTTGATCGCAGCTTTTCTTGGTCAACTTCAAGACAATGCCACTGTTCCTCCTAGCAGTAATTATACGGTAGAATCAAACAAAAAGCTTCCTGCAGCAGGCGGACGTGCCAGGAAGGTATGCAAATTTTTAATTGTGTTTTGAAATTTTAGGTACCTAAATTCATCGGTTTCATTTTAGAGCCGAAAGAAAACTCGTAGTTTCACCGAAGAAGAAAAGGAGGCTCAGGATGTTCTGATGGCCTTTGACTTGGAATATGTTATCAATGAGTCCCCTCAGAACATGTTTCTCAAGAACGCGCTCAGGGATGGTCGTATCGACGAAGATTTTTATATCAGTCTCTCGAATGCACTTGCTTGTTTCATTACCAGCAGAACGTAAGGGTCTATTCTAATCTTATTGTTGTTCACAAGGTCAAGATGAAGATGTTTGGCTGTTTTTAGGGACAAATTGTGGACTCCGCGCACTCTCTCACCGATTGTTGAGCAATATCTGTCGCCATATCCTCAATTAGATGCTGGACATCTCTTTGGGCCCCAATCCTTCCGTCTTCGCAACAAACTCAATCATATCCGAGCCACCAAGAGAATTCAGCTTGAACGAGAGGCAGCAAGAAGTCTCCAGGAAATCCCCACCAGCTCTTCGGCCAGTCCCGGATCGGATTAGTAGTTCGCATTTATATAGAATAATCTAACTAGCTAACGATAAATATGTTATATAAGAGCTTAATAACTTTATTAGGAATACTTTAGTTATCTCAACCAAATTATGCACAAATTTATGTAACAACCAGGATGAAAAAGAAAATGATGTTCTGATTAGCTTACAGTATACTTGATTAGGTAATAAATAAGAGGACTGAATGGGAATGGCACTGGTTTAATCCTTCTTCTCCACCTTCTTTGGTCGATCATCGGCACAAGCAGTGATCAGCCAGAATATCAAAACCACATGGACCAGGATGACAGCCACCACCGCCGAATACGTCATTGAAGTACTCGAGTCATATCCAATGACACCTGGAAACAGAAATTTATTTTAGAAAACTACTATAATTTGGTGGATTAAAATTGCAGGAACATACCCTCAAACAAGAACCTCTTTAGAAAGAACATTGAACCGAGTGGGACAGCCAAGATGGTTAAACTGTAAATCATCAGATTCTTCACGGCCGACTGCACATTTGGATCACGGAAATGTTGCACCACATCTCCCATTGTTGCAACTAAAATATTAATTCAAACAATGCACTTCACATTCAAATAAAACTGGTCAATAACCAAGAAACACTTCGTTTCATACCATCAGACGGTATTTATTTTTCACGAGAATAAGTGAATAAAAGTATGGAGAATAAGAAAGAATCTAATACGTAGTTAGGATAGGAAGTTTTGTACACCTTAGAGTCGAAGAAGACCAGCTTTCAACGGGATTTTATCGCCTTGATTCTCTGTTCGATGCCTTTCTCTTCATGATAAGCGATGTAAATGAAGATGCCAATAATAACGTAGACCGAGATAATTCCAACAATGCCTCCATAAAGGGCAGCCTGATCTGGAGGAAGATGATAGTGTTCTAAAATAAGTAATTTAACGTACATTCTTCAGTTTAAAAAATTTTCAGAGAAACTTACCGAGGAAGAGAAATTTGTAGGAAGCATACATTAAGCCGCAAGGTATCGTGAACATCAAGAAAGTGGCCAAGATGAAGTTCTGATATGCGGAGACTCTGTTCTCAGATGAGAACACCTCCTCTTGCTCATCACTGGACACTAAAAGAAAAAAGATTACCTAAAGATCCCTGTCAAGTATCTACTTCCGGAGGTACTGTAAGTTGAAACTTACACCCTTCGAAGATGCCGTTTAACTCTTGTGTCTCCTGCCCTGCTTCCTCTACTTCTTCCTCTAGCTCCCCCTCAACTTCGACTTCTTGTTCTTGGTCTTCATTATCGCTCTTCGTACTTCCCTTGTCACTTTCTCGGCTTCTGTCCCCAAATTGATCCATGTTCTTCTTTGTCCCTTCGTCATCATCACTGTCCTCAATCAAATCCTAAATTATGAATCAAATAAATGTTGAACAGACTTACAATTACTTCGATGTCATTATCCGTATTAGTAGTATCAGTGGCATCGGCTGAGCCAGGTTCGGAAACATCGGATTCGCGTCTTTCCTCAATGGTACTCATCGCTGAAGGTTAGTCCGGAATCCGGATGAATTTTCAAAGAACGACCGCACGACGCAAAAAATCAGATGATAAATCAGAGCAAACAAACCGCATGGTTCACAAAAATGATCTTTGACATGCAAAAAATGTTTAAACTGTGTTTTCGCGGCTATAAACTAAAACAAAAACGCTCCTATGCCTAGAGCATAACACAAAAATTATGCAATCTAGAAAATCGAATAATAATACGCCATTCGTATGACCAGATTCAGTGAGTATTCGTGTGCATGTAAAAGTTGTTTTATTTGCGCGAAAAACACGAAAACCAAAAACGAGAAAGAGACTTGGCGCATTCATGCGGATGAGTCAAGTCTCTCCTGTTACTCAAAAAGCTTACAAAATTAGTGCTACTTTGCGCGCAGCGTCTCAGTTTACTCTTAGCTTTGTTTTAATAGAGCGGCTTTACTGTTAGAAATACCCTTGTTTATTAGTCGAAATGTAAAACAATATTAGTGAAACAGGAGATCAAACCATTTAAAAACATAATTTATCCGAAGAAGTTATAAAATGATAGGTGAGAAAAATGAGGTTCGTTTTTGTAGATCGGAATAAGACATCACAATTCAAAAGTTGGAAATGAACCCCCGCAGATTTTGGAAGGCTCCAATTAAACATTCAAACAAAGTCAGAATCGGCATTTTTCTAAGGCGTTGGCGGGTTTTCAGTGCTCTTTTTGTGTATGATTTGAGCGGATCCTCGTCGGCCTGAATGAATGGGTGCTGTTCTTTGTGGGCCTTGAGTTACTCTTCGTTGACGATTCTGTTGGATTGGATTTGTGACTGGCGATGGATTTCTTTGGGTTGTGGAGATAGTTGAGGGGATCGGATGATCCGATTGACTCGTTGATGGAGATGACGAAGCTTTAACGAAAATATATCATTAAAAATTACCATCAAACTAAACAACATGTCGTTTGGAATTGCTATCTTACCTGATTGTCCTTGTTGAACGGAGAAGTATCGAGTTTGTCCTAATCTCGCCCCCGGGCCAGTCTGAATTCTCTGTTTAGGATCGATCGTCTGCGGACGTCGGTCAGAATCTTTGACCTTTCCTGGTATTTGATATTCCACGATTTTTCTTTGCGGTGGGTGAGCTCGAATTGGCTGGACCGTTCTCATTTCTTGCTGAAATTATTTCATATACCCTATGCAAGATCTTTGGAATACTCGTATCGCGATTCTGGAGAAAAAAGAGCGGGATATCCGATTCCTTTTGTTTTTTTTTTCTGTTCACGCTACTATTAACCCCAATAACTTGAACTATGACATTTTGTTCGGAAATATTAGGAAATATACAAAATGTCATTCTTTTCCTTGTCCTACCTTTTTGAGTTGAGTCGTATCCGAGGAAGTTGGGCCTTCAGAGGAACTTCCACTAGAAGCTGCTTGATCTTGAGCTGTGTTGTACTGAAATTGAACGTACTGCGGACCACCAGGACCTTGAGGTTGGATGATTTGGACCTTCTGTTCCTGCCGATTCTGAAACGAACATCATACTCTTTTTATGCCATGGTTTATCAATGCTGACTCTCAAGAAACTTACACCTCGAGGTTGTGATTGTGGTTGCCTCATTTCGAGTACGTCTTTGACGGGAGTTTCTTCTGGGACACCGTACACTTGAGCTGTTGTTTGTCCGGGTAATGAAAGTTTGATTTGATACTGACGTGCTTCATCTGGTAATCTTGGTATCTGAACTCGATATTCCATGCCTCTGGGAGTGTGAACAGGAACGACCGAGCTCTGGAAACATTGCATTAGAATTCATAACACCCCAACAAAATAAAAAATATCTTAAACCGTACCTCATGTTCGATAACCGGTCCTCCTTTCTCCTTGTTCTCTCCAGTCGGACTTAACCTGACATTGGCCACTGTTGGGACCGAACTTGGACACTGAATTGGTTTCCCCTGCGAGTCTTGAAGATGTAATCGTATCTCGAGAGGAGCGTATTCACTGGAATGGGGGTTCTGCACCACATATTGTGATTGGGTTCCTTGTCGATAAGACTGGCCTGAACTGGACGTCTGAGGCTGGGAGATCACAATCTGAGCTTGCGTTGGATCAGTCGGAGTGGAGGGTGATATCCTCTGGACGGGTTGGTATCCTTGACCTTGGTAACTTGGACTCATCTTCCTTCTTTTATCAGTTTCCATTGGCTGAAGTTCCACTTGTAACGATCCCGGGTCTTCCAATCTTCGTTTTAATGCGGGATGAGAAGTTCGTTGAATTGGTTGGGAAACTCGTTGAAGTTGGTGCTTTGGATAAGCTGGTCTTCTTGCATTTTGAGACGCCGGACCCTGCTGATTCACTCCCAATTGGAGGTCCCTCTGCAACTTTTCTCTGACGGTCAGTTCTCTGTTCGGGTCGTTGCTGATGCTGTCGTTTCTGCCGATTCTTCGTCCAATCGGGACTCCCTGTCGTTCTCCTGGTCTGGGTTTACTTGGGTTTTGTTTTGTGGGGACTCTGTCTTTTCTGATGGCGGATGCCCTGTAAGTAGAGGGTGATGAAGATCCAGGTGAGTAATCCCCAAACTCATTTGGCGATTGGCTGTAGACATACTGTTGGTTGTGTGAAGAAGAGCCGGGGATTGGCTGATGGATGGAGACGGGTTGTCCGGCAGACGTGAAATCTAAAACATAGTCATCCTTGATACCTGTTACTCTAGCCAACACTTACGTTGCTGAGGAGGTGGATGGATTTGTGAATGCACGGCATAAGTTCTGATCTGGCCTCCGCCAGTCGCGGTATGGATTTGTCTTGAATGCACTGGGATTGACGTGCCTGGTCTGACCATGACCACTCTCTGGGCCCCTGTCTGTTCACTTGCGTGACCATAAGGAGTGTAAATCTTCTTCTGAGTTCCATAATAGTCCCGTTGGAATTGTTCTGCACTTGGTTTTGGTTCTTCTTGTGGCAGTTGTTCCTCCACTTTCTCCTCGACCTCTTCCGTTTTGAATTCGATCGCTTCTTTTTCCAACTTTTCTTTTATTTTCTGATGCTTCTTTTGAATTCGAGGTGGAATTTTGACAGTTCGCATTTTCAGGATCTCCGATGGCCCCATAGTTGCCAACCCGAGAATGTGAAGGGGATCCTACAAATAAAAGGTATGTAGAAACTAACAATTTTACTCACCTTTAGTTCCTCCTTCTTTTTTGCGTTCTTCGTAGACAAACTAGGAGGTCCAAAAACTTCACGAATACCACTGTTAGTCACAAAAACATCCTAAAAATCATCGAAAATTGAAATTCACAAGTAATTATTTTCTTACATCACTCTGCCGATTAAACTTGAATGCACAAAGTTCGTGATGTTCCTTTAATTCTTTCGCTAGCTCATCCGGGAGATCCTTTGCTTCAACGAATTCTGGAGATAAGAGATCATGACTCTGATCAAGGGTCTTCAGTTTTGTGGCAAGAACCAATTCAGACACAGTGTTAAACACCTTTGGCTGAGGAGACTTTTCGGCAGGAGTGGTTGGATGTTCCGTGTCCTCTTGATGGGTGGGAAGTCGAGATCTCTTTGGGGTAGAAACTCCCGAATCTGGAGTCGACGACGCTAGTTCATTTGCTAGTTTTACCTGCAAAAGTAATAAATTAAAACTCATGTTTTCCCCTCTGATAAAGACAAGTACAATTAGAAATCCTTACCGGGCTTTTATTCAGAGCATCGTTTCCACTTTCGCCCTCCTTCTTCTTTCTCATCGTGGCCAAACTCTTTCTAATCGCCAATTTCTTATATTCGGTTGATGTCAACGGCCTTTTATCCCCATCTGCACCCTCATTCCTTTCCGAACTTGGATTCTTCGAGGTTGAGGGATCAGCGTCAGTGATTAGTTTAACCGATGACTTCACAGCCTTATTCAACCTGACAGTCTTTCGTCTCAGAAATCGGTATTTCAGAACGTTGATCCACCTAGATCTCCTTTTGGTGGACCATTTGCCGAGCCGTTTGATTATCGTGTCTTTTATATGGGGGCGAGCCAAAACAGGGAGCAAAGAAGTGTCAGATTCCAACTTATTGAAGGAAGATTCGGCCGGATGTTCGTTGAGGTCCTCGTAAGGATCTGCTTGGACAGCGATGCCCAATTTTACTTGGCCAGACTCAACTTCTGATTGCTGAAAAGCAACATTAAATTCCTCATAGATCAAAACTTACCAAGTTAACCACGTTCTTGTTGGGGACACAAGTCAACACCAAAGCGGGTTCCTCGTCTTCATCGTCGAAAGTTGCCTTTATCTTGACATTATCCATTTCGAATGCTGATATATTGGCGACAACAGCATCAAATTCTGCTAGGACCACCGCCCTCAGATCGTCATGATTCTCCAGATCTTTGCTGCTGTGGCCGCCATCTTTTTGACGGCATTTATCCAAAGATGCCAATACACTTCTAATATTCTCTTCGATGATTTGCTCAAATTGCCTAAAAGAAGACAAATATTATTTGAAAACCCCAGGAACAACTTACGATTTCAGCTTTCCAGATGGATTTTCGGGTCTCAGAACCAACCTCCTTCCTTTTCCTTTGGTCTTTATGGCTTCTGGATCAACTCCGACTTTAATCTCTTTGAATTCCTTGCTCTCTTCCAGATCCCCATCCCGGTCATGTAACCAAAATTCATTCTTATCATCACTTGTCCGAATCAGTCTAAATCTTTGTTTCTTTTCGATGGATCGATCCAGTTTCTGCTGCCAATCGATTAGACCTAATAAGTTCCGTTTCTTCACAATAGCTGGCTTTACATTCTCCAACTTCACGCAATGATCAAACTGTTCTTGTGTGAATTTGACGAAAAATTTCTGTTTCTTTAGAATTTGAGCGATTCGGTCGTAGGACGAACGGCTGGCAGCCTTTTCATCTTCTGAGACATTAACATAATCCTGTTGTACTTGATACATGGACTTTCTAATAAACGAAGATTCCGGTATCTGTACTTGATATCCACCGGTTTCCATCGAGTTTCCTTGGCCATTAAAGCTCTTCTGCAATGCTTGGGCTTTCCATTCCAAGGGAATTCGGAGATGTCGCGGGAGAGTCGAGATATTGGGAAGTTGATGCAACTCTACTATTCCATTGCTCAGAAGTCGAATCACATAGTTCGTAGGAAGCCTCGCCAACTGCGATGGAACGTAGGATACTTTAAGAAGGAGCGTTCCATTACTCTCATCCAATATTTTTCCAATCATTTTCTCCTCTCTTCTTTTCTTAGCTTCTGGCCAAATTAAGTTTTCCTTTTCGTTTTCGATTCTTGCAATCTCTTCATTAAGCCTCTCCAGAAACACTTCGAACCCATTGATTCCACTCAAATTAATTCCATGCTTTTCGACCAATTCCGCCGCTTTGACAGAGACTGAATATGGATACACGACGGGATCGTCTCTGATTGCAAGGAATTGTCTGCCCTTGCCGTCGACCACAGGAAGAACAGGAATTCCATTGGACAAGATGACATAAGGCTTTTTTCCATTTTTTCGACGTTCTTTGATAGAATTCAGAGTGTCCTGCTTTGTTTCATCATCGAGTACCACCTTAAATAAATGTTAGACATCATCAAACAACCTACCTTGACCATGTCCTTGTTAATTTCATGATCTCTTATATCTACTCTGCCCATTGTGACATCACTTCTCCTCGCCGGCCGGTAGTAACTTGACGCCAATTTCAAGGCGTCAGCCATGCTTTGTTGCGAAGGATAATTAGTCGCTCTGACGTCGATCGGATGCTGTGATTGTGCTCTGATTCGAGTGATTTCTTCTTGTGAATATTTCGGAGTGTCCTTATCCTTGGGGTCGTTGAGGAATAAACATCTTCGTTCAAGGATATTTTCAATTTTCGGTAGCGATTTCTTTTGAAGACTGGCCTTGTTATACTGAACTGCTACCCATCCAACCCTCTTCATTGCAAAGATTAACCCGTCTTGATTTGTCGTACTTCCATAGAATGGCTGAATAGGCATATAAACGGAGGGCTCCTTGAAGTGTCTGTTGATAAAGCTATGCGCCGTGTTGAGTACCCGGAGAATTCTCATTTTCTTAGTGTAATGTTGGTAGACAACGTTTGGTTCAGTTGGATTTCCATTCCTGATCGCCTTCAAGATACTGTAGCTAGGTAGAATATGTGTAACTCCGCGGGATTCGATATAAGATCTGCTTTCCGCATTCATTTCAGGAACCGCTCGAGGGCTCCTCTCCAGCATCTTCCGCATAACACTATAGCGAGGAGTTTCATCAGCTTCATGGAGAAGGTCCATCCGCTTTTGCCAGATGAGACGGGTCTTTCTGAGCTCGGCATGTTTCCTCATTAGAATGGTGATAGTCCTCATGAAACACCTTGTAATGGGCATTGTGCTTGCTTTCACTCGTTCATCAAATACTTCCGGAAGGTCCAATCCATCGAAAGAGACACCTTGGAGATCGGCATTATCAGTTGGGGCCAGCTTCTTTTGCGCCCCGATCAATTCTCTGAACCTCATGCAACATCTGAATGGAGTCCGTTGATGGAAAGAAACTCTCTTCACAGCTCTGGTGACTAGTTCCCAATTCACGCAAAATGATCTTGACACGTAGGCGGGAAGGGGAACGGCTTTCAGTTGTGAAACAACAGCTCTGAGAAGGCAGACATCTTCTATCACATTCCAGGCAGGCACATCAGCATCTACCCATTCTGCAGGATAAACAGGGGGAGTAAAGCCGGGCTTGCCATCGGGCTTTACTATAGGATTAGGATCCGGAAGCATAATAACTCTGAATTGACACAAGCAAATTAAAAAATAAATAAAATCATAGATTTTTAGTAACAGTACTTACTGATTTCCATACAAGTTCCTTTGGCTTTCTTCGATCTTCTTTTTCTGACCCGTTCCTTTCTTCACCGGTGGTTCTACAACTTCAGATCGATGATTCTGAGGTGGTGGGGTCCTTTCAACAATAAATCCATCTAGGCTGGCCTCAACTTGATCCATGGTCGATGCAATAGTACCCGTTTCATCGTCTGGCAAATCTTCTGAACTCTTTGGAGAGTACGGGAAGATGTAACCGCCAGCAGAATCAGGAGCGTTATTGTGGACATTTTGAGTGTCGTCCATGAATTCCATAGGGGAGAGATCATCAGTAAATGCGAATGGATCCGGTTCCACAACTTCTCCATGGTACCAGGGATTGGTTAAAGAGTCCATGAACTGTTGTTCTTCCAATCTTCCGAAGCTCGAGATCTGTTCATTCCAATTATTATCCAACAACGCGGCAATAACTTCGTTATCATCAGCAGTCGCATCATAGAAAAGAGGATACGATAAAGAGATCCCCGAATCGGAATTGGACGTTGTCGATGTCGAAGATAAAGGTGAAAAGGCCTCTCCAGAATCCCATTCATTAACGTCTACTGACAACGGGACCTTCAGTTCAGTCTCCATAGATTTCTCGTCATAAATTGTTACCTCGCAATCAAACTCAGAGGCGATTGCGAGTGGTTTGACATCACTTCCCTTCAAATATCGTTTCGCGGCTTCTTCGAGCACTTCGGATATAGGCCTTGGCTTTGCTGTGTCGGAGTAGAAAAAATCTTCCAGCGTTTCCGCCGCCGTAAGAACAATGGTACGCCCAATATCTCCGCCAAGGCCCTTAAATCAACCCCATAATTCCCTTGTCGAATTTACCGTTCAATATCAAAAGTTAAAAACTCACATTCTGAAACTTTTCGATGAGTTTAGCTTGCCTTGACGTCAAATCAGTCTCGATAACAACAAAATTATATACATCGAATAATCTATGATCCTCCAAACTTGAGGAATTCCGAGTGTTCACAACGAAAACTTTCTTTGAAGACGAATTAAACTCCTCAATCGCCTATAGCCAATAATAAAAGTAAAGATTGAACCACTTACGTCCTTCCCTGAGCATACAATATTTTCCACATTAAAAGCCGTTAACCCCTCAGAAATGACATTGGCACTCTTTTCCGTGGCCGTTAAAAGCAAAAATCGTTGTTCTGACGACACCAAATGAATCAAAAGTTCTCGGAATTTCGAAGAAACATCCAGATATTTCCTAAATCTCCTTGACTTGAGCCTTGTTAATGAACTTAGGACCACCTTCCTCGAGTATTTTTCTAATTCCAACGTTAAACGTTTCAGATGGAACTTGAATGCCCTGAGGGTCAATTCTACATTTAGAGACCTGACAGTCTGGTAGAACGAGTAAAGTCGATTCAGAGCAGGGAGGATGTCGATGAAAGGTCTAAAAGGAAAGGGTTTTGAAAAAGAATTAACATACAATCCTCCCTCCAATTTCGATAATGTCCTTGCCAGTGATTGCAGTGATGATTTGGAAAGAGACTCGTAATGATCAAATACCCGAATGATAAAACTGGAAGAGCACCGATGGTTCAGACGTTCGATTGAATGGACATCATCCAGATCCAAAGAACGAGAGCGCCGGCGAACCTAAAAACAACAATAGTAATGAACAGCAAAAACAAAAATGGAGTCCATTCGAACAAACCTTTCTCCGGTTAATTACAAGATGATTCCATCGATCCCAAGATGAATATCGCTCCTCTGGTCTCAATCTCAGTCTAAACTCTTCATCAATCTCGTCGGTTTCTTGGGGCGACGGTAGTTCAGCAAATAAACACAGGCTTCTTACTGTGTTTATGGCCGAAACCCGATCAACCGGATTTTCTGAACTGAGCTTGGACAAAAATCTAAACACAATAAAGATAAAAAGATTACTCTTTACCTTTCTGATTTGACAACATTCTCACAACTGACTCTTTGCCTTCCATGTAATGGGCATTCCACAATCTTCATCTTTTCATCATCTAGAGTATACCTTCCCTGGAAACACAACACTCATATATTTTAAGAGTTCAAAGACTTTAGAGCTGGAGTTCAAGACCAATGCGTAGAGATTTTATTAGACAAAAAAAGATATAAAAAAGAAAAGACATGCTACGACAAAATAAATATTCGTATATGAGCAAAAACAAATCAACTAACTGAGAATGTGGCCATCTCGAATTCGTTAGGCTTCAAAGATCGGAATCTCTTGGAAGAAGATGTTTGGAACAACCGCGCTTCTTCGCCTCGGACCACCTGAGCGGCTTCGTAAGCGAGCTGAAAAGGTTAATTGATGTATAAGCGTAAATCAAATCGCGGCCGTTTAGAAGTCTCAAAAAGCATGCCGAAAAGCTGCATGCTTAATGCAGAAATTTTTGAAAACGTTATGACGCAGAACGCCAACGACATTATCCACATTATTGAATGTCGCATCAAAATAAACCTCTTACCATTTTTGCGATGTATTTCTTCAAATGCCGCTCCTGCCGAAAGTCAACAGCCATGAGTTGAACCTCTTCCAAGAAGAAATCATGATGAACTTTTGGCCTAGGAGCCTCCACACATAAAGGAAGCCGTGTCAAACTCCATTTTCCTTGAGCTCTGAGAGCACAAATTCGAGCAATAACAGCTTGTTCATTCATATCAGGAAGATCAGCTTGATAAGAACTGCCATTCACATCCGTTTGACTTGAAGAAGGTTGGGCTGAGACAGCCTCGGACAAAGACAAAGGCGCCTATAAACAATAATTCCAATCATACCATTTATGGAAACTTACTGGATCAATAACAACTTGAATAGGACTGTATGTTGAGACCTTATTATGCGTCCATGATGGCTTCTCTAACTCAGCGACTCTGTAAATTCAATAATTTTACATCAAAGGACTATCTGTTACCTAAATTCATAACAAAAGAAGAAAAACAACTCACGTCAAATTATTGTAAGCAGTGCTGGCTTTGTTGCTTGCATTAGCTATCCCATTACTATTCTCTAAATGTACTTTCAGAGGTTTAGGAGTCTGTTCTTTCCTCTGGACATCAATTTTGGGAGATCTTTGTGGGGATTTCTTCTTCTCCGTTAAAATTTGGAAAGGTTCGTATCTTGGTGTATGCTTGGGCAGCGACGAAAAGCTAGAATAATTGTAATTACACCTTACGTCTTTTCAATTAAGTCTCCTCTCTAAAAGAAGAAACAGCGGAACCACGAGAAGGATCACATGAAAGTAACTAACCTTCGCTGTAATTTGCCCAGATCCTCCTCACTGGTGCCATCTAAAGCAATCTGTTGGCACAACAGTAATTGTACAACACTGTTTAGGTCTCTAGGTCTTTCCATCGTGCCTTTCTTTACTTCTTTTCCATGACAAATGTCCTATAAACTTCTAAAATACCATCTTTATAATTAAAATAATATTATCCGAACACATCGCGCTAGAATAACTTATTTCTGTTAATTGTTAGTTGTTTTACAGATTTACAATATTTTAGCGCCGAAAAAGAAAAAATTTTCGTTCAAGTTGCGAAGTGCCACTAAAGCGAAACGAAATGTCACAATCGATTAATGTCAATACGCGGCAATTACCGCGGCCGCGGTAAGCAGAGTGCAACGCAGAAACATCGCTACTTATGACATTACAGTAACAATTAACAACAAACAAAAAAGCAAAATTTTATTTAATTGTTGTTGGGTTGTCTGCCTAAAAAAGAATGTAGTTTCGAACAAAAAAAACTTGTCTCTAGGCAAATTTCACCTTTTTTGTGGCCAAATCTCTTATCCAATTACGGATTTCCAAACTTTGCATACCTATGCCCTCCGGGTTTCAGTTTTTAGGAGGGAAATATTTTCAGTTTTGGATTCCACCAGTTTCTGCGCAAAATTCTAAGGCTTCTAGACCGGGTTTTGCCATCTTTCACCGTTCCCGAGATATTTGGGATCAAACAAGACGTCGGGCCAAAACAATGGCACACTCTTTAACGAATTTTTAGATGTGTCGAGGGTATACTGTAATTTTCTGGTGTTATATACGAAAGATCATGCACCATTAATGCGTTTTATCATACTCAAAACCACAAATTGTTATCAATTCGACCTCTTCTTTCGCCATCGCATCTTATCTACAAAAAATTTTGGACTTTTTTTGGTTCAACATAAATCCAACGCTAATTGACTACTCATTAATTTTTATGAAATAAGATTTTGATGGGCAATCTTCCGGATCAGTTTGCATTTTGTGCTGATCCGCTATGGGTAAGAGTTAAAAAAATTGTTTTACGTAATACTTTAAATTTCGTATTCGACCTTGTTTTAGATATCAGATGAGGTCGCAGCTAACAACACATTGCCCATTCTGACATTTTGTTTCGAACATGCGGTCTTGGCCATGGTCCCAGTTGTCTATTATTTCCTTTTACTGCCCGTTCTACTGTTCCAAATCCATCTCAGCGAATATCCTCCATTGCCAGATGACTATCTTTTTGACATGAAATCAGTAAGTGTTACTCTAATTTAAATCCATGTGTAGGGGGTCTCTTTTCTTCTAATTTGCGACAAGACCTTTTTACTGGTCCGATCTTTATGGGAGACCTATCTGATCGGCGAGACCGTACCTATTATCGAGTATGTGTACCCTTCTCTTCACATCATTACAATTGTAAGTTATTATTGTAATGAAAATACATATAATGTCTCCATTTTCGTTGTCAATCATAAGCACCAGCAAGAAGTGTGTAGATCGAGGAATTGCGTCATCCGGAATAATCTTTGTGACATGGTTTCTCTTCCTTCTCTTTGGATTACCCGAATTTTACACTTGGATATCTTTGGGAACTAATCCTGAGGTAAACATTAATATTTTTATCTTAATCAATACTGCGTTTATCCTAATTTAATTTGTTTTAGACAGTCTCAGCCTTAAACTCGTATCGTTACATCCCATATCTGATATGGTATCCTTTGATTCTTATCCAGACAATCCTTCATTGCTTTACGTTACACCATTATACTGGGATTGGAGTAAGTCTGAACCCTACTCTGTTTCATCGAGTTTAGAACGAATCTCCAGAACGACAAGCTTCATTCCTTTCCAATCAATTTTTCTGTTGGTTTAGTGATATTGTCAAATTGGGGAAGAAACGAGCTCTTGTTTCGGATGATTTGTATGAACTGGACCCGATTATGCAAGGAGATCGACTTGATCTGAAATGGACATCATTGTGGACAAAATCGTATTCTGGTATGGGAAATAGCTAAATTTGTTTAAGTTTTTAGATTACATGAAAAAAGTTGATGATTCAAAGCAATATCGAGAATACGAATCGCTGCATACGGTGAATGATCAGACTCCATTGGTTGGTCACAAGCATGAGAGACTTTTAAATTATGGATCTCATGGAGGTAGACAGCATCCACTGTTTCCATTTTCATCGACATTTCAGAATGTCGTGTACCCACAAACAAGGAGAAGCCGGCTCCACCATCGTTTATCGCCATTCTGTTTCATCTCTTCAAATGGGAATTCATTGGTGGCTCTATCCTTAAATTCATCACTGATCTCCTCCAGTTTGCGAACCCGTTATTGCTAGGGCAGATGATCACGTTTACCCAAGATGAGAAGGCGCCCATCTGGCAAGGTGTTGGACTAGCTTTTTTGATGTTTGCTTCAGCAGAGACGAGATCAATTCTACTCAACAATTACTTTACTACTATGTTTAGATTGGGATGCAAAGTTCAGAGTGTCTTGACTGTCGCTGTTTACAATAAGGTGAGTTTTTTACTTGGGTTACTGTAATAAGTATACTTTTGTTAAAATTTCATACTTTTGTTTTAGGTGCTTCGACTTTCAAATTCCGCGCGACAAAAGAGAACGGCCGGAGAAATTGTGAATTTAATGTCGATTGATGTCGAGAGATTCCAGACGATCACCCCCAACCTTCAACAATATTGGAGTAGTCCTCTGACCATTGTAATCGCCCTTGTTATCCTTTTCCAAACTGTTGGTTATTCTGCCTTTGGTGGAGTCTTCATCATGTTACTGATCATTCCATTAAATCTTGTCATCATGGTTAAAACAAAGAAATGGCAGGTGAGTATTTGTTTAGTTAACTATAATGTTACGTAATTTATATAGGTGGAGCAAATGAAATTGAAAGATGAAAGGCTTAAATTGACAAACGAAGTGCTGAATGGAATCCGAGTAGTCAAATTGTATGCCTGGGAGAAGGCGATGATGGACCAGATTAACGAATTGAGACGGGCTGAGGTGATGCTGATCAGGAGAGCGCAGCTGACTCGATCCATTGGAGATGTTCTCAATGTCGCTTCGCCGTTTTTGGTATGTTATAATCTTTGCGGTTTCAATTTTTTATTTACAATTATAGGTAGCACTAGTTGCTTTTACAATCTTCACCTTGTCATCCAAGGGCAATATTCTGACCCCTCAAGTTGCATTTGTTTCGTTGACAGTGTTCGCTCAACTTCGGGTCCCCTTGTTTTTGATTGCCGAATTGGTTGGAAATACAGTGCAGATGATTGTTTCAAACAGAAGACTGAAGGAGTTCTTGGCCGAGGAAGAGATGGACGACAATGCAATTGTCAGGGACTTGAGCAGTGGCTGTAAGTGCCTACTTAATTTTTGAGTTGTATTTAGATGACCGCGCAATTGAGGTTTCGTTGGCTACCTTCACCTGGGATAAGGCTTCACCAAAAGCATCTCTAAAAGATATTCAACTGGACATTGAGAAGGGTTCTTTGGTTGCGATCGTCGGAAAGGTTGGGTCTGGAAAGTCGAGTTTGTTGAGTGCTCTTCTTGGGGAGATGGATAAACTTGATGGATTTGCCGGAGTCCGGGGATCCATAGCGTATGTCCCTCAACAAAGTTGGATTCAGAATCAAAGTCTCAAGGATAACATTACTTTTGGAAAAGAGTGGGACGAACAGCTTTACAATAAAGTCATCGAGGTAAATTTGGGTTACGGTAGCTTGATTCTTTCGCTTTTGTTTTTGATGAAAGTGGCTACATTTACAGGCTTGTGAGCTGCGTCGGGACTTTGAATTCCTTCCGTACGGCGATCAGACGGAGATTGGAGAGAAAGGAGTCAATCTAAGCGGTGGCCAAAAGGCCCGAGTGTCACTGGCAAGAGCTCTTTATCAAGAAACCGACCTTCTTCTCCTGGACGATCCGCTTTCTGCTGTTGATGCGATTGTTGGGGCCACAATATTTGAAAAGGCCATTGGACCCAACTCTCTGACCAAGAATGCCACTCGAGTACTCGTCACTCACTCCCTTGCATGTCTTCCAGAATGTGATAATATCGTCGTTGTAAAGGATGGAGAGATTGTCAGAATAGACAAATTTGAGAATCTCTTGGCTGATGAAGAGATGTCCCGACTGATTAAACAGATCGAACAAGAAGAGGACGAAGAAGTGCCTGTTGCCAGTGGAGATTCTGGAAATCTGGAGGAGAGTGATACTGATTACTCATCGACGGAGAGCGACAATCGATCCAAAAAGGAAAGGAGGGTTTCCAAGTTGTCGTCCAGAGCCGGCTCGAGAAAGAAATCAATTATAACACCGGCTAAATTAGTTCAAGATGAGGTTGCTCAGACCGGTCGAGTCCGTCCATCCATCTATATGCACTACTTTAAGTCGATGAATCTCGCTTTCTTTTTGTGTTTCTTGCTTGGAATGACTGTGAACACGGTATTATCTGTCATCAGAAGTTTCTGGTTGTCAGCATGGTCAGATGAAGCTGGAACCGACCAGATGTCTTTGGGAGTGCGACTTGGGGTCTTCGGAGCCTTGGGATTTGGGGAAGGTAAGTTAAAAACAATTTTCAATTTAAAATTACTTACAGTGTTTGCTATGTATTTCGCCACAATTTTCTTGATCCTCGGATCAGTTAATGCCAGTATCCGACTTCATGCTCCATTATTATACCGTATTATGAGAGCTCCGGTCGTATTCTTTGATGTTACCCCATTAGGACGAATCTTGAATCGATTTGGAAAGGAGATGGAGACTGTGGATCTTCGTCTCAACAATCTCTTCCGTTTCCTTTTGGTCTGCATTCTGAGTGTGCTCTCTACGATTACAGTAATCTCCATATCATCGCCAATCTTTTTGTTGTTCATGTTCCCGCTAGCTATTGTATACATTTTAATCTTGGTAAGTTTCCTTTAGCCTTTCGGTGTGATATTGTTTCAGACATACTTTATCCCCACCAGTCGTCAGCTTCAACGTCTTTCATCCATAAGTCGTTCTCCCCTTTTCGCTGCCTTTGGCGAAACAATCCAAGGTGTTACATCCATTAGAGCGTACGGTGTTGCTCGAAGATTCTATCAGGGATTCCTGGAGAAGATCAATTTGCATGTCAAGTGCAAGTATTCTTCTTTGGTCTCGGCCCGTTGGCTTGGGATGAGATTGGAGATTATGGGGAATACAATTATATTGATTGCGGCTTTATTGAGTGTGTGGTCCAAGGAGACGGGGTTCATGAGTGCCGGAGTGATTGGAATGACACTGTCATATGCATTAAATGTAAGTTTAATAAATTCAAGGATGATGTTCTTTTAGATCACAAATATGTTGAGCATGCTGGTCCGTCAAGTCAGCGACGTCGAGTCCAATATTGTCTCAGTAGAACGTATAAAAGAATACACGGAGATCGAAGAAGAGGCCCCATGGCAAATGCCTGAGGGTTCGAGGATAATGCTTCCCAGAGAATGGCCTTTGGCTGGTGCTGTTTCTTTCAAGAATGTATCAACCAGATACAGAAGAGAATTGGAGTTGTCTTTAATAGACATTAATCTTGATATCAGACCAGGAGAGAAGATTGGAGTGGTTGGACGAACTGGCGCTGGAAAGTCATCAATGGTTTTGACTCTCTTCAGATTAATTGAGCCAACCAATGGCAGAATCTTGGTTGATGGCGTCAATTTGTCCATGCTGGGCTTGCATGAGATCAGATCGAGGTTTACGATAATCCCACAGGAGCCGACCTTATTCTCAGGTACCCTCAGGCTCAATTTGGATCCATTCCACGCTTATTCTGACGCTGAATTATGGAGGGCATTAGAGGATGCCAATTTGAAGGAATTTGTTCAAGGCTTGGACCTCAAACTTGAACATGTTATAGCTGAAGGAGGATCTAATATCAGGTAAGTCAATAATTGCGACATTTGAGACCTTCCATGAGCAATTTAATAATGTTCTATTTGCAGTGTTGGTCAACGTCAACTCATCTGCCTTGCCCGAGCCATTCTCCGAAAGAGTAAGGTAGTTGTTTTGGATGAAGCAACAGCTTCGGTTGATGTCCAAACTGACGAAATCATTCAACGAACAATTCGGGAGAAGTTTGTCGGCTCTACTGTCATCACAATTGCCCATCGTATTCGCACAATTTTGGATTCGGATCGTATTTTGGTGCTAAAGAACGGACGAATGGTCGAATTTGACACTCCCCAGAAGCTGTTGGATAACCCGAAGAGTTTGTTCTATTCGCTGGCCAACACTCACAAAAGCTAGAACAATTTTACAAAGTTTTCAAACCTGACAATAAATAAACAATTTCAAATTTTTCAACTTTATTAATATGGCAACAATAAATGGACGATTCTTAAAGCGATTCATCGAAATTCGGACCAGAAAAATTGAGCATTTCATGGATGAAACAATGTGGGAACTATATATTCAAACCTCAAAGATGTACATGAACAAAGTTACAAAAATATGCAGAGATTGGGGCGGATCAAGTCAGTTAGGCACTAATTATGGCAGTAAAAGAAGAAACCCTTGGGAAATGCATGGGGGAAAAGGAACACCCGGGTAATAAATAGAGCGGCCGAACAGAGATTCTCATCGTTTGGAGCGATAAGTCGTGGTGTTGGGGGTGTTGGCATTCCCGGCATAGGTGGGGTTGTAGAAGGTGTCGGTCGCTTGTTTGAATATCGGGTTATCGGTCTGAAATAATGAAAATACACTTCAGAAACATCTATTTCTATAGACAACATCTATAAAATTCATTTTCAACGATAAGAAAAGAATCGTTTGTCTTCAGAGAGGCTACGGACAGAAGAAAAAAGGATTGGAGGATTGGAAAACGAGGGCCATTTGACCCCTGATTTTCGTGGTCATATGAAGATAAACCAAAAGATAGTGGCAGAAGAAAATTCAAAATAAAAATTACATTGTAAATCCAATATTCTAATTGAGTTTGACTCGATCTCCCGAATACAACGGGTTCTTAAATGTGCTGGTGGCTTGTTTGAAGATGGGATTCTCATTCTATAAAGAATACAGTAATCTTATTTTTCTATTGCCGTTGGTTAGATAAAGTCAAGATGTTAGAACAGGTGAATAAAACTTAAATCAATGAAAAATGTGAGATGTAAAAAAACAAAAAGATATTCCACAGACGAACCAAAACGATAAAAATAAAATGTAAGTTAATAGTCTAAACCTCAAAACGCTAACTGATCACAACATGCAAAATAAAGCCTTTGTTACCCCACTTACCGAATCATATTTTCCATTCAATCTCTCCTTTTCGAACCTCACATATTCTCTTCTGTCATACATCACAGCCAAGATCTTCCACAGGCATAACAACAACAGCCCGAGAAGAACAATACCAGCAATGACCATCAAAACAATGACCAGGACTGGCAAGGGAGCCGGACAATCCTTTTCTTCCTTCACCCACACCGTCAGATTACTGTAACCATCATAATAATAGAGGAAGTAGAAGGTACAATCATCTGCTGGATCGACAAATTGACATTCGTTCCAGGTCTCGGAATCGGAGGCATTCAGAACTAAAACAAAGATTGTAATAATGAAATATTACTAGTATGGCAAACTAATCTAAACCGACGTACCTGGCAATTCCTTGACCGGAATGACTGTGAACGGACATTCCGCACATTTGCTCTCATTATAAGGTCCAGTTCCCCATTGCTGACACATCACACAAGGTTTGTACTCAACACACTTAGTTGGGCATGTAGGGCAGATATCACAGAAAGGTCCCGAGTATCTTTGGCCATCCTCATCAGTATGACAATGACATTTTCCACAGATACAATCTCCATGTCCATTACAGATCTTTCCATTCTTCGAAAGACAAGTTTCGGTCGACAATGGGCATTCACAAGCTGGGCCAGTGTATCCTTCCTCGCAGTGACAGACCCCACAATTACAAGTTCCATGGCCTCCACAGAGTTTGCGATCGTGGCGAGGGCAATTGAAGTTATCGCATTCACAATATTGCCCAGAGATGATTTCCTCGGGGTTCTGACGGGTGTTGCAAACACAGACTCCACACTCACATCGACCACGACCCGAGCAGATCAAAGAGCTGTTGTCTCTGGAAAGATAACGATGCAAAATGGACAAAGATGTCTCATAAAATGCGAAAATATACATATAATCTAGTCTTACTTTCTACACTTGGCTTCTAAAGCGATAGCCGATTCTCCCCCAGATTCACATTGGCATTGATCTCCAACGAAGCCTGGAGCACATTGGCAGATACCACAGACCAGATTGCCATGACCTCCGCATTCCGGAGCATTGATCACGATTTCATCCTCACAATCACAATCGCAGATGACATGAACGTTCAAAAGAAGGGTCTCATCCAGACCAGAGGGACCAATGTGAAGTTCGAAGTCGCGTTGCTTGACACAATGAGTGGCTTCCAGAGTAACTTCAAAAGTCACTTCATCTCCTACTTTAATTCCTTCACAAACATTGGTGTCTTTCAAGCTTGTTCCGCTAAAAGAAAAGGTAATTCAACATCGACCGGTACTTACTCCAAGCATTTGGAACGATAGCTCAGCTTCAATCCCATGGAGGAGTTGGCGTTGTCAACCATGATAATCTTTTCCGCAATTTTACCGTATTCCTCTTCGATCAGAGTGACGATGTTGGAAGAGTCTGTAGCCAAGACTCCGACGGAAGAACTGACATCAGGAAGAGCTTCACTCAACTAAAGGACAAGCATTAAAGTTTATAAATGTCATACCTGATCGTAAAGTTTCTTGTTTTTCTTGGTGACCGCAAAGATCATGTTCACTTTGTTGTCCTTGATGATCTTGTGGAGTTGAGCGACCGATGGGTAGTCCTGTTCAGTGGACTTTGTGTAGTATCCTTGAGCATCCAGATGACATTCGCCGTCGTTGGGAGTCAAAATGCCTCCAAGCTAAAGGAAAAATTCTATTAAACCAAATCAAAAACGTATTCCTTACCTTTCCATCTCCGGCAAAATGAAATCCAGCGTCAGTCGAGAGAACGATCATTTTACGAGAGCGTTCTCTCCATCCGATTGTGCTCTAAATGCGTCAAAATTAACGACAGAATGCTTACATTGCAGGCGATGGCTTGGACAACCGCATCGAATCCACCCTCGGGGGCGTCCAAATTACCGGAGATCTCGGCTTTCTCTACTTCTTTCTGAAAATAGTTTTGTTGGATAACAAAGTTATCTATATAAAATGCAAAAAGTTAATTTACCGAAAACTTGTTGGTGTTTGTGGTGAGACTCATCTGATTCCTGAACCCATAAGTTGGAGCACAACCTTCGGAACAAGGAGAATCCTGTTTCTCTTTTCGAGGATCAATGAATGGCATCACTTTCTTGTCGACGAATGAGCCGAAGCCAAGACGGAAGTTCTTGGTAATCTCTTTCATTCGTTCCGCTGAAAGGATTACATTATTCAAGTCAGGCTTTGAATAGACCTTACCAAGAAGATCTCCCAGTTGACTGAGCTTCTCTTTGTCATCCTTCATGGAGTAGGACAAGTCCATCAAATAGTAGAGATCTACTGGATAATCAACAGCCTGTCTGAAGGTCACATCAAACCGAGCTTTGGAATCTGAAAGAGCAATTATCAGAAATCGCATATCGTCTAGATGTATATGAAACTGTTTGCACTTACGAGGTCGGATTCTGATTTCGACTTCCTGTGGTCTCAGCTGCACGTTGTCATCTTCATCCCCTCCGTCTACAAAGGGATCGGAAGCAATCGTTCGAAGATGACTCTGAGGATTCACAACGGCATTGGCAGCACACCCGTGATCCAACAGATTCTGAGAAGAGTCACATCGGGAGAATGAGGTCTCTTTGTTGAATTCCTAAACACCGAAACTGTAAGACATAAACCATAACTTACAAAGTCTTCGCACCAAGCACAAGAGTCGTGGAATTGGATACAATCGCTGCAAGTGTAATTCTCTTTGGGTAACGAATGACAGGGGAATCCGGCTTCAGCAGGGATAATTTCGCCGTCGCTTACTGCAATTTTATTCGTTACATCAGGGTTTACCGGATTACTCACCGCTATCTTGCCCCCAATTCTGCGCTGAAGCCACGCTGAGGATGGCTAAGCCAACGAGGGCCAGGAAACGGCCCATTCTTCAACCCAACACCAGTCTGAAATACAGAACATTACTAATAAAAAAGCCCGCAAAATACATGAACAGAAAAGTCATCAAACGGCAATAAAACGAGACCTTTATGCATAAAATAACAATACTTTCGAGGATTCCCAGCTCTCTCTCCGAAAAATTTAGAAACCGGAAACCCTAAGGCTATAAAATCCATGGTATAGAATGACATCGAAAGACCTAAATTATCACCTTACTGAATACAAGCCAACTTGGCGATGGAAATTCTTATTTTTGGAAAAGAACCCAGCCAAAGGAGAGGATGACTCATGATAAGAGAGGGGAAATAATACTAATGTCATGAGTAATGGGGTTGTTTTTTGTTAACTGCACCATCTCCTTATCAAACTGTGAGCTATATAAATTGATAAAACGAATATTTCGCCCTCGCATTATAAGAAAGCACACATAAAATTCCAATAATCAAATAAAACAATTTGAATATTCCCCTCCATTTATAAATCTCGGTTTGTTCTCAAAATGAAAGCATCACAATATTCCCCCAGGAAGTCTCTAGATTAATTGAATCCACCTTAATTGTCAAGGTTTGGAGGCCGGCCTGACCCCGCAATGGCATTTCGCATCGAAAAGGTCGCTCGAGATTTTCGCGAGATGGACATTGGGGTTGGGAGAGGGGAGTGCGGTCAGAAAAAGCCGGGAGAACAGCCGCGTCCGAAGGGGGCAAATTCGATGAGCCAACTGGTGGGCCAAAACAGCTATTAGAAACATCGAATACCGGGGTGGTATGCAAATTCGGACGACTGAAGGGGTTTTTTGTTTGCATTGCATTTCGAACAAATCCTGCGCGAAATTGCTAACAACTAAACTATTAATAAGTCGACCTTCAAATTACAGTTAACTCAATTTGTAATATCCATCGCACATTATTCTGAAGACAAAATACGACACCGACAACAATTTTTAACCTATCATTCAAACAAAAAATATAAAAAACCTTTTACTCACAACTCCAAATCATCCTTCAAAAAATTAAACCATTTGAATCTTATCCAGACCATCCAGAGAGGGAGCGGTCAATCCAAACGTAACTTGAAAGAGTACTTTCAAGAACAAATACTCATCTCGCATACAAACCTCTCTTCTAATTACCCTTCCTTCCATTCCCCGAACAAATAAATCCCGAATTGATTGCAAAATAAACTTCAAACTGTGAGATTCGGACAAAATACGATTCTCCAGACAAATCATCCTGATAACAACAACTTAAGCGACGACGGGAGATACCATCTGGTAGCCCGAACCCATATTTTTGCATTAGGCCAAGAGTTTCACCTTATTTCCGTTTGAAAGCTTCCCGGATTCCGCCTACGCCCCTGAAAAAAAGACCCCCAATATAAGTTTGGCGGATCAGAGAGGGCGGCTGTCGGCCCTTGCACATCTAAAGTCGCGGCCGACACACGGTGTTCAAGCACCAAATCTATTTTGTTTTTTATAAAATGTACATCGAACTTCAATTCGTCTCAAATGAAACTCTATAATATTAAATTACAGTAAAGTACAGAAAATTTGGCAGTTCAAGACCGAGTTTTAAGTCAATTTAAAAAAATTTGACCCATAATTAAGGAGAGAAAAGACCTCAAAAAGAATATTTAAGACTAACATTGATCAGGATCCATCGCTTGATCTCCTTGTGAAGCTCTTCAACATCGTTTTTATTGTTGGTTTCGCCTTAGTCTTTTCGGAACTCTTTGCTATGATTGAAAAATCGTCCATAAACATCTCAACCATGGAGTTTTGAAGTTGAATGGAACTTTGCGTTCGAGATTGAAGACCCTAAAGGCAAAAAGAATATAAACGAAATTTGTACTCGACTTACAAGATCTCCCTCTTCATTTGGAGCTTGGCAATACCCAATCAGGGGAGGCTTGCACAGTTTTGACAACGAAATTGAAATGAAATTATGTAAGGTTGTGAGCAGAATCTCGTGGAAAGTCTTACAAAAGTAGTTACAAAACCTTTTATCGCTGGCAGGATCCGGCAAATAAGGAACACCTAAAAATTTAAACAGAAAGAAGAAAGAACTTACAAAACCAGTCTGTCCACAAAGGGTTGTTCGTCAAAATGTGGCTCATCTTCTCAAAGAACTGCACACACTTGCCGGTCTTCTTATTTTGAGCACAATTAGCCAAATACAACTTGAAAATGTCTGCCTCCAGTTTGTTCAAAGTTTTCGATTCCGCCTGAAATTGTAATAGCAAAATAAAGAAATTTTTGAAGGATAATCATACCTCTGTCAAATTATTAAACAAATGGGTGTTGAAGAACTCCCATGACGCATTTAAGCTGTCGATATCGTAGTTCTCAATGTATTTCACGATCTCGCTAACAATTCGCTCCACCTGAATTTAAAATACGCAATAAAAACATAAATCATACCTGAACTTTGAAGTCGACTTCAAATTGCTGATCCTTCTGCTTGGCCACAAGCTGGGAGAAATATTTAACGTTATTAAAATATTGTCTAATCAGTTCTTTGGTGGATTCTACTGCGTATACTCCACTCATCGCCTTCAAAGCTTGCTTTTCACCCGTTCTAATCGCGCGCGCGATATTGCAGAAACGAAAAAAAATAAATAAAAAAGAAAGAGATGACTCGCGAGTCAAGTGTGTCACTCTCGCAGGATCCGACTTGATTCGTATTGTATCGTATACGAATCAAAATGTGCACTTTTTTTACTCATTGAGTAGGCAATTAGCTGTTCTGCAATTTTATTTATTTCTTGAAGGTAAAGCCGATTCTCTTCAATAACACGATTTATTTTACATACCCAAGCATGCCTCATTCAATTAAAGAAACAAAGAAGATGACATACAACATGATCGTAACTTAACCATTATATCAATGACGCGATGAAACATTCGCGAAGAAAGAGAACCCGCGAAAAATTGTTGGAAGAAAGTGTAAATTTGGATCAGGAAAAGCGGTAAGAACATGAACATTGTTACTCGTTTTGACAGTGGGATTGGATGGTAATTTGCATAGAGAACAGATCATTGGAACAGCGACTTCTCTAGGCTAAACGGGAATTACGGTAATGTCTGTTGAACTGTAGTTTTGAGGGAGAAATTGAAGAGAAGAGACTGCAGATAACTTAAAACAATATATTTAAAAATTCATCATTCCCGTCTGCCACATACACTTGATATATTTGCATAAAACAAGTTGTTGTGTGTGCTATACATATCGGACCCTTTTGGCCTTGGGTGGGGCTGTGAATTGGGCAATGGGCATGTGTTGTGTGGCCATGGCCTTGTACACTTGGGCCAATAATGTTCCGTAATCCCGGGCCAACACTTTCCAGCCCTCGGTATCAACAATTGTAAGACTGTTTTGGTTGATAAAAGCGATGCATCGTCCTTTCAGTTGTTCCGCACAGTGCAGATCAGCATGCACCAAGATCTGGCACACATTTGAAGTCGAGAGGGCGTTGCAGAGCGACCATTCGCACATTTGTTTTAGTCGTTTCAGCTGATATTTGTCCGCAGCACTCATCAGTTTGATGGCCAGGTAATCGAGGTCGGGCACATTGTCGCCATAGATGAAGTGCAGCATCCCTCGGACAGTCTCGGCATCCAGATCGTCGATGAAAACTTTATTTCTGTCCTTCTCAGTGGTCGGATGTGTAAACATTGCTCGGAACACCTCGGATCTGCTGGCCAGGATGGCTTTGTGTGCCTGAAAAGAGAACGGTAACATGTTTGGAGAGGAGATTATCGCCGTATTAGGTGTGATTCGACCAATTAATTAACTTAAAGATAGGAGATTAAACAACGAAAACAAGACTACTGTGGTCACAGAAAACACTTTGATCTCAAGTGTAACAATAAAAGTGAAGCCAGTGAGAATAACATGTATGATTCCCTACCTTAATGACCTTGTCTTCCACCACAATCTCACAGTCCGTGCAAATTCCCTCCGTGAAAAGAGCGGAGTAATCTTCGGAGAGTGTGCTGGGAGGGATGGCGATCTGAGGGAGTTGCGTGTGATGGCCAGTGATGTTCACAGCATCGGTCACGATGCTCACTTCACAGAAAATGGAGAGCCGATCGTCGGGGAGAAGGCCGTTCTCTTCGTTCAGAAGGTATTCGCGACGAATGAACTTCTTAAAGCCCCAATCTTTGGATTGGACGAATTTGTAGGCTCTTTGGGATTCTGAAAATAGGCAGAACATAATTTGCGAACATCAAAAACGAAGACTTGAAAGGCTGAAGACAAGATTCGGACAACAAGTGTAACATAAAATGCCTTACCCATCGCTTTGCTCTCTTCTCTGTCCGCGTTCAGAATCGAGAATTTGAATTTGGCGCGGACGTCGCTCTTGTCGCTCTGAACCAGCAGAAGATATAGCGACAGGAAGTCCTTGCTCTCCTCATCCAGACCCTTTGGGTTTATTCGAAGACACCAGCGCATCTTATCGTTGTGACTTGACCCGAACGTTGAAGACTTGAGCACTTCGCCCAACTCTTCATGGCAATATGAGAAGTTATTTATCGTCCACAGATACGAAAACTTGATTACATTCACCTGCAATTGGATACGTTTACATAAATGATGACTTTTGATACTATATTAGAAATGGGATTTTACTAAAGTATTTGAAGTAAAAATGAGACAGGGTGAGCTCTCACCTGAGTACAACACCAGTTATCGGCTTGGCATTCGTATTGCGACGTCTCGACCACATTGTTTTGGTCGGGTTCGCAGTTGTTGAAGGAGGAGGGCGACGCCGATCGCTGGCCCTCACTCACCGCGCTCTCCTGCACCGTCCTCAATTCGTTCGTCGCCGGATATGAGGTGGAAGCGACGGGCATCGAGGTCGCCGTGGACGGGAAGCCCACGTGATATGGCCAGGCCCGCTTCGATCCCCGCGACCGTTCGGCCGACTGGGCCGGGAATCCGATGATTTTCGCCAGGATGAATGCAGGGTCCTCGGACCTGGAAGGACCCCAGATTAGACAATATTACACTCGGTTACATAACGGTAATCATTTGCATAACCACCACAGATCACGGCCATTGATCGCGACAAAATAAATAATCAAAATCATAGCAAAACTCATTAGACCATTTTCGAAAACAGAGAGAAACCCGCCACCAAAAAGGGGAGAAACTTCCGAGACCAGAGAACACGGGACGGGGCGAGAGGGGCAGAGAAAAAAAGAAAAAACTGAAAATCAAAGGAAAAAGTTCAAATATGGGCTGTCAATGAAAAATAATAACGGAAAAGAAAAGCTTCAGGCGACGGAATCTGAAAGATAACGATTCCAAGAATTCGACATCAACTTGTGCTCCGAAATGTTGGAGACAAAGCAGGGAATTTGAAGGTAAACAAATGTTTCAAGAATCTAAATAAATTACCCTTCAGACCCCGTGATAATCACAAGGACAGCTGGAAAACACAATGCGACATCAACAGCGACTCGAATCGACCACTTTTCCGCTGAAAAAAGGCTCGGAAACAGGTCGAAAACACATTTCGGGGGGAGATTTCTTGTGCACGGTGCAGTCGGATCACCCCACGCTCCGCCCACCCGTGGCTCCACTCCAAAGGCTTTGTTTTTTGCGCGACGGAGCGCACTGTGCGCCGGACCGAAAGCGAAACCCACCGACGTCGTCAACGACGACCACCGCTGCCCTTGCACTTCGACCGCCAACCATTCACGGTCCGCGACAGTCATCAGCGGCTCGCTTTCTGAAAGCGACGACCCCGGGTGCACGGTGTCTTTCCGCGACGATCCCCCTTTCGTCGCACTCCGCTCGGCCCCCACCCAATTGTCGCTCCATTTGCCTCTTTTTGTCGCTTCTTCTTTTGGTTCGGGATCAAACGCACTGTGCGGAGCGGTCAACCCTCTCTTCGCCCCACCGAGAGACGGCGAGCAGCGACAGTGTGGGGGCATGGGCGGATCGAGCAAACAATTGCGCCGTGCAGCCGAGTGACCGATCCTGCTCGGGCTGGGGAAAAGCCGGCGGGTTTGTCGCCCCGTTTTTTTCTTGGGTTTTTTCCGCGCGCACAAATTCTGGGAGTGCACCGTGCGGAACGACAGAAAAAATGCCGGGACGAATGCGCGTGTCGCCGCGCTGAAATGAGCGGTCGCTGACTCGAATGGACGCTCAACGGCAGGGCAAAAATGTTCACGGTTTGAGAAATCGGGCGACGATTTTTTGGGGGTCAGAGAGGGGAGAGAATGGAGACGTCTCTCGAAAAACGGTTTGTCGTGAAATCCTCGGAAAGTGAGAGCGACAACAAGCCTGGACCACCCAAGAGAGCAGTCAGAGAAAGCACCGTGCAAAGGCAAATGAAAAGCGACGATCAGACCGAGAGTGCACCGTGCACTTTTGGAATCTGCACTTTTTGGCGACTTTGCACGGTGTCACGCTTTGTTTTTCGACATTGAGAGTGTCGCAAAGTGCAAAGGGCCCAGACACCTGCACTGTGCGAAAAAGTCAAAATGAAATTTGGCAAGGAAAATGTCGCAATAAAAACGGCACTGTGCACAAATGGAAAACCAGAAAGATTCATGCACGGTGCGAACGGATCTTAATCAAACTGATTTTTTGTGGTGGAAACGGGAGAAGGGGATCATTTGAGGATAAAAAAGTCTGAATGGGCTATCGAGAGGCCTTGTGATAAGACTTCCGAAAAGCCGAACAAGACTGCTACAATAATTTTAAAAGAAGTTTAACCCCCAAAAGTATAGTAGTGTAGTGTAATATAAGGTTATATCGAAGACTCAAACCGAGACAACGGTGGGACCAAAAATAAGCGGGCAAATGGCTTGGTGAGTTTCCTCGAGACTCCCCAAAGGGGGCAGACTTTGCCAGAGTGCACGGTGCACTCTCAAGTTCTCAGATCTGGGGCATTTTGGCGGGTGAAAGGCCAAGACAAAAGCCGTTCTAAACACATTAAGAGAGCGGCCAAAAATACGGCCGGGGCCGTGCCGAGAGTGCCGCGTGAGACCTGCGGGTCTGTGCTCTGGCGGAGAGTTTTGTAGGGGGACTTCGGTCGGGGCAAACAAGCCCCCTCTCATCCCTGCCCATTAAGGTTGTTCCCGGACCCGGTGGAACGCTGGAATGGAATGTTTTTTTTTGTCTTTTTTGTTTGTCTCCTCGGGCGGTGTGTGTTTTTTCGGCGACGGAGAGGTGCTTTCTTCGCCCTCCAGCGACAAGAAATGACTCGGCTCTTTTTGCACTCGCACCGGAACACGAGGAGCGACGGACCGAAAGGCGAGAGGCCAAGGACGGGCGGCGGAGGGGGGAGTCATTTGTGCACCGTTTCGCTCGGACCGCCTGAGGGGATTCGAAGACGGGAATCGCGGTCGGGAAGAAGGTGGAAAGAGACCAGCCAGCCAGCCGCGACACGACCCCCTCTCCCACTCAAACCGGGCCCGTTTCCCCTCGCCGTCGCCCATGGTCCGGCGCTCGGGGCGGTTGGCTGGGCGGTCGGTCGGGAGCGGGGCAAGGCGCAAAAACGCGAAAGGCCGGGGTGGGTGTTTGTCGCGCTTTTCCGCCACCAGCCGTCGGCTCCTCGGGCGGTGCTTTTCCGCCGTCTTCCGCCCCGAGGTTGTGTTCCCTTCGGCCGGCCCGGAACGGAGACCTGGACTCTTGTGCTGAGCCTTGTCGCTCTTATGGGATCCACTCACTCGATTCCAAAACAAGACCATTTCTCTGGCTTGTTGTCGCGCCAGATGGGTTATTGAGAGCGGGGCACCCAAATGGGTTAAGGAGAGGGGGGAGGGGAGCACGGGAGGAGGCCCAAGACTTTCTGGACAGCGGCTTCTGGCGCGATTCCGCACAAGAATCCCCGGCAAACCTTGAAGGCATCGCCAAAAAAGGGAAGGTTTTGGACCGTGAAAAGGCCTATAAAAGGAGAGGGACTCAACACTCTACGCAACCAAATCCCTTTGATTAGTCAACCGAACGTTTCTTGAAACAAATACCGCGACCGAATGGGATCAGCCTTCAGAACCTTGAAACCATCCTTTTCTGCTGTTCTCGGCTGTTCGCAAAGTTTTTTTTGGTCGCGATTCTGCTCCCACCTGTGGTGGCCGTCGCCCCCTCGCATGTCAGCTGAGAAGCCGGGCCTTCCGTGGGCTGAAGATGGGGCAGGGGAAAAGGGAAACGCTACAAAAAACACCCGAAAAGGCCTTAAAAGTGCACAATGCAATTGACATATCATGGCTAATCAGAGGAGGAAAGGCTATGGTTTGGGGTGGAAAGGAGCACAGAAATAGGTGGGAGGCTGGAAAGGGATTGGGGGACACAAATACAATACAAAAATATAATTTGCATTCCATGAATAGTAATCAGATCGCGTCAACGATTCAATTAAAAGCCCTATTCTGTGCCCTAATTTAACGCCAGGCCGTTCAGAATATTTTGACATCAGTTCAGACAAAGCAATTTTAGGATGAAATTAAAACGGAAATTAAACCAGATGAACCCCCAAACTGCCCGATCCAAGTTACTTGTTCTCCCTCCAGATTCCACCGTCTCTCGTTAACGCCGCGCGGTCCATTGGGAAGGGAAAGTGGCCATTCGCAGGTTTCGTGGGCGGAGATGGGGACAAGACTTATTACTCTCTTTTCTCCATGAAGAGAATGTCGCCGCGATGACCCAGGTCAGCCGGAGGTCGACTGAGGTCGATCGCTGAACCGGCGTTGGCTGGGATTAGGGCCCCAAGACGATGACATTCGAGAAGAGGGACCGTAAACGGGGCCGCCGAGACGGGTAAGGCCGGCCATTCCGGACATACCACGGCTTCACGAATTAAGTGTTGCTCCTCTCGCCCCTTTGGCTTGCCGCCGGAGAGCCATTTTGTGATCCCCGGGCACATGTTTCGCCGTTAATCCGACCGCTCTGACACGCGACCCAACCTTGACCCGGCCCCAAATCTTTGCCCATCTGTCCTTAAATGGAGCGCCAGTCATTATTCGCGCCCAATTTCGGAGGCCATGCAAATTTCATGGTGTTATATATATTATATGCGCAGTTCGAGAGTACACGAAGACACCATTGGGGTCTCCACAATGGACAAAAGTAAAGGAAAACGGAACATAACGGCTCGAAGATGATGAGAATTCAAGGAAGATCGATTGCCGAGCAAGAACGAGACACCAAGCCAGGGCTTTCATCCTTGACCGACCCTCAGCGACTTCAAGGGCAGTCGATTACCCAGGAACGAAACCTGGCATTAACCTTCAGAGCTGCAGGTGTCAACAGAAATACGCGAAATTTGAGAAAGTAAAAGATTTAGATGGCATTACAAGAGGATTCCCTTTAAATAAAAAATAAGCTCAGAATAGGTGACTATCTGTAAAAACGTAGCTATAAGGTTACAAGAGGACGGTTACGCAATCGGTCGTTCAGAGAAGAGATCGCGATCATAAGAGAATCATTTTTGGTCGAAAAATCATTGATTTCTCAAGTTCGAAACGAGACCCAAAATGAATAAATTTTATCTTGAAAGGTCGGAGAGCTCTCACCCAATTACTCTAGGCCTCTATTTATTGAGCGGTTGAGTTTATTTTCTATTACTGTTTCGTCTTTTTGTCCTCGGTTTTGTTACATTTGACGCATTCTTTGTATTCCGCTCCGCCCAGGCCATATCCGAACTTGCATTGGCATTTCGGAAGACCACAACGGAGAGAGTGGCAGATTTTCTGAAATGGTTAGACGTATAAATCAATGGTAAAAAGGAGTAAAGATTTGCGTAACCATTTTGCAAACCTTGTCTTCACAAGTTGGTGGGCAGAGGTCGCTGCAGTTTCTAAACTCGGAATGCTTTGGACACTTGACTTTCTTTTCATTCGCATCTCTGGGATCGGTCAAGAGATTCAGGTTTTTGAGGCCTCGTTCTAAATTCCAACTTTTAAACTTATAAATGATGTGAAAGCATGCCTTGTAAGGCATGGCATGCTTACTTTTACAATGGCTTTCCTTCACACAGCGCCCATTCTTCCCGATAGCATATCCTTTCTTGCATTGACAGTCAGGTTTACAGAGTGTTGGACATAGTTTCGGAGGGTTTCCCTTGACCACATCTTCGCAAGTCAGTGGACAAGACGATCCACATTTATTGAATTCGGCGTGTTTATGACATTTCACGTCGGTCTCGTTTGTTGGAAGAAGAATGGACAAAGAGCTGACCAATCCCACGTTCAAAAGCTGAATTTGCAAAAATATAATTACGTATTTTACAGTAATCTTACCACAAGAAGAGTTGCAGTCTTCATGATGACAATACAGTAATGATGAAAAAAATGGTCACCATTTTTATACCCTCGATTTGTTTCTTGATTTTTTCTTTCTTATGCAGTATATGACATTATTCCTCGTGTTCCATGCCTGCTCTTCCATAAAAATGCAGATTTCTGTCGTAAACCTGCGTTTTATTCGTTTGTAAAATCGGACGTATGTATCGAAAAAATATTTATGCATTATTACAATGACCGTTTCTGATTATTATGCCTTTTGTTTCTTGCATTCGTTAACATGAACACAATCCTTGCCCTGAGGGCCTCCGAGGTAATGGTTGATCTTGCATTCGCATTTGGGAGGACCACAACGGAGGGAGTGACAGAAATTCTAAAAAATATTACTTTGGACCACTCATTTATTGATACCTTATCATAATTTCCACAAGTTTGCTTGCAGATGTTGCTGCACTCTCGCCAATAAGAATTCTTTGGACATCTAGGATCTTGAGGGCCATTCTCTGTCGCGTATTTCAACTCTCTTTCCACCGATTCTTTCGATCGCTTTCGGCGACTGGCAGCGGCGTCTTCTTCGGCAACTAAAGGGCAAATAATTCTTTCAACAGATTACGAGACCATAAGTCATCATACGAAGAATACCCACATTGTTGGAAGACAGTGTCCAAGGGATTCTTCGGGCAAGTATTGACGTTAATACATCCGTCATTAAAGTTGTCGTTCTTCCGTACGTAACCGGATTTGCAGCGGCAAGAAGGAGGGCCACAGCGATTGGAGAAACAAAGGTTGTGCTGAAATCAGCGATTAAAATTACAAAGACAACGTGTTGGGATCCTTGTGCGACTGCTTACTCTGTAGGTGGAGCAGTTTGGATCAGGGCAAACACTTCCGCATTGAGAGTATTCCATGTTTTTGGGACAGTCCGGGACAGCTGGAGCATCTTTACTCGAGTCCCAATCCACTGAGCCTACTGTAAAAGGTATCTCGATTACTATGAGCAACAGAAATTGTCATCAATTCTAACCATGTTATTAGAATTTCCTGCATTCCCCACCTTTGCACTGCTCTTCCGGGATGCATCTTCCACGATTTAGGGCATATCCTTTCTTACAAATACACCCTTCTTTGCATGTATGAACACACAATTTAGGGCCTGATCCCTGAATTACATCTGCACAAGTATGGGGACAATCTTTGCGACAAGCCGTGTAGACTTCACCTGGCCCACATTGAACGGCATACGATAAAGGAACGAGAAGAACCAACAACAAGAACTTCATTTCTGGAGGTGAATAGGGTTATGTTTATCTGAATAGAACCGCGATCTACAGAAGAAAAGAAAGAGTTCATGTTTTATTATAGTACATGAATTTTGGGTCTTTTCGAGCCGGAACTTGGCTGGGTTCGTGTACTTTTAGCAAACATGGCTGAATGGGATCTTCAGACTCCGATCGCAAGTTAGGAACAATAATGGAAGTCAAGTCATCAAAATTTGACCACCCTGGCAACGGTTTCAGGCAAATACTTATATTGCCTTAAGGTCTACAAGCTTGTCATAACTATCGGAAAAATAATCAACATCTTTTTGTCCAAACTTCAAATCCAAATAATCAAGACTTCGATCTGATTCAAAAACATCCCCAAATTAAAATCGAATCAATTTCGTCAAATAAAACTGTTGTCCATGTGTGTCCGGCATCCTGCGATCATTTATTTCCTTCCGTTTGTTATCTTCTCGGACTGAATCAGCGTTCGGATATAAACAAATCTCTGGCCAATCATTCAACAAAACAAATGAATGATAAAGTTTTTAACTCTTTATTCTTTCAACAGTTGCAATATTTACATCAAGTAAATTGGCTTTAAAATCTTTTGTATGATCCGAGAAAATTGTTGCAATTCGGGCAAAAGTGTAAGACGTCCTGAAAGGTGACTAAGAATTATTTTCTTGCTACTTACTTGGCACTTTGTGATGCACAATGGGAGTATACAACAAGGCCAACATCTAAAAGTAAATTGTTTTTTTTTGTCATCAAATATGTTTCGTTTCATAACAAAATAAAAGTCTTTTGGTTACTTCTTTTGGCCAAAAGTAAGTTTACATTTTTTCTCACGAAAGTAATAACAAAACGTAGTCGTACATACACCTCATAGTGTCAGAATTCAAAAATATGTACTTATTTACATATTAATATCTCGTTACTCCTTTCGCTTCATAGACGTCAAAAATATTATAGCATGCCTTTTTTATAAAGTAATATTTAGAAATACCTAATAAACCTACCCAACCAGCGCCATAGCCCCGCAGATGAGCCATGCCAGAACCCCGCATCTGTTTTGTAATCTCGTCACAATATGATGATGACAATAGTAGCAGGCCATGGACATGGGATAAGGTCCATATTGAGTGGCCATCACTATTTGAATATCCCTCAACTGGCCGATTGTCATTGGAGTTGATTCTACGGCATTATAAGGAGGAGGGGGGATGTTGGGAACTTCCAAATATCCAGGTAGATGAGATGGAAGGGGCATGCATTGAGGATGATGGGAAGACTCCAAGGTCGCTGGGTTTAGACATTGGGAATTATATGAGACCGGAGGCGCTGATGGGGCTGTGGATGCTGGGATCGGCAAGGCTGGAAAGGCATACGTTATTGAAATCTAAGTACGGCATTCTCTTGGTCTTTAGTCACCATCTTGATTTTTTTGTAAAAAAATAATTTTAAAAACATAAATTGGTCAAAGCACATTTTTTCTTCGTCCAACATTCCTCATTTTTCATAATATTTCGTCTGCCAATTATAAGACTTACCTTGTGGAGTGATGAGGACATGAGTGTTATCAAATTTGTTGCCATCTGAAAATGCGTGACTTAGAGAAGTTCAAAACGAATAGCAATTATCAACTTTTACCACCTACCGTTATAAGGTGGAGGCTGTTTCATACTGCTACCTCAACAAGCAACCCAACAATTCCACCTTCCTACTTCGCTATCTCATTCATGGACCATAATCTAAGAATTAAGAGTTGTTTATTGTAAAGGTTTCTTCCTTTTACACCGCTAAGTGTAAACCGCCGCAGGGCAGGGCTTCTCGCTTTTCTGGACTGTGGGAATTCATAAAGACATGCAAAGGACCCGGTTCGGGGACGAAATTTCAGGTGTTTTACGCATTATATTCTACATATGAACGTAGGTAAAAGAACCAATCCCGGGACAGATGTTACCCTTTTCCCATGAATGGGAAATAACAGTTGCCGCGAAACAATCAGCTATGTTTTGCCATGGCGTAGATTCATTTCTTTTCCGAAACAAATTGGATTAACACCACAAATGATGCTGAAATACAATAAGTAAGAGACATGTATGTGTTATAATACAATTTTCTTATTGTATCTGATAAATGCGTTATTCGTTTTGTTATTGCAATGTGGAAAATATATAGTTATGGACTATCTGCAATCATTTTGACAACAGATCGCAGAAGCAAAAAAAATTTTATTACTGAAAGAAGGTATATTTGGCCGTTTGAGATGCCTTCCATGTAGAGTAGACTCCGTCGGTACCTTACCTCACCTTTCCATTGACTTCAGCGAGTTTTCTTACATCGATGTAATCAAATTCACTATTTACTCAATTTTTCCGTGACGACCGATGGAAACAGTTTATTTTTTTCTCGAATATGTGCTTCGCAGACAACCCCGCAAAGCGTTCCAAAATTTCTCTTTATCAGCCACAGAAAAATCCGAGCCGAAACATGAGCTAACCTCAAACTTGGGTTAATAAACCGAAGATGTGTTCCCATTCTCATCCCTTCTCTATGCACGCATTGAGAAAAGGGCTGGGGAAATTGCATTTTCTGGAGTTAATTGGACGCCCTAAAGACCTCCATGTTACGCATGTTATCTCTCTTCTTCTGTTCTATAGCAAACTCATCTTTTTCGCAATGTTTCCGAATATTCCGCGGGCCAGTTGGCTCCAGGTCACACGGAGGTTCGCACAGAAAAGGCGCGAGGCAAACGAAGAGTGTCAGGCCCCTTTGCTTAATAGCTCTTAACGCTGACTAGAGAAAGAGAGGAGCGATGCGAGATGGAGGTCACAAGGGCGTTAGGAAGGAGACTTAAGAGAAGCGAATTAACTCCAAAAACCCCGGTTTCCCCAGCCCGTTTCTTAATACGCGAATGGGGAAAAGGCGAGGATGAGATGACATCTTCGGTTTATTAACCCAAGTTTGAGGTTAGCTCATGTTTCGGCTCGGATTTTTCTGTGGCTGATAAAGAGAAATTTTGGAACGCTTCGCGGTAATCGCTGAGGCACATATTCGAATGACTAAATGGGATAATTTGCTGTGAATTTCGTTTATTATAAGAAAGTGAGATGCCCGCGTTATTATCACATAACGAAAGCTGCGTTCCTTAATATCCAGGTGGAGTTCTTGGGGGAGGGCAGTGCTGGCAATCACCGCTAAGACCACGGCTTCCGGGTAATCCTGGCTCTCCTGGGGCTCCACGACGCCCTTCTCTTCCTGGTCGGCCGGGCTGAAAAGACAATTAGTTGCATTAAACATAGGTTATTCTACCTGTCCTGGTTTTCCTTTAGGTCCAACTTTAGTGCCTCCGATCTCTCCTTGACATCCAGGAAGACCACGAACACCCTTAGGTCCTGGTGCTCCAGGTGGGCCTCTTGGTCCCTCAACTCGCAAAACTCTTCCGGGAATTCCAGGAGCTCCTGCAGCGCCGGTAGGGCCGGTTGGTCCAGGAGGTCCGGGCGGGCCGACCATTCCAGGTTCTCCTCTCTTTCCGTCGATTCCATTGTTTCCGTGAGATCCACGAGGTCCTGGTGGTCCCTTAGGTCCTTGCAATCCAGGGGGACCTGGTGGTCCGGGTGGGCAGATAATGCAGGGTTCATTAAGAGGCTGATCAGCAGCCAGGACAATGCCATCACGACCACTGTTTCCAGGTCTTCCCGCAACTCCATCTACTCCATCATTTCCGTCATCTCCCACTGGGCCAGGGGGACCAGGTGGGCCGTGTTTCCGACAAGCGCATTGAGCGTTGTTAGACGCGCCAGGTGGTCCAGTAGCGTAACCTTCTTCAGTTTCTTTCTCCTCTTCTGGCTCGGTTTCTGTTTCAGATTCCTTTTCTTTTTCGTCGACTTCAGATTCTGTTTTCTCCTCGAATTTGGCCGCACTTTCCTCTTCATCCTTTTCTTCTTTTGGATCAGTGCTCTCTCCAACATCCTATAAACGTTTTATTAATCTTTTTAAGACGTCCTTACCTCCTTGCTGACCTGAACTCCAACAAGATCTTCGTCCTTCACGAATGTTCCAAACATCCATCCTCTCTTTTGTCGCTGAAGTCTTGCCTTCGGCAACTGCCCATTCCTTCCCATATGATATAATTCTCTCCACATATCACGAACTCGAACCTTGCAGACCTCAGCTTCCAAACTGACTTCATTTCCGATTGTGTGCATCCAATTGAACGTGGCTGGAAGGGCGATCATACACACCAAAAGGGCGACGGTCGAGATGGCCACAGCCCAAAACGCGACCAATCTGGCTTCTCTAAAAAAGATGACATAAATACCGTAAAGAGTAAAAAGTATCTGATGTAATCCGACTTACTTGTGGGCATACGTCTCCTCGTCCTTCCTCAGCAGGTTCTCCATGATGGCTCTGCCGAAAAAGGAATAACGCCACAGGTAGACGGCCTTTCACTTTTAAATCACCGCTCCTCCACCAATATCCCTGTCTCGCCCGCCCCATCGATAACGGATATTCGGACGATTTCCATTAAACCGGCTCCAATGGCCTTCAGGTTTTTGCGCAAGAGTTGCGAGAAATTATTCAAGAATCGGTTTTCGATGCTCCATCAAGAAAAAAACACATTTGTCTGTGCTCATTTCAAAGTCATATCACAAAGAAAATACGTTCATTATTATATACAAACAAAAATGATTACATTAGTTACTGTAAGATTACTGCAATAAATGAAGTTTTCTGATATATTCGGTCTGCTTGGCTTCGATTTGCTTCAAGTTCTCCAATTGTCGTTTGGCATGTTCTAATTCAACAGCTTTCTCTTGAATGCTAGCCTGAAAAGGAGGTTATACTATAGTAATTATTTGTCTTACTTGAATCCTCATTGTATCCTTGCTGCTGTCTTGATTCGATTGTATCATTTTCAATTCATTGGCAGTATTCATGGCTATGATTTTCTCACGATCTGCCAGCTCTCCTAACTGAAATTCATATGGAGAAATTTTACTTTCATAAATTTTTGCACACTTACTAAAGCAATATTAGAAGATAGAAAATTTTATGAAGATTACCTCTCTAAACACTTCCTGAACGTCACTCAACCGTCCTTGTAATTCTCCAACATTGTGCGTGAATTGATCACATAATTTTTGCAATTCGATGGACATCTCGGTTACTTCTACAACAATATAACCAACGAAAAAATTAAAACACACCTGGATCTCCGATCCTCAAACTATTCATATCGTCGACAGTGATCCCATTCATTTTGGAGGTGATCAAAGATTCATTGTTGTTAAGATTCATGCTTAATTGAATAAGCGCAACCAACAAAGGGGACTTCCGAAATTTGGAAGTTGGAGACAATTCTTGTTGCCATGGAGATGCTGGATACGGAAGAGCATCATGACAGGTTGTAATGCTAAAATAATGATATTCTGAATGGAGGTTCCATTAGATTTCAAATAAAGGGTATTTATGTATTTACAAAAAAAAACAAGAGTAAGCTTTTTGATATTGTGTTAACAAAGGTGTTGTTAAAAACAATACTTCTAGCAAACACTACAAAACAACCTCCAGGTCTGAATCATCGGTTGACGCGTCGATCAAAGTATTTTTTGACAAATTCCTCATTCACAGTTTTCAATCTGCAATTTTCCATTACATCGCTACAAAGTAAAATCAATTTTATCTGTGGCATTTCGTTGAAATCGAAAAATTTTTATTTATTCGGCCTCTTGTGCGAAGAAGAAGGAAATTGTTCCAAGTTTATGTATGACGCGTCTTGCTTTAGCACTTTCCGAGTGCTCAAATTATTTCCAATAGTATCTACCATGGTTTTCAGAGACCCTTTGCATGGACGGATGTGCATGGTCAGCCGCATTTTCGGAGTTTTTCAGACGGCACGTATTTTGGCACACACTCCGAGATTAGCGAACCAGGTAAGCTAGATTATTTCTTGTTTTTGATTGTAGAGAAACCTGTTATGAAGTGTGAAGAAGCCAAAATACTTTAGTAAAATTGCGTCTCTGTAGCGAATTGGTTTTGAAATTTTTATAGGATCGTGCACAACGCAAACTTGTCTGACATGATTCCGCTTGAAATGGTTTTTTCTATTGAATCACGATGGATCCGTAATATTAACTTTAGAATTTTGTTTCAAAACAGTTAGATGGCTCTTTTAGGTCGAAAGTTTAAACTAGAGGTCAACTGCACGTTCTTTTTGTCTTCACAGATTGCTTCTAATTTTCTGGCTCTTTGATTTTCTCTATAGCAGTTCAGCTAAATAAAAGGAAATTCAATTTAATTGAACTTTTACCAAAGTACTCCTTCAAAGCGGTGTTTCTTGAATTTCTAATTCTGTGGATACTTTCAGCGTTCCCTCGGCGACTGGAGAAATGGAGTTTTTCCAAAAGGTAAGAGGTTTTTAAAGCTTGGTTAGTGTTTTAGATAATGTTTTGAAAACAACTTATTTCCGTATGTTCGTTGCAATTTCTGATAACTCTAAACTGCTTTTGGTTCTTATTCGCTCACGCTTTTTTGACCTTGCACTAATTTTTGCTGCACTTTATTAAGTAAGACGAAATGCTGACCGTTATTTTGCTGAAAATAATATGTTGGGACTTCCAGGAGGGCTGAAAAGTTCGGAAAGGGATTTGTTTGTTTTTTGGGTGAGAAGTTCCCATTTCTCTGAAGACTTTCGCGGATTCCAATTTAAACCGGATAAGTGGATATTTGGTCAGAGAACAGGAGTGTTGCTTTCTGTAGACCATTTGATCTAAACGTCATTTGTCTTATTTTGAAATTGTTTCTTATTTATTTTCAGATAGATTTCAAAAGAAATTGATGCGTAGTAGTGGTCCGGGTGGTCAGAATGTTAACAAAGGTGAGCATCTTATCTTTTGGAATAAAAATATTTGTGTTAACCATGATCTAATTCTTTCAGTAAATACAAAAGTGGAGATTCGATTTGATCTCAGGGGATGCGATTTCCTTCCCAGCTCAATTTGTGAACGAATGAAGGAGAAATTTCCTTCAAGGTACACCAAAAATGGAGAATTCGTGATAACATCGGACGAAATGAGGACGGCGGTGAGCAGAATGTTCTTTATTTAATGAGCGATTTGGAAGAGATGGGGGTGATTTGGGAGGGAATTATGCACAGGACGCGCTTCTTCCCTCCATTTTGTTATTACATTGGGTTTCCTTTTATATTGCACAAGGCTGATTTGAGATCAGAAATCTTGTTTGGGGTGTTATTATTAATGTTTCAGGAGAAAAACGAAGAGATTTGCTACACGAAATTGCAGAAGATGTTGTTATTAGTGGAAGAGGAGCTGGAACGAGAGAACAGAGAACCAACGGACGAGGACAACAAGATCTTGCAGTTAAGGTAGGTCAAGAACCTCACGATTTATTAGTTTTAGAAAAGAAAAGGCCGCTGAGGTTAGGAAATTGGCCAAGGAAACCCAGAAAATGAAGAGACGCTGGCGTTCCGAGCAATTTTTTGACTGAGATCTTTGAGATTTGTTTTTTATAACAGCCTTTTTAGTCCCTTTACGTTGTTTGGGTATATGTTACAGATTTTATTCTTGTTAGGCAACAATTTTAAAATCATTAAAATAAAAGCTGATACTCTGCGCGTGCTTCCCTTGTTATTATACTTCTTTTCTTTTTCCCACGGGTTTCCATCCATGATTTTTGATTGACCTCAATGGGAATTTTAATTTGTTTGCAGTATTGATAAAGATTTTATCGGTTGATGCTCTGATTCTGCCCTTTTCATTGATCCGTGAGCTATAAATTTCAGTCTGAAACCACTTGCCATTTATTAGTCATTGTCCTCGTCATTAAATCGCCATGGGAGGTTGTATAATGCGCGAACGGGAACCTGCTCGAGTGATAAGACCTTCTTTTATGTTTGATGTCTTATCAAGAAAGGCCCGAACAGTCCGTGCCTTCCTCCTCCTTTTGACTTTTCGATTCTCCTGTGTTATAAATCCTTCATATTAATCGAATGTCCAGAATTCAGAGAGTATTTCCGTGGTGGTTCAGTTTAATTTGCCGCGAGATGCCTTTACAATTGTTGCTGTAATGACATGGTTTTAGTGGGAATGAAACCCTTATTGCCAGCATCCAACGAAGATGATCACACAACTCTGATGGGCAACAAAGATGTCGAGCAGGGCCGTCCCCTTCAGCTGAATGGCATCAATTCTCCCCCACGGCACACTCATGCCGTCCATCAAAAAAAGGAGCTCAAGACACAAAGGATCAAGCTGATGGTCATGATCTCGATGACATTCTTCTTCTTCGTCGTTGAATTGGTCTATGGTTACATGTCAAATTCGATGGCTTTAATAGCAGATTCATTCCACATGCTGTCAGATGTCTTGGCACTAATCGTCGCGTTGGCTTGCATAATTGTGAGTATTTTTGGATTGGCACTTTCTTTTGTTTAGACAAATATTATCAGTTGGTTTCATAAAACGGCACTTGACATGATCAAATTTCCTTTCAGATCGCGAATAGAAAGACAAAATCTCAGTCGAATACGTTTGGATGGGTAAGGGCAGAGCTGATTGGAGCACTTGTCAATGGCGTCTTTCTCCTCGCACTTTGTTTTACCATTTTCCTGGAATCAATTGAACGATTGGTGGAGCCCCACCCCCTGAAAGAACCTCTTAATGTCCTGATTGTTGGAATCCTTGGACTCGTTGTGAACATTATTGGAATGTTCTTGTTCCATGGTGAGATTGGTGTGTCGCTTACTTCTTTTGCCTCTCATTTAGTTAACGAAATGCTTGCTGTGGATTTGAATACTAACAACTTGACACTTTATTTTGAGTGATGCATTTTGAAAGTTTCTTCTCTATGGTATTAACTTTAGGTCATTCTCACGGGCATAGTCATGGTGGAAGTGGAGGAATTTCTGAGGAAAATATTGCCGGAAGCAGTGGATATTTGGCCACATCACATCAAGAAGGGGCCATGGTTATCGCTGATCTAAAAGGCAGTGAAGATGAATTGAATACGAAACAAAATGGAAATGGAATCACAATTTCAGAAACAAATAAAGCAGAGAAGAAGAAAAAGAGCAGTAAGTTGACTAATGTCATTATTGTTTGTTTTTAGAAGGATCAGTTCAGATGAATATGAAAGGAGTTTACCTTCATATTGTTACTGATTTCATTGGATCAATCATTGTCATCCTGACAGCCTCTGTGTCTCTTTGGTTCCCAGACATGCAGTTCCTGAAATACTACATGGACCCAAGTTTGTCCATGATTATGGTCATCTTGATCATGTCCTCGACGATTCCATTAGGTAAAAAGGATAATTTGAATAGAGTTTATCTATAGTTTAAACCAGAATATATTTGTATTTCTATTCCCTGGTATGTAATATTTGTTTTTAGTAAGAGAAACGGCCCTTATTCTTCTCCAAACAACCCCAGATGATGTTGACGTACAGACGATCGAAGAGAAACTAATGGCCTTACCTGGAGTGCTCGCTGTCCATGAGTTCCACGTCTGGAGATTGGTTGCTGTTCGGATCATCGCGACGGTTCATATTCACTTTGCCACATTTGAGGACTATCTGAGAAACGCCGAACAGATCAAGGAGATCTTCCATGATCATCAAATACATTCGGTCACTGTTCAGCCAGAATTCACTGTGGTAAGGTCTTACCTTAACTTATAGGAGAGGTTCTCCAAGTGCGACGTCAGATTTTTATGAAACTTGGTACAAATTTAGATTTTTTTCTGAGAGGTATGCGAGACCCTAGCCTGCGGTTTGCAGAAACGGCGCAATTTTTTATGAAATGTTCCTGTTCTTACTGTGGGTACTGTGTCCACAAAAAAATTCCAAAAAATCCCCAGTGTGTGCAAAATCAGACCGTCACACTTTGGCTACTTCCCTTCTTTGTTTCCATGAGTCAGATATATAACGAGATTTCTAAATTGTATTTGTTCATTGTGAATATTGTTTTAGATGCGGAAAGAGAACTTTGACTGTGCTCTAAAGTGTGAACCCGAAGATTGTCAACAAGCGACATGTTGCCAAACAGAAACCTCCAAATCCCCATCTCCCAAAGACACTAGTAGATCGACGGCGCGATCAGGAAAGGCTGTTTAGCGATGAATGACTGATCCCATCTTCAATCTCTCACCTATTCCGGTCAAGTTTGCTGTAATTATTTGTTACCGTGTATGTAATTAATGCAATAATATCTTTTTTCCAATTGTTTTTTTACGAAATAAAGGTTTTCATATGAATGCATTATATATATTTTTAAAGGTCTTGAACTGCTATATCATAATATATGTTAAAACTTTTAATTCGTCTTTTATTTAAAATTTTTAAACTTGTAGAAAAAACATGGAAAAATCCGAAATTCGTGTTCTTTTACGTCATTACTGGAAACAAGGCCTCAGCGCAGCTGCAGCAGCAAAGAAGATATGCGAAGTTGAAGGCGACAATGTGGTCTCAGATCGTACTGCGCAAAATTGGTTCAAACGATTCAACGACGGCGACACGGACCTCGAGGACAAGACACATTCAGGCCGACCTACGACAGTGGATTCTGAAGCAATCCGTGAAGCTGTCGAGACCAATCCATCAGTAAGTACTCGCAGATTGGCGGCCGAACTCGGTATTCCCCAAACATCAGTTGTACGACATCTTCACGCTCTTGGAAAAGTCAATGGACGCCGCTAAGAACAAGGGGTGGTACCGCAGCGGGATCACACAACTTGCCGACATAATATGGGTTCAAGCCATAGATTCAAATGGCGTTCACTTTGGTTTTCATTTGTTGTAAAATTGTGTTTAAATTTTTAATAAAAAATCGGAAATTTTTTTGGTTCACCCTAATAATAAATAATGGCTTGTATATTCTCAGGTATTAGCATCACTTCTTTCTTCTCAATTCCTATCAAGAATTGGCCATTGGAATTCCATCAATTGTTTGCAGGACTTGATTGGTCACATCCTCCGATTCCAGGATGTCGATGGCATTGAAATCGGTGAACAGTTTGAGTAAATCTTCTTCGGCAGGTCTTCAAGATCATAAATAACAATAAATTCGATTAAAACTTACAGCAAGCTCTCCGATCCTTGCGTTTCTTTTATATCAAAGGTTTCATTCAGTTTAACGGGGGTAACCTAAAGATAAAACTTTAAAGATCCTAAACATACCAATCTGAGGACTTCCTTGTCAAACATAACAAACTCCATATCAGTGAGCATAATGAGTTTGAAATTCTCATTCAGCATGACATACATCCCCAATAATTCCACGGTTCTTTTCTCTTTATCCGGTTCTCTCAAGAACAGTTCGAACCAAGATGGAGGAGGAGATGACTTAACGTTGAACAAGATCTATAACAAAAATAACATGAGAATTTTAATTAAAAAATCATCAAGCTTTACGTGTAACATACCAACGCCTGATCTGAATACGAAGCTCGGACAACTTTTTCCACCAAATCTTTGTCCGTCCATTTTGAATCCTTCATGTCGACAGTATTGCAATCGTTGTAGAAGAATTTAATCATGTTTAAAATATCGCCTCGTCTACTTTGGATCAACGGCCATGGCTCTCTCCAACTGACTTGTCTAAAAATAAAATAAAACAGCAAAAACAAACACTCCTACCGTAATAATTCCACCACCAGGATTTGGGTGGACGTGAATTTCTCTTCGTATGTGATGTTATACCTTAACATGGCACTTCTCCATTTGGTTATAATGTTCTAAACACCTGACATTCTGGAAGTTTTCTTACATTCTTTGTCTCTCCACCTTGCGAACTGACCAAAACTCTGAAAGCGGCCATGAAAACACAATTCCCAAGTAAATTATCGAGCTTTGATTTCGTTGATGACACCATATTCCTCCATCTGAACATAAAACAATATAATCCACCAGAGGGACTACCTGTTTTGCATTCCTCCAATTGAATTTAACACCAAATCACCCCTTTCTCTGTAAAATATGAGTCTAGTCAGCTTCAAGACGGCATTGTGTTCGGATTCAAGATCTTTTTCCAGAGCTTTCGACCTCCGGTCCAGGTATTCCAAGTCATCGGTAAGCCCGGCCAAGAGGTCTTCTTTGGCTCGAACTGTTTTTTCAATCTCATTGGCGGCTTTTCTCAAGGTTTTGATCGACCGATTGCATCTGAAAATCATCAAAATTATAGATGATGATTTCTAATTTATACTCGATCTATTACATTGACACCACAAAGCTTACTTTGCTACGTTGATGGAACTGATCACCCATTGCGCCAATTCCGCGCCTAAATGGCTTTCCAGCTGCAGCTTAGCAGGCTTGAAATCCTTTCCATCGGTCGATCTTTGTAATTCTTTCAGTTTCTGAGGAGTAATTTGATTGGGCCGAAAGTCTTTAATTCTTTGTTGGAACGACATCTTCATTATCATTTTACTAGAATTTTTCCATGCCTCATTCACATTCCGATCTAAAAACACAAATAAAGCAACGTTAATAACAATAACTCACCAGATTTATAATTCTTTTCGACCAGTTTCCTGGCACATTCAATAACAGCCCTTAGGGCAAGAGAAGGTTGTTTTATGTTAGCCAACTTCTTGTAATCATCGGCTTCGTATTCCAACAGCCCGGCCAAAGCATCATGAAATTCGGCCTCAGGGTCTTCAAGGGCCATGTTAATCTTGGAAGTTTTTTGTAGCAGCTTTGCTCGGACGGCTTGGAGGTCTTTTTCAACTGACGCAATTTTCTGCAAAAAGAGAAAGCATAACATAAAACAGTTTTTGCAATATTGCAGCGACTAATTTACCGTTTCTAACTTCTCTTTGATCTCTTTATTCTCTTCGATGCATTTCTTGATGAAGTCATAGACCAAAGTCTGATCTTCTTTTCGTTTTTGCAGTTCCCATAAGGTTTTGTTGGACCCAATAATACTCAATTCCTTGATTCTCATCGTTGTCTGGAGGGCATTGTCCAAACGTTGGACTCTTTTTTGGATCATGCTGCAAATAATCTCATATTTTACATTCTTCAACATCACAATGATACGTAGAACATAATTCAATCCAAATCTTACTCATTCCTTCCATTATAGGCCTGAACAGTCAACCTTGTAAGGTCATAGAGAAGTTTCGGGTCTTGGAATAGGTTCAGACAAGAGAAGGACGACTTTATGATGATATCCTTGGTATTGGCAAACAAGATTTCGATCGTTTCGCAAAGCCGGGCTTTGTTTTCGGCCGAACATTCGGCGATTATCTTCTCCATAATTCGTCGGGTCTCTTTTTTGCCGATTGTCTAAACATCAACAGCTGAATGAAGTATATACTTACCATATACTGGTCTCCACTGCACCATTCGAACTCCGCCACCGTTTCAGGAGGGGCCAAGAAGACACCATGCAAGAAATCAGCGACTCTTGCCTCGAGGGTCGATCGGAGAAGATCCACATTTTTGAAGGCTTCAAACGACAAGAATTGGCAGTACCGTTGTCTAAACCAGTTTAACCTTAATTTAAATGCGTGGTCTTACCCCGGCAGTCGTATGTTGGACGATTGTACTAACGTGGCCAAAGTCTTTTCACTTTCGATCATCTTTTCCGCCATTTTTATGACGACCGTGTCATTGAGCAAGTCGGCGATTATTGGACCTTGTAGCCACTGTTTTAACATCTTCAGCCATTCCTTCGGGATCATTTTAAACTATAAACATGTTGTTACCAATTACAAACCCAAATCTGACTACAAAGATTCTTACGCAATAATCGCAATGAAAAACCACCACAACTGGGTGATTCGCGGTGACCAGCATATTGATTGCTCTGACGATCGTTGACTTCCACGAATTTTCGAATGTTTCCGCGGTCGTTGGATCCAAGAAACAATGGAAAATCTGGCCAGCAACTCCGAACGCGGCCATCTTCACGCATTGAGTTCGTCCGCACCCAGGAAATCCACCCAAAACAAAGTGCTCATTGTGTTCTCGGAATGCATGCATTAGACGCTGAACATGGTCTGACACAAAACTAAAACAAATTAATTCGGGAATTATGTTGTTACTCCGTAATGACCAGGTCGATGTTGAATCCTTCGTGATTTTTGGTATACTCAAAATGTAAATTCTCCAGAGTTTTGTTGAAATCGGATCGTTTACTGATAATTTGATAGTTTAGACCATCCATTGTCTCTTGGCCGGCCATTTCCGAGTAGAGTAAGTGGGCCAAATCAAAATCGACGAGTTGCAAATGCCCTTCTTTCTTCTACAAAATCACATTCATATTTTTTTCCGTTCTTACGCCATAAAAATCGTCATCATCATCATCATGTTCATCGCCTTTAACCGAAGGGAAAAGTCGTTCCATAGTGGTCCCCAAAGTCTCTGTGAGCACGGTATCAAATGAATTGAAGAAGGCTCTTCTTTTATCTTCTGAAAGTTCCCGATCAACAGAAACTCGAAGGATCTCGTGACACCACAACCGCTGCATCGAATCGAGGTCCGGGGTGTTATCCGGGAAGGCAAACATCATCGACTTCGCCAAGCGGATCACAAAGGGAAGCAATTCTTTTTCGTCCTTAAAGTGTATTGGCGATAATTTCTGCCTGGACTTACCCTCCCCATTGCCTTAAATATTTTTTCTGATGCCAAACTCAGAGCAGGTGCCAGTTGGAGATAATCGGATGAGAAAGTCCTGGAATCGTTACATTAAATATTCATTTGTCCTACTTTGTCTTCAGATGCCAAATCAATAATTGTTCGAAGATGTACCGGAGTTCTTCCCAGGTCGGAGGTTTGATTGGGACCACATTGAAATTCCTTTTGAACCCACCGTACTTTGAGCATCTTTCGTATTCCTGTGTGTCCATGATCAAGATGAACTAAAATAAATAAAAACGGCAATAACTCCGCTTACTTTAAACTTGGAGGAACAAACTTGTGGTTCATTCTGATAGACCAACATACTCTGGTCATTATACATTTCAAGCAAAGCCTTACAGGTCTCGGTGAAGTGGAAGTGATCGATGATTAGACACTAAAAATAATAACATTCATAAAATAATCATTTTTATTTCCTTACAATTTTTTTGTCTTCTGAAAGCTGCGCCAATTTATCTTGCATTGTCCTCAATTGGAAACGGCCGATGCAATCCAGAAAAACAAACTTATATCCCTGCTGAGAGTAGTCCAAGTACTTTACCATCCGCTAAATAGTTAGATGAAGGGCTGAACCAGATCATCTTACCTTAACCGCCGTACTCTTCCCACAAAATCTAGGCCCAGTAATAATAAAGTGCGTCTCCGAATTTATGAAAACCTTCTCAAATTCTATGAAGAATCGATCAATGGAAATGAAATTGACATAAATCTGAGAGAGACTGAGCTCTTTGGCCAACATCGACTTCACTTGGAGATGGTCGGCCCACTTTACCCAGAATCCCGGTTCCTAAAAACCCGTTTCCACCAACATACAGCGATCTTACGGTAGTCGACAATCTGAATTGACTAATCGGAGCTGGCAGTTTCCCCATGTCCGACGAGTTCCTGTCCCAATCATTGCCCCTTTCTTCCACAAACTTGGTGGCTTCTACAGTATCCCCTTCCATGTAGACGAGTATATGATTGAAGCAGCTTTGTACCGTCACTGATCTCAGGAGCTCTCCATAATTGGCAGTTGTGATTTGAGGCATCGCTTCTTTCAAGTCAATCTCCAAACGCCAGAGCATCAATTCGAAGGAAAAACTCTGGAAAATGGTAGATTAAGAAATGGCATTGTACCGGTTTCATTGAGAACATCCTCAACAAAGGCAATATCAATATTTCCACCGTGCTTGTGACTACATCAAAGTACTCTGATCGCTTGACTAACATGTCCAAGGTGGTCTTGAAGTTGGCCCATTGCTCATCTTGATTTTCTTTGGCCTGCTCTGGCAAATGAACAGTTCGAATTTCATACCTCTTTAGCCATTCATCCACTGATTTCTAAAACAATTTAATACACCCTCTTACAATAAGTAATCTTACATCTAAGCTTGGTAAACATAGTATAAATCGAATATTCTTTGCAGCATAAAAGTTGCTTCCATCGGTCATTGTCAAGTAGGATCCTGGAGGCATTTCGGGGACGACTGTGGGAGAGTGAGAGTAAAACAAAGTGCTGATCTGAGGGAAATGCTTTTCCAGTTGATCAATGCCGTAGAATATGAAGAATCGGGGTGCTCGAATAGAAACGGACTGTCTTCTCGATGCGGTCTCATCGCTGAGGCCAGTTCCACTAGTGCCGGCTCGACTAAACGCAGTGGTAACCCGGTTCGAATGAGAGGTGGCTACAATAATAATCATAAAGGTTGCACAAGGAGGAATAGCAATCCCTTACACATTCTCTCCGCCTTTTCTTCGACCACGGGCATGATACTTCGAAGGGATTTTATCAGATATCCAAGGTTATCCTCCCCAAAATCTTCCTCGCTCGAGACCAGTTGATTATGTTCCAGAGCATCAAAATAAATCCAGGTAGCTCTTGAATTTGTTTTGCTCATAGTTGCAATTAATGCATCCTTGGCTGACGACCCAGCACAAGCCAGGGCAAAGTTTACATTGGACATAGTAAAGTTGATAGCTTCGGCGCCAAACAAGGCGTCGTTCACGATGTCTTCCGGATTCTTGGTTGATTTTTCGACTTCTTTTTGCTAAAATTACTTTTTTGCAGTATTATCTAGAGACGATGCATTAAAAAGTGATTATAATGTAACCTGAGGTGGTCTTTGTCCAGCAGCTGTTGGAGGTGCCACCGAACTCCTTCTTCTTTTTACCGGAGTGCTCTTTGGAGCTAATTTATCCATACTTGACTTATTCTCGTTTGCTTGATGATGTAAAAATAACTTCACATGGTTACTCAATCGATGTGCAAACGAAGTATTGGTGCTGCAAAGAATCAACCGAGCACAGTCCTTCTCAATTCGGTCAATGGTCAACAACAGGTAGTTCAACTGAGCCTCCGTGAGTTGATCCAGGTTCTCCAAAACAAACAGGACTTCGTTCCGTTGACAAGCCTACGATCATTAGCAATAATAAAAAACGGCTTGACTTACCTTGACCACCTTATCAAAAACATCGTTCTCTAAACTCGGATGACAATTAACGAAACGAACGGAGGTCAGAAGATTCCTGGCCAGAGATTGGACACGAGATCGGACTTCATTCAATTGGCCGGAGAAGACCGGGACCTTTCCAAGGGCCCAATTATGAGTGAAGATGGCACTAGAATAGGAATGGTTACTGTACAGAGATCGTTCTTACTCAGTCAACACCATTGGGATCAAAGAATGAATAAAGTCGGGACAGAGAGGGAGCACCATGTTATTGCCTCGGAGAATAATTTGGACTTCGTTGGTCTCATCCTAAAATTCAGTGATGATAACTTGAGCCCAATTTCCACGCAGCCAATTATGGATAAGAGATGCAAAACAGATTTTTCACAAAATGAAGCTTCCCTCCAAAGGAGCCGGACATTTTTGCATCGACCATCATGTTTTGACCTACCCAAAACGCGGTTCGACGGATTCCGCATAATTTGTAAATGACGCGGTTACTGTACAATTTATATTTTTGAAGGATGGGGTTATACACACACACCTGCTGTGATTTAAAGGTAACTGCAGTTACCGTAATCCTCTACAACAATTACGTAATTGTTGCAGAAAACAAAAAAACATCTTCTCAACTATTGATCTTATCGACAGCACACCCACATACAATCATGCTAGCTTTGAAATAGCTCTTCTGGACTCTGCTTACGTCATAGTTATATTTGAATCCGCTTTCTGTGTTCATGTGTAAAATGAAGTCGTTGATGACATGGGTGATTCGGAATTGAGATTTCATCAAGCTTCTATGTTGCGTGAATTTGACGTAATCCTAAACCGATGTTGCTGCTTCTTGAATTCCTCTTTACCTTTATAATGAGTTCTTTGAGGACCTTCTCCAGCGCGATGCAGAACTCTTTGGGTCCTTGATCATAAAGAACGTCTGTTGTTAATAATCCATCTAATTTTATTTTTTCTCCTGGAATCGCGGCATTACCCCTTGTTTTTTACACTTGCCTTCAATGTTTATACAGACTAATTTGGTGTCCATTTCGACCAGGCTTCTGAGAAGGGGGAAGCATTCTCTTTGCAGGATCATTAGCGCCTCGTCGATGTCATTGATGGATAATAGTTTCAACAAATCTCCGTTGGACATTAGCGCAATCCGAGGGTTGACTACTCGAAGATTTATCAGATATTTTTGCATTCCATTTACACATCTGTCTAGATGCTTTTGGGCGAGATCTAGCCAGCAATTTATGTGTTTTCCATCAATAATCTTAATTACAAATCGTTCTTCATCGACGTAACGAGACAATCTTCTGTAATTGTTTTTAGTTTTTGATTATTTTCGAAACCCCATACCTAAAATACTTTGTGCACGTCCGAAACTCTTCGAATTCATCGATAACCTTCTGACTCGAATGCCTCATCACATTGGCTACCCGTTTCCAGGTCTCCAGGACTTTGTTCCATTTCTTCAATATCTGCAAAAGCTTTGTAAGATCATCGGTCCATTGGTCTAAACTCTGGTTGGTGTAGCTCTTGTCATCCGGATCTCTATAAGCACGGATCTTTGTGTTATGTTCTTCTGATGACTTGAGCAAGGTGGCCAAGTTGGAAGGGATCTGGATCCCCCAGAAGTCTGTTAAAATCATGTTGAAGGATGCCTAAAAATAAAGGCACAGTCCTTCTCAATAAATTGTCGATACCATCTTCTAATCTTGCCTTATCCTCCAGAAAGCCTTACCTCAGTCCAAAAATCAGTAATGAAGTTGGCCTGATCAGCGATTGCTCCCTCTCTCTCCGCGATAAAAGCAATCGGCTTCAGTTTGCTGACATACAGATTCAAATTGAGCTCAGTGATCTGAGCGACGGTTGCATTCGCGTATTGTGCCAGATTAAAGCCGACAATGTCAGACATCTTCTGCCAATGTCGTTCATTCAACCGAGGACAGGACATGACCTCGAGCACTGGAATATGATGTCTGAATTGTTCTATCTCCGCTTTTAGTTGCGTTGAGAAGGCTTTGGCTGCTTTTTGGATCTCAATTTTGGGGCCGATCGAAGCCAAAATTTCGAAGAACGAGTCCACAAAGTTTTGGCAATCTGACACGCGGATATCTGTTCGTCGTCGTTTGAAGAAATCCCTGAATTTGGCTTGTCTATCACGTAAACTTACTTTCGGAACTCGTGGAATCGTTTGCACCATTCGAAGAGCGACCACAAAACGTTCACTTGGTCTCCGAGGGATGTCAGTTCAGGGAGGTGCAACACCGGGAAGTTGACCACCTAAATTAATGTCTGATATTAAATCAACCAATATGAAAACCGATAACACGTTGTTCATATCGGAAGAAGTTTCACCTTCTCTTGGCAGTTGAGTTCTTTCAGTTCATTGAGCAGATCCATAACCATTGGCTTCAGAGCTCTCATTTCGATGAGATATTGATCAACTTCTTGTGGATCAATGAAGCCATGGATAACCTTTAATTGGACGATTGCCGCGTCTGTCTGTTGTTTTATGGTCTCTTCCCGTTTCTAAAGTAATTTTTCCTTGTTGAGTCATTCCTTTTCGGCTACCGTATACTTACTCTAACAAAATGTGCGAAGATATGCAATCTTCTTTGGAAAAACATATTATGATCAGCTATATGCCGAGGCAATGCTCGTCTTGTTAGCGCTACATTAATCAAATAGTCATGTTCAGCTGGATCAAATTGGATGACTTGTGTTAATTTGTGCATTCGATCATACGCTTCGACCAATGCGTTTACAGCTCTCGGGAGATCGAATTGGGTTATCTCCATCACTTCGCCCTACACAGACTTAGTTTATTAGTTTAGGGCCTCACTTTGTTCTTCAACATTGTCGTTGGATCCATCGAACGGAAATTGAGAACTTTTTTGAATTTGTTGAACTCCTTTTGCAACGACGCCACCGATCTGTAAAAAACGGTATCTTTGAGGTTACTGTGAGAAAACTTACTCATGAAAACTCTCTCTGATTTGTCTAGAGCACTTCAAAATTACGGTATGGGCTCTGTCTTCCAGGACTCCCCAAACTTTTGACATTTCGATGGAAAAACAATTGGCTTTTATCACTTTGGGACCTTTGGAAAGTTTGATTAAACTCTCGCGGGAGGTTAGGAATCTCTCAATAAGGTAGTTCTCAACAGCATTTTGGGGAATCTAGAAACTGCTACTTTTAATAAGTTGTTTTATTACCGGCTCATTATGAATAAGCGACGAGAATTGTGTGATCACTGGGTTCCGCTGAAACTCATCGTTGCTTTTGTCCACGAATTTGAGTATTTCATCGGTATATTGCGTGATCTCGTCTGCTGTCAGCCGAATTCTCTCATGACGGGCGAGTTCCAGGATTGGTGACTTCAAATCATCCTTCAGTTTATCCAATGAGATGTTCAGTTTCCTTTCTTGTGCTTTGCATTCCACCTTGATTACACCCATCTAATAAATAACACTCCTATAATCATATTTGATACTTACCGCATTCTGTAACGTTTGGATGTATCCTTTGATCGATGCATGAGCGCTTTTCGTGCACTCTTGGCTCAACGTAATTTCGGTAGCTCTTTTCTTTTTGATTGGGAGATACGGTATCAGCCCTTCGTCAATTCCTCTATGGAAGGCATTCATCAAACTTAATATTCGATTTCGAATGCTCTGAGAAGTCAGGGACCCCGTTCCACTCAGCCAGGAATTGTTAAAGAGTACTCCTTCTCTAAAACATAACATTTTAGATTAACTATACCGTTTTACTCACCGCTCTTCAAAATATTTTCTAATTCGGAATCGGGCCAGGTTCGAGAGAGACACAGCTGTGCTTGGTCGTACTAATCTGATCTTACCAACTCCTCGGGATTCTAAAGATGTTAATATAAGTGTAATTTATACTCCCCGCCAAAAGTTTTGACCCCCCTTCTAACTCGGTCCAAAGTGGACCAATTTGGACCAAATTTGGTACGTAGTCTACTGACAGCCTATTAGTAAAAAATATCATAGTAGGACAAACCATGTAGCTGTATTTCAAAACCCAGGGACAATTTTCAAAAATCACCTCAAAAAAACGGGACAAAAGTTTTGACCCCCCTGCAAGAAAATTAAATATCGCCAGCGGGTGTAACCAGAACCTTTTGCAACCGGTGTCCCGTACCTGAATATACTTTTGAATGCTTCGTTGCATTTGAGGATGCAACGCGTTAAACTGGTTTTGATGTAGAGCTGCCCAAAATGGTAAAAATCTTGTACTGGCGCTTTCTAAAAGTTTTAAATTATGTTCACATCATGTGATCTTGACGTGTTATAACCTGCATTAGCCTTTTCCTTTCGAAAAATGTCCATGATGGCCGAGCGGTATCGATTCGGCCGATATTCAGTTGTCATGATCATCCTTGGTGAGCCATTTGCTCTTTCACTAAAGGGCTAGATGTGGTAGCTATGTCCTCAATCTAATCCTAAGACTCATATCAATTCTTAAACCAAGAATAAACTCCCGCTGACACGATCTCATATGGTTTGCAGATGCAATTTTGCCGATCTGCACCTTAACGAAAAACCCGCTTTTCTCAAATGGATTTTTTGCGACCAAAAACGGCCTTCATTTGATGGCACAGGTAATTTAGGACGCTACAGCACCCGCCATACTGATTTGAGACGTATGGAACGACAAATGAGCGGTGGGGTTGGTATCGTACTCAGGGGCATCTACAGTAACGGCAAACTTAAGATTAAGGTGAATGAAACCCATTCCAAAACGCGTCAAATCGAAACTTTTTACCCTGCTGAGAGTAAATAGGAGTCTCAGGATTAGATTGAGGACCTAGCGACCACATCTAGACCTTTAGTGAAAGAGCAAATGGCTCACCAAGGCTGACCATGACAACTGGATATCGGCCGAATCGATACCGCTAGGCCATCATGGACATTTTTCGAAAGGAAAAGGTTAATGCAGGTTATAACACGTCAAGATCACATTATGTGAACATAATTTAGAACTTTTAGAAAGCGCCAGTACAAGATTTTTACCATTTTGGGCAGCTCTACATTAAAATCAGTTTAACGCGTTGCATCCTCAAATGCAACGAAGCATTCAACGAAAAAGCATTTATTAACCCATGTTCAGGTACGGGACACCGGTTGTAAAAGGTTCTACTTACACCCGCTGGCGATATTTAATTTTCTTGCAGGGGGGTCAAAACTTTTGTCCCGTTTTTTTGAGGTGATTTTTGAAAATTGTCCCTGGGTTTTGAAATACAGCTACATGGTTTGTCCTACTATGATATTTTTTACTAATAGGCTGTCAGTAGACTACGTACCAAATTTGGTCCAAATTGGTCCACTTTGGACCGAGTTAGAAGGGGGGTCAAAACTTTTGGCGGGGAGTATATAATGTTCGCATACCTATTATCCCCTTTTCTCTCCGAATGTCATCATCATGATATTTTCCGGAGAAAAAGTTGATCAATGCCAACTTCTCGGCTGTCCAGAACCATAATAAGATCTCTTCTGATTCGATTCTAACGAAAGAATCTCGAGGAAATTTGGCCAACTGGTCCTCGGGGTCTTGAGAATGGCCTTTGAATTGTTCCTGTTTAACCAGCCAGAACCAAACCCTCTGACAAGAAAACATAAACTCGAATTTTATCCCACACATACCGCGAACCCCATATCATCATTCCAACTTTCCTTCAGAATTGAATTTACCGTAGCTCGAAGAACACTCTGTTCGAAGGGCCATCGGACAAATTTATTCCTAAAGATATCATCAAAGGGCCGTCGATTTACCGTGGAAGGATACTGGCTTTCTTCTCATGAGCAATAGTCCATTTCTTGAGCAACTCGTCAGCATCTGGAGCTCCTTCCAGATATCTGATGGTATATAATTCATTCGAGAATTTAACTGAAGATTCCTATTAATTAAAAGCCGGCTTACGTTTAAATTTTGTGTTTTCGAACCTCAACCTCGCTTCAGTCATTTTAAACTTTGAAAGGTCACTTGGGCCACTCTGAGAGGCTTTCGAAGATGGAAAACTTTAGCTTACGTATGAATTCACACATTTTTTATGGTCGAATAAAGCTTAGAGCTACTTTTAAACACTGTGAATAATTGTGAAATGTTAAGGTTGAGCCGAAGCTTGGACCGTGGTTACGTGTGATCATTAAACTGAACGCGTAATTGATCAAACTGACGTGATTATGTCGTCCTCGGAGGCCGACTTCGTGTACTCGTATGTTCTTGATCTACTACTCGCGACGTAAAGGTCGAGCAACTTGCACTGTCAGCTTTTCTTCAAGTTTTCGCGTATGTCACTGCGATTTCGTGTTTGGTTGCTATTCCCAATCAGAAGGACTTATTTTATGCAAGAAAAAAACCAAAATAATGATTATTGTTCGCACTCTGCGCCCTCCATTACGCAGGCTGCAGAATGAAGTAAACATTAATCCGGCAGATTTTCGGGTCTCGGGTTATCGCTCAACATAGATCACCCTTCTTCCGGGTTGAAGCAAGGTTTACCTTAGGCAGTTATCTCTTGTTTCTCGATAAAATAGAGCGTATAAAAATTGATACTTTCTGAGTAATAAGCATATTTACAGATGAATTTCATTTGGATTACTCTTCTGGTCGTCCCGATAATTGCTGGCCAACTTCTTGGAGGTTGGAATAATATTGCCTTGGATGATGAGGAAATCCAAAAATTCCTGCCAAAGATTGAAAAGTTGTACAATCAACAAGTGAACGACGCCAATCAGCACAAGGCCATTCGGTTTGTGGATGCCAAGTCTCAGATCGTCAATGGAGTGAATTACAAATTCAAGATTGAAATGGGACGAACGAACTGTCGACTGGTTTGTGATCACTTTCGATTAAACATGATTTTTGAAATTTTTTGATATTTCAAAAATCTTACTGATATCATTTACATTGACTTTACATTAAAACGTTTTCAGGGAAAAGTATGTAATGACCCTTCAGTCAGCAACAAGCACCAGATAGACGCGTCAGTATACAAACAGCCATGGACTAACACTGAGAGTATCAGTTTCAAACCTTCGAACTAAAATGGAGATCAAATCTACTACAATAAAAATATTTTTTTTCATTTAATTATCTGTTCACATATGTGTTATAACGAAGGCCCAATAAAAAGAGCAAATGGAAATTAACCCCCAATGATGTTCTCATCCCCTTTCTCAATCATCCTGTGATTTTTTCCACTGGAAATGATAAAATATCTTCTTTTAATTCCACTGCTACAGGTAGTTCATTGTCAGCAAACATGTTACGGGATAAAATGTGAGAATGTTGCTGATATTCTGGCGATCGAGAAGGCCTATAATAATCACAGTGGGGATACCAGATATTACGTTGTAATGAAGGTGAACAACTACACAGAAAATGCTGAAGAGGCCAGAGCCGAGGTTGTGATTGGGCGGTCGGAGTGTTACAAGGTCAGTCGGAGATATTAAAAGTCAATTATATTTTTTTGGATTCTGTTTTGTTTGTTTTCAGAAGAACACAACCTGTTATCCAGATGTAGACAGTGCACAAAACTCTCACAAAGTCATCGCTTATTCGGCCAAGTTGGCGAATGGCACAAAAGGGGCGTGGTCTGTCCATTGTAGTACCATGTCCTGTTCAGAGTACGATGTGCGCGCCTATATGATAAAAGATATGTTACTCAAGGTTACTGATGAATACAATGCCCAGAGTGAGTTCGGGAATTCAGTCTTGGCCTTCGAAATGAAGGAGAATAAATTGGAAGGGAATACGCACATCTTGAGATTGGGAATGGTCAATACTACTTGTATGAAGGCGAGTCATTCCTATCCTTATGCTTTATTATTCATGTTCTAGCCCGATTTCAAGTGCGATCTTAATACACATGCCAATTATGAACAACAGTTTTCTGTAGTTGCAAATTTGACGGTGGTTCCAGGAAGACAAAAGCCTGTTATTATATTTAAAGTTTGAAATAAATAAATTTTTTGATGACAAATGAGGGTTACTGTAGAATGATGATTTTAGGGCTTTGATCAAGTTCGATTAAACGAATCTCAGTAACTATAGATAAAAAAAAACTTTATGTAATTTAATTAGAATTCATTTGAATCTGAAGGATGGATCAGATAATCTTTGTTCTCTCGAACCTGGACTTGCTTCCGGAACGTCCTTTGGCTGTTCTTTTATAAGAATAAAGCCCCTCTTCTTCGGGCAGTTTGCTTTTTTCATCGATGAAACGTGTCGCTGGAAGAACGATCAGATTAAATATAGTTATAACGACGCTGTTATTTTTATTTTAAGAAACTTGATTTGGTATAAAACATCATATAAATGTCTGTTTTTTTTCTTCAGACAACGAACTTTGTATTCCCCGTGAAAGTACAGTATTAACTGCCAGGCCGATTACTTTGATAAGAGGCCCGTTTTAACAAAAAATTGTTTTTTGGAAGGTCACAACCTTACTTTTTGTATTTTTATAAACGGCTGTAAACCTGCCGGTCTTATCGATATTATAAAATAAGAACCGATTGTGGCGTCCCTATCGAAGTAGTTGTTATGTTTCATATTTTTTTAATCTTGCGTTATTTCAGGCAGTGTTCTGTTGGATTATAAAAATGCCACCACAAACCATCAACATAATGGTCTCGCCGAAGACGGGGATCGCCCCAACAAAGGGAGTTACTCAAGGTAGGCAATTCAAAATATGGTCAAATTTTCGAAGAAAAATTTTGCTGAATCACGTGCAAAGCATGTTTAGCACAATAAAAATACATATGAAAACGTTTCTGGGAGATAAGATAGTGGCGTTTAAAGATCGACAAAAAGGAAATCACTTTATTTGAAGGTGCATTTAGATCAAGGGTGATGATAAACGCAGATTCAGCGATGATAAAATTTAAGAAATCCTTGACGGAAGCCACTCTTTCAGCAATGATTTATTCGCGCAACTTTCACGTACCAGAAGAAATTTTTTGTTCATTTTGGGACCGATGAATGTTCTGTATGTAATCAAAACAACGAACATTGATTAGATACAAAAACTGTGCCCCAGATGGTCAAAAGCTGAGTGGAGAAACTTAAACAAGAAATAACTAGAAAAGAAATCAATCAACGATCAAAAAAATAATCATCGTAACAGAACATCGGAATTTATAAAATTATGACTTTGGATACAGCTTTAGAGACTACAGAGTCATCTTCAGACGCGTGGAATCTTTCTCGAAAAAGGCTCGTTGAAAAACGGCTTTTTCAAAATTCCCTGAAGAAAATTATAGATCAAAGTTAGTCTTCAAAAAAAAAACAGAAAGACATCCAAATTTCTGGTCCGAACGTCTGACAGTGTTTGAATTCCACCCTCACCTCATCTGAGGACAGTCCGGGACGACGGGAGATCAGCCCATTTCCATCAGATTCCCCCTTCTTATCACCGTTCTTTGGCGCTGATAGTAAAACCAAGCCACAATTTATTTATTTAAAGTCGCCAAAATATTAATTTAATCACTATTTTCTGCGCTTCTTATACTGTAAAGGTTCTTTGGAAACGCCCGAAGGTTTTTGGAAATTTCTCAGCAATCTAGTACTTGTATTACATTACTTTCAAAATGGGAATTCAAAATAGAGATCCGGAGAGTTTGATTCTCGAATTTTTGGGGCATGTGAAGCGACAGCGACACCAATCGCTGCCTCTGATCTTGCCCAGGGAACTTGGACTGCGTAGGTTTTTACAAATCCAGTCTAAACTGTGATGTAAACTGTAATGAAAAGAAACTTTTTCAGCTATGCCATGGTTTGGTCTGGACATTGGTGGAACCCTGACCAAACTCGTCTATTTTGAACCTTCTCATACTGTAAGTAGCACTATAAATAACATTAGTGTTTAGGATTATATTCTCGAATCGGATGAGGAATTCCAAAGAGGAAAGAACATCCGGCAATATCTCCTGAGTCGCAGTGCTTATGGAGAACATGGAATCAGAGACAAGCATCTCCAATTGGATGACGTCAACATTAATGTAAGCGTATAAAACCTTATATAACCGACATTCAATCGGACTGGATGATCTCAAATATTTTAGGGTCGTTGTGGGTCGATTCATTTCATCAGATTCCCCACCGACCGAATGTTGAACTTCATCCAGTTGGTAAAGTCCAAAGGCTTCACCCAAATGTCCTCCACTGTTTGCGCCACAGGCGGCGGCGCAGTAAAATATGCCTTGGAGACGGAAAAGGAATTAAATATGAGCTTGCACAAGTCGGATGAATTGGAGTCGCTGATAAAGGGAATCGAATTAATCGCCGCAAATAATCCCAATGAGTGTTATTACTATGACAAGCCCCTGGAAGGAGAAAACAAGGTGATTTGGAGATGGTCAAGTGCCCGATCTTCCACTACTGACTACAAATACATTAACCAACCTTGCGAGGAGGGACTACAGTACCCCTACGTCTTGTGCAACATTGGATCGGGAGTGTCGGTAATGGTGGTGAAGGGACGAAACGACTTCCAAAGAGTCTCTGGATCCAGGTGGGCATTAATTTCAATATTTAAATACGTCAAAGTAATCTAAAAAGTAACTGATTTATATTTTTCAGTATTGGAGGCGGTTTCTTTAATGGCCTCTGTTCGCTCCTTTGTGGCGTCGAATCCTTTGAAGAAGCGATTGATTTGGCAACACAAGGAGACAACAAGAACGTAGACATCTTGGTCGGCGACATCTATGGATCGGGTTATGACAGTATCGGTCTTCCCAGTGATACAGTAGCTGCCAGTTTTGGAAAAGCTTGCACAAAAGCTGGCCGGGAAAGCATGTCCCGGGCCGATTTGGCAAGAAGTGCATTGGCCACAGTCGCCAACAACATTGGAGCGACTGCTCTGAGTGTCGCCACTCAAAACAACATCGAGAGAATTGTGTTTGTGGGCAACTTCCTGAGGGTAAACCCGCTGGCTGCCCGTCTTTTGGCCTATGCCATGGAATTCTGGTCCAAGGGAACCAAAAGAGCTCTCTTTTTGAATCATGAAGGATACTTTGGAGCTGTTGGATGTCTTGACAAGCTTGTGGAAGTGACACAATCACGAAATATCCCAACAATGGGAGTTTAGGAAGTATGAGGACATTAGATATTGATCAAATAATATCAAAAAACTGTGATCTCATACTAGTCGCGGCAAAAAGTCCTTAGAATTTTCTGCGACTCCGCACTGTGCATTCACCCGAAAACACATTTTGCACTGTGCAATTTTGTCGATTTTGCCTTATTGTCGCGCACGATTCCCGCGACAAATCAACATTTCGGGGTGCGACGAGATTTGGGGGCCGCGAAAAATTCTAAGGACTTTTTGCCGCGACTAGTATACAATACTGCTTAGCACGTGTGTAATAATAAACAAAACGTCAAATTCGTCTTTGCAATCAATAATAGGAATTTACGCGGGATCAGCAAAAATCAATTTTTTCGATCGAATTTTTTTCGGCCGGAGATTGGAGAAATGATAAGGTTAGAACGCGAAAAACGCATGTTCCGACCTTGAAATTACCCCCAAAAATCGTTTAGATCCTTTGTTTCGGAGTTCTTTGTTTGTTAGTTGAACCAGAACAGTGTTTTCGATCTGTCTGAAAAATTTTTTAGCTGCAGGCCACCAAATATGAGCTGAACAAAATTTGATTGTTATATTCTGCCCTCCTCTTTCATTGACATTTTGAGTGTTGTTTGTCCTTGTTATTATTTTTTGCTTTGATCGAAAAGCCAGATTACTTTTTAGGTGGTCCGAGCAATGGCGATCCGATTGTATGGAGATGCCCTTTATACTTTTTCCAGCCATTATCAGAAACTGATGGTCGAAGAAATATCTACAACGTCGAGAGAAGATGTGACGCCAAGGATGGACTATTTCTACAAGAATTTTGTAAGTCTGAGATATTCACTTACATTGCGATATTATTTTAGACAACAAAGTTTCTGAATTTGCTTGGAATCGGTTCTTTTTAGGTTTTGAACAAGAAATTGAAAAGGCCAATGCTCCAAGAGTCTTACAAGTTTAACACAGCCATCTTTTGCGTCAACGAAGTTGTTTTTGGTACCTCCTTACGTGAGATTGGAGCCATTCCGTTATCTCTTGTCTCCAAAATCGGATTTCTCCCATTTTACATCGAAAATGTTTTTATCGACAGTTCCGCGACTAAGAAGGAAGCGGTTGCAGCTATTCGCTTTGGGCACGACGCAAGAGGACTTATTATTTCACCTGCCGCGAAACCTTTGATCTTCACCCAGGTCTTGAATGCGCTCTCGTCAAATCTTGGGCATTTGGAATGTTCCGTTCAAGTTTTTGATTATTTTGGTGTTGACAAACTACGTTTGAAGAGTCTAAAACTGCTTTGGCCAGCACGAATTGGAGGTAGGAATTGGCATTTTTAATGGTGGTTCATGATCTCAAAGATTATTTGTTTATTTTGTTATAGGAATATTTGCTTTGATGGACGCGTCGGTCAGTGAGATTGACCTCAGCGAGTTTGGGGATCTTGCTTTGAATGAATTGTTCTTCCACATTCACGAATACAAATCAAATCGATCAGTTAAAGTAGTCAGGATAAAGCTGGAAAGCGACACAGGGATATGGACCATCAGGAACCTCATGATGAACTTGAATTGGATGTTTCCCAATCTAGAAGAGCTCAAGGTGATCGTCAGTGACGAGGTGAGTTTTAAACCTGACTTGTTATCGTATGTTCTTCTAATGTTTGTACATCTGTTTTTTCAGAGGTTTGTCGTTGAGATGCGGAGTTTCAATTTTGCCGACTTTTTTCTGCATCGTTACATCTCATCTGATCTTGCGCTTGAATTTCAACTGAAATTCGAGCTAAACTTTAATTTTGAACATTCTACAGTATCTTCAAGAACAGAATTAGCGTTTCCAGAGGATGTTGATAGAATTTGTAATGATCTCCTTTCAATCGTCTCTAAATTGGATAATATAATTTCTTCAAAATTGATAAAGAATGGTGATTGTAAGTTAATATGTTATCATTATTTAATTTATTTGTTTATTTCAGTCCGAAAATACGAGATAATCCAAAAGCACCCATCCAAGAATATCACAACCACTTCTCACGTTGGATTTATTTTACCTTTAACCCTCCGGACCACCCAAAATACAATATTCCAGATGTCAAGTTGAATCTGATTAGGTATCTAATACCGGTGTATATACAATTGCAATATGTAAATATATTTAGATTATTTTGTGATCTCAAAGAACCATAAATGATTTAAGATTTTTGTCGTATAATAATGTGAGATTTGGCAAGTCTTTCGGAGTGATTAACTTTAATTAGGAATCATAACACATTGCAAGCTTGTTATGTCATGTGTCAGAGTTGTTTTGTTGCTTTACAAGTTTAACAACGAGATAATATCTGGTAATCCCATTATGTGTATAAGGCGTCAGTCGGTGGCAATAATGGCGGTTGGAAAATGGAATTGCCAGATATTACTTCGTTGGTGGTATACAAAGTTTTGGTCATTATATGCATAGTTTTAAGTCAAAAGAAAGGTTACGTTATGGTCCAATGTTACTGCCCAAGAAGACGCTTTAATCACGAATTTCCTGGTTACAAGGTCCGCAGATTACATTTATTTACCGAGAACGGGAGCTTATGCATCACCCATTGCAAGGGACTCCCAAAAACAATGTTTGATCTCTTGTCTTAGCACAAGTCTGGCCTTGAATAACATCTCTAGATGTGCTGCATTCGAATTCTTTTCACCTGGCATTTGTGAATTCAAATTTCTCACCGAAATAAACAGCCAAGTGTTGTTGGACTCAAATTATAAATCAGAGGCCTTCTTATCTCCCTGGATTTATAATGGTGGCCTTCCCTAATCTCTTTTACGTTTGTGTCCTCAGGCCATTGCTTATCCAAGGCCCAATGCACCCGTATTCTTTAACACGTCAATCGTTGGTTTAAGATTTACATCATCTTCATTTATAGCTAGCCTTTGTTTCGACTTGTTTTGAAAGTAAACTACCCGCAAACCCTTTTTCACTTAACTTTTGGCCTTATTTCAGAGACGTGCCCTTAGGGGACATGTGTCAAATATGTCCTTTATTGGGTTTTATTCAAGTTTACATTCTCCTGTTACAATTTTTAAAGCTTTTTGTGTGTATCATGAGTGGATTTGCGTGCTCAGATGTTTTTTAAGCCTGCTACGACATATTCTAACGTGTAAATCGGATTGCATTAACCTCGACTTACCTTTGAATTCATAGTCATACTTTTTAAAGAGACATTTTATAACTCTCAGACTAAAGAGCGTTTCAGTTTATTAATAGTCCTAAACCACATTCTCATTAACCACCGTTCCTTAATTAGCCATTTGGTCTTCGTTCGACGTTTTTTGCAAGATCTTCTGCACAGTAACGGGCATATTACACATCTTACGTTGGCAATGAATACAGTTATATTCATGAGGAAATGGGGTTTTATGTTTGGAGGGAAAGAAATGATATTATTAAAAACGGTAAAAAATAATTACCTGTGACCACTAGCAACAACCTAATGAACAATCTTCAACTTGGATACTCCGTCTTACGAGATGCGAAGCGCCATTAAACTCCATGACCTTACTTTATGTGACTTTCCGGTCGTTATTACCATTTGAAATTCTTTTGTAATTTCCTTTACTTTTGTTTTTTCTATTGTAATCATTGAACGATTACTCCCCATTCTTATATTTATCAAATTTCCTTGCAAGAAATGGTCCATATACAATGGAACAACGAAAGCCCCGAGGCCATTTCCCTCCACATTATCATAATTAGCTTTACAGGCCGTCTAATGCCCCCATTTTCCCCACTATTCGCACTTACTGTCCGATTCCACTCCAAGGGAAGACTTGACCTCCCACGTACGGACGAGTCGAGTCTTTCTCTTCGGTCTTTAAGGTTTTCGCGGCCCCTTTAACAGCTCCCATATTTACGGGCCTTTCGCGAATTATTTAAAATGTTCAGTTTTTAAACAAAAGGATTTTGATTATACAATCACTGGCTGCATTTATACTTTCAGACCTTGGTAAAGGTGACGAATCTAGAGATCACGAGGTACGATGGTAATAACGACTTGACGACGGCCACAATGTTCATCTTCCATGGATCCTTGCCTTGGCCATGTATTCTAATACTAGTCTGGGCGGTGAGCATTCTTTTTTTTTATTATTATTTAGTGAACCAAATGAAACGAACTTAAAGGATTAAAACGGGTAGAGCAAAACAGCCGGAAGACATTTGGAAACAATTTTCAAAACTGTGAAAAGTTGCAAATAGTCTTATCAATCAAAATATTCAGGTGGCCGAGGCAGCTCGTAATGAGATTGTTTGTGATCAGATCGACTTGAGAAATGATCCAAAGGGGCGACAGTACAAGGGCGATGTGAACTGCACCATTGTCGAAGGAGACTTTATCATTTCTATGATAACACAAGACAATGTTACCGACGATCATTATCCTGTTTATACAAGACTTAGGGAGATCACCGGCAGTTTGGTCATGTTCCATTCAAAGTAAGGCAATTTGAATGCTTCGTAATGATACCAACACAAACAACAATTTACGTTTCACTCTTGCAGAGCCCTGATTAGTCTTGGAAGGATATTCCCGAACCTCCGAGTGATCGGTGGAGATCATCTTGTCATGAATTACGCTTTAGTTGTCTACCAAAACAGAGATCTGAAGAGTATCGGTCTCTCTAAACTAACCCTAATCAAGAATGGAGGAGTTCGAATAGCAGACAATGCGAGAGTTTGCTATACCAGATACATCAACTGGAATTCGATGCTCTACGGGAAGATCAAGGATGTGATCATTGATCCAGATGATTCTCAATGTCAAGAACAATGTATTGTATCACAAGATCAGCTTTGTGAGAGGACTGATGGGAATCTGGCTTGCTGGTCACCGAATACTTGTCAAATAAGTGAGTACTATTAATCATCAATTCGAATCTTAAAATCTTCTAATCGTGTCTTTGTAGAATGTGCTCATCATCGCTATCCAAATGGAACCTTCGGTCCGGGATGCTCTGAGAAAGGCGAGAAATGCCACCCGCTCTGTCTTGGCGGATGTTTCGTAGCTCAAGATCCGGGATCATGCTTTACTTGTCGCAATGTTGCATTAAATGGAATCTGCATTTCTCACTGCCCTGAGGGCTTCTATGAGTATCGAAACAGGAAATGTGTGACCAAACAAGAATGCGAGGAGATGTTACCCTTACATTCAGAAGGGACCTTCAAGAAGAAAGAAGAGTACAAGGCCTTCAAAGGAATCTGTCATTATCGATGCCCATCTGGATACCAGGAAGGTAAAGAAACTCTTTCCTGCCATAAAAAGCGCCCGAAGAATTGTTTCGAGATAAGATCTGACCTTTTCATTCATTTACAGACCCGACAAACAGCCGGAACTGCATAAAATGTGTAGGCCATTGCCCTAAGAAATGCGCGGCGACAACTCAAGTCGACTCGGCTGGAGCCGCCTTGAAATACAAAGGATGTAACATCATAGAAGGGAATCTGGAGATTGAAATCAGAATCGGAAACGAAGCGAACACCGAGAAATTCACCGAAGCCTTCGGAGAGGTCGAAGAAATTCAAGGGTAAGGTCGGAAGAACAAAATCTAAAACGCAAAAATTAAATCAAAAAACTTACCATAACAATTACAGATATTTGATGATCAGATTCTCATCTGTTCTTGTTACTCTCCACATGTTCCAAAAACTCCGAATCATTGGCGGAAATGAATTATGGCACAATTATTCTCTAGTTATCCTGGATAACCAAAATCTCCGAGAGCTTTTTCCTTTACGCTACGACAAATTCACGATCAAACGGGGAAAGATACACATAGTCAACAACAGAATGTTGTGCTACAAGAAGATCCAAAACTTCCTAGAAATGACCGGAATGAAATATAATGTAACAGAAGCAGATGTCAGTGCAAGGAGTAACGGAGACAGAGCTATTTGCGATGAAATGCCTCTGGAGATTGAGGTAACGGGAGTGGAACCTCATGGATTCACAATTCGATGGGCTCCATTCAATCTGGTGGACACAGATCACCGCAAATTTATAGGATACCAGGTGGGAAGACTTATCAAAACATTCGAACTCCGGGATATGTTATAGTTCTGCTAGGAACTGTAATATATATTCTAATTTTTGACATCATATTGTAACATGTATATACAAAGGTTTAAAAAGGTACTACAAAGTAGTAAACTGTCGCAGAACTTGGGATACTACAAATGCAATCCCATCAAAAAAATTTCCCGTTGCGAAAACATTGAATGCCAACGGAAATAAAAAAAATATTTCAGATATTTTACAAAAAGGTCGAAAAGATTGATCCGAACCTGTCGATCGATGAAGACCGCTCCGCGTGTGCCGATACATGGCGGATGCAATTTACTGAAGCGACAATTGATGAAAGCGGAGAGCCGTAAGTTTTAGTTGTTTTATACGTTTATCTTCTTTTAGTGGGAGCGAAGTGGCCGCAAACAGTGGAGAACTCATTACAACTGGAGTAGAAGCTAATTCGCTGTAAGTAAAATGCATTTTCTTTTTATCTCATGATCTTTTAGATATGCATTTTATGTGCAAACGCGAGTTGTGAACCACCCAGGAGCCCGCAATGCCATCTCTAAGGTTGACTTCGTGAAGACCCATTTTGGTGTTCCGGATCCTCCAAGATTACGGTTCTCTGAGACTTTGAGTGATGATCAAGTCGAGGTCACATTTGATCCTCCTCCAATTCCTAGAGGTACTATTACTCACTACACTGTCGAATGGGAAATTCAGACTGATATGGAGTTTCTTGAACATGCAAATGCATGTCTCGACGACTGTAAGTTACTGGTTTATTAGTTTTATTGTGTTTAGGGTCGAAGATAAGAGAGACTACTCAACCTCAGAAACCTCAGGAAGGAGTTTGCATGAAGGATCAGGGGTGTTGTGAATGTAAAGATGTAGACGAACAAAAGCAAACAGTCTCTCGCAAACAATACGATGTAAAGGGTATTCCAGTTGAAGAATCGAGATTGGATGAGAGTGGAGCCTTTGAAAATGCGATTCAGAATTTAATCTTTATTCAAAGGTTGGTTTTGGGCACAAATGATATTACTCTTTACAAGGGTTAATACACTGTTCAGATTGAATGTATTATAATGGGTTTGAATATTAGGCTACTATTAGGTTACATTGTAACTGGTCCATATTTTTTGCTACGAAGGGGTTTTAAGTCTACTAACGATGATCACACTAAAACGCACCTTAATATAATCGAGCTGCAGGCTCTCATAATACATTTTACAAAACTGCTTACCGCACGGTCTGTTAATGAATTTAATGTTCGTGAAGAACATTACGACTTAAATAACGCAATGCCACTTTAATCTTGTGCTTTATGAAGGTGTGGGGTCAAATACGATCCCCGCTATTGCCGCCCCTTCATCCGAGACCCCGCAATGCCGGCAATGGAGGTGCCTCAACGACTGACGAGGATGCCCAACGTGAAACCGGCAGCCCAGAATCATCCGAAAAGACGTCGGCGATACTATTATAACTCCTCACCTCGACCTCGGCCAGCTTTTTTAGGGTATCCTTTAATCGGCTTTTCTATCGCTTTCTTCCGGGTTTGCAGTGGACGGCAACTAATCACACCCTCAATGTTCTTTCCTTATTAACATCACCTTTATCTTCTATCTCTGTAATCCATCTTATCTCTGTTACACACAATTTCCTGCTTATTTAATGCACTAGCACAGCAAGGGATACGGTGATTTATATAACAAGGAAAGTACTTCTACGGGGTGTGGAGTTACAGGTCGAGATATATATCAAAAAATTCGCAAAAATTTTCTGATTCAGAATATATAAAAATTAGCTGCCTAATTTTAGTCTGATGACATGTTTTTGTCCTCAGAAGTTTTCTCGCGACACCATGCAAGTGTCTTTTTGACCGTGTTTTTACCAATAAAAAAATTTTTTTTGTGCTAAAATAAATTCTGAGGCTTTGACAAGCCTTAAAATATCAAATTGGATTACAACTACACCTTAATAGTAGTTCCAATGTAAAAAAATGGGCTCTGTGGCAAAAGGATTCGAACCCACGGGGCAGCCTTTCCCGTTGGATTCTCAGTCTACCGCTCTAACCACTCGGCCACACCGCTCTCTTCCGAAGGAAGAGACCGAGCGCGCTTTTGTTGCCGGAGTTTTTTTTCCTCGAGAAATACATTTATTGATAAAACTCGTTGATAAACCAAAATTAGGCAGCTAATTTTTATATATTCTGAATCAGAAAATTTTTGCGAATTTTTTGATATATATCTCAACCTGTAACTCCACACCCCATAGAAGTACTTTCCTTGTAAAAAAGTTTAGAAGATCTTTAAAAAAGAAGCAGATTAGTTTGTATTACTCTTATTTTGTGGATGTTACCCTTGGGATTTGGTAACGGTGTTTGCTGGTGACTCTTGGGAGTTTTCTTATTTATTTGGAGGGCCTTCTTTCGTACTGTGATACTATTCATCTTCACTTTATTTTTGGTGTTACCCTTCTAATTTCAGCGTTGACTCCGGTCCTCGAACCAAGAAAATTGAGAAAACAACGGATAGAGAATCTTTTTTCAAAGTGAAGAGAGCAGTTGATAAAGCGGCCCCTTCATCTACAGTATCCGTTCAGGATATCTTGAGCAAAAAGAAGTACGCCTACAATATCAGCAGACTGGACCTGTCGGATCCCAAGTTCCCAGCTGAATTCAGAAACAAAGGACAGATTAATATCACGGGGCAGTCCATTATTCTGGCTGGATTACCTCATTTTACGGAGTATACAATCTCGGTGAGATTTTTCAATCTTTCAGAAGAGATTCAAATTTCTTTATTTCATCCAAGATTAATATATAAGAATGAGGTGGATTTCCATCCATAATCGATGAGAGTATATATTCCCGTTTCTAGATCTATGCTTGCCAAGACATCTCCGAGCCCGATAACTCGTGTTCTCAGAAACCGGCTTGGGCCAATGTTCGGACTGCTCCAATTCGTATGTTTGGATTATTTTATATTGATCTGAACATTTAGCCGAGTTTGATCGAGTTGATGAGAGCACTGTGTTTGTGTGGAACGGCACTGATGGGAAGCCAGACTCAAGGCACGTGACGTGGTCACCTCCAAAAAACCCGAACGGCCCAATCTTGGCCTATCATGTCAAACTTTTCAAAGGTGACTCGGTAAGTCATGTATCGGTTAATTTATATTATGTTTAGATCCCAATGCCCTTGTGTATAAATAAAACCGAATACGAGAAGAATGGGGGAGTCACATTTACGGGCCTAACTGACGGAGATTACACCTTCCACATATCTACAGTAACCCTGGCGGGAGTCAGTGAACCCACAGTTGTCCCAAGTCTCTTTATCCTCAACAATAAGGGCCCGAATTACATCCTCTGGATCCTGATTTTCTTGCTAATAATAATGCTATTGGCATTGCTGGGAGTCTACATTATACCTTTGTTTATCCCCGACAGAATCAAGAAGATGAAGATGGCCAGTTTCACGATGAACCCAGAGTATCTGACCGAACTCATGATGTACGAGAAGGATGAATGGGAATTGGAAAGAGATGTGATCACACTGGAAAGTGAGATTGGAAAGGGAAACTTTGGAAAAGTGTTCTACGGAAGAGCCAATAATGTGAAATCAATGGCTGGGATCGAGTTCTCGGAATGTGCCGTCAAGACGTTGAGTACGGAGGTGGGCGGACAAGATCGAGTCCCTTTCCTCGCCGAAGCTCATCTCATGAAGAAATACAAGAGTCCCCATGTTGTGATGCTTCTTGGAGTCGTCAGCGACCCTCCAGTTATGGTCGTCATGGAGTATATGAAACACGGATCCCTCAGAGATTACTTGACCCGGTTTAACCCTCATGATGAACATTATGAGAACAAGTATTTGACCTACAAAAGAATGGTGTTGTGGGCGTTGGAGATTGCAGATGGGATGGCTTACCTGGAGAATAAAAAATTTGTTCATCGAGATCTGGCTGCCAGGAATTGTATGGTCGATAAAAACGAGATTGTCAAGATTGGAGATTTTGGATTTACCAGGGATATTTACTACAGAGACTACTACAAGCCAACTGGAAATCATCTAATGCCGGTCAGATGGATGTCCCCTGAGGCGTTGAGAGATGCAAGGTACACCTCCAAGTCAGATGTTTGGTCATATGGGATTGTCTTATATGAGATCTTGAGTTTGGGAGCTCAGCCTTATGGTGGACTGAGTAATGACAGTGTGTTCAGCTATGTGGTCAATGACAAATTCTGTTTGGTTAGACCTCATGGATGCCCGATCTTCTGGTAGGTCCTTGTCTATTACAATAATAGGCCTTAAATTGTGTTTAGGTATGCGCTGATGCGTTCTTGTTGGCGCTACAATCCTTTGGACCGTCCTTTCTTCTGGGAAATTGTCCAATATCTCTCCACTTTCCTCGATCGAGGCGAACCCATATTAGATGTCGCCTTTGCTTTGAATATGGAGAAGGAAGAGATTCAAAAAACAGAAGCTGATCGAACAGACTTCTATAAGTCAATCATTGGGGACTTTGCTGGACCCAATAATGGCGCCATTTACACCTCAGGCAATGATCGAAGGAGACGAAAAAGGAACAGAAGGCATGGAGGAAGGACGGATATCGACAGAACTCTCAACGGAATGGAATCGGACTCGAAGGAGGATGAGGAAGCGAGGAATTACAACCTCCATGCAGCCATCAAGTTCATGGTCGATAATGATATGCGGGTTTTGGATGGTTTTGAGGATGAAGAACATAAAATTTCGATGCATTATTACGACGGAATGCCCATCGACGCATGGGAAGAGATGGCCGAATTGCACAGAGCAATCGAAATGAGCGAACAAATGGTTCAGAATGGGGAAGAGGATGACGAGCGCCTCACTGAGCTCAATGATGATCGCATATTGGACTTTGTGGATGGGGATATGGGCGATTCGGATCACCGATATGATGAGGGGGAGGCCGGAGATGTCGAAGAAAGTGTGACAGAAACGGATGATACGGTAAGGGGAAGAAGAAAAGGCGGATTTATGTGCTTTAGGAGTCCGGAAACTATGAATCCGAGATCCGTCGCCCAAATATCATCGAACGATTCGCCAAGGACTTCAAGATTTATCCAATGGATCTGGACAGGGGATCGGACATGACTAAACTTCTTCCTCCCAGGGATAAATTGATCACGGAGATCAGAAACGAATATGTCCCGGAACTCTCGGCCACCGCTTTGGATTACGCGAGTGAATCCGGGCAAACTGATTCAACCGAATCAAAGCAAGACGGGATGGATATCGCAGAACTGGAAGCCCTGAGGGAATCATGCAAGAAGAATCTCCCCCATCCATCCAAAAGTAACATCCGAAGTCAGAATTCAGTCCCTTCCCTTCCCTCAATAGCTGAAGTTGACTTGGCCAGATATTCGAATAACTGACCTTCTCCTCTCATGTTAGACTTGATCATTCATCTTTATTCGTCCGGTGTGTACAGTTTTCTTATCAAGGGTCATGTCGTTTCTTAGTGCAAGGTCTGGAAGCTAGTTTATGATATGTTTCTGGACCATAATTTCTATTGAGCATGACTGTTTTTTATAACTACGGGTTATTTTTAAGAGCTCTACTTTCTCCGAACTCCATATCTCAATGTTTTTATTGCGTTTCGACGGATTGACCTTTTCTGTCCATTTATAATACATTATCTCCTACTCTTAATCCCACAAATCTTTCCCTATTATAATTGTATATATGTATATGTTGTTGTTGCCTCTAGATTTAGATATATTCTTGTTAATTTTATTGAGATTAAAAGTGAACTCTGAAAGACTGAGATCATGGCAGATGTGTGGAGATCAGTAGAACCGTGAGAAGAAGTGTATGTACAGCTGGAGAGACCTAATTCCAAGGTAATCAGCAGCAGTGGAAAGCTCGGCCAAGTCTTCTGGACTCATCTCGAAGAAGTTTTCCTCCGATTTTGAGAGGGCTTTGGGATATAAACGGAGGTTCGGCCGGGTTTTTGGGTCGTATTCGGGCTCAGGGATACCTGTAATCAAATTATTTTAGTGTCATATATCAAGTACAACATAATTTTGTGAAATTGAAAACGAACACAGCATTTTATAGAGCTCATTCGTACCTTCCCTCAACAAACACCATTCCAGCACTTTCTTGAAGACCTCACTCCTTATTTGGGGCAGTGCACATGGGTCTGTATCACAATCATCTTCATCCACCAGATGCTTCAAACTCCCAGCTATCTTTATCACATCGAATGGCACCATGTACCGCTGCCTGTCCCTGGTCTCAATCATTAGACTTTTGGCTTGCATTTTTATCTGAAAACGAAAGGTATTGATATTGGAAAAGTATAAAAAAGGACGAACAAAAAAGGTAATCGCCGGATGATTACTCTTATCTTGAACGGGTATTTGTATACAAAGGGCAATAAAAATAACAAAAATGGTGTCTTTTCATAAGGTGTAGCTCTTTTCATGCAAAAATACGAAAGCTTTAATACAGAATCTTGTTTTAGCCAAGCAACGGAACCGGGTTTATATAGCTACAAATGGTCATCGTTTACACAACCAAATCCCAACCCAAAACTTTTTCATGTCCACTCATCGAGAGTCTCGACAAAAAACTTTTGCTTTCTTCGCTTTTGACTCAAACAGATGAATCAGATCTTTTTTATAAAAAGAATGCTCTGAAATAAAGATAAGGTTCCAAAAGAGATTAGGTTTATATAATCGGGAGTGTAACATTTAATGACGTTAGGGGAAGAACAAGGTCATCCGAATTGGTTTTGTTTTGACGAAGAAATTGTAATTTTTCGAACTTTATCTTAGGGATAATTTTAACAAGAAACCATAAAAAACATATACTTAGACGACTAATTTTAGATACAACTGAGGGCAATAAAAAATAAGTTGTCTAGTCATCCGGATTTTTGATTTTCTGAGGTTAACAAGAGTAAATACAAAGGAAAAGGTAGTAAAAGTTGTAACAAAGATCACGCTTTGAATTAGCCGAGTTGTTATTTCCAATGAAAACGATTACTTTGATAAGGAAAGTACTGTCTAAGGGGTTGTTTTCAGAGCACTCGCCTTAACTGATTGGCAATTACAAGAAGAGAGAGAGAGAGTGCAGTCGGAGAGCACAAAAACTAAATTATATGAACTCACCTTGAACTCGACATAAAGCAATTCGGAAAGGAACAAATCTCAGGCTGTGTAGGAGATCTTAAAAGTTTTTTGATCAAAATATCAGTTTTTTTGGGAAAAAGAATAGCAAAATTACAGTTGAAATTTAAAATTAAGCGGGCGAGAACGTGGAAAGTGAGGAGAGACGGTCTGAGAAAAGACGTGTTTTTCACTCATATATCTTTTTCTTTGGCGGAAAAAGATGCGGCAAAGTTTATTGTCATCATTTTGAATATGATCCTAATTCTTAAAACCAAAAATTTTGACAAATTTTTATCTATAAATCTTGGTCATTCTGGCCGTCATGAGGCAGAGATCTTCGAAGCAACGGTTCTAAACTTTGTTCAATTTCCAAGGCATCTTGAGGATTCATAAAATTTAAATGGATATTTTGTCGGCAAATCAAATGATTAAAAGAAGACATTACGCATGACTAAACAGTGATCACAAGTCGTCAAACCAGTTAAATTATGTTCAAATTCAATTCAAACTGGAGGTGTCCAGGTCTCCCTTACAATTTTTGAACCGTTCTCAACCTTCCCCATCATTACTTCGTCCCATTTTGCTTTCGGCATTTGAAAACATCCCGAAGTGGTCGAAATGACTCACTCCGGGTAATAAATAAAAGATTTGGACCGAAATGCCATTCGAACAAAGTTTTCGCGGGATAAGAGCAAGAGAGTGATGACTCATGGCTTGAGGGATGAGAAAAGGGCCGGCGGAACGAACGGGTTTACATAATTCCGGGCAATTAAACGGATCGGCGGAAGGGAATTCCGCATGGTACGGACAGTTAGTCATCCAGATGACATTTATGTGTCATTCGGGGATACGGTAGCTAACGGGGTTATGACTAAAAAGTTTGCAAAAAATTGGATTCACGAAATAAAGAAAGAAATCTATCAAAGAAGATCTCGTGGTCGAAAAATACTTTGAGAAGTCTTAAGCACCAAAAAACAGAGAAAATTACAGTAAGGCTTTTTTTAAAAGTGGTTCTTAAAAGGACAGGGCGCAACTGAAAATATGGAGTTGCAATTCAAAAACACGGACAAAAGTTTGAATGGAAAGAAAGCCCTGCAAAAATTAAAAGACACGAATTTTTCCGACCGGCAGCGTCTTTTATAGCCAAACATTTGCAGAGATGAGTCCTCAAAAAACGACATCCCCTTGTCTAATTTTATTTGCCGAAGTCTTAATCATCTTAAATCAGCAAAAAATTTACCGTAAGAACCTTCTTGAACCTTCCTTCTAGCTTGAATTTTCAAACCTTTCTCGTAAAATTCTACAGTAAGAAACACGTGAGAAAAACGTCAGACGTCAGAGAAATCTAAACAATATTTTTTCCTATCTGTCAAGTAAGCATCTTTTAGATCATGATTTGCTCTCCTCTTGATCTTAAATATCATCCTTTTACTCGCCAAAATTATCCAAAAGATCGTCAATTTAAAGTCCAAATTGCTCTCAGCGACAGAACTTATGACCCGATCCATCAATGAATGACTCAAACCTAAATTGTAAAAAGATACGGGTTTTCTTTCCATCTAACAATAAGGGCTGCGGCGATGACTAATTATTAACTGCAAAGAAATGTTTTTTATAATTTCAGGGAAGTTATTGCAAGCTAAAATTGATGTTTAAAAAGGCTGCTACAAGATCTGAGACAAAATTAGAACTGTGTTTTGATAAGGAAATCATTGCTGAAAGGCTGATTTACTCATATCAGAAATCATTTTTCGACAGCGCCCACCATTTAACGTCATTGCCACGCCTTTTGAAGGCCTCAGCCATAATAAACGACGGCTGAGTAATGTGTACAAGGGTTCTTATTTATATTCGACACCTGATTTTATTCAAATCTGGCACTCTTTTTTGTTGAAGAAGAGATTTGAATAACTCCGGAGTAAAAGGAGAAGGTCGGGAGGGTAAATTCATGTAAATCCGGCCAAAAAATAGTCTCGTGATTACTTTTCCGAGTAAAAGAACAAAGGAATCGTAATAATTTTTTCGCTTATAATGAGATCTTTGGTTTGGCGATACACAAACCGCTACCTAAAAATTGTAAAAAGTATGAAAATTTTGGCAAATTTGGGCCGGCAAATCTCGATATCGTCTGAAAACCGTGAGCCTAACATCTGGCAAATATCTTGGAAAATTTCGAGCTAATTCTTTGCAAATTTTCATTAAAATCCGTTATTTGGGAAGTCATCTGTGATTGAGATGATGATAATGTAAAATAGAACAATATCTGTGTTTTATTCCGTAATCAAATGTGTGAAATGCAATTATCAATATTGATTGTCGTACGTTCCATCATACCGAATCCAACTTTTCCCATATTGTTTTTATGCCCGACCTTATCCTTTCCTTTCTTTTCCATTCATCCAAAACATGCGTTCACGGTGATTGCGAACACGTTCGGAACGTTTACCGCATCATTTCTGTCACTTCGATTATGTAAAAATCATAATTTTTGCGAGTTCTTTGCGTGCAAAGTGTGACCGACGGAAAGGAGATGAATTTAGGTCCAGGAAGAGAAAAGAAAAGGGAGAGGGAAGACTTTAGACAGTAATTACATTACAATAGATACGACAAAAATGAGAAATCAGAGACCATTTGCAACTTAATCACTACGATTACTCATTAACAATTGCCCTGTTTGGAGGTTGTAAATTGATATTAAAGAGATGTGGAAGAAGGAAGTGAAGTGGTTGGATTACTGGAAATTAAAGTGACAGCTAATTACTGTATGCAACTTCGTGATGGATCATCTCTTTGTGTGGATTCCTGATGTTTAATAAGCCCTCGTTTGGGGAGAAAAGCGATCAGAATAATTACGCAACATCGAGAGTGCGGAAAAGAGATGACACGGCCTAGATTCTCTGCAGAATTTCTAATAACTCACTTTTGAAATATGGAATTCAACTAAACTTTCCCAAAACATTTTTCCATAACCGATTTGATTAATCCCAAATTCTGAACCAATAGAAGAGTCCCGCAGTACCTAACCGACCATGTTTGATGGTTTTGTGCAATCAAGTCATTCAGAAAAAATCTTTTGAGAGCTTGCACATCAATTTTAGTACAATCGGTTGATGAGCGGAAAAGGAGCAACGAAAGATTTCAAAAATGATAAACCAGTCAACTCTGAATTTATATCTCTGATTATTTTCTACAGTACTTATTGTTTCTATGGTTCGGTGTCCTTCTGAGATCAGGAGAGATCTTTTATCAAGTAGATTCTTGACTTTTGTGAATGGTGGTGTTCTGGGTTCATCTTATCAAATCATGCATTACCCTCCAGAAAGTGATGGAATTATTTATTCCGCTCGTTTCCAATACGACTTTTCCAAAGAGATCTGACCCCGTTTCCTGACGTAATATTCATTCCCTGCCTAATCACTTTCTTTTCCCCGTTCCTTTGTTCATGTTAATCTACTTTTTACAAAAATGGATTCGACGGAAAGTGGGTGGGGGGAAGCCAGCCTTCCGAAGCCGGTTAAAGAAGTCTCCGAACCAAAAATGGATCCAGAAATTATTTAAGCGGGCGCTGCTCTCATCGCCTTGTAGTGGTTGTCGATTTCCTCAGAGCGATTAAACGGAAAGCCCTCCGGGGCGGACTGTATTCGCTGTGCGGAATCGGCTTTCCGTCGACTTCTACAGAGAGGATTTCCTGTTCGACGGTGTAGAAGAGAGGGGAGATCGTCTTCCTTTGTTTCAGGGTGCATTTGATGGTTATGTAATCGCTTCATTTTGTGCACTTTCTGCAAATGGGTGACGGGTTGGTTGTACTCTTCCTGGGGCGATCCTTATAGGTTACAACTTTGTCAGTCAAATTTTATGTCAATTTACATTACCCATGACCATTTGATTGTCACTATTTGATAAAGAGGCTCATATTTGTCGCGTAATTGGGGGAACTGTTGTCGATTGTCCCTAAGCAGTACCTTATCCAAATATCCCGGTTTACTTTCTTGTTCCAGTTCTATTCAAGTCAGAATTTCAGACTCGGCCTGCTTCCACTATGCTAGTGGAATCAGATGTCCGGGAGCGGGCCTATCGGTTCGTCGCGTATTCCGCCGTCTCCCTATCTCTTTGTGCCATAGTCGCTGTGTTTATTACCTTGCCCATGGTGAACAATTACATTACCAGTGTGCACAATCGAGTGTATCATGAGATGGAGTTTTGTAAGGTGAGCTGATTTGATTTAGCCTTAGTTTTCGTTTGATTAAAACTCTCAATTTCTTGAAGATATCGGCGAAGGAAGTGATGATGGAGATGAATCAATACAGATCAGCCGTCCTGCCCAAGGATGGGCCCTCTGCTTTGCCCTTCTTCCTTCAGAATAATCAGACGAGGACGAAAAGACATGCCGCGCAATGTGAAGGTGAATTAAATTTATAATCGGGAGTCTAGACTCGGAGAATGTTTAAGATTTTTTAAAACCGGCTGATCCCGATCCGAGAATGTGATCGTTTTTCTGACTGTAATTTCCTGTCGAATCCCGTTTTTATATCGAAAACAAATCCCCGATTACTCTGTTTTTCTTATTTTACTTTCCTTCTCAGGCTGCTGTCTGCCCGGATTACCGGGACCATCAGGACCACCTGGCCGAAATGGAATCCCCGGCCGGCCTGGCGCTCCAGGAGCACCTGGATTCCCCGGACGACCCCCAGCGTAAGTCATCAATTTTGTTTAATGTAAACCCAATTGATCCTTGTAATATTTTCTTTATCATTGCAGTATCTGCGAAGCCGTAACGGAGCCCCCATGCACCCCATGTCCACCAGGAGAAGCTGGTCTCCCTGGCCCAGCTGGAGAGCCGGGAAATCCAGGCCCACCAGGCCATCCAGGACGCGCTGGAAACGACGGACCCCCAGGCCCTCAAGGACCGCCCGGCCCCAATGGATCTCCCGGAGAGCCCGGAAGAGACGGACCTCGAGGCGATCCAGGACGACCAGCCATCTCCACACCCGCCCTGCCAGGAGACCCAGGATCCTCCGGCGATCAAGGACCCCCAGGACTGCCCGGAGATGCGGGAGAACCGGGACGCCCTGGATCGGAAGGACAGCCTGGCCCACCTGGACCCCCAGGACCGTCCGGAAATCCTGGAGCCCCAGGCAAATCTGGAGAACCTGGCCAACAAGGACATCCAGGCCCTCAAGGAGAACGGGGAATCTGTCCCAAATACTGTGCTCTGGATGGAGGTATCTTCTTCGAGGATGGCACTCGACGATAAAACTGGCTCTCAAGATGTTGTATATTGTTGGAAAATAAGAATAAATTCTTTGCAGCTCTTTGTATGAAACATGTTTTATAGAAACGGCCAGTTCAGATAACACTAATTATTATGGCAGTATGTAATTACCCTCGGGCATATCGTCGGTTGTAAGTCGTAACTGGCAGTAAGTAACATTTGTCCAATCGAGGAAATTTAGCGATCAAAATGGATGTAAGTTTCTGGTTGCTGATGACTCAGGGAACGAGATTACAGATCGCGACAAATGGAAACGTGCAGCCATTCCAATTGTATCAGTACCGGCGTTTTCTCTGGCAAGAACGGATCCTCTGGTTCTTCGTGGGGATTGGCGTCGGATGTCTGGTTGCCGCTGGCTTTATTTTAATCATGTATTTACCTCCGTTTATAAGTGTGGCTAGATCTTGAAGTAAAGTTTTCAAACTCCATGTCTAAACAATGTCTCTTTCGCTTATCGATTAAAACAAAGCCCTCTGGCTGATGTGGAAGCCCAAAACAATTATCCCGAAACCAATAATTAAGGTAGATGCGTATCTCAAGCAGAAGTAATTGTGATGAATGCTCTTCTAGCCACTCCCTCGGTGTAATGCCAACAGATTTAACGGTGATTCAGATCGCCTCTTTCAATTACCACCTGGTTAAAGAGCGCCTTACTTGGTGTGTCGTAGGAGGTCTGATTACTGTGTTCATTGTGTTGAGCTGCTTTATTTCTATGCATTTACCGCCTTTCAATCATATCATTGCGTCGGCACATGAGTATCAGGGTAGTGATGTGGATGGAAGGGGAAACAAAAGTGCAAGGAACGCGGTGAGTTGAATAAAAAGGGGTGCGTTGAACAGATCTCCTGCAAAAATTCCATTTTGCAATTTGCAGACTTCATGGATAAATTGATTTTTGTAGAGAGACCGTAGAAAATGAGGAGAGACGCCTGGCAACGGAAAACTCTTGGGGCAAACATTTCCTAAAAAGGGCAAACAACTTTCAAAATTTTATTATTTTAAATTAATATCAGAAACCTAGCTTCGTCTTTCTATTACTGTACCAATGCGAAAAAAAAGTGATTTTAGCCAGCCCCAGTAATCAACTATCCCTTCGACGATTACTTTACGGATGCCGAGGGAATCGCGGATTGTCGGATTCGGGAGATCTTCAATTTCGAGCACAAATGTAAATTGGGGCATGGCTTAAAGGATTTGATTAATCCAGAGATCTCTACAAGTCCAGAGCAATCCAAATCCATATCCATTCTGAATATTACACTTGATGGATCTTTCAATTAACCTTTCCTTTTTTCTAATAATTCTTTTGCAAACATTGTAGTCCTCACAAGAAGTAAAATTTTTATTTTATGAAGCAATTTACCAAAATTGTAATAAAATTGTAGCCCAATAACATCTGAAATGTTGAAATCTTGGAAAGTTGGAAGAGAGAAGCCGTGTTAACATTATAGTCTGGCAATTCAATGGCCGAGTTTTATAATTCGGGCCTCCGAACAAACGAAGGGAACAGTGGTAGGTAGTATTTAGACCGTATTTACTCTGTCCGCAAAGTGTCTAAACTTGGGTAATTTGAAAGCTAATGACGATAGCAGGCCCTCTTCATGAAGACCTCGAAGAAAAGGGATCACGGTACCTTATTCATGTCGTTGTTCAATTGATTCTTGCCCTTATTCTAGTTTTATCGCTATATTTGATGGTCAAATTATTCAGTGAGATGAGTAAATAAAGTGCATAAAGTACGGTATGTTAAGAGATTTTATTATTTGGCATACTTTTTAAAATTGTTGCTTCTATTACAAGAAACCTGCGTTGTACGGCCATTGTCGTAGTAAAAGTTGTCCGTCGGTAACGATCGTTGAATTTGTTGCCCATATTTGAAGCGCTAGAACCAAAAACTTGACAGAGCGGGCATTTCTATTTTAGGACCATCCGGGTATTAACGATTTCCTTTGCAAAACTAGAGGCCAATCCGAGATTTCCTCTTCCAAGCTTTCCCTATTTTAGGATCTTCGGTCCTCCTCCGCCTCCATCACGCGCACTTACGTCGGTCGATATGTGTGTTCATGAATTTATGTCTGTTTAATGCTCTGATGCGTATTCCCAGTCGGCTTTGTTGTCGCGGCCCTCTGAATGATTGGATTTGTCCATATTATGGCCCATGCCCGAACCATTTAACGCCCCAGGCCCTATAAACTCTGCCCATAAACTTCCCGATTAAGGACTTAATTTCCGTATTCTGCGCTGAAGTCGGTCATTTTGCTCATCGTTCTGTAAAGTTCCTGGTTTGAAGAGTTATGCAGTTTAGTAGGACTATTGAGAGTTTTGGGGAAATTGATCTGACCATTCCTCTGAAGGATGAGCATAACGGACTATTGGTAAGTATAAGATAATATGGAAGAAACATGGCCACGAACTTTAGAAATCAGCCCGTTCTGATGCCGGTTACATTCGCCTTTCTTTGAGCCCGGATCCGGATTCTGAATCCGTGGATATCAACTCTAATCTGACAAGTCCAAATCCAACCAATGAAGGGGGTAATGATCAGTTAAAGTCATCTTTATATTATAAATAGATTACACAGAAAAGTAATCCTAATATTTTCAGATGGCCAGCCAATTTTTCCTCAAAGACGTAGATCATCGCGCCTAGCTAGTCTCAAGTCGGAACTCATTGAGAGTGGAGCTATATTCAGGTATTTCCAGTACACAAAATATATTTCATCATCAACCTTATTGGTCAATAATAATCATCTTATTGCAGACCTCCATTTACTCCGTCGAACAGTCTAACGCGAATGACCGCCGATCAAACTCCTCGAGAACAGATCGCTCAGGCATTTGATGTTCCTCCAAGTCCGCCATCCCGAGCTAGTTCCAGGTAAATTCAAGTCGGTAAAATTCTATATCTTCTGAAGGGGGGTTATTAAATAACGGAGATCAGGCCCTGTTGTGTTCCAATCCACAAAAAAAAAGTTTTTCGTAACAGATTTAGTTCCGCCAAAAATTTTTTTGTTTAGTCATTTCATACGTCATCGTCTCTGCTCGGCAAAGATAGTCGGTTGACTCTCCTCAAGTCCTGATCTTAAAACACGATTTCTGAGTGAGTGTAGCAGCCCTTGACATAGAAAATTTCGACCTCGGGTTTTTTGCCTTAATGTGACCGACATCATCCTAAAAACTTATTGGCAAAACAGTTTTGCCTACTTCCGCCGTTAACATAGTTGTTTTTACAATTTATTGTTTATACAGTAATCCACAATAATTCAGTAATGACCATACAGACATTCATGAAATTGTGTACACTGATGTTTTCGAACTCGTAGATTTCAAAAAAAGTGGTTTTGACTCGTTAGGATTACTGTAACATACCAAACTGCCGATTCGGCCGCCAAAAATCGGCCGTAAAAAGTTTGTTTCTGAAAACCCACAGCTGATTTTTACATATGTTAATCAGCATAAAATTCTGCCCTATAAACGTTAAAAAAAAGTCCAAAAAGTGGGGCGGCATTTTTCATGGTATAGTGGTTTTCGGTCAGAACTACCAATCCAGCGTCCCGAGTTCGAGTCCGCCTGGATGCAAAACCCAAAAATAAAGCGTGAATTAGCTTTAATGTGGTCTTGGGGTCTGTATGAGGGAGACTGAATAATTTTAGACATAGACGATATCCCTATTAGAGATAAAAATGGATTTTATATAATTTTAGATGATAAATTCGTGAAAAATAAAACGTCTTCAAATCGCTTGAAATTGATAAAAGATCTTCTAGGAATAATTCTAAGCAACTTTTCCGTTAGGTTTTTTTGATTGCTTACTGTACCATGGAGTACTGTAACATAAAACTTTTTTTCCTTAACCGTGGTTTTCTTCTAAATTCTTCAATGAAATTTTGAATTTTTTTGGTTGGCTTTTTTAAACGGTTCAAACCATACGCGCTGCATATTTAAAATAAAAGTCCATCTCTATTCCAGTGTGTATTCATATCATCGTCAATTGGTGAAACTTCGGGAGATTTCTCAGATCTTTTGAATCGTACGGCCATAGAAACATTTTGGTGTCCCAACCGACTCATTCTTAACCATTTCTATCATAACAGTGATAGTCCGATGCCTCTGCGCTCTGTGGTATGTGAAAAACTAAATCGGGTTTTATGTTACAGTACTCCATGGTACAGTAAGCAATCAAAAAAACCTAACGGAAAAGTTGCTTAGAATTATTCCTAGAAGATCTTTTATCAATTTCAAGCGATTTGAAGACGTTTTATTTTTCACGAATTTATCATCTAAAATTATATAAAATCCATTTTTATCTCTAATAGGGATATCGTCTATGCCTAAAATTATTCAGTCTCCCTCATACAGACCCCAAGACCACATTAAAGCTAATTCACGCTTTATTTTTGGTTTTTGCATCCAGGCGGACTCGAACTCGGGACGCTGGATTGGTAGTTCTGACCGAAAACCACTATACCATGAAAAATGCCGCCCCACTTTTTGGACTTTTTTTTAACGTTTATAGGGCAGAATTTTATGCTGATTAACATATGTAAAAATCAGCTGTGGGTTTTCAGAAACAAACTTTTTACGGCTGATTTTTAGCGGCCGAATCGGCAGTTTGGTATGTTACAGTAATCCTAATGAGTCAAAACCACTTTTTTTGAAATCTACGTGTTCCAAAACATCAGTATACACAATTTCATGAATGTCAGTATGGTCATTACTGAATTATTGTGGATTACTGTATAAACAATAAATTGTAAAAATAACTATGTTAACGGCGGAAGTTGGCAAAACTGTTTCGCCAATAAGTTTTTAGGACGATGTCGGTCACATTAAGGCAAAAAACCCGAGATCGAAATTTTCTATGTCACGGCCTAACTAAAGGCTGCTTCACTGACTCAGAAATCGTGTTTTAAAACATGGCTCATTTGGCATTTTGCAAAATTTAGACAAAATCTAGCCGCCATTTCAGAACGAGACAAGCGGTAGTCCTGTCCCCAGTCATCCTTCTCGTATTACTTTGTTCTTTATTTATGGGCATGACTGGTTCTTTTGGATTACCTTTATATCGTTTTTCCTTTTTATTTCCACGTTGTTAAATTGACTGTGAAACAAAAAAGAGTCGGGGAAGAGGGAAAGGAGGGAAGGCAAATGCCAAAAGCGGCATTATTTTATGTGGCCATGCCGGAGACATAATGTAATACGTCTTCATGTCCTTAGGGCCGACATTTGGTAGGCAAATATTCGGGGAAATTGGATCTCCACACCTTTTTTCTTTCTTTTCTGGTTGCCCTGTGAAGAAAATTCCTGATTCCCTGAGGCATCTCGAACATTTAGCGCATTAGGGAGGATGCGGGAAGTGAAAAGTTTGGCTGTGGGAAGTCCGGGGACTCGGGTGTCATGTTTTGAAGGGCATGCATAATGTTGGACGGGTATTTCCGACCACTTTTCTTCTGACTGTCGACCAAAAGGACGGGTTTCGCGCCTCCAGATGGCTAACGAAATACAACGACACCTCCGATGTACCCTATAATTATTTATGTTCGCTTTCCAAAAAACTTTTTCCAGTCGAATAATCCTTGAATTTAATAAACGCCGAACCATTCAAATCTTCCCGTTTTCTCGCTCCCTTTGTCGTTGAGGCCATCTCCCAGCCCCTCAGGGCCCTTCTCTTTAAGGCCTTGCGAAAATCTGAGCTCGTCTTTTTATGGGGAGAGAAACTCAGTTTACTCGGGACCAACTCTAAACGGGTATTATAGAGATTTGGGGAATGTGGAGTCACCGGGCGACTTAAACCCGGACTTGGATTACTGTAAATGGATGACTTAAAGCGATTTTCGATTAATTTTTTCGTCCAATTTTGGCAAGTTTGTTTCCTCGCAAGTAAAATTTTGCGTTTTATTTTTTGCACCTACAAGATATCACGCAAAAAACGCTTTTGCTTCATAAATCCCGCCCGTTTTTTACACCTATTTTTAAACGTAAAGCCATTTATAATAATTTCCTTGCCAATTTCCGCGTTGTTACACTTTTTTCTGCTCAAAAAAGTCATAATGATCTCCGATATATAACATTTTATACATAATTCCCTTGAGAATTACGCAATAAAACAGTAATTAACGGTAATTCCTATTGTGCAATCAAAAATCGAGGGAATTGCACGGGAACTTTACTCGTATTTTCTTCGTAAACTGTCAACAGTTTATTTTAGAGGTCTGTTATGTCCAGACGGATGTTTGAGACCTGTAATTTACACCTTTTCAGGAATTTTAGATGCCTTGGGTACATAGGAAAGGCATTTTTTAGCCGTTTGTTGGTGAAAAAATTGACAACTGCATATGTTACAGCAAAATTTTATTGCAGTCGCCGTATCATTGAAAATTTGAGTAGAAATTATTATCCGAAATCTCTTCCCTCCTGAAAAGTCTCTGAGATCTCCTTAAAGTCACTTTGGATTATTTGTTTTCTCCAGAAACGCCTTTTCCAGAAATTAGAATCCCCGTTTCATCCAATAGAAGGGACGGACAAATGATTGCTTTGAATGGACATTAGCCCCCATCCTGTCGCCCATTCTTTTCCCTTTCCTCTTTAATCTCCGGATATTGCAAAAAGAATCGCAATGTTTTCAGAGATTACCCTTCCAAAACGAGTGGTCTAGTGGAAGTTGCTTTGATTTCTGTCTCATTTTTTGGGTTTCATTTAGATTTGCTGATAAAAATAGCCGTATTGTCCAATCAGCATCGCTATCCTACAATGCTGTTAAAAAATAAATTTTTTTGTCATCCATTGCAAAAATCCGCTTGTTTAGAATAATCATCCTTATCCATTGGACATTTCCAGAAAGAAGTCATTATAAAAATTCCTATTTTTCTCGGAAATGCACATGTCCGGGATATTACAGACCTTTCTTTTTTACCTCACCCCCATAGAAACCAATTTAAAAAAATAATTTTGAAAAATTCAGGATGAGATCGGCCTCAGTCCGACCGGGATCACAGGCTTCGAATGTGTCGAACGCAAGCAAAAGGGAGCCCAGTCTTCCGCCGATGAAGAATCGATATGCCCATGTAAGAAGGTAAGGGGATATAAAATGATTTTAATGATTTGATCCCATATTTAGTCGAGTGGACTCTCATTCCAACCACAAACCGCCTCCATCTCAGGTCAAGATCCTTCACAAACCAGTCAAGATCGAAGCCAGAAGTCGGGTTGGATCCCTGGCCAACATTACACATGTTCCTGGTGGGTTTCTTCAAAGAATCTTGTAGTTAAGGTTCAGACTCCGCATTAGAGTAGGGGTACTCGAGGGATATCTGAAATATCTTTTTAGTTACCTCTTCTTATAAAAGATACTTTCCTTTATAAGATTATAAGTAACTAAAGTCCCTATACGAACACCAATTTTGATGTCATCCTTTAGGTGGTGGAGACAAGAGAATTCCCACTCAAAAACTCGATTTCAAATCCCGAGCTTCCCCCAGAATTGATTTCGGAGTGAAAGGAAAGGAAAGTGCCAATGGGAGTGCCGCCAGCAGCAGACCTCCATCTACAACACCCGTAAGTCCCCTTCAACAAGTTTATGTCATGTGATTGCAACCCACATTGCAATTTAAATGATTTCAGAGTCATTCTTCCCGCAGTATGGACAGAAATGGAGCGCCCCACAAGAGACCCGTCCAAGCGTAACCTTTCACAACGCTGATGCAAAAGATTAATTACGGGTCGTGCTTATAATGTATTATAAATTTTGTAATAAATTTTACAAGTTCCAAACTTTCGGCCGAGCAAGTCGAAATTCTTTTTCAAAAAAAATTGTCTTCTGAAAATCTATATTTGAATATTTTAGAGGCTCCCGGCATCGTTGAATACTAGTCGCGGAAAAAAGTCCTTGGAATTTTTCGCGGCCCCCAAATCTCGTCGCACTCCGAAATGTTGATTTGTCGCGAGAATCGCGCGCGACAATAAGGCAAAAACAAGAAAATTGCACTGTGCAAAAGCACTTTTCGGGTTCATGCACAGTGCAGAGTCGCAGAAAATTCTAAGGACTTTTTTCCGCGACTAGTATGTCTCTTACAATGCCGAAGAAACCCTGGAGTAAAGGAAATATTGACTGATGGTCAATAAATATGACTGTTCTAAAATATCGATAATCTTCCTTCAACAATCGTCCAACAGTGTTGAAGGAGTCGAAGAAACTCATCCTGAACCCCTCACGGATCAGGAGGACGTCCCGGAAACCGTGGAGAAGTCGGAAAGGTGGCTAAGACCGCGAAAAAGCATCTCGGTTTCTTTTCCAGTGCCTCCATCTCAGGTTCTTGCCAATCCAATTTTTCTATTATTCTGTTCAAGTATACACGATACGAACGGAATTTACAGGACTTTTCAAAAAGTTGTTGCTTTAATAGTCAAACAAATAAGCGACAAAAATGGACAAAATAAATATTTTGGCTTGCCCTCAGGGCCTAGACAATACAGAAAAAGGAGAAAAAAGATAAAGGATAACATACATTTCCCGTTTGTGTGATGGGGGATCCGTCGAAGTGAAAAACGGAATGAGAAAATGCAGAAATTGCTGGGATTTTGGATGAGAAAAGACCAAGAATAACTTCAGCTGACAGAGAATGAATGACAATCACCGGTTCAGGGTCCCAACTCAGTCCGGACTAGCAGAGTCCCAGACCAACTTTAGCAATAGAGAAAATACATCTTCATAAAGGACCCATCTTAGTATAATAATATATGCAAAAACAAGACAAAATAAAGAGAACGCAGCACCATCAAACCAAAACCCACACGACCACGGCTGGTTCAGATTAAGACGAGGCCAACTGCTTCTCCAATTCCTCGACAGTCATTGGCCGGACATGAGGTGGGAGTTTGTTCAAGATTGAGAGATTGGAAGGACCACTTCTTTGTTGATCGTGGAACTGGGTAAGCTTCTGGAAAACGGTGGGGAGCCCCGGATTCTGCTGACGGAAGGGATCGGCCGACTGATTGGAATGCACTGAACCCATCGGAGATTCATTGGATGGGCGCTGAAACAAGGAAAGTAAACTTGGAACCACATAAAAAATCTTTTTTATCATAGAGGCTTACATTAAACGGAGAGTCAGATTGCCGGGGGATTTGCGAGGCCATCGGGTGAGGAGCCATCGGTGGTGCATGCCCCATATTCTGGGCGGCCGCATTCTGAAGACACGATAAAGCTTGTAGTTGAGTTTGGATACTATTCTGGAGATATGCTACGGCTGCCGCATCACCCCGCTGTTGGGCTTCTTGGAGACGTTTTGCATCCATTTGTAAAGCTAAACAGAAAAAAAATTAATTCATAAAACAGAAAAAAGGACCATCCAATTAGTTCGACCACGATAAACAACGTCCAATGATATCACAAGCACTGTTACAATATCAAGTCTTTGAATATCGAGTCTCACCGATGGGATGCGGAATTGGAAAGACGTGCATACCCATTTGCGCATATCCACCTGGACCAAAAGGACCCATCGAAGGAGGGGGTCCCATAAAAGAAGGGTTCATTTGAGGGGCTGAAGGCATTCCTCCCATTGGTTGAGACATTTCGGGGGGATTCGAGGGACGACGGCCTGCCAGGGATGAATTAGAACCACTTCTCGACTTATCCGTCAATGTTCCGGGTGCTAAAACACAAAATTCGATAAAATAAACCAGACCAAATAAATAAAACAAGTCCAAAAAATACCTTCACTTACTTTCCCGATCCTCTTTGTGTTGCTGCTTTGTTTGCTGAAGCATAACTGCTGTTGGTACCAGATCAAAAGCTGGTTTCATTCTGGTCGGGGCAGGGGAAGATCTGCTCGACGGCATACTTGATGGAGGGCCGTAAGACCGCTCTCCAGAAGAGCTCGGAGGTGGCATCGGAGGCATAAACGGCATGTTTGGGACACCCATCAGTTGTTTTTGATACTTGATATGATTCAACATACTCTCTACTCGTGGATTGGAGAGATCGAGCTGACCCGCAGCCGCCCAATGTTCTACTTGAGCAATAAAAGCAGGGTGGATCATGGGGAATCCGTTAGGACCAGGCACCATCGGAAGACCCATTTGAGGCATCCTGGGCATATTAGGAGGCATGGGCAAGAACGGGGCGCCTGGGGCAGGAGGAGGCTGGACCGGTTGCCCTTGCATGGAAAGTGTCTGCGGCGGGATTGACTGCACTGGGGGACTCTGAGTTGACTGAACCGGCTTAGGCGTCTCCTTCTTCAGGTCGAAATTTGTTATCGTCTCTCCAGGGGTATAATCGCTCAGTACTTTCTTCAATTCCTCCACATCTGCATCCCACGAGTCTTCTTCGGGTTCCTTCAGAGGTTCTGGAGCTCGTTCTGACCCTAAAATTGCAGTGAATATTCTCTGATTCCTAAAATCCAATCAAAAAAAAAAACAAATACTTACGAGCAAAGTGATCCAACAAAGTTCGTTCATCCATAGCTTGGGCGTGTCTCTCCACTGGTTGATTGCCTCTGGCCCCCTTTAATAACATGGCTACGGCTGGAGGAAGTGTTGAAGTCGGGGACTCCTTTGGTTTCTCTGAGAAGAATTGACTTAACCTGCTTTGTTTCGGTGCTTCGTTCGACATTGAAAGAGCCTGAAAACCAATAATAATAAGAATAACAGTCTTACAGGTTTGCTTATCGAACCAACATCAAGAAGACCAAACTGAGCTGCAAATTCTAAATCGGAATCTGGGAGAACAGAAGACTGAGCTTGGCTCACTTCTTCGTTTGGTTTTTTCATCAAATCTCGCAAGTCTGAAAGAAATACGGGTAATAACTTTCATCTAGAAAATAAGTATTTAAATCAATTCAAAATCTTACTGAATGGCTTGTCTTTATGGTCTCCAGAAGCCTTCTGGTCCTCCTCAAATCCGCCAAGAGTAATTATCTCGTTGTGATCGGTTGGTCCCCCGTCCATCCATTCAGGCATCTCCTCATTTTTCTCGTCTTTTCTACCAAACTTCTTGTTGAAACTAAGCGTATTACTAGTTTTCAGCCCATTTTTTGGGCGTTTCGAGTTTTGCGACGCGGCAGGAAGATTATTGTTTAGAGCGCGACGTCTAAGGCTTGTATCATCTGAAAAGTTAATTGTCCAGGCTATTTTATAGGTAATACACTAACACCAAAAGGAAGTTTTAACTCTTCTTACCATTACTAGAAACCTCTTTACATCCACTGGAGAAACCTCGGCGCTGTGGGGAAAGGGATGACCCATTAGAAAAAGCGTCAGGGATATCCGTCTTCTTTTTTCCTGATCCCTTCTCAGTCCTCCACATTCCTTCCACATACTTGTCCGGCACAAACTGTCCGTCAGCACTAAAGTCAGCAATGACATATGAATGATCGACTTACTTCAGATACTCGGCATTGCTCATATGCTGCGGAAGAAGGGCCTCATGTGCTTGACATTTGAGGGCTAAAAAGTCCTCCCTTGAATAAGATATATGCCCCAGAGGCATGTCTTTTGTGAGCGTGAGGTATCCTCGTAGAACTAGAAGAAATTCGATGAAAATGAATTATAATAAACAGCTTATACAAAGCACGAGTTTTAAACGTCGAACGCTCCTTTGTTTTCTTTACTACAACGCGTTTCGGGAAAATAATATAACCACAAATCTGATGTCTGCAAGAAATCAATGATTACACAACAGATGTCGCAGAGAACTTCGGATCACCATACATCTAAACAACAGACAGTTTTGAGAGATATCTTTTCCTTCCCCAAAGTAATAATAAAAAGATAAACAATTTAAAATTAAGAACGGCATCTAGGGTTGATACATGATAACACAGACGTTGTGGAAAAGACCGTTCAGATACCCTTCTTCCATCCTCCGTAACTGCCAACCCATGAAGTGAACGAAAAAAGAAAAAAAACGGAAAAAAATCACTTGAAGAAAAGCTAAGTCTCGAAGCGAAAAAGAAATGCCAATTCTGAGCGATACGGTAAAGTCGACGAGAAATTCCTCTTTTTCCATCAGGAAATTTTACAATTATATGAATTTGATAGTAACTAGCGAATTCTTTGAATTCCAATTTGTTTATTATATGAAGTTTTAACTGCTTTGAGCGCTAGATATCAATTTACGTATTTTGCTTCCCAGAAACCTTATTTTCACCTTTTATTCTTTGGGATTGTTGTGTTAGCTTCGCGAAATTTGTCTTATTTTATGACTTTCTCGTTCGCTTATTGTAAATTTTGTTTTCAGCCAAGTAGATATGGCCGTGGGCAAAAACTCCAAAGTTTCTAAAAAGGGAGGTAAGAAGAAGGCCGCGGATCCTTTCTCGCGCAAGGAGTGGTATGATGTGAAAGCTCCAGCTCAGTTCACCAACCGTGATGTTGGAAAGACCATCGTCAACAGAACTCAGGGAACCCGTAAGTAATTTATTTTTACTGTATTCGTTTTTTAGGCAATGTTTTATTGGTTATTTTATTCTCGGTTTTAGGAATTGCCAGCGATTTCTTGAAAGGCCGTGTCTTCGAGGTTTCTCTTGGTGATCTGAACAAGAACGAGTTCGACTTCAGAAAGTTCCGTTTGGTCGTTGAAGAAGTCAAGGGGAGAAACTGTCTCACCAACTTCAATGGCATGACCTTCACCCGTGACAAGCTCTGCTCCATCGTCAAGAAGTGGCACGTGAGTATAATTTCTCTTTTTTAGACTCAGTTCTGTTGTCGATCAGTATTAGTTTAACGTTTTAGACTTTGATCGAGGCCAACGTTACCGTTAAGACTACTGACGGATATCACCTCCGCGTCTTTGTCATCGGATTCACCAAGCGAAGCCCCAACCAGGTCCGCAAGACAAGCTACGCCCAGACCTCTAAGGTCCGTCTGATCCGAGCCAAGATGACCGAAATCATCCAGAAAGAGGTGAACGGCTCAAACTTGACCGAAGTTGTCAACAAGCTGATCCCCGACTCGATCGGCAAGGACATCGAGAAGGCCTGCTCCCGATTCTACCCTCTTCAAGACGTATATATCCGCAAGGTTAAGGTGGTCAAAAAGCCCAAGTTTGATCTTGGAAAACTTCTGGAGATCCACGGCGAGCTCGGCGCTTCTTCAGGAAGTGGTAAGGTTGACCGCGCTGATGCTGCCTACGAACCCCCAGTCCAAGAGAGCGTTTAAAGTGAATTGTTACTTGTTTTACAGTTTTCTTGGAGTTATTAAAAAATAAATTGTTTGTTATCCTTTTATTTCGATGGGGAGTATTGTCAGTTGGGATTGTGGTGTAGTTGGACGTCACCCAGTAATGTTTATTGGTGTGAGTTATTCTTCGGGGAGCAGTTATTCTACGAGTCTTGGAGCGAAATATTTCATTGGCTTTATGCATAAATATTTTCTGCAAGAAGAAAATATCGGTTTGTTTGGAGCTCCCCGGAGGCGAGGATGAGTAAGGAGAAGGAAGTGACCTCGTTCCATTCTGGGGACAGGAGCCGCGCACAGGCCGATCACATCAGCTCCTTTTTCAATGACACTTCCGTTGAGACTCCCGGATATAAGTGAGATTTTTTATTTTTAACGGGAGCAAGCTAAAACATTGAAATTAATGTTGTGAAACTTCAGGCAACGATTGTATGAATTATTCTCACAAATCGACAAAGAATTCGAAACGTTATACCTTGAGAACTGTCAATGTAAGTCCACTCGATGATTTTGACGTCTGTTTAGTGAAAATACGATTGGGACAGGCACCAGAGAATTCGTTGAATGATTTCATCAAGTCTCCTGACACTTCGACTTCCATTTTTAATGAAATTAAAGCTGCACAGAAGAAGTGTAAGTGAATGAAATTTTATTTCTTCATGTAATGTGAATTGGGGAAACATCATGTTCTTTAGATAGGCAGCAAAAGTGGAAGTCAGCCTTCAGAAGGCCCCCTCAACGATTTGTCCCAAGTTTAAAGGTTGGGTCTGGGCAGAATTCAGATTCTTCGAAACATTCCTTCGTTCGTTCCTTTGAGGGCCATCAGGATGCCGTTTTAGCCCTAGCTACAAGCTCTTTCAACGGCCATGCGCTTGTCGCCAGTGCATCAGCAGGTTCGTCATCAGTTTTTTTTCTTCATTGAAGTTTAGATCAATCTGCTCGGATATTTTGCCCCGACTCTGGAGAATGTCTATTCCAATACGATGGGCATAATGGTGCCGTTAACTCGATCTCTCTCATGCCCGATATCTCTACAAACGATCAATTTTTTGTCCTCACGGCCAGTGGAGATAGGACTGTCCATTTGTGGAAGACGTCTTCTTTGAATGAATCATCCCAGCCAAATAATAGCTCCGAAGATGATCTGGATGCAACTTCGGAGAAACTAATCGACAATGAAGGCAAGGGAAATTTCTTATCTACCATTATACCCGCTAATTTTTTGCCTGTAATGGCTAAAATTTCAGATGAACATGTCGGCCCAGCCTCTGTTGTCATCCGCCAGCCTCTTCGAGTGTTTTCCGGTCATTCTGACGCTGTAGTCGGGGCAGAGTTCCTACAGGGCGGAGAACAGCTGATTACGGTATCTTGGGACAGAACTGCTAATATTTATGACATGGAAAATGAAACCGTGGTTAATGTCCTGACCGGGCATGACAGTGAACTAACCTTCTGCTCTAGTCACAAGACCAATAAGATTGTCGCCACAGCAAGTCGGGATCACACTTTCAGATTGTGGGACTTCCGTGAGACCATGAGATCTGTCGCCGTTTTCCAGGGACATAATGCGTAAGTCTAGAAATTTTTCAAGAATCTTTGTTTTGTTTTTAGTGCTGTCAATTCCGTGGTATTCGCGGCAAACCATCACATCATTTCCGGGTCAGATGATCGCACGGTGAAGGTCTGGGACCTCAGAAATATGAGATGTGCCATCGCCTCGAGTCGCTTTGATAGCGGAGTCAATAAGGTCGGCGCATCAACGAAAAGTCGACTTATGGCCATTCCATTGGATAATCGCCATGTTTATATACACGATCTCAACGGAAATAGAATTGGCCGACTTCATCGGGGAAATGTGAGTGTTAATTATTTATGGGTAGATTCAAGTGTAGTGTACTTATTTTTTGCCTGAAATGGCTTTGATGTGTTTGTTTTTCAGAGCCATACAGCATTAGTGACATCCGCCATATGGTCTGATGAGACCGACAGTACGAATCTAATAACCGCGAGCATTGACAAAAAAATGTTCGGATGGAGGGTTAATGTAAAGTCATAAAAAAAGATATATTGTCTACTAACAGGAGCTCCATTGCTTAAAGCATAATAAATTAACTTATACGTTTATTGTACATAACTATCTGGGTATAAAAATGGTTACTGGGGAGCAACCAATTTTTATATTGTTCTGGAGTATAATAGTTACTCCATTCCTATTGCGATCACTCTGACCCGGGAGGTGGATTCGGAATCGGAGGTCTCGGCTTCGGAAAGCAGACAGACGTCACTATTCATGGAACTGCGGGAAGAACATCGAGATGACATCCCTGACCGGGGCCGCATCTTTTTCCTTCTACTGCGATATCTCACTTTCTGATGGACGGGAAAGATTTCCTTTTCCAACATTTGATGTGTGATACAGTAATCTGAAAATCGTAATCAGTTTTTAGTCCTCTATTTACCGTAATACAAATGCTGAAGATTCGTCCTGTGTGGTTCGGTCGAATTGATTATTACTTCACAAATATTGGCCATTGGATAATCGAGAAATCGGAGGACTAAAAATGTTAAAGTAAATTGCAAGTAAGATGGTAAAGCAATTTTTCTACCTTGTTCATCGGGAATTGCCATAATTTCCGGGTGCTTGGTTAGCCAATTTGATGTGTTGTTTTCGGTCAAAGCCTGAAATTTCAAAGTATTATATTTATTATAATTTTTGAAAGCTCTTACGCAACTTCAGAGACAATGATGACTCACTTTTCTCAACGAATTTCTCAGCTTTACTGATTTACACCTCACATCGATTTCACCGTCTGAATTGGCGTGGAGTATACCATTTTTGGATACTTCTTGTATTTTCCCAACCAAATCCAACTGCTTTTCATCATGATGATTTACCTGTTCAATCAAACACGGAATCATTTCTTTCTGGAAATCTTCAAAAGTTTTGTAGATCATCAAGAAGTCCGTTGAAGTCAAAATGACCGGCCAGAGAGGTAGATGAGACCAGGTGCTTCCCACCAACACCAATACTTTTGGCCTGGCTTCTGTCTCCAATAGGAATATTGGGTTTAATTCGATTGGATCCACCAACAAGACGGCCGATTTGTTTATAGATTTGACCTGATCTAATGTTTGAAAAACATCTTCTTGTGTGGAAAGGAGGATGAATCCAGGGATCTTCTGATATTCTTCAAAAGATTTTCCAATCATAATGACTGAAGAGTCATGGGTAATTGGCGGTTTATTGGGGGGATTGATTATGAAATAATTGGTGGAAGCAGAAGTCTTTTGGTCCAAACAATCGCCGAATAAATGTGCAGACTCATTTAGAATTCTTTGAAAGTGATCTGTGGAGATTCTGAGGAGCTTTTGTTTATCGACCAGTCGATTAATCATCGTATTCCAAAAGGTATTTCTTGAAGACGTGCTGGTGATAAAGATGTTTTTTGTGTCCTTTTCCTTGATCCAGACAATTTTATAATCACCAAATCGATGAATATACGCAAAGTTGTCGTATTTTCGAAGGCTATTTTTGAGTTTCTCCTTGTCCAAATTTGCGCATTCAAACTTTTTCCCAATCTTTGTCCACTCAACTTGAATTTTTAGCCATTTTCGGAATTCACAGGAGTAAATCGAGTCGAAGATGTCTTCGCCAAAGAAGATCATCAGAATTATTGTGACGAAATCGAAATCCCAATTGTTATAAGTAGTAGTGCACAAGAGTTGACTCGGGTCTTCTTCTAGCAATGCTAATCTCATCACTTTTTCCTTGATTAAATTGTCGGTTAAGACTTCAATTTGCGAATCTTCATATCGGTTATGACAAAAAAGCCAGTGAATTTGAGATTTCGGTGAAAGAAGTTTGACTTTATCTTGGGGAATTTCGTTGTACAGGTTGAAATTATCGAAGAATTCTGTTTGATTATCCTCTAAAACAAGGTCAAAAATAATTAGGTTTCGATTAAAATACAGTATCCTTGAAATCAAAAAAGTCGTACCACTCAATTGCAATGCCATTTCCACACATTTTTCTCTGCCAATACTCCCTTCCACTAGACTCATTGTGAGGACATCAAAGAAATCCAGATGGATCTCTTTTTTGGTCAAATCTCTGAACAATTCCACGGCCTTCTCACTCGTTCCCATATCCAAATATAGATAAATTAATCGATTTACAAGCTGAATATGGAAATGTTCAGAGTAGATGATACTTTCCAGCAGATCGACACTCAATTGTTGGTCATAATCTGACAATAAAGTGGATAATTCAAGGAAATGTCTTTCGTCGCACTGCTCGAGATTCTGATTGAGATAAGTTGAGAGGATTGTCTGGGCTTTGTACATGAGATTCAGAGATTTGAGTCGAGCGATCAACACAATTATTTGATCCGAAGAATCGGGGAGGCTGTTGTTGAGAATAAGATCAGATTTTTTGTTGAGACAATCGATGACGTCATCATCGGCATTCAGTTGGAGCAATGTTGTAATTGATTGGTCAAGAACAGTTAACTAAAAATATTTCATTTTCTTTTGGCCTTACATTCAAAGTTATGGATCCTTTTTCGGCTGCCGTCACTCTCATTTTGATGACTTTTATAGCTCCAGAGATGTCGTTTTTGATCATTTTGTGCATGATTATGTACTTCAACGTGTCCGTCTGCCCTTGTGGATCGTTCATAAAGTCAAAGAACTGAACTTGTCGACAGAAATTTTTTACGGCCTAAATTGGAAGTAATCAATTTTACTGTAAATTCTACTGACCATTTTTCGATTATTAATCGCAAAGTAAAACTCTCCAAAAAGTCCGTAAATATGGCCCAATTCCTTGGCCATTCCTTGAGATTTGGCCTCTTTTTTGGCCTGATCTAATAAATAATAAATCTCTTCAAATTTCTTTTCTTTAATCAAAATTCTGGCCAAAATTATTGTTACAGTAACCCTTGTCTTGCTCTCTGATCTTTCTAGCAATTCCTTGGCCAATTTTATTGCCTCGGGCACAATTTTCAGCTCTTCCATAGTCTCCAACACTTTGATTGAAACCCTTTCCGTCTTCTTGGGATACGGTAATTGTACCCAGATTTCCTTCGCTTGTTCTAATCTACAATATTTCTTCTGTTCATCACCTGATTCGGCAGAAACCTCGGCCAAAATCTCATGGATCAGGGCTTCTTCAATCGATAAATGGAGTTCCTGGACAATGGCCAAAGCTTTTTCCAATTCAAGTTCAGCATCTTCCAACTGAGCTTCGTCTTTGAGGTAAATACCGTAATCCAGACGGACCTTCCACTCGAAATAAATGGATTCAGAGCCATCGGACTGGGAGAGAATGCCCAGTTCCTCTTTTAGATAGTGATGGCGGAGATCCTGGAGTTAGATCATATTTTTTTTTCAAATCTAAGGCTCACATTCCCCCTTTAACTTACATTATTCTTCATAGATCTATACATCCCAACCAGAATGCTGAGTAAATCAACCATCAGAGTGGGAACTCCGATTTCCCCCGCCTTCTCCAAGCCCTTGAGTAATGTCATTTCGGCCAAAACAAAATCATCGCTTGCGATAAAGACTTTTCCGATTATCCCATAGACAGTAGCTAGATGATGACTATAAATATTGTCATCGTTATTCGAAAGCAGAAGTTTTAGAAGGCTTTGAGATGTCTGAAGAGTCTTTTTCAATTGATTGGTGGTCAAGAAATAAAATGATAGCATTTCCAAAAGATGGATTTCCATGTCCAAAGGGATATTATCTATGGAGTCTAGGGATTTGATGAATCTGGAGATTTCGTTGTAAAAGTTTGCCAATTGATGACTTGTGAGGTGGCAAAGGGTGAATGTTAAGTTGATCCACAGCCGCTGAAAAATAAAAATTGAACCGAACTATATGTATAATATCAGACACTTACATCTTGGTCACATATTGTTAATGCATTCTTCCCCTCCGTCAATAACTTTAAGGCTTCAGAAGTCTTATTCATAAAGATCAGACAACGGCATCGCTCGAGGAAGCTTGTAAACTTTGTCTCGATATCATTGCTGAGTAAATGCAGCTTTGTTAGGTAGGGTAAGGCAAGATGGGGCCATTGCTAAAGTCATATCTCGTCTTATGATACGCATATCTATACACCTGCCACAATATTTACTCACCATATGCATATAGCACAAGCAAATATCCCCCAGGCCTTCTTCCGTCACTTGATTTTTCATTTCCAATTCAAATTTGGCGTCATTAAATCTATTCAAAAACAAGAATAAAAGACCAAGTTTTGGGTCGTTTGGCGAGATCTGAAATGGAAATAGAGTCATCCAAAGTAGTAATGGAGTGACGATGAGAAGGCCGGCTAAAGTTGACTACCTTTTTCCAGTCCCATAAATATTTCAAGGCTAAATCGCTGCCATTAAAAGCGCAGATCAAGCTGCAATTCCAGGAGTCTAAAAAAGGCGACAAAATAAAGAAAAATCAAAATTAAAAATGTGAAAAGTAATAAAAAATAGACTGACCAGTGCCATAATTCAAGTATTCTTGATATTCCTCCAACTCCAAGAGTAATCTCTCTCTGAGTTTGCGGTACAACCTTGATTGGGCGTAATTATCACGATCGAAAAGGTCCAGAACGATAAGCGCAGATTTCTTTTCATCTTTCTCGTATAAATACCGAGCGATACATAGGATTACTGTAGGCAACTGTAATTTGTCAGTGAGCAGTTGATGAAGTTGAACTAAAAGATTTACTGTCTAATGCTGAGTACTATTAAGCCAAGTATTAGTGCTCAGTCTTACCTTTAATGTCATCGCCAAGCAGCAATTTTTGTACGTTCTCATCCAGACCCCGTGCCCTGTCCAAAACCCATCGTATCCCCGTCTCCAAATCACTCATTTACAATCTATCCAAATTAGTTTCCAGCCCGTTCGCCGTCTTCTTTAAGACGCCCCAAAAACCGCTATAAAAGGCCGCAATGACCTCCATCGGTATTATTTCCCTCTGCGGGAGATCCCAATTCAGATCTGGCGATGATTTGTTTATTCGATAATGTTAATGTATATCTTATTTACAGAACGATGACTGAGATCGAAGGGAGTATATACATATATGGTCTGATCGTGTTGGCAGCGTCATCGTGATATTAAAACAGATTAGAGACGACTCAGGTGGCTGAGAAGGTACCCGCCACGGAGGAAACCATCGTGAAACTTTGCTTGTAGACTTCGGTGTGAGCCATTTCTGAAACGGATGATGACTTTCTTTTTTTCGAATAAATTTTGATTAGTTCATTTTGAAGAAAACTTTGGATTAGAAAGAAACATCCAAATTTTAAGGCTTAATGATGACAAAATTAAATTTTATTTTGTGATATTCAAGGTGAAAAAAATTATAATCGTCGGCATTTTGGCTAGTTTTGAAAACCGCGAGATAATGGATAGAAAAGTTGAAGGTTCTTGTTTTACAATTAGAAGTAGAACAAATTTAAGAAATGAACTCACGTTCAGGACGTTGGATATGGGTGGCAGTGATGGTATTCTCTCTGTTCGCATTACCTTCTTCGATCAGATTACAATGCCTGGAAGATGGAGAACACATGATCCCAACACGTCCTCACAGGACCTACAATTAGAGGGAGAATAAAAGGTTTGTCGCCTCTCGCACGGGTTATAAGTAAAACACGTGCCAGCTGATCGCTCTCATCATTTGCCTGCCTCTCTCCTCTTTCTCTGCACTCTTTCTGTTTGAGACGCATTTTTGAGGTACAAAAATTTTTTAAAGAAAAATAAGATTGGACTTTTTGCCTCAGGGCTCAGAGAATTGGAGCACAGAAATCCGAATATAAAGGGAGGCCAGTTTATCGTCGTAAAATTTTATGGCCATAAGTTTAGTGACCCAGATGACAATACGAAAGCTGGAAATGCCGTCTTGAATTTCGCAGACCGCCCGAATTTCGTTAAAGATCAGTAAGCAAAGTAGAGAATTATAGACATCATAAAGGTCTGCAAATTATTGAAATGAGATGTAATGGCAGGAACTGGGACGATTGGGGAAAAAGACGATTCGAGAAACCGAAAAGTATTATTTTTCTTCGATGCAAGTATCGAAATTTGGATAATCGGGGGTGTTGGTTTCGAAAATGACATCAATTTATTTTGATGTTTACTTTTTTGAGTAGCACTGTAAAGTATAGCACCAACACATCGGTGGCTTTCACGTTTGCCGATATGCAGATGCTAGACGCAAGGCTGTCCTTCAACAACACCTTAGAGCTCGCATACCGCTAGTTCTAGCTGTTTTATATTTTTTGTATATAATTTCGTTACTTTTTTTGTTTTTTGTAATTAATTTTGCTGTTTTTTGTACATAATTGTGTTATTTTTTTGTTTTTATAATAAAGTTATGTTTTATTTTCGAAATCAGCACCATCTAAAACTCCCAAATCGAGTATTTGTGAAAAAAATTTAAAAAATTACTACTTTACAGTACTTTCTTATAAGTAAAGCAAAATAGGCTCCGCCTTTTTTTTACTTATAAGTGAATTTTTGGGACTTATAAGTAAATAAAAGTTTTTATTTATAAGTAAAATCCGAATCCCCTGTGTAAAAAAACAAAAACAATACTCACATTATCACAGGAGAAGGCAAAAACTAATAACAATGACTGACTTGTGAACAAAAGACGCCAAAATGAACATCCATCAAAATCACAACTTGTTTTTTTATTCTTACTCAACACATGATGTAACAGTTTTCATTTAGGTAAAGGTTTCTGACTAAAATTGCGTAGCCATTGCCCAATATTACGCAATTTCTGCTCTCTCGTCGTAAAGATTTTTTAAATTTTGTCTCTGCTCAAGAATTTCAAATTCCTTGGCTGAGAGCCCTCCAGCCGAGAAATCGGGTTTTTTGCCAGTCAAGGCAAAAATTTTTAGATCGCATCATCCTTATATTATGTAGTGGTTTCATTGCGGCACCAGCAAAATCACTGGCAAAACAATTGCCGCAAAATTCATGCTCTGTTATGCAACAAAAACAAGTGCAAAAAGTAAAGAACAACCGCCCTCAATGAACTACAGTATGGACAAACACTGTTCAACATCACTCAGACAGAGTAAACAACTTACAAAAATCCAAAACTTTCGAAGATCATATCGATTATTAAACTCTTTAAAGCCCCATTTCATTTTTAAAGATTGATTTCCGTTTCCTGAACTCACGAAAGATACGATTACACTGGCTTCCGGACAGATGTTCGCCTCTTTAATATTTGTTTTTTATGAGTAAAAGACCTTTTACAAGGTGCAATATTTGATGTTTATCGGATCCCATCCATCCTCTGATGGTCATTCTTTTTCGGATTAGTAGCTGAATTTGCAGTAACACATACGGAGAGATCAAATGGACATGACGCAAAAAGGGGAGACAAATCAAATAAAATGATTAAAAAGAAGTCGAGAGTCTAGTTGAGAGTGGGGAGGGGGCATGGACGGGATCGGGACACAAAGATTTCAGAGAAATCCGAACTCCCGGCCCACAGACAGGAAGGAACATCATATCCTCGGCGGGGGAAACTTCTTCGGTGATCCCCGTTTTTAACCCCCGAAACAATGGAGACGGCCGCAGTCGAGGACACGATGGTCTTCGAGCCCAAGGACTACGAAGAACAGTTTGATGGAGAGGCCTACCTGGAACATTTCTACTCCAAGTAAGCGCCTTTTCGATTCTCTTTTGCAGCAACATTGCCATCTACAAACCTTGCTGTTTAGAGAGGCCATAAAAGACGGTACCCGTTTGTGTCTGTTTGCCCTCCCCACCTTTGCTGCCCTCCTTCGTAAGGCCTGTCCTCCAGAAGAACGTCTAAGACTTCTGGATGTAGGTGCTGGGCCTACTGTTTACTCGGCTGTGTGCTTTCGAAATGTTGTTGATCAGATCTTCCTGTCTGATTTTCTGCAACAAAATCTCAACCATCTCGATGACTGGGTTAAGGAAAAACGGGCGTTTGATTGGAGACCGGTAATCAAAACCATCGCGAGGCAATTGAACTTTCTTTATATTATATTATCTACAGTATATTAATCTTATTGCTAATTCTGTAAAATTTAGATGCGAAGGTCAAGAGACATATCCAGATCCTTGTGAAGTCATGGAACGGGAAGCCAGGAGTGCCGTTCTGAAGGGCGGAGTGATCAGAAGTAATGTGCATGACAAGGACGTTCTCCTCGATCTGCCCGAGAAGCTGGAGCCCTTCGATGCCATTGTTTCCGTCTTCTGTCTCGAGTCTGCTTGTACTGAACAGGAAGAATACGTAAATGCTTTCGCTAATATTGTAAGTTCTCGCTGCTTTTTTGATGTTTACTTTTAAACGCCTCAAGAAAAGTACGCAATTCTGTGCACAAAATCTTTGAATTTACCGAAATTTAACTCTTCTTGCAAGAGGTTTGACCGCCTCAGATCCCAGCATTTTTTTATCTGTAAACAAAAGGTATCAATGTCAGCTTTGTTCTCTCGCAACAAAGTCAAAAGTCAAAGTCAAAAGTTTCGGGGGATTAAAGGTGCCAATTGGTTTGATTATCTTCCGGGATGACGTAATACCCGGAGGCGGATTGCAACCAGAGATCTCGAAGGACCTCCAATTAATATAATTTATAGAGATCCGTTCAAAGAAAAGCCGGTTTCCAAATGTTGTTTGCATTTAATGCATTGATGACATATGTTTTCTGTCATTTCACTGAATACTCCAAATGATACAATAAAAAATTTTTTAAGCTACTTTGATTTTCAGGTATCTCTCCTCCGACCAGGCGGATATCTGATCATTGGATCCGTGATCGACGACGATTGTTATACGTCTGGGATCAATGCTGATGGCCGCGCAACCTTCTTCACTTTACTTCCGTTGACTGAGGAACAAGTACTGAGTTCCTTCGCCAAGAATAAGTTGGATATTGTGCATTGTTTGAGCTTACCGAACGAAGGAGTTTGCTTTTTGATGGGCCGAAAGCGAATTGAATGATCTCCCCTCTTCATGACGCATCACTTAGGCCTTCCTTTATTTACCAAACAGTATTGACTTTGGGTTGGATTGTAACAATAAATTGTTTCATAAATCAATGTTTTATACGAATTAATCAAAGAATAGGGTCCTTCGTATTCAGTCTCCCTTCGAAAATAAATCTTGCATCATCAAATTTGAATAAATATTTATATAAACGATGGAAACAATCTATTTTTCTCCCGAATATGTGCTTCGCAGACAACCCCGCAAAGCGTTCCAAAATTTCTCTTTATCAGCCACAGAAAAATCCGAGCCGAAACATGAGCTAACCTCAAACTTGGGTTAATAAACCGAAGATGTCCCCTCATTCTCGGCTCTTCCCTTTTTACAAGCCGCGAAAAGAGCTGGGGAACCCCTCTTTTCGGGAGTTAATTCGCTTCTCTAGCGTTATTTCTACCGCTGCAAACATTCCCCACGTCTTTGCTTCCATAATCGTCTCATCTATTTGCCCGCTCACTCTTCTTTCTCTTTTCTCACGAGGTCCGTCGCAAAGGCACGTTTGAATAGTCTCTGTTTCCCTGACCGATCTCTTTCGTTTCCACGTTCTCTTTCACCAACATAAATTGCATGGCGCCCTAGCGTCAAATTTGGTCCGAGCACCCTTTATCAAATTGTAGATAAGGGGTCTGTGGAGGAAATACGTCCTTTCTTGGGCACAATTATGTAAAATACAATTCAATTTTATTCTCACTTTATTACAAACGTTACGCAAAAGGCATTTGGAAAGTAAAATAACAAAAATCTGGGAGTTGGGAATCCCCTTGGAACAAGCAAGTCTCAATCACAACAAAAATTACATTTAGTTTCACCTTAACAACCAATTTACATCAACTTTTCAGTAATCAGCCAAAAAATTAGAATTACAATTTGAGACGAAAAAAGTTTGATAGGAGATATTCAAAGGGGATGTGAAAGATCGCTAACAGTATTCAATTAAATAAACAACATCTACCAACTATCTATACATGTCAGACACACTTACACCTAGCCATATAACTTTTACAATATTACAAGATAAAAAAGGACGATCAACAGAGAAGGAGAAGAAGACCATTCTTTTGGTGCGAACCCGTTCCACAATTCGGAATCCATTAACCGCGATCAACTGAAAGTACTCTTTTATAATCGGCCAGTGATTAAAAAGTTTACGGAAGCAAAGATCCATTTCCAAGAAAAAATTGGGCTTCGGATTAACTAAATGTCAACAAAAACAAGAAAACTCCTTACTTTTTGCCCTTTTTACCGGGGGTTTGATTGTTTCGAGGAGGTGTGGTGGGGCGATTGGGACCCGAAGAGTTGCCGTACGTGAACTTCTTCTTGTCTGACGGTTTTAGAATTTGGAAGGAACACATCAACGTCTCGTCCACTGTCATCATTGAACCCGCATTGTCGAATTCACCGCAGTAATTGGGTGCGGAGAAAAGTGTAACCAGCTGACGTTTTGCAAAGAATTCATACCCGTCTTCGACGACCTGAAAGGACAAAGAATAATGTAAATAAACAAAGGCAGCTGCCAATAGGGAAGACAGTCTGCAGAGTGGTAAGGATTCTAAGGCCAGGTTGCAGCGATTTAAGTTTTCCTAAGTCGGAAGACAAACATCAGTAAAGTTTACCTGGTGAGCACGACAGATGAGATCAAGATCATGCTGATTCAAAAATTTGGAGACCACTTCAGGACCGAAAGTGAAGGAGACCCCACGGTCATTCTCTCCCCAACCAACCACATCCTTGTCAGGATCCGACCACAATAAATCACATAATAATCCCTGATCTGGCACGTCAGTCGGTCTCATAAATCGACGGATCTGTTCCATTGATCGAAGGTCGGGCGATAATCCTCCATGGCAACAGAAGATCTTCTCATCGATAATGGCAGCAACCGGCAAGCAGTTGAAACAGTCAGTGAAATGCTTCCATAGTCTAATGTTATATCGTCTTTTACATTCATCGTAGAATCCATAAATCCGGTTGATCGATGCACATTCGTGGTTTCCTCTGAGTAAAAAGAAATTCTCGGGGTATTTCACTTTGTAGGCCAACAAAAGACATATTGTCTCCAAACTCTGCTTTCCTGAAAATTAATTTTCATTCAGCACGTAAACACCCGATAAGATAATTACTCGGCGTTCGTGGAAGCGGGAAATCCATCAAACGCCACTAATTTTCAATTCTGTAATTCCGTAACACACGGTTAAAGAAAGACCAAATCAACCATCCGGAAAGAACTAGGTGATAAAGAAGTCCCTTCCGTTACCAGACTTCTGGGAGATCTTCCATCGAAGAGAAGATTAAATTGGCATACTCACCTCGGTCAACGTAATCACCCAGGAACAAGTAGTTGGACTCTGGTGGGAAGCCTCCGTATTCGAACAATCGTAAGAGATCATAGTATTGTCCATGGACATCTCCACAAATCTTCAAAGGTGCCTCCAACTCCAGAAGGATGGGCTGGCTCATGAAGATCTCCCTGGATTTGAAACACAGGCCTTTGATTTCATTCTCGGTAAGCTGAACGTTCTTGCCAGGTTTGGAGCCGCGAACTAAATCCCATAAAGTTAAACAAAGCGGACTTACCTTCAAGGAGTCGAGAAATTATATTATCCAAATTGATCTTTTCCGCTTCTGCCATTTCTCAAATTTGAGGGTACTACAACCAGATTTATGTCGGACTTGACCCTGAAATCGCACCGATATGATCGAGCAACAAACGTTTGAGGCCAAAGCAAAGAAATTGCACTCGATCGCGAGAAGAAAAAAGCTTGTGACGGAATGCCAATGATTAAGTTCAACCAATTTTTCGTGACGAGACATGAAGGAATGAAAGAATTAATTAGAGGGAGATTTAATTTTCACAGAATACTGACACCCCACAACGCAGTTTCTTCCCACACGGTTATAGAAAATGGACTCGCGTAAACAAGGGCAAATACGGTGCAACAATATAGGCGCGGAATTTTGAAGTAAACGACAAAAGCCAAACGGAAATACGTCGCGGCCGACGCGCATTTTGACTCAACACCCCCTCCGCAAGCAAAGCAGTGTTAGGAATTGGCAGAATAAGGTCGACAGCACAGTCACCTCAAGCGAAAACCGGCCGACATCCCGAAGAGACGAAGGAGTCTCTGCGAGAGAACCACCAGCGAAGAATCCCCGAGCTTCGGAGGGATTCTGAAGCTGGTCGTAAGGTCACGAGGTCATCTGAATCCCCACTTGAACGCGGGCCCCAGAAGACTTCTCGAAAGCGCCCTTAAAGCGGGGCAGATTTAAGGAGGCTGGGGAGTGAATCTCTCTGTTTTTTCGTAGTGTCAGAAGGTTTTGTGGGGCGTGAAGGATGAGAAAAAGAGAGAGAAGAACACGCAGCTGTGCCCGTCCTGTTCTCTTCGACTTGGCCCTGCATTGGACCGCGTCTCTCGGCCCAAACGATGTCGCGGTCGTTTCGCCAAAAAACTTTTATGAAAAAAATGTCTTCTGCCGTCACTTCCCGTCTGCCCGGCTGCGCCCTCACGGCCGCTCGTGCTGCCTCGGCGTCGTCGATTGGCTCCATTCAGCGGATTCGGAATCGCAAAAACATTGTTTGGAGCGGCGGCGAACGGAAAACAAATCGTCGACGGTCTGCGTGGGGACATGAATTGGCCGTTTTCGACAATCCCCGCAGGGCCGTTTGACCTCAAAATGAATAAAAAATTGTTAAAACCACTTCAACTTACGATTCGCATAGCAGCAGAAAGCGGCCTAAAAAGTAATTAATTTGGAAATTGAAACAACCCCGTTGCTTTAAATCATAAAACCCCAAGAGTATCCACAATTACATTTTCAACCAGGAACGAAAGGGTTTCACCCGAAGAACGTGTGGGTAACATCAAATGGAGTACGTGGGTGCACAGGTAAGGTGAGAAGAGTGTCCAATACACCGGAGATACGAAGGGAAGGAGCAAGGTAAAAGGAGGCGGTTTCGCCTTTTCTGAACGCCCGAATAATCGGGATGTCGTTTCTAACAAGGTCCCAAGTAATCTTTTAGCTTATTTTTTGTCTGGCTGTCTACGAACTTAGGTTCAAAACATCTAAATCAAATTTATATTAGCCGTACTAAAAAGAAAAAACAGTATTTTAATGTCGTGGGAAGTTTATGCTAATACTTTCTTTTCCTACTAACAGTAATCATAACAAAGGAATGTGTAAATGGCAGTCGGCCAAGGTCAGTGGTAAGAATATAAAAAACAAAAAACGAAGCCGTCAATACCCCCTCGGGGGCTTTATTAATCCGAATGATGAAACGACCTCCATGTCGTCGGTATGGAAAGCGGATGTACATACTTATGCGATAACTACTGGCATTTCCACTTCTCTTACACCCTGTTTACACCGGACGATTAATCTGAGAGGAGGCAGTCAAACATAAAAGACAGTAAAAGTGGATGATGACAATAACAAGTGTAATAAACAAAAGAAAATCATCACTGTAGAACAAAGATTGGTAAGCATAGATGTTAGTGGGCCCTCTCGAATACTTTAGACACACACAGAACACAATTGAGAAAGTTGGTGCACAACTGATGGTTACTTAACAAATCCCATAATTAATCCTACGATTACGTAGAAGTTTGTGGTCATAACTCTCCAGTAATCATTGTGGTAATGTTTTGACGGTAATAACCTAATTACAGTCTCTGTTAGCATATGACACAGCCACAGTTCTCGTGGTCACCTGGTTTTATCACTTCAGTTGTATTCTTGTATTATCCATGACTGTCAGCTATACCTTTTGTTACAAATGCTTTTATTTATCGAATAAACCTCTCAAATCTACTACCAGCCAGTCTCTGAAGGAGTTTGTTTATTTGCTTATATACAGAATAGTAAGTCAACTTTTATCTCTTCTTTTATCAGCTCTTTTTCCAGCTCCACAGTAATGTTGTGGTCTAAAACAATACTGCTTTGCGTGACCGGTCTCTGATGACTACTCTCAAATGCCAAGACTTCGAATTCCGTATTTGCCCTGGAGTTGTTTCGTAATTGTTTAGCGCCTTTTTGGGGGCGAAAAGTAAGAGTAATAAATAAAAACAAACAAAGTGCAAGAAAAGAACGTCAAAAGAGTAAAGGCGTCGCTGAAGCGAGGTTGGCTGTCGCTGAAGCGAAGCGATTTTTGTGTGGACTTTGAGGAAAAGAGATGGGAAAAGAGACACGTGCTTTCTTCCTTTCGTTCCAGTCATTTGTTATACCACCCGACGATTCCGTCTTCAGGCATAACTCCATGTATGTTTAAAATCAGATCCCATTCACAAAATGACGAGGTCGCAAATGACGTAGTTCGGTGTAAAGTGTCTATAGTGTAAAATTGACTGTCTTGGAAGACCTCTCCACTTTATTTTCCACCATTCCTCTTCTGTGCAACTGCTTCAGTTACTGGGTTGTGACAAAAATTGTAAATAAAAATAAGTTTTTGACTTTTGTTCAAATTTATTGTTGTCGCATCCCGAATATTTATATTCGATTCCCTCGTTTTTCGTTCTATTTTTTTCTCGAGGCTTTTGGGTCATGAGACTGGAGAAAGTGGGAAGCGAGAGAGTGGGCGGACGGGGGAGAGCGGGCAGAGAAAGGAAAAGCGACAAAGCGTGCGTCGCTTTTCCGCGATCAGCTGATCCGAGCTTTATTTGGACGGCTTGTCGGATGGCTCCCCATGACTTCGGGCGGTGGAACTGCAAAATTATGCATAAGCATCTCCTTTATGCATTCACTTTTCGTCATCTCCGTTTTCCTCACTTTTTGCTCTAAACTCCACGAAAAACCCGTGTCAATATCGAATTTTTGATTTGAGAAATTGGTAAATTACCGTTGGTTGTATGTAACAATGTCCACTACACTTGTCTGGAGCGTTCTCGAGTGTCCTTGTCCCCCTTTTCATCCGAAATTTTTTATTTTTACGCTCATTTCTCCTTACAAAAACCCGCGGATAAGTCCTGTTGTGCGTATCTATGTTTTTGACTTCGGCTTCTCGACCGCTTTGTATTCGCATTATCTAGACTCCTATTGCTTCGACAATCCGGTAATTAAATTATTTTGGATTTTTTTATTTTTAGGTAACAACCAGCAACCTGTTGTTGTTTAGTTCGGCTTATACGGAGATGATCGGATATTTTCAATTTATCGTCAGACTTTTTCGTATTTTTATGGCTTGATTTTTTTGGAAATGGCCACATCTGACGGTTTTTCCAATTTTTTGATCGATATTACCTAAAATCTTTCCAAAATTTAATTTCCGAACGAAGACCGCCGTTTTTTATCAAGATCATTTTCCCATTCTCACCGATCCTTTCGAATTGATGTCAATTCCGGTTTCTTTAGTCCGGGCATGAATAATATCGGATATGCGGAGTTTTAAACTGTTTTTTGAAGGAACAGGACGGCTGTCCGAGGCGATTGAGAGAGCTAGAGAATAAGATCTTCTCCTCGGGAACCGTTTTTCGTGTTTATTTTTTGTCTCATTAAAGCGCTTCGAAGCGTCGATAAATATTTGAAAAAAGGATTCGTTATCAATCATGCGGGGGACCGTATTTTTGGTTCTCACGCGCTGAAATCAACCCAAAATTCACAATAAACAGTCCTTTTTTGGTGATCTTGACGCCCGTAAAGGCGCTTCCTCTTGGATTCTTTATTATGTTTGATTGTTATCTATTTTTATTGAGGTATTTGATTACGCCATGCAGTAGCTTTGTACAAAGTTTATGTAATATTGTTTGTTTATTGCAGAATTATAGACAATGTGGGTCACGCATGAGATAAGTGTAATGTCATGTGGGTTTCGTCATAAGCGTGCAATGTGGTGACGAAATCTTTCATGGACAACGTTCCTTCCTTCTTTTTTTTGATAAGACGGCAAGATAACAGTTCAACGCAGAGTTCTCTGCTATTTATCCATCTCATTATAGGTCTTCCCACCTAGTTTTTGTCTATTTGCAAGCAGGTTTCCTTTTTCCGTGAACCGCGTGTTTGTCCGGCTTTGGGAGATTAAATTTTTTTATTTTACAGAAATAAATCCAGACGAAAATATCAGAAATTTATAACAGATCCAGTACAACCTCAATCCCCACCTCATCCTCAACCTCACAGTCACATTCTGAGAGCACAAAGTGCACAATATTATGTCCATGAGCCATGGTCGGTCCAAGAAGCAGCAGAACGGCCACAGCAAGGAGAATGTCAAGAAAGGTCAGATCAACACAGTCTTCCCGATATGCAGACCAGTCCCGAAGTGCGCGAAGAGTGACGTAGTCAACGGGAATGGGGTGGTGCCGAGGTTTGCTTCTGGTCAAGTGGTACGACCGCGACCAGCGCAGTTAGTTTTTTATTTGGTTTTTATCAGGTTTAGGTATAAAAAGGCGAAGGTGCCAAATAATACGTCAGTTTTTGGACCAAGCTCGAGAATACGGTATTTCCTCCATTATAAAGATTTTTTTTTCAGCCAGCCCCGAATAGTGACATCCGTGGCCGAGTTTGTGTCGGAAGTGATTCCACAAGGTTCAAACCAGAATCACGTCCAAAACGAGCCCATCCAATGGATTCGTATTCAAAAAATTCCGCTTGGTAAGTATTTTTATTTATTTATTTTTGACTTTAGGTATCTCTAGATCTAACGTGAGAATCTTTGTAGATAACCGCACGGAGACGTTCCTCGTTATGATCGGTCTTGCTCGCGGCTATCAGATCTTCTTGATGAAAAGCTCCGGAGAATGCGAGGAAGTCCTTTCTGAACGTCGTGGCCCGCTTCGCGTCGCCCATCTCTTGCCCCACTCCAATCGATCCGAGGATCAATTCGAAAATGAAAGGCCGCTGGTCGGTCTCGTCGATGGAAATCCCATGGCCGCCGACAACAAGTTCTGCTCGGTGAACGTGGTATCCCTCAGGTCAGGGAACACCGTACACACACTCAAGTTTGATGAGCCGGTTCTCGATGTGAACAGTACAAAAGCGTAAGCATTGTTACGTAAAAGCTTTTATAATCTTGTTTGTTTGTTGTAAACTTGGCAGAAACGCTTTGTCTTTTCAGATGTGTGGTTGTCATCCTGTCCGAGTCAATAGTCATCTTCGACTCGAATACTCTCCAAGAGAAGGCCTCGATCCCGGTTACCTCCAACGATGCCCCTCTCCCACCAGTCTACGCCCTTTCTGATGTTCTTTTAGCCTTTGCGGATAAGAACTTTAATCGAGAGATCCAATCTTGTGGAGGGCGATGTGATGGAGACGATCAGTCGTACAGTGGACAAGTAATGAGTGCGGCCAAGTCATTGTCCAAGACTGTGACTTCTCTCGGAGAATCTATCGTTTCTTCATTCTCAAGCCCACAGGATAAGAAGAATGGCGTGCCAACAAAGAAAGGAATCGTGTCGGTGATCAATACCTCAAATGTCACTGAGTGTGGGGATGTTGTGAGTTGATGAAATAAGATTTGATTCGAAATCGAAACAAATGATTGATCTCTTCGTTTCAGAATGCTGATTCGCATTATCTGGCCCACTTCATTGCACACGAATCCAAAGTCGGATGTCTGGCCTTCGGTCATGGTGGTAGAATCCTGATCACAGGAAACGAGATCGCGACCACCTTCAACGTCTTTATTCTCCATCCCCATCCCACCGCCCCCTCCCTCTCTTCTGTCCAACATATCTACACCCTACACCGAGGAAATTCGGCTGCCAAAGTGATTGATACGGCCTTCACAAGTGATAATAGATGGCTGGCTATTGCCACAAATCATGGAACCACCCATGTCTTCGCGATCACTCCTTATGGGGGTCCGGTTAACTTGAGGACACATGGTGGGAAATTTGTGAATAAGGAGAGCAGATTCGAAAGGACGGCGGGACTCACTCAGGAGAATCAAGTGTCTTACAGCGTTCATTCCAAGACACCCGCACCTGGATATCTTTATAAGTAAGAGTTACCAAACTTTAACAAAGTAATTTTATTGTTTTAGGGACCACCCGTATCTGAAACACCAGCTCTTGGCCAAGACTGTTCTGAATCCCCGTTTGTCCAAGTATCCCCCTCCAATCATCCTCTGGTCGCATGCCAAAATAAAACAGAAGGCGTTCTCGGCCGAGAACCTGAGTGCCTGGGCCACCGACAATTCTCCGGTCCCAATCTCTGGTTCCACTTGGTCTCCTCAGCTTGCCAATGGACAACCGTTGGTGTTCGAGTCTCACAGAAGGATGGCATTGTGCTTTGGAACCGTCTATGGAAATAAATGTGCCGACGCTGATGTTCCCGTTCTGTTTGTGATGAGTCCAGATGGAACTCTGAGTCAATATAAGATTGATATCAGAAGAGAACGGTTCAATTCGAGTGGATCTGTCAATTCTTTGAATGCTGATGACTCCGGAAAAGGAGTGGAGGCTCCAATCAGAGTTCGGGTGGTCGCTCTCAGTGAATGGAGCCTTACCAGGTATGTACTGAATGCCTTGAGTATTCTTCGTATTATTTTAGATCTAAAGGTACGGTAGGGGTGGATTTCATTGGGCCTCCCCTTCCAGAATCCTCCAGCCTGCTGGAGATCACAAATCCAACCAACGAGAAGAAGCGCGGGCGCTTCGCAAAGACTTCTCAGGGATCGTGGCTTCCTCACGTCGAGATTACAACTTACGCAGGTCCTCATCGCCGTATTTGGATGGGTCCCCAGTTCACATTCGGTGTCTATGCATTCACCGGACATTCCAGTGCGGAGTTGGTAGGATAATTTTATTTATTTTTTTTTTGAGATGGTTATTTTTTAAATATTATTTTAGGTAAGTCCCGGAGCGAACAACTCAGCTCTGCATGTGTTCACAACCCCTCAGAAATGTTGTCCAGTTCTCATTGAGAAGAATTCGAACAATCTGAGTGGTCGGAAGGATCATCTGGAGAATGCAACCCGAATTGTCTGCGGATCTTGGAACTCGGATCCCATCATCTACGGTGATGATCCGTTGGCCTCATTGAAGGAACAACTCGAGGATGCCATGCAGGACGAGCTCAAGTCCAAGGAGAATCGCCTCGAGAGCTCGAGTCCAAGTTCGTCAAGTTCCAAGTGAAACGTGTATATATATAGAGAAACATGTAGAGCTATTTGTCACTACGTCAGTTTCATTTGTAGATTCGCATATTTTATAACATTCGATTTGTAAAAGGGTAATTTGAATATAACAACATTCGAGATATAAAGGATAACTCATTTTGAATGTTGTTTTGGACTGGTTACCCCTCATATTGTATGATATAATACTTTATATAATTTTGAATTCTTTCCTCTTTCTAATATGGGTATTTATCCTTCCTCTAGAGTAATTTGGACGAAGAAAAACGAAAAAAAACTACCAAAATACACCTCACTTTTATGTCTTGTCTATAAAGTCCGGATTGACGTTGTGTTGAGTGTAGCTTACAGTAATTCAGGAATAATTTGATAAATCAATTTTTTCAACGTTGGCTGAAATTGTTTTAGTATCAATGTTTGGCAAGATTATTGCCAAGTTCAATGTAAACCCATAAAAGTCCCAAATGAAATCCCATTTTTGACTTGATAATTAAGTTTTTTGGCGCGAGATCTAAGACTTTTATTGTCTTATACACCGACTTTATGTACCCCGTAATTCCGGTCATAAAATCAGAATTGGATTGACTTTTTCCTTTGCCTGAAACGGCACTGTGCATTCGAAAAAAAAGAAATGGGAAATATGCATTTTTATTGTTTCTGGCCCAAAAGGAATGAAACAAATTGCAAATGTTGCCTTTTCTGAGTCCAAGAAGCATATCACAACTACTGTAACATAATTGGATGGGGAGGTTTTGATGTTTTCGTCCGGTTTTAGGCTTGCAAGCTAAATGATGACATTATAGGTAATACTTTTGCATGATTCTGACGTCTTTTCTTTTGATCTTTGTCATAAAATACGTCCTTTCTTGATTTTGTCCACCTACACACAATACTAGACCTTAATTTAGGTGAATATGATGTAAGTTCTACTCGTTCCGAATGTGTAAAGTATTCTGCAAATTAAAGTTCCCCTTCTGAAGACGACTCTTATGAATTTCTTGTCACTTTGGATGACTTTAAAGGAGAGTTTATTCGACTGAATGAATGCCCGCAATTACTCGACCATTCAATGGGGCCGGAATTGACTCTCGAGATGCGTTTATAACATCTTTTATAACATCACAGGGGATTATATGTTCCTCTTTTTATGGAAATGACATGGTTCTGTCATGTTTGCCACAATGTTTGATTCTTTTATTTTTGTTTCTCCTATCTGGTTAGCTTATTTTCTGATCGAAATGTGCTTTTATTTCGGTTAATTCTTTTTTCGAAAAACTTTTTCGGCGCCGGCTCCACTGTCGGACCGAGGATATGGCCATTTATATGACATTTATCGTTAAAAGTGATTTATTGTATTCAAAAAAGAGACATTGCACACTTTTGGGCAGCTGTGCGGGGATTATTTCTTCTCGTTTCTCTCTGTCTTTTGATCTCATTTATTATGTCCCTTTACTGTCAACTTTATACGACCTCCTTCCCTTTATTCTGGGCCTTGTTGTATTGTTGTTGGGTCATTCTCCGCCGTGATTAATGGGTTCTGGACATTAGAACTGAATGATAAGATTAGTAGAGTTTTGGGAATTTTGAAATGAACTTGGAGGGAGAGAGTTTGGACATTATACTTGTCGTTAGAAGGGCACAAGTTTCATGCAATAAATCACCTTACTGTAACAATTAATTTGTGTTACAGTAACCCTGTGGAAAGCCTTACTCCTCTTCGATCTTTGGTTCAAAGCCCTTCCTCTCTTTTTAACTATTTGGAAGTGAAATTGAGATTAAATTACTCGGGTTTCATTAACTTGAATGACCTGGATTCTTCATTCTGAATGGAATCAATTACGTCATCTTATGTAAAAGATCCCCGGAGGCACTTCTCTTTATGGGGATTTCATTGTGTGCTCCGTAGTAATTACCGTGCAATTTTCAGAGTAAAGGGAAAAAGAGGTTGGAATCAAATCCAGCGATTCTTTTCTTCTGAAACATATTTGGTTTAGGGAATTTTGGGGACATTTGAATTCGAATTGAGCTGTTTCCTTGTCCTTGTCGGCAGACTTTGGAGTCATAGCAATCAGTTTAGAAGCGAGGTACTCAAAAAATTTACCATCAAAATTATCAAAATGTCTAGAGATTACTGTAGAAATAGGTGAAGGTGTGTGAATGACCTTTCCAAAAGGATTATGAATATTGCTTGCTGAAACCAATTTCTCAAAAATTTGCCTGGCCATGATTCAGATTCTGTGCCTGGGACTGTTTCAAACAATCGTTTCTCTTTTCTCAGGTTTTGGGTGTTTGGAAAAATGATTCGGCCATCCCAATTCCATGGCCAAAAAGGTTGCATAAATCTTTCTCTGCAATTTGGGGCTACTGTAACTTCTCCTGTCTCAAATCACTCTGCATTTTTACCCGATTTTTTTTTTGCTTATTTCCAGGAAATAAGTATTATGGTGAATTAAATGCCTTTTGAATATTGTTTTCCCTCTCCGATTCTATTAAAAATAAGTCCAAGTTATTACTTTGTGTGGGTTCTTACTCTAATACTGCCTTGTTTTCTCTTTCTAACTTCTCTTCCAAGAGTTTTGAAGGCAACATTTCATCCGAATGTCATCCCGGCGACCCCTTCTGTCATCTATCTCTACACAAATAGCCATTGTCAGAATATTTTATCTCTCAAGATTGAGTGAATTTTTGGAAATTTATTTTTGTGTCCGATCTCCTGAGGGCATGCGGAAAAGGGGGAGAGAAACTCGAAAAAAGAGGTTCCATACAAGTCAATTTCATATCCGAAGAAGAATTCGTTTTCAATTTGTGAACCGATTAAAGTCAATTTACTTGGAGAGGGGACTTGCATTGCCTGAGGCTATCTTCAGACAGTTTTCCTTTCTCGAGAGGCCCCTTCCCTCAGGGTCGGATAAGAGTTTGGATACGGTAATCCTGAAGGGACGATCTTCCACTGCTTTTACTAATTGATATGTGGAGGGTGGGTACCTGCTTTTAGATGACATAATGACCGCTACCCTCCACTCTCCACCAACATAATCCCCCTGGAAAAGAGCGATCAAGTTTCTTTTGTTTTTCAGCCACTTTCCTCCTCTCCCCATGTTACATTGCATAATATTGACTTCGACCGCAAAACAAGTTCTCCTTTCGCATATTTGGGGATCAGAAGACGAAGAAAATCTTCGCAGTGAAATTCGTTTTTTGAGCAGGGAAAGAGAGAGAAATGTTTTGTTTGTTTATCTACTTGTTGGACCTTGTCCTGCGCGTTTTGTTCCTTCTCTTGCAGATCATTGAGGACAAGGTAAAAATAAATATACTTCTTTTTTTTTTAATCGACTCCAAATTTGGACGAGTTTTGTGCGGAATTTCCGGGTCTTCAAGGGGGAAAGGGGGTGCAGACGAGATCCAAAAATGTTTGAACTGCGATTTGAAGCCGAAGGAAGTAGTTTGAGGACTTGTTCAGAGAAAATTTGGGTCATCTTGGGGCAGGTTATGAAGCTTATTGTTAACGGTCAAATGGCTGATGATTTCTTTTTATCATCATACAATTTGACATTTCTCGGATTCTAAACTGCCAAAACGCTCCTTATTCTCCCTCTGCGGACTCTAGTATCAGATTCTAGATTACCGTTTTTCATTTACTTTCCTCTTATTCCGTTCCAAGCCAAGTTTAGAGTTTCCTCCACACAATATTTGTGAGTATTTCCCCTTCTGAATGACCTTGTGTTTGGCCCCTTTCTCAAGATTTCAAAGTGACCTTCCATTCGAAACGCCTCCTTTCAAGATAGTCTTGTAATTTATGAAGATTAAGGGGGATTTCCCTCTGACCTCCACGTTTTATAAATAAAACCCGAACTAAAATTTGACTCTTTAGCTCATCCCTTACAGTAATTTTGATTGCAATCGATTTGAAATTAATTAGTCTCTTTGAATGAGGCTCTTTTGTCTGATGCGGCCTCGTTTTTAGGGAATTCAATTCCAAGAACATGTGGAATTCGAATCTGAATGGGACTGTCCACTCAGATGGACGCCGTTTTGTAGAAATGACTTTCGATTTCAGTCAGTTTTGCATAAATCTAATTTGTTTCTGGTCTTGGATCTCGAATGCTCGCTCTTCCTCCCATTCCTCACCCTAAACGACTTTACAGTCAAGATCCAAACTTAAATCCCAAAACAAAAAAATGGGCCCATAAACGCGGCTGTCCCAAGATTTTATGCAGATTTATGGAGGGCCCTGATGAACAGTGGATGAGTCAAAGACTTTGTTTTGGGGCTTATGAAGGTCAAGGAAGGGCGGACAGTCATTTCAGCCTTGCTGACTACCTTTTCTTCTTATTCTAGCCTTATTCGGACACTAAATTGACAAGTGTTATATCACGATAGTACCCCTTATAATCAAGTTGGACTTTTATAGTTATATTAGGCAGTAAACTTGTTTGTTTCAATAATTATTATCTTCTTTCACCTTCTTCTGGACACCTCTCAATGTATAACCCCTCAAATCTTATATTTATAAGCTGATTTTATCCCTCCTCGGCTTGAATATTTCACTAAATGAATCCTAATTTTTCCCCTTTTTTTGCAGCCTTATGTCAAATTAGATTATTTTTGTTATAAAATACGCTTATCCCTTGGACGGCTTGTTACAAAATTCCATTAAAATCTTACTCTAATCTGAAGATTTGAAGGAATTGTGAAGGTCGTATAATTTGATTAAATTTTATTATTTTTGGAGAGGGAAGAGACCATATCATGTTTTACATATCATGCCTCTTATCTTCACAAGTTTTATTTCTTTTTTTTGGTTACATTTCCTCAGGCTCCAAAGGTTGTTGGGGTCACTTTTTGAGAGTTAACACTTTCTTCAGCCTACCAGGCAATTTTTTTGATTTTTCTTGAAAATCTCAAATTTGGCGCGATTACCATTAAGACATTCGAAGGTGTCGTCATAACCTTATATATTTCGAACTCCTCCTTTCTCTTTCACTCCCGAAAAGTTATAACCTTAAGAAGTGAGGATCCAATTAAATCTTATCCTCTTTTCTTTTTCGAAAAGTGTTAATGGTGCCTGAGGCAAGGTGAGACCGAAAATACCAGTTATCCTAACTTTATCTTTGTTATCAGATCGAAGCGAGTCTCATTATTATTTGCAAGTATTTACCCAAAAAGTCAGGCCTTTCTTTGTCTCGGATCACAGCGGGTGGGGGGAAAACAAGTTCAAGGTGAAGTTTGGGGGGTCAAGTGGGGATTGGAGGTCAGCAAGAGGACTGGATTAATATTGATTTGGGTCGGAGTTACTCTAAAAAAATATTTTATTTTATTTCAAAATTAAAAAAATATAATACTTTGGATCATTTTTTGAACAGTTTTGATGATTAAAGACTTCCGATGACTAAAAAGGACTAAAATTGACTGTTAAAAAATAACCAAGGAAATGAATTAGTGTAAATTGGAAAACGAGGTCATGGAAACTGCTTTTTCGACCAACGCAATAGTTTCAGAAGCGCTTCGATCTTTCTTATGACACCATCTGATCATTATTTCATGTGACAATTGTTGGTAAGATCATGTTGTTCTTGATATTATTGATCTTTATAACGTCGTAATAAGACTTAAAAACTCTGAGGAATGCCTTGAAAGTCCTTAATAGGGTCCTTCTCTTTGTACTGTAACCCTTTATTCGCTCGGAATATTGGATTATATTTTAGGTGGAAGGGGTCATCAGAGAGCGCTTCATTCAGATTTCCCATTCAGAGAAGAGAGTAAATTTACTTTTTATTCAAATCGATTTCCCTCCCCTCATAGTCAACAACCCGGCACTCCTTTTTTGACCGTATTTTAGCCATATTATGGTTTCCTTTTTTACTAAATTTAAGTGAAAAATAAGCCCTAAAGCCATGTCCTTTTACATTGTTGATAATTATTTAATGATACAAACATTGTTCGGAATCACTGTGCCGAAAACATTTTCTTTTCTCTTGAAACCCCCCACTCCTTGAAGGGGAAAATTTCATATTCAAAAATGAAGTATTTGAAAAGAAGTTTTCTTGTTATGTTTCCATTTTTCGTCTTCTGAAAATCCCTTTAAAACCACTTCATCCAACTCTTCTGAAAGGTCGTTTCGAAGACTTTCCAAACGTTTTTTGCTGGACAAATCAGATGCCTTGCCTATTTCTACACTTGTTTCTACATTCTCACTAACAGTTCTGCCTAAAATTACAATTTACAATCCAAAATGTCATTCTACCACAACTTCACCAACACTATTTACTCCTTACGGCTACTAATTACTAATTTTTTATTGTAATCACCCATTTTACGTCCTCAAAACCCTGACTGCTTTATTATTTTTGCAAAGAGCGCCAAATTATTCAAATTAAATTTAATTTCCATCCCTTTTCATAATTCTCAACATCTGTCCGTTCTGACTTTGATTTTGGCGAAGGAAAAGAGGGGGCTTAGAATTAGAGAGAGCTCTTATCTAATTGGCTTTATTCAAATTAATCATAATTATTTTGGGTATTTTCATAACCAGTTTCGATGGTCGGTTTGATTGGTGGATACTTTTATTGCTTGTAATTTTGAAGTTTAGCAACTTCAATATAACTTTAGGTCATCAAAAAATATTTGATTTTATTTGTGAGACCTTGAATCAATGATATCGGTGATACTTTCTGATGACATTAGAACCGTTTTAGAGCGTTTGAAGATCCCTAATATTATCTGCGAGTCAACAAATGATAAGCGATTTCATTCTTCGTCTCCCTTAACAGTTTATCTTTGCTTTGGGTGTTTCAATATTTGAACGTGACATTAAAAAGGATCTGCATAAATTATTTTCTCCATGACAGCGATTATGTCTGTGGAGGGGAAAAGTTCTTGTCCTTTCCAGCTTTTGAGGGTGAAATCGAATTGCAATTCCACCTAGTCTAATATCAAAAATATCCAAAGTTTTAAAATGATGTTACAGTCTGTTTTCTTATCTGATATTGCCTTCAGATCTGACTGAACTGACCTCGGTTCGTTTGCAACACAACAGTTTAGAGGGCCCCTTCCATTTCCATAACATAATTAATTAGACAGCGAAAAAAGGGAAAGACAGAGTGCATTGCTGGGGGTACCCGTGCCGGTCACCAATTGGTAAAAAGGAGGGTTTAAGGGGTCATTTGCATGCCCCCAGACCCCCTGCCACCCTCCCCCCATCGCTCTCTCTTTTCTTGTTGCGCGTTTGAATGTAAACTCATAAAAATAATTAACATTGAAGGTCATCATCTTCGATTCCGATGCTTTGCACTCCCACAGGCCCTGAGGGCGGCTTTAACTTTGGACAGAAGCAGATCGAACCGGATGAATTCTACCCGAGACCGTCCACCAGGTACCAGTGAGGATGTTGTTGTTGTCAGCCTTGTTGTTTTTTCTTACACTTGTGACACCAAATTAAGCATTTTTTTGGGTATTCCTTGCAAAATTAATGACAGTGATATATTTTTTGAGTCACTGGCGTTTCCTATGCCGCTTGCTCTCTTACTTGTGATTTGATTTTATATCAGTTTCCATCATTGAATTATACTTTGTGACATCATTTTTTGGGGGAATTTATTTTTTCTTGACCAATTAGACCATTTTTTGTGATGTAACCTTTATTTTTATTATCAAAAGTTGCCTAATTCCTTGGTGGCTATCATCAATGATGTTATTTTTATTTCCCCATCAAGTTCGGCTCTGATTTCCCTCTCCAAATCCCTTGTTATTTACAAAAATTGATTAAGATTTTTGGGTTGAGCTCCGTCTTTTGTGTTATTTTGGGTGTGAGGGTCACTCTCGAATCAGCTCAGGCAGCCCCCCTCTCTGACCCCTCTCGAGTCTTCATTTTTCTGTTCAAATTCGTGATTTAGTGAGAAGAAAAGAGTGCATCCCCCTGCGCACCTTTTTTATAACCCGGCTAACTCTGATGGAGTGACCGACGAATTAGTCAAAATAAGAAGAGTTTATTGGTTTACATACCTGATGTTCTCGTGTTTGACTTTGCTCTTTGGGGGGTTATTTTGGGCCCGAGATTTGAACATTACTTGCGTTGGGAAAGGAGATGTTCTGGGATGAAAATTTGACTAAAGTCATTCCAGATCCGTTTTCATCCCTTTTTTAGAGTCTTTAATTTACTTAAAAAAAAATTTTTAAATAAAATTTTTAAAATAATTTAAGATCAATTATACGCACTTTCCCATAATTTTTTGACCTGGCAACCGAGCTTATTCCATTTCTGTAAACTTTTTAAATCATCTTTTTTCCGCGCTCCTTACGTGGATGAAATCTGATTTTCTCCAGCCCTCTGACTACCAGAGTCATATGTTCAGCAGTTAACTGAGCTGTCTGTCGATCAATTATACCCCAGAATGATTCTTCGCTTCCATTAATCTTCTTCTCTTTGATGTTGTTCGTGATTGTCGTATCTTCCTTTATCTTTGATTACGTTGATTTTCCTCCAGTGTTATGAGCACATTGGGTCCGATGGTAGTGATGGAAGGAACCCAATCCAACGGCCAGATGCCACCCAACTCAAACATGGTTCAGATGGCCCCCCAAGGCCCGTATTTTCACCAGATTCCGAATCAGATTCCCCCTCAATTCATGACTTATCGAGGTCCTCCTCCCGGTCAGCATATCTCGGTTCCCAGCTCAGCAGCTCCACCTCCAGCACCCTCAACGACCTCGTTAAATCGGAGTCAGCGGTGTGGAGTCTGCAGGGGATGCCAATGCAAGCCTTGCGGACAGTGCACTTATTGCCAGGATAGCCCTCAATTCGGAGGTCCTGGTGTGAAAAAACAGTCTTGTGTAGAGCGTCGATGCCTGAGGGTATTAGAGAATCGACTTCAAAGGGATGCCCCAACTTTCAAGGCTCGGGTTGGATGTAATCAATGTGAAGATTGCAAATTGCCGGATTGTCAGACATGCCTGGTTTGTTTGGACAAGAGATTTTTTGATAATCGATACATGACTGGTGCTTTATGTGCGAAGAAACGATGCAATAATGCGACGAGTTTGGAGTTGCCGATTCAAAATAACAATGATAGAAATGTAAGTAATTGTAAACAGTAATTACATTTTAAAAGTTAAAAAGTAATTCCATATTGTAATCATTTTTTCAGTCAATGAAACGCTCCTACGACCACAGTAATAACTTTGAATATGGTGGGAAAAGAATGATGAATTCGAACGGAATGCCCGGCCCCCAGGTTATGATGCAACGACAGATCATGCCCATGATTCCACAGGATCCTTATGCGATCGTCCGACTTCAGAATATCCAGCAGATGCCCCAACAACAGATGCAGATCAACATGCAGCAATTTAATTCGAATAGGTAAGATCATATTTTTGATACACTTATGATTTTTGCATGTTTATTTTATAATAATTTTGTTTTCAGTCTTCTGATGCCAATGAACCTTCCACCGAACTCAATATCAGAGAATTCGTTGATGAATCACAACTCCCTTCTTCCTCTCAAAGATCCGTCGATAAACAAGCAGGACTCCCTTGATATGAATCCCCCCACTCCCAACTCTCTGTCCACTCCGACTTCGTCAATGAATCTTTCGAATCCTCTGAATACTCAGTGTAATATCCAATCCAATCTCCAACAATCAGTCCCTTCCACTCAAAATCTTCTAATGAATAACACCATCATGACCTCCTCGAGTCCGGCAATGTATTCGTTCAGTCCCATCAACAATATCAACAGTCCTTACATGCCCTATTCGAATACGCCGCCAAATTTTATGCCAAATGATAAGATGTTTTATGGGGAATATCATGATATGAAACAGGGGCAGAACGGGGTCGACCCCTTCACCCCACCCAGTTATGCCCCCGAAACAAAGAGTGCGGTCATCCTACAACAACTGTAGATGATCTTGTTGTAGATATTTGCATCCAGAAATAACTCTACTACTTAAATCAAGAAAATATTTAAACCCGCTACTTAATAACTCGTTTGACGCCTATATTGTACAATATTCAGCTATTGTAAGTACTCTAGAATCTCCGACATTCCCCCATCTCTTCTTTTCTTCCTTTCAACCGTCTACTGACACAATATTACGAATATTTTATTCTGATCCTAATGTTAAGGTAGAGGTTCGAAAGGAAAAGGAAGATCGTCGTATCTTTCATCGTTGTTCCTATTTATTGTGCCTCAAGTCTGATCACTTTTATGACAAAAGAATGTCATGGTATTGCAATAAGATTGTTACACTATCCCCATTCCCTTCCATGGTTCCGAATCCCCAGAATCTTTCGAATTTTATCATATTATTTATTGTATATTTTGCTCGTATTTTGTATGATAACTAAAGATTTAATTGACATGAAAAAAAAGTTGAAAGTTATATTGTACTCGAAAGTTGATAAATTTGAAGCAAAAAATGGAAAATTTACGAAATTTTTCCGCTAATGCAGTTATGGAGGGGTTTTTCGTCTTTTAAAATCAAAATATTACAATAAACTGACTGTAGAGGGAGTGTATTATCCCAAAATTCCCATGATGACATAGACTGAAAAGAGGCATTGAAGGGTGCTGTTGACCGATTAATTTTCAAAAAATCCGGGTCAGAATCTCTTCCCAACGCTCTTCACTGGTTAAAGCGTTTTCAAACACCTTTTATGGATTCATAAGCCCCGCTTGAACATGTTCATTAAGGTCGCTCTTTTGGTGTTTTGTGTTGTTCAAGGTGAGGTCTTTTGATGTTTGACGATCGTATGATAATCTTTGTTCATTGGTTTATAGTCTCATTAAACTGCAATGCCCGGTTTTAGCAGTGGACAGTCAGTTGGCGGCGGTTTACTCGAATGTTTCGCGGACCTCGGATTGTTCCAGTTGGAGTAGTTGGGGACCATGTATCTGGCCCGATCCCATCAATCGAGTAGGTCCAGGATGACGTATTTTCGCCAACTTGATGACCAGTATCTTTTTATTTTTAGAAGCCCTACATGTCGCAGTTGACCCCGGTCTGTCGCAATCATTGGTTCTACAAGTTCATCAACGCCAGGTATCAGAGCGCTCTAAACAGCTTTTTCGATTACTTTTTATCTATCATGAAGGCCACAAAACCTTGTGGATTCTGCTCCTACAGGCAGAGTTGTGGATATGGAGGAAAACAAAAGTGCAATTTGTCACCATTTGAGTAAGTAAAGTGCAGTTTGAGAAGTTTCAATCTGTAGTTTAGTGTTAGGGTTACTGTAGACTTCTTAAAACCATTTTCAGAGTTCCCGGTGGTCGGGCCATTATGCCATTCTTTGTTTCGGAGAAGGTTTGTAATCGTCGCGACCTCAGGGGCCAGGATCAAAGTGATGCTTGCACTGTGGATTATGATTTGGTCAAGGAAAATGGAGGGGAATGTAAACTTTGGCCTTCGAAACAAGTGTCCCTAGAAGAAGTTGAAGCTCCTTTCCGGTCTCAAATTGAGAATCTTAGATGGTACTCCTGTCTTCCACAAGTTGTGAAGTAAGCCCATGACTAAACATACCTTTGCTTAAACTTAAATTACACTAGTGGCCAGTACTTTTCAGAGATGAAAAACACGAAAAAGCGAAGCCGGAGAAGGTGTGCAGATGTTGTTGTTTCCCCTTCCGTCCAAATCCCGTCACCTTTAAATGCGAACATATCCCGGGATCACCTAGGGCGCCGGGAATGGAAGATCTTTAAAAACCGACTCATCATGATCAATATACCAAATAACCCTTTATCATTCCCATTTATAATCTATTTGTTTTTACTTCAGGATATCGTACTCAATACAATCGAAATTCGCAAAACTGATTAAACTTAAACAAACTACCTTATTTCTAGATGACTAATTTGAGAGCAAAACCCGTCCATTGGCCACCTTTTTGAATTCGGGTTCAACGGATCCATTGGCCTGACTTTTGGGTGGGATTCCTCGTTTGATGACATGAGGGATGGTCTTGGGTACCATCTGGATGCATTCTGGGACAGGGCAGACACTGTAACACAAGGTGCAGCCAGTACAATTGTCAGTGACAAATGGAAGATGAGTTTGGGCATCGAATCGGATGGCTTGGTAGCCACTGTCATTGCAGGTCATGTAGCATTTGCCACAGTTAATACAGAGATCCTAAAATTGATACGCGATGATATATTTTGTTGTTGCAATAAGCACTTCACCATAAAAAACTTACATCATCAACCAAGGCGACCTTTTGTTCTTTGTTTGTCAGCTCATTGTAAGCGCCGATACGATCCAAAGCGCATCCAATAATCTCCTATAAAATTTCATTGATTATGATAGAGCTCTCCTTACATTAACAGAGGGCACTTTCTCCACCTTCTCTGCGGGTCTCCTGGCAAAGGTAACCGAGCTTGTGTCCAGAAGATCGGACTTGTTTAGAATCTCTTGCTCCAGTGATTTCCTCTGCTTCCTGAAGTTTCCAAAGGCCGGAGCATGGATGTTCTGCGCCAGAAGTGGTTTTCCTTTTTGTTGTTTCTCCACTGGAGGACTTTGACCATCCCAATCAGCCAAAGACTTCAATCCTCGAAGATATAAAAGAGCCTTGAGCCCATTTTTGTAATCCTCCACCACTGTGAAATCTTGATTTTGGACGGCAGAGCAGACCTGGAAGGAGGAGAACGTCGATTTTTACTGGAAGTTTTTAGTGAAAGCTTCCTATTATACAAATTAATTCTAATTTCAGTCTCACCTGTAAAACACTGGCTCCACAAGCCAAGAACTGAAGCCCAGTTTCGGCGCTTTCAATCCCTCCAGTAGCTAATATCGGGAATCCCGGGAGAGCATTTGCAATGGCCGAGACTCCTCTCAACGCGATCGGTCGAATGGCTGATCCAGAGACTCCCCCATAAGTGGTTCTCTTCTCCTTTCCGATCCTTGGCCAAGCCTCTCCTTTGGCGTTCAATCCCATTAATCCGGAGACTGTATTTGTGGCCGTTACTCCATCAGCTCCGCCTTCTTTGGCAGCCGTTGCAATCTTTCTGATATCCGTGATGTTTGGAGTCATCTTCGCGAAGAATGGAATCTTGACAGCCGCCCTGACCCATTTGCAAATATTCCTGACCATGTTCTCATCCTGCCCACAAGCCAATCCCATTCCTCGTTCGCCCATTCCATGTGGGCAACTCAAATTTAATTCGAGAGCATCAGCTCCGGCAGCTTCGGAATGCTTGGCCAATTCAACCCAATCTTGTTCGTTGAAACTGGCCATAATTGAAGCGATAACAATCTTTGTGGGGAAATCCCTCTTCAATTCTCTAACCGTCTCCAACCAGTAGGCCTCTGTTTTTTCAGAGATCAATTCAATGTTCAAGAAAGCCCCTTGCCCAGGTCCATATAAGGGGCCATTGGTTGTTCCTCGGACGATTCGGGGGGATACATTTGTCACCAAATCTTTGTCCAATCCGAATGTTTTAGTCAGCACAAATCCCCATCCTTGTTCGAAAGCTCTTCTACACATGGCTCCAGAAGTTGTTGGAGGGGCCGAAGCCAGACCGTAAGGATTTTCAAACTTGATTCCGCACATCTCCACACTGATATCTACGTCATCAATTGCACTTCTAAACATGGGAAGTTTGGGTTCTCCAGTGATTTGATGGCCGTGCAGACTCTGCAGATACTTATGAATATACCAAGCAGCAGTTTTCCCATCGTTAACCGATTCAACGGTAGTTTCGGCAACTCCAGCAATGTCCCCGCCAAAGAAAACCCAAGGTTCAGAGGATCTCTGGGTCTGGGAATCAATGTCCGGGAGGCCCCAACGATTCAGTTTGACAGGAGAGAGCGCGGCTTTCACTGAAATTAGAATACTATACGTCCCCCATTAGATTCCTACCATTTTCATCAATAAGAGTGGATCCAAACGCTGAGATAACCCATTCAGCCTTAAGAGTGAGGCCTTGTTCATCATCCTCATACCAAGTTCCATCGAGATCCTGCTCTGTCTTTGTGAATTCCATGGATCTGATCTTTCCATCAGCAACATTCACCTTCTTGGGGGTCATGAACGGAACAAATTCACACTTCTCTTCTCTTGCGGCTTCCATCTACAGTAAGACTTTTAACCATTCAAAAAAAACAAACCTCTTCCGGAACAGCACGAATCGAAGTGAACCCCTTTCTGAAGACTACAGTAACCCTCTTGGCCCCACATCTCAATGCAGCCGTTGCGCAATCAAAGGCAGTATCTCCAGCTCCAAGAACAATGACTCGACCGGGGAGACTGGGAAGTTTGGTGGTCTTACATCCACACATCCCAGGTTTTGAAGCTCGACTGACAAGAAGAAGAAATTCTTTGGAGGTGAAGAATCCTTGGGCCGGCGTCAGACCATCAAAAATCTTATCCCTCTTGGGTTCCGGCATTCCGATTCCAACAAAGACAGCTTTATTTCCAGAAGCCTTCAAGGATTGCAGCGTCAGATCGGAGGTATGGAGACTTCTTTGCGTCACGATCTGCAAAAAGGACGAATAAAGTAAGTGAATCAAAAATATTTCTGTTATTTTTTCTATTGTAACCCACCTTAACTCCAATATCCTTGGCCAATTGGATCTCAAAGTCAACCGCATTGTATGGCAAACGAAATTGCGGGATCTCCGACGAACTGAGACCACCAACAAAGTCATTCTTCTCGTAGATTGTCAAGTCAGTGTACCCGAGACGGGCCAAGAAAGTTGCACAACTTATGCTGGCAGGGCCACAACCAATCAAGGCAACTTTTTCCTGATGCGCAGCGTTCCTGTTTTTTACGATCTCGGGGTCCAACGTTTGGGAGATATTCATCTTCATAAAGGTCTCGGTTGCAAACTGTTGAAGGCCCCCAATGTTGATGGGTCCCTCTTCTGTTGCAGCCAAATTGCAACTTCCAACGCAGAGATCAGAGGTCGGGCAGATCATTCCGCAAGTCAGCCCGAGGGGATTATCCGAAAAGATTTGCTTGGCAGCACCATAGTAATTCTACAAAGCAAACCGCGAAAGGATTACTGTATAAAAAATGAAATCGATTACCTTGTTGGAGATGCTAGTAATGAATGCTTTGATATCCAGTTGAGTTGGACAAGACTTCTGGCAAGGGGCATCGGCACATTTGAGGCATCGCCAGGCTTCTCTCAAAGCTCCGCGCTCACTCAAAGTTGTATGTTTTATGTCACGGAAGTCGTTTTCATATTCATTGTTACAGGTCTGGAAGTAATCTTATTCATTTCTACGTATATTTTGGTTGATTATTTTACATACGGCATCATTTTTTGGGACCAACATTCACAGAATTTAAACGCAGACACAAGAGTGTAAAAAATTAAAATCTGGCGTTATCAGTCATGGTTTGGGGTCATTAATCAAGTTTATCATCAAAAAAGCTTCAAAGTTTAACAAAATAATCGACAAAAGACGAAGGCATCCGCCCCAGGAGTATATTACGTACGAAGCCTTCGTCTTCTTGCAAAAAAGACCAAAGGTATCCGCTATTTATAGAAAAAAAATCAGTTAAACCTGCAATAAAGAAAGGAAGAATGTAATGTGTTAAACGTACAAAACATCCTTTGTCGGCGTTTCTTTTCCAATTATGTTTTTCTTTTTTCGTAACAATCGACGGTTTGAAAGTGGCAGTTGTTCGGACTCGCGGATTCAACGCAAGAATGTCCTAAAATCTCAAAACTAAGAGTCGCACAGCAATACGTGTGAGTTGTAAACTAAGCTCTGACTTACCTCAATATCGGCAGGATCGACGGTCACGGGCATTCTTCGATAAGACCCGCAAACTTAGAAAGGCCCGGCGAATGAACAATCGGAAAGTTTTAGGGCCTCCCAAAAACGGGAAATGATAACAGAAATGGAGTTGAATTAAAAAAGGGGAGGAATGGTTTCGGCGAAGAAAAATGCGCAGTCATATGAGGTCTAATAACATAAAATAACAGTCGTCTCGATCAGCGATCACTCCTGGTCTCTCTCGCGCGTCCGATCCCTCTCCTTTTATCGTATTTATTCGGGCTTATCAAGATCATTTTGAGTGTTATCAGTGATTAGACAATGTAATTAGTAATAAAATGAAAAGGCATGATTAGACTGGTGGAAAGGAATTGTATGAGAATATCTGATAAAAAAAGATTACTTCAGATGAGTTAAAAAGTGTGTGGCCTCGACAGAAGAGCCGACTTGTCGTCGATGGGATAACATTTCTTTTCGTGTTCGCTTTCGCTGACCGAGTGATCGAATTGATCCAAAATTCCGACCAATTCTTCAATCTCGGCCCATTCCTTGACTGATGTTACCGTATCCATCTTTAATGAATGTAAATGTCGAGCCAAGTAATCTCTGGAATGAAGTCCCATTATCAAAGCAGCTGAATACACAGGTATTCGAATAGATGCAGCTAAATGATGACAATCTTTGAAGGTGGCTGGGTCTCGGCAGTTCTCTTTGGCCTGTTCGAAGAGGTCGTTACACTTGATTAGAGCTGGCCTGTGATCAAACCTGATGGCATAATCAAGGACGAGACGGCGGATCTCGGTCTCCTCATCAAATTTATCGGCTTCAGTCCAATCAACAAAGCCATAGAGCTGTTCCATGAAGGGTTGAAAATCCTGGAATATCAACATATGCAAACATTCCGGCCCATCTTAAAAATCTACAGTATAATATACCGGACCTGGACGATTGGGGAAACAACAAGTGGGAATGCGATACGACGTTACCGCTTTCCGATATCTCATCTCCACAAATACCTTATTTATACATAGTTTCTTTTCACCTGACATGCCCTTACAAGGGCTCGGCAAAACCTCGTCCCCTGGTTTCTTCTTGAAACATATACCATTTGAAAGAGCGTAAAAAACTGGTATAGGATCACCTCGAATTAGCTGCTATTATTCACTTACACGCTGGCTAGCGAGCATTTTTTAGTTCTAGGCTTGTCTCACCCTTCTTTTGAGAAAAGAAACGCAATCGATTTCAAAAGCACAGCGGAGCAGTGCTTCGGTGGCCTAGTGGGGTAAGGCGCTTCACAAGGAGGACCTGCGGATCGGGTTCGAATCCCCTTTTGATTTTTTAAACTTTTTTAACTATTATGGAACGAATAAGGCCAGAAAGTTGTCTTTAATTTTCAAATAGACTTTTGTGTATACTCGCCTCCGTTTTAAAAGCAAAAACGGCAACTTTTTTTGATCTTTTTGATTTTGGCGTTTTTGACCTTGCAATGGGACATCCTGGATGGTTGAAACTTTCAAAGGCTTTCATCTTGTTACGAGGAATTCCCGCAAATAAAAAGTACATAAAAATTGAGTGTGAAAACGTCTTACATGTTTGAAACATCTTAGTTTCTCTTGGGTTACAGGACCTACAACATCGCGCAATCGCTCATTGAGTACATCGACCTGAATGTCTCCAACGCAAAAAAATGTTTATATTTTTTGACGTAGGTTGAAGCGTTCAATCCCATAGGTAACTAATATTTATATGAAAAGTGTTTATTCGGTCCTGTTCGACCCTCAGAAGCAAAGAATTACAAAATCCAACTTGAAAATCTTAAAAAATGCTCGCTAGCCAGCACGTAAATGGATAATAGCAGCTAATTCAAGGTGATCCTAGACCAGTTTTTTACGCTCTTTCAAATGGTATATGTTTCAAGATAAAACCAGGGGACGAGGTTTTGCCGAGCCCTTGTTAGTTACATGTGAGTTGTAATGGATTACCACCCAATCTTTAAAACACATGTTAGACGTCGTTTTAAAAAATCAAAATTTCGTTTCTTTTACCGAGATAAGCAATAAAGCCATGGAAAGTTGAAACCGACTACAAATTCATCTTTTGTGAGGATAGACTAGCCAATAAAGGATCTGGCTAGCGAAAAATTTCATTTCCCCCAATCGACCACGTTCCATAAAACACATACCAAATTCAATTTGCTTTCAACAACTAATTCAACAACTCTTAACGGGACTTTGAAGACGTCCAAAGAATCCACAATACTCAACAGACAGCTTCCATATATTTCGGTTCTAAAAACAGAATTGATGAAAAATTATATAATATATTATACAATATTATAACCCCTTACTTAGCATTCAAACCAAGTTGAGTTGCAAACGAACTGATCACAATATTGTCCATGGATCTGATCAGAGAGTAGCTTTCCAATCTTCGATGATACTCATTTATAACCAAAGGTGACAAATGGATCGCCACAAAATCCGAGGACTCGGGATTAAAGACAAGTAATCTAGTGTTGCGGAGGCTGAATGCCTTGTTTGGTTTGCAGAGAGTGCCATCTGAAATAACGAAGCATATAGCGGAGGTGACTTATAACTTTTTTTCAATCCTGCCAAGAGCGGCAAGTTTAGTCCTCCCTGAACTTTGGACTAAACTCCGGCTGATCTTATCCATGGCTTACACTGAATTCGGGTTTTTAGTAAAATTTTATGCTTAATTTGGGCAAGATACGCTAAAATTTAGTTCAAAGTTAAGTTTGATTTATAAATCACCTCCGATATACGTATGTACCTAAAGTATGAACTGGACTTTGTCATTTGAAATATAATACCTTTTTTTATCCAAATAAGTTCAGTTCTTTCGCTTTCCGAATCCCATATATGCAAGGGCAATATCCACTTGTTGTTTGAAGACGTGGCGCTTACATTGAACGTATAAACATCTTCCACAAGGTCAATGTAGACGACGGGATGGTCAGTTTGAGTGAGGAAGTCATCGACAAATTCTTCAAAACTTATTTGGCCATCGCAAATTGTTTGTCCTCGTAAGGCCTGGAATAACGCAGGCAACGTGTTAAACGGTAACAAAACATTCAACTTTTCAAAAATATAAGTAAGTCAAACTTTTTTCATCGCAGCTACAAATCCCTTGTAATTAGTCGTCCCCTTCCCACGATCTTCCAAATAATATCCAATGGCATCAGAAAAGATGTCATCCCCGAGAACTGAGTGGAACATTCGGACCATCGCTTCCCCAACAAGATAAGTGATAGCTGGAAAAGATTATGACTATTGACGTAAGCATACCGTCATAGTGCCCTTTGTCGCTGATGACTGGATGTTGCGCCCATTTCATTGCGTTTAGAGCCTTCAGATTTTTGCCGATGATTTGTGTGTTTTGATAGGTCTAAAATGTCGGGTAAAGACATAAATCAGGAAAAACCCGTATGAAACTACCACTACACTTACCTTTAGTGTTGTATTCCATTCCAACGCTCTGTTCCCATAATACGACGCCAATCCCTCACTCAAAAATAAACCTGTCCAATCCTCAAATCCTACAAAATCTCCGAAATAATGATGAGAAATCTCGTGGCAAATGTTCTGAACCGTCTGGAACAACTTCCTTGTATCAGATGTTGGAGAAAGAAAGGCTGTTGTTGAGGATAAAAAGATGAGACCATGAGATTCTGAGCTGAATCCTTGATTTAAAGTGGCCAGAAGTTTTAGTTCAGAGACCGGGAAAGATCTTCCCAGTAAGCCCTCAAGATGATCTAGACATTGAACAGCAGCGTCGAGATGGAACGAGGATGGAGATGGGTAACCGTGAGGGGTGAGGAGAGTTATCTGAAAAACAAATTATTCGGTATTATTAATACCAAGTGCCGATTAACAATGCCAAAAACAATTTATTCGACTTACATTGACTCCGTTTTGGCTGGTTCTTGAGAGCTTATGAAAATTCCCAACAGCAAATCCCAGAAGAAAAGAAGGGATCTTATCCGACCTTTCAAAAACCACCGTCTCAAATTGCCCTCTAAATACGCATAAAGCTTGTTTTACTTTACAAACTTACTGTGGAATGACATGCTTTACTTTACTTCCACTAACAGCCTCAATCCCCCTCGGGATAATCAATCGAAGATCGAAATGAGCTCTGTGAAATGGATCATCAAAATTGGGAAAAGCTCTTCGAGCGTTCTTTGGACTAAACTGAGACTGCAAAAGTTTTGTTTGATGTCTCTGATCCTTCTGAAGATGCAATCCAATGGGATCATTGTAGATTTGACCTTCAAAATGAAATACCAACAGATACTTGATGCCCACTTGGAACGTCTCCTGGCCCTTGAGATCCAAAGCATCATCCTTCGATGTTACAGTAATCGAAATGTCTTTGGAGGGATTATCAAATTCAGAGAGTGAAGACCTCAACACCGTCAAGTTACATGCGTGTAGAGAGACGTGATCGGAGGAATTGAGTACTTGGAATCGAATTTTAACATCTCCTCGAAATCTGGAATTAGCTAAAACAATGACGAGTTTTACATTATAAAGAACACCTTACAATTTGCAGCATACGAATTAATCAGGCGCAAGTCAAACTCAATCTCATATGATTCCACAATGACATTCTTATCCGGATCACTTGCCAAATCGTGTCTCTCAACTAAACCGGGATACATTAATCATGGTTAACATCATAAATAGTCTTTAAAAATCATAGCTAACATTATAAGCAATGGTTAAAAGCACTTTCAACTTACCGCCACCGTAACCCCACACCGAGTAAAGAGATAAGATCCATAAAAGGACCCACATTCCGGCCGAATACCAGCTAGTGAGCGCATTTCGGTTGTCCGAAGACTTTTTTGGTCGTATGATTCAAAGGTTTTACGAATTGGTGAAAGGCGATTGTACAGACATTGCCCTCGGGGCCGGAGCGAAACTCATTTAGACTCATCAAACCCGAAAAGTTTTAACGCAGAGAAGTCGGAGGGATTCTGAAATGAATCTTGAATATCATGAATAATATCTGATTCGGGAAAAACCAAAAAGATGTTGCGGGGAGGGAGAAAACAACAACAGCATGTCAACCACAAAGAAAGTTGATGCAGGTTGCTCTGGATTCTACCGTAATTGCAACATTAAGCTAGAAACCAAAAGAGAACAAGGCGCAAACTGAAGTTGACCTAGAAAAATTCAAATTTCAAATACAACTGTTTAGATCTGGGGCCAATGCGCTATCTGAAAGTTTGCTGAAAATCATAGGGCGCAGCTCGGAGAATTCGCACGGGCGCAGCTCGCGTCTTGGGCGCAGCTCGAAAACAGGCCGAAACTTAGCTCCGGCGAGCTGCGAAACGTTGTTTTCCGAGCTGCGCCCTACCATTTTCAGCTAACTTTCAGCAAACTTTCAGATAGCGCATTGGCCCCTGCAAGTTATGCTTTACCAATCGTCCTAAAAAACACTAGTTTGGCGTGCGGGTTCCTTTTTTGATCACACAATTTTTCGAATAAAAGGGCGACATCAAGTATCGGGCGCGACTCGCGGCCTATGATGTTCCCTTATTTTTTGAGGTGCAAGTTCATCGGAAAGTCTGTTGCAAGAATATTTTATCGGGTTAATTCCCATCGGTTTCTTTCTGTAAGATTTCGGCCGCATGCATAATCTGTATATTCACCATATTCCAAGTGCTTATTTTTATTTTTTGTTGTGCAAAGTGATAAGATCTCTAGATTTATTTCCGTGGAACTTGGATAATACAATTTTACGTTGTCCATAAATATTGGCAGTGTATGTGTCTTTTTTCCACGTTTCCCTTGAGAGTTTGAGTTTATGATCCTCCGCATTTTTCCTTAACCTTCACTTGATTTTGAGCGAAATTACTGGCGGAAATATATTTGGCCATGTTTTGTGCGAACCCTTTCTTTCAACCCGGATTGGACGCTATTTCCTTTCGTCTTGGCCGATGTTTTTTACGTCCAATTCTCGTTTCTTGGTCTTGGAATTCTCTCTTTTCAGGTGTTTTCTCGCTTGGTGTACAATATAAATTAGAAGTTTTTGCGTGTAGCTTGTTGGGAAAGGCGTTATTCAGGTGGTTTTCGGATGTTTGAAGCCAAATGAAGGGTGTGTCCTTTATACAGGCAGCACTTTAAAATTGTTCGTTCTTTTCGATCGAGTGCAATGTAATTTTAGGGTAGTTATTAATGAGATTTCAATTATGCAACACCCTTTGTGTAGTAGTCCTTGTCTCGTCATACATGTCTCAGTTTTTATCGGCCATTGAAGCGTGTTTTAGGATTATTACTGACAGATTCGAACAAGATAAACATAAGAGACGAAGAAACGCGAATTCCCTACACGTTGTTTGACGTCTCGCTCCTTTTATTCTTTGCACTCGCGCCATTCCGCTTACAAATTTCAATAATTTCACCCTGGGGCCATAACCCCCCACGTTTTATGTTATCCATTGTTCGAGGAACCAGTTCGGTTGACAAAGACCCGCGCTTATCGTGGTGTCTGATACGAGGAAATAATTCCAATAATGTTTTTATTATTTCGTTAATTTTTATTGGGTATTTTTTGCTGATTCACATCGATTTATTTCATGGGTAATGTAATTTTGTTGTATAAACCGAAGTAATCCAATATTCCGAGTCAATGTTTTTTCTTGGTATTTAGGAAATTGTTAAACTGCTCCTCTTTTTTTATCGGGTTTACACGTTTTATAAGAATATTTTAACTAATTTTTTTCAGCCTCGCCACCTCCAGGAATCATGATTATCAAAGAATAGTAAGTCCTTAATTGTTATATTAGCTTGATTTTTAGTCGGATCGTACTGCCCATGTCAGTAGAAGAATACCAAGTTGGGCAACTGTTTTCGGTGGCTGAAGCATCGAGAAATGAGACTGGAGGGGGTGAGGGAGTGGAGATCTTGAAGAATGAACCTTTTGAAAACTTTCCGCTTTTTCATGGAAAGTTCGATAATGGTCAGTATACTCACAAGATCTACCATTTACAATCGTAAGTTATCTTGATAGGTTTCTGTTATTGTCGCAGTATTTTTTACGTCTACATCAAAAAACACCTTTAGGAAGGTGCCGCCGTTTATACGTAAAATCGCGCCGAAAGGATCTCTCGCCATTCATGAAAAGGCTTGGAACGCATATCCGTATTGTAGGACTGAACTTAGTGTAAGTTTACGAGAAATATGTTTTGGCGATGAGGTTGTTGCTGATTTACGGTTGTTTCAGAACCCCGATTACATGGGTGATAACTTCTTTGTTCGGATTGAGACCATGCACTTGAATGATCGAGGGCAGAACGTAAATGTAAGCCCATTTCGACTTGCTTTTTATGCTTTTAGGCTCATCAACTTAAACCTGAAGTCCTGGCGAAAAGAGATCTGATAGATATCAACATTGCCAACGACCATGAATTTTTGACTCCCGCAGACGTCAAGCCAGAGACCTCGCCTTCCAAATTCATCTCCGAAAAAACCGGGCGAGGTGAACTTGATGTTGAAACATGGCGGGAGACCGTAGAACCCGTTATGTGTGCTTACAAATTGGTCACAGTGCATTTCAAGTGGTTTGGACTACAAAACATAGTAGAAAACTTTGCACACAAGGTAAAACTTGCCTCCTTTCATTATAGTACTTTGTTTCAGCAATATCCTCGATTGTTCTCCAAGTTCCATCGCGAAGTATTCTGCTGGATTGATCGATGGTACGGCCTCACAATGGCTGACATCCGTGAACTGGAAATGTTGGCGCAAAAAGAGCTTGATGAGGTAAAGTACTGCAAAATTTGCTTATGTTTGTGTTTAGGCTCGCAGAACGGGTCACGTCCGTGGAATGACGGCCTAACGATCTTGACACTTCTTCTAACAAGGTCAAAGCTTGTTCCTGATCCCGAGTTAATGTAATTAATAAATAAAGATGATCATGCCATCCATCTCTCTCTTCTTCTCCTTCCAAATCCCCCAATGCGCTCTCACTAGTCGTTCTGTTAATGTTACTGATGGTGAAAGTGGACCCTGTCTGTAAGCAACTCTTCTTATCCTATATTCTTCAGTTATACTTCTAGCCCCCTTTCATTTATGTTCCTCTTATATTGTGTTCCCTTTCCCATTTATGGTATCCGTATCATCTCATTGTCCAGTTTTGAGTGATTGTGACCCTTTTGTGTCTTTTTTTGCTAATAAGTCTTTTGATGATAGACTACTTCTTTAAAAAAAAATAAAAATAATGACCGATAGTGTTTGGCGTTTAGTTCAGTACTTTTTCCTTCGACAGTATTTCGTTTAAAAAAATGACGTCAATCTATCGGGTCGGGCCTTAGGTCTCGCCGAACCGGGCTGGCCTTCGGAAATTTTGAAAACGGGTCAGGCCTACTTTTTCATCGGGCCGGGCCCCGACGTGGCCAAGGCCCGGCCCGATAGCCATGCCTGGGGGCTTCACAACCTCCATCAAATACGGTTGTTCCCAGCTTGCAACGAAACGCCAATATTTGGTCTCATCCCGAAAACATTTTAATTCTCTACGTCAAAATTTTGGCCAACTGAAAATTTTGTGTGGACTGCTGTTTGTGATACGAGTTACACGTATTGTATTTATAAATTGGCATAGACGTGGCCGAGCATGGCGGAACCTCATGTGGCGCCGTCCGCCAAGAATAGCAGCAAGTTGGGATACACGACATTCCTCACATTCGCCATCCTCACCTTGGCATGGGTGGTCGGATTCGCTTCTCGGTTGTTCGCTATAGTTAGATTTGAGTCTATCATTCATGAATTTGATCCATGGTGAGTACTTTCGCATCCTTACTGAGCATTTTGTGTTTAGGTTCAATTACCGAGCAACAGCATACATGGTAGAGAATGGGTTTTACAAGTTCTTAAATTGGTTTGATGAACGAGCATGGTATCCTTTGGGAAGAATCGTTGGAGGAACGGTAAGAAACTCCTAAATGTTGCGTTTTTTCCAAAGCATGTTTGAAATGTTGTCTTTTTAAAGGTCTTCCCCGGGTTGATGGTCACCTCTGGTGCCATTCATCATGTCCTCAATTCCTTGAACTTCCCAGTCCACATCCGTGAGGTCTGTGTCTTCCTGGCGCCATTCTTCAGTGGTCTTACAGCTATTGCAACATATTTGTTGACAAAAGAGGTCTGGTCTGCTGGAGCAGGACTCTTCGCTGCGTGCTTTATTGCGATTGCTCCGGGGTACACATCCCGATCAGTCGCTGGTTCTTATGACAATGAAGGAATTGCTATCTTTGCTCTGCAAGTAAGTTTTGAATATATATATATATATATATATATATATATATATATATATCTTTTATTTATTTTCCAGTTTATATTAACATTACTTGTTTTAGTTTACTTACTTCTTATGGCTCCGTTCCGTTCGTACTGGCTCGGTTTTTTGGGCAGTTCTGACCGCTCTGTCCTACTTTTACATGGTTTCTGCTTGGGGTGGATATGTATTCATCATCAATCTGATCCCTCTGCATGCCCTTGTCCTCATATTGATTGGAAGATACTCAAACAGATTATACATTGCGTTTACGGTGTTTTATTGTCTTGGAGAACTCTTGGCTATGCAAGTTCCTTTTGTTGGTTTCCAACCAGTCAAGACTTCTGAACATATGGCTGCTTTTGGTGTTTTCGGTATACTTCAGGTAAGGTTGTTATTCGTTATAAATTATGTTCTTCTTTTAGCTAGTTGGAGCCCTGAAATACATGCAAAGTCGGATTAACCGGCAGCAATTCTTAGTGCTTTTTGCCGCCGTTGTGGGATTGACGATTGTTTTGGGAGTTTTGGTAATCGCTCTTTTGACCTACGCCGGATATATTGCTCCGTGGTCTGGTCGATTTTACTCTCTTTGGGATACGGCCTATGCGAAAGTGCACATTCCCATAATTGCTTCAGTATCAGAGCATCAACCCACCACTTGGGTTTCCTTCTTCTTTGATCTTCACATTTGTGCCGCCGTTTTCCCTGCCGGGCTCTGGTTCTGCTGTCAAAATGTTACTGATTCCCGTGTTTTTAGTAAGTAGAGAGCACAAGGATTTTTATGCTTTATTTTTAGTTATTCTCTACGCCGTTACTGCTGCATACTTTGCCGGTGTCATGGTTCGGTTGATGCTGACCTTCACTCCCGTTGTTTGTGTGCTTGCCGGTATCGCCTTCTCGGTTATCTTCGAGAAATACATGGTGGATGACACTCAGCCCCGAAAGGAAGAATCAATCAGTGAGAAGAGACTCTATGACAAAGCCACCAAAGCAAAGCCTCAGCCTAAAGTTGCCCATGAAAGTGACGATGTCGGGATGAATGGAAGAACTGGAGTCAGTCTGGCCTTGTTATTCATCTTGTTGATGTATGTTGCTCATTGTACGTATGTAACAAGCAATGCCTACTCTCATCCAAGTGTTGTTCTGCAGTCGTCGACTAACGACGGGTGAGTTGGCTCACGAATTGACTGTTTCTATTTTGAAAATGTTGCTTTTAGTGGTCGTTACATTATGGATGACTTTCGCGAAGCATATTATTGGCTCCGAAAGAACACCCACGAAGACGCTAAGGTGATGTCGTGGTGGGACTATGGATATCAGATCGCCGGAATGGCCAATCGGACTACATTGGTCGACAATAACACTTGGAATAACTCTCATATTGCGATGGTGGGGATGGCAATGTCATCAAACGAGAGCTTCTCCTATGAGATAATGAAGTCTTTGGACGTGGATTATGTCCTTGTCATCTTCGGTGGAATGATTGGATATTCGGGAGATGATATCAACAAGTTCTTGTGGATGGTCAGAATTGCCGAGGGAGAACATCCCAAGATCATCAAGGAGAGCGATTACTTTACGGAAAGTGGAGAATACAGTGTTGGGCCAAATGCTCCGAAGGCAATGACCGACTCAATAATGTACAGGATGTCTTACTACAGGTTTGGGGAAGTTAGGGTAAGTGTAGATATCATGATAATTATTTTGAAGCTTATTGAATAACGGCCATTGTTTTTTTTTCAGATGAGCTTCAACCATCCCGGCGGAATGGATAGAACAAGAGGATACGCCATTGGATTCAAGGATTACAAGCTGGAGCATCTGGAAGAAGCGTACACTACTGAGAACTGGCTGGTTAGAATATTCAAGGTGGTCGATAAGAGCAACCGACCGAAGGTCAAATATTCGGACAGGAAAATCAAGTCCAAGAAATCACCAGCTATTAGCAAGAAGGTAGGAAGGAGATTAATGAGTAAATCGATTGATATCGTCATTTCAGAACAAAAACAACAAGAAAGGTGTCATCAAGGCCTAGAATGCTCAATGGTTGTTCGCTTAAACTGGTCAAAAGTCACTGAAGGTCTTGTTCCCGATATTATTAAGGCTGTCTTGCCCTATTTATTATCAATAGTTAGTAATGTAATAATTATTGTTGTTATTTATTCGAGGTAAAGATTGTGATATCCGATAAATATAAGGAGTATTTCTGGTTCCCCGCTCATCCAACATGTCTGAAATCTGGTTCCCCGATCAATCGAAATGGTTGAGGTACGACGACAATCTGAGACAGACAGAGATTGATTCAAGACCACGAAGATTCGAACCGCCTTCAACCCCTTGCGGTGATGAAAATTAAAAACTTCTTGAGGGGTGGGCTGGTCCCAGAACCATGTCTAACAAGACAAGAAGGCAGATTTGTGGTTTGGGAACCACGACTGCAAGGGATTCGGGTGAAGATTGAAAGGAAAACTACAGATCCACCGGTAACTCGAGTGGATATTTACATTAAGCGGATCTTGACAGTATTCGAAACGCACGCCTTATAAACTTTAAATCCAATAATTTAATTTCACCAAAAGTATCGTTAAGACTACGGTCTCCCTATAAGCTATTGAACTTCCTGAAGTATGCACTTGTTCGGGTCGACAGATGTTTCGTAGATAATCCTTATCATCCCAGATTGTAAATGGGGTTCGAAGTAATTTCTCGGGTTCTCCGCAATTCAACGGCGGCTAAAATAAATAAGTCAGCGTCTACATTAACCCCTCTGAAACCAATCAGAGACAGTTACCGTAAACTTGGAGCAGCGAGGATCGCATCTATGGCACAACCGGATAGAACAAGACAATCTTATCGTATCGGCTCCAACTAATCGTACAGATAACCAGCCAACGGAGTATGCGGTTAGAAGATTTCTTTCATATTTCGGAGAACTGAGCATTGTCTTCTCTCTACTGCAGCCATTTTTATTGATAAGATAAATCGGATTGGTGGCACTTCCAGTCCAACATTCTTGCACTCGCATCACATGATCTTCTAAAGCCGAACGTCATCAATTCTGAGTAAGCAGTTTACCTGTGTTGTTACAGTTCCATTTGAAACATATCCGTGTGTTCCACGACAGCTTGTCGCTCTGTTTTATGATTTTATTCATGCAATTGTCTCTATGCAAACTCAAAGCGCATGTTGTGTTCTCCGAAGCAGTCAAATTGGAGTACTGATAACTGATATTTAACGGCTCTATTACTACTCCAATCTTGCGATCGACTAGTTCGCTGAACTGACTCAGATCTGGTTCCTTCCGAACAGCACTTCTCACGTCCGTTATCAGCTATAACAACTCTTCCAACACCAAATAATTCCTACCGTAATGAAGAGTTGCAAAATAAAAACAAACATCTTCGAAGTCACATAGGGCTCATTTGGGACTCGGCCATTACCCGTTTTCAATTAAGTGACTTAGGATTGGCGGAAGAAATCCCGAAACTTTTTTGGAAATCCCGGTTAGAAACGTTGGCCCCAACGTTTCCCCCGAGGCGCTGCAGATGGCAGAAGGCGATGAAAAATGGTTGGTCAGCCCGTTTAGGATCCCGAGAGACCAGTTGGACGAAGGAATAGGAGGAGACTGCATACACGAGAATATCCAGATAAGAACGCCGACGACAATAAGTTGTTGTCATAACAGATCAAATTCATAATACTATCGAAAGATGACCGTAACAACGTTTATTTTTTAACAACAAGAATTTATAGAAGAGTAACAATAACAAAGATCTACTGTGCGGGAGAATCGCTAAGAAGGAAAGACAGCAGGAAAGGGAACCACTCAACAAAATAGACTAACTACGACCTAACTACATGGTTAAAAGCTCTAAAACCTAAAGAAACCTGGTAAACACAAACATAATATACATATACGTTAAGAATCTTATACACAAAACAACAAATAATAAAGTTAATGTAAGACTAGAAATCTCGTTTCGAAAGCAGTGGGCGGAATGTCCTATCCAACGCTTCCTGAATGACTTCAGTAATATCTTCGTTCTTCTTATCCGACCCCACTTGATTTGGTCCGAATGTGTACTCAGCAACCTGTTCTCGAAGTTGCGTTGCCTGACTTCGATCCAATTCTTTCATTATAGCCATAAGCAAGTTCAACGCGGAAGTATGGCTGGCACAGATCTTAAATTACGCAATCATAACATCATAAAGAAGAACTCACCAATAGCAGATGATACAACACAAAACCAGCATCCTCGTAGAGTCCATTACGACATCGAATTACCGTGGTATTAACGGCCAGAAAAGGGCAGTGCAATAACAAACGAGCAAAGTTGGCCATCGACCACAGCGGCTGAGCTACAACGAATGAAAATTAATTTTCCGAACTCTTACTTGTAACATCTTCGAGGAGCATGAATACTTGGCCTCTGGACCATCTATGCTTCGTCTTGGTGGACCTATTTCTCAGTTCATTCAGCATGTGGAACAATTCTGGGAACCCATCAAGTTCATTCTGACTCTGTAGACTTTCTCCGTCTCCATCCTCAAGGGCTTCAAAGTCGATTATACCTTAGAAAGATTAAAACGAAGAGGTGAAAAGCTTCTTACTTTCGTTAATGTCTTCGATATTACGCGGGCTAAATAAGAGCTGAGCCAAGTAATATTGTTTTCTGACATCGGTGGTTTTCCTCAAGAACATCGATACGATCACCGCTCTCTCAAGTCTGACAGATCGCCTGTTGTAAAATAAATTTACAAAACGTTCAAAAAGAGATTCTTCTAGATTCTTATTCTTCCGCTTATGTTGTCTGACCATAATATACCTTTTCACATCTTCTTGGAACCAGCAAGCATAGATCTGATCAAATATTTCCTCATAATGAGTTGAGGTGAAGGTGTTCATAAGCTAAAAACATGAAAACTTCAGGCAAAAGCAACTTACCGCATTAAAGGCAATGGCAATGGGAATTTGGTACCTGTATTCGAAAGCTAGCTTAAACCATCGAACTGTCATACCAACCCGGTCGCGAGAGTAACGAGTATGAAATATTTCGACTAAAACGAGAAAATTAATAAAAAGCTATACCAGCTGACACTTACACAACTTGGACATAAAGCAGCATTTTTCATGGTAATTGAGAGCGGGAAAATGGTGGGCAAGAAATGGTACCTGTTGGGTAGAAGACAAGAATTCTGCTAACTCCATCTTTGTTTCCTTCGAAACAAGTGACATTCTAACCAGGGCTTTTATGTCCATATTCCGGAAGATCTCCCACAACATTTCGCGAGGTAAGGAAAGCAGTGGATTGACTTTGGAAACATCATAACCTAAAACTTCATGCAGGAAAAAGTAAAAACATACGATTGGAAGTTCTCAAACACTTCAGATTAGGCGATTCTTTTGCATAGGCTTCTGCATGCCGCCGTTTTCGAGTAAAGAAGAAATTACTAAGCGTCTGAAGAAATAAATAAAGCATCATATTATTATACTTACCCGAAGGACACCTCGCCCACTGTTCATCAGAGAGGTCGTTGAAAAATTGAATTTCGATTTTCCGGGAGATTTGAATTTTAAAGGACGTTCCGAAAAATGGGACTGTATTACAAAGGTTTTCGTTGTGGGACCGCTAGAAAGTATGTAACTAACAAGGGAAGTACTTGAAGTGTGACGCTCAGATTTTGATGAAACTTGGCATAAATTTAGAATAATTTTTTCTAAGATATATGCGAGAATCCTAGCTTGCGCTTTACAGAAACAACCGAGATTTTTAGATCAAAAGTCGGCGAAAATTTAGGACTTTTTGCCGAATTTCGGCACGAAAAGTTTCATGCCTATTTCAACTGTAAAGGATAATGTTTCTACAAAAAACCAAATTTTTTTGCGCGAAACTGCCAAAGTTATGGCCAAAAAGCGCTTTTCTCTCTGACCGCTCTCCACGTTTAGCGAGAGTTTAGCTCTCTCGGCGGCAAAAATCGTTCGATATCTCGGCGGCGCCCGCAAAGCGCGAGCTAAAACTTTCAGGAATTGATATTTAGTCCATACCCGATGTGTGTGCAAAATTTAAAGAAAATCTTGTTCGATCCATCGACGGAAGTAACTAAAATCGGATCGAATGTCGCCGGAAAAAGAGACGGGCCAAGTCTCTCTTGTTTTGTTTTGGTTCGCAACACTTTTGAATCTATTTTGCTTTTGTCATCATTTTTGGAATTAGAGAGATCTCGAACGACTTGGAGAGAGGTCGTCACTTTTGGTAGCAGATAATTAGTATTTTTATCAATTTCTTGTACTGTAATTTCATTCGGGTAATTAAACGAATCTAAAGCTATTCCGCGGAGATAAGTTGAAAGGGACATCTGTCCAATTATTTTGTTATTCCGTTTGCTAAGGCAAGCGTTGTACTGAACCTTAGGGTTCAAAATTGGATTCATACCACGAGATACGAAGCTACAACTGTAAGCAACTGAGGTTTCTTACAGTATTGGGGGCTAAGCCGGTAATCCGTTACCGAGTCAGTCAAGATAATGGAACAGAATGAGGTAATCAGGAACGCGGAGACTCTCGGAAAGAAGTTGAACGATGCCGTGACGGCCGCCTGGGATCTGGAGAGGTCTGTGAATCCGGAGTTGGAGGCGTGTCAAGCGGATCCATGTAGGGAGTCGTCAATAGATCTAAAATCATGGGTGGCCAAGTTAGTGAATCTGGAGAAATCATATGCCGGAGTACAGGATATGAAAGAAGAGATGAAGAACCTAGCGAACGATTCCGAGGATGAAAGCTTCAAGGAGTCGATTTACCGTTGGCTCACCAATGAATTGGAGACAAAGCTAGTCAGAATGAAGTACACATTAGATCATGGGTACTTTCTTGTCCAGAGACAAAGAATTGCTGAGGCAACTTTGAACTCGTGGGGGGTGTCAACCGATATATATGGTCAAGTGCGAGCCACTGAATATGCAGCAAAACGCCGACAACAACCAGATAGGAAGGCAAAGAGAAATCGGAACACAGAAAACAGCGACACCACTCCACGTCGAGACCTCAGGGCCAAGAAGACCAGGAGGGTGGAGGAAGAGATAATAGTAGATCAAGCGATTGAAAGTGAAGGTAAACAGCCAGAGGGCGAAGCGGAATCCGAGTACCTATCAGACAGCTCAGAGAACGAATATATGGAGGAGGAAGTGGTACAGCCACCTCCAGCCAGAAGGCGACAGAGATCATATCAACAAGAACAGAGTCATCCGAGATCAGAGTTAGCGGAGGAGATGACCGAGTTGTGCCGACTCATCAGATTGCAATTAGAGATTGGAATGAGATCTGAACCGAGGTCGAACGAACAACCGAGGCAAGGTACGGTCGATTACCGCGGTAATCCCCCACCTCAGTTGGTTAGCAGAGTATCGAATCGGGAAGAGTTTCGAAGACATATAACACAACAAGACTTTGATTTACATTGTCTCCGGTCTGAGGTAATTGAAGGTAAATTGCACTGTAGGTGCGAACCCCACAACATGCAGCAAGCCACGGCTTGTGCACCATCAAACGGGCATGAACTGACAAGATATACGGGGAAAAGCCCTGCGGATTGGAACATGTTCGTGGCGTCATTCAATGCACTCATTGGGTTGAACCCACGATACCCACCCGTGGTCAAATACCGCATCCTGAAAGAAAAAGTAGAGTATAGGGATGAAAAGATGATATCCAGCGGGAACATCACATCACGATCGTACACGCGGAGTTGGGAATGGCTACACCAATCCCATTCGGAACCCATGACGTGTTTAGAGTACGTTCGGTCGGTGTTAATGAAGATTAGCATTCGAGCAGACGGAGCGTCGCTGCCTCATATCAGGAGATTGTGGGACGGAGTCTGCGAATTGCGGGAGGCGGGCTACAATATGAAAGATAAGGATCTTCGTAAGGTAATCATGGCGACTTTGTCGGAAGATCTGGCCGGCAACATTAGATCATGCGCAGAAGTTGGACGTTTGGGAGGTTATAAACAGATCGCAGCTGACGATTTGGCTCGAGAAATCTTTGATTTCGTCACGGCAACAGTAGAAGATCGAGAAGCCCGGGAAAGTAGATATCAGCCACCAGGGAAATTCGCTCAGCAGCCATCAGTAGATAATAGATTTCGGAACGAGAAGGAATCCCACCACAAAGCAGGTCAAAATCACAGGGGGTATCATCAGAAAGGCAAGAATTCGTCATGTTGGTTTTGTCAAGGAATGCATCAGGCAGTCGTGTGTTCCAAGTTTCAGTCAGCGTCGGCTAGAATGCAGCAGGCTCGGGAGAAAGGACGGTGTTCTAAGTGCTTAGCGATGAGGCATGAAGGTAATTGTGCCATTGGAGCATGTTCGCGATGTGGAGAGAAGCATCACATAGCCTTCTGCGGCAAGCCAAGGGTCACTCCATCAGGCGGCAACTCTGCACCTCTAGATGACTCTAAGAGGAGATTGGTCGCAGCGCTAACCAACGACGAGGAGATGGAAATGCCAGCAAATCTTTTCATGACTTTGGATCTACCAATATCAAGGGAGAAGGGGAGCTTGATTCTTCCCCTGAGGGCTGCCATGGATACCCACAGTTCCATGAGTTTCATCACGATAGAAAAGGCCAAGCAACTGAAGTTGAAGCTGGGCGAGGAGGATAAGTCCTCTCTAACCGTGTTTGGAAACGTGCGGAACACGACGAAGATGTATAAAACAACCGCCTACATGCATTTAGATAAGGGGGAGGTCATTGCAATCGATTTACATGCGGTGGAGGAGATCATCGCACCGTATCCGATGATTGATAAAGTGCCCCAGGAAATAGATAAACTCTTCAAATGGGATCCTAAGGGATCTCTCATTAGGCGAGCTCCCGATCTTCTTCTCAGTCTTAGGCACACGTGGCTACTGCAACCTCAGCACATCGAAGCGCAGTTGGAATGCGGGTTGACGTTGATCAACACCAGGATGGGATACTTGGTGTGCGGAGGTGCCGCTGAAGATCCCATGCCGACAACTTTGTTAATTCATCACGCTGATGGCCGCGAGATGACACCGGAACAACGCTGCATAAGAAAATTATACGACATGGAGCATCTCGGAGTGAAGGATGAAGACTTTAATAAGACAGAGGAGGAGTTGGTAACTGAAAGGTTTATGAAGGAATTAACGGTGGATGATGAAGGAAGGTACCAAGTGAAGTTGCCAGTTAAGGACTGCATAAGTCAGCTGGGATCAAACAAGTTTCTCGCCACTCAGATAACCGAGTCTTTGAGGAAAAGGATCCTAAGGGATCCGGAGGCACAAAGGGCGTATCAGGAGACATTCCAACAGTATCTTGATGATGGTATTTTGGTAGAGGTATTTGATGACAGACTACCCGAGGAAGCCATTGGAGAACATTATCTGCCCCACCATCCTGTCAGGAAGGCGGATTCCAACACGACCAAGGTGAGGATTGTTGTCAACCCGACCGTGAAAACGTCGAAGACTGGCATATCATTTAATGACGCCATGTTCAAGGGCAGACCGGATCTTCCCACCATATTAGCCATCATGCTCCGAGCTCGTTGTTATAAAATCCTCACAATTAGCGATGTTGAGAAGGCGTATTTGCAGCTCACAGTTCACAAGGCGCACAGGTCATTATGTAGATTAATATATTGGAAAGATATTCACAAGCCTTTAGATAAAGATAACATCAGAATCTTCGAATTCCAAAGATTAAGCTTCGGCTTAAAGCCCTCCCCCTTCATACTGCAACAAACCCTCAGGGCCCATCTCGAGAAGACGGATCCTATCCTCGGCAAAGAGATAATGGCGAACATGTACGTCGATAACATCACAATTGGCGCGGCAAGTGATCAGGAGGCACAGCACAAGTCGGAGGAAGCAGTCAGATTATTTGCTAAGGCAAACATGAATCTCCGAGAATTCTTCTCTAATGGAAGCATTAACCTGCCAAAGGAGCGCATGGGCAACAGCGATAAGGTGAAGTTTCTGGGGACGGCTTGGGATATAAAGGAGGATGAATTCATTGTCAAAGTGCCTGTTCCAAAATTGTTCGTTGAAATTACTATGTCAGTCGTGTTGGGGGACATCTCATCATTATATGACTTACTTGGGTTGGCAACTCCGTTGTTGACCAAACCGAAGGCTTTCTTCCAATCATTGTGGCATTTGAAATTAAAATGGAACGAACCATTACCCCAAGACAAGAAAGAGGAGTGGGTCGAGTTAGCCAGAAATTGGAACGGGCAGGAACTAAGGTTCCCCCGATTCACACCCATCAAGCCGGGAGACGAATTGCATGTGTTCAGTGATGCAAGTGCAGTCGCAATGGGCGCGGTAGTGTACGCAGTAAGCAGAGACAATTCGTATCCCCCTGCAATCGTTGCCGCTAAGGGGCAAATAGCGCCGCTCAACAAGGAGAGAACGATACCTCAAAAGGAATTGGCCGGCGCAAACATCGGAATTCGTTTAGTTGAGACGGTTAAGCGGGAATTAGGGATGGATCTTGGAACAACCGCGTGGATAGATAACGAAGCCGTCATCTACTGGATTAAGTCAGGAGCAGATAAACAACCGCTGGCCATAAATAACCTCCTGAAAAGAATTTGGGACTCTTCGGTTCACCAGTTCAACTACGTTCCTACTGATCTCAATCCGGCCGATATAATATCCAGGGGATGTACACCGACGGAACTTGATCAATCGGAGCTGTGGAAACAAGGTCCAGCATTCTTATCTCAAACCAAAGATCGATGGCCGACTAAGTTGAACATTCATATTGAAGGCAGACCCTTTGACCCCAGCGGATCTGATGAGATGATCGTTCTTGCCACGGCAAGTGCGGAACTAAATACGGTGATTAAAACAATTTACAAATACAGCAGAATGGACAAAGCCGTCCGGGTAGTTGAATATTTGTTGATACCTTTTTTGAAGAAGAGGAAGATGGATATTACTGGCGATGAGATAAGAGATAAAGCTATGGCAGTGATCCATCGATTGGACCAGGAAGTCTGGCCACCTAGTTCAGATCAGCAAAAGGATTTAGGAATCTTTCGGGATTCCAACGGGGTACGAAGATCAAGAGGGAGGATCTCTAGAGCTGACCTATCAGAGGACACCCTTCATCCCATATTTGTTCATGACAAATCACCGTTAGCAAAGACGTTGGTTCAGCAGGCACATGAACAGTTATGTCATCAAGGCCCGAGTGCAACATTGAATAAGATAAGGTATAGATACTGGATTCCCAAGGGAAGACGGACAACATCAGGCATATTAAGACATTGTGCGCAATGTCGATTATGGCTAGCAAAGCCATTCTTAAGACCACCGTCGGAAGAGTTGCCGAGAGAACGAGTGGAGATACAACCGCCTTTCAGGAACATTGCATTGGACATGTTCGGACCGTTGAAAGTGCGGTCGGGAAAGAAACAGATGAAACGTTACGTAATAATCTTCACATGTCTCACAGTGAGAGCGATTCACATGGAAGTAATCAGCTCGCAGAGCGGAGAGGATTTCTTGTTGGCGTTCCGACGCTTCAAGGCAATCAGGGGATGTCCGAAATTCGTCCAATCGGATAATGGTTCTAACTTCAAAGCCGCCCATGATCTTATACAAAGAGAATGTGGAACTATGGATTGGAAATTCACTGATCCTCGGTCACCTTGGCAGAATGGGGTCGTTGAAAGGTTAATCAGGATAGCAAAGACAGCGTTTTATCGGTCGAAACCGCGGTTTCACCAACTCAAGGAAGCGGAGTTGATCACTGTAATAAAGGAGATAGAAGCCGCTATCAACCAGAGGCCTCTATATCATCGGGGGGACAAAAGAGATTCCCTACAGCCATTGAGGCCAATTGATTTTATATCGCCAGCGGGGTATCATTACCACAACCCAAGGCAGGCCCAAGACGATTACATCGTCGATCCCAGCTATGTTCCAGACTCAGAAAAAAGGAAACCAAAGGCGGACAGACCAGCGGATGCCCACCATCTTCTGGAGATGCACAGGACAGTGAGTCAAGTATTAGAAAGTTACTGGGAAATATGGCTGGAAGAGTATTTGCTGGATATTCGGGAACATGAGCGCGCGCCAAGAGATAAGAATGGGGTAAGATCGAAACCCAGGATTGGTGAGGTCGTATTGTTAGAAGGACCTATGCAAGATCGCTCAGAGTGGCCGTTAGCATTGATTACAGCAATAATACCCACTAAAGCCGGAACAGACCCCGGTTATGTAGTCGTCAGGAGGAGAGACAGTCAAGACCCAAGTGGACAAAGCTACAAATATCAAAACATGTCTATTCAGACGATTCTTCCATTGGAAGCGAATGATGATTTGGAAACGCCTGAAGGCGGAAGAAAAAATCAAACATCATTACCTGCATCAGCACAGACAGAAGAGACATCGAGGTTTTGTACGGGTGATGTGTTGGATCAGGCACAATCGGATTCAGCAGTTTCTACGGAAACAAATCAACCCAATATTATTTCCGCGGGAGATAATCTTGACCTGGGTGAGACAGTTGACCCACAGGACATCAGCTCCGAAAAGGGACCAAATTCTGAGAACAGGGATCGACGGTCCGCACAAAGAGTGCGACAACGATCGACTCGGTACCCAGAAGAGACCTACATTACTTGCGTGATTATAACATCGGGTTTCGGGGGCCGCGGAGGGCACGTCGGAGACCGACATGAGGGTTTTGGCAGTATACCGCATGCTAATCAGTGTATTTGTTGCAGCGCGGACGCCATAACGAGAACAACATCCGTTCCAAGTTCAACGACGTCAACAAGGTCATCATCAAACCAGCACAGAATGACCGAACGAAAGAAAATAACTTTTGCGGAATCGGAAGAAAAAGAAACGGTGGCAAAGCCAAGGACTCAAATTGGAGAGAGCTCTAAGAAGCCAAGGCTTCAGAGTCTTCTGGGAGAAGTTCGGGGATTCGAGCGGATGGAGCGAAAGAATCAACCTCCAAGAACGATTACAATTGACGATCCTGACTCATTATTCATCTGCAGAGCAGGACATGGGGATCATAAGGAATGCACGGTAACAACACTAGGTGATTTTGGTCGGAAGGAAGATCCCAGAAGAGAAATACATTCGCTGTATAGTATGGCAGCGGTGAATTGGATGGCAAGACTGCCGGATAATTGGAGACGATGCGATGGTTGGAGCCATACTACCTATTGGATCGACAGAGTCTAGTCGTACAATTCCAAATCCTTTATGAGGACAGATCGGACTTGAGAGAAATTGAGAGAGTTGGCCGCGAAACTACCGCCAGATTCGGATTTGCGAGCTTCGAGTTTTTGAATGGTCAGGGATTGAGTGAGTGTGCCAGATGGAGAATGGTGAGGAACAACAACGGACAGTCGCCTAAGGGCAACTTCGTCGTGGGGGAGTGTTCGATCCATCGACGGAAGTAACTAAAATCGGATCGAATGTCGCCGGAAAAAGAGACGGGCCAAGTCTCTCTTGTTTTGTTTTGGTTCGCAACACTTTTGAATCTATTTTGCTTTTGTCATCATTTTTGGAATTAGAGAGATCTCGAACGACTTGGAGAGAGGTCGTCACTTTTGGTAGCAGATAATTAGTATTTTTATCTATTTCTTGTACTGTAATTTCATTCGGGTAATTAAACGAATCTAAAGCTATTCCGCGGAGATAAGTTGAAAGGGACATCTGTCCAATTATTTTGTTATTCCGTTTGCTAAGGCAAACGTTGTACTGAACCTTAGGGTTCAAAATTGGATTCATACCACGAGATACGAAGCTACAACTGTAAGCAACTGAGGTTTCTTACAAATCTGAGCGTCACACTTGAAGTACTTCCCCTGTAAGTTTTATTGAACACGTCATGCCTTTCGCGAGGTAAACTTATTGTTAGTTTCTATGCACAACCTATATCTAACAAGGAGTACAACCGTGGACTTCTTCGGACAAAAATTGTTTGAGATACAGTACCAGGGGTGGTCAGCAGACCCTATTTTTCCGATTTTCGGCCCGCGGCCCGGCCCGTCTAATCACCGGCCCGGCCCGGCCCGTCTAGTCTTTTTCCAGGCCCGGCCCGGCCCGTGACGGGCCTGGCCCGGCCCGGCCCGTGCAGGCCCGTCTATAGAGGGTTCTGCGAACTGCGCCCAGGCTCGGGATCTAAACTGAGGCAAAAAAGGCGTTGATCTAGCTAGTAAAGGATCAATGTGATAGTTTTGTGGTTCTATAATGGAACTATAGACTTGTAAACGTGTTAGAACTTGAGAAACAGCAACTATAACAACATCAATTAATTTTCCCGGCGCGAAAACAATGAATGCCAACGGTTTGGCATTGTATTTTAGACGGCCCGGCCCGTGACGGGCCCGGCCCGTTTGTCAATTTCCATTTTTGAGGCCGGCCGGCCCGTTTGTCAATTTCCATTTTTGAGGCCGGCCGGCCCGTTTGGGCCGGGCCGGGCCGGCCCGGCCCGGCCCGCCGACCACCCCTGTACAGTACGAAAGCGTTTTTGAAAATAATGTCAGAGTTGGCACATGTGTCAAGTGTTCTCTTGCCTGAAAATATTTTTTTAATTTACAATTTTATTTTTGTCGGCTTCTTATGGTAAAACAGTAATATAAGAGAAAGAAACCATGCTTCCAGTTGCGTAAATTACCTTGTTTTTTCTTCTGTGAAGATGTAGGTTGGTTTGACGTTCTTATATATTCTAAAATTTAGGTGCTCAACTATATCTTCACAGAACTCTTCCGAATCTGCTGTTCTTTCGACAACTGCCGAGGCATTCTTTAAGGATCTGAATGTGGTTTTGGGCAACAACCAGAATTTCCTTAAATTGAAGAAAGATGTCGCTGCCAGATTCTGGAGTCTATTGACTGCAAGTCCGGAAAGAGAATTGTACGTCGTTTACTTCGAGATCTTGCTAAATGTCGACGCAGTGATCACGTATGCCAAGATGGATTCATTTGCTAATCTTATTCGTAAATCCTTGATCACCGAGTTCTCCAAGTTTGTTGAATACAAACGGGAATCAGCTGAAGGTAAAAATTTCATAAATACGGCTGCCACTGGCTTACACAACCTCACACATCTTCATGTAAGCGTTTTCCCAGTTTTCTTTAAAATATTGTTTTTAACGGTTATAATTTTGTGATTTAAGAAGAAGGTGATGGAGATTTATTTCAAGGCCAAATGTATACAAGATTTCAAACAATGCATGTTAACTATGGCTACAATCGATGAACTGATCAGTTTTCTGGAGGTGTGTTTTGGTCGTTGTTTTCAATTTATTTTTAGGAAAAGAGTTATCGTTATGTGGGAGAAGTGTGCAGGTGGATTTCGGCTCTTCCCATCAAAAGTAAATTGGATTACAGTGTTTTAACAGCCCGAGCGCTTCTCAACGATGACTTAAGTAATCTCTACGCTCTTTGTCGGGAAGATGTTCTGGTCCGGGGCTCCGTAGTGCAATATCTCAATTATATTTGTGGCGATGAGCATATCGGAACAGATCCGGTGGTTGTTGAAGAAGACTTTGGAGAAAAACATCTGAATGAACAGCTTCGGAAAAAAATCAGTACTGTTGTAAAAGTAGCTTTCAACATGTTCAAGGAATTCAAATTGCCGAGGGAAGCAGTGGAGAATTGCATTTACATTAGGCAGATGAACGACTTCATCTACGTACTCAACAGATACAAAAGAGGCGAAATTAACAGCATAGAACAGTCGATTGCGAAGGCTTTCAATAAAGGATATCGGTTGCAATATTCTGTTCTTGCTATTCTTGCAAGAGAGGAGGGGCTGGAAGTTGCCATGTATTATGCGATGTTTTTTAACGTACCCGAGGGGAGTTGGCCTCCCGATCTCAGAGAAAATAAACGCAATCTGAAGGCTTTGGTGGGTGCTAAGGTAGAGAAAAAGTAAGTTTATTTTTCATGGGATAAGAATTATTTCCTGTTACAACATTTGCGGTATTGTGACACTTGCGGAATTCGGAACATAGCCTTAATGCCCATTCCGTGTTTTAGGAGAGAACAAATGGACATAGAACAGAGTCAAATTGAAACAGGGGTGGTCATCAATACACAAAAAGATCACCGTGCATTTGTTGTGGACACAATTGAGAAGATTGACACGATTTTGAGGCCTTTTATGGAAGAGCCAACTGAAGGTGGTTATCTTGGGATGGACGCGGAATGGGATGCTTCTGATTGTGGGCAACAGGGAGATCTCTGTATTCTACAATTATCGTCTAGACACAAGACTATTGTTGTGGATGTCACTAAACTCTCGGGCGTTCTGAGCGATGAACAATGGATTAAAGTTCTCAAAATTATATTTGATGGAGACAAAAAGTTAATTGGTGAGTTGACTTGAGGGTTGTAGTGATGCAATTAGGGTTTAAGGCCTTTTTTACGGTCAAATTCTAGGATTTGCGCTGCATTCGGATCTCCAGGTTCTGGAGTATAAGTTCCCATTCCTTCTTGAAGAGGTCCCCAATGTCACCAAGAACATGATCTGTCTTTATGCTGCCTTCAATGTAATCAATGCTGATCAGGAGAAGGTGCGGGCTGTTTACAGAGTCCCAAAAGCACCACAAAATAACCTTGCTCAGATCTCAAAAATCATGCTGAACTACGAGTTGAGCAAGGAAGAACAGAGCAGTGTGTGGAGTGCGAGACCATTGAGGAAAGAGCAGTTGAGATATGCTGCCAAGGATTCTATGGCTGTTTATGGGATCTATGGATTAACCTTATCGAGGCTTGGCTCTAAATTTGGAGACGTAAATGAGATCTTCAAACCTTTGGAATTGACGAAAACGGCGGCGAAGAAGTCTTTGATGGAAGAGTTGGAGATCGGAGAAAGAGCGGCCGAAAAGAAAACCAAGTCTTCTCATATCAGCAAAGAGGAGCTGGAGGGCATTGTAAAGGTAACACTTTTTTCGGCAATATATATGGTCTATATCAATTGCCTGTTTTAGAGAGTGAATTCCTTCTTCTACGATCGCCAACTTTCCACCATTTCCCCGGGTCAAGTCACCTATGCCTATGATTCCATGTGCACTCAACTGGCCATTTGTCTCCGCCGTCTCGGAATTAGTGTTATCAAGGTACCGAAAGAAGAGGAGCTACCCGAATGGATAATGGGAAATTCCAAAAATTATAGAATTTTGACATCGGGGAAAGCGATTAGAAAGTTTTGTGGAGTTGAGAAAGTAATCGACACGGCGTCATCTTCAGAACCACTCGATGTGCAAATTGAAATGTTTCTGAAGAAGGAATTGTTGGCTGTGGACACAAAAAGTTATAAACCCAGATGTGAAGGATGCAATGCAAGGAACTTTTGCATGATCCCTCTTCCTTATTTACAGTACCTACATTATTGCACGGTACTTCAAAATGAGGAAAAATATAGTCATGTGGAATTGGACGAAGATGAAGTGGAAAGGCACTTTGAAAGCCTGACTAAGTATGTGTATCCGGTCATGAAGTATCAGTCGTCGTTCATTCAATGCAAGGGGAAGATTTTGATCTATACGAAGAATGCAATAATCGATCCAAAGTAAGCATTTTAGGATAAAAAACAAGTCGAAGTTCTATTGTACGTTTATTTTGAATACAATTTTAGTTTATTGGAAATTTGCGAACTTATTCATACCAAGAAGGGAACTAGGAAAGGAGAATCAAAGAAATTGATTATGTCGACGCACAGGAGTCTCAAGGATCTCAAGGAATCTCGCTACGCTGTACATGGAATTTGTGTGAGCTGCGGCAAGGAGAATATCGAAGTGACTGATGACCCATACCGGCGCAATGTATAAAGATTGATTCTTCACATTCTCACATTATTTATTAACAGGGGAAGTACTTCAAGTGTGACGCTCAGATTTTCTTTAAATTTTGCACACACATCGGGTATGGACTAAATATCAATTCCTGAAAGTTTTAGCTCGCGCTTTGCGGGCGCCGCCGAGATATTGAACGATTTTTGCCGCCGAGAGAGCACGCTCAACGTGGAGAGCGGTCAGAGAGAAAACCGCTTTTTGGCCATAACTTTGGCAGTTTCGTGCGGAAAAATTTGATTTTTTGTAGAAACATTATTCTTTACGGTTGAAATAGGCATGAAACTTTTCGTGCCGAAATTCGGCAAAAAGTCCCAAATTTTCGCCGAGTTTCGATCTAAAAATCTCGGTTGTTTCTGCAAAGCGCGAGCTAGGATTCCCGCATATATCTTAGAAAAAATTATTCTAAATTTGTGCCAAGTTTCATCAAAATCTGAGCGTCACACTTCAAGTACTTCCCTTGTAAGTTTTGTATATAAACTAATCCTGCTGTTATCCGATTTTATTTTTACACTGACGAAAACGATGATTAGTATGTCATACTAATCATCGCAGCGGGAGTGTAGCAGGTTGCCCCTTGCCTCTTCCTTATCGCACCGTTTTGGACACCTTTGACAAAAAATAATCTTGGTTGGGAAAAGAACGGTCGCTGATATGCAAACCGACCATAAAACGCAACATTTCCCGTGTAACGAGCGTATTCCCTTCTAATTGTAAGATGCGAGGCCTCGTTGGGGAAGATCCTCCACTCTTCCAACCAGTAAACAGAAAAAGCAATTGTCTCGAGGACTTGCTGGATTCTCTTTGGCGACAATCAGTCGACGATGACGTAGACGAACGGGTGAATGAGGAAGTTGTGAATTCTAATTACTTCCTTGCTCTTAGAAGTGTTTTAGAAGACCGAAAGCGCGAATTATGTAAGCCTTCCGTTGTTATCTACTCTCTTCCAGCTCTCCGGTTTATGTCATTCGAATGGGCGAAGTTGGAAGATCAGAACAAATCTCTAAAGAAGAGCACGGAAGATTGTCTGGAAGCCATCAGTAACATCGAAAAAGACATAAGTAACGATTCCATACGAGTTGTCCACGACTACCTTCAACATGCCAGACAAGAGCTTCCGCAGCATACCGAGAACATTGCCGAGGTATGAATTCTGTTTATTGGGACCTATGTTTCAGGAAGTGTGGAGTTACCAATCAAGCGTTGAGCAGATCCTACAGAAGCACTCCCGGATTAGACCAATCACTCCACAAGACGTGGAACATGCAAAGAAAAACTTGAAGCTGAAGCAACTGTCTTATGGGAATCAGCTTCTTAACGATTTCTGCAACTTTGCTTTACTTTCCTCTACCTTCTTTCTTAGAAAGTAGGATAGAGTAGCGCCTTCTTAATTTATTTGTAGACAGAAGCGACGAAACTTCCCCAAAAAGGCTACCAAAATCCTGAACCAATATTTTGAAGAGCACATGGACGAGCCTTATCCGAGTGAAACCACAAAACAAGAGCTGGCCGACTTGTGCGGGGTTACGGTAGGACAGGTAAACTTTTATAAAAACATCATGAGTTCCAAAAATGCATTTTAGGTGTCGAATTGGTTTGGAAACAAGAGAATTCGTTTCAAAAAAGCACTGGAAAAGCGAGAACGAGTGGAATTTCATCAATGATAATATAAAAATAACGAATAAGTACCACATTAAAGTTAAATCAAGTTATTAAATGTTCAACCGTCCCATAGTGAAGTAAAAGTCTACTATTATATAGCAAGGTTTTATTCAATCGTTTGTTTAGAATAGAGAATCGTTTAGGACATTACAAGAGGAACTGAGATTTGGGAGATTAAAAAGCCGGGAAATCCAAAGCTGAAGCCAAAACAAAGAACGCTGAGAATGCAACAACAAAAAAATAACAAACAATCAACAAAAAGATGGTTGTTGTTTATTGGCCTTGAAGAACTTGTTGAGCTCCAGGCATTTCGTTCTTGTGTCGAGGATTCTTAATTGTCTGATCGATGGATAACACTGTACAGGCGGCTTCGGTAGCAGCAATGATGGCGTTCTGAAAAAATAAGAAAAATAAAAATTGGTAAGACAACTTATTCACGATAAAAACAATTGCATAAATGTAACATACTTCCTTCGTAATAGCGGGTTCCCAAACACAACCGTCAAAGTTGTTGCTGACAGCTTCCTTGTGGATGTCAACTCCATCCCACTTGTTTCCCTTTTGATGCCTCGACCTCAAATGATTGAGAATCTCAACCCCATCCAAACCAGCGTTAAAACACAGTTGTTGAGGGATCACCTAAACCAGTGCAATGATCGCAAATTAATACTACTTACTTCGAATGCCTTCGCATAAGCCTTCCAGAAGAATTGTTCCTTGGAGGCGATTGTCTTCGATACATCTCTCAGATGTTTGCTCAATTCCATCTCAACAGCTCCGCCTCCTGCAACAATCGCATCGTTCTTCTTGGCTCTTCTGATGATCATGATGGCATCATGAAGAGATCTTTCAGTTTCGGCAATGAATTGTTCAGCCCCACCTCTCAAAAGCAAGGTGCAAGAATTGGCTTTTACTCCACCTTCGAAGATGTTAAATCTTTCAGATCCAACAACATTCTCGTAGAATTTCGTGCACCTTCCGAGAACATTGTCATTTATTTGGTTGACAGTGGTCAGAACGGTTCCCCCGCAGGCAGCTTGAACTCTTTGGAGATCTTCCTCAGGTATACGACCAGCACAGAACAAGTCCCTAAAGATAAAACGGATTTATTTTCCGGTTGATTAACTTAACATCAAAAAAGAACGCATAAAGTTACCTGTCGGCAAACCATTGAGTGGCCACGTCCCCAATGGGAAGCCGGCTCAAAATAACCTTAGCTCCACTCTCGTGGATCTTCTCGAGTTGTCGATAAAGAACGGTCCATTCGGCGTTTACAACCTAAATTGAATATGACCCAATATTAAAATTATTACCTCTTCATAATCGGCGACATTCGAGATCCTGACTTCAGCATTTGTTCTCTCCGCCTTGATCTCCAATTCAATGTTCAACAAAGCAATCTTACAGTTATCGTATCTTTTAGGTTGCATTTCAAATCCAGCATAACTGAATGCCTTCTTGAAGGCAACCCCCTTGATCAACTTGGAATCAGTAAGAGATCCTCCATTGACTTTCTTGATTCCAATCATGTTTAGCGGAAGATCGGCGTCCAAGTAGTTAACGGCCTCTACACACATTCGAGCGAAGTGTTCACGATCACTGGATACTAACTTGCTGCTGAGTGTCGTAGCAGCACACTTGACCAACAACTCGTTAACCTCATCCTCGTCCGTCAATTTAACGGCCAATTCCTTCAACTTCTTGATGGCCTAAAACCAAAATTTATAAAACAATGATTGGTTCACCTCCTTGGAAGCGGCGGTGTATGATCGGATAATCAGTTGAGGATTGACTCCATCTTCAATAAATTGCTTGGCACTCTTTAAAAATTCAGCAGCCAGAACAACAACAGATGTTGTTCCATCTCCTATTTCGGCATCCTGACTTTTCGCAATGTCTGCCATAATTGTGGCAGCAGGGAAAACAATATCCAACAACTTAAGAACAGTGGCACCATCATTGGAAATAGTAGTACTACCTAAAAGCCAAAAAGTAAGATTAGGCATAACTACTGACCCTTTCCATCAACAACCAGCTTGTCCATGCCACGAGGCCCCAGTGTGGTTCGGACGGCGTCAGCGATGTTCATGCAGGCATTGATGTTACTGACCACCTGCCCTTTTCCATGCTTCTCCTCAGTCCCCTCCTTCAACAAGATAATTGGCATACGGTTCATGGCTTAAAATACTTGATGTGAATACGAAGATTTATATTGTCCACCAAGATTTCGAATTATTCGCGAACCTTTCCCCTCATTTTCGGCCAAAGAGAAAGCCAACATTTTTTAGATACTCCAATTTTTCGTGGTGGGATTTACAAGTCATGGACGAGAAAGTCCAAGCTGCGCCCAATTTTTGTTCGTTGGCCAATTTTTTTTTGGAATATAAGATTGAGACCCCAAGTCCTTCAGCTTCGTGTAATACTTTCCGGGTAGTAATCTTTCACGCAATTTCTATATTTCAGATCGATAAACGCAATATTCAAAACTTTGTAAATTTATGTCTGGATTGGTTAGCATCCCATTAGAAGCCCCATAGACCTTGCCAATTGAAAGCCATGGAGTTGGGTGTGGAATTTTCCGAGCTATTCAGAACCATTCTGATTTACTCCATGGTGGGGATGTTCATCTTCATTCAGCCGCAAGCGTTCCGATCAGCTGGGTTCACAATTGAGAACATCTTGCATTTCCTTTTGCCGAATCCCAGATTAGACTTTCTAAACTTTCAGTTGCACAGGATTTGTTTGACAATGATGGTTCACATTGTGTTTTTCCCAGGTATTTCTGATTGACTTGTTGTTTCATATATTTAGGGTTCTTTGTGGCACTGGGAATTGTTTGTGGACGGAACCTTTTTACGATTACCCCTGGAAACATCGTTGAGGTTTTCGTGATGGTTTCGGTTCTTTTTACATCAGGTGGGTATTGGAATGACTTTACGATATCATTTTCGTTTATAGCTGGCTTTGGATTTGTTGGGTACTTGATGTCAAACGATTTCGAAGGGCATTATGTAATGAAGAAGCTTAAAAAAGTAAATGCAGATTGGCATTTGCTCAGCAGAGATGTGAGCCGAGAGATGATGGATCCGTTTTCTATAAAGCTCGTTGACTCTAGTGAGTCGGTAATTGGCTTATTTATTAGTTTAGATGAAAGTGGCGTTTACGTTCTTGACAACTATCTCGTTCGTGTTAGTTCATATAACCTAGAGATAGCGAAATTGGAAGACGCTAGATTCACAGTGCGTAAAGTTCTGGACCATCCGGTATATATATTTTTTAGTTTGTTAATCTCTGCTTTAGTTACGACATCAGAACGATGATCATCAATTAATCTTGGTCGATGTAGACAGTCTTACGAATTCCTTCAAGTCTTTTAACATCCAGTATGTAACACCTTTTATGGCTCAATTTTATCGTTGCCCTCCCACATTTATTTTATTTTTCAGTCTCCAGTCACGCACAATAATGCAATTAATCCGAGATAAAATTGGGCAAGAATTCCGAATCCCTTCAACTGTCCGAATGAACTTTTCCCTCCAAGATCGATTTGTTCAAGACTTCCGAAGTGTGATATCGGGAAATCAGATGTTTGAGTATCGTTCCAACGAAGATCTAGATGTATGTTTTGGATGTATGGCTGTTCCCCCAAATGTGAAGATTACAAAATCATGCGATTCAAATGATTGTTCTTCCTGTTCATGCCGTCCCACATGGTGTCATTCCTGTTTGGCGCGTATATTTGCCACCGAACAAGATCAAGAACATCCGGAAACTTGGATGGGAGGGAGGGCGAGATGCCCCACCTGCCGTTCAAACTTCTGCGTTCTGGATGTAAGGCCATTGCAGGTCATAAGAGAAGATTAGAATGTATGTTGATCATGAAACGAGGTTCTATGCTGCGATAAAATTAATGGGTATGATGTATGGACAAATTGTATAAATCGCTTAAAATCGTTATTTTTAGGTGAATGAGAATAAATTACGAATAAATTGGAGTTTTCTTTTATTTGAAGGGATAACTACAATGCATTCTCTTCGAAAGAGAACACCTTAAGGCAAATGCGATGTAATTTACAAATGGGAATTTATGTATATCGGAAATATAGGGTGTCTAGGCTTCCCCGAATTAATTCTGTTTTTGTAAAAGTAATTCTAAATTCGTTTACGTAACAATCCCGCCGGCCTAAACCCCTCCAGATAACCCGATCAGCCCCGGAGGGCAAAGCCGGTCCGCCTGGCCACCAACAGGATGATCGGTTGCCATGACGACCGTCAGCCTCATCAAGATAATGGATTGATGTAAGAAATAACAATAAATATGTAAATAAGCCTGGTCAACAATTAAACGGTCATTCAGTCTCGTTCTCGCTTTCTCCGTCGACCTTGCGTGGACATTCTGCATTAGACTTGGTGGCCGGATTTGGGAAGAAGAAGATGATACGGGGTGCAGGTATGTTTGGTCATTGTCCGGATTTAATTACTCTGAAATCCGCTACTCCCCTCTTTTTTGAGCGGGATTTTTTGTGAGTCCATTTTATAACATCGCCTCCGGGCTTTAGCAATAATGTAGGCCTTTTTTGTTGACATTTCTTCCACTGGAGACGGATTACTAGGACCTAAGAGTTGGGGATTGTCCCGGATTAAGAAATTATTATATCTAACAAGCGTGATATATCACTTTAAAGGCACAACTTGAGGAGTTGTAGCATTGTTTGGTTCAATTTTGTAGTCTGTCCTTTTGTGTTATAAAGATTAAAAGTATATTTTTTCAATTCATGTATTACGTAATAAACGTCTTTTTACAGGAAAAAGGTTCAGACGAATGAGAGATCGCAGTAGAAGCAGAGTATCTCTGAGTGAAGATGTGGAACATTGGATAGAAGATGGAGATATCGCCAGCCTGGAGGAGTTGCTTCTGACCGGAAAGGCTTACTTGCTTGAAAATAAGGATGTCACCAGCAGTAAGGCCTCTGGATTTCTGCGACTTATGCCAATTTATCGGGTAAGAACTTTTTTAATGGTCTCTGATATAACGCAGTTGTGTAACCGGCCTTTTGTGTGTACATAAATATTCTTAACGGTGGGAATTATGTGTCATCTTTGTTTAGGATGCGACCATGTACATTAGAGTCTTATAAACCTAATCATTGACATGTTGCAGGCCAATATTGAGTGTATGTTGGAGGCTGTTTGCATCGGGAATAAGCGTGCCGTCCAAGATCTGATGTCCTACCGGAAATGTGTGGCTGCCCGTCATCCCTTCACGATGTGTTCGACCATTCATCTGGCTGTTATCCATCAAGAATACGAGATTATGAACCTCCTCCTCTCCCACCCCGACGCTCCCTTTAATACCAAGGATATTGTGAGTTGGGGGCTTCCCTTCCTTTCACAACATTTTTACCCTCTGTACTTGTACTGCTTTTGGTAGTGTCGTTGCAAAGAGGCGGAATTTGTTATCTTTTGATTGGGGATTAACCACTTTCTCAGACGTCAATCCCATTTTCAGGAAGGCCGCACTCCCTTGCATTACGCTGGCGCCATCGCTGGTTCTTTTCCCAACGACTCCGAAGCCTTAAACTGTTACGAACTTCTTCTAAAGCACGGCGTCTTGGAGATGACTGTAGATATGGAGGGATACACGGCTTTGGATTACAAAAGAACCCCCAAATTGATGGATATGGATCAAGTCAAGGGGCTGAATCGCTGTAAGCTCTGCTGTTTTAGGCCTCTAAATATGACAAGGGACTTCTTTTTACATTGACTTCATTGCACTAGCAATACAACTACAAATATGGTTGTATATTTAAGAGTAACGGCCATCTATAATCGCCTTTCTGTCTGCCGATGATTCTTTCAGATTTGTTCTCTGTTTTTGTTTAACTGTAGAGTGAGACTTATGACTTTCTCAGAATTTGCAAGCATTTTGTGAGTAATTTTAAATTTAATTAATTAGGCTTTGACTAAAAATATTTTCAGATCCATTGGACATCGGGGATGACATTGACAAGCTCATCTCCGAACGGAATGAAAATGAACTCTCAAAGATTATATTAGCCGGGAAATACGACAAAATTGAGAATCGTATCTTCCCACCACAAAGTCGAGATCTTTCCCGAATACTGAAGAATCTGAGTGTAAGTGGGCCCTCTTTTATAGTACAATGTAAATTAAGATGAGATGTCGGGCTGTTCATCAGGCCATACTGGACGACGACTTTATCCTTCTAAAACAACTCATCGATTCCGAAGAAATGGCGACGTGTCGAGATTCGGAAGGTAGAACTTCCTTACATATCGCCGTAATTAATGGGAAGGAGCAGATCGTCAGATATATTTTGCTTTTATTTCCAAATTCAGTGGATCTCGTAGATAATGTGAGTCTCAAAACTGCTGAAAAACAGGGTGTAATGTCCTGCAGAGACATCTAACTTGGTGTATTGCGGAAATTACGGCAGAGATTTGGCATTTTCAATTGTCATGTAGCCTAAGACAAGCGTAATGCTATCTAAATTGTCATTTTGCGCATAGGTGCTGATAAAATACTTAATAATGATTACTTTTGTCGAGCGATACCCTCATGGCGTATTGACGATAATCCTTTCAAAACATGACAATTACTGAGCAAACGCGGTACTGGCATTGTTTTTAATGATGTTCTGTTTACTCGAGAGACTAGACCGAGTCAACGGCTCGTTACCATGGTGTCTTCTTTTCTCGAGGTGTTCTCTCGTTTTTACTATTATCATTAGTCTCCGGCCGAAAGTGTTAATTAGTGTAATTACAGTCCAAACACACCGCTTTTTATTATGCGAATCAACTGGAAGATCAGAATCAGCGGGATCTGATGCTGGAGATCCTGAGAAAAGCCGGAGCCAATGAGCAAATGGACAATGAAGAGATGGTTTGTGTTATATATATACTTATGGGATTGTTTATTGGACGGTCCGCCTTCTTCTGACTTCTGACCAAGTATTACTATTTACGGCGGCGCGTAGAGAAGGGGAGTAAACTGTAAAGGCCAAGAACTGGGGAGGTGGTAACTAATTAGAGGGCAGGGTACAATCGATGCATGATGATATAGTATTAGTTAAAGGTCATGGGTTACAGTACTCCAGATAATAATTTTAGATTTTTAAGAGAGCTTTACATGGATTTTGAAGTAAGTTTTGGCAAAGTTTCGCGTTTCCTGTTAGCCGTTCAAGCTGAGGGTTTCCGTTGTGCCCATCTGACCCTATAATCCCCGTTGAACCTTACTTATGCAACGGTTACCTCCAACTTCTTTGCAGGACGCCACGGTTCATTTGATTTCCTCTCAAAAACGCCGGAAGTCAGAGTCGATTCGAACTATAATGGCCGCAAATTCAGTCCATTCAACCAGCGACGACATGTTTGGTAGGTCCGAGTGTAAGGCGGGTAAATATATGTAATTTTAGACATTGATGAGGACGAGAATGTGGATGAGACTATCGAACAAAGAATCCTGGCCATCAACTTTGATCAAAAATTATATCGAGAATTGGAGGATCTACAGTACGAAGGGAAGAACGATGAGATCTGGAAGGTGGTCAAGAAACATCTGGGCAATGAAAAGTTGATTCGATACGTATATTCTTATAGACAAGTGCAGGTGCGCGATTTATATCGAATGATTTTGAAGGATTTTGTTATTTTGACACTTATTTATGTAATGCATTATTTTAGAACCGATTGGTCGCCGCAATCCAGGCCGTCAACGAAAATGACCTCAGGAAATTGAAGAGCCTGCTCGACCTCGAGCTGGTCCAAATCCGTGATAATCGCGGTAAGAGAAAAGATAACATCATGATGCATCATTCCACAAGTAATCCCTTAATTTTTCTTTGCAGGATTAACCATTTTGCATTGGGCCGTGATAAAAGAGCGGCATGAAATGGTAGAACACATCGCCAAATCTTATCCAAAACAGCTTGATACCACTGATCAGGTAGGTTAATTAAAGTTATTGGGAGAATATGACGATCCTTCAGCAAGGCCGATCGGCTGCTCATTACGCGGCTGTCCAACAGAACGCGATCTACGATACATTGGTGGACGGTGGGGCGAACGTTTATTTTGCGGATAAGGTAAGAATTTCAAACGAAATCTGACAACGAAGGCATTTGAGATGATTTAAATGGATGATAAAGAGTAAGGGAGAATAAGAAGTAATCTTTGCCTTATTCTTTCTTGAGGTATTTAATCTCAGTCTTAGCTTATGTTGTCCCAGAAAATGGTTAGAATTCTCTCGGAAATCACATTCTTTGCAGTTTTAAGTGGGTGTGGGAGTGATAAACTGATATTGATCCGTAAACATGAAGATTAATCCTATCCCCCAGACTTTCTTCACGATCTGACAATAAGGTATTTAGTGGATTCGAAGCCATTCCAAATTAAGGCCTATAGAGAGGGGGGGGGAGTGTTTACGGCGCCGTATTTACTTCCCCTGCGGGCCCCAGCAACGACGAGAGGGAGGAGAGGGCCCGAATGCCTAAAGAAGCCCTACAAGTCCTGATAACAGGCCCTAAGACAACATGTTTTAGCGTGGTTTCACCGCCAGTCGCTATCGTACTAATCCGGACATGAATCTCCGTCCAGCCTCACCCCAGCTGGGCCAGTCCAACAGCTCCGTCTACAAGCATCCCTCCTTGGATGACACGGTTCAAGACACTGGTAAGTGACGTCACTTACCGTTGAAATCATTGTGTGTACCACTGTTCTTTGTAATGTCAGCGATGACTTTCCCATTGTAATGTGCTTGTATTTTTTTTGTCCTTACCGTATTTGGCCATATTATTTCATACGATGATGATGATAATCCGTTGAATTATATATTTATTTTCGCTTTGTTGATGCAGATGCCCCATCGGAAGAGAAAGTGGAACGATGGCTGGCGGTGGGCGACATCCAATCATTAGAACAGCTTGTTTTGGACGGACGGTCTCACCTTTTAATGGACAAGAAGGCCATTAATCTGTCAAGCACCGAATTTTTGGATGGACTACCTCAATATCAGGTGAGTAGAATGACATATTGCGTGGTATGGAGACAGAACCCCTGAACGATAACTAAACTACAAAAAGTTTGGCCTATGCATAGCGCTGCGAGCTCAGGCTTAGCCTTGCATTAGGCTTACAGAGGAAGTACCACAAGTGCGACGCTCAGATTTCGATCAAACTTGACTCAAATTTAGGCTAATTCTTTTTAAGATATATGCGAGGTTTCTGAATCTCACTTTATGGAAGCGACCGAGATTTTTAGGTTGAATATTGTCGAAAACGCGACACTTTTTTCCGAATTTTGTAATGAAAACGTTTATGTTTATTTCTACTGTGTTAATGTTTCCACAAAAGAAATATATTTTTTCCACACAAAGCTGACAAATATTAGCTCAAAGGGTGCTTTCTCTGTGCCGCTCTCCGCATTTCGCGTACTCTCTTGGCCGCAAAGATATCGTTGAATATCTCGACTGCCTCTGCAAAGCGCGTTAGCGTTCGATCAGGCACATATCAGTTCATATTTTATCAGGTCGTGTAAAAGTTGATTAGTAATATTTTAGGCCAAGATTGATGCCATTCACAAGGCCGTAGAAGAAGGAGATGTCCGTCGAGTGAAGAGTTTAATAGACCGGTCGCAACTGTCGACCGCCCGAGATCGAAATGGGATGACTCCATTGCACAAGGCCCTCCTTTATGGCCAAACCAACACGGTCAGATATTTGTTGGCCAAGTATCCGCAATGTGTTAACAGCACTGATCACGTAAGGAAAATTAATTTTTGAAGTAGGTTATGATATCATGGCATAGCGTGTTATGGTTATCATCTTTCGTTCTGTCGCTCATTGACTAACTACTTCCTCTGGAGGAATTATTATAAAAGCGTTCACGATGCTATTTCGAACACAATTCTTAAACGGAGTTGTATGTTCGAAGTGAAGTACTTAGAGTAATTGATGGCCAGGGGAATTTAAGAGAACTAAAGATTAGATAACGAAACAAAAAGTAGAAACGGAGTATTAATAACGGATAATAATTGGTAATTACAGCCAGCATTTTGCACTTTTTTTATTTCGTTTCTGGAATTCTATCGATTGTATCTAGAGGTTGTAATACTCTTACGTTACACTGATTCGAAGCCATTTCTTATATCCGGCGTCACTTTGGCGTTTAATCTCTTGACTCGAGGGATTTGGGATTCGTTGAGAGAAAAGGAAACCTCATGATAACACCCGAACAGAAGCCCCTCATCTGTGACTATTGATGTCATCGGAATTTCAGGCCGGAAGAACGGCATTGCATTATGCAGCGGCTGATCCCAATGGAGAACACATGATCAAGGTTCTGCAGAAGAGTGGGGGTGATGCTTTCATCGAAGATAAAGTAAGTGTGACATGGAGTACTTGAAATATTATGTTGTAGTATGGTCACACCCCATTCTATTATCGGACACATGGAAAAGGCTTGAACATTCGAACGCTGAAGGATAATGCCGTCATTAATCAACTAATCTCGGGACAATTGAATAGACCTCTTCTTCAAGGTGAATTCGCAAAAATCTCTTGGGCTTCAATGTTGATCTGTGTAATGTGTAATGTTTTTAGATCTCGAGGAAGACATTTCCGATTGGATTCACACGGGGAATGTGGGTAAACTGGAGGAACTTGTTCTCAATGGATACGCGGATCTTTTATTGGGCCGAACTCATCAAGTTGATGATGCTGATGCTGTCGGATTTTTAGAAGTTCTTCCTCAATATCAGGTAAACTAAAGGAACATCCTTGTTCAAAAATGCATTGACTTTTCAGTATTGATATTTTTTAGGCAAAGATAGGCGCTATTCACAAAGCAATTGAGCAGGGAAATATCCGCGCAGTGAAGTTGTTAACCGATCGAAAGAAGCTGGCTTTGTGCCGAGATAGCCGGGGCCTAGCTCCATTGCACAAGGCGATCGTGTTTGGGAGGACTGATATCGCCAAATATCTGATTCGAAACTATCCCCAATCAGTTAATGCGATGGATCAAGTGAGTACTGCGTGTTGAAATTGCGTTACTGTATTTGGAATTACTTTTTTCTTTTTTTAGAACAAACGAACTCCCCTCCATTATGCGGCAGCCCTCCGAGATGGCGGCTATTTGTATAAATTAATGAGAAAAGCTGGCGCCGACCCCAATATTTTTGACTGTGTATGTTTACTGTAACTGACAAATGACTCTACCTTGATCTCCACTAAAACGATTACTTTTAGAATGGAAGACCGGCCAAATATTACCTTCGATATCCCGGAGAAATTAATCTGGAGAGAATGAAAATGGATACAAAACAAGCCTTGAAACAAGTGCTGCATAATAGGGTAGCCCCGAGTTATTTGGAGACAAAGTAAGATCGGGTGAAAAGACTTGATTTTGTTACAGTATCCAACAATGGATGAGGGAAGGAAATTTGGCCAAATTGGACCAACTGGTATTATCTGGATGTGGGGATCTGTTGATTGACAAGAAGGCCAATAACAGCGATGCCATGGCATTTGTCAACGAACTGCCTGGGCTACTGGTAAATTTTATTTGGTTACTTATAATAAGATGATGACTTTAAAATATTGGCTATAAAAGCTATACCCTATTATTCCACGAATTTACAAAAGATTTCCCGCCCTCGTCCCCTCATTGATGGCCGTTCAATCTTGGCCATGCGATCTCGAGTACCCGCCATTTACTTTCCCTTAAAACAATACAGTCGGTGCGTCTTTGAATCCCGAAAACTTTCTTTTTTTGGAGGTCGGAGGCATCTTGAACATCCTTTAATTGATAGTCGCTGTCTTTCAGGCATTGTCCTTATACCGTAATTAACTGAAAAGTGGGGGAAATACCTTTCGCGCACTTTTTCCTCTCTTCCGAACCAATTTTGGAATGTCAAGGTGGCGGCGGAAAAGAAAAAATTGCGCTTCTTGGTTTACAAGGCCAAAAACAGGGAAAAAAGAGGATAATGGAGGGCGGACGGATAAAACAGATCAGCTATTTTACATGAGGGCAACTAAACAGGAACGGATTTGGAGATTGAGGACAAAGAAGATTAGATATGATATATGTACAAGCTGTATGACCAAAAATCCATTTTTCGAAGAAAATTTGACATATTGGCTGATTAAAAAATACAAAGACCTGTGATTTTCATTAACAAAAATTTATTTTTGTGTTTGTAGGACACGATCAGCCAGATCCACAAGGCAATCAAAGACGGAGACATCGGCACTGTGCGTCGTCTGATGACCACCAAACGGTTAGCCCTGGCCCGCGATCGCCATGGCTGCACTCCATTGCACACCGCCATCATCTACGAGCAGACGGAGATAATCCGCTTTATCGCCGCTCAGTTTCCTTCCGTTCTGAATGCTCCTGACTATGTAAGATTTGAATACCGTAATCTTTTCAGTTACGGGGATTGAGTTTGAATTGGGCTTGTAGTTGAGAGTCAAGGTTATGAGAATGTTTTCAGAATAAGAGAACGGCCATGCATTATGCAGCAGCGGCCAGAGATGGAGGCCATTATTTGAAGATCCTTGGCAAAGCCGGAGCTGATCCGATGGCCGTGGACAATGTAAGAACCAAAAACTTTTTTAATATTTAATAATCTTTTTCATATAGGAAGGCCGAACTCCCGATTACTACAGAAGGAATGCAGTCTTCGATTTGAAACTGTTGAAGGAGAGGGAAGACGACTTCGATGTTCTCCAAGAGCATATGATAGATGAAGTGAACCCGGTCGATTCTCCTCCCTCTCCAGAAACCATGTCTTTGGGAAGGTAACTGAATTCAAAAATAAAATCTGCATTGACTTTGCATACGAAATCTTTGTTTGGAATCCAAACATCCCAATCTTATAAAACCTGAAATTCTTCCAGCTCGATTCTGGACTCCGGACGTCGCGACATTGGTCAATTAGCCGAAACCGAACCCGAACTAGACATTGACGATCTGGACGATCCCATGGATGATGACATGGAGAATATGGACCGCAGAAAGTTTGAGAAGTTGGTCGAAGACAAGATGGACATCCCCACTAGTGACAATGGCCTGTATCTTGCCCGAACTGTAGCTCCCGTCTTAACGAAGGCCTTGGCCGAGGTGTTATTACGGCGTCCAGCAGATCCCATCGATTTCATCTCCGATTGGCTCCTCCGTTATAACGAGGGAAAGGACAACGGACACGATTATTAACGTTACGTTTAGTGACAGTAGCATACAAAATAAAGAACTACTTTTTATTACAAAATAAATGGATCAAGCGAAAGCACGGGGGTGAAAAAAGTTATTGCCCTGGGGCTTTAATGGTCCAACTTATATTTCGAATGATTCAATTTCAGAAGAACAGCACTCAGCGGATGATTGGCTTGTAAATGGGATGTATATTCGTCATAAGCGGGAGCAGTGAAGCCGCAATCTTCACAAACGAACACCTAAAAATACGAATTTTAACTTGAAAAGTAAACAATGGGACAATGAATCAATGTTGATTGTAAAATTAAGACTGACCTTGCTCCGCCTTTCCTTATACCCATAGCAATGCGTCTTTCCATGAACTTTTCGCGTATGAGATTCAAGGGAACATCGTTGAGTAAATGACTTGTCGCACATCTCGCATTTATAAGGTCGGACTCCTGGAAAAACTTTTATAATCCGAAATCAATTGTGCACGACAAGTATCAAGTTAAAACTTACCAGTATGGGTTCTTGTGTGCCTCTTCAGATCAAATGTATCATTAAATCCTTTCCCGCAAAATGTACAGAGATATCTTTTCAGATCCGAATGACACTTGGCGTGACGGTTGAGGAGACGTTGTAGATGGAATTCCTGCAAAGAAGTCTTTGTTTATCTTTGAGCCAAGCTACGTGAGAGTCAATGAACACAGTTTCCCGTACCTTCCCACAAATCCTACATCGATAAATCCCGGGTGTAGTTGTCGGAGCGGGGGTGGTATCAATGGTCGGAGAAGATGTCCCCACAGCCTGGAGTAAAGGATTCTTGACTCCATATCCACCATTTACGTATTCTACAGAAGGCACTGAGGGTTGAGGAATTGTTCGAAGCACTGGCAATAACTAAAAGGAATTAATTTGAGAATACAATGAATACACCTCTAGATTAATACAAACTCTGGTGAAAGTGACGACTTACAGGTGGGATGATAGGAGGAGACGACGAGGCCATTACCTCGGGCGATGTTCGCATCTCCGGGGTTGCTCGCTTACTTTGATTTATGGCATTTTGACTTAACTGGAGCAGTTTCTCTATCAGAAACATCTGGGCCTTGTTCTCTTTGCTCAACTCTTCTCGCTTGATTGGTGAACTGAACGAGTCCATTTTCATTTTTGGAGTGCTTGAGGCCGTTGAAGAGTCATTGGAACCCGTTGAAATTGATGAAATCGAAGAAGACTGGGCCGGAATTAAAGGCGGAATGAAAACCGGAGGCAATGGCGGGTAAATGGAGAGGAAGGGGTTGAAACAGCTGAACGGGGAGGTCTGGCCGTTCATCCTAAAACAATTTATAAGCTCAATATTTCATCAAACGTTACACGCCGACACGGTAACGAATAAATACTCCCAATCATAAATAACAGCGGCGGCCGGGAATCCAATTCGTTTTCAAAACGAATCAAGCGGAAATGGGGAATGTTTAAGACTACCGTAACACTTGCGGTGATTGGAAAGAGGGGACCGGTCCTGACCGCCACAAGGGCAAACAAGAAGAGAAGAGGAAGAGACGGTTGCGCAATGAAACGAAACAACCCAGGTAAGAGGGGCTAGAGACGTGGGAAGGTGCGGAAGGACGGGCTCCTCTTCCCTCGGTAACACTTCAGAACAGCGGAAAAACCTCTACAAAACCGTAATAAAAACCGATCATGTCATCAACGGAAGAGGGCAAACGTTGGATGAGATCCGAAAAATCTAACTTGTGAATACACGTTATAACACATATAATATGGTTCCTTTTGCTTTATGTCATCATTAGGTTTCAAACGAGTCTAACGGTGGATCAGAGAAATTGATTTCTAGATGTGAGTTAGAAGCCTTATGATCAATTTTTAAAGCTGAATATCTCAAACAAAATGATACAAATAAAAACAAAGATAAAGTGATTCGAGATTACTCTAATCTTCCAGTTCAGAAGCTACAATTCAAAATATTTCAAGCCCCAATGCAATCTCCACCACCCAGCTTGTCCTCTTAATCTCCGTTTGCCCTCGTCTCACCTCAACTGACCTGAGAAGTGGTCTTCGAACCAATGAAACGGCCTTTTGCCGATCGCACCAATAACCAGCCCCTTTCCCCTTGCCAGTTACAATAGCTGTCCCTCGAACAAGATGGGCGGGATTGAGGCAGGCGCCACGAGCCTCCGCCTCGACGTCTCTAGCGGGCGGAAGGTAATGAAAGTCGAAAAAGGGAGTTGATAATTATTCGTTACGTACGCGTTGGATGCTTGGAGTTTGGAACTGAGAGCACACTCAATATGCGTTTTTCCGCATATGCAAACGAGTATTCGATTAACTGGTTCATGTATCACCCCCAGTAATTGCAACGAGATTGTGCCCGAATTTCAGAATCCCCACCCACAGTGGAGCCGAGTGGAAGCCTACAAAGTTTGGCGCCGAGAAAGACATCACATAATATTATAAAATCTTATTGCCTCCGGGGGCTAATTAACCTTTGCTCACGAGAATCCGCTCGATTCGACCAGTGGATCCAGAACGTACGAACCGATTTGTTCAAACTACAGTAATCATGACCAGCAAGCTGATCTTTAGAACATTTCAGAAGACTTTTAAAGATACCAGAAGGGGTTGACAGAAAATAAGAACAAAGTCCAAAGTAACCACAGTTAACATAAAAGTGATGTTTGTAAACTAAACAGTTGCATATGTCTGTTGCTAACATGCAATTACCCGCAGTATCTTGGGTCCTGTACGTACGTGCTCCTATGGAGTTAACGGCCGGTTTTAAAGGTAATCACAAAAGTGCAAGATGTACCTATGATACGTTCAGCAACAAGGCCATGTTTATAATACTAATAAAACAGTTTGAGAGTTTATGACATAAGTATGTCACGTAATTACAGTAATCCTAAAATCATTATTCTAAAGTTGATGACATAAAAACAACCGAAGTTATCGAGGCCAGACTTTCTTACTGATTTGGTTCGAAGCGAGGGCTGATTTCCTTTTGCTATGAACCTGTGATAAATTTTACAAATCAGAAAACCTCGCTGCTTTAACTAGCCCCCTCTAAGACGACGTAACCGCGTTCCATTTATCAGCCGATATTAACTTTTACCGCACACTGACCACCGTAATTATAATTACCCTTTTCCCCGCTTCTCCCTCAAATACACTCGATCCGAAAACAATGACATAAAGTAATTGAACATAGCCATCCGCGCTTATATACCGATGACATAAAAGCTTCCGGATCAAATCGGTTGCGCAAGCGATCAACCCAAAAGCGGATAAGATGCGAATGAAAGGAAAAGAGGTACGGTAAAAGCGGATTAAACCCCCAAACCAGAAAACATTCGTACAGTCAGAGCGAGCAGATTGTTATCGAATTGTGGAAGGGGTCTTCCGAAGGCGGGGTACCCTCTTCTGAACGGCCCGAAGTCTCCAATCGAGGGAAAGGGACTGTAGTCAGACGCACTCAAAAAAAATAATAAAAAGTGAAATTTCAAGTTATTCTCAAGGTTTTTGCAATTGAATCCATAAAAACTATAGTTAAGTTATCAAGCGAGTGGAGAGTAAATTACAGTAATAAGTTGTACACTCCCCGAAAGAATTTAAAATAATTTCGTATTTATAGAAAAACTTTGTTGAGCTCCTCGACGTATATTACCAGTTTCATAAGGGTTCATAATGCCCAACGGTTAAATTATAGAAACTGTTAACTCAAAGCATTGAAACCGAGCATACCTCGGACATCTTATTCAATATGAAACTAAAAAGATCTTTCCTTTTCTGACCATAGATGCCCTTGTCCCGCTTCCCCACTTTCCAATATCATCCAAGTTTTGTTTCATTCAAATAATTTACGATGGGGAAGGGTACCTTCTGAAAGAAGCAGCGACGAACGGCGCTTTGTTTGGACCGAGATTTGTGAGCCATATCCGCGACACCGCTATTGAAGACGGTAGCTGGGAAGACAAATAAACGCCCCCTCTTTTTGAATCAACGCTAATGGGCCTTGGATTCTGGATTCAGAAGCGCCCGTTCTCCGCCGTTCCGTTCCGCGCAGCTGGCTCAATCGGATTGGGACTAAAAAAGGGCAAAGATGGGAGACCATTTTGGGGTAATCCCCGGAACAGGGGCAAGTGCCAAGTGCTCGGTTAATAGGCTTAAATCAAAGACGGATGAACAGGGGATCGCTCATGGGAAGTGAGAGGAGATCACTTGTCGGATTTCATGCAAAGATTGTTCAACTTTTCAGCACAATTTATATTATCTCTAACAACTGAGCCAGAATAAATCAGAAGAATTCAGAGCTCCACACGGCTTTTCCTTGCCAAATTTGATCGTCGTCCTTCACAAAGCCCCATCAAAGATTTAAACTTTCCCTTTGACTTCGGTTACAACGGTTCCAAATTAAATCTCGGTCTTCAAACGTTTTCCATTTATTCTAAAGGTACGCCTGAAACCGAGGATTCGTTCAACCTGTCCATCTTTATTTGGGTATCCTGCGTTTCCTTTGCCCAACACATAAACCCTCAAGTTTTTCCTTACGCATCTTAATGTTGTGCAAACTCTGGTGCCGGGTCTACTTTCTCCTCTAATTTGGATCCCTCAAGGTCGCGATCCTCATTTCCGCTCCTCTTTAATCCACAGCTTCTTCCCGCATTCGCTCTCGGATAATGTCTTCGGAAATGTAAGGATCTTGAAGAGAGTGTTCTGAACGGAGAGACGACAGAGAAGAACGGAAAGGAGAAAGGTGGAGGGAAAAGGGGGAAGGAAACAGTCCATTTGAAGAGAGCGCAGACACTCTCCCTTGTTACGGTACTCAAAACTGGATAAACAGTAAGGAAAAGGCCTTGAAAACGGGTGCCGGAACTTAAAACGGCCTTGCTTTGGAGAGTCTACTTAATAAGACAGTAATCATCTTGAATAAATCTACATTCATTCCCAGAAGAATCGCCCATTATCCTTCTTCAATCAGTCAAGTATGAGGTCCGGAAATATGCGGGCTCGGGAGGGGACTCAAGGACGGGAAAAGTTTTATTTATTTACTTCTTGAACAATACAAGGTAACCGAACCGGGTGAATAATTATGCAAATTAGAATACATAACAATGGGCAACTTTATTCGTAAGAAAAATTAATTGAGAGCACGACGAAGGCGATCCATGGGCAAGTCGAAGGTGACAATCACGTCATTCGGGTCGATCTCTTCTGATCGGGGCACTTTAAATCGACGCCATATCTGAAGCAATTTCAGTATTATCAAAAAACTAATAATTTATTCATAAAAGTCTGATCACGATGAACGAAAAATTATTATTTACACTTTTAAACGTCTTCAAAAAGTTTAATTTTTTTCTAAGTAATTTCAATAATTGCAAAATTGTAATCAAATTTAATACAATCTTGGAGAACCCACCTGATTATTGTAATGCAATCTCTTCAACATCTCCTTCCTCTCCTTGGCCAATATTTTCAATGAAACATTGTCCAGGCTTATTGCATTTATAACTGAAAGTAATTGTAAGGTTACTTTTTATTACATCATGAGTATCCATTGATGGCAGACCTAATTATGGGTACATTCAGACCTGCGTGGAAACGTGAGAATCGGTGTGGAAAGCAGGGAAGATTGGAAAAAAGTGCAAAATAATGACTGAATGCAAGTAATTTGTGCATTATTATTCTGTAGCAGCCTTGTTTCGTAAAAATAAACGAAATAAAAACCATTGTAGTCTAATGGAAGAAGTGCAAGAGTTCGGTGCTTCAGTTTTCTAAACATTTTGTATGGCTACTCCAGTTGGATTACGTGTCAATCCATGAAAATCCTAGATCGCGATTTGCAATAGGGACCCATTAAGTTCGACCATTTTGCGGAGGATTGCGCAGAAAAAGAGTTGGTCAAAAAAAGATTCATTTCTTGTTGTAGCTAATTTTCTTTTATGCCTAGTTTTGTCGAAGCGCATTGAGTAGTTCCCCCAAGACTTCCACAAGTTTTGAAAAATTTCGATTTGATTCCGGTAAAGGCAACTAATTTGTCCACTCATGACATCACTCACCTTGTATCACGACACAAGAAATGAAAATGATAACAAAAATCCGCTGAAAGCCCGCCATTTTGAATAGTCGGCTTTTGCCTGAGGGCACAAGTTTTTAAAAGTTTCGCAGAAAGGCGGGCGTTCCCGCACTTGCCCTCAGGCGCTCAGGTGGGTGGGCCAATTCCCATGGCCATTTGTAGGTGGATCTAATTTTATTAGGTTAATTGGCTCCCTTTTTGACACTACAATGACTACATACTATTACAACCGGTTTCTTTTATGTTGATTTGTAAGTTTAACTTTGGTTAAGGAGGTCTGAAAGTGGATACTGCAGTTAGTCACCGACCTTCCAAAGATAAAAACAAAGTACAAAAATTTATTGCCTGAGGGCGTTCGGGAAGCGGAGGTAAAATACATTTCATGTTTTACGTATCTTTGTCATACGATCTTAAATTTTACTCCATTCGCTTTCGGATATCACCGTACCATAATCTCCAAATAAAAATAACTCATCAACAACGCCGGAACTCATGAATAATTTGGTTTTAAGAGGTAAATCACGTATTCTTTTGAATATCAGCCGCTGCAAATGTTTCCATTTGAAGTTTCGAAAGCTTTCAGACATTTGCAGATACCATTATTATTTGAATTCTTATTTGTTTTCCGATTTATTCACTCACTTGTACACATTCTTAAAGTTCAACTTCACCTTTCGACGTCACAGAAGTAGGATTACGTCATATATTGTGAGGACATTATGCTTCCAGAAGGGGAGACTTCTTCCTTTCGAATATATATTATTCATGTCGTTTAGTCTCAAGTACGCAAAAGAGGTTTCAAAATCGAGTAAACACCGTAAGATATTACTACTCAGGCATTGTATCAATACTTTTTATTTAATTGTTCTCAAGTTTTTATTTCTCATTCAAACCGAGTTCATTATTTCGAATATAAATATGTGGAGGTTAATAATTGCAACATGAGAGGGTGTTAAGATACAGTGGGATTCGAGTGAGTCGTTGATCCATAGTCCGAGGTTGATGGGGCCAATTTCCACAGGGGTTTCACTGATATGGGACCGAGTTGAGCTCGCAAGAAATTGATCTGAAACAATATAATCGGCCATTTGAATGTCTACGATTAAACGATTCATTGAAAACTTACATCAAATATTCTCGGAGTACAAATACCCATCACTTGGAGGCAAACAAAGAACAAATATATTACAAAGACGACATATATTATTATGGGGGCAGCCATCAGAAGATACGTTGACCATGATGTTCCGAAGAAACCAAAGATCGTATCCGTCGAGAAATACAAATTGATGGCGATTACAATGATTGACACTATCAACGCAGCATATTGGGTCTTCCTGAAACTATAAACAACTTTTATATGATACTTACTTGCTGGTTTTATACTCGAACATTACATTCGCGTTAGCTGTAAACGTGATTATGGGAAGTAAAGCAAAGGGTAACTGGATCATTTGGACACAGTTGAGAAGATCATTCATTCCGGTCAGAGACCTTACACCTTGAGCAAAGAGAGTGACCACCAAAGTGGGGACAATGGCGATCATTCGAGTTACCATCACTCTTCTCCATCTCGGCCAGTTCATGTGTAAGAAGCCCTCCATCACAAACTGACCGGCATAAGTGCCTGTCATAGTGGACGATTGCCCGGAAGCAAGAATTCCTAGACCCCAAACAATCAGCGCCAACCTTCCGAATGTGCATTCCAGGAAGATGCCGCCTTTGTAGAGATCCGCCTCCACTGTATTGTTATCCATGGGGAAAATATCTGGGTCCAGCACAGCTTTGTTGTTACAGGACTCTCTCTAAAGAAAGACACTCAGAAAACATTGACTAGTAAATGAATAAATAAATATTAAGTTACTTACAACTTCCATGTTCGTTTTATTATACAATCCATGTGCAAAAACTCCAACCACGAACATATTGATGATAAAGGAACAGAACAGAGCAACCCCGGACTCGATAGAATAGTAGTAACTAGCCTCCTCGACCGCCTTCTTTTTGGTTCGGTCGATTCTCCTACTTTTGACCAGAGCCGAGTGCAGATAAAGATTGTGGGGCATAATAACAGCCCCAACCACGCTGATCCCCTGAAGAAACTCTTGTTGGCCACATCCAGAACACCAAGGGATAAACATTCCTTTGGCCAGATCCAGAGCATCCGGTTTAACAGTAAAGAACTAAAAAAATTAAAAACAGATAATGTAAAATTTAGAATAATATAAAAACTCACTTCGAATCCAAAAGTAACTGCCATGACGGTAATCAAAACGGCAAAGAATCCCTCAAGTTTTCTGAATCCGAAGTGATCGATAAATAGGAAGGTCAGAGTGTCAGCCATCGTGATTAAAACTCCAACTATAAGCGGGATCGTTCCATACGACAACATGTAAATGGCTACTGCGGTCCCAATTACTTCTTGCATGTCACTTCCAATGATGGCAATCTCAATCATAATCCAGAGGAATAATCTCGGGCCTTTTGGATAGAATTCTCGACTGATCTCTGCCATATGCCGACCAGAAAAAACTCCCAATTGGGCGGAAAGCAATTGTAATGTAAATCCAAGGATGTGAGCAAACAATAGAACCCATAGTAACTAAAACAATCACTGATAAGGCACTCAAAGACAACTTTAAACTACCAGGGTGTTAAAAGATAACATTACTTACCTGATAACGAGCCGTCGCTCCCGATTGAAGATCGCTTTCTATGTTTCCTGGATCGAGGTAGGCAATGCTCATCAAGAAACCGGGCCCAGTAAACGCCCAAAGCTTTCGAAAGCTGAATCCAGTCTGAAAATATGAAACCTCAGCTTTAGCAATTTTCTGATACCTGTTCAATGTCATCGGGAATCTCCACCAAATATTCGATAGTCTCTTCATCGGGAATTATTTCGACCGACCCTTCTTCCTCTGATGTCCTCTTGAGATCATTATCCATCAAATAGCCTGCTGCAACAATTAATCAGCATTACTGTAAGGCTGGACGTGGACTTCACAAGAAAATTTTATACTTATTACCTAATTTAATTAAACCTTATAAGAAGATAAAAATTTATATAATCAAAAAATGCCCGCTAGTCAACCAAACAAGCCTTTATCTAATATCACGCTCACCGCTCGACCAGTTCTTCCCCTTTTTCTCATCTAAATTTATGCGAACCGGCCTGAATTTTGAAGACTGAAAGGGAAAACCCGCACAGAACCAAATACCAAGCTCTACAATAAACATGAGTCACTCAGTAAAATAACAACTGTCGTTATCGAGGAGCAAACTCTTTCCTCTCTGATTTCCCCCATCAAAGTACAATGAGTATGTGTTTGCACATTACGCTTCAAATATTACTTTACATGCAACCACACGAATCAAAAGTGTTTGTCAACCGCGCTTTGTTATATAACAAAGCTTTTAATCCTGCAAACTAAACTACCAAGTGATAGCGACGTCACAGCGTTACCCGCGTCGAACGGGAGAGTGATCATGGTCATATAACGATCATCGGTCAAGGATAAATAAGAGATAAAACAAACCTTCATTACTCGAGCCTGGAATCAACCTTTCTTCTTCATCGTCAAGGATAATGCTGTCATTTATAAGAGGTTGTTGTTCGGATACTTCCATTTTCTCCTCACTTTGCAAACCATCGAATTGGCGGGCTCACGGGGTCGCTGATAATCAATATTCTTATCAAGAGTTTATAAATAAGAAATTCGTGTCATCGGGCGTTCAGATTCGTGGGATTTATTTCATTATCCAATTTTGCAAAAACAAATTTGTTGATTCACGAAAAATAATCAACAGAAAGCCAAACATTTTTTGCATTCATTGTATACGCGTTGGGACGCAGAAGAAAGGTAAAGCATGTCTTTCAACCTTCTGTACGTACAGAACAGCTGCAGCTGTTCGAACCCGAACGTTCGCCAGTTTCATCCGTGGCGGGGAATCCAACAATCAAGAAACCGCTGAAAAGTTTCATCGGTTTGAGCCACCAGCGTGGTAATTAATTTGATTAATTAAAAAAGATTGCTGTTATTACGGTAATTTTTGTTGCAAAAGTAAATTTTTCAAAGAGGGACATTGTTTATTGGACAACCTAAACAATAGATTCTTCTGTAACAATAAGTTGTCTACAGCCTTGACCGAAGTTGGTCTGGAACTGGGGACAGCAGTGTTTCTACTTCGGATTTGAAGTTCGAAATCTCCGCGGAATTCTGAAATTGTCGTTCATAATGATTTTCGAGGTTGATTTACCTTGTTTTTCAATGAGAGAACGTTGTGAATAACTGCTCCGGACAATTGTAAATATTCAGAACATCGCTGTGAGAAAGGTGCGAGCTGTTTCCGGCATTCTTCAAGTGTAATGTTTGCGTTCTTTGTGATTCGTTCCATGATGTTTTTGTATGCATGGATGTATGGCTAAAATTGTATTGGTGATAATTATTATTATTTTATGTAACTTTACCTGCAATGTTCCCATGAGTAATTGTGCTGTATCATAGTTGATGATTCGGATGTAATCGCCATCCACAGCAAGGATTTTGAGATGAATCAATTTGTCAAAGGTTGTTTCAAAGTCCTGTGTGTCTGTGTCTGGGGTTGAAACGAACTCTTTGTGAAAGATGTATCGAAGTTTTCTGTAGTTTAGAGTTCATACTTTATGGTAATGTAAAAAAAAATTCAAACGGAAAAAGGAATTTTTCTTCGTAGGTATCTCCCCTATGTTGCACTTACTTGAATCGGTAGAAGAGTTCTTCCGTCTTAATTTTATTGTTGGAGTTGCAAATAAGGAGAGTAAGAGCTGCATTGAACAACGAGAAGGTGACTAGGTTCGTGGCATTCGAAAGAATTAGAGCTGGGATTGCCTTCTGCAGAACGGAGATGGACAGTTCTTTCGATTTCTCGGCCGACAGTGGTTTCAGACAGATCTTTCCGTTTTCATTTTCGATAATATCAGAATACAATGCCAGGTAGTAACTAGAAACAGTTTTGACAAGGAAAGTACTTTTATGGGGGCTCCTACTTTTTGACGGGACATATCTCAAAAAATCAGAAAAAATGCGCTGATCAAGGATATATAAATCTTAGCTGCCCATTTTAGGTTTTTAGGGGTGAAAATGCCCAAAGACTGGCTTAATTTCCCTACAAAAGGCGCAGGCATTCGATACGATAAAAAGCGCAGTCGGTCTCTTCCTTCGGAAGAGAGCGGTGTGGCCGAGTGGTTAGTGCCGTAGTCTGGGAATCAAGAGAGGGGACGCCGCACGGGTTCGATTTCTTTTGGGCTGAATCAACTTTTTTTGAAGTTGAAGGTCGAAAAAATAAAATTTTGGGCCAAGACTGATTTATTACGTCTTAGAAACTCAATAAACATCATTTAAAGCCAAAATAAAAATTGTAAACCTGTGAAAAATTAAGCGAAAAGGGGTTCATATAGGACTTTAAGTCAACTTCCGATCGAGTTTTCACCCCTAAAAACCTAAAATGGGCAGCTAAGATTTATATATTCTTGATCAGCACATTTTTTCTGATTTTTTGAGATATGTCCTGTCAAAAAGTAGGAGCCCCCGTAAAAGTACTTTCCTTGTGAAACAAGCTTACAGGGGGAAGTACACAAGTGCGACGCTCATTTTTTGATGGAAATTGGCAAAAAATTAAGTTAATTTTTTTTTGAGATATGCGAGACTACTAGCTCGCGTTTTGCAGAAACAACCGAGATCTTTAGATCGAAAGTTGGCAAAAATGGGACATTGCAAATTTTTCGCAGTCTGATCTTGGGGTACTTTACTTGTTCGATTACTCACTTGACGTCGTCTTCGACTGATCCTTGCTGATTTACTCTGATTCCGAACTTTGCACATAATTCGATCAGTTGATTCACCTGTATGAAGACTGTTCCCAGATTGGCATGCCCATTTCTATCTATTTCAGATCGGATAATCGGTGCCATTAGTTTCCAAACAGTCAGAATATTGTTCTTGTTATGTTCCTTTACAATATTATGAGCAAGATTGTAAACGGCTTTCTTCATTGCCAGTGTGTAAACGAAGTGTTTGGATGGCTGAAGCGGTTTAGTTTGTTATAGGACTATTAAAATTAGAGATTCAACCCCCCATCAATGATGAATAATATCATACCATGAAGGACATTTCTGCACGATTAACAGCCATTGTGTTGCGGAGTGATATTGGTGTCCCAAACGTGACAAAAATGTTGCCAAAGTTCTGGTTCAAAATACTTCTGACTTTGAGAACGCCTAAAGTCATCATTAAAGGATCCTATCAGGGTAATTGGATACCTGACATGTCTTCTTTTGGCTTCGGTGATCCCAAAAGTTCTCGACCATAAAGAACTGATTCCAGAAAACGGTCGTAGTTCATTGTAACTGGTACCAAGATTGTGTCATATACTTGGTTGCGAACAAAAGGCTCTGTCACTACTTTTAGAAGACCAAGTTTGGGGTCCAACGATTTCGAAACTCTGCTTCTTTGGCCCTCAGGGAAGAACTCGACTGGTCGTTCGTTTCCGATTATATGAGCTTGGACATATTCGGAAAAGATCGCCCAGTAAAGACCATCCTAAATTACCAATCAAAGAGAAGGTTAAGAGGAATATTTACGTTTCCAAATTGCCTCCGGATAAAGAAGGCTCCGCATTTCCTGAGGGCTTCTCCAACTATTCGAGACGATTGAAAATCTGATCCGGCACAAATCGCTGGTAGGGTAATATTAGCTTCAAAACAAATTAGCGAAATTAGTAAAAAATCTGTGTATGTTCGATGCGTAGGGACGAATACAACGGAGTCGTTGCGACACGTTTCTCTGAGGGTTGTAAGAGCATCCATGTTGACATATATCTTGTCAAACAATCGCTGAAACATGTTGGGTCATAGTGAATTTTGTCTTTTTACCTTGATTACTTTCAAAACAGGGTACCCAACGACTCTTGTGGAGTGGAGGCTAAAATCGTGAGCCATGTTATCCAAGATTTCCTTCGCTTCGGCGAATACCTCGTCGTGAGATCTTTCGCTTTCTCTAGCGACGATGTCAATGGCTCCCTGGACAACAAATCATTTTTTTCGAGGTTTAGCTTGCCTTAACATTGTCCGAGTTTAAAACAATATCCAGAAGATCTCCCCGAGCCTTCTGATGTTTCTTCTCATGGAACTTCTTTCTTCTTATGATCCAGGATAGCTCTCCACCATCTCTTCCTACCTTCTCAAGCCAGTCCACATAGCCTGCAGCCATCGCAAGATCACCCTATTTCTTTTTGCATACAACGAGAATGATAACAAAGGATGAGAGAGCAGTTGAGGTCAATTTTGGGACGAGGGTGTTGATAAGGAGGGACTGGAATTGCTAAAGAAGTGCATTGAATCACGTGTTAGTCCTCTGGATGTAGATGGACGGTTGGTCCCTTTGATTCTATGGCCGTTGACCATTAGTTGGAATACAAGGAAGCAGCACAGACGCAATTGACTTCCCTAATGATACTTTTTTGGACAAGGAATCCTTTACTTTCAATGCGTTAGGCTCGCTGCTTCCTCCACTTGATTAATGTCTCATAAATACGATGAATTCACAGATTGTGTTCTTTTTTTGGTCACTCTCAACACATCTCACTTTAATAATTATAATAATTATATTTGTTTGTTAATTATATGGCGTGCACAAAAGAGTTCTCTATACAGATAACAAATAAATACAATCTTAAATACATCTATTAGACACAAAAGTGAACGCTGAAGGGAGAGAGATCAGAGAAAAAGAGTTAAACCCAATTTTATGATGCTTGAGAGGATATTTGAGAGCTTTCCAGATGCCTTTCAAGGGTGGCTGCAACAGCGATGCGGACGTGAAGTTACTAGTGACCGGAAACAGTTATTAGTAGCCGAACAACGAGGCACACAACTTCCATCGACAAGGCGTTGGCGTATAGTCTGAATATCGTCCTACTGAAATTAATAAGTAAAATGAACGGATACTGTGTAGGAAAGGCGTGGGAAGTCGTTTACAGGTTTAAAAGGAACAACTAGTAATTGGAACGGCCGTCATTTGCAGACCTTTGTGGTAATGTTGCCAAAAATATACGTAAACAGACTTCCGACTACGCCAAAATCTTTTGGAAATTACAGTAATCTTATGTTGAAAACGGGCTGATATAAGGAAGAGAGAAATTGGAAGCAGAAAATGTTTTTCCTTACGATTTCTGGTGTATCGTTTGGGTTCGATGATAATGTCGACGAACCTCGGCATCTCCTGTTCTGTCCGGTCGGCCGGGGGGCCCAATCCTCGTCGTAGTCGTCGCAATAAAAGACTCTCTATGACATTATCTTCGTCCTGAAATCCGAGATTTATCGTTTTTCAACCTCACTCCCCCAAATCTATAAATTCTCTTACCGTAAATTGTTGTGAATGAACGGATAGGATTAGCATAACAAAAACAACCAGTGCATTCCATGTCCACGTGCTCTGCATTAGAAATGGGTTGAATAAGGCAACAATATCCTGAAAAGCAACATTAAACTGCTGTTATTACATATACAAACAAGATGACGAATTAGCCCGCAAAAAACATTTTTTTGTATACTCATGACTATTTATGCTAAAATGCACGTGAATACGATAATGTAAATTCCCTTTGGATGTCTAACTTGACAAATGACATCGAGATGTCATAAGTTCACGAGAAAAGCGGATAAATGAGGATGATGTCTAGCTTATATCAGTAAGACGACGCAAGATGATAAAAGACACAAAATACAATACATTTAAGAGACTTTGGCCAAAACATCTATCAATGCAAATGTCAGACATAAAAATGTAGCAGCATCACTTTGTAGATGACATCATGGATCGCTATGAAACAAAAGACTTTGCTTCACACCAAAACTTATCGACCAAGAATCCTCGGCTTTCAAGGCTAGCGCAATGCAAGTGTCGGATGGAAGAAAAACGAGTAAATTAACCTCCCCGAATGATTACAACACCAACATAATTAAGCAATCCGATATGAACATGTCTAGGAATACACTTCCGGTGTGGGGGAATGTCACGGAATCCACAAAAACGAATAGAACTGTAGAAATAAAAGGCCATCGTAACCGGGAAATGCCAACGCTCAAAGGCCGTTGGATAAAACAATTATTTAGTAATCACATTAAATGGGGTCTGAAAACATCCAAAGGCTAATTTCACACTCCCACAACATCAATGTGGGTGATGAAAACAACTGCAAAGCGACCGTTGTGCCCTCTAAAATAAACTTTATATCGCATAAACTGCTGCAAAATAACACGAGCCAGATTTGGCCCATTTCCCGCAACGAGTCCACCCTCAAATCCCGTCAGAATTTTGCCAATAAACGGTCGCTATTTTGTCCATTCTTTTATCTTAATTTACAAAAAGTGGGCGGATAAACCCCTGAGGGCCTGAAGAATGGAGCTGATGACTTCATTTGAGTCGGTCTGGTGCCCTCTCTTTTTTGGCCTAATAGATTAAACAAGGCCCTCCAAAAACTACCATAACCCGGCAACAACAAATAAACAAAGGTCGTATAGGTAAAGTAAGGCCGAACAGGAAAAATTATCACTTTTCAGAAATACGGTATGCTTTCTGAATTTTACAAGAACAAAACTTTCTGGTTGCATTAGAAAGATCACAATTTAGGTGACTAAAAATTTGAAGCCGCATAAATTACCGTTTTGTATCAGAAAAAATAAATAAATTTGAAAGCAAGCGAATACTACGACACCCTCTGGGTGAACAGTTCATTTAATTACATTCTATTCAGGGTTCGGAATTTAAATACGAAATGTCGCATATTTAGACTTGAATGTGATGTATAGACAATAAAGAATTCAAGGATCTCAAGCTTCAAGATGCCAAGAGTCAAAATTAGATTAGCTAATGGGTTTACAAGCAGGATATGACCGACAAAACACCCCGAACCTTGCACCGTGCGGGAATTGGAGCATGAGCAACATACCAAGCAGTCATTTGTGAAAAAAACTTGGATCTTTGCTCACTGCGTTAACTGTAAGTTGAGAATTCAGGACAACGGTGTAATTCGGACAATTCACAATTATAAAAACAGTTGATGCACAGTATAAAAAGGAGTGAAGATAAAAAATTAATAAAGGTGAGATCAAATTAAACAAGAGGGATGTACCGACTTTAAATAAGTCCTCTCGCGAATACGAACCAGATAGACGCGTATTTACCGAGTTTAAAACGAACTCCCACACAACTAGTAATTTCATAAACTGAGTACAATAAAATTACTGGATATCAAGTGAACAAGCTTGTTTTGCACTTCCATTAGGCCCTGACAATAGAACGATAGACCAGTTAGCAAACAGATACTATCGACCCATAGTTAAGGTCGACCAAAAACTGGAAGATCAGCACACAATGTACTAGCTGAAGCCGAAAGAAAAGTTATTTTCCGTCCTTGGAGATGTCTGAACGAGACCACAGACTAATCCCGGGGATCAGCAAGTCCCCGACGCCGTTCAGCGGCCCAGTCTTTATACCAATCCTATTTCCTAATTTCGTGGGGGCGCGGAATAAAGAAACGAGGAAGGGACGTCATCGTCATGGCTTGATGAACTTCTAATTGATCATTTGTACAGGCCAACATATTTTTTGAGCGGGCGGAGCTGTGCAGAGTGCAGATTCTGGAAAAACGCCCTGTGGGCATGCGGCTGGCACGTGGACAAAAGGAAGTTTTTGGCCCAAGAATTGAAGTAATGTGGTCAGACTTGTCAAAATGAGGGTTGCAAGGGCATAACAACATCTATCTCTCCAGGGATTAGCTTACGGTAAAGGTCATTCTCTTACTGTAACACCCATAGAACGACTGCAAACCCTATAAAATTTGCGAAACCTCAATTAATCTTTGACTCGGTTTACGCAAACTGATGCCCGAAGAGCGATGCAACATGAACCCGTTGCATCATCATCCAAAGTTCTGTTCATTTTATGATGTATCAGAGAAATAAGTCATCATATTATAGTTGGGATGAAGGTCCATTGCGTGACCCAAAAAACTGACGTTAGGTTACAATTAGAATTCTATTTATAAAAAAGGAAGTTAAATTTGAAAGCAAATAAAGATGGAAACAGACCTTGGGCTTCAATAACTGGTCAAGAATACCTTGACATGGGCGGACAGGTAGCCCCCTCCAGAAAAAATCTGCGGACGCGTCTCTCTGACTTGATTATGGCAATTTGAAGTGAATAGAAAAACATTTGTCTGAATTCAGATCAAATTGTCCTCCAAACCCATAAATAAGCGCCTGATTAGAAAATAAATAATTTCTTGGTCGTTTAAATATACAAAAAAAGATGTCTACTGTCAAAAAAATGGATGTAATTGATGATTGATACGTGAGAAACCCCGTTCCATGAATCATGTATGGATGTATGACTGGTTCATCTAACCCCCACACAGACATCTCTGTCCCATTGCGTATCCGATTCCCCGTGAAACCAATCGGGACATCCTACCGTAATCCTTTGTCTGTTCAAAAAAATGGTTCCAAAAATTTTGACAAAAGCAGCAGACATATGAAAGTAGACGAGTCACATGACGTAATGTTTTGTTGCGTGTTTTATTAACAGAACAAAGTGCGACCAAAGGGATTGGGGGAGATACAAAGGCAAGATGTTAGCAGGTTGTGTTAATTCAATTCCGAAATTTGCAGTAATTGAATCGAGAACGTCATCGAGTGCCAGCAGAAGCCGCTTGAAAAAATGACTGAGTAATTTCTTTACAAATCTCTTAACGAGATTTTCCCAGCCCATAAAATGGAAGGGGCTACGTACTCGAGGGACAAATGTACAGACGGCGGGCGAATCAGCATTACATTTAAGGAGCGCAGGAAATGCCGGGTTCTCACGTTTTTCACGTAAAATTCTGCAGAATTTGGAAGCCGTTGGTCCGCTGAGAACAAAGGGATACTGTAAAATACGGTCATAGATATGATTTTAGAAGTCGGCTAGTGGCAAATGCCCCCAGGCATTCAAATTTGATTTTCCCGACGAAGCAATAAGGCATAAGGGCTCTTGTAAAGTAGTGTAGAGCAGATTTAATCGAACTATTACGACTCAGAGTAATGTAATCTCCTGCACCCAACATCATACAGAATTGGGATCAAATATTACGTAATGAGTTGTATATCTCCATGTCCCAAGTGCACTTTTGGCACGGTCCGGGAGGAGGGAAGGACAGACTAATCCGTTATGCTAGATTAATTAGTGGCCAAAACACGCGTAATAGCTGAAATAAGTGGAAAAAGAGGGAGACTGTAATCGAAATGACTTCAGGGAAACTCATTTTGAAACAAGTTCCAAAGGGAGCAAAAACAAGGAAATTGGCGGTAAAAGTATGAGTATTTACTGTTCCAAAGTTATGTTCAATGTTTTCAACATATAGATAGAGTGATCCATTCTCAAAAACAATAATTTTAAACAAAGCTGAAAGTCCAGGACAACTAAAATATGTCATAGAAGGTTTGGGTGATCTTATGCAATGTTCTGGTCGAAAATTTACAACTATGCCTCAGGCTACAAGCCGGAAAATAAAATTAATTGCATAAACTAAAATCATAAAAATTAATCCAATATTTTCCCTTAAAAATAGGATGACAAATAGATTTGTTTTTTTTACAAATACTGAACCTAAATTTGGATCCAATTTGCCACCCTTAATACACATACGACCCGAAAATGATTTCATAAAAACTTTACAGCCGAACCCATTCCTAATAATATCTGGAATACGGAAGGCCTGAAACAAGACCACTAGTACCGTGTAATGTATTTATTTAATTGAGATCTCGGTTCTTTGGAGCACGGAACTTCGGGGGAATTAATCAACAAATAAATTGCACAGGATATCACGGAAATCTAGATTCTGCAGGTAGATTTGGATAAATAATGGATGGGAAAATAATTTTAACATCACTGGCATAAACTTAGTAGGGATTTAACAAACTTTTCCAACGGAATTCCCAAGTGCATCCGAGATATTTAAAAGGTTATCAGGGAAACCAACTAAAACTTTTGCTTGAAGTACGGTGTCAACCGGAAACAAAAGTTTGATATTGCTCCTCTAAAGCAATCGTTTGATACCTGCAGATCTCTGAACAACACCAGATGCGAGCAGATGCCGTAGATGTCTCAAGCTTTATCTCCAGATGCAACATGGGTGTGTAATCAGAGCCTCTTTCCCGCCTCCATATTCATTTTCTCACACCCGCCTTCTTGAATACCTTAGGTTATTTTTAAATCCTCAGGCTGGCAGTCTATGAAACCCGGTTCTTTGGACGTTATTTCTACTCGAAAAGTAAATGTAATTAACCTATTTTGATTAAAAATAGTGCGTAGACGCTAACCTGATTGGCGGTTTTATTATTTTGACAGATCAATAAGGCAATTAGAGGTGCTCGGGGGGTGTTTTAAGGACATGACGTGGGTATTTCCGACCACAAATACGATTCTAAAATATTTTTGCGACATCAAACATAATCCAATTCTGTTTCTTTGAGGTGTAAATATGAAATAAACTTCAGAATTTTAATGGCCCAAAATAAATGAACGACCTCAAGAATGTATATAATTTCATTCCAAAACTCAGACAGATTTTATTCGCATATCTTATACATACTTATGTCATCAAAATTTATTGCGTCACTAGTTGATGCCGTTAATTTAATCGGAGGAATTTGGCAGGATACCAACCTTGGCTAAAGAAGAACATGTATTATGATGTAAAAAGGAAATTATTCACCTATTAAAGTACAAAAAACCACTTACCGCCCTTCAATGGTCCTTCCCAAAACCCATCCTCGCGTTCCTGATTTGATGAGTTTAATCCGATCCCCTGCAGTCAGACTCAGTTGATGTTCTCCTTGGGCTTCGTAGCTGGTCACAACCTCCAGCCAACGACCATAATTTGACGTTGAAAATATTGGTCGCGCTGAAACCCAACATTAATTTATATTGGGCAAATTTCGAAGTCAAGCAGCTGTAAAATGATTGACTTACGAGCTTCAGATGGTTTAATATACTTTGGAGGTGGCTGTCGAGAATTGTGAAGGCCTGGCAAAGGAATAGGATCTACAAATACATGGGCATCTTCTTCAAATTGACCCTTATAATACTTACTGTAAACATTGGCACTATCAGTTGATTGATTCCGACTGTGGTAAGCAAAGAAGTCTGAGTTCTGTCGGGAATGCCCTGAGGGTCTGTCGGTGTCATAGACATTTGGTCGAACTACTTGGGGATGATAACTCGCGTTTTGATACTTATTTTCGAACCTCTCATACCTATCCGGATATTTATCAAATCCATTCGATTCCTTGGGGACAAGGCCCATGATCGGGGTGGGTTTGTAAATGCCCGGAGGCAGTACCTTGTGACGCTTAGCACCACCGGCGAGGTATTCGTATTCATGGGTCTCTGGGCGTTCTTCTACAAGCAATTTTTTTAAATTAATTTGACTCAAAGAAATTTTTTTGTACATTTAGTATTACTTTGGTAATCCTTACCTTCCAAGTAATTTCTGCTCGTTCTCTCGTTCACCGGGCTATGGGATTTGACTTCGTTGGAGTTAACTACCTTAGCCTCTGATCTGACAGAGATTGGGACAATCGGGACGACTTTGTCGTCAGTCTGGACACTTGCCGGGATACTCGGAACTCTCTCAACTCGACGGACTGAATGGGGAGTGCTCGGACTTGAATGATTCTTGGTCGAACCTCTCTCAGACCTTGTGTAAGTAGTGGTGGTCTAAAAGAAAATAAATCAGGAAACATTGAATTAAACAACACTTAAATCCTGCAACAACTTACGTGAACAACATAAACGTTGTTCGGTTTTTCGGTAACTTCTTCTTTCACTTCTTGAGTCACAATTACGGGATGTTCTTCCTCATCCTCATGTGTGGCAATAATCTCGTTGTGGTATGCTTCATTAGATTCTACATTAATTCTATGATTCTCCGGTACAGCTTCCTCCGACACTCTGAAGATGGTCTCCTCTTCTTCCGGCTGGTCTGCTTTCACTTCTTGGGTCTGAGCAGAGTATTGCGTGCCTTGTCTTGACTTCAAACTCTGTCCAATTTCACTTCTATTATCTCTATTCTCCCCCAAAACGGCGACAGAAATCTTGGATCTCAACGTGTCATTAATGTTCACAACTTCCTCCAGATTCTTAAGAGCTTCTGCTGAGTCGGAGATGAGTAATTGGTTCTCTGCGATTTCAATCTTGGCCTTGTAGGACTCCTTTAATTTCCTCAAAAGTTCGAGATAGTTCTTTGCAAAGTAAGCGTATCTCTGACAGTACTGTTTCTGCGCTTGTCTGTACTGTTCTTGATGGAATGCGCTTAATTCTGTTGGGTTCTGAAAAGGCAAAGACATTCTTCCCTTGTTATCTCAACTCACCTGAGTCCTCTTGCTGTGTTTGGCCGCATTCTTTTCATCTTTAAAGTATCTATGAGTCATTTCCTTAACCCTTTCTTTCTCGGTCTCACTGAATCTGACAATGGCGGTCAGTAAATTGACAAAAGCTTTGAACTAAAAAAGATGAGATCAAAATAATGAAACCTACCCATTGCTCTTCACATATTTGCATCTTTTCAAAGACAACTGTAATGTCGGATAATTCTTTGCAGAACTGATTGGCCTGCTCGAAGGGCCCTTCCCCAGATTCCGCGAGGGATTTGAGGGCTTTTAGATGGACTTCAATCGATTTTTGATACTCTGAAACAATAGCTTGACACCCGAATAAAAATTTTTCAGTAAAAAGGAGTGCGTTCCAGAACTACGCCTACATATTGTGACAAAGAATTTCGGCAGAATATTAATCACTTTTAAATTAAAACAACCTTTCACCTTTGTCTTACAAATTAAACAAAGAAATATCAAACTTTCTCTCTTACAAACACCGAACTTCAGCAGCTTACCGGTATGATGAGTCTGCAGGTCAACTCCAGTCTGTGCTACGGTTCGGACAGCTAAAATACGGATGTTAGAAGTCCAAAAAAATGATGACAAAAGAATAGTAATTGAAGATGACTATCGTAAAGAATCATTTCAAGCTTACCCGGCGCGAATCCGGTCTGAATCCGGCGATAGAGGTCGGGAGTGGAGAAGGAGTCGATGGCCGTCATCTTCCAACCAAATTTAGCGAAATAATTTCCCGGGTTTTTGGGGGTCGGCGGCGCGGCCGGCCTTATCAATTTCGACGCTCAACCGCACCTTTTTCATTCCGCCCGGAGGTATAAAAATCTGTTTGATATGTCCTGTCATTCCTTCGCCTTGAGCATTTTATGTATTCGAGTTATCAAGCACGCAAAACATCGAGGTATTTGCGACGACCTCAGGGGAAAAGCGAAAGAGAAAACTCGAGAATCCCAGGAATGCGATCAACCAATTGTCGCTTGGTTATAACAATGTTGTTTTGCCCGACGGGATAAAGAAATCACTCAATATCGAATTAAAAAAATTGTAAGGCTCTTTGTTGTAACATGCAGTGATAACTTGGTTATAAAATTTAAAGTTAAGCCACAGAAAGTGTATCAGGTCCGCTACTGTATTTTTATGTCCTTCGAAACGATAAAGGTTTCGTTAAGACCCTTTTCCGGAGGTTCAACGTCGTCAATTGGGGAAAAGACAATTGGGGAAACCGAAAAATATTGTTTTTTATGTTGGAATTAGGATAGTCAATGTCGCTGATTTCAGAAATCGTATTCATTTTTTCTTTTTGTTACTTTTTTTTAAAACATGTTTTGCCATAGACTCGATTTAGCTGCGCACAAAAAACAAGATGTATTTCTTACCTTTTCCAGCCCTGTATGATGGCCCACACGCCCTCTTTTAATGCCCACATCAATACAAAATAATTATTTTTAATACTGTTTATTAAACGTCAGTAACAATTTGGATATAAAACTTAAGGTTAAGGCACAGAAAGTGAGTTCATAATAAAAAGAATCGAAAGTCATCGTTAGGAATGCAGGATAACAACTAGTAAATAAAATAATATGTAACCTTCCATGAGATGTTTGAATTACTGAGCGACAAAGATGCGTGCTTCGATGAATGTAAACGCAACCCCAACGGCAATACCTAAAAGGAAATTAACAATAATTTAAATATAAGTCATGAACAATATACAGATATTCATGAAAAAACTTACCAAGAACCAAGAAGAAGGCGGACATCATTCCAGCAGTTCTGGCGGCCGAATTGGGGACTGCCCTGGGGGCATACATCATAGACAGGGAGCTGAAGTATCCATGAGTGAGACTCATCAAAGTCACTCCTCCAATGAAAACCCATTCATTCTCAATGTAAACAGGGAATAATCTTTTGGCGCCTCCATAATTACAGAACCAGAAGAATGGGAGGAAAAGAAGCCTGAGAGCGGTAAACCAGATCAAATTCTTGTGTCCTGGGATCTGAACGTAGTTGGCGATCACGTTCCCAACAGTCGCAAACACATTAAAGTTGAGGAAGATGATGACCTGAGTGTAGAGATATTGTGGGATGAACACATCGTACTTTCTGTTGTTAGGATAGAGTCCAGTTGATGCGACGACCGCTGGGAAGAGGGCCAAAGTCACGAAGAAGGTCAGAAACACACTCAGCATTTGAACCCATGCCTGAAAACAAAAAATTATAATCAATAAAATAAAACCACTCAACCAAAAATAATAACAAGGACTTGCATGCTTCAAAACGAATTTGAAATCATCCAAATTGAGCTTTTGTTCAGTGGTTTCACTCCGCGACTGCTTTGCTTTGGAGACATAGAACTCGTAAAACGGCTAAAAATAAGGCACTAAGCTTCATCCACAAAAAGGCATTGTTCTTGATGATAACTTACCAGTTTAGGTAGATAAAAGAAGGTGCCCAAACATAAAAGAACGGTCAGCAGAGCCACCAAAAAGTAAGAAAAGGCCACCAAAAGAGTGTTATCCGTGACTGACAAGGTGATCATCAAGATCACCGTAACGAAGATACCGCAAGTATTATTCCCAATAACAACTGCATTCGTGAACTTGGCGGGAAAATCAGCCAGTATTCCATAGATGCTGTTCTGGTACACTCCATTCGCGCTGTTCAATATAACTACCGTAATCATGGTGAAGATGAAGAACCCAAACATCCCTAGAATAAAAGTTTGTCATCGTAATGCAAAACAAAATATAAAAGGTACCTAAATAAATACAACTTACATTCATGAGTCGGAATAAAGACAAAAACGACAGTGGTTAGACAAATTGATGCAACAACAACAAGAGAGTAGATGATCCTAACATTAAGATCTGCCTTCAAAACAATAAATAAATTCAAGCAGTTCAAGATCAGGTTCGGAAGTTGAGAGAAGACTCCCAGATAACTGAAGAAGTTCTGAGAGTAATTTGGAGGCTCGGTGCCGTTCTTCAAAGGATGGAACTTGTAGCCGATAAAATACTGAAAACAAATAACATAACAAAACATGAACCCTCATGGATAATACAACTTACATCTGGAGCGATTGTCAAGAACATATTCCACGGCATCAGCGTGCCAATTCCATGCAGAACGAATATCCAATAAACCAAAGTTGCTGTTCTGGAGGTGTTCTCATCGGGCTCTGTCTTGGAGGATGGTGAAGATCCATTAGGACTGGCCTGGACAAATGGAGTGCGTTCTTCTACTAAAAACATAATGAAAAGTTAATTTAAAAATAAGAACTCATAGATTTACTATAGTCTCCCCATACCTCCTAGGATACGCAGAAGACCTCTCAACACATCCATCTTTTAAGTTTGTAACTAATCGCCAAGCGAACACACAAAATAAAACTTGGACAAAGTCAAAAGAAACCCAGCTGAGCAAGCAAAGAATCCTACACCTAGCTCCGAAATCGTGTCCTTCTCATCACTCAAATCCAAAATGACCTCGTAAGTAAGAAATTTCTGCGCATGCCGAGAAGTCTAATAAAAACCAGTTAATTTAGGTAATAAATCTTGGATAATATATGATACGAACCACAATCTGCGCGCAAAACAACTACATTGCATCGAAATAGCAATTTCATTAGCCTTATAGAAGACTCCTCAGGTCATTTGCATCAAGGAGCATACCTAAAGGAAAAGCAAAAAGTAATAAACCACATACCGGATACATTAAGCGTGACATCGTTGCTCGGAGCACTGCTATCACCCATCTTCAACCCACTGACGGCACCGTACGGTCCGAAAACCGGCTCTGAAAGCAGATTCAGCGATTCAGACGCATCCTTTGAGAACGAACTATTGGGATCGGACATTGAATGGTCAGTCGGTAGACCATTTCCTGTATTCCCCTTTCGAAAAAAAATAAAAATTCGATCAAATAGTGCATTATCACTTGGTTATCAGTTCTAAAAAGAATGGACTTTTTCGACCGACCAAAAACAGACAGGTATCGATATTATTCTTGAGTCTGGAAGAGATAAAAGATGCAAATTGAGGCTGAAAAATGTAGGACAAACGGATATCCAGTAAAAAACTAATGGTTAGGGTTGCGAAAGTCAAACGGCCTTTAGAAAAACATGGCTCGTGCATGCAGGACCAACAACAAAAACAAAAATTTTCCGATGCAAAAAAATATTTTTTTGAAACGGAGAAATAAAAATAAATTGGCGCCAAATTCTGCGAGTCCGCAAGTCTTCTCGCGCAGCTGTTCTCCAACCTTTTAGCGTTATCTGGAGATTCGAAATGCACCTTTAATCTGCGGGCAAAGCTTTGTCCAAACTTTTTTATTTGGAAAGCGGCCAGGGTCTTTTCAGGGTATTACAATATCAGAGGAAAGGAAAAATTCAAACAATCTAATGCTAATAGACGCAGATCCCCTCTTAATAAGATTGGAATGTGGAATGCAAACAGAAAGGTTGCTTTGCCCACGAGATCTAAATTTGTCTTAATTTCAAAGTGGAAAGTGGAAGTGACCTAAAAGATAAGCGGAAAGATTGGTCTGGCACGTTCGGAAAGTGTCGGAGCGATGGCCAACTGATCGAAAAGAGAACACAGAGGCCATTTCCCTTTATATAGGGGCATTTGGGACTTGGATGGAGAGAAAAGGAAGGCTGTCCACGACAGGCCCGATCCTTTGCAGGATTTAAAATGTTTTGTGAATTCGCGTACAAAGAGGGAAAGAAAGTAGTTGTTTTCGCAGACAATTCATGTCTTTCAATTCATCGCTCCACTGAAAATCATATTAGATTGTCCGGTCATCGAAGATATAAGGACCACTAGGTATATTGCATTAACAGGACGATCAGCACTGTTAATGCTCTTTCCGCGACACTATCCCTTAGTAACGGAAAAAACTGGTTTATACTATAATCACTATGCGGTCTATTTTTGAGCTGGACGTTACCAACGTTTCCAAGAATGCAACAACAATTGGATTAATTGACCTAGTAATTATATAAAATTCCCTTTGAGTAGACCGAATAATTCAGCTGTCTTTTCAGTAACACTACCACAGATAAGGTGGTTTTTATTCCGGACAACGGACATGAGACGGGCGTAAAATGATTTATGACCTGCGACTATGATCAGGCATAAAAAAATTCTCCATCGTATAATTGTTGGGGCGAAGATAAGATAAATTAAGATCGAATAATTTTTATTTGAGCGATAATGATTACATAAATTTTGTTACAATTTTGATGTCTATTGTTGTTTGCATTATACTGCCAGAGCTTCCAGAAGATGTCGTCTCTTGAAGTAAGAGGCTAGTCGATCTTGTGCGTATGTCTGAAAATTATTTATAAAAAAAACTTTATAAGATCACAAGACAATCGTCCTCGGAATCCTCATTAAAGGACCAGAAAAGGTATTTTTTGAACCGATTTTTTTATCGGCGTAATCAGGCAATTTCGTGGCGGGACCATCAAGGTATGTATGTGTTCTCGATTTTTAGAATGGAGAATAAACTTCTCCAGTGGATTTCAAATGGCCGATTGGCCCAGAAACCTTAATATACGTGCTGAGTAAGATGTGCAGTCTCAGGAATTCTATGGAAAATCCTCATATAAGTGCGAAAATGATGTTGTACTTCATGAATTTTCAATTTTAGGTATCTCTTTCCATCGATTTACTCTGAACAAGGCGTCAAGTGCCTTGACGAATTCAAACACTATTAATAGAGCATAATAACAAGATTTATTGCTTATTGAGGTTAGATTATTAAGGTTAGATTGAAATATTGATGGAAAAAAGAATCAACGATCGTGAGGCGATAATTGTCCGTAGTGATGGCTGTGGTTCTAGTCTCCAGCATCGTAGTCTTTTCCGGACATACCAGGAACCTGAAATAAAATGAATACAAACAATCTATTGCCAAAAAGTTCAAGATTATTACCCAAAAAGCAAGTTTTAGCCAAAATTTTGATATTATCCATGGCAAAAGTGCATACTTCTGATAAAAACGGAGTAAAAACATGCTCTGTTCTGTAAAACGTGCATCAACGCCTGGACTACTCCATACAGTTCTTAACTAAAGTTCGGGCCCTAATTTCACTGATAAAAATTATATTATCCATGATCCCGGTCTAAAAAACAAACAAAAAATGTAAAACTCTCACCTGTTCACCACGTTTCCCTCGACCATACCCTTCCACAGGTCCCGGATGCACAATCTAATCGATTCTAATTGTCCAATCTTTATTGCTCATGGAGAGATACCTAAAAAAGTAACTGAAGGGCAAAAAAACAACTTACATGAACGGTTTTGATGTTTTTCATCGAGTTCCTGGAATGACCCAGCTCATTCAACATGTGAAGCAATGTTTTTGGGCCAATCAGCCATTAAAAATTCACAGGAGAAGTTTATTCTCCATTCTAAAAATCGAGAACACATACATACCTTGATGGTCCCGCCACGAAATTGCCTGATTACGCCGATAAAAAAATCGGTTCAAAAAATACCTTTTCTGGTCCTTTAACAGTCGAAAATTACCTTATATCCAAAAGAAATTGGAGATGTCTCCCCCATATATAGCGACCATATGGCCCAGAAGAAGTCAGAAACAGGCATGAAAGGTAACGTTTCGTCTACGAGACTCTTTACCTCATCCTCGGATGGCTCGATCCCATCATATTCGGCAAGATAATTCTTACAAAACCTTAACATATGCTCTTCATCGACTTCTTTGTCATGATAAACATGATAGTAAGGGTACTCGGGAGTAGTATAGTTGATGGTATGTTCGTCAAAGTGATTGGCAATGTCATAACCTCTGGAAATAATGCCTAGTAAACGGAGTACTGTGCTTACCGATAATTATAGCATGAGTATTCGAAATCGATGAAAATTAGTTTTTCGTTTTCCCGATGGGGTGTATTCAAGTGGAGGATGTTGTTTTCTTGTAGATCATTATGACAGAAAGTGACTTTACTATTGGTTCGGGATAACGCTGTTCTGAATACAAAAAGTTTAGTGCTCTTCGCTTTTGATGACATTACAGAAATACATATATATGATATATAGTATTTACCGGATAAATTCAATTTGTTTCAAGAAGTCGTTCTCTTCCAATACCGTGGCAGATTTGTTGTGACTTTGTTCGGGGACCTCTACTTTCACTTTTGCACCATTAAGTACTTGAAGATACCCTTGGAACCATCTATAAATCATACGATTTGTTTAAGTCAACCTCACCGTCCAATGCAAGCCATGATAAAGCTGGGATCCTTTTCGATTGGAGCATTTATTTTATGAATTCTGGCCAATTTACAGGCAATCTCTGTGCTAAATTCTTCATGGAACAATTCAAGAGTAGTCAGGGGTCGGGACTACAAGAAAACTCAAAAAAACACAAAACTTACTGGAATGTACTCTTCCAGTCGTCCTTGATCGAAAACTCCATAGAGTCTGGGGCCGATTTGCTGTTCGCTCAGCTGGCTGAATATGACACTCTCGGTCAGCCACTGATTAGCGCCGTCTGGGGAAAAGTTTATTCGGATTAGCACCTGATTTGGTGCATGCCTGACATGCTCTGGATGGTCGACACTCACCAGAAACAACAGATTACTGGTCCCTCCGGTTATTTGTTTCAATTTCACTTTCTCCGGCGTCGCCTTGGACCATTGGTTGGCCAGGTATTTCTTGCACAAACTGTGAGCGGCCTCTTTTACTTGAGGATGACTGGAGTAGTCAGCATTCTGAGGTAAGGACAACAAAAGACGACGCATCTCGACGTCGATTGAGATCAATGGCACTAGATTACACACGGAATACAAGGAGGCTAAATCAGTCATCTTCTTATTAGTGGTGGAGTTAGGAGTAAGCCGCGAGGAATCGTGGATCAATATAACAAAGTGAAGGGAGAAGAAAACAAGCGTTCCGAATGGTCAATGGGGGAGTTTCCATTATGGGTTTTCTGAATTCACTGATGTTCTCTCGGTTATTTTAACTGAACAGTCTATTAATAGTTTGTGGGAAAAAATAATTGCGAAAGTAATCAGTACAGTAGACTTGGGTAGGGACGGGAAAGGGAAGTAGATTGTAAGATTTCTGTTGAAAACAACGTTTTCTTATAAGCAAGTGATAAACGAAAAAATTTTTTTAAATGGCTACAAGTATCTTAGAATGCAGCTAAAGTGCTTGCTTTAAAAAATAATAAATTCAAAGTGAAATCAAAAATGAAAATAATATTACCTTCTTATTGTGTTTGAACAGCTTCAACCGAAATGATTATTCGAAGATGATTTGATCCAATTTGATTCGCACAAATGATCAGTCTAAAGATCATTCAGATAAAACACCACTTTTAAAGAGACGAGCCCAAACGGGCATAAACGGCGGAAGGAATTTCTGTGACGGAAAAAACGCTGTGAAATGGGACTCCTACTTTTCCTAAGATTACACCTGCCCGGGAGTACAGACCACGTCGTTGCAACCTCTTGTTTTGAAGTTTATAACTCAAAAAATATTTGGAAAAGCGGTTGATAAGAGATATGAGTAAAATAAAATAAGCAAAGGAAGAGATATATGATCAACATATGACTATAATAAGACGCAACTTTAAAGGAACCATTATTGACTCATGTTACGTAAAATCGCGTGGGTTAGGGACTCCATGGAAATGTGAATCAAATAATTTTATTGACCTTAAGACAGGTAATCATTTCGCCAATTGCGCGTTTCCTGTTCAAGAAGCTCCTTTAGTGTAATTTTGTGACTTCTCTCGTTTTAAAAATAGATTGGTTGAAATGTGATTGACCTATAAGAGGTAATGTTAATTTTGGTTAGATTAGGCAGTTGTTTCCTTACTCACAGTTAACAGCGATTTGAAATCTCGATTATAAAACTTTTAATTATTGCTATGACAGTGTGTTTAGCGACCCAAATTTTTTTCATGTTTTCAAACCCTTGATTTCATTGTTAAATTTTGCTCTTAAACTATTGAAATTTGTACAGTGGTTGGAAATGGAAAAGACGCCTTTGTCTGCGGGCCGCATTGTACCGGCGTCGCATACGAACTTATAAATCATGACATGTATATATACTACATTGTGTTCCAATTAGTGACAGTGGGGATCATCGTCGTCGCTTCCTTTTGTTCGGAAGGCAGCGCCAAATCCGTTTTTCCGCCGCTTAACAGCCAGCAGGTTTGGGGCGAGGGGAAGAGGGCTCTTTCCACAAAACAGGGGTTTAAAAACATTATAGTTGGTGATATTTGAACGCAACCGTTGTTGGGTTAGTCCATCACTTCCCTCGAGACTCGGTTGGATGCTCTTTCCAATTATTCTAATTTGCATCACCCAGTTTGCACGGTGTGATCAAGTAAGTCATCAAATTTGGATACGGTAGCTATCGTTAATTATTTATAATTTAATTTTAAAATATTTTCATAACTGGGCCTGTTTCAATATTAGATCAAACTGTTTTTGTTTACAGTTCATCGACAAGACAGTGCCTGAGGGGGAGACCACACTAACTGATGCAGACTTCCTCCAGATTCGTCGGAAACGGCAGAATGTCGATGAAGACGTGGATGACTCGGCAATGTATAATAAGGACAGATTCGAGGGGGATATCGGTGAGATCTTTCGACAAGAAATGCTTGTTTAGTGCACTGTTCAATGTTTCCAGCAGTCCTTAACCTCCGTTTATCTTCTCCGTCAGATGTCTTTTCTTTTGAATTCTCAATCCTTTGACCTATAAACTGACGTCACCTCTTTTTTTTATTTTCAGTGACCATGATCTCCCCATCATCCGATCCCACAGTCTCATCTGATGTTTCAAATTCTTCGTTTTTAATGAGGAATGCAGTTCGACAGAGCTACTTGAAATGGCCAAATGGTCGTATTCCGTACACGATATCGACGCAGTATACAACTTTTGGGTATGTTTCGTAAAACCGGTTAGAAGGGACCTTGACATTGATCTCATGTCTCTTTTACTGGGTTACTATCATGTTATGCTCTTTTACGTGTCGCAAAGAGCTTTGCATCAACAATGATTGAGTCATAGAAGATGAAGAAACACTGACTCGCTGAGTAAGCGCTGCTCTTCCGATAAATAAAAATGCGACGTAAATCCGGAAAGCTCAAAAAAAAAACATATTAGAGTAATCCCGAAACCGAGGAAATCAGGAAATTCAAACGTTAAAAATGTCGCAATATTTGCTTTCTTTCTAGATGCTTGGCAAAACGCACTTTGAAAAATGAAAGAAAAACTGAAAAATTTGCAGCCAATTTTTATCGTTTCTACATAAAACTTCGTTCTTTTGCGCAAAACCATCTGAAGTTCTATTTAAGACGTCAGCGAGTAGCATCAGCCATCGATGAGTATCATCAACGGACTTGCATCAGGTTCGTCCCCAAAACCACCACTGATCTGGATTATGTCCACATCTTGCCCGAAGACGGATGTTATTCATTGGTGGGAAAAGTCGGTAAGAGAAAAGTTGCGGAAGGCATTGCTTAATTAATATTATTTTAGGAGGAAAACAGCCAGTAAGTCTTGGAAATGGATGTATGGTCACTGGAATCATCATCCACGAACTCATGCATGCAGTGGGATTCTTCCACGAACAAAGCCGAGCGGACAGAGACAGTTATGTTAGGATAGTGTGGCCAAATGTGGAATCGGGACTTCAAGGTATAAGAATATTGGAATACGAAAATATAATTTGTTTTAGATCAATTTGACAAGTACAGTTTGGCTATGATCGACCATTTGAACACTGAGTATGATTATGGATCTGTCATGCATTACGGACCCTTGGCATTTTCCAAAAATGGAAAACCAACAGTTGAGCCCATTCTACCAACAAATCAGAAGATTGGACAGAGAATCGGATTCAGCCAGACGGACGCCATAAAGATCAACAAGTTATATACTTGTCAACCTCAAGGTCCGTTTGCATTAGTCGATGATCTCATTCTTATAACATTAAAAGTATTTTATCATCTTCTTTAAGCTCAAGCAAGTAATGTTGCGTTTGGCCAGCTCCCAGTGAGTCTTTCAACCTTACCCGACAATGCAGTTCAATACTCTTGTGCTGATCATCGGAGGGATTGCCAATTCTTGGCCGAACGGGGGCATTGCACCTCATCTTTTGCTCAATATTTCATGGCCGAGAATTGTCCGAGGAGTTGCGGACTGTGTGCAGATAATTCTGTTCGGCTTTCTGCATGTCAGGACATCAAACCTTGGTGCCAACGGTGGGCTGATTCCGGGCTCTGCCAGTTGTTTCTTTTCGCCGGATATATGAAGAATAACTGCGCGAAGAGCTGTGTTCTGTGCTAGATGTATCTCGACTTCGTTCAAGTAAAATACGGTGTATTTTATTCTCCCAAAGATGTTTTTCTCCTATGTATATAATAAAGGAGTTTTCTGAAGGTCAATTAAGTCGTCTTTCTCAAACTTTAAACAAAAAATTTCGTTTTTAGATTTAAGAGAAATCAGCAAAAAAAGGAGCGAACTGATAACAATTTGGAAAGAAGTCGGTGTTTGAAGCGGAGTAGTCTTGTCTTTGGGCGGCTGACAGGATGTGGCCTCGAACGGTCGCCTTTCTTTTCGTGCTCCTGACCGTCGGTCTGGAAGCCAAATCTTATCGACATTTCGAGAGATTATTCGATTCATCGGAGGAGGAAATCCATGGGAAAGTCCATCAGAAATTAGACACGGTAAGAGATTTAGAATGTATTCATGTTGGTTTTTCCTTGATCAACAGAACAAAAGTTATTTTTGATATTGGACTGAAGAAATATATTTCAGACGTCCTTTCAATACCATGTCAAAACCCTTTGTCATAATGACAAGAACAACTCGGTCTATTTGATCGAAGGATCTGATTGTGCGAACAAGATCGCAGTCGGAAAATACAGTAACCAAGTCAATTCCACCGGTTGGGGTATTCTCGAAGTGGAGACCTTCCCCGAATTCACCGATGAGGTCCAAGCTTATGCAGCTGGAGTTGTGGAAGGATCGTTGACCAAGCTCCAGATCTATTACCATTTTCGGAATACCATTGAGGGGAATTGCAATGGAGCCAACAGGGATTACTGTAAGAGGCTTTACAGATACCTGAGATCTAATCTTGATTGGGTTCAAAGTCAAGTTCTGAATCCCGCGCTGAAGGATGATCCGTACTGGAGACAAGTGGGTGAAAGAAAAGTTTAATCAACTGGAAATGATTTAGGTTAATCTAACTTATACTCAAGTCACTGGCATCTACCATGGCTACCACAACAACAAAGATTTAGACCCAGCCGTTGAATTCGAAATCACCCCTATTCTGTAAGTGGTTTCAAAATGAAACGATCGGCCTCTCTTTCAGTATGTTGCAGATCGCAGGGGATCTTTTCGACCTCGCTCATCTTCTGAAGAAGCCAAAACAAGTCTCCGACGACCCCGATCCAGGACATTGCACTGGATTTGTCAAGTTGACCAAGGGAAACAAGGATCTGATGATCTCCCATGTCTCCATGTCCGGTTATAACACCATGAACAGACTGATGAAGCTCTACAAGTTTGCCTATGGTGAGAATAATTGATGCCTCAAATTTAATTATCGCATTCGTCTAGAAGATAAGGTCGTCCTTTACACGCCGTTTATCGCTTCATTATCAGCTAAATTGTGCTTTTTCAGACAAGACCGTCGTACCCGGGCATACCTACTCGTTCTCTTCATACGCTGGTGCTCTCGTCTCTCAGGATGATTACACTCTTATCAGTTCTGGATTGGTAAGGAAATTGACAAAGTTGGACACCAGAGAAGAACTGACCGAACCGTTGTAATTGAAAAAACTTTTAGGCCACTATCGAAACGACCATCTCCATCTTCAATGAATCTCTCTACACTAGCAATTACATGAACCCTAAGGGACAGCTCCTTTGTTGGGTCCGATCAACCATTGCCAATCAACTGGCAACCTCAGGAAAAGAATGGGTAAAACTGTTTGGGAAGTACAACTCCGGAACTTACAATAACCAATGGACCATTTTGGATTACAATAAATTCAGTCCAGGTGGGCTATTTTTTAAAATATTATATGAAACTAACAAGAGAAGGACCCAAGTGCGACGGCCAGATTTTCTTTAAATTTTGTACACACGCCTGACATAGGCCAAATATTAATTCCTGAAAGTTTTAGCTCGCGCTTTGCAGACGCAACAGAGATATTCAACGATCGTTGCGCCCGAAAGAGCGCGCGAAAGGCGGAGTGCGATCAGAAATGAAAAACTGTTTGGCCGTATCTCCGCCACTTTCGCATGGAGAAAATTGATTTTTTGTGAAACCATTATACTCTACGTTAAAAAATGCATACAAAATTTTTAATCTCAAAATTTGCAGAAAATTTGCATTTTTTACATCTTTCGATCTAAAAATCTCTGTCGTTTCTGCAAAGCGCGACCTAGGAATGCCTCTTAAAAAATGTTTCTAAATTTGCGACAAGTTTTATTAACAAGGAAAGTCACTTAAGTCACGGATCGATTTTTAAAAACGACTGTTACAGCGATGGGGAGGGTACGACGGAGATATCAAATCTGAAAACCGCTACCTCCACCGGCCTCTGGGAGCCGAGATAATCGACCAAAAAGGTTTGACCAAAAAAAGCTGCCCCGAGTAGTCCTCTCTTACGAAAGAAGGAGGGAAGAGAACCGAATGGTCCGGTGGTCTGGAAGCGCGCCTCCAGGCCATGACCTTTTCAGGTTCGAATCCGCATGGGTCAAATAATTTATTAAACTTTTCCTGTGATCCAGTAAATTTATTTTTAGATTTTTTGCATATTTTACGATAAAATTTCAGAGTAATAATTTAAATGCGCGTTCCAAACGATTTGAATTTTCAAGGTTGAAAATTCACCGTGAAATAGGCAAAAAATCAAAAATAAATTAGCAAATTTACTGGATCACAGCAACTGCTTTACAAATTTTTCACAAGTTCGAAACCCACGCGGATTCGAACCTGAAAAGGTGAAGGCCCGGAATCGCGCTTCCAGACCACTGAACCATTCGGTTCGCTGGGTTCTCTTCTTTCGGAAGGAAGAAATGTTCGGAAGAATTTGGTCAAACCTTTTTGGTCGATTATCTCGGCTCCCAGAGGCCGGTGGAGGTAGCGGTTTTTAGATTTGATATCTCTGTCCTACCCTCCCCATCGCTGTAACAGTCGTTTTACAAAATCGATCCGTGATTTAAGTGACTTCCCTTGTAAGGTCGGAACGTCACACTTGATGTACTTCCCCTGTAAGTTTAACACGAGCTGTAATTGTGCAGTATGGTCTGTACGGAATTCTTATCCCCTTTTCAGGAAAAGAATTGCCGAACAACGACGTCTTGTGGATTCTCGAACAAACCCCTGGCTACACTGAATCGCGCGATGTAACTTGGTTCCTCCGCAAGTTTGGTTATTGGCCATCCTATAACATTCCCTACCAGACCAAGGTCTCTGAGATCAGTGGCTTCGACGAGAAGGGCAGCCAACTTGACTGGTGGAGATGGGGCTACTCTCCACGAGCTAAGATCCTCGAACGTGATCACGATAAAGTTGTTGACATTCCGACCTTGTTCAAGTTAATGAGATACAATAATTACACGCAGGACGAGTTCAGCAAATGTGCATGCAATCCCCCATACACTGCAGAGGCCGCCATCTCTTCTCGAGGTGACCTTAACCCAGCCAACGGAACCTATGTTATCGAAGGAATGGGGCACAGAAATCATGGAAGTCTGGACTATAAGGGCACAAACTACGAGCTGTTTAAGAAACTGCAGATTCACACCGTTGGAGGACCTACTTACGATCCTTTACCTCCGTTCAGGTACGTCTCTTAAAGTAAACTGATGATATGTCCAAATCATGATCTTTTCCGCCATATTTTAGCTGGAATACAACTGATATTGTTGCCCCTCACTACGGCCAGCCAACCCTCTGGAAGTTCCAACCTTTTATCACTGAGTGGGAGACCAAAGTTAGCGCCGAGCTTCATAAAACCAACAAGAAATTTGACAAATACTTCGACGATATGTCTGATGAGTCTTTAGAGACGATATTTTAATGTTTTTAAAGAAAGAAGTAAAGTTTTAAACAATCTAAGCAATTTACAGTAGCATCAAATAACTGAAAACGGAGTGTACGCAGAGCCGTGAAACTGTTACTGTATACCCTTTGAGGTGCTAAATAGAAATCCAACGGAGGTGGTCTTAAGCCGCCAGGGGACTCTTTTCACGGTATAGTGGATTTAGACGAAAACTACCAATCTGTGGTCCCGGGTTCGAGTCCGGGTGGGCGCAAATCACTGGAAATGGCCGGTGATGACTTGAATGGGCGGAATATGCAGGATTAAGCTTATTTTAGGTACGTTGGATAAGATGCAGACAGTGCTCAAATTTTTTTGGGGAAAAAAGTCGAATATTCGAATTTTGGACGAATCATACATGTATTTTTCGCTGCGTCTTTGTGTCCATGACATAATAATAACTTATTCGTAGTGTTTTATGGAGTTTTCAACAAATATTTTTTTTTTAATTTTTTAATAATCCTACAGTAGGAAAAAAACAAGCAGAACACAAAGTCACGCACTTTCAAATGCGGAGTGGAGAAAGTTCGAATCGTAACTTTTGGTCGATTGTCACGGCCGTTCCGGGCGTTTCCTTGGCATTAGATAGTCTAAAAATAATGGGCCAACGATAATCCCTGCAACTTTTTCTGGTCTTGACGTTCCGCCCGTTCCTGTATATTGTTTTATGGCATTGAAGGAGGCGTCGGCCGCCCTGCTGGGAGAAATTGGAATTCACAAATATGAAAAGCGACGATTTCTCGGCGACTGAGGAGAACGCTGGGAGGGGGGAGTAATCTCGAAAGTAAGGGCCTTACTTCCCTCGCCCTAATCCGCCGTCCTTATCACTCGGCCCGGTCCAAATCCGCTTTACACGCTGAATCGAATATAAAACTGTTACATTTGCTCGCTGCGGTTTTTTGTTTGCGGGTTCGGATTACTCGACTCACTGGAGGTGGATGCCCATGAATATTACCCCGTTTATTGGCAGGTGGTTTTTGCCCACAATTTTCTCGCCCGAAGAGAATTCGGATGATATTCGGCACTGTACTTGTTGTTTTTATTCTTTTTCATTTACATATTGCCCGCAGACGTAATTAATTCGACATATTTCTGAGGCAATGATCACTGTCCGAGACCTGACTTGCCTCTTCCTCTTGTTTTTGCGGTTTTTATAATGTTTAAAAAAATTCTTGTTACAGTAGGAGAAATTTACTGGGACTTACGAACAGCAAGACCAGAGCTCGTGGTCCTCGAGAAGTTGTGATTCCTTATCTCGAGAACGCTCCCAAGATTAAATTAGGAAATTTGGAGACCGTCGAGAGTGCGGAATTGGGTTTCCGGTAGGGTGTGAAGAGACTGCAATAGGAGAAGGGAAGAAGTTGGCACATCTTTATTTCCATTCCAAATAAAAGAATCTTATTAGAAACGGGCCGAGGAATCCTGCTTCAGATCAGGATTTAACAGTTCGCACCATTCGCGGGATGGGTTCGGGAGTTCCGGTGGGTTTGACCGCCAATTACATCGGCCGCCCCTCCTCTTTCCCCAAGGCCTTCCAGCCCCCTTTATGGCCCGTATAAACGGATTTTGATGTTTTTCTACGAGCCGGAAAATTAAACGCTTGAGCCGCGAATTTTGAGAAGGAAATAAACGGTAAATAAAGTTGGTCTGGCCCCACAAACTCCCATTTATCATGACTAATGTCAGTCATGATGCCCGAGGGCATGCCTAATCTGCTTACCTCCTTCAGTGTTACTGATTTCCTCTTGTTGTTCTAGTATAATTGTTTTGTTTGTAAAAACCGCTCCAATAATCCCGAATGTCTCATAAAACACGTTATGATGACGGCCTCTCCTCCCATCTTCCTTTCGAATGCAATATGTCTTTATAAGACCGGGAAGCGCGGGACGAGATTAAAGGTCGTGTCAATTGTCGCGGTAGAGACTTCATTGCACGCCTTCCCCGTCCACACTCCGTGCGGGCACGGCCTCCAAATAATTAAGGTTTTGACTTCTTTGGGTCTGCAACTCTGCCCGGTCCTAACTGGCCCAATTCCTAAACAAGTCCTCGGCGGCGCGGGGTTTGCGGCGATGAACTTGGGCATACGTTATTTTTTAACTCGCGCTTGAGCAGGTAATTCCCTTTTCCGAACTGTTGGGGGGAATTCCGGATGAAACTTTCTAACCGCTGTCCGCTCTTTAAAGATGTGCTAATGTCATGGCGGACCCCAACAGATCCAACAGTTCCGAGCCGTCGGAGGCGCGGACTTGTGCGCAATGGGAGCGCCTTTTCTCGGCCATCAACCACTACTTTCGGGACGATGATATTCTTCAAGGAAGCGAGCATTCCTCGGTCGAAGTGGGTCTTAATTTCATTACTAATGCATCAAGTTCACCTTGGGTTCTATTTGGGTCCTAATCCGTCTATTTTAGAGCGGATACGTCATAGTTGCAGCTTATGTTCTGGTTATTTCGCTGGGTATTTTTGGAAATGCCCTTACAATCGTGGCTATTTTGAGGAACAAGCAGATGCGGAATGTCAGGAACTTCTTCATCCTAAATCTTGCCTTATCTGACTTTTTTATTTGCACGGTTACAGCGCCCATTACCTTGTACACGGTGCTGTACATGTTCTGGCCGTTCGGGACGGCGTTGTGCAAGATTGCCGGCTCATTGCAGGGTTTCAACATATTTTTGTCCACCTTTTCCATTACTGCCATCGCATTGGACAGGTGAGGCGGGATGATTAAATTTTGGGGTTCTCGCATACTAGATTAATGTTGTCTTTGTCATGTTTATTTAATCAGCCATTTCCAGATACGTGCTGGTGATATTTCCCACAAAAAGAGAGCGCCAACATAATCTGTCGTTGCTCTTCTTCTCCTTAATTTGGTTAATCTCAATCCTGTTGGCCTTGCCGCTCTTCGACGCCTCGGATTTGAATATCATCTTTCAAGACAAGAACTGCGGCATCTCCTTGACCATCTGCCATGAGCAGAACGAGAAATGGCAAAAGGTCAGTTCAACCGGGCCGAGTACACATTCCCATTTTTTCTGACAATTATCAGAGACATACGTCGTTCGGACGATTAAAAACTAATAACAAACACCTTCAGATGGCCATCACGAAGGAGGTCTACACAGTGGGGGTTCTGTTCGTCCAGTACGCCTTCCCCCTCACCTCCATTGCGTTTGCGTATTCGCGGATCGCCAGACGGATGGGCGCCCGATTTGCAGCCAGAAACTCGTTACTGCCCAATAACGACTCGTTGTTGAATCAGCGACGGAAGTAAGAAAAATTAATTGAAGTTTTGTATGCAATTACGTCTAATCCGAATTAATTCTGGTTATTGTCGGGGATCCAGATGGTTGAATTGGTTTCCAAAAAAACAAATTTTCCCGTCCTGGGGATGTTTGAACGTAGAAGACGAATACCTGGGATCTCCACTCATGCATACATACCGAGAAAGGGGATTAGGCTCGAGGGTTTGGGGGTGAGAGAGAGAGTACAGTCAATACAGTCTTTAGAGGGCAAGATTACAATTACATCAGATTTAAAATCATCGAAACATACAGTACCGTCATTCCAGATCGATCGCTGATCGTCACAGAAGGACCCATTTCTTGATGGTAACCCTGGTTGTGGTGTTCGCAAGTGCCTGGCTTCCCTTGAACATCTTCCATCTTATCAATACATTCAACATTGTGCAACGATTTTCCGTGCCAACCTTTGCGTTTTGTCATGTCACAGCGATCTGCTCGGCATGTCTAAATCCCCTCAGTTATGCCTTCTTCAACCAAAACTTCCGGACCGAATTTGTGGCGATGTTTGAGAGTCTGGGATTAATGTAAGTGTCTCCCTCCGAGTGTTTATCAGCCTCTCCAGAAAACTGCATGACCAAATAAATAAATGGCTCAAATGGAATCAGAAGCCGGCCAGTCCGATGCCATCGACGGAAAAGACCGGCTACAAGTTGAGAGAGACCGAATCCGAGAATTGTTTGAATCACATGGCACAAGAGCTGGGAAGAAGTCCGTCTCAAGTCATGGTGATCACCAACACCTGATCTCCCTTCAAATTATAGGCTTCTCTATGACGTCATTAATGTCATTCGTGACATTAGTCTCGTTCTGGAGTCAGGTGGAACGACCTAATTGCATGGGCACCCGATGTCCATGGTTTTGTTGTTTTGCCGACTAAGATACGATTATCTCAGTGCTTTGAAATCATCATCGAATTGTCATCAAAAGTCCTGGCCCAACTTTTGTGACATCAGCGGGTATTCTCCAGTAGATAATTATGAAATTAATAAACGCCGAATGCTTTTACTGACTCATATTCCTCGTTTTATTAGTTTTTTCGTCGTAATTCGTTTTTTTTTTATTTTACGAACGACATTGCGCGAATGAGTCACATGGGAACCGTGACCAAACCGCGAAGAAAAAGTCGTGGAACAATAAAAATAAAACGGAACGTCATCCAGCGAGCAACGAGCTCCCGCCTCAGGTCTCAGGGCGGATTCTCCGGAATCCTATATATACAGAAGGCAGCCAGAGAGAGGCACCTTCAGTCATTATGTCTAAACTCCTGATCGGATCAGCCCTTCTGGTACTTCTTGTTCATGTTGCCAATGCCTGTTTCTCCTCAGGAATTGGATGTTGTGGCCCTCCGCCTCCCGCTCCCGTTTGTGCTGGAGGTTGCGGGGGTGGTTATGGCTGTGGGCCTTATGGCTGTGCCCGGCTGAAGGCCCGCGGCTCCAAGACTTTGAAGATTAAGGATGTCGACGATGCCGAGGTACGTCTCTAATTACTGTTATTTACGAGCACTTTTATTTACTGCTCATGTCATAATTTACGTCTCGAATTCTACTATATAATTAGAAGAGTTGACTCGTGTAATTAATTTAATCGTTATTTACAGACCGAGGAGGTTGAGAAGGCGCCGCAGACTCCGGATGAGAAGTTCATGGCCTGCTGTCTCTCCCGCCGTCTCCCAGATCAATGTCTCAACAAGTGCAGCTTCTCTTCTTACAATCGAAATGCTCTCCAAGTAAGGATATTACGTCAATTGTTAATGAGGACGTTATCCAGATGATTATTTTGTTTTTTTCTCACAAATTGGAGGTTCTAGGACATAGTTAGGGATTTGCAAGTTTTAATTTGGCCCATGCAGACCTCGAAGATTAAGTCCGACGACTGATTGGCTACTTAAAATGGAGTCTAATGCAATTATATTTGCAGAACATGTACTTCCGGGCCGACAGCTGTCCCATGCAGGCTGCTGCTGATCTCCAATTCTGTGCTGCTCAGGGCCGGGACCATCGTGAATGTTGCGCTAGGAATGGAGTTGGGGCAACTGTGGCTGGACAAAAGTGTCTTCTCTTCTGCGATCAACGTCCGGGGAACACAACTCAGTTGGATCTGAGTTATATGAGTTGTTTCGACAAGTTCGAGAACATGAAAGGCTGCTTCTGGCATGACATTGTGGAGAGAACCAAGCGAGTTCAGCCTTTCAGAAAATGAAATGGACCTTGAACTCGGACAATTTCATCGACAACATCACCTTTGCTCAAGTGTAATCCAAAATGTGTAATCAAATCTCAAGTACCGCCAAATCTTTAAATCTGTTGTTAAAAATGCCCGTTTATAATTTCTAATTAAACAAAAGATAATACGAATCGTAAAAATGGACAGAAGGAGGAAAGAAAAGAGATCTCAGATCTGGCCGATTTTTGAAAAAGAAGAAGGTGAACGAGGAAAAGCGTCGGAAAGGCGGCCAGATCTCTCTTTTTGTTTTGTGAAATGGGGAAGAATAAGAAAAAGAGGAATCAAAATGAAACCCCCATATCTTCGGTAGAAACCAAGGTACCCTCGAATGGAAGTAATGTTGTTAAAGACGAACCTACAGTAACAAACAACAAGGATACTGTAAGTTTATTTTGAGTTTGTTTGATTCTTAGGGAGAAGAAAAACGAAAAAAAGTGTTAAACGAAATCGAGAGGAGGAAGAAGCAGATCGAAGATGCCACCAAACCCATCCCCAAAGAAGCACAGTATCCCCGGATCACCTTTTATCCCTTCGCCTATGCCCTCTCGGAGAAATTTCTAGACAAGGCTTGTTGGTATTGTTTACAGCTGAATGTCCAATTAAGGTGGGCCTAATCAAATTGGCAATCCGACACTTTTAGTTATTGCACAAACTGCAAAGTTGCACGCTTTTGTTCTGAGAAATGTGAGGAATTAGCAAAAAAAGACCATCAGCCAGAGTGCAGAGGATACAAGAAATCCAAAAATAAAGATTACCCCAATATTGAAGTCCGGCTTCTAGGAAGAATCTGTTCTCGATACAATGCAAGTTCAATGCAATGTAATGAAAGGTGTTTTAGATGATAAAGAAAGGAGAAGACAAGGCGAAGGACTTTTATTTGGAACGGACATCCAAACGATCGGTGATGGAGATCTGGGCCCATGAACAAGACTTCGCAGAACATCAAGATTACACAACTCAATTCATGGGTAGGATACTTTAGCCGTTAGAAAATTCTTAATTCGAATACGCTTAATCTATTGTCATCATTCAGAAATCTATGACAAACTGATAAGATTCTATCATAAAGACGACCTGCCCTCCAAGAAAGACGTATTCAAATTACATTGCCGCGATTTCATTAACAGACATGCCATTTGCGATAAGAATTATGAAAATGTAGGAGATAATGTTGTAGTCCCTAAGCTGTTCAGGAAATCGGGAAGGGCCTCTACTTGGATTTGTGTGCCTACGATCACAGCTGTAAACCCGATACAGTATTCTTTTCCGATGGATTCAAATCTATCTTGGCTGGACTACACAAAACAAAAGACATCTCGGATCCAAACAAGAGTTTCTACTCATACATCGACCTTCTTGGGTGAGCTTATACCATGCAAATCGTTAGTTAAACCATTACAGAACATTTGATCAACGGCAGAAACAGTTGAGGGATACCTGGTTCTTTGAGTGTAAATGCGAAAGATGTTTAGATCCCAAGGATCACATTCTTACATCCATTAAATGCCAATTTTGTGCAAATGTAAGGGTAAATTAACATAAATAACGAGCTTAGAGAGATGTTGAGAGTACAATCATAGTCCAAGGAGCATTGGCGCCTCGAAAGGAGGGCCGACTAGTCTGTCCGAACTGTGATATCATCCAAGAACCCTTCCATATCATGGAGTGTAACTATACCATCAGGGATATCGGCCTCTTTTTGGATAACATGGATCAGATCCCGGAACATGAGATTACTGCTCATTTCGAGTTATTCAAACAAAAGGGAGTCTATTGTCTGCCAAAACAGAATGTCTACAGAGCCAGACTTCTACTGGTAAGCATCAGTTATATTGCTTTAGGCATTAAATGTAATCAAATTAAAAATATAAAAAATAACATTTATTACATAACAGCAATATGCAAGTCGGATTTCAACCAACGACGAAGAGAAGGCGATGTTAATGTGGTCGGTGGAAGATTGCCTGAGGCATTGTTTCCCCCAGAACCACCCCGGTCTCTCATACTTCCTCAAAGATTTGGCTTTTTATTGTAAACAGTAAGTTAAGGAAAAGAGATATGTAAAGGTCATCACCGAAGTTCTCGGCTTTTATTTTTGCTGTTGCATCGAAATTCAGTGCAAAAGTGGGATGACATGGATTTTGAAAAATCAGTGCCAAAAGCTGGAAATTGTGGGAAAAACCAGTTCAGATTTTGGAAAATCGTTCCAGGACGAAAAGTGGGCACTGATTTTTCAAAATCAATGTCAACCCATTTTAGCACCTTACAATCAATTCGACCCAACAGCAAGAATAAAAGAACTTCTGTGACCCCTTTACGTCATATAAATAAGTAAAGTAACAATTGCAGAGCCGGATTCTTCAAAGACAGTGTCAAATATTACGTGGAATGCCTTCAGGGCTTGGAAAGAATCTTTGTGACACATCCATTAATCCAAGAGATAAGAGATCTATTGCCAGGAATTCAGAAAAGAATGATTATGGTATGTCAAGCATGGAAAAAGTGAAAACAACAATACATTTAGGAAGAACAGAAAGGGAAAACAAAAATCTTGAGCAATTTGGACTTCGAATTCGATGAATCAGATCAGGAAATGCCCGAATTGATCGAATGCAAGGTCTCAAATGGCAGTTCGAAGGAAAGAGCTCAGCATCGACGCTCTCATCGTGCGCCGACTCCATTGCCGCCGGAACCCGTAGAAGAGGAATAAACACAGTAACCAGGAGAATCAGTTTTTGTAAACACATCGAGGAGCCTGAAAGTTAAATTTTTTTGTTAATAAACATCGAAAACCCGAAGAAAATTGTTTTGAAATACAGTAAAAATAACTTACAGTAACACCTAAAAGATCGGGTGGAAGTTGCAGATCGTTGTACGGGAGGTAAATGTGGGCAAAGGATGTTGTTTTAGTTATCGAAAAGACGGAAAACCAGAAGACATCTTTCATATTCAGTGATCCGGGCAATCTCAGCGAAACTGTTTCATTCTCGTAATCCCTCAGGGAGTCGCAATCAAATTGATTGGAACTGCTAAATCAAAAGTTATAATAAAACAGAAAAGGCCTACCTGTTGAAGACGGGTAAGATCTCTCCTCCTTTATGGGGCAGAATATCTTTCCCCACCATAAACCAGGTCGGAACTCCTTTCGTTTGGAGAGTGAAGTTCTCGATTTCAATTGTTTTCGTGTTCAGAAGCTAAACCACAAATTAATTGTAAGCAAAAAGTTACAACTTCACTCACTCTGATCTTTCCCGAAGATATTTTGTACGGTCCGTTCGGAGTGAAAGGCCTTAGAGTGACCAGCCCGGGTATCTGATATTCCAGATCAGTCGAGAGGAGCACCATGGCTGCATTTTCATGGGCGTTATGATCAAATACTGATATCCAGTGAATGTCCTTTATAGTGTATTGATCTGGGAGTGTCAACAACAAAGGTTGGACACCGGCATACCAATCCAAAGGCTTTGGAGGAACAAAGACATCTTTGGAATCATTTGATGGAATCTAAAATCAGCATCAGCCTCATTAAACCAAACCGTGTTACGTAATATTGCAATTTTCTTACCGTAATCGAAAGGTTCACTTTATTAGTGTCATCAGAGCTGGTTGAAAAATGTAATGGAATAGTACTGTTTCCTTCTCTTTTCATCCGTCTTACTGTATTTTTACTCGTTCCATCCTCTTCTTCGGCTTCTGCGGCTTGTCTTACAACGCTCGCATCTTTTCTGATCTTTGCTTCCACCTCCTGCAATGATCATAAAATAAATATAACCTTTCTCTTCCTTACTTCTACCGTTTGCGTCATAAATGTTTTGATATCCACGGGATCGGTGCTCAAATAAAATCCATTCTCTGTTGGGACCATATCCAACTCCGTTTTGCTTGGCTTGGCCGGACCAGCCCAGAATGTCACATTATCTAAGACCATATTTAAAAATTCAGCTACACTCACCGTTGCTTGAAGTCGGTTTAAAATGAAATTTGGATATGAGGAATCGCTTATTATCCAGCGCCCAAACAGCTCCACTCACATTGTAGATTCCCAGTTTATGATTCTCAATTAAACTTCCACAATATTTCCCGTAATACGGCAACTTGTCATTGGCCGTAAGAACGCTTTGTTTAGGGCGATTCTGTTGAATCCAATCCACAATCTTGGCCGAAGGCTTCCGCGTTTTGTTGGCTTCGTTGATAAGAGATGCATCGACTTCTCCGGCAGCCACAGCGGCAGCCAAAAGACGCTCTGGATCAGTGATGTTGATCAAGGAAGAGTCTGTCGCATTCTCAGTGCCTGAATGATGAGAATTCAAATTGAAAGATTAAACTTACTGTTCTTCTCTTCGTCCTTGGCACTAGAAAACAGAGTATCCGGAAGCGAACCGATCTCTCCACCCAATTTGGGGAGGCCTCCAACGGCAGTACTCGTTAGTTTGGATCCCTCAGCCGCCGTCCCAGTTCCCAGTGCCTTGGTCATCGCTGTGAGTAGATCTTTATTTCCTGCCGGTAAACTCAACAGATTTCTGGCCAACTTTGAGATTTGTTCAAGGGGTGAGCCCCCTCCTAATAGAGCTGTCAGCGGACTAAGCGCCTCAGGTTGACTACCCGCAATGCCAGTTTGAATAGGACTGACAGGAGAGTGGAGCCCTGCGAATGAAGTTGGAGCATGCCTCAGATTGGATTGAGATTGGGTAAAGATACTCTCGACGATATTATTGGAAGGCTTTGTGGACAATGGAGGGAAGGGAGCTGGCTGGACATTCTTATATACCGGCTGTTCCAGATCCAATTCGTTGTTCAATAACGGGACTTGTTCGACGACAGAAGTGGGAGTAATAAAGGGTGGCTTCTCTGTTTCCGTTGGGCGCTGATATTTCTGCGCTCGACTTGCCTGAAATCTGGGCTCGGCGTTCTTGGCTATTTGTGTAGTCTTTGGACGGAAACTAAAAAGATTAAACATCATAAAAATCGTGGACATCAGAACGATTCACCTACATAGATTTCTTGTAGGGCAATGGATTTCGTCGATTACTGGTTGAATAATTGGTTTCTCGAGAGTTTGTTTGCTTTGATTCAGCGGACGAGGATCTGTAAGACGATTTATTATCCTTTTCATTTTCACTTTCCCTTTTTCGTTCGAAAGGACAAATCGGTTACTGAGGATGACCTAGATCTTGTTCTTTCCCCATGACTGACCCCTCTCACCTTTCAGATAAAGCATTCGTTCCAGCGATCTCATCGCCTCGGGCACGGTCAAACGGAGGCAAATACAGAAGAACGGGGTCGGTTTCTGGCTTGGCCGTGGTGCTGGAGAAGATCTGACGGTGTCTTTGCTCGGTCTCCTTCTCGTATTCCGAATATGGAACGATCGCGGTGCGTTTTCGAAGACCTTCTGATATCGGCGCAACAAAATTCGGAGAGATTACGTCTAAAAAAGTAATAAATAACAAGATAAATGCACGTTTAGCAAGCAAAAAATAAATTTTGGACAAAAAAGAGTTAAGATGTCGAGTTATCATCATAACAAAGAAGGACAAAACCACAAATCAAAAGTAAAAGTCATACTGTAACCAAAACAAATGTTGATTCAAAAGTTTACAGACACCATATGATGATACCAAACTTACCAGTACACACCAAAGGAATCACTCCCAGTACCAACAGCAGACTCAACATGGTAGGGATAAACCCTCGGGGTATGAAAAGGGAAAATAAGCGGCGCTCGGAATGGGGATGACGATCCCAGGTGGGGGAGGGATTGATAGGTGGACTGGCTCTCTCTCTTCCCCGTTTGCGGAGGAAATCGCGGCAAAATTGTGTTCGTCGCCCTTCTCCCGCGATTGACCATACACATGGATGGAAATAAACACTCCAGTCCACCTGAATAGATCCCCTCCGGCTTTCAATAACCCCAAGAGAATGCGCATCGAGTTTGCAACGTTTAGAAACAAGTGATGCATCATTGGGCAGACTTCTGAGTTTAAAATCGCCATTTGGTTGAAAGATCCTTGGCATAATTATAACCGATCATAATCATCATTACAACTTTATTATTCAGATTGAAGACTGGCGCCACGCAGGGTGAGAGTCGGTGTAACTGAAGCCTTAATACATGGGATGAGACTTCCTCAATATGAAAAGCATGAAAACTTGTTCTTAAATTGTTGCAATCACGTTGATAACAACACATTTTTCTGTATAAGTTTTCGGAAACGCTTGACTTGTCATGCAACCATCGTGTAATGGATTCAATTAGTCCTCTAATTGACCATCAACATCAAAATCGCCCTGAACGATGGCATTTCCCGATGACATCCGACAGAAGAGTCAGAGCGGCTTCGTTCGTGCTTAATTCGGCGTCGGAATGGCTTGCTTTCGCTGTCCCCCTTTTCCATGCCCGCAGAGCGGGCCGTTTTTGGCTTCGGATCCATGAATTCATTCTCTTCCCCTCCGGGCTTTTGTGGTCATAGCTCGAGGCTTGTGAAGAGGTAAAGGCCTAACCTCCCTCCGGGCTTGGTTTACTGTTACCCTTCCTCTTCCAAGATTCTTTTTCCAGCACATCTTATCCTTCCTCCGCTCCCTTTACTTTTCTTTTTTGTTTTATCCAGAAATTGCCAAATTTGGGTAGTGCCTTCACTTTTTGCGGCCCCATAAAAAAGGCGAGTCAAAGTGCCTGGGGAAGAAATAGGACGAACTCACACCGAATTAGTTAGAGTACCGCGTAATGTGTTTTGTTTCCGTTCAGAAGCCGGTCATCTATCATGATGAGGGGCCTCATCTATCTGTTTCTTCCCGCCAGACGCCACTTCCCATAATCTCCTTTTTGGGCTGTTAATCCCACTAAATTCTTGAGTCCAAAAACATATCTGTTCTTCGCTTTTTAAAATTATTTTGGTGTAATTAAAAATTAATCGATAATCACGATTATATATTCGTGTATTGTAGCCATGAACAACACATTCAACGACTTGTTCAAGAAGGCTCATGGGGCCTTGGCCACATTAAGAGGCCAGAATAATATGTTTCTCGGGAAAGACGGGGAGATTGTGTATTCCAAGAACAATGTTTGTGTTCATGAATCCTCGGTGGGAGGTGTGCCGGTAAGTCAATTTGCATAAATGTTATTCAATACTCAGGAAGTGGATGAAAGTAACGTGGTTCATACTCCCGGTTATCTGACGATACATTGTCTCAATGATGAACACACAGGAGTCACGCTAGTCCTTCAATGGCTTCCCAATGCCACTCTCGAAAAGAACCCCAGCAGGTAAACAACAACAAAATAACCTCGCTTCTCCAGACTCCAAAAAAAAACTAATTAGTTCCAGCATCCGTTGCGTGTCCCCGAGAAGCAGGGCCAAAGTGAGTAATGGGGATATTTCTGAGCCCGCCACTGTCAATAACAACGGCCCAACAATCATGGTCGAACCAACTGTTGTATTCGAGGAAGAAGCCTCGACATCCAACGAAAGACCTCAGACTCTGAATACGGTAAGACCAAGTCATACTTCAATCTGCGTTTAGCTCGACTGTGATCTCGGAGTTCCTTCAATTAACGTTATTCCAAACACTCCAGTTGATCCGGGCCAAAACAAGTTATTAGAAGGATTTGACGAAGATGAGCTTGATGCCATGAAGAAAGCTTCAGAATCTGCTCGAAGTCGTGACGCGGAGTCGACCGGCTCTGGACACACATCTGGTGCGGATGAATTCTCCGATAAAGAAGACATCTCCGAGGCCTCATCAATCGATGAATCTGATGAGGAAGTTCAAAAAAGTAAGTGACCCCGAACATTAAAATAACTTCCAGTTAAATCGCTAAATATGGATACATATCGAAAAACTTGCGAAAGCTTTATGGACAAGACTCCAGAACAGTTCGCCCAAGAGCATAATCTAATATTGAACACGGGTTCCAAGATGGACGACTCCAGTGTCTTGGCCATCGCCAAGGACAAGGTCATGTTCCAACAAAGACCGGCCTCCAACTCGTCCCTTTTCTCTGTAAATCTCGGGAAAATGAGATCAATGAGACTGTTCTTTTCCAATCCCGACTGCACGAGTGGTCAATTGGTCATAGCGAGCAATGAATCTCAATATAAAATTCTACATTTCCATCATGGAGGATTAGACAAACTAGCCAAACTATTCGAACAATGGAACGCTCTCAAATCTAAGTCAGTGAAAGACGTAAGTTTCTACCACAAAAATGAAATTCCGACTCATAGGGATCCCCATCTCCTCTACCTGACAGACAGTTACTCATATCTCAACCTGAAGTCAGTCGGACAGAACTGGACCCAGAAGACGGACTCTATGATCGGGTCACTTTAGAGTTTTGGAAGACTTACATGAACAAAGATGGGTCCATCGACGACAACTTCACTATTAGGAAAGCTATTTACTTCGCTTCGATGGACGCCTCAGTCAGGAAAGAAGTGTGGCCGTTTTTGCTAAGAGTCTACACCTGGAATTCAACGTTTGAACAGAGGGAAACGGTCAGGAATGACCTCTTCTTGGAGTATCAAAAAATAAAGAAGAAGCGGTAAGTGAAGGAAAACCTATGGTATCCCTTTATTTAGCATGAAGAAGATGAACTCCAATCCAAAAAGCTCCTTGATCACTGTTGAAAGTACAATTTGGAAGGATGTAGTACGAACGGACAGATGTAATCCGTACTTTGCTGGAGAAAATAATCCAAATTTGGAAGTTATGAAGTGAGTCAAATGAAAAAAATCGATGGTAGATAAGTCGTGAAAAATTGTAAACAAATATTTTTTTGGCATTTTGTTACAAATTGAAGATTTCCATCTTTTTACTGCACAGGGGACTCGGATTTACTTATAAGTAAAATTTTTTACTTATATTTACCAATAACTTACATATAAGTTAAAAAGGGCGGGGCTTATTTATTTTTACTTATATTTACGTTTATTTACTTATATTTACAAATAGCGGTACTTATATGTAAAAAACGGCGGAGCTCGTTCATTTTTACTTATATGTACATATATGAGCCTTGAAAAGAAAACTTTTGAGCGTCAAAGACGCTTTTTGGTTTCTGCACGCGTTGGCCGGACTTAGAAAAATTCTAGTTTTTGGAGCGCCAAAGAACGTATCTCAACCTCGGACCGAATAAAGTAAGATGCTTGTAGTCAGTTTTTTTTCTTTTACAGGAGGACAGAGTACTCAGATCAAAAGTCGCGAACGTGAGAACCTTCCAGAGCACGGAGCATGATAACGTCAAACTTCACGCAGTTCCAAAAAATCTATAAACAAGCACTATGAGGCAGGAATTTGGATGAAGAATTGTTTGCTCAAACTTGGTAGGTGTTTTTTTAAACTGCTTTCACATTTCATAAATCCAAAGATTTTTCCAGACATAGTTTTGCTATGTTGTACTAGGTCCAGGTGAAGCCTCTAGGTTTCAGATTATCGAAAAATTGGTCGTGGAGGGTAGTAAATGGACAATACACACGATCCCGGAAAAATGGCACTCGGATGATTCAGGTATGTTGAGAATATTCACCTGGACCTAGTACAACATGAAAAACTTGGTGTCTCGAAATTTCATTTACAAACTTGGTGAACCTAAAACTAATTTTTTCGGGGTGAAGAAGCACAAACAATTGAGAAGGGCTTATAGTAAATATCGTCGAGCGACCTTATCTTCTTTATTTGTTACTATTTTCAGTGAATGCAGACGCAGAAGTCCCCATAGAAGATCACGAAAGCAAGCAATTGATGCCTCATAAGGACAAAAACAGACACAGGATGCGTTATCCACATGTATTTGTTGTTTTTGAGAATCAAAATAAACGTTTATAATATAATTTGCACTGTGCATAATTCTGGGTTACAAATAAGTAAAATATCCTTATTGGTAAATATAAGTAAAAAATCCTTATTTGTAAATATAAGTAAATTTGTGGAGCGCCGAAAATAAAGTTTACATATAAGTAATTTCAGAATAACTTATATGTACGATTATTTACTTATATGTACGTTTATTTACTTATATAAACTTCAATTTCATATAAGTAAAAAAGACGTACATATAAGTAAATCCGAGTCCCCTGTGTGTGCGTTTGTTCCAGGGACATCTTGCTGAACTATGCTTCAGTCTACCCAGAGATCAACTACATCCAGGGTATGTCGGATCTCCTAGCTCCAATCCTGGCCACCTTGAAGAACGAATCAGATTCCTATTGGTGTTTTTCTGGTTTGATGCATCAAACTCTCTTCTGCACTACTGCCAATGCCGAAACGAATGCCATGGAAATGAATTTGGAATATCTGAGGGAATTGATGAAGTTGTTGGAGCCGAAATTCTTCCAATATCTTGTCTATCTAGGAGGCGATGCTCTTCAATTGATGTTTGTTCATCGCTGGTTATTGCTATTCTTCAAACGAGAATTCCCGGAATCAGATGCTCTCCATATTTGGGAGGCATGCTGGTCGATGTACAGGACAAAATTCTTTCATTTGTTTGTGGCTGTCGCCATCGTCAGCATCTACGGGCCTGACGTCATATCTCAGGGCTTACCACACGACGAGATCTTACTGTACTTTTCGAGTTTGGCTATGCACATGGATACTGCAGTTGTTTTAAAGAAGGTAAGGCCTTCAATCAATTTTATTTTATGTTCTCAGGCCCGAGGTCTCTTGTACAACTTTTATCGTCTTGATCGGATCCCGTGTACATTAGCCGATTTGATGGATCATGATGCTTCTACGGAACAATGGAGCAGTCATATGCCTCAACATATATTCGAATGTACCAGAGTCCACGGCCAGAACGAACCCTGTCCCTTCGCCAATCAGGCTTGAAACGTATAGATGTCAAAAGGTTGTGGTGACCGATTACTGGTTGTTTTAGAGTAACTTTTAATAAAATAACTTGAATGTAAAGTCTTTTGGAAATAATTTTAAGCACTTTTGGAAAGGAGAAGAGGGGTGACCACCGATTCCAAATCCTAAAAGTAATTTCGTCGGTCAGTTATATTACACCTACCTCTACCAACTCTTCGAATGACACAATATTGTGTTTGTAAAGGAGAGAATGTTTGAGACCGGAGGTCTTCCCAGAATGTGGCAATGATCCGAGGTTGTTGATCTTGTAATAACTTGTGAATGGCAGTTTCAGAGTTTTTAATGCCTTGAGCGCGTCCGGGAAGTCCAATCCCTAGAAGTTCCTTTTATAAGGCGCAGAACTTACCTCTGCATAAGTGATTATTGGCAATACGTTTGTTCTCAAGTCATCTCCAAACAAATATTTCACTTTTCGGTAGTTCAAACTTAATCCGGGATCAACCGCATCGTCAAAAGTGGGAATAACGGGTACTATTGCATCTAACCGCAATCGGGAATCTCGAGTTAATCGATGTTTCACCCATTTCCCAATCAGAAGCGGAGTTGATTCCAATTCAATACCAGGAGTATCGATAACAGTAAGGTTGTAGGGCAAGATGGTGCTCGTGAAGGTGTAAGTGATGACCCGATCGAGGATCTTCTCGAATCTTTCGGGCAATTCCAACGCCAATCTAATGTAAAGATGACAATATAGAAGAGCTTACTCACCTAAAAGCATGCTCTCTTTTGCATCCATAGACGAAGTTAAGTAGAGAGTAAATCAATGAGGTCTTTCCAGCTCCTGTTTTCCCAATCAAAAACAAGACTTTTTCGTCAGTTACTCGAGTAGGACCTCCAACAATAATTTCGGGAAAATTTGGATGGGCGTTCACTTCAAAATAAGGTTGATAGAAAGTAACGGAAGCTTGAGTTCCAATGATTTCCGCGTTTTTTATCTGATATTCGAGTTGAGGACCGACAGGAATAACCTCTTCAATTATTTGCAGAGGTCCTTTCTTCTCCGCGGCATTTCCTTGTTTGGTTTCTACTGTGAGTGTAGATAGACTTCTGGGTAAAGGGTTGAAGGGTGTTTTCTTTCTGTTCAATTGTATTTTCTGGAAGTCCCGTTCAATTGCTTGCTGGTAGTCCCTCTCGCTCTGAGTATAGCTGTTGAATTCTGCTTTTGATCTAGGACTGTGGATCTCAGGAATATCGATATAATGTTGTTCTTCCTGGTGCATCTGAAGAGCAGGAACTGGTGATGCGACAACAAATCCGTTGGTTCCATTCCCGTTACCGTTTTCATTAATACTTTGACTGTAAATCGAGTCGTAAGTAGGACTTCTTGCCTTGGTTTCTAATCTTTGGGACTCGATCTCATTGAATTCAGAATTGCGAATCTCTCTCAATAAGGATTCAGTAAAGTTGTTAGAAGGAAGGGGCAATTCATTTTTGTGAGGAGGGACTTCGGGAGCAATCTCCTGTTCTTCTGATTCGTCCACTAAGCCGACTTCTTCTGGTCCCTAAATAATAAAAGGGCTTCTGTTTTCTTTCCTACCTTGCTTTCTATTCCCTGATACGCGACAATAGGATGATTCAAGTTTAGTTCGCTGGTTTCTGTCAGATCGAACTCTCCAAATCGACTTTCGGCAGCTGAAACTTGGCTATCAACTGTCATGCTTCGGATCTTTCTTTCTGATGACGCCACATATGTCATCGGAGTTGTATCTATAGGGCCATCCGAAGGGAAGACGCCGAAACGATGTTCTTCTTCGACGTCATCAGTCAAGAGTCTCGACACTCCCTAAAATCAAAATTGCGCAAAGTGATCAACTCACATTTGCGTTCTGAAGAGCTTCTTCTAACATCGAAGGATGTCGGCTTCGTGGTTTGGCATCAAGATGCTCATGGTTCTCATGCTCACTTAACACATGCTGAGTGACTACTGTAGCTACGGGATCCTCGTCCCAATGTTTGCTCAAAACGTGGTCTAACTCCTTTAGGACTTCATCGTGATTTATCTTATTGTGATCGGTCTCTGGGAGTTTTACAGCCGAAAACACCTGTAAACCCTTTATTGATAAGAGAATAGGGAAGAAATTTTTTCAATTGGAAGTACTTACTTTATCAAGTAATGAATCGGCGTGTTCACGTCCATTGGGGACATTCAGCTGATTCTGAAATTTATTCATTTCTGATTTTGGGACGAAGTCAATTCATATTTGTAATCGCCCCTATTAAAAATGCAAATTGCACTCACCTCGATTGCAGCCATTCTCCAAATAGCGGGTGTTTTAGGAGATTTAAGACCTAGTTCCTACTTCTTTGCAAACGCTCACAAAAGAATGACGAACCCATTCTGCGTGCCGTCTTATCAGTGGCTTATCAATGCTCTATTACTTTATACATTAATATTTATTTATTAATAGGAAATTAAATTCTGAGGCACAAAAAGATCCATGACGGTGGTTAGGTAATCCACGCCAAATGGGAGCTCTCCATCATCGGAGATAAGTTTCTGATATGGATATACGAAAGAAGTGATCTTCTTGATGTATCCCGTCCATTGCCTCCACCACGCAAAGAATGTTTGTTGAAGAGTTTGAGCAGCCATATTACTATGACAGCTTACCAATATATTGTTCACAAACATGTCTCCATTTGCCGTTAATGGGGCATAAATTCCATTTCCATTTACCTAGGATGTTCATTAACAAGGGAAACATGATCGAGCTTTAATGAAACACGACTTACATCTTTGATGGACACAACCTTTGATGATCTCAGTCCTTGGGAGCCCTTGTAATGGATGCAATCGCCAATGACAATATCCGCCGCTTTAACTAAACGCAATCTATCTCCAGCTTTACACTTGGTAGTGTACATCAAATGATAGGGCGTTATCTTGAGATCCCTTCCATTGCTGGTTCTGATATGCCTGTATAACGCGTCTTCTTTCTCTTTCCGATGAAGGAACATGACCACTTTAGAGTAGGTAATCTAAAAATTATTTTGTAATTGAATCAGTAACGATGATGACATACCAACGCTCCGTCCATTGACATCACCAGATCTCCCACTTCCAGTTCATCCATTCTTTTGTGTCCTGAGGGTGTTTCCACCAACATATCCCCACTGAAACATTGCAAAGAAGAGAACATACTATTCATGGAACAACTTGGAGTGCAACAAGTGGATGTGCAAGATACATCTGGCTGTGGTTGTTGGGCTGTCTCGGAAACATAGCTGGGTTGTTGATAGGACGAAGGCTGCAGAGCATAGGAATTCTCGGGTTGAGTTGGAACGACATAACTCTGAAAAGGGTATTTTATATTGTAATTTGTTATGTCGCTCCTACCGGCAATACCGAAGGTTGCAAAGCGATGCTATAAGTGTCTTGGGAAGCAGCAGGAGCTACTAGGGAGGGTTGTGCATAAGAGGAGTCATGTTGGGGAGGGATTGTCACTGTATTCTCGGCTGTTGGGACCGAATTTGAATACGAAAATGGAAGTTCTTCGGCCCTTTGGGCGTCGTTCATTGGATAGTCTGGGCCTTGATTTGTCTCAATATTTTTGGACGCATGGGCCTTAAAATTAGAAGGAGGACTTGATTTCTTGTCATCATTAATCGGCCAGAGCACATCTTGATGATAACTCTGACGTCTTGCTGGTCTCATATCCTGCTCATAGTACTCGTAATCGTCCATATAAGGCTTGTATCTTCTTCTTCCTCCTCTTCTGTAGGTGTTTCGACCGGGTCCTCTTCGATACATGGGTCTTTCATAAGAGTAATATTCGTAATCATATTGTCCTCGATATCTATTCAGTCTGGATGAATGTTGCTTTCGTTTGTTTGGATTCCGAGACTTGGCTGACAATCGACGACTCAGATATTCTCCAGTTGTCATAGTTGGATCCACTTTATTCAGAGGATGACTGGGAGCGGGAACACAACTCATTCGATAGACATGAGCGACGTAATGAACTCTGCAACAAACGGGGTAAATAATTTAAAAATAAAAATATTGAAAAAAGGTGAGAAATCTTACTCGTTATTAGCGGCGACATTCTTCCTAACTTCCTTGACCAGATCGAAGGCGATTAGTCTACCGTTCTCCTTCACCGCTCCACCCACATAACGCTCTCCGGGCCGAACCAATGCAATCTTGTGTTCGGTTGCGTAATTCAGCCCTTCGAAACGACAACATTCCATTGTAAGGGAAATATGAGTTCCATTATTGTACTCGGCAACTCCTCCAGTCCATTCATCGTTGCCAGTGCATGGGATATTCGTGTATTTTCCAGAGCATGACTTCAAATAAAGGGATGATTAAACGGTTTTAAAACGTCAAGATCGCCAAATGCCAAAACATACCGCCGTTCTATGAAGGACCGACAATTGTCCTTGATCTTCATTAAAATCATCTATGAGTGGACTTTTCAAGGGTCCAAAACAAGCCGGAGTATCACATGCTAACTCTAGAACCACAACAATCAAGTTGAAAATTAAAAAAGTAAAAGTGAGCAGACACTAGAAAACCCACCTGGTTTCCCGGCGAGGTCAACGGAGAGGATGTAAGGGATGGCCTCTCTTCCACACGACTTGGCGGATTCTGCGAATGGCAACACAAACACCACTAGTAACCTTAGCAGCATACCCTAAAAAAATTATTTCTAAGTTTTGAAAGGCTTCAAAGCTCTCGAACAAATCAAGAAGATCAAAACAAATGCTAAGAAGCAAGGATGGCTGGTCATCGAATCTTAAATACGTTGCACAAGGAGTGACGACGACAAAGAAGACGATCCTCAGGACGTCCTTAATGCGCGCGAGAGCTGCAGTGAAAGGGAAAGGATTCAGATTCCCTTCAACGGCATCGGTTGCGAGGATCGACTCCACTCGAGTGGCCTATATCTCGCCGTTAATTATCCCTCGAAGGAACGGAGAGGGGCGGTCATTCTTCTCGGGCGGATCGAAAGGAATAAGGGATTCTGACTTTCGATTTCAACGCGCGTCATCAGGCTGAACCCGAGACTTAAAGAAACAATGGCGTCGTTCGAATCAATCATTCCCCGGAAGGGAAGATACGGGCATTTCTCAAAAACACTGATTTCATTTCCTGGTGCTGTTGCATTTACGCAATTCCTCACAAACAGAACCGATTAGCCCCACACTTTCCGGTTCAAACGCACCTATTCAAAAAAAACCCTGTAATTGCTGCCTTTCAACCGAGTTTATAATGTAATCGGACCTCGCGGGTTAAGAGGTCTCCAATCGTCGGGTTCCGCAGTAATCGTATGTTTGTTTTTCCGACTTTACAGTAGGGATTTCATTCAATGAAAACATCGAACGGATAGGGTTCAAGCTCTCACTTAAACGATTTGTTGGCTGATTCAAAGATCAAACATTATATTATAGTCACCGGTTGCAATTATGTTTTCATTTTGCTATTATAAATGTTGACAACAAAATCCAAAAAAATTCCAAAGTCTCCACGGAAACGGAAGTGAGTGCAGGGAAATCTCCAAAACCCTCGATCCGGCCGCCAATCTCATCTCAGGGTTTCTTTCATAATATTTGAGGAGGAACAAAGTTGGGATGGTTTCACCAACAATAAAGCCATATCGGGCGCGGCCGATTAAGGGCTCCGGAATGTCCAGATGGGTCGAAGAATGGGATCGGACGCCTTTAACAAGATTTCCGGAGGCCGGGAGATGGCGTGTCCGCGCAGATTCCGGCATCCTAAGCATATGTCTCCAACAAATTTTTTTTGTTTTCTATAGCCATTAAAAGCCTTCTGTAATTATTTTTTGGATTCTAAAAGGCCATTCCGTGCTCTCCAGTACTTTGCCGCTTTCGAAAGGCCACCGGAATGCAGGTATCAACGTGAGAATCGGAGCGAAATTCCGGACGAAGTGCCTGAGGGAGGAAGCGCATTCTCCGAGATTTTAGAGCCTGGTTTGCTTTAATTATGTGGCGAGGAAGAAGGGCGGAGGGCAAGTTGGACGTCTTTTTTCATCCTTTGAATTGCCCTGCCACTCAACAAAAGCAGGTGTGGACATGTTTGTAACCTCAATGGACATGCTCAAGGAACGGCTGCTTCCTTTTTTCGGCCCATCCTTGGCCCTTTTAATCTTGTGTCTCCAAGTATTTTGTCTTTTTTTTGACGGAATGACCGCAGGAAAAGAAAAATACCTCCGGGTTTGGGGTCGCGGGCCCTCTCTTTGTTACATACTTCATGGGCCAATAGGCCAACTTCTTACGTTTTATAAGTTGGCCTTTCAGAAATTAAATTGCTTTATGCACGGCGTTAATAACGGCTCTCTTTCCTCCTTTCCATGCAGATCTATAATATAATGTTGTGGGGTTTGGTTTCATTGTGGCATGTATACGATCACGGAATCCCTTCTTTCGATTCATACGAGGGACCAGTGATATTCTCGATTTCAGATGATGTAAAGTCTTTCCCAACTGCCTTGCAATGGCAGGGTCCCCATCTTCTCAAGACCTTTATCATCTCAGTACCAGTCCCCGGGTTCTTGAGGACTGTGATCGATGTGTTTTGAGCGACAAGAGATTGTTTTACCTGTAGTAAGTGCCTATTGTTCACTTGTAATGTTTTAGTTCCCCAGCCAGAAGATCGTATTGGGAGCCCCCTTTGGCCGCTTGGACATGTTCTTTTGGGCTACCCTATGGGTATGAGAGAGCGATCGATGAATTCGGAACAAGTTATTATGTCAAGTAAGCCGTTTCTACCTACACTTTCCTTGACCAAAAAATCGTGCAAATTTTTTTTACCCCTTTTGAAATCCGCGAATACTGTGTAATCATTTATGAATACGAAGTAATCCTTCAATGCCCGAGGCTAACAAACAGAGAATTTGTTTCATAGACACAAAAATATATTACTTTCTCGGTGTTCAATTAACCCTAATTCAAACAAAAATGTTCCTGACCCTGAGGGCATAACAGATGTTAAAGAATCGGGCCATATTATAAGTGTGACTCTTTATAATTCTTTTTCCCTGCAGCCATATCCGTCAAGAGACGTCTTACGAGGACCCGCGTTGTCTGTCCAATGGTCTGACTTCTGGGGCCATGCCGCCAACCGCGCGAGTTTGTCACCTCAGCAGAAGTCCGGATCTCGGCTTTGGCTTCGTCGCCGCGTCCGAGAAGCCGGTTGTCATCCAATTTGTGACACCAGGTGGGGGTTTTTTTCCTTTGTTGTTTTTGTGCTACATTCTCTACCGCCATTCTTGACCATTACAAATTACGTGGATTCCTCAAAGAATTCAAGTTTGTAATTACTGCAAAGCTTGTTTTTAATGACGACTTTGCGTAAACGTTGAAGATCCCCTTTTCACATTTTACAACTGGTCAGCGCAAGTTTTCTTACGATTAAGGAACCGCATCCGAATTGGTTTATGTTTTCCGAGAGTAATGAAAAGATGAAGAAATGAGAAATCACATTTACAGGGGGAAGGCCCCCAGTGCTCAGATTTTGATGTAACTTGGCAAAAAATTTAGACTTTTGAGACATATGCGAGAAGTACTAGGTCGCACTTTGCAGAAACAGCCGAGCATTTTATACTGTTTTGCGAACTTTGGTATCAAAAGTGTGGCCTATTTCAAATGTGAAGCGTAATGTTTCCACAAAAAAGCAATTTCTTTCTGATCAAAGCTATGGCCAAAAAGTTTTTTTCTGACCGCTCTCTGCGTTTTGCATACTCTCTCGGCCGCAAAAATCAAAAATCGTTGAATATGGCTCCCCTGCAAAGCGCAAATAAAAAATTTTTATTAATTGATGTGGTTTATGCCCGGCGTGTGTGAAAAATTTAAAGAAACCCTTAGCGTCTTGGGGTGCTTCCCTTGTTAACCGTAAAAAAATAAAATAACATTCTGAAATATACGATTCAGGAGGGCCGAGTGATGGCCGATTGCTTCCGAACGATCAAATCTTACAAATAAATGATCAAGATGTCAGATATAGCGACAAGAATGAGGTGGTGGATATGATTAGATCCGCTCAGGGAGTTCTCAAACTGACAGTCGCCCAAAAAGTTGTAGACTCGACGGAAAATACAACTACTCCAAGGAAAGTTCGCTTCACAGAACGGGTTTGTGTTGCTGGTTCACCTGTCGAGGTAAGGGTACTGTAACTTCTGGTCAATCACGAATAATAAGTATTATTGTACGTTCAATTTCAGCTCAATTCACTGACAATACTGCCAAATGTATTCCGGGTTTATCTAGAGAATGGTCAGACCAAGTCTTTCAAGTACAATTCTTTCACAACGGTTAATGTAAGTCTTGCGCGCTTTTGAATCATCATTTTTAGGAAGTCATTCAAATTTTCGTCGAAAAATTAAACATAAAGGAGCCAGAATTATTCGCTTTGGCCACTGAACAGCCGATTACCTTGTCCCCGGCCAAACTTCACGTCCTTAGAAATAGCTGCCTCATAGAGAAAGTAAGTGCTGATAAATATTAAATTACACCTACACAGATGATAAACGAGTCCTCTTCTTCCCGCCTCCGTTTTCGCCTCAGGGTCGTATTTCCAACCAGAGATGTGATAGCCTATTCAGTCGATGATCCCACTGGATTCGAATACTTTTATCACCAATGTGTAAACGATTTCGTTGATGGCCGATTCGTGGACATGAGATACGAAGCGTGTCTCAGGTTGGCCGCTCTTCATATTCGACAAGTTTGGTTCGATTCGAAAGGGAAAAGACGGGTAGATTTAAATAAAATAGAGTAAGTCACCCAAATCAACATGTTTTATTATTGATTTAGACGTGATTACGGCCTGGCCACGTTTCTACCTACCATTTGGTTGGAGAAAGTGAGGAAAAAAGAAGTCCGAAAACACCTCCGATTCTTCCTTCGAAAAGATGACCATGGGTTTGATAGCCTCAAATCTTTATCCAAACAGAAATCAGGTTACAAGTTCAACGAAGACAATAATTTATCAAATATATTGCGTATTAAATACGTTACCATTCTCAGCCATTTGCCTGGATTTGGCGGGAAGTCTTTTAGAGTTAGCTACAAACCAACAAACATGGATATGATCATGCAGGTATGATTTTACTATAGTTTACCACCATATATAACATCAGATTGACCCGAGTGTGGGATTGGTGGTGAGATATCCCGGAAAAACGACGTTACCCGCAATGACGATTAATCTGGACCTTCTGGAGTCGATCTATATTTGTCCCGAAACGGACTCCACCAAGCTTTTGACTCTGAAATTGGCACCAAATACCAATTCAACCCCGCGCAATTTGGAATTCGTGGTCGAGAAAGAAGATTCAGAAGACTTCAGCTCTTATATTCTGGGATACACAAAAGTTTTATGCGGAAAAGAAATCGAATGTCATGAGAGCGATGTGCGCGAGAAGAATGGGAACTCTGGTAAGGGATGGATAATGGCGTCAAGTTATCCAATTTAGCCCCCGAATATCGTGGGATTCATTTTGTTTGCCCGGCCGGTTGGAATTACAGCATGGAAGCCAATCAGAATCAGGAACGGACCATCAATCTCGCCATGGACCCGCCTGTCTACGAGCAGGCCATGCTGTTAAGCGCGACTTATCCAAGTCCAGATTTGAAGTTACTTGAAAATAAAAACTACGCGATGATAGGGAAAAAGGAAGAGTTATCAACTTATATCGATGAAAACTCATCTCCCATCGACTCAAATTCCCGATTAATATCACCAAAAGGGTCCAATTTGAATATGAGACGTCCCTCTCAACAGCAGCGCCTTAAGGAACTTTTGGTCGGGACAGCCAGTTCTTTCTGGAGTCATCGAAACAAAAAGTTTCGGGATTCTTTGAGAGTACATCGACAACGGTGAGGGATCATTTAGAACTATTCTCGGTTCTATTCGTCTATTAATTGTGTTTAATTTCAGTCATTCCATTCCGAATGGGCAACCGGCAACGGCAACAACGACTGTGTCGTTCGAAGATCGCCGTTGGTCGGCCATTCCTCCGCATCCTGGGCATCTGAATGCGCCGTTCCGCGTTAACGAAGTCAATAATATGGAGAAACCGAGGAGGAATTCGGAATCCCGACGGCCGTTTTCCCTCCGTCTCATCAAAAATGTAAGTTGTTATGCACTTATGATGCCAAAATATTTTTTGCATACATCGGAAATCGTTTACCAATAAGCCAATTTGTGGGGCCCCAATCTCTCGAATGGCCCGTGTTGTTGTTGTCGGAAGAGGCATTCCCCGTTCATACAAAATCTTATTTTTTCGCGCCTTCTAGACAAATCGTTGTTTACGATACCATAAGACCTCGGCCTGTTTTTAAAATATGCTAAATCTGATCCAGATTATGATGGGAGCTGTGTTTTCTCCATGATTTTAAATGTTGTCGGGAGATTTGCTAACGTCTACCGTAATCCAGGGTTCTTTTTTTGATGTTTATTCGAAGCTTGTGACGGCTTCCCCGATTCCAACTCTAATGACATAAATATGAACTGAATTCCTTAATATTCGATTGCACCCGGATTGAAAGGTCTCCTAATCTACTCTAAACATCAGTAAAATGCCGACGAAAAATGGATTAGGGCCAACTTAAGCCTACCCATGAACATTCCCATCCATCCCATGAAGATTCCTCTCATCATGCCTCCCGGGAATTCTTTTTAGAAACAGTAAAAATAGAAGCCAATTCGAGAGGCGTTCAGCGTTTGGCCCCGACATTATTAATATTTTGGTAAAAACATTCGGGAAATGTTATGTCGTTCCTTTTCTGCGTTTGTTTATGTGACAGCCTGACCTGATGACATCTGTGGACATTTGTCTTCACACACCCGGATTTTCCTCAGAGATTTCCTTGGCCAAGTTTCCATTCTCTAACCCGTATTTTATTCCAGACTCTCCCTATCTCCCAAGTATTATCTCCATTATCCCGCAAATCCACCTATCCGCAACAGAAGAAACCCCTGGAACAAGTCCGACGTGCCTTCTCGTTGGACGAGGGTGAGTTATTTCATTCAGATCCGTCTGGCTTCTCACAAAGCCGTTCAGGCTTAAAAATTAATTTGCATCGAAGAGCATGTTGAACAATAGAAAGTAACGGGCATCCCCCAAAAAGGAATGCGCCGTTCCATGAGTCTGTAGCCTCAGTGTCTTGTCACCGGTCTTCGAAATACCCATTTGAACAACGCTTAATGCTCTTTGACCTGACGTTATTCGAAATGTATTTAAATATGTTCCATGAATGTATTTTTTATGAAGTTTTTCCGCTTCCATGAAAACGCTCCTTCCTTTTTCAATTTTCTCTATTGCTTTTCCTTTTTCCTGTCTGTTGGTGAAATTGCTGTGTTTTCTCTCGTGTCATTCTGGCCGAGTGGTCTAAGGCGCTGCGTTCAGGTCGCAGTCCTCTTCGGAGGGCGCAGGTTCGAATCCTGCGGATGACAATACTTCATTTTTACGTTCAACGCCAATTACGTAAAATTTTATTATTTTGCGCAATACAACTTTATTTTCGTTTTTTTTTCTTGGAAACCGTATAAAAAAATTTGACTGTGTGTCAATTTGTTTCTCTTTAGTCATAGTATTGTAGCACCTTCTAGCCGGGCTCCATCTATTTACCACTAAAACATAAAAGTGGCCAAAAATATCCGCTCGAATTTGCGCACGCAACTCTCTGGGGAGGACTCTGGTTGAATGCACTGATTCCTGTCTTTCTTTGTTTTGCCTAAGGCGCATTACCATCCAAAAACATTTCAAGCCTGACAAATATTTTTGCAACATATATAAGTTGTCGGTCATATGCCCTTTGATGATACTATTGTCTACTGTAACACTGACTATTCTGACTGGTGATGGTTTTAGAACGGAAACACGTTCGATTTGACTTTTCCTGTAATCTCATTCATCATCCGCCGCCCTCCCCCACCCCTTCCTTGGACACGCTGACTGGAGACGTTGAGGCCTCCACGCGAGCCTTTGTCACTCTTAAAGATTTCGATACCGAGCAATCATTCGAATTCATCTCCACGTCCAAACTCCTGCCCACTTCTCAGACATTCCCAATGGACAGTCGCGGGTTGAACGGAGACTTCACAGAAGACTTCGTGCCCAGGTCATACCAACAGCCAAACATGGGAGTCAATCCACAGAAACCGAACATACGGAGGATGTCGTTAAAGGAGTTCTCGGGTCTAGAAGAAGCCACAAAACCCGATGTTCCAAGACACAAGTAAGTGCAAAAAATAATGTCACATCCGATTACAGTTCCTCAACTCCATATTGTACTGACTCTCCTCTTCTCCATCGCCTTCATTCCATGTCCATCTCATCACAGCAGTCTAATTACTCGGCCTTCCTTGAGAAATACAATTACAAAAGACATTCATCCGTAGGAATTGGTCGTATTAGTATATCGCCTGGAGGCATTCGCAGAGGAAGCAGAGAACATACCTGCGATCCCTTTGATAAGACCATCGATGAGATCAATCTACAACTTGATCGACTACAAGAACATTCTACGGCAAGTCAGAGTATGGCCCTAAATAATGAACCTCTCACGGAGAATCTGATTGATGTTTCGGATATCGAGGACTCAGACGCAGTGAATGCAGTGTAAGTAAAATTATAATCTCGAAATAAAGCATTTCATATTATTACATAATCAAATTTTTTAGCTTATATAAGATAAAATCCCGGTTATCTAAATCCATCGACAAGGTCCCGAATGAATCTCCAAAAAGGAGATTCGATGTCGGCGCCGAAAAGGTCTATCTACTACAAGAACTGATCAAATTGTCATCAATGTAAGTACACAAAGTTCTACTTTTTACTCTAATTTTAGATGCAAAACTCTGATCAAAGCTGTAAATTCTGTTTTGGAACAAAAGGACAGACTGCAGGCGGTCTCGAATGTTCTCAGATCAACGGATCGAGTCATCAATCTCTGTGAATCCTTCCTCGGAAAAAGTAATTCCATCTATCAAGCACAACTTCTTAATGCCAAAGCAGACCAAGTACGTCTTCTCTTTGTCAACGCATTGCTTTCATACTAAAACTATCTAATATTTGTATTTTAGATGCTTAATTCCCTGAGCGACGTCTTAAATGCCGTGTTCAATGCCTTCGACAAGCCCCGATTCTCGGATGAAGCCAAACATCTGAATCGGATGACCACTTCGCTGACCGCAACGCTCACTCAACTGGCTCAAACAGTCCCCCAATTGTAATTTAATTGAATAAACGTTGTTTTTCGCCCCGTTCTTATAACACCTGTCCCTGCCCTCGAGACACAAGCCCTCAGGGTCGGTGCGTTCTTGTCAGACAAATGAAGTGGAGGCACGTGTTGACGGATGATCGGACGCGGGGATCGGGAAGTCGGGTTTCTTTCTCCCCACGTGATACGTGACGTCTGAAGCGTCGACGGTCGAGCCCAACAAGGCGTCGATGGGAGGGACCAGAGAGCGAGAGAAAACATACCGGGAGATACTTTCTAATATATCGATTGACCCCTCTTCCTTCCCCTGCAACGGGGCTTATCAATCGGACCCTTTTGTCGCTTCAAACTTAATATCACGTGGTTCTTGATCTCGCGTCTCCCCCCGATATTATTCTAATATTGGCTCCCATTCCGGCGGCCCACTCCCCTCTTCCGACGTCAGAATGGACGCGGATTGTAAATAAACCTACCTCCACCTTGCCAGTATCGTTTTACATTTTCCCACTCCACTCTGGGATTGTTCAACACAATTAAAACCCTTATTTATGGGCATCGCAACCTCGTGTTCACATGATTTTCCGCGTTTCTGGCCTTTCGGAAAAAAATATAAGCGCTTTTTTGCAAACTTCTGTGAAGAAACCTGAAATAACTGGTTTTGGGAGGAAAACATGGCATCTTCGAAAATATTATCATAGATACGGGCTGGAGGTTCTCTACCCATGTTATGCACTTCCTCTCCCAAATTACATTTCCGCGTAGTGTTTGCCAAAACATTTGGCCAAAGTGTCACGGGATAATCCGAAAAAAATGTTTTTCCAAACGTTTTTTTTGGAGAATTCTGAGATTTTGCTGTTGATTCTTATGGGTTATATTTTACAGGTGCCAAAATGCCAAATGAACAGATCCACAGTGGTCATTTTATGACCTCAAATCCACATTCGGATAAATTAGACGACGAAGATGAAGATGTCGAGGTAAGAAAAACAAGGTTTATTGTAAAGCAAAAGATGTTTATTTTCCTTTTATAACAATATTTTCAGGTTGACGTTGTTGATGTGGACGACAACGAGAATGAGCCCGAGGTCCCCAGATTGAGCAAAACAAGTTTACAAGAGACGCGAAGCAAGGTAATTGATTTATAAAACATAAACAGATTTTAGATATTCCGAATAAAAAATGACGAGAATCCGGTTACGTTCTACAAGTTTGGTCCACAAAAGCAGCAGTCTATTGCTATAGATGTCTCACTCAACAAACTACATAAATGTATCAAAATCGCTTACATGAAAATGACAACGCCAAAATGGAAGGATTTCAAAGGGTTAAAGTTACAATGGAAGCACAGAATCAGACTAAATAATGTGATTTGGAGGGCATATTATATGGAATGTAAGTTCAATTTATTGGTTTTATGTTTTTAGTCAGAAAACCGGACAGGAAAAAGAAGACACCGTATTGTTACTTTGCCGTCCCGGATGAAGATACGACACATCAGAAGATCGAAGGTACCGTCTTGGAAGGGATGTATTGGAAAAGGAGGATGGAGGCAGTTTGTGCGCAATACAAGCGGTGGCGGAATTACAATCGGCCACACAAGATCAAGAAGACTTGTTGTCCTAAGACTGTAAGTGGATTGTAAGAAGCTTCCAAGTTTTTGCAGGAGAATGCCTGCGAATGCAAACCTAATCAGATTGTCGGTAGACCGAATCAGAGTCAAACGCCGAATGTAATTTACAATACTAGTAACGATTACTTTGACGATGATGAATTTGAAAATGAATTCACAAATGAGCTCTTCAACAAACTAGGAACACCATTTTTGTTTCCAAATCCTAGAGAAATGGGTAAGTTAATATTTTCGAACCATTTTCCAGTCATGTGTTTTACGTTGCAAATATGTAGCGATTCGATATAAACAATATTTTTTCAGGATTCAATGGGAATGCAGATTTTATGCAGCCAGGTCTCTTCGCATTACAACCTAGTCTAGAGGAGATTATGAGTAAGTTGTTACACATATACCTAAAATCATTACTGTAGCCGGAGAACAAGAACAAGCAGATGTGGACATGTTGGAACCGACTATTTCAACTATGAATAATCAAGCATCTCACAGTAATGGATATAATAATCAATTCCAGTCTATGTCTGGTATGAGTTCTCCCCTGAACTCGGAGGTTCAGCCATCAAAACAACGTTCCCAACATGCCTATAACAACAAGAATTACAACTCTAATTACACTCAAAGTCAGCCCACTCGCCAATCCTCAATTCCGGGTATAATGGATGCTCATATGAGTCAACCTCTCTACTCGCAAGCGGTCTATGAAAACAAAACACTTGGTGCTTCCAATCTTGAATCTCCTGTGGCCTCCGTGATAAGTCGGGACAAACTTTCTCGGAGCTCGGCCAACTTTACTCCCACCACCTCATTGACCAATCTCGATTATATGCCTCAGTTTACAGCTTCTATGAACACCAATTCCTTTTCCGTGATCAACGGCCAGAATGGTGGACACGGTCTTAAGAGTTTTGTAATGGATCAGCCAGGACAGTTGATATCAGCACCTGCATGGTGGATGCCTAATCAACTTCAAGCTCAGCATCAACAACAGGTATCGTAGGATTTTTTGTTTTGATTTTCTCGTTTTAGGTACTGCGGAATCCTCAAGATTCTCAAAATGGATTTCCAAATGTACTGTTGAATTTGAATAACCAGCCAATGCAGCAAAATCAACAGAACTTCAGCCTGATCCCGGTTTCGCACCATTTTACTCAGATGAAAGCAGAGAGTGATCCCATGGGACACCTTGCGCAACATCAAAATGTAAGGAAAACAATTAGATGACATCTTCTTTTCAGACGGTACAAACTCCTACAAATTCCATGCATCCCCCCTCTCACCCATCCACAACAAGACTCCCCCCTGGTCCAACAAGTACAGATCTGTCTCACTATCTTCCCCACAATGAATCCGCGGCGCCTTCAGCTTCATTGGCTTCGATGTTGACTGCAAAACCTCGGGATAACCAACAGGAGCGGGGCTTCGAATCAACAAGAAATGGCACTGTACATCCTGCAGGAAAAATCAAGTCAGATGTCAGACAAACAAAGGAAGACTTTCTGAATGAATTCGAAGATCTAGCAAGCACGGCGATTGGTCTAAAGGTAAGTTTTTACAGGCTATTGTGAATTAAATTGGTTTTTTAGAAAAGGCAACGATTGGCCGTTACTGAACCCATTGCCGCTGGAGATCCTACTTCAACTCAGTCCTCTCCTGCTCCTCAACGACTTCGGAATCAAAGAAAGGGAGTTCGGACAAGGTCTAGCCAGATCTCGTCTCAGCCAGCTTCGGTGCAATCATTTGGTGCTGATAGTTTGTTATCTCCACAGGGCAGTACACCCACAACTGAAGGATTCCAGAGCGACGGAAGTGATGAAAAGATCCCCGCGAAAAGTAAACTTTCGGATTTTTATGACATTATTATTTTAGAAAGGAGAAGATACAATCAGTCATGTTCCGAGGCTGCTGATAGCACATTAAATCCTGAGGAAAGAAAGAGATTACTTCATTTGAATGCGGAAAAGAACAGAAGAGAGGCCCTGAAAGATGGATTCGATGCTTTGGTCTCGGCAATTCCCGTAATTGACGAAGCCGGAATCAAAGTCACGAATGCCGTTGTCTTGAACAGAGCGGGTCAGCATATCAGAAACCTGCAGAACAAATTGAATGATTCCGTCAGGGCTCTTGATGAGGCCGAGAAACGAAATGAAATGCTTCAGAAGAGAGTAATGTAAGTTTCGGATTGCTTTTTCCCATTGCTTTAGTCTTGTCCAATCATCTCTCCCCTCCACTGTGTCTCAATCGTCCGGTTCAAAGGATTCCGACTCGATGCAAAACGAGATTCATCAGTTTGTGGACAGATATGTAAAAGAAAGAGCTAAAGAAGACAGCCGTTTCTTTGTCGTGAGTTGATATTATTTATCATCAGTATTATCAATAATTTTTTTCTTATTTATCATGTGTACAATGCGGTTGTTTAGATGGCGACTATGTTGAAACCCATGATCGACGCGTTTGCTAGAAAGATCCATCCAGGAAATAATAAACAACAGATGAGGGAATCGATAAGACAGTGGGGAGAGGAGAGTTTCCGGGTCTCCATGATCCGTCCTCTGGCCTCCCAAACCTTAATCAAAATAGCGGCCGAAACCAATCTGATGATGGATGGGAAACGTCAACCCCTTTCTGACTATATTGCCAACCAAGTAGACCAATTGGGGCAATATAAAGACCTTTAGATTGTTAAGATTTCTATATTGTTATTAGTGTATAACTTGTTGATTTACCAACTTACCATTCAGAACCTCTTTCTTCCTATCCATGGGAACAACGGGTAGCCCCACTGTGATATTATACAGTCTCATTATTTGCAGGTATTAATAAAGTTAGATTCAGATAGGAAATTAATTTCTTTGATCCTTTTTTATTTTTGAATACAAAGTCTTGCAGCTCCTAATGCAGCCGATATATTCTTGGTCGATTTGATGACGGTCAAGGGCTCAAATGTCTGCTTTGCTGTTGTAAAACAAATTTCATCATTTGCGGCACGGTTCAATAAAATCACATTTTGAATTCCATTACTTTCTAATAGGTTAACTGGTAACATTTCTGCCAAATTCTCGATGACACCTTTCTTGATTGCACGCACGCACTAAATATTTATAAGAAGGTGGTCTTATGATCTGATCAGAGAACAACTCACTTCGTCCAAGCGCGTATCAGCCGAGAGGTTGCTGATAGAAGCCCTTTGATTAGAATGTCTCTCGCCCAAAAATAGGGGTCGTATTATTGGATCTGACCGATTTCCCTGGCCATCAGGGGTTTCCAACAGTTGATGCAGGTTTCTTTCATTCAAGGTCTTCTTTGTAGCTCCAAACAATTGATCATGAAATGTCGAAATCAACTGAAAATTGTGTTGTATGTAATACAACACTTACTTTTACAAAATTGTCCAACGCATTCCCTCCATTCAATGAGGCGGCCACGATGAGATATTTCCCATTAAAATAAGGAACCCTCAGAAGATGTTTGAACTCATCAGCAACCATTTTCGACGAGCTACAGTATGCCAATTGAGCCGATGTTCCAAGATGAAGTGCCACAAAGTAAAATTTTTTACAGATGTTGCCCTACCTGCTGTCTGTTCTGTGACAAATCCAAACATATTGGCTTGCAGATCTCCGACAGACACGTAGATCTTGACATCCTTAGAGAAAAAAGAAGAAATTATTGGACTACTGTAGATCGTGCCTGATGGTTTTATTTCAGGCAAAGCCAAGGGATAAATTAATGAGAGGATGTTCTAAAACATCGACATAACATTAAATTAATAAAGTACCTTTTGCCATTCCCCCTTATTCGTCATGTATCCCCAACTGAATGCCAATTGATCCGATATAAAATACTCTTTGACTCCCAGGGAAAACACCACAAAATCCATTATCGTTCCGCATCGATCCCATCTTTTGTTAATTAATCCATGTTTATGCAACCATATCAGAGTGGCTAGACCATATCCCGTGGAAACATTCGACTCTTTGGCTCCGGTTTCATTTTCCCACCTATAACTTATTACCTCACCGTATCAACAAACTCTATCTTACAGTGGCAACGAATGTAAAAAGGATTCATCACATCGCTGATCCATCCAAGTAATTAGATTTGACGTGGATTCTTTATCCTTTCCATCCCAAACATCCGCCGTGCTGTCCCAAAAAAGGATCCCGTGCATTTGACCAGTTACAGTAATCCCTTCCACCTCATGCAAAAAATGTTTGTTCCTCTTGAAAATAGACTCCAAGTCAGTCAAGATCTTCCGCGGGTCCTGTTCATCATGATTGAACGTAGTATTCACATGGGCATTATGAGTGGAAGACTCCTCATACACAACCCTCAAAGCATTACCAATCAATATGTCACTTACTCTCCCTCGCCATTTACAATACCAACCTTTAAGTTGGTCGTCCCAATATCAATTCCCAAATATGTTTTCATCATAAAAAGAGACACCTCTCACTCGATGGGAAATATAATAAATTAAACTCAATTTATTGGAGACATTGCGGGAAATTACGCTCACAGAAACCGATAAGTAGTTAGCACAGTAGGTTTATCAACAAAAGTAAAGTACAGTAGTTCAAGTATCCACATTCGACATTATTTGTCCAACCATTCGATATCATCATCACTTATATTCTCCTTTTGTTCTTCTTTTACATCCATCGCTTCAACCTCTTTCTTCACATTAGCCTTCTCCGCATACTTGCTGTAGATGACTTTTCCAACTCTTTCTTCAAAGTCCTGGTAATTCCGAATTGTCATGTCATCTTCGGATCCAGAAGTTAATTCGGTTATCTTGTTGACATACATCTTGATATGTTCTCTCAAAGTTCCTTTCGTTCTCTTATTAATATTCGCGAATGAGTAAGATTCATTAGATCCATATGCCTCAAGGGCTTTATTCAGGACATCCACCTCCAAAACTGCCAATTGATCTTCACCGCGAACATTATTGAAGTGTTCTTGTACCTAAAATAATATAAATCGAATAACTTTAGACTGTAAATAACGGAAAAGGAATAACACACACAACAAGCTCCACATTGGCAGGAATCAGTTCTTTCTTAATATTCTGGGTCTTGACGCCTTTCACAACGTCGGGATCTTTAGATCTGTGCACCCAAATGATTTCGTTTGCATTGGCAACTTTATCCCTGTACAACCGACCAAATCGCCGTGGCATGATAGGCTGAATTCAATAGAGTAAACAAACGATTATTCACTCACCGGAATACGCCTCCATGCCCCAACGTAATGTAATCTGAACCTGACCAAAGGAAGCTCTGGTTGACTGGCTGTTCTACTGAGCTCGGCTTGTCTGAGAATCTCATTCATCCTTCGATGCAAATATTGCTCATCCTAACAAAAAAATAATAAATGTACTTACTATATATTTCCTTCGTAAGACGAAAATTAAAATAATAAAAACTACACACCTCCATTTCAGAAGTCCGAACACTTTCACACGGAGGTACCAGATGTAACCCATCGAGATCAATATCTTCATAGAATATCTGTCTGCAAGTCTCCAACTTCAAAGGCGTGATAACTGGTTCTCTAATATCATATTGTGAGTCCAAAAGAAAACAATGCTTTTGCATGGCTTCATCTGGGCAGAGCGATGTCGCTGTGGTACTTCCCGGTTGAAGAATTAAAAACTCTTGCCCGTCTTTGGCAACAACTCTCTGCGGTTCTAGAACAACTATACAAAAACTAAAAAAGACCTCACCAATTATAGAAGCATGCTCGTGGCCCCACACAACCAAATCAATGAAGCCAGGCAGGAGGTCTGTGGAAATATAAGAGCCAGTTGATCTCAAAGTAGATCTCTGCGGTCGGTTCTGATGAAGGACAAGAATATTTAGGTACTCTTCATAATTCGAGGGTTTATTAAATCTGACATGACCAGCTAAACTAACTTCATATTAAATTTACCAAAACTTACACATGAAAGCACGAGCCAGCCGATCATCCCTCTGAGAGCCGATTCCATATAAGGCTACTTTACTCACAGATCCATCAGGATTCTCTTTCTCCAACAAAACTGGGTTCACATCGAAGTACTTTATGTCTTTGAATCTACCAAAAATATTCAAAACACCCGCTTCATGGTAGATATCCACCGCAGTGCTGTCCTAAAAAATAACAGTATCATTAAAAGCCTTTACGGTGCAACAGAAGTCGTCGTGATTGCCATTGATTGTGAAAATCGGTAGAGAAACCGTCAGGTTCTCATCATCAATGTTAGCTGTCTTAAACTGGAAGACTCCAAAGTTGTCCTCTCCATTCGAAGTGACCTTCAATGAAGTCTTTGGACCTGACATACAGTATTCTCGGATCAATCTCATCAATCGAATCTGGGTACGACGACTCGGTTCACTTTCATGGAAGAGATCTCCACCTACAATAGACAAAGGTATATAAAGATAAGGAAGGTTTACCCAGCAGAATGAAGTCGCATTCATTTTCCTTTGCTTTCTGTAAGACCTCTTCAAAGGAGCGAAACGAATCTTCGTACAGATATTGTTTTATCTCTCCATACCCACAATGGGAATCAGAGGCGATGAGGATCTTCATTTTTTTGAGAAAAGATCATCCACTTACAAACTTGGGAAAAGACCAAAACTAAAATGAAGATAAAGCAAGCATTAAGACTCGTATACACAAATTTTCGGCTCTATAGCTCTTCCGAAGTCCCGAAATTCGATCGAATAAAAAAATTATGAAAATTTTGCGAATTTTCGCATAATTTTGATAAATTTTTTTTTTTGAAAGGACGTTTTGCCGCCAAAGTTTCACGAAACGAATCTAAGAAATTGGTCAGTGCGATGATTTTATTTTGTTTTTTTTTTATTTTGTGTTATTCTAATTTTCGTTGAATTCGCGCATAGAGTTGCATCTTGTCTAATATTATAAACGTCTAGTGTTTATAACAGAGTACGTTTTTCGTAGTGAACGAGGAAAGGCTTTGATCACAAAGTCTCTCCGCCCCGGAACGCCGAAGAAAGCTCTGTTCAAGGGTCATTTTGTTTTTTCCATTCGTCAGATAATAATATTTTTAGTGGCGTTGTCCGAAATGTTGAAGCTCTTCTCAGTTTCTGCCAGATCCTCTCGTTTTCTTTGTACTTCATCGGTTCGTAACGGTCCAATTCAAAATGTAACAATCGTTGGATCAGGATTAATGGGTTCAGGAATCGCCCAGGTTTGTCTGGACTTTGTACCCTACCTTTATCTTGATTTAGGTGTCGGCACAAGCAAAGTTAAATGTTGTTTTGGTGGATCAAAATGAAAAGATTCTTGATGCAGCTCAAAAAAGAATTCAGAAGTCTTTACAAAGGGTAGCTAAGAAGAAGTTTGCCGACAACGAAGCAGAGGCAACAAAGTTTGTGGATGAAACTTTGAGCAGGATCAAAGTGAACTCAGATTTGAATACTGCCGTCCAGAAATCTGACCTTGTGATTGAAGCCATCGTTGAGAACATTGCTGCCAAACAGAAGTTGTTTAGCCAAGTGGAGCAAAGTGCTAAGAGGTAAGTTTTGTAAACAAATCGGTCTTTATATGTGTAACACTCTATTCTGATGTAAAATTGCGTTTAGTGATGTTATCTTGGCGACCAACACGTCTTCCCTTCGTCTCGCTGACATCGGTGAAAACATCAAAAACCAGGCCAATTTTGGCGGTCTCCATTTCTTCAACCCCGTTCCAGTTATGAAGTTATTGGAGGTCGTGAGACACGACAAGACCTCCGACCAGACATTTAAAGATCTCGAAGCCTTCGGGAAAACGGTTGGAAAGGTTACTGTAGCATGCAAGGACACCCCCGGATTCATCGTCAACAGACTCCTTGTCCCTTACATGTACGAGGCCTTAAGGTTAGCTGAAAGAGGTGATGCTTCGGTCAAGGATATTGACGTGGCCATGAAATTGGGAGCTGGTTATCCCATGGGACCTTTCGAATTGGCTGATTATGTTGGTCTGGATACATTGAAGTTCATCCAAGACGGCTGGGCCAAACAATATCCCAATGATCCGCTTTTCAAACCGTCTACGCTGTTGGAGAAGTTGGTAGCCGAAGGAAAATTAGGAGCAAAATCTGGAGAAGGATTCTATAAATATAAGAACTAGATAGCATTATATATACCTGTCTTCTTTCTAAATAAAGTTTTACTTTGATTAGCGATGCTCTTCCCGCGAAAGGTCACACTTTTCGTGCGTACCCGCCCGACCCCTGACGGTGCCAAAACCAGTGAGACGGATAAAATTCATAGTCCCCAATTTCCCTCGAGGGCACGGAACGTGGTGAGATATCAACAAAGACTCACATTTAATGTTTTGTCATGGAAGAGTTCAGGATCGTGTTGTCGAGGTCGGAGCCGGTCTTCTTTCCAGGTGAGGTGGTCGAAGGATACGTTTTGGTTAGACTCCGAGAACCAATTAAGGCCAGGCAAGTAGTCATCTCAATGTCTGGAAAAGCCAAAACAACATGGACGATGTGGGAGCAATACAGTGCGTAGGTAGAAGGTCTACATTCACTACAACAGTTACAGCAATCGAAGTACAAAAAGCGAAGCAGTCCCTTATTGGGCCGAGATGATCTATGTGGATTTGACGAATACAGTTTGGACGCCTCCTCCGACTTCCAACAGTTTGCCCGCGGGCGAAAAGAAGTTTCCATTCAGCTTCTTGCTACCATCAAATTCTCCGCCAACGTTTGAAGGTAACCATATTTACACTTTAGATGTTCATATATCATATTTACTTGTTTTCAGGAACGGTTGGCTTTATTCGCTACTCATTGAAAGTAAAGATTGACCGTCCATGGCTCTTCGACCACAAAACATACATTGGGTTTACTGTAACTCCGCACTTTGACCTCACTTCCTTGACTTATGCCTCACTTCCCATTTACAAAACGGTTTGCAAACAACTGGGGACACTTTGGTTCAAACATGGGACCATTGAGGCGAAGGCAAGAAATTTTGTTTTTCTAAATAAAAGTTTTGCTTGGTCACACCAACTTCGTGAAGGGATTGTTTCGTTGACCAAAGTTCATTCGCTGAACTGAAAGGTCATTTTTGTTGTCTCTTCCCGAGAATGTTCACGTCAAACTGACAAATTAGAGAACCTCTTATCCAATCCGGAATACCAAATTTATTTCAGATCCGTCTGAATAAAAGTGGATTTGTTCCCGGTGAGAGTATTGTCCTGCAAGTGGAGATCAAAAACAATGCGAATAAAGACATCACTCGGATCGAGTCATCTTTAGTCCAACATAGTTATTACACTGCTCATCGGCATGCTACTCGATTACATTATGGCCATGCTCAGAATAAGGACATTGAACATAAAACTGAGACTAGAGTAGTTGTCCAATATGTTGAGGAGTACAAGATACCAAAGAAAGGAGAAAGTTCTTACAAGAGAATGCTGGCCGTTCCTCCAGTGGTACCTTCTTTTAACGTTTGCGAGATTATACAAGTCAGTTATTACTTCAAAGTAAGTGCCGTTGGACCTGTTGGATAGATGTTTAGGTGAAGATTGTGGCCAAAGGAAAGCTATCTAACACCGTAAGTGGTGAAGTCCCGGTTTTAATTGGGACAATACCATCAAGGTCGACTTTGAGTACAAATGAGATCCCACAGAGGAATTACCTGGCCCCTCCGCAACCCTCTCTTCCTTCAGAAACAGGTATAACTCCGTCCTCTAATAATCAGAGCTCTATTTACTTAGATCCACCTCTTAATTATGCCGATTGTTTGTTCGGAAAAGGAAGAGTACCAGACGACCCCGATGAGAACGTAATCGACTACACTCCCAAGTATATATATTACAGTAATATATCGTAATAAACTCGGCTTGCATAAGCTAATTTTTTTGGTAATCTACAAGTGGCCATCTGGTGCATGGAAATCGAGTTGAGTGAAATTTCTCAGCGTTGATTACACCGAACGCCCTGAGGAATCCAAAAGTTGAATCCGTTACTCGAAAAAATCTTGTGGTAGTACTGTTACAGTTATAACTGTAACTATATTAGTACTAATACTGTAAATTTTAATAATAAACCAATATTTGATTTGGCCAAGATTCGATCATTAGAGATTCAAAAATGGCGGCATGCAGCCTCCGATAATTTTTTTGACATTTTGTCGTGACGCGTTTCAACTATTGACTGAAAATAAAAAATATTTTTCCATTATTTTGTACCTTAGTTTGTAGTATTAGAAGAATGTCGAAGAGGCCTGTAACTGCAAAGACTCCGGCCCAGCCAACGGGACAATCCCGGAGGATGGATCCGATCGAAGAAGAACTACAAGATGCTGGATCTTCGGCGTCAACTCCTCCAGCACAGATGGTTGCCTCCGAGCTATCTCAAACAATCCCCAGGACATCCTCTTCGACTGCCATACATCGAATAGACCACAAACGGCCATCTTCCTTGAAGGATAGGTCGAATTTTGTCAATCATAAACCACTGCCATTTCCGACGGGTAACAATCATTCGAATCCGCTAACGTCAGTACAAACGACCGCAATTAATCATTCCACCTCTATTAGTGAACTCTTTATGAATGTACCTTTTTCTGATTCTACAAATCCGGAAGTTCTTAGCCCTGCTAGTTATGAGTACAAGAAGTGGGTCGAATACTTTTATTTTATATTATCTGTTGTTTAGGAATAAGAAGATTGTGAATACTTTCGACTCCACAGTTCAATTCTTCAACAGCCCCGAATTGGACTTTTTCATTGTCTCCAAGGACGACTTTCAGATTTATAAAATGGAGTATGAACTTGATTACGAACCAGTTGTGGAATTATTCAGAGAACAAAAGTTTAGAAGTTGTCAAACTGATCCAATCGAGGTAAGCCTTCTTTTCTTATCTTTTATTCTGTTAGTACACCTGCCAATGTGTTGCCCTGGACAATACCGTGTTTAATAATATTGCATTTGGGTTCAACAATGGGGACATTTTTGTGACCTCGGCTTTTTCTGAAGGAGAACCTGGAAGAGAGTAAGTGTAACAAAATAGTTGTATTTTCTTCAGTTGGTACAATGAGTATCACATCCGGATGAATCACAAATGCGAAGCTCTTGTCCATTTAGCATGGGATAAGTCCAAGAATGGAAAAGGATATCTTTGTGCTGCTTATGAAAGGTAAGAATTATTACCTAATTGTTGATGAATTCAGGGGCCGTGGAAATGAACATTTGATCAATCTATTTGACATTAATCAAGGCCAACAGAGGGATCTTTTTTGCGAACGGCAGCTTTCGGAGACTATTCATGACATTACTTTCTTGGAGTAAGTATACCTAGAGTAATATAATTTGTTCTAGTCTTGAGTTGACAACATTGATGGTCAGTTGTTCGAAGAACTTCCGTTTTATCGATATTAGGGAGAGGACGGGGTTTATGAATATTACCAGTGTGAACGTGCCTTTGCTGAAGGTCGCGTTTGAACCTTATAATAACGTGCAATTCGCTGGTGTAAATGGAAACGATGTCACTATTTATGATCGGAGATTCCTGAGTAAAGCTCTTTATGAATTCGAAGTTGGGGTAAGCTATACGGATGATAATTTAATCGTTGGTTTGTAGCCCAAAGACTTGAAGATTACAAATATTAGCTACAACCCCAATCGCTACTGTAATATATCTTGTTCGTCCACTTCTTCCGGCATTGTATATGATCTCGATGTCTCTCCAGCAGTTGCTTATTCAGATCATATGGCCGAAGGAAAAACTGTGGATGCCATGAAGCAGGCCGTAACCAGATACGCCCAAAAGTTTTCATATGGAGTCAATGAAATTGTATGGTTTCGAAATTATTTCTTAATGATTTTAGAATACATCACTTAAACAAGTGCAAGACTTCACCTGGTCTCACAATGAGGAGAATCTTCTGTTGGTGATCCCACCAAAATTGGAAATAGTTGAAGATCAGGAGATTCCAGATCAATTACTCTTCAAGACAGTTGTTGTAGATCATAACAGAAACAATGCTTGTTTCCCTCCAGATGGATCTATTGTTTTCTGCTCAGCGAACTCTGTTGAGAGAATAAAACCTAAGCCGAGGGTTCATACTCAACGAAAGAAGGCGGTTGGGTTTTGTGATTCAAATGATCCTGAAAGTCCGACGGAATGTGAGAAGATAGAAGCAGAATGCATAGGTAGACTCCATTCGGAGGATGGCCGGGTCCGTGTCAGAGATATTCAACATCATCTCCCCTTCCGGGGTACTCATTCAGGCGCCTCGAATACGGTAATCGAGAAAGACCTTCAGCTTTGGTTCGCGCGAGGTGATATCAATAGGACCTCTTATTCTCGCGCTTTGAAGGGATATGGATTTGGAAGGACGGCGGGATCAGCCAGAGCTTTGATTGAGAACAGTGATCGGGCTATACGAGATGATAAAGATGAAAGTGATTGTCTCAAGGAATGCTGGAAGTTACTTATTCGGATCTACATAATCGAAGCTTCGCATCGTGTACAACAGAAATACGGAACGCTGTATGTTTATTAGTTTAACGTCTTAATTTTTTCTTTTAGATTCCCTGGGGTTCATCGGCTGGCCAGAAAAATGAAGTCATCAACGATGGTTAAAGATGACCCCGTTACTTTCAGAAATAGATATTATTTGAGTAAAAACCGAGATGACATTCTCCGAACTTGCGGATGGACGTCCTTGGATGATCATAATGGACTGGCCACTCGATTGGAAAGACTAATGAATACAAATAATGTTGAGGACAAGTTCCGGGCTGCCACCATGGCCATGTTTGCCTTACAAGGACCGGCTTGTAAAACCGTAGGTGTATTCTGTTTTATTTTTATGTAGTTTAGTACTTGAACAAGACCGTTGAATATCTTCGTATGGTTGAATTTACTGCAAATCATTCCCCATTTATGATCCAGCGATATCAACACATGGTTGACCTCGTGATCAAGGCTTTGGAAACTTATGACGGCATCCGAATTCAAAACTACGATTCGTTATTGAGGGAGATTGACCAGCCATATCTCATGGCCATGGTCAGATTTATTGGACGAAGACAACACACCTATTTATTAATGCAAAGAGAGATCATGGCGATCAATGGGATGTCCGTATCGGATAGGATTGCGTTTGCCGCCATCCATATGGACGATCAAGTCTTTAAGGAATCCTTATCTCGTCTTAACAGCATGGTATTAAAGAGTGACAATCCCCTCTCGGTGTTGCTTATCAGTGGATTGGATGATCACAAGCAGTCTCATATTGCAATCCAGACATACCTCGAGCAAACTAATGACATCCAGACGGCCGCTTTATTGCTTTGTGCCGGAAATTGTTTTAGAAGAAGTAAAATTTGGGAAAGCTATGATATGAGGAAAAGTGTCAGGGAAAGGATAACAATTGCAATGTAAGCATGCCCACTGTTTTTTCTATGCTTTTCAGAACGAAGAATGCACTCAAGAATACCCGTAAATATTCACTCCAAATTGTTCTGCAATATATGCAATGGCTTCAAGCATCTCAACTTATTCTTCAGAAGTCTTTCATTATGACTTTTTTGAGGAAGAAATTAGAATTCCCCAAAACTGATGTGGAAGTCAAAGCGAAGTTGGCTCAGGTGAGGGCTTCTTTATTTTTAAGTTTTGTTTAGAGCATTATTGCATGCAATTTCTGTGGTAAGCCCATCTTGCCTTATATCAGTGGGGAAGACTCAATGTTTGTCCAAAAAACGAATAATCAAAGGAAAATGGGTCCTCCGGGATCAACTTCTGGCCAACGAAATGCCCATCCCCCACCTCCGAGGACGAATGGATGTCCCCATCACGATTGCTCCAAGCCTCTTCCATGTTGCACCATCTGTAAGAAGAGTTGTAACCAACAAGTGGACGTCCATTCGATTACTATGCACATGGATGACTGGTTTATTTGGTGTACTGTAAGTTAAAAACTATTTTAATTGGTAATGATTTTTAGAAATGTTGCCATGGTGGACACTTGAAGCATCTAAGGGAATGGTTTGACAATTATGATCTCTGTCCGTCAGGGGGATGCGATTGTGAGTGCCCAAAGTTGGATACGGTATTCAAAGCAAGTGTGAGATCAAAGAAGAAAGTGGCCAAGGAAGTGGATATTCTTGAGGGAACTAAATTGAGGACTATCACGGGATATCTCCAACCGATCGATGACGAGGATGTAGAAGAAGAACAGTTACGAATTCTGAAGAGATTGGCATCCAGGGAAGGAAAGGCGCCTTCTAGTCAATCAACCATTAAAAGAAACAGACGGAAGAGTAGCACAAAGCCTCTTCAAAGACTTGATCCAGAGTCTCAGCCTCCTCTTTATCATCCCATGATCCCAGAAGTTGTTTTATCTGGGTTTATTGCTCAAGAAGTACAACGAACAGCATCAAATGTGGGCTTATCCTCTGATGAAACCGACGACGAGTGCGATACTTTGAAGGCGGACAGTCCTCGGGATGAAGTTTATGAACCTTCTTCGTCTTTAGATTTGGCTAGACCCAAAAGAAGAGTGCCGGATAAAAGGTCGATCAGTGAATGCATTACGGATGAGAGCTGTGGGGACACGAAGCCGCGGAGTAACAGTTCCTTGGAGGAGAAGAACGCCGGGTATATAAAATGGCCATATGTGACAAGAAACTTCTGGCCCATCAAATCTGCTGTCTCCACGGAATCCCAGATCAGACCGAATTTACCCGGAGGGCACAATCTGAGTCAGGAAAAATCGGTTAATCAAAAACTTGTGCAAGCGAAGAAAGCCCCGGCTAATGCCAAGTTCAGCGAGCATATCTTCATTCTACCTCAGAAGCAACGCCAATCGGGATATTCTACAAGTATCCAACGAAACAGACTTCATCAAGCAATTGTCAGCCAAGCAATTTATGAACAAGTAGAAGTGGAACAACATCAAGTGGTTGAACAATCTCAGAGACTGCAGTGGACAGATGCGACCCATGAAGTTGGAGACATTTCAAGCGCCTCCGAAGATGAGGATGAATTTAAAGAAGTGGATAAATTGGTGAGATACAATCAGAGAGTTTATAACGAAGCTCGCGAACATGGAAAGAATCAGAAGAAACGAACGCAGAAGGATCTTCAGAATATTAGGAACAAGTTGGGATCTCCAAAACAAGTCCAACGAAAAGTCAGCGAACCTTCGAGATTGCCTTCAAAATCAACACAGCAGGTATCCATACAAGAGGATGAGATCAAGGCCCAAAGTCAATCTCCAAACAGGAAGAATCCGCGGTTCAATTGAAGTTCGGTACTGCATTCTTCAATCTCACAAACTACGAAACGTACATGTTTTAAGGTCATATCATTATTTACAGTTTCCTTTTATCGTCCATTTGTCTTCTCTCAACGTTTTAGGCTTTGATTACGGATGATCGATCGTTTTGTTGTTTGACTTATCACCTTAATTTAGCTACAGATATATTTATGTATATAGTTGTACATATATGTCTTTACGGCATTTTTTCTTATTTGTAAATTTCATAAATTGTGTTTCCACATTTCAATGATAGCAGTGTAAAGTTAAAAAAATTTATTTATTTTAACAAACATGTGGAAAGACTCCCCGTTTACAACAAAAATGTACATCAGACAAAGCTGCTCGACCCCCTTCTCTCCTATGGCAAGTGCAAGTTGTTCAAGGCCAATCAATTGGCTTCCGTAAATAAAAGAACATGCCCGAAGGAAGAAATCGAGCCGTTGCTAGATAAACTGCACAATCAGCCCCTCTTTCCGGGGTGAAGATCCCCTTGAAACCGGTCATTCGTGTCGCTACCGCACCAGGACAACACTAAAAATAGAATTGTATTGTCATTGTGCCAACAAGCACACTTACGCAATTGACGAGGATCTTTTTGGCCTTGAACTCGCGAGCTTGGATCATGGTCAGAGCGATCTCCAACGCCTTCGAAACACTGTAGGCCGTTTTTGCGAAGGTCCCATCTCCAACGGGAAGCCCTTTCTTACAATGCTCCTTATAGATCTCGATCAGTTTATCAACATCTTCATAGGTCGAGGTGGGACTTGCCACCAGGTCGATGTATTCGTTCTTGTAGGCCCCTCGCATTACTCCCGCTTGACTGCAGATGTTGATGATTCTAAACTTCACGATTAGAAGCTATACTTCTGTACTCACCGGCCACGCTGACGCATTATTGGAGCCAAATAATCGGTGATTCTTTTGGTTCCGTAATAATTTATATTCAATGTGACTTCAGCTTGGATTTCCAAAGGTGTAGGATCATTGTTCTAAAAAAAGGAATTAACACTTTTTTGAAACCGACTTTGTAGGCAAATCCAGCGTTGTTGATGAGAATATCAAGCCCGCCATGTTCCTTTTCCAAATGCTCTGCAAAGATTTGACAACTCTCCTCATCAGTAATGTCCAAGGGATGTAGACGGATCTCTGCGTGTTTTTTATTCATAAGTTCACAATCCAGTTTCTTGAGGACTCTCTCTCCAAAAACAATATCCCTTCCTGCAAATGTCATCCATATTTTCGACGCAACTTACCCGTCATATAGATGACGTCATTGGGTAATGTCTCCGCCAGCACTTTCACAGTGCCGTAGCCAATCCCCCGGGTTCCGCCGGTGACAACAACAATCTTCTGGCTTTTTTGCAACACCATTTTCGGACAGTGGCGCGGTTCTTCGACTGACTTCTTTGGTATGTGTTAATGTTCCCGCGCTGGGTTTGGTTTACAACGGCCGCGGTTGGAAGGGGAGGCGGAACGATCGGGTGTGCAAGCTGAAGAATTACGCCTGGCCATCACATGGTGATGAATCGAACCCGTACCAACCCCGAATTCATCACACGTGGTGATCGAGCAAATTGTGGGGGCAAAGTTTGGAACCGGTTGTAAAGCAACACCAGAAGCGACCATCGAAAAAAGAGTTTGTAAATTACAACTTTAGCCACGGTTTAATAAACAAATGGGGCGAAAGAAAGGAAACCAACTCAAGAATAAAACTTTATGTTCGCTAGCCAGAATCTTCGAATGTATATAAATTGATATCATGGAAAAGGACTACCCGGAGAACAGAGGAATTACCAGTAAAATCAATAACATCAAAGTGGTAATATGTGTATCACCGGATAAGAAATGCTGGGTTAATCAGAGGGCTTTCTGAAGCCGGCCCATCTAGAGAAAGTGATTATATCGAGGCTGGGAATACGATGGCCAAAGGCGAGAAGCATCATAACTCGGTCTTTGGAGATGAGGAGTACATTGCGATAGAGCCAGATCTCTCCACAGGGTACGTAATGACTTCTGGCTGATACCCGATCGCTTAGTTTTCTTGCACAATCGATGATTAGACGGTCATTATTCTGGAAATAAACGTTTATCATATTTTAAAATCCACTTACAGTTTCGTCCAGCCTTTCATAATAGTCCGGATGGAAGTCGTCCACAACTCCATTACAAAGCAACACCTTTACATTTGACTGAGTGATTGTTTCGAAGAGATCCAGCGTTTTCTGAGCTCCCTCACTCACAACCTTGGCCCTTCTTTCGTCCTTTTCATCTCCAGGGAGAGCTGTTTTATTTCTCAGTCCCCTTAATTCACTCAGAACCGGTGTGGGGATCAGTATTGTGAGAGCCATGTCCTTCATCAACTCCACCACATGAGGTAACGCGTCAATAAAGACGTTGGTGTCTATAACCAGATACTGAGGTTTGATGACGATCACAATGTTTTTGACTATCCCTTCGCCCTCTTCAGCATCTTCTAGACCTCGAGCCAGTTCCACAAGTTCAGCCAGTTCTTTTGCCTGCTCAGTTGGGACTTCAGTTCTTCTTCGATTCACACATTCAATGATCTCGTTCAGAGGCACTGGCAACATGGACGGTAAATCAATATATTCAGATTCTGGAACGAGGACACGAGTAGCATCGGACACTCCTCGGAATCGACCATTTTTGTAGGTAAAATAATCATTCAATCCAGCCAACTTTTTCAGCGAGTCGTGGAGACAAAACAAACGAACATCAACTTGAATCTGAAATCAAAGATTCATCAACTGACTTATTTAAAGATGACTGCAATTACAGCTTGAATATGGTAGTCGAAGGAGGAGCCAGTTGGCCCGAATAACACCTTTTCTTCTCCTTTCCCAAGTCAAATAACATAATAAGACACTTACGTCCATTGAGGGAGTCGTCCGTTCGTCCATTTCTAGGTAGAATCGGGGGATATTCGAGGCAAAGATGGGGGAGGAACCATACGAATTCAGAAGCTCAGGGATCAGTGCTATCAACGCGTTGTCCTTTTCTAAAAAAATCACACTATTTACTACACCCACCATATCAACCTGCCTTCCACTTTAATATACAAAAGCTCGTTTTCTATCTCCCCAATAGTATTCCCGAGTGTTTCCATTTCTGGCCATAGATCCGCCAACAAATTTGTGTCTAATGACCATTTCCTTTTCCATTCCGCGACTTCAGAGAACTGAGAAAACCGAGACATCCAGTAAGTTAATATTAGAGTTGGAATAAGGAACTTGATTGCTTCTGTCTCTATATTCCCATTTAGTATGCTCTGTTTCAGGTCTGTTGCCTTTAGTATAATATTTAGTTGCTTGACAATCACGGCACAATATTCGACTATTAATCTGACGGCTGTTCGAAGTCTAATCCTCGTTTCATCTGTTGCGATATTACCCGCACAGACAGTGGCCACAGAAATGAGGAATCGGGAGAGATGTACGAGATGAGATAAGTCGACCATTTTCGTAGCAATCCCACAAGTCAGACCTCCCATAGCAATGATCACATTCTCCTCGAAGGAATCGAGGTCCAGACCGTTCAGGATCTTGTATCCCATAAAAGTAAGCAGACGAATGCCACTCCAATAAAACTGAAACCACAGGTTCATTAACTGTCATATGATGGCTTACAAAGTATTTGAACTCCAATTCCTGTCCCTTGAAGGTATATTTGTGAAGATTGTTGGCCAATCTTTTGGCCGTATCCGGGTCAAATAGGGGATCATTTACTCCATCTGGAAGAAGCCATCTTTGTTTAGCACTACTTTTTATAGGGCTCCTTTTCCTACAATTGGCATTGAAAACATCATCGTACGAAGCCGCAAAAATGGGGTAGAACAATGAATACTAAAACGCAAAATAATAAAAATATAGACAAAACAAATTATTAAATAAAAAATCTTACCAGTCTGCTTAGATTGCGCAATTCCAGAGACATACTTCTGTTGTTGGTATCATCTCTCATGTAAGTGTACAAGGCAAGCAGATTATTCTCGATATGATTGGTCTAGAATAAATCATATCACAAATCTACTGAGACTTACATCCAAAGAGTTCTTGATGGCAAGGAAAGGCGAACTCTTATCCGGTCTAATCATTGAGGCTTTGACGAAAAAGTTAATATAAATAGTGAAAAAATCAGAAGGAAAGGCGCTCTCGACGGGAGGACGGACCTTCACACGGAATGTTTTGGCCAACGATAAGTGAATGTAGCCATGCGCCATAAAGTCCGAGTAGAGGAAGGAACTTATCAGCTGAAAAGAGAACAGATTGTTTTTATGTAACATTCTGCAATCATCTACTTCTGCAGTCATCTTCAAACATATTCTTACGTCAAACGACTGTTTCCCATTAGACTTTTTTTCAGGTTCATCCAGAACAATCAATCCGATTCGATCTGAGGACAAGTCCCGGGGCAACAAGAAGTCCCAATCTCGGTCTTCCACAATTAGCCTCAATTTGGAAATGAAATCATCATGTAATTTCAGCGACTCCAAGGCAAAGATTTTGAAACGTGTCTGAAGTAGTTCCGTGTGATGATCTCCGTCGCTTCCCGGAGACAAAGCTTTCTCTTTCTGGTGCTAAAAACATATGCTATCCTGGAGTTTGCTTACTTTTAGGAACAGTTTCTCAAAAGCCGACGCAAACTTGCTAAGGATATTGAACTTGAAACCGCTCACATCCTCCCTACTGTTCACAAGTTCGATCACGCAGGTATATATGAGTGAGAGAGCCCTCAGACTAAAACAACATAAAAATAGTTTTGTATAGATGTATAAAAACCTACCATTTATTAGTGGCTTCTTTGAAGTCAGCTCGATCAGAGTTCTTTCCTGCCCTCTCCAGCAATCTCAGACATTCCTCGGTCTCCGATTCTAATGAAATTTGTGGAGTTTTTATCTTCAGTTTACTGACCTCACTGAAAACAATAAATCATATATTTTGTAATCAGTTATATTACCTAACCACAACATCTTCGGTTGATCTCCCCGGTCTCTGCAGCAAAGTTATCTTGTTCTTTTCTTTGTTCCGCAAGGGATTCTTCAAAACTCTGATTGTCTTTTCTCCAGTGTCCTCACTGAAATGTAATGGTTCGAAAAACAACGACACTTACTTGAACTTCACAACAGTCACGTTTTGTTTCCTCAAATCTCTACATTTATCGCTCAGTTGTACATGATCCGGGTAGATGCTTTTTGCGGACAGTTGTGATCTTTTACTAACAACAAGAGAGTTCCGGAAATCAAATAAAAGAGCTTTGGAAGTATCATCTGTCGAATAAAACACCTTTTCTAATCGCCAACGGAGACTCTCATTCCACAGCGACGTTTCAGTTGGTTCGAAAAACAAATTCAGAGCAAATTCAGGTTGCTAAAAAAGATGACATAACTCATAACAACTGGTGCTTACCAATAAGTAATTGTTGTCCAAATTCCGTCGCTTTGGTCGACTTCCGTGAGATCTCGGAGAATTTTTTGGCCAACTTACGTCTTTCCGAACATCACTAAAAATTTTTATGAATGAGAAGGAGAACTTACTCTTCTTGGCACACAACGGAAATGTCCTTGATCGAATCAATATCATTTGCTATCATAGCCAGATCTTATGCGATCATTAATAGACCTCATGAGAAAGCTGAGCGACTTTCCGGCACAGTAAAACTTTTAAGCTAACACCTAAACGACATAACAACTAAAAATACAAGAGAAATCTAACGGCTCTTCAAACCGCTGAAATGCATGAACACAATAGCTTGCTGGAACGTTTATTTTACATCACACCGCACTATTTACACTTGTGATTCCTACGATATGCATGGCAAGATAACCTTCGTTAGTAAATATACACATATTTTGTTAATCTAGGTAGTTGTGGAACATCTCCAGATTGGAACAAAGCAAAGAAGCATTGAGACGAGCCTTGTTTAACAACTGATGCAGTTGAGTCAATGAATCCAATCGAGCCTCGGCATGAAGACTGGCAATGGAATAAGAGTTATTCGGAGTTGGTGTCATTTGATATGCAGTTAGGAATAGACGATCAATGGACACGTAGAAACTGAAGAGAACATCTGATGGAGGAGCGGGCTCAAAGTTATCCACACATGCTGAATGGAAGAGCTCTTGGTAAGTACGAAGTTCCGGAGCGAAAAGACTTTGCAGGCACTCGTTGAGTTGCTTGATTACATCTTTGAGAACGTTGCACAGTAATTGAGAGGTCTCTAATGTATAAACCGCTCCCTTCGTCGCTTCGTCATAACTGGCCCTTCCCTAAAAGACACAAATAAAACGTTTCTTTTGTCACTCACCTTTTGTAGGGTCCCCATCGTCCTAACCACTAATGCACTGCATGCCTGAAGCTGAGGGATCTTGAAGTGATTGACACATCTGGACTTGTACACGCCTCCATTGGCCCTAATATGTTTCATGGACACCTCTGCCAATGTAAGGGTATCCGCAATGAGTGTAACCCGACCTGAAAGGGCATCTCGATTGGCATGAGCCACCAGGTTGGCCGTTTTTGGCTCTGGCTCAGACTGCCTCAAGGGCGGAACTCGATTCAACTTCTTGACCGCGTTGAGACGACATGATATGTCAAACAAAATAGATTCGAGCTGATCGAGAACTTGGAGGGCCGAGTGACTCTGAACCCAACAAATCTCGGCCTGAATACAAGGCTCCAGGGTGCTAAAAAACATTTATTACCATAATACGACATCAGTCACAAGGCACGAAGAATCAAAAAATATCACAAATTGAGTTCTAGAATCAGAAGAGCTCTCATGAGATCTCCAATTTTTGACCAATTGAGAAAATAAGTTTTTTGGACGATCTGCGCCCGGGGTTCCTCCAGTTTCTAATTGATTTTTATACGAAGATTTTTCCGTTATGGACAGGGTTGGTCAGCGGACGGGCAGATGGAAATTTGACAAATGAGCTGACGCCGTAACGGGCCGGGCCTGCAAAAAACATTAGAATGACCGGGCCCGTCCTCTGACGTACCGAGCCGCGGCCCGGAAATTCGAAAAAAATGTCGCTGACCACCCCTGGTCATAATAAATAAATACGTCCACAATCTTTTATTATTTTTTTGGATCAAGACGTGAGAGGTCGTAGAATTCGTCGACGATGATGGTCTTTGTATACGTAGAATGTTAGCTTATTCATTTTGAGAAAATTTATATTTAGAATGTTGTGTAATTTATTAATAACGTGCCCCATAAGAGTTGCTTGAAAGGTGTGTATTTAGAAAATAAACATCAAAACTAAGCAAGACTGGGACAGCCTAATAGAAAGTTATTACTTGTACCTGTAACTAGAGACCCATTTTGTTGATTGAGACGTTATTTTCTGAAGTGGATTCAGAGTATTTGGAAGTGGTGGAGGTTTGAGAAGACTGTCTAGATAAGGGGTACGTTCTTAGAACCTGAACGGGAGGAGAAATCGTAACAATTGAAGAGGAAGGTGCATATAAATTATGGAACCCATCTTCGCGCGGTACAAAGTTGTGTGAATTTACACGAGGAATGTAGATAGGCTCACTTGGAAAGCATTTTAATACATCTCTTTTGGATCGACGGAAATTAAATATAGAGAGGAAGACGGGAAGAATAACTAGACCGTGGAGAACACCTAAAGTAATGACCAACATTATGGTTTTTAGGAATGATCGGAACACATAACTCTCTGTGGATGACATAAACGATACCCCCAGTACCGTGGACGATGCGCTTTGTAAAATTGGTGGACCGACTGCGTACAAGGCCGATCGGACCTTCTCCTTCACATCTTCTTCAGGGCTCTAAATTTGGAAGTAATCAATCATACGTACTCTAGTGATTACCTTGGCGTAATGATACGTTAGATGAGCAGCAAAGTCCACACAGAATCCAATACTCATCACAATTGTGACCATAGAAATGAAATCCAATCTGACCGAGCAATAAGTCATGAAACCGAGGATGCCCAGATTAATACTTCCGATACTTAATGTCACCCAAAGAGCCGCAATTGGTTCAGGGATCAAGAGTAATGAGACCAGTATAACCACAAGTGCAGCAATGGCAATCGATGACAATGTTCCAGGAAGAACGGCGTTATATTGTTCAGCAAACTAACTAGAGTTAATTTAAGACAGAGTAGATTACCTGAAAGAAGTCCGCATAAACTCCTGTAGGAATTTCACTGGTCTCAGCTAGTCGTCTGAAGAGATGCATGGCCTTGGATTGGTTGGCCGAGCCCACAAATCGAAGTTGGACTGGGATTCTGGTGGCTTCAAGATAACCTTTATCAGCTGTGAATCTGACATCCCTGAAACTAGGGTTAATTTATCATTATTAGTACGTACCTTTTGTATTTGTAAAACTGGGGGAGCTTCAGGAAATTGTTTTTGAGATTATAGATAAACGAGGTCGAATTTAGATCTAGTCCGTTTTTGTCCATAAATTCGAGGAAGGATCGTAACCTAAAGTGTTATATTATAATACCGTAGTAGTGGCTATAATAACACTAGTCCTTCCTGTTTTCTCACAGTGCGTGTCGCCGATTTCAGGCCGGCGACTTTCCGGAAGGACCAGTACCGCTATTATAGTTTTAAAATCGCTTACCAACAGTCGCTAGCTCCAGAGTACTCAGTAAACTCGTACAATTGGATCTCATCGTATATCATACTCCAGAGCTTTTTATGACCAGTGTTTAGGTGAGACAGATTATACATCCAAACATGAAGATAACTTCCGTATTCTAAAGGGGAGTTTACATAATTTTTTATTGCTTGCCTGAAAAATATTTCTCGACATCTTTCAGCGTCTTTTTTCCATAAGAATTATCAGGAAGAAGGTCATATGGTTCCAATCCCATCTTCAGATGAAGACATCCATAAGTTGCTGTCATCTAAGATAGGGTTAATTCATTGCGAGGTAAACTTGCCAAATAGAGAATAAATCCGAAAACGATGACCGTTCTGACGTAAGGATTCATAACGAAATCAGTGTATTTTGTACGGAAAAAGATGGCCAAACAAGTGTTAGTCTCTTTTTTGAGGATCTCCTTATTGGACGGAAAATATTTTAGAGGTGGCATATTAGGAGGAAGAGGTTTGGTGGTGATTGGGACAGTCGGTTGGAACGTCAGACAGTTCCTTCGCTCGCATTCTCTTTTACAGGTATAAACCATGGTGGCAGCGAAGAATGTGAGCTGATAAAAGTAGGTGAAGACAACAGCTACTACCGCATACAAGCAGAACATCTGAACCGATGGGAATGGGGTAAAGCAACCGACAATAAAAGAGATAAAATCCGTCAGAGAGGTTACTGTAATGGAGACAGCCGCATCACCAAAAGCTTCGGATAATCGGTCTTCGAATCGAAGCTTCTCATCTGTAGCTCTCCATGAAGATAAAATTATAAAGACATTGTCCACACCAACAGCTAAAAGTAGATGAGTTTGAAAATAAATACAATCAATACGAAATTCGAGAAGCGGAAACTTACAAAAAACAATGAACGGCATTGAATAGGCGATACTGGTAATCTTAAATCTCAATAACAACAACAGTCCAACCGCACTTATGATGGCCATAGCTGCGTTGAGAACTCCTCCGATGGCCAACCAAGGTCGAGATCTGATCCAACTCTTGACACAACAACACATTACAGTGTACAATGAGACCACCAGAAAACAAGGGATCAGCATGTGGATCAATTGCTCTCGATCTCTGGCTGATTCTTCGGCCAGGGTTTCGTATGTCCACCATGAAGTCTTAATTAAAGGAGACTGGTAAGTTAACAGATAATTAGCTAATTTGAGCTCCCATTTCTCAGCAATCGTATCCTCTTCTTTTGTAGCATGCCTTAGGGCATAAGGCAGAAGAATGGCTTTGGCTCCAGAGATTCGTCCTTGTTTATCCAGACTGATTCCCCCAAGTAATTGGGAGATCTCGGCCGTATTCATGGCCATGGTTTCCCCGATTTGAGTCAACAGATTCTCATCCAACGCTGACGTTAAGAGTTTTTGGCCGGGCTTCAACATAAACTTGAAAATCTCAATCATCGGATTACTGACACAAATCTGATCCGCACTGAAGGATGTATAATTTGTATGACATTTTATACCATACCTCTGATTTGATGACAAAAATAAACTCAAGGTTTGCCCGAATTCCGCAGGCATTGGGAATTTGACACACATTGATGAATAACTAAACTTTTTCTTGTCGGATTCCACAGTCATGCTCTGAATTATGGTCCACAAATGCATCGCTTCACTTAATACTGATGGATTTAGGATATCCTCATCTTCCTCGTTGCCGGTGATGATAATATAACCAGTCCGTTTGATGTCATATCTAAACAGTTTGGTGATTTAATGTCCTCTTACCTCCTACTCGCATAAAATGGGTCAGTGTCATTGATGTGGAACAGTCTGTCCAGTTGTTTGAATTCGCTTCTTGACATGGCCCCCGTCGGGGTATACAGATCCAATTCATCTTTGACGAACGCCTGAGTGTGACGATTCAACCCAACACCCAAGAATAAGGTCAGACAGAAGGGGATGACCAGGAAAGGAAGAGGATTCCTGTTCACGACCAGGATGTATCTGGAGAACAGCCGGGAGAAGCGTCGTTCCACACAATCAAATCTCATCCTCAGGTCTTCATTGCAGTTCGAAGAGCAATGTTTTTTCGAACGAAACGAATCTCAAAAAACGAAATAACGTCAGTGGAATTAGGGCTTAAATCGCCGACGATCAGGGATTACTGGACAATCAAAGAAAGGGAGAGTAATCAACGGGAAGCGTGGGACAAGGTCACGAATTGGGACGTCACTCAAAAGACCTGCAAGTTCAGTTCCAAGAGGTTCTCGAGCGACGATTCCCTTGTTTGGAGAACATCTCTTCAAACCCCTTCATCCCTTTGTATCCCCTCAGGGGTCATTCCGAATTCTCTTCGGATCGTTTTCCCCGATTGTCGCCTCCAACCTGCTCTCCAGAGCAGATGCCATGCCCAATTTACCTTTCCCTCTTTTGTCAAAAAACCAGATTTATACAGGTATATTTTATATTACAATGACAAGTGATGGGAACAAATGAAATGATGGTCTGGCATTTTAATTACGTTAGAAATAAATACTGTAGCAAGAATAGGAAGACTTAATCTTCAGTTGGTCTTAGTTTAAGTGTTTTTTCGGCAAGGAATTTCTTGGCGACGGATGACAAAAGTTGTTTGGAGGCTGAAAGGGATGAGTGAGGTGCGGGATAAACTCACCTTCTCCCATATTCTTCAATTTCTGTATCGATCTCTCATCTCCATTGACATAATCAACAATTACTGTGTGAGGATACAGATCCTCGGGCTTGGTCGCACTCTGTTTTTTGTTTATTTTGGGAATAAATTTCTTCAGAAGTCTCGAGCGCGGAGTCTCACACGGGTCTAGAATGGCCCCTTATAAAACTGTCATCGTATTGCGTAACACCTTTTCGGGCACAAATACCCGGATATTTAACTCTTTCCAAACGAGTCGGGAGGACCTGAAGTGTACCATGCTGATTAACATTATGACGGTAATTCCGCGCAATTCAGCTCCGGCAGACGACAGCAAAAATTTTCATAAAAAACGCCCTACTTGAAACAGTGTAGATAATGAGATTTACACTGCACCTTTCTTGACAGAAGCTATTTCTGGTGAACTTTCAAACTTTACTCTGCAAAGTTTTAGTCATCTTTTTTCTTCAAATCAGGCGTGTAGGTCTCATAGAAATAGAAAGCGGCACTGAATGTGGTTTATGTGATCCTTTGTATCATGTTTGTTGTTTTTAACGCATTTTTAATTAATGCATTCCTCTCGTTTTTCTATAAAACCAGAAAGATATGAATTTTGAGCCTTTTTATCGTATAACACATTGTTCTAACGAGTGGAGGCAACTTGACCTAAAGTGTGGAAGCTTCATAGAACACCTGAATTTTACGTTCCGAGCGTTTTCAACTAGTAATCAACTTTTGGTCAGGTCAGATTTACAATTAGACAACGGAGGACATCTTATACGATAAAAAACATTAAAATCCGAAAATTTCCAATTTTTGAAAAGAGTGAGATATGTATATGTATCAATACTTCTACAAGACCCTTAGACCTGATTTTAGGCCAAAAAGATGACTAAAGATTACAAAGTGTCTAAATATTCACAGTAACTAGACTTTTTGTCGCCGAAAGGTGAGCTTGGACTGAAAAAATAGGTGGAGTGTCACACTATTTTTCCATTGTACTGCCCGATCAAATTTGCAACGACAAAAGAGTAAATGACATTAGTGAAGTTCGGGCACTTTTATGAATTTTTTCCATATCCGCCGGCCAGAGCCGAGTTGAGCGAACTCCATGTCAAAAGTAAGTCAGCAATGTATATACACTGTACACCTGTTCGTTTCAGTCCGCACCTTCCGACTCGTGCGGAAGGGGTCAATATTACTCACCAACCAAGGGTCCATTCGGAATGTAATTTTTTTGATAATCTTCTTCATTATATGAAACTCGGGAACTGGAAGGTCTCGAGTAATCATAATTACGCTCGTATTCTTCGTTCTCGTATCGATTGTATGAGCCGTGTCTTCGTGCCCGACGGCCTGAAACAATATTGTAAAAATAATCGAATTAGGCATACGGTGGTGGGTGGCTTGTTGGAAGGCCGATTGCGTCTTGAGATAGCTCAGAAACTCTTGGTTCTGCAACATGGCTGCATAGGCAAAGTCGTTGTCCGTGCTGAAATTGAATGTAGAATGACCAACCCTGTTCTCATCACAACTCTCGAATTGCCTACTTTTCTTTCGAATGCCCCTGTTTCTCGGTTTCTTCCGAGATCTTTAGCAATTCGTCCACTGTATCTGCCACATCTCCATTGTGTTTCCTCAAGATCTGTTCGATCAGCCGCTTTTCCAATCGTGGAAACATCCTCGCAAAGTTACCCATGGCCTAATGAAACATGTGATTTCATTTACCACTTACCGTATTGAAGTTAACCGGCTTCAAGTCGTCAAAATCCATGCCGTATGATACGAAAAAGCTCAAATTTGACTTTGTAATCTCCTTCCTCAATACTGCCCGCGGGAAAAACGAAAAAATAGTCGGTGGCCTCTCTGCGAATGGGCTGCAGCCGGAGGAGCTTTCGCTCTACAGCTTACCCCCTCGGGCTCTTTCAGTTACATTCCTTCAAACACTCTCAATGCCTCTTTTTTATAAATTTATTTTTTAAAGCCAGAGGTTCTTTCTTTTCAGAGATAAAAAAGTCCGGAAACATGTCATCGTGACATTCCAAAGTCATAAAAAAGGTTTTGGCACAAGAATTTGGGCCTAGAACAGGTCTTTTTAAAGGATTTTCAAGAACGATGGCATATGTCCGGCCTAAACAATTACCCAAAGTACTAAGAAAAGAGTAACTATCTTTTGGAGAAAACAGAGAAATCACATGAAACAAGATCAATATATTGAGGAGAGTTTTGTACAAACAAAAATCGGGGAATTGAGCCTGGAGAAAAACTCTTGGAAAGGGAAATGTTATGTCCGAAAACATCGATCAGCTGCGAAGAGCGGGGACCCCAATAAATCAGAAATACACAATGAAAACAAATTGGTGAGTCATCTTGCAGTAGATTATGTTTTCGGAACATTACCAAAAACGAGAATTAAACGAGTGGCAGTATAAGACTGAAAATACGGAAAGCACAGTTAAATTATTCCTGTTACAACTACTCTATACGAAATTAACGGCTACAACAATAAGCTCTATGTACTAATGATCAAAAATGAACCGGAATTTGGCTACTCCAAGCAGAAGAGGATGGTGGTAGAACATCGTTAACTGCCAGCTCATCTGATCAAGAAGGTCGCCATCACCAGAATCAAGGTCGATGTGATATATGTCGAGGACCCTGAAGCCAGTTGGTCGCTGTTTGCATTCATCTGATCAACCACTTCACCCTGGACAGGAGACGGAGTTGTCAATTGTCGGAGACAAGTGAATTCACAGTTATGTAATTTGTCGGCATGAAGGCCCTGAAAGTTGATATTGGTTAATTTTACAGTACTTTTCGGGTCTTGAAGTTTTTGATAATGTATTCGTTACAACTCAAGTACGACGCTTAATGTATTACATTGCTTTCCTTAATGAATAAATCATTACCTTGAACATATTAACCAAGCTCTTGCACATAATCTGCGAGGCTTCTTCCTGACATAATCCGCTCATCGCATCCATATATTCCTGCAGTTTGTTGTTGACTTCGGTGCAAACTTGATCGTCAGGATGCTCCAAGAACTTCTCGCTAAGATACGTTCCGGCTGACAAAGTCATTTCTCCAATCTTTTCTGCTGACAAACAACTCCTGTGTTCGTTCAGAAGTTCTTGGCCTTCGGGGGAGCACGCATAAGTGAGGAGATAATAACTTTTGAGGAAGCTGCCCGAGTTCTTGCGATGGGTCAACAGATCGCTGACGGTGTTAGAAGCGGCCACAATCTCGTTGTGATTGCATTCATGAGGGATGGGGCCGTCGTCCTGCAAATTTTCAAATTCAATTTGTCCTCAAAACATGCCAATGGTCCCCGCTTATTTCCGAGTGACCACTCTGTTGGCCCTCGGCCAATCTAATCGGGAATTGTGTTTGGAAGAAGAGTTGGACTTAATGATTCGAACGGATCGTTAATTGAGCCCTATTCGAGCGCCGTTTAAGGCCGCTTTGTAGTCGGTTTGTTTAAAGCCCCGAATTTGCATATCCGAAAGAGATCCGGCTTTGCGGCAAAGCCATTTCCGGTCGAACGGGACCCTCTTCCCTTCTCCTTATTAATTAATTCATTTAGAAACCAAATCCATCATACGGTCAAAACTGGGGTTGACATCCCCGCGATGAGTAATCCCTTATCTAAAAGAAACAGACCTGAATGCATCTGTCCAGCTCCTTCAAATGTTTGCATTGATCCTCGTTGATTGTGACCACGTTTTCTTTCAATTCGTAGAGAGTCCAAGTCCAATCATCCAAAATATTTATGAAGCATTTGACCAGAGTGACGTAGTTACAGTTCTGGAAAAGTTTTTTGAAATAAATCAAACGCAAAATTAAAAAATGTTCGGAAACAAATAAGAGTTACCCTGGGGACAAATTTGTCAACCCTCCTTTGGGGAATATATATGTGTTTTGAAAGCCGTTCGAAATGCCTAACAAAGTTTGGAAGACGCAAAAAAAACAGAAACAAACCTGCGAACGGACTCCATGAAGGAAAAGTAACGATATCCAAAAAAGTGGCAACTTCATCCCAGCCGCGATGATAAGGCAGTGGAGTGGCGAAGGCTTGGCCTTTCCTGCAATGCTGTAGTTTGTGTTTGTCTTAAAAATAGGAGAATAAGGCTATGCGGACTGGACCGCGCGGCACTCCGCGAAACACTTGAAAAATGCGCGCTAACAGCGAAGTAGGAGGAGGACGAACCGGCTTCTGCCCTCCGGGTCGCACTCCATAACAAACACCTTGCCAACAAAATCTTTCCACGGCCGACCCGAAGAAACCCTGCGGCGGCCCAAAAAATCTGGATACGTGAAAGCCGCGGAACGTACGAAAAGAGTCAAGACGCAAGCCTCGATCGATGCTCACACAGTACTAATGCTAAAGTCAAACTTGAGGAATCCAACCCCGCCCTTGGAATCGCGGCGAAAGAGCAAAACGGAACACAAAAAAAGACTTGGACAGGACCGACCCCCGGTCTTTTGCCAGTCCCCTTCGTTTAGGACTGACGTGCCGACAGAGTACGAAAGAAGTGAGGGCTTTTCTTAGTCGATTAGTCCTCGAGATTTATCCTCAGGTGGCTCGGTCTGGACGGCCACAAATCAAAAAGATAAATTAATGAGAGCGTGCCGGCTTTATAATTGGATGAGAAGACGCGGCCGCCGGATTCTGGAGTGTCATCAGGCTTCGGCAAATCGGATTCCAAAAAAGAGCTCGGAGCGGATGTGGGGCTGGCTGCCGCTTCACGGCTCCCCAGAAAAAACGCCGCGACCAAACTTGATTACAAACATTATTTGGCCACGATTTGGCCCAAAACGGAAGAGATTTGCACCCAGTTTGGGCTGATAATTCCGCGCTTAAAAAAGCCTGGGAACCGGGTCGGGAGTCGGATGCCATTACCAAATCCAAGGACGAATTCCGGGACGGTTTTACGCAAAGAATAATCCGACTGTAAATGGTAGGTCGCGTCGCCTTCTCTGTATTACCGCTCAATCATCGGCTAAACCCATCCACGAGAAACATAGCCATATAGAATTTCGCCCCGAGTGCCGAAAAACCCGTCATTTCTTTCTTCCGTGTGGCAAAATGGAATTCCAAGCTGTATTTTGAAAGAGTTATTATGCTGACAAACGGACTCGGAAACTATCGATAAAAGTCGGCCTAAATAAATTATTCACGATACTGATGTGGATATTGTGTAGTAAGGAGATAAGCGAGCCATCAGGGAAAGTAAAGCAAGAAACATTTGAGGAGAGGGGTTGTTTTCAAGATTACACTTAAACATGAAGCCGATAATTTGGTATTAGGCCGTTGGAGCACAAGTCAAAACAATCCGGGATCGGCGCTGAACACTCTTCCAGCCCGAAAACAAGACCGAGCGAGATTAGGGAGTATGCCGGCTGAATAAACAGACTTGCGCGTGTCCGTCCTCGGGCCACAAAGTCGGTCCAAAAAATCACCAAAAATGGGAAATAGAGGCGGATTGGGTGCGTCAACAAACGTTTCATCTCGCCAAAATATACCGTCAAAATTCATCCAATTTAAGACATCTGTTACGCTTTTCACGGCGCCTTCGTACCTTCTATTCTATTGGGTGAGAATATACGGCCAAAGAGAAACAAACTGGGACAAAACATTGAGTGCGCATGCCGTAAACTGATCGCCTTTGGCCACTTCCTTCGGCCGCACCCCGGCCTCTTCCTCTACTTCTTTTACACTACTATTACGCTTAACCCGCCCTCTTTTGCGTCCTTTTTTGGACAGGATTTCCAGCGGAAATTCTGCGTTGAAGTGATGAAAAAAGAGAATAAAAAAGCTCTTCAGAAGTCGAGAACAACAAGAAAACGAAGCCAATCGAAGCCGATTAAGGAGCCTTGGCCACACGTTAATTAGAGACAGAGCCGGAGGGGCCTCTTCTTCTTCAAAGCTCTTCAAACAAAACTCTCGCGCACCCGGAGATCAAAACCATCTCATTCACTTGGCAATGAGACGAATGTACTCGGTCCTGAACGTCGGTATTACCCTTCACTTTCCTTCCTGCCCCTCCCCGCTTGTCCAGGCGCCCCATCCGGACAATAAAAATGCAGATTACGGCAAACAATGGAACGTTCTTACTGTTCCCCCGACATTGGCAGATGGGAAAATAAAGAGCGAGAACGTAAAAAAAGATTGGTGGGTGCGTTAAAGGCAATAACCCGGATTAATTCGAGGGCGCCGGATATGTCCTATAAGGCAGGGCTCATTTCCAATATTATACTTATAAAATGGGACATTAACGAGACTACTTACACAGCCTAATTAAAAAGGATGAATGCAAGAAAAGAGGCCTCTATGATCCAACCAAGCGCAACCTTGCAGAATCATACTGTTATCTGTTTCAATGGGAAAAGTCAAGACTGATTAATATCGAGCCTGACCCTTGGATCACTCAACGAAATTGTCCTCGAATGAAGAAGAAATGCTGACAGGATATGACAAGTTTTAATATAAAGACATTGTTCTTTTGGCCGGACCTCCTGTCCTCCCGCTCCAAGTTCTCGAAACCCCGCAACAAAGAGGACATTGCCATTTGTTCTGACCTCTTAATGACCGGTCCTCCAAATGCCACGAAATGATTTAACAATTCCTTGGGCGAACTCATTAAATGCGCCGGAATACTTTTCGATTTTACGAGCGAGCGGCTCTCTTGAATCCACCTGTCGGTCGGCCTCGAGCAAAGAAAGTCTATCTGATGAGGTGTGAAATCTCCGAAATCTTGAGAAAATTTATTTTTATTTTGCGTGAGGGCTTCTTCGGTTTCGGCGAGGATGAATTAAATAAAGATTCGATTACAGAAGAAGAAGACGGATCGCTGGGGATTAATCATCACGATCCCGATAAAATCATGAGCGATAATCTACAGTAACCCACAACTAGGTGTCATTTAACTTTTCCAAAATGCAAAAAAAATTTAACTCTGCTTCAAGCATGACGAAAATGCCAGTTAAAGGTAAAAAAATAATCCCTCACCCACCGTGAAAACGTATCCATATGCACATAAAAGTAACTTTAGCCGGGCTATTATAAGAGTTGACGAGCCGGAAAACGGATCGAAAGGGTTTTAAGGGCCGAGAAGTCACAAAGTTTGTGTCATCATGGCAGGCGTCAATTCCGCCACTCTCTTGCGGTCGGATCCCAAAATTGTGAGCCAGAGGGAGACCGAGAAGAACAGATTGACATCTCCAGCAGCGATTTGAGCGACGGTCGCCGAGCTTGGGGCTTCCGAATCTCGTCAAGGACTTCCTCAAAAACTGGTCTTAATCCGGCACTCCAGTTTAATTAAACTTATCCTCTCCCGGGCTTCCTACTAATTATGGGAGACGTCTGTCGCGCACCTTCTTTGGCCCATCTTCTTAAGGCCGGGTAGCCCCGCTCGACCTTTACCCTCAATTATGACGGTCGAGTGGCCACGGAAAAGAAAACAGGCCAAGTCGGGCTTCTTTTTATTGTACAGAGCATAATAATATTCATGACACATCACATTAATTTTTAAGATTACAAATCGCCACCTTTTCATTGAATTGTCAGGTCTGCTGGGACACAGCTGTTTGAAAGTTTATGAGATCAACGGGAATGGAGCAGAAGAGAGACCGATCAAATGCTGCGGATATGTTCTTTCCTCCTTCTTCTACTATTCCCACTAGAGTACACTTCCTTCCCTTTAACTAGTCTGAATTTCTTCGATGTTGAATTGGACAATAATTCCAAAACTGGATATCGACTGAGGAATGAGGCGGAAACGGGACGAGCAATCACCTTGTTCTGTCGGAACAGGTGTCTCAAAATCCGTTCTCAAGTAAATTATTCAGATTGCGCAATCTCAAAAACATTCCAAAATCTAATAACTGGAGGATCTTTCAGATATCCAACATAGTCCGAAGTCATAACGAAAACAACGTGAACAGTTCGGATGACCGTCTGTACTTTCAATTCTTTCCTTATAAGAAACCGATCGACTTAATTGAAGTAGATGAGGTCATGAAGAAAAAACAAATCGGACTCTTCTACCACGTTGGGGGAAAAACATTTATTTACGAAGGTGATTACTCCAACAAAGTATGTTTTGAATATTGTAATTCGACTTTTTGTTTAGATTTCCGTCTTGAAATGGTTCAAATTCTTTGAAAATCCGAAAGTCTATCGACCTGAAGATCATGTGGAATTGGAGGCATTACTAAACATGGCCGACAGTTGTAATGAACCCGATAAAAAATTAATAATCTTGGTGCAAGATGAGCAAAGATGCCCGGATTTCCATTCGGTCACTAATCTTGCCCGAGGACTGAAGAATAACCCTAATATAATAGTCGCCGAAATGAAGAGACCATTAACATCAGAGATGGAGGCCGTTCTCAAATGGAGGATGCCTTCACTTTCAGATGCATGCAAGATGACCATCTATTTGAATAGTCAAACCTACTACGAAACAGATTCCAATGCCCACCCAAGTCAAGTAAGTCCCTCTAATACTACAGTATCCTTTTTATTTTAAACACGGTTTTGTAAGGTTGGAGAGCAGTGTCGACGTAAATTTCAAACTCGTTCAAATCAGAAAAAAAATTCTCAGCATCCAAAAAAACAATTTTTTGTAAAAATATTTTTTGTACAGTACACCCGGTTACGGTAACCTTTCCGATTTTTTTAAATAAAATTACTTATTGGGTGCTAGGCACAAATATTTGAAAATTTTTGATTTGAACTAGTTTAAAATTCACTCGACACCACAGTGTGGACTTGCTCGAGTCTTAGAAAAAATATGTTTTTAGATACATTCCTCGGTTGTCGAATGGAAGGCGGATTGCAATCAGACAATCGAAAACAATCGAATAAGATCTAAACTCACGGAGATTCAATTGGAATATCTGAGTGAGGAACGATCGGTCCAGAAGATACAGGACAATCAAGTTTATGTTGTTGTAGGCGCTATAGGTGGCATAGCAGTGATTGCATTGGCTATTAGTATTTTCTGGGGATTACAGTCTGCATAATTCTCTTTATATAGAAATATTTATCGTAATTTACTTAAATAAATATATTTACATATATAATAATAATTTACTTTTTCACAGCTAGTTGATTGATCTTATCAGCCAGACTGGTAAGATTATCCGACGGTTGTAGGCGTAGATCTTCCAACGCCTCAAGCAGAAAGACTAAAAACACGCGTCATAAATTTTGAATTTCCTGTTAGAACAACGAAAACAAAATAACATACCGACATCCGCATTGAACTGTCGTAGTAAAGGTAGGGACAACTTGACAGGATCTCCAACATTATTGCAGAAACTTTCCATCAATAAGATCACAATTGCCTTCAGAACCCACAGATCACATTCGTCCTCTAAACAGATATGAACTAATAAATCTTAGACTAACCATTATATTCATCCCCCGAGGCTACTTCCACAGCAGTCTTAAAGTTCCTGTCATTATTGTAAGCCGCGATATTATTTACTTGACTTAGGAGACCGTGCCCTACTGTAGTTATGTAATTGTGAGGTGTAATTGAGAAGGTAGGAAGAGAGACTTTTGAATCGGCAGTGCCCATCTCCGTCTTCTAAAAATCGTATATTCACAGGATTTATGATATAAAAAATCGCACCAAACAGAGCCTACCAGTTTGTTCATTTCATCCGTCATCGGGTAGATCAAGAACTTGCTGAGATCGCCGACCTTGCTCTGAACAACCTTTCTCGAGTACTTCTCCATTAATTGTCGATTTCTAATGACGTATGGTTCTTTTGGATCTACAACAACACTGCCCGACATTTTCTGATTACTTACCGTTAGCATCCTTATTCGAATTATACACATCATGAATAAAAGAGTTCATGTCATCAATCATGTTCAAAATATACCCCACAGTGCACATGCATATCAGTTTGTCATTCACTTCATCCAACGTAAAATTAACGTTACTTTTTGGAATTTTCAGACCTAGTATATCAGACTTTTTGAATATCGAGTATATCTGGTCAATCGCATTCTCAAAAGTGGGGACAATAAATTTGGAGAACTTGGATCCGAAGATGTCCGCGGCTTCCGTAATTAGATCCCTCATTAAAGAATGGATTCCTTCAAGAAGAGGGAGAATCCATTGGTGACTCTTGTGGGCCTTCTGATTAAAGGTCTAATACAAAATTAGTTATTTTAATCCATTTTACCTGCAAAATTTCATTGACTTTCACCATCAATTGAGACTTCACGTGTTTAGAAAGGTCATCGCTGATAATCTCATATAAATCATCGCAGAAGGTGTTAATCACACTGAAAACGGCGTCATCGCCTTCAGCTTTTACATAGCCGCCGAAATCTTTTCTCAACTAAAACAAAAATAAACTCAATCATCAAAACATACCGTGGAAAGCTGTCTGGCTGTCGAAAATGTATCTTCTGATTCCATTACCATTCTGTTGATAATCCCTTTAATTATATTGTCTTTTGATGTGATACCCTCATAAAAACTTAGTGCTACAAACCGAGATCCATCTTCGCCAAATAGATGTGACGCCGTTCTAAAGGCGAAAATCAGGCAAGCGATTATATATATACCTGCTGGCCTTCTTCCATAAATTAAACGACTCGTCAAGCAACTTTATCAATGTCAAATCTTCTTTGTTCTCCTCGATAAATGTACAAATTGTATTTGTAATAAACGCACCAAATGTCTTTTTATAATCTAAACCAGTAATTACGGATGAGAAACGGATTACCTTCAGTCCGATCTAATGCATCAAACTTTTCCTTTAGATTCTGAAGCAATTTGATGTCATTTGAGTCGATCGCAAATAGAATTGCCGATGAGAACCAACTCAAAAAAAGGTCTTTTCGAGTCTCCAATAAGTGATCTCGCTCTTCCGAAGGAACGTACTGCAAAAAATCGTTTTTTCGCCGAGTCATACTTACTCGTTTCAGAATCTGATTGGATTTCTGCAAATTAACAAGATATCCAAAAAGCTCGTTCTGTTCCGATTCTCCCATCATATCCACAACTCGCAGAGACGACTCCCACATGGTTTTAGCCTAAAAATAAAACGAAAGAAGAATACGGTAACATACATTAATCACTTCAATAAGCCGATCCGATCTTCCTTTGGCAGAATCAAACTCGAGGACATCAGAAGTCCCAACCAAAGACCCTTCATTCTTCTTCAACTTCTGGATATGGCTCTGAAGTCGCTTGTCCAGCTTCTGATTAGCATTCCCAAGATCTTTCAGCTTCCCCAAACTAAAATTCTGTTGATACCTAAAAATATACCCACATTTTGGGAGACGCAACTTCAGTCCGCGTTGTTCTAATACTCACTGCCAATTCTTCCAGTAATCGGTCTACTATCTTCTCAGTTTCCTGTAGGTGATCTCGAACCTCCGGCGCATTTAAAATATTTGGGTCGACCAGATTTCCTTTCTTGAGCTGATTTCTCAAAAACTAGATCAATTAAAATATCTCTTGTGACCTTTACCTGTTCGACTTTAGGCTCCATCATATAATAATATCTTACTACCACTACTTTTGCGTACCTCTGCTCATTTTCTTTCAACTTCTCGCCACGTTTTTTCACAAAATTATTTTTAATTTACAGAATGCCAAAAATGAATTCGTATCAAGAACCAAAAAATACGTTTTTCACACTAATTTTTTTTTATATATTTTTTTTTGTGTAGATGAAAAATGCTGCCAGATCTCTCTCCACATCTCCACACAGCCGAATGTAACTTCTTAATACAATTGCTGCACAACTGTTGGAATGAAAATAAGATGCGTAAGTAGGTGTAAAAAATTCTGATTTATGGTTTAGAGAAGTATCTAGGCGCTTGCAATTATTGGGATGAGGCAGTATGGCAGTGTACAAAACAGGAACGGATTTGGAGAAGGTACGATTTGTTTTGGATGTTTCAGCTTGATGTTTAGAGACAATAATCCGAAGTATACAAAGAGATTGGTTGAATTGAAGCGGTTGCCGGAAAATTATTATACGCCGGCATTAAGGAAACTCAAGGAAACTGGGGTTCTGCCGATGGACACCGAGACTGCGGGTTGTAAGATTTGAATTAGGTTATCTTATACAAAATAAAAGATCATAAAGACCGTGGTTTCTGTAATTTGGTTAATCTTCCTCTTATATCTATGTTCCTCTTTTTCTTTATTAATTTCGCAGATGTCCGATCCTACCGAAAATGGGAAGAACGTTGAGGAGAAGAATGGCGGTAATGAGGATGTCCCCACAAACTCTTCGGCCATTGTTCCAGACACTCACGCTGAGCTAATAAAGAAGATTCAAGAACTTCAGTTGGCCATGAGTGGAAATCGGGATTTCAGTGAAGCCAAGCATCATAATTATGCTTTTTGGGGAACCCAGCCTGTTCCGAAACTAGGTATCCCAGTTTATATATTGTGAATCTTAAAACGGAGGTCTGGTGTTGATGCATTTTTTCAGAAGAAAATGTGACCGAAAACACTTACATCGAAGCCCCGATCCCACTTGATAAAATCCGTAAGGAGCCTTATACACTTCCAACCGGCTTTTCATGGTGCAATGTTGATCTCCTAAACGATGATGAGTTGACTGAACTCTATAAATTACTGAGCGATAATTATGTTGAAGATGATGAGAGCCTTTTCCGGTTTGATTACAGTAAAGAGTTCTTTAAATGGTAAGCTAAAGTTATCGTTCAACTTCGGCTTTTAGGGCTTTGTTACCGCCGGGATGGAAATCTGAATGGCACTGCGGAGTCCGAGCCAGCAAGACCAACAAGCTTTTAGCTTTCATTGCAGCCGTTCCATGCAAGATCAAGGTCCGAGATGCTGAGATTGATATGGTGGAGATCAATTTCCTTTGCGTTCATAAAAATTTACGTTCCAAAAGACTCACCCCTGTTCTAGTCAAGGAAATTACAAGACGGGTCAACCTCACTGGGATTTTCCAGGCGGCTTACACCGCTGGAGTTATTCTACCCAAGCCTATCACCACTTCGAGGTACTGGCATCGGTCTTTAAATCCCAAGAAGCTGATTGAATGTCGTTTCTCTTGCCTAGGAAGGAACATGACTATGCAACGGACCATAAAATATTATAAACTCCGAAATGTAAGCGAGCTCTATAAAACTATGTATTTTAGGAACCCGTTCACAAGGTTATAAGACTAGAAAAACGACATCTCAAAGGCGCATACCAATTACTTACTAACTACCTCAGCAAGTTTTTGCTCCATCCAGTGTTTTCCAAAAAGGAATTTGATCATTATTTCCTTCCCCGCGATCAAGTAATTTATTCGTATGTAATTGAGAAGGATAACGTAGTCACTGATTTTATTTCCTTCTATTCGTTGCCATCTACTGTGGTCAATAACTCCCAACACAAGAAGATTGTGGCTGCCTATTCCTTCTACAATGTCGCCACCTCTGTGTCCTTGACCGAACTCATGGGAGACGCCCTCATCTGCGCTCACCAGGTAAAACTGACTTTATATTTAAATGGTGTTTTGTTCAGGACGGTTTTGATGTATTCAATGCCCTTGATCTGATGGACAACAAAGTTTTCCTTTCTGATTTGAAATTCGGAATTGGTGACGGCAATCTGCAGTACTACTTGTACAACTGGAAATCTCCAGAAATGTCACCAGAAGAGGTCGGACTTGTCTTACAGTGATCTTTGCTTTCAGTTGGATTAGTATTTCGTTAAACGTTTGCTAATAGCTGTTTAAATAAATTCCCTTATTTAGAGCTGTGCTATAATGTTAATTGATATTATCTGGCGTTTCTCATTCCCCGAAACTATGTACTTTGCAACATAAAACAGCGTTCGATTAGCAGTGTAATCTCTCGTTCTTTGCGGTATGATCATTTTAACCACCTTTTATCAAAAGCTTTTGCAAAAGGACGTCTCCGGGGTTACAGATTCCGAAATGATCTTTCATTTTGCCGTGGTCAGACATTCTGCTGCGAGACGGCGTATGACTGAAATTTTGTGTGTAGGTCACTAATCCGTTCCCCCAAGGGCACATGCAGGCCCAGTCTACACAGTCTGTCGCACCTCTGATTTGCTTATACACTTCCACATAAATGGCGTCCCACCACGAAAATGTGATTTCTGTATTTTCGTGGGAAAGGCCAGACTAATTTTTTGCGTCGTGCCGGGTCGAAGTCTCTCATGCATCTACGCGTCCATACTCTCTTCTTTTGTGTGATGTTTCATACGTTTTCGTTCGTTCCCCGCCCTAGAACATTCGTTTTTTCTTTCAGGAACTGAGGCCCGCTCTGTTCACTTTAGCTCCTGCCTGAGCCTCGATCGGTTGAAAGTTCGCCGGCAAATCTCATAAATAGAAATCATGGGAGATAAGGGATTTGATGCCAGAAAATTCTTCATTGATTTGGCTTCCGGTGGTACTGCCGCGGCTATCTCCAAGACCGCCGTTGCTCCGATCGAGCGAGTGAAACTGCTTCTCCAGGTAAAATTTTTTATTTCGGTGCCAAATTTAGGTTTATTCATCGGTTGAATTAGCAACTCTGCTTTCATAAATTATGTCTACGTTGTTTTCAGGTTCAAGATGCCTCTGCTTCCATCACTGCTGACAAGCGTTACAAGGGTATCATCGATGTTCTCGTCCGTGTCCCCAAGGAACAAGGTTTTGCTGCCTTGTGGCGTGGTAACCTGGCTAACGTCATCCGTTACTTCCCCACTCAGGCCTTGAACTTTGCCTTCAAGGACACTTACAAGAAGCTCTTCTTGGACGGTGTTGACAAGAAGAAGGAGTTCTTGAAGTTCTTCGCCGGTAACTTGGCCTCCGGTGGTGCTGCTGGTGCCACTTCTCTCTGCTTTGTCTACCCTCTTGACTTCGCCCGTACCCGTTTGGCTGCCGATATCGGAAAGGCTGACTCCCGTGAATTCAAGGGTCTCGGAGATTGTTTGGTGAAGATCGCCAAGTCTGATGGACCTATTGGACTTTACCGGTAGGCTTTATTTTCCCTAAATGTTTTTTTTCCGCGTTTCAAACGGCATAATTCAATATTTGTAGTGGTTTCTTTGTTTCCGTCCAAGGAATCATCATCTACCGTGCTGCTTACTTCGGAATGTTCGATACCGCTAAGTCCGCCTTCAGCGCAGATGGAAAGAAATTGAACTTCTTCGCCGCCTGGGGTATTGCGCAAGTTGTCACTATCACTTCTGGAGTTCTGTCATACCCATGGGATACCGTCCGTAGACGTATGATGATGCAGTCTGGCCGTAAAGACATCCTCTACAAGAACACCTGGGATTGCGCCGTCAAGATCGTCAAAAACGAGGGTCTGGGAGCCATGTTCAAGGGAGCCCTCTCCAACGTTTTCCGTGGAACTGGTGGTGCCTTGGTATTGGCCATCTACGACGAAATCCAAAAATTCATCTAGATCCCTCTCCCATATTCACCCATGTTTACAATGTTTCATTTGCTGACATTATTATCATAATCATGTTGGCGATTAGGCAGTTCGGACCTTATAAGATTGTTGATCTAATATTCCCGATTCTAAGGTCTCTCTTCCTTAGTTTCATATTTTTAGTGAGTAAACTGTGGAATACTACATGACTTCGGTTTCCTTTGTTTTTTTCTCATAAACCGAGACGAAGCACAAACATAAAATGGAAGCGCCTGTTCACGGGAAAACGAGAAGACCGAGGAGAGGGGCCTGTCCTTGATCCAATTCGTTCTTTTGACTCTCAGAACGTCATAAGGTTTAGGTGCTCTCGGCAGGGCAGTTGTCATCGGGTCTGAGAATGCGATAAGTAAGAAAACATCCAGATGACCTATATGAGCCAAGTCTTTCGCCCTGTGTGGTCAACTCTTCCTCCTGTTGATATGCCGGCAGGGGTGGTCAGCGGACCCTATTTTTCCGATTTTCGGCCCGCGGCCCGGCCCGTCTAGTCTTTTTCCAGGCCCGGCCCGTGACGGGCCTGGCCCGGCCCGGCCCGTGCAGGCCCGTTTATAGAGGGTTCTGCGAACTGCGCCCAAGCTTGGGATCTAAACTTACAAGGGAAGTACCCCAAGTGCGACGCTCAGATTTTCTTTAAATTTTGCACACACGTCGCACATCAACCACAAAAAAAAAAGTTTCAAATCGGGAAAACTGTTTGCATAACTTTGTTAGGGTGCCCAAGGGTAGCTCAAATTAAAAATTGGAAACGAGTCGGACTGACCAAAAAATAGTAGTAGTAGTAGATTTGAAGACCTTGTTTTAGACATCTTTTGCTTCTAAATCGTTTCGTAACAAAGCAATTGCCTAAATTCTTTTTTCTATGAGCATAGTTAGAGTAGTTTTAGAGAACAATAAGCAACCCTGTGTCATATACTGGCTTACACAGTCAAAATTCCAAAAAAACTGATATTTAGGTGACTAAAATAATATTTTATAAATCGCTAAATTTTGACTCAGCTAGGTCCACTATGATCTAAGAAGACAATAAGAGCATAATTAGTGGCATCCGCACGTGTTTAGAAGCTGTTCTAAGAACCTTGTTTTAGGTGATATTGGCCATTTTTGAAATTGGCGCAGCGAAGTTGAAACCAACTCCAAAAGCTCAGTATAGCCTTAGAAAGCCATCTCAATTCACATAGATAGTTTTAAAACTTTGACTTTAGTCATAAAATTTCATTATTTTTGGTATAAGATCAGGTAAGCTACTATAAGGTAAAACTTTTTTTCGGCCTGAGAGTTAAAATTTTTGTAATTAATCTCCCTTAACAGGATGTTATGAGATAATATAGTTAATTAATTAGACTATTCAACGCTGTCGGACATTAAAAGTTGCCTAAAGTAATATAATCCATAAGGTAAAAAGCTTAAAATCGCATCTACTTTTTTATTATCTGTCCGATTTGCTTAAAACTTCGCATACTACCTTAGAATACAATATTCTGAAGATCGTTGCAATCACTTTCCGTGTCTCGATCGTTTTAGACAAGTTATTCGGCCGCAAAGTTTGCAAAAATTCGATTTTCTCCGGCAGTTTGTCGCTAACCTGGTGGCCGAAGAACGCCAAAATCCATTAATTTAAAAAATATGGGTCCTTGGCAATGTTTTAATCGAAGGTTCATGTTATTTTGTTCATTACCCACTGCACAGTAAGCTAAAACATTAGAGACCCTTAAAAAACCGAATGCCAAAAATCTTGGCATTCTGTTTGTGGTTGATGTGCGTCGGGAATAGACTAAATATCAATTCCTGAAAGTTTTAGCTCGCGCTTTGCGGGCGCCGCCGAGATATCGGACGATTTTTGCCGCCGAGAGAGCACGCTAAACGTGGAGAGCGGTCAGAGAGAAAAACGCTTTTTGGCCATAACTTTGGCAGTTTCGTGCGGAAAAATTTCATTTTTTGTAGAAACATTATCCTTTACGGTAGAAATAGGCATGAAACTTTTCGTGCCGAAATTCGGCAAAAAGTCCTAAATTTTCGCCGACTTTCGATCTAAAAATCTCGGTTGTTTCTGCAAAGCGCGAGCTAGGATTCTCGCATATATCTTAGAAAAAATTATTCTAAATTTGTTCCAAGTTTCATCAAAATCTGAGCGTCGCACTTGGGGTACTTCCCCTGTTAGGCAAAAAAGGCGTTGATATAGCTAGTAAAGGATCAATGTGATAGTTTTGTGGTTTTATAATGGAACTATAGACTTGTAAACGTTTTAGAACTTGAGAAACAGCAACTATAACAACATCAATTAATTTTCCCGGCGCGAAAACAATGAATGCCAACGGTTTGGCATTGTAATTTAGACGGGCCCGGCCCGTTTGTAATTTTCCATTTTTGAGCCCGGCCGGCCCGTTTGGGCCGGGCCGGCCCACTGACCACCCCTGTATGCCGGTGTTCGTGTGTTCGAACTCAATGTTTTCGCACCGGAAAAATTTTCTGATGGGATTCCAGTTCACTAGGTAGTAAGTAATTTGTTTGGTTCTATATAGATCGACAGAGCAATAACTCGAAAAGTAAGTAAAATTTATCCATTTTTCTAACTATGCAAGACCTTTTCCGTTACGCATTGTTATTCACGCGCATTTAGACATTATAGTAGATGTATAAATTTACAGGGGAGTACCCCACGGCAACCCAAGGATTCTCCCTCCTCGTTTCGGCACTTCGCATTCCCCAAGTGCGACACCAAGTCGCGACGCACGTCAAACTGAGAAGTCCGGTGACCGGAATAGACTCTTCGCTATCGGTATTTTACACTTCGCCTTGATTTCGCAGAGAAAGAGAGAAAAAAGACACGCAAAACCGTACTCTCTCGCCCCAAAAAATTCCCCATTTCTTCCCCGACAAAACGTTTTTTTGCGTCTTTTTTTGGCAAACTGCCAATCCACTCACCGGACTGTTTTAGCTTATCTCAGTTTGACGTGCGACGCTCAGATTTTGATGGAACTTGCCACAAATTTATAATATTTAGTTTTTTCTAACAAGGAAAGCACTTCTATGGGGTGTGGAATTACCGGTCAAGATATATATCAAAAAATTCGCAAAAATTTTCTGATTCAGAATATATAAAAATTAGCTGCCTAATTTTGGTCTATTAACGAGTTTTATCAAGAAATGTATTTCTCGAGGAAAAAAATCTGCGGCAACAAAAGCGCGCTCGGTCTCTTCCTTCGGAAGAGAGCGGTGTGGCCGAGTGGTTAGAGCGCTAGATTGGGAATCCGAAGGGGACGGGTTCGATTCCTTTTGCCACACTAGAACCCATTTTTTACATTGGAATTACCTTTAAGGTGTAGTTGTAATCCAATTTGATATTTTAAGGCTTGTCAAGGCCTCAAAATTTATTTTAGCACAAAACAAAATTTTTTTATTGGTAAGAACACGGTCAAAAAGACACTTGCATTGTGTCGCGAGAAAACTTCTGAGGACAAAAACATGTCATCAGACCAAAATTAGGCAGCTAATTTATATATATTCTGAATCAGAAAATTTTTGCGAATTTTTTGATATATATCTCGACCGGTAATTCCACACCCCATAGAAGTACTTTCCTTGTAAGACAATTTTAGCTCGCGCTTTGCAGAAAGTCTTCCCCACAAAAGAACCGGCGTCGAATTTTTTTCGTGCCAAAATTGTTTCATACCTAACAAGGAAAGTACTTTTATGGGGGCTCCTAATTTTTGACTGTTCGAACAGTCAGGAATCCCGGGATTCCTGACTGTTCGAACAGTCAAGATTTTTTTGACTCTACGTAGAGTCAGGATTGCCGGGATTCCTGACTGGACCAACAGTCAGGAATTTTTTGACTCGGTTAACAGTCAGGAATCCCGGGATTCCTGACTGGGAGCCTCCCAGTCAGGATTTGGCAAAATTTTTCGAAAGTTCGGCGCGAATTACTAACGCACCTGCCTTATATGCATCCAGCGTTGATGGAGAAGAGAAAAAGAAATCAAAAGGAGTTAAGAAAAATGTAACCAAAACTCTAAAATTGGACGACTTTAAAAGATGTTTGCTGGAAGGAAAAGTTACTCGAAAAGAGCAATTCATGATTCAAGCTAAAAGGCACCAGATTTATACTCTGAAACAAAATAAAGTTGCTTTAAATGAAGATAATAAAGAAGAGTTTAAAAGATATATTTGTAACAATAAAATAGAAACATTAGCTCACGGCCACTATGAGATTTAAAAACATATTGAAAATAACTGACGTCAGTGTTTTGTTTGACATTCAAATTAATTATGCGCATTCAAATTTGCGCGATTTTTCTTATTTTTGGCATTACGTGTCAGCTTTGCTTTGCTCATCTCGTTTTTTGCTGTGCGTTACGTTTGCTTCTTATTTTCCTTATTCATGTGTTGATTTAATTGATTTAAAATTTCGTGTTTTTAAAGTGTTTATAACATTTAGCTTACAAGGGAAGTACCCGAAGTGCGACGCTCAGATTTTTATAAAAATTGGCATAGATGGAGATTAGAATTTTCTTATTCGATTGCGAACATCCTAGATCGCGCTTTGCAGAATCCGCCGTGAAAGAAGGGCCGGAACATCGAAAAAAATCTTCAAATGCCGACGAATTTCCCTGCAAATTCTCTTGATCTTGGCATTCCGTTCCAGAAGAAAAATATTTTTTCTCGCAAGAAATTTTTTCTTTATAATTTTCAAGACTATTTTGTTGCTTTTATGTGGAATATTGTGTGTTATTTTCACTTTTTTACACTCTGGACATGATTCTAGCGCTATTAATTGGATTGTCGCCATCCGAGGGGTAAAATGTTTCGTCCTTTGACGAATTTATACAGTTTTTCCTCTGCAGATGGGCAAACCACTCTAATAGTTGCTTTAAAGCTGTTTAGGAGAGATGCAAACGTTCTACGGTCGTGTATGAACATAATCTTAAAGTAAGTGTTACAAAAACTTTATTATTTTTCAGTGAGCAAATTCTGAACAACAACAAGAGCGAATGTACACCATCGGAACACTGACGGAACTCCTTGGGACCTTTACTTTGTTTTCTGAAATGACATAAACGGAAAAATAGTGAAAAAATAAAATTTTTGTAACACTTACCTTATGACTACGTTCCTACACGACCATAGAAAGTTTGCGTCTCTCCTAAACAGCTTTAAAGCAACTATTAGAGTGGTTTGCCCATCAGCAGAGGAAAAACTGTATAAATTCGTCAAAGGACGAAACATTTTACCTCTCGGATGGCGACAATCCAATTAATAGCACTAGAATCATGTCCAGAGTGTAAAAAAGTGAAAATAACACACAATATTCCACATAAAAGCAACAAAATAGTCTTGAAAATTATCAAGAAAAAATTTCTTGCGAGAAAAAATATTTTTCTCTTGGAACGGAATGCCAAGATCAAGAGAATTTGCAGGGAAATTCATCGGCATTTGAAGATTTTTTTCGATGTTCCGGCCCTTCTTTCACGGCGGATTCTGCAAAGCGCGAGCTAGGATGTTCGCAATCGAATAAGAAAATTCTAATCTCCATCTATGCCAATTTTTATAAAAATCTGAGCGTCGCACTTCGGGTACTTCCCTTGTTAATTGATTTGTAAACTTATTTACTATTTTTAGATATCCGTTTTCCTGGTGTTCATTCAATGGATTCGGTACGTTTTCTATACTAATCGTTTATTACTGTCTAATTTTCAGATCTTTGTTCGTGTAAATGGAAAAGTGGTGAAGGTGGAAGTCGATACGCCTGGCGAGATCGGAGTTAATACTCTCAGGATGGGTTTTTTGTTGGAGCGAGACCTTCCAATGTCTTTGCGTAAGGATGGTGTGGTTTTAAAGTGAGTTCATACTAATTTTTGGCCTTGTTTTTTAGTTTAGTTGAATTAATTATTTATTTTGTTAATTTAGATGTCGTCGCGAGGGAGAAGATGACATCTTCGTCCTGGGCCACAACTGGAAAGACCAGATCTTTGACCTGGAATGGGACGAGTCCCGTCGTTCACGGCCCATATCGTCAGTGATTGCCGCACCAACGGCTGTAAGTTTCTTATTTATTTATTTAGTTATTTTTATAGGCTGAAGCCTTTTATAGGCTTCAATGGATTGCTCTTCTTACACTTCTGCTCTCACTGAACGCTCTAGCCACGAGTTACTACGTTACGACGGAGGCAAGCTAAATTAAAATATATATAATACATGCTATGTCACAACGTTTTTTCACGGAATTCTGGTCGCGTCACGCCACGAAAACAAATGTTTGGCGTACTGTTAAATAATGTTTTTTGGCTTCTTCGAGAAATTACAAAAATTGTAATTTAGCCCAGTATTGAACAAAATCTTGACAGAAAAAAGCTATAGACCCTATCAGTGAATTTTTCTTGTTATAGTAGGTCTGGTTTGTCTTTCAAAAACACCATGTTTGATGAGTTTGATAATTAAAATATCTCTAGTTGCGGAATGCCACGGATTTTGTCATTTTGCGAAAAGCCCGGGCAACGATTTCAATCATTATAATAGCAGGAAAGATAGCTCAATAAGTCGAGTTTCGAGCCAGAAAACGTTCTGAAACTTTGCATGATGATTGAGAATGATGTTGTAGTGCTGATCGCCCATTTTTGTAGGATTCGTGACTAAACGTCGCCCGCTAGGCGATTGCAAAGTTCTCAATTTTGGGAAGTTTGAAGTCGAATATCTCAAAGACTGAATAACACATACAAATTTCTGAACCTCTAACAGAGAGATAACTGTCTACTCTTTCCAATTCACCATTTATCAAGTCGCTCAATTTTGGATGATCGGGTGAAAAGATCGTATCTTTAAGACCACCTTTTTGGAGCGAAGTGTCACAAAAATTCGATCGATAATGGCGCAATTAGAGCTCGACTTCCGCTTTTCTAGTTGTTTCTAAACGTTGTGTGTAATTTTTCATTTATTTTTAGGTTGTGGACAAACCTTGGGCGAAAAACACTGTGTTCGCTTGTGCAGTGGTGTCCGGTGCGTTTGGAGCGATTTCCGGTGTCGCCGTGGCTTACTCATTCTTCAACACGGCGGTTTCAAAGGTATCTTTCGTGGTGGGAAAAAAATAAAAAACGCGCAGCTTGCAGAGGAAGGTATACGATGAAACATGTTTAGTAAGAAATCGTACAGTTTCATCAGAAGTGTGATGTAATTGATACTAAAAGGATAAAAAAAATTTTCTTGATCTTTTCAGACCAATAATTAATTCAGAATTCACATTAAGATTTCTAAAATCATCAAATGAAGTGACGGTTAACATGCTTACTTAAATGAATATTAAAACAGCAATCAGGCCGTATTTTAATTAAATAGAGGAAGCAAACCCGTTCAAAGATGTAAAGGAAGCATTAGAACCTATGGGACCAACAAAAACCGAAACTTTTTTTAAACGCTGCTTACAGCAATATTGTACATATAGTGGCATACCCGATGAACACCAGCTGTGGTTATATGAGGCTAAAATAATTGTTAAATGTTTAATTTATAAACATAAAGATGGAGGAGCACAGTCTAAGCGTAATATATGGTCTTTTATTGGCTTAAGCCTTGATAGTTGAAGTGGATACGGTGATGGTGGGTACTGTACCACAAGTCCTCGCTAATGCAAAATCGACGCTGATTCTAAACGATTATTGCTTACTGAGTTGTAGTAGCACCCTAACTCCTCATAACCACCTTTGCATTTGTCTCACGATCAACTTTCACCTACTACAACATGACCAATGTACTTTCGGCCACAGACAAGTCTCTTCATTTGATCACCTACTTAGCCATGCTGTATACCAAAATATAGCTAAGACAAAGTAGTTTCTAAATCCCTGGTCGATTTTTGATCCGACTGTTTGTTCGAAGGATACTGTAGTTTTTCGAAATTGCCAAAAATCAGCATGTTTTTTGGGTGTCATAACTTCTCGCTCAGTCAACCTTTTTCGACGTTTTCGGTGTCTATCGACTCGGAATCGTGTATTTACATATCCACTTCTTCATATCAAGTTCCCATTTTGACTTTTGGTTTTGATACAGTATCCTCAACATAGGCAAATTTAGCGCCACAGACAATTGGTCTCCGTTTCCACTTCTGCAATGTGTTTAATACGTCATTAGATAAAAGACAACTTCTATTTTCTAAATCCCTGGTCGATTTTCGATTCGACTGTTAGTTTAAAAGTTACAGTAAAAAAACGTCATTTTTTGCCTCCGCGAGCTGCGCCCCCGCTTCAAAAAAGGACAAAACGAAGTTCCCGCTTTTCTGTTGTGTGAAACCGCCGTGTCAAAGAATATTTTCATAAATAAAATTATTATGTTGAGTCGAAAAGATTTAGAATAAATATATAACTTGTAAAAGAATTGTTTATCATTGTTTGCAATTCTGAGTTGTCTCAGGGTTAAGCATATATACATATAATATGCGAGTAATCTATGTAATATTACGAATTTTATATGATTTTTCTATTATACAAGGTGTTTGATATAAATCCCTAATTTTCTATTTCTAAGAATTTATACCATGTTTTTCATTAGCGGGTGGTGAGGATTTCTGGATTGTCTGGTGGATCATAATTCTGCATTTTGATTTTGAATGACATTTTTTGATAAATTACGTACTTTTTTAACTGTGTGTACCATAAATATTGATGTGGTGATTCAGCGGGTGGTGAGGATTTCTGGGTTGTCCTAGGTCTGGATGGGAATTAAAATTGTCCTCCCCCGACTTCTCCCCCGACAAAACGTTTTTTCGCGTCTTTTTTTGGCAAATTGCCAATCTATTCACCGGACTGTTTTAGCTTATCTCAGTTTGACGTGGCAGTTGTCATCGGGTCTGAGAATGCGATAAGAAGAAAACATCCAGATGACCTATATGAGCCAAGTCTTTCGCCCTGTGTGGTCAACTCTTCCTCCTGTTGAAATGCCAAGTGTTGGAATTCAATGTTTTCGCACCGGAAACATTTTCTGATGGGATTCCAGTTCACTAGGTAGTAAGTAATTTGTTTGGTTCTATATAGATCGACAGAGCAATAACTCGAAAAGTAAGCAAAATTTATCCATTTTTCTAACTATGCAAGACCTTTTCCGTTACGCATTGTTATTCACGCGCATTTAGACATTATAGTAGACGTATAAATTTACAGGGGAAGTACCCCACGGCAACCCAAGAAGTCTCCCTCCTCGTTTCGGCACTTCGCATACCCGAAGTGCGACACCAAGTCGCGACGCTCAGATTTTGATGGAACTTGCCACAAATTTATAATATTTAGTTTTTTCTAACAATAGAAGTACTTTCCTTGTAAGACAATTTTAGCTCGCGCTTTGCAGAAAGTCTTCCCCACAAAAGAACCGGCGTCGAATTTTTTTTCGTGCCAAAATTGTTTCATACCTAAAATCTGACAAGGAAAGTACTTTTATGGGGGCTCCTACTTTTTGACTGGACATATCTCAAAAAATCAGAAAAAATGTGCTGATCAAGGATATATAAATCCTAGCTGCCCATTTTGGGTTTTTTGGCATGTTTTGGCCGTCGAAAGTTTTGAAATTCGCAAGAGGAAAGAATAAAAGACGATTTGAAAGGCAGGGAAACCGATGAGTGAGTGGCGCAGTTGGTTGCGCAGAAGACTGGGGTTTGTGCGGAGGGGGGTTCGAGTTCCCTTTTGTGATTTTTTTTATTTTTTGTATTTTTGCTGTAAAATACAAAATAAAGTTAAAAAACATTGATAGAGGCTTTTCATTTCCCGTTGGCTATTAATTAGAAGTCAAAAACGCGACTTAAAAACATAAACGAAGCCAAAAAATCACGGAAGGGTGTCAAGAAACACTCATTTCCCTGTGACGTGCAGTCATAAAATGTCCGAATTTTCAAAGATTTGGTCTTTGCAAAAGGTGGTCCAAACATGCTGGTCTTGATTGACTCGTGGACATCATTTTTAGACCATAGGTCAATAATGGATTGCCGCAATCCCGGTCAAAACGTTGTAATTTTCAACATTCCCAAAAAAACAACTGATGAATTACAGCCCCTAGATGTGTATTTCAATCGATTTTTCAAATATTTTTTAAAAAAAATTCATTTTCATGTGAACGGCCATGAGCCAGACTTTTTTCTTGGAAACCGCGAAAACACTCTCACCATGATCGACCTTGTCTACCATCAACTCCTGAATATTCCCTTCAAGGATTCGTGGAACTACGCGTGGTATAAACCTGGATACGTTGAACAAAGGTCCCCAGAGCGATTTCTGAACCCACGAGAAGTGTGTTTTCCCGATACGGTGCGACGGCCCTGTCAGATCCTGGATTGTGAGGGTAAGTCGATGATATTTTGTAGTTATTGCGAAAAGTTGTTATGCTTTAAACATTTTGTTGTTCAAAACCATACAGATTGTTAAGGTTTAGGTGATTTATTTGTTAGGTTAAGTATTAAAAAATCCAAAAAAAAACCCCTTTGACTGGCCTCCTTATCGTGTTGAAGGGCTTAAATCTCCGTAGGAGATGAACTGAACAGCCAGAAAAAACATTTTTTATTTCGAAAAGCCTCTTAAATTATCTTTGAACATCCTTACTTGTATTTTACAGCAAAAATACAAAAAATAAAAAAAAATCACAAAAGGGAACTCGAACCCCCCTCCGCACAAACCCCAGTCTTCTGCGCAACCAACTGCGCCACTCACCCATCGGTTTCCCTGCCTTTCAAATCGTCTTTTATTCTTTCCTCTTGCGAATTTCAAAACTTTCGACGGCCAAAACATGCCAAAAAACCCAAAATGGGCAGCTAGGATTTATATATCCTTGATCAGCACATTTTTTCTGATTTTTTGAGATATGTCCCGTCAAAAAGTAGGAGCCCCCATAAAAGTACTTTCCTTGTGAAAAAAAAATAAAAGAAACAACGACGCCATAATAGAATGTGTGGTAACTTCCGCCGATTCAAATTCTTACAATGTCTAAATTCGCATGGATAACAACGTGGAATGGAAAAAATATTGCATGGTCAGAAAGAGGGATATTTTAACCCACGTCAATCCAAAATAGAAGAAAAAATTTCCCGCCCCTTTTTGGTGATTCGTCAAAACGAAATGTCACTATCCGATAAAACGCATTTTCTTATCTTTCTTCTTCCTTTTCGAGAAAAAGCAATTATTTCGGGCGAGAAAAAGTGCCGATAATTTCGCGACATTTCGTCCCTCTTTTAAAACCAATGAAAACGATACGAAGTTTCGAAACGGTTCAGGAAATGCGCTGGATTGACGTGTAACCTACTTTCCTGGTTATTGTGCTGCCGATATATAGTAAAATTTGAAGACTTGGGTTAGTCCTCGCGCTGGCAAAGAGTTCTTGGCCGGAGCCTCACTCTCGAATTCAGTCAATCTAGGATTGACCTCGGTGGACACGAATCTTACTATATGTAGAATAAAACAAAAGAAATTTTATTTTAATCTTGCTAAAATTGAGAGGAAGAGTTGACCACCCAGGGAGAAAGACTTGGCTCATCCTGCAGTGTAATGTCTTTTATCTATACAGCCGTATTATATGTTTTGAGATGAGATTTCCGAAGGGAATTATTTCGATGGTTGTTCTGCAGGTTGTTCGTCTTGGACTCCGAATTGTTGGTTTTTTTGGATGGGAGTGCTCCAACTGGTTGAGGTTCATTATAATTTGCGGGCAAAAGAGAAGATGCCTAGAGTCAAATAGTAGTTTTGTGCATCGGAAAACTGACCTTGTGTTTTGTCAACGCTTCATGAACACTGTTCCCCTCGTGTACTACTGCCCCACCTTGCATCGAAAGGCGTAATTGACCGTAAAAGGAGGCTTTCAGGTTTTTCTAAATGGGAAAGTTGGCCACTTAATTAAATGTCGTTTTACCATTGATGACAATTGGCCTTTTCGAGCTTCAATCCTACTTCGGTATAAGAACTCTCCTATTGCCGCTATCATTGAAATAATCATTCCTCCCATCAGGATATAGAATATACCAGCAACTTTGCTTAGGTTGAGACTAGCACTCGAGCCATCCTAAAGAAACATAATTAATGAAAGGGTATCCTTGCCGATATTCCTTGATCACATTGACCTCTGTCATACCACCATTTATTCTCGAGCTTCTTCAGCTCACCACGTTCTTGTAGAGCTAAGATTGCCAAGTTAATTAAGTCTCTAGAAAAATATGAATGAGGACCTTTATCAGAATACTCTAATTTATGCTTAAAAGGTAACCTACTTCCATTCGGATCCAAAAGGCGTGGCCACCCCATACCCGACACTATTCAAGTTAGCGCCAACTTTCATAGTGTCACAAGGCTTCCTCGTATTTGCATATTCGTTGGCGGTAGCCTCAAGTAGGAATGCGTATCTTCCTTTGTGGGTTCGGACTCTTTCAATTCCTTCGGCATAATTATTGGTGAATACTGAGGGGACTTGCGATTCCATGAATCGCCACATTCTTTGGTAAGTTTGTACGGAGGAATGCTAAAATAACTTTTTTGGACAAAGTATCGAACTACCTTAAAGAATTGAGCGGTTGATCCCCCTTGTTGGATACCATACTTAATCTTGGTTTGTTTAGCCAGATCCTCCACACTTTCGATTGGCGCTTGCATTTTCTCCAATGTCAAGAAGGCAGCCAAATTAGCTGTGTAAGAAGACACTATGATCATCGTGAAGAACCACCAAGCGCTGCTTGCAATTCTACCACTTATTGATCTAAACACCATAAGAAAAAAGCATAACAGGCCCCTACCTTGGCAAGATGTCAGTTCCTTGTTGCATAAAGGCGGCTAAAGTAAACCAAAGACAATTGTAAACCGAGAAGTCATTGGAAATGGTAAATCCCCCATTGGCCATCTCTTCCACCCGCCATTCATACGGACTGAACCGAGAGACTAAGAAAATTACGACAGAAACCCCAACATATGCAAATATAATGTACATCCAAATTTCAGTGCTCAAGGGCTGCATGAAAGAGAAGACAGAAAACTCTTGTTTGTCCGGCTTCTTTATCATGATCGATATTCCAGTGGTCATATAAGGTTTGCTGAAGTCGACAACTCTTTCGCGGTCCTGAGATTTAAGAATATAATGAATTTTAAATTACTCACCTGATTAATAGTAAGTGAGGCTACAGCAACGTCAGCTTCGCCTCTCAACAAATCCCCGACCAGTCCATCCCAGCTGCCATCGGGTTGTTTAACACCGTACTTATTTTGTTTGTTCAATTGGATCTCATAATTGAATTCGGGTATCCGATCACGCAATAGTTTCAATAGATCTATGCAGAATCCTTCGAATTTTGCATTACCCAGACATTCGGTGGCATTTGACTTTTCGCAGTCTCGCTTTATCATTACAAATGGTTCCACGATTGTGCTGACTACCCTTACAATCTTTGCTCGATCCATATCCTTCAACTGTTTTCTTGTGTGCTGAGCAACTGTCTGGTTATTCAAGAATCCAAAGGATTGTTTCCAAGCAAAGATCTCCTTCTTATTGAAGGAACTTTTGAGATTCGAAACAAGGTCGATTACTGTAACTTGAAAGTTCTTCCTCTCTCCATTCCTGTCGAATTCTATTGTTCCAGTCAAAGCGCCTTCAACGTCAGTAAGGCGCAACTAAAATTTGTCATCATTGAGGTTATAAATGTACGCAAGGTTATGTAATGTTTCTTAAAAAAATTGTTTGCGCTTTTACTCGCCAAACGATCTACCTGATGTAGTTCGCGAAGAATGGCCCGGCCATGCTCAAACGGTGCAAACGGTCTTCCGGGGTTTCTTTTGTCTGTTTGTGGATGACAGAACAGGCCCGGAAAGCCCTGGTTATACAATTCGCCGTGTCGAAAGTTGTGATGAAACAGCGAATCGTTCCTTCTCAACGTCCCTTCTAATGCCGTTTTAGCGACTAGAATGGCATCATGAACGAATGCGAGTCGTGCCTGGAGGTCTTGGTTATTCTCCTCTTCATCCAGATGACCATGTTCATGAAGGAAGCGACGTAAATGATCATATTCGATACTCTCCCGTTCTGTGATCTGGAACCCGGTAATATTGATGTTGGCGCTTTGGAATTTCTCAACATCATAGGGAAGAAGGTCCTAAAAAAATCATAGCTGTTTTCGATAGCCACTTACAAAGTTGGCAAGAACATAATGGTAGTCGGCCTGGTTAAACTGAGCGGCCCTTATTGACTTCAGAATCTCTTGTTGTCTGAAGGCGCTGGCAGCGTCGATTATAACCCGGCAAGGCTGAAAAACACCCGTCAGAAGATATTCACAACATAACATTAAATATTTATACACACATTACTATCTCCGCGGTTGACCACCCTCCGTATGTTGAACTGCACCAGGAAGTCAGAGAAGTCCTTAGTTTCTCTGGTCATTTGGAGTATCTCGGATGTGACTGTTTTGTTTGTTACTTTCTGTAGATGACCATATATTCGTTGAACATTCTGTGCCGCCTCGTCGGCATTATCCACATCATGCATGTAAATAAACGTGTCCCAATTCTTAAGAACAATCAAGTCGGCTAACAATTCTGCATTCGGAGGCTTTAGACTAACTTCAAAACTAAAAATTAAATCAATCATTAATGAGTAATCCGAGTTACTTCGTGGTTGGAGAGTACAGTTTGGGTTGGTGGGACAAATCCCAGTTAATCAGAGGCATTTCCATAGTATTGGCGACGTTTACATAGGCCTGGTGATGATGCTGATTGTCACCGACCACCATAACCATAAACCCGTTTTCCATCGAATCACATACTACAATAGAATTAATGTGCTGTCAGCGCTTTACCTGCTTGCATCACACCCCATCCATCCCCGGCAGCTTTTCTCAATGTCTTATCCGCATAATCCAGTAGGAATGGATTCTGCGTTTCACTGTTGAGACGGGTCACTGTGAAATTTAGGATGGAATTGACACCCTGCTCCCTGTCCCCAGGTGTTGTGAACGACTCTGGGAAGCGGTAATCGACTTTGTTTCAACCTACGTATAGGTATCTTGGCTGGATACGACACCACACAGAAGGGAAACAGGACGGCGACAATTACCTTCATCATGTCATTAGGATGACCATCGACTGGGTCAGCCTGAAGTCCGATAAACTGGGTTCAAGCCGGGACGGAGAACTCTTCCCGCGGCCGAAAGACCGCCCCTTCTGCCGCGGAAAAACACGTTTTTCAAAGTATGGAAATTACATTCAATTTGGCGTTTTCGCGGGCAATTACTATCTCCTGAAGACGGCCGAGAGATGAGGTAAGGAGTTCGCTCTACATCTTATCCCATCCGTCTTCGGAGACGTCGCTCCTTAAACGAAATGGACACTCCTCTCCGAGCCGCGACAACCATCCCCTTCCCCGTTTATATCAAGTTATTCATATCGAGTTCAAGACCTCCCTCGAAACCCACCCAATTCTCCTCTTTTCCAGAAACCTCCTGGACCTTGGAATCCATAAAAGGACCCCATTTGAATATAAATCCAGTTCAGACTTATTCAAAAACGACAAATCTAATTTCCCAGGCTTGAAGTAAAGATTCCCAGGCCGGGGAAGACGAGGACACATGATTTATGAAAAATCCAACAAACAAAATGAAACACCTAATATCATCATTTAAACACTCTGGACCTGAGTGGAATCGACGCTGATCTTGTTTATTCGCAATGTCGTAAGTTCTTTGCTCTTCCCTAAAAGAATAACAACGATCGTCATCCAAATATAGGAGTAATGAAAAAAGTGGACAAATTAAGCGAAAACTATACTTACAATTAGTGATCCTAATCTGTTTTCCATCTTTACTGAAGTAGTCGATCTCTGGTTGGGCTGTTGTCCTTTCCACAACCGTAGCCTCAACAGATGCCATTTGGGGATCCAGAATGGGCCGTCCGAGCAACGTAAATTCGCTTCCACCAACCAACAAGACCTTAAAAATTAATTACATTTCAAAGGCCCATTGAACTTTAAATTTTCAATTTTTGCACAAACACAACACCGTCTCCGATGGAACAACTATTATCTGGACCATCCACCACTGGATAGATGTTCATGACACAGTTCTGTTCAATCATAGCCCAAAAAATAATTACCTTCTCAAGTTTGATTCGCTCTCCAAAATCGAGAGGGATAGACTGTTCAACAACTATAATATCGCCATCGCTAACTTTGTATTGACGCCCATTTATGAAAACAACAGCAAATAATCGGTTCCTGTGATCTTCGAGCTTTCCAACAATCTTCGAAGCCACAAACTCACTTCTTGACCGGGGTTCTTCAGGTTTTACAGTTGTCGAATGGCCTATAAGCAAGACAATAAAAACAAAAATTATCTTACTAGGACTGTCTGCTTTCTCTGAAATAAATCTGTGCTGAAGGAGGGATTGACAGTTGTTTCGCCCTTTCATGTATATTCGGAGTGACCTGGCAGAATCTAAAAAAACAATTACACGTAGCAGAAACCGCACTTACATTTAGTTAACATTTCTGCGGCCCTAGTACACATGAGATCGAGTAAATAAGAGAAAGTGTTCTTTTGTGTGAAAGAATTTTCGAATATTTTCACGCCGAAGTGCGCCCTAGATTCGGAAAAGTGCACAACGAATTTAGGTTGCATGGAAATTGGGCGCAGTATGGAAATGGGCGCATTGAATTCTGGGAAGGGCACACATAATTGTACATACGGCGGAAAAAACGAATACAAGTACGCCGAGGATATTGGCAGCCCGTCTTCTAGAGAAACCGGGGTTTATGATTTTCGATCTACCATCTAAACAACCATCATGAATAGAAGTCACCGTTTATTATTATCTCTGTACAACATAATAACTGCTTTAATAGGTCGGAAACAACATAAAAACTAGAATATTAGAATTGAAAGAATGCGCAAAAAATACGAACACTCGAATGTTTATCAACCATCATGAGCTTGGGCATTAACCTGAGCTTGGAATCGTTCAGTTTCTTCAAAAATTAGTCGCTTCAATTCTTCTTTTGGCAGGTCATCAAACTCCATCTCAAAAGTAAATGGCTCTTCGCAGACGGGCTAAAATAATACGAATTAGTAAAAGATGTAGCAAGATCAAGTTTTGCGAAAGAAACATCACTGACTTCATCATTGGGGTCGTAATATTGTTCAAGATATGGATGAGCAAGAGCATCTTCAATGGTGATTCTTTTGTGGGGATTAAAGGTAAGCATCTTATCCAAAAGATCCAGAGCCCGGGCTTCCACATTCGGATACAGCCTCTGCCAAGATTGTTTTGGCTTCTGAGGCAGCGACAGGAGATATGAACGGGCTTTCTCGTTAATTATGCATTGAAGATCCTCTTGGGAAGGAGACCCCACCACTGTCAAGATCAAATTCAACTGATCGAGGTAATGTTTTCCCGGGAACAAAGGCCGATTGTTCAACATCTCGGCCAAGATACATCCAACGGACCAAACGTCTATTGACTTGGTATAGCCCTTGGAGTTGAGCATAATTTCTGGAGCACGGTACCATCTGGTGGCCACGTACTCTGTCAAAAATCCGGTGTGATCATGCCCTGGGTCGGTGACGCGGGCCAACCCAAAGTCGCAAATCTAAAACATAGTTCAGCAAGCCACGAGTCATACCTTCAAATCACATGTTGTATTTAACAACAAATTACTTGGCTTCAAATCTCTGTGGAGAACATTAGCAGAATGAATGTACTTTAGCCCTCTCAGAATCTGATACAAAAAGTAACAAATATGGTCGTTTGATAAACGCTGAGTCTTCAAAAGCTTGTAAAGATCGGTTTCCATCAAACATTGAACAATATATCTAAAACAATAGGGAAACACACATAGAGTATGGCTGATCACTTACATATCTTTCATTTCACTGATAGTCGGAGCTTGAAGAATGGCTTGGATATTGATAATCTAAACAGAAAGAATGATATATCTTGGAAGAAAGCTTGGAAGTTTGGCTTCATGAAAATTGGGCTCTGAGTGAAATTGGGCTGGGAGAAATTGGAAAATTATGCCAGCCCAATTTCCATAAAGCCAAAAGTGTTACACTCACATTTTCATGTTTAAATCTCGTCAAGATTTTGATCTCTCTCAATGTCCTTTGACAAAAAGTCTGATGCTCAAACGGAGAAATCTTCTTTATGGCCACTCTCTCTTTAGTAATCGTGTCCAGAGCCGATCTAAATCCGATTCAAATAATTTATTCGAAGGACTTACACGACCATGCCATAAGCGCCTTCTCCAATGTAGCTTAGATTTACATATCTCGGGCCCACTCCAAACAACTGATTGTGGACTTCCTCAACATTATTTGTTATTTCGGCTTGTTGAGCCATCTTGAAACAGCATGTATGATCGGTAAATATACAACCAAAATCACACGAAAAGAGCACGCAAAATATTGATCTTTTTTCTCCGAGTGTCACAAGATTAAGAACTCGGGCCAGGACAAATTCGGGGAAACCTGCAACATGGGGTGGAATAAAAAAAAGTTCCCTCGCGGAGTCTGGATCCACACAAATTCCAAAAAACGAGAAAAGCGATGAATTAAAATACAGAGTGAGACTCGACCCGGAAACAGAAAACACTTGGCCAAAGTGAAAACTGGTGGAACGGTTGCAACTTGCAAGTTGCCTGACGATGGGTAAACCCGAGTCGTAAGCGATATTATAGATCATGATCGTGAACAATACGGCGTTATTTAACAGCTCTTTTCAAAAGCCCCGAAGCGAGAAAGAGCATTTATTATATTAGACAGGTGCAAATACTTGAACAAGAGCTCTTTTTCACTCCCGAAACATGGAAACTTTGTGGCCTGCAATTATGCTTTACCGTAGCTAAACTTTTTTATAACTATTTTCGGGAGGAAAGTTTGAGGATCTTATAATGAAGGAAATAATAATGTATAAAAGAGCAGGCCAAATGCCTTTATGGGCATTGGTATCGCGGGAATTAGAGGCCCAGTTCTCACGCCAATTTGGCCATGCAATCTGAGCCTCACCTTTTGGGTCGAGATAACCGTCTCCCTCAATCGAGAAAAGTCTCGTAAAAGTTAAGTTCCAGCCATGAGAAGACCTGGGACAAGAACAAGCGCTCACTTGGCCTTTGGCACGAGAAAATGCGAGCATTCCGAGAGTTATACTAAAGACAACAGCAAGGCTCGTTTACATCCCGCAGCAGTTACCCGTCGGTTCTACAATTACATTCGCTAATCCTTTTAAGGCCAGGACTTCCTTAATCCCTGTCTATGGCATGGGTAAGATGTGCTTTTTTCGAGGACATCATTCCACGCGAAAAGCCGCTCCACACATTAAAATGCGGCTGAATCATCTTAGTCTTATCGAAAACAAGCGTAAAAGAGACTTAACGATAAGAGGCTTCGAAGCAATAGTAAAGCGTTTTTTTTAAGGTTTACGTAAAGGACAGTTGACAATAAGGCCGCAAATTAAAGTCAGAATGAGCCATGGCAAACCAAAACGTATAAAAATGTACAGGTGAAGCGGCAGCCATTTGTGGGCTGTCTTTCGGAGTTTTTTGTTTCCGCTCTATTACATCTCGTTTCCTACATGGCGGCCCAACTTTTTTCTTTTAATCCCATATACACCATCCTCACGTCCAAATGTGAGACGAATGCGGATGGTGATAATAAAAGAGGGAAAGAATTCAAATTAAAGCATCGGAATTATATTATGGAAATTCGATCGGCAGTCTGTGTATAAATGTGCTCCATGAAAGGGAATTGAATTGCGGAACTCAGATTTGATGAAATTTAATTCAAGCATGAGATGAGATTTGTCCTACGGAGTAAGTGTAATATCAGAATATAAATGGGTGCCAAAGTAAGCAAAAAGGGATTCAACTAACAATCAGAGTGGGCGGTTAAGCTGCATTCTTTATTACATCCTTGATGGGTGGCAGATACAGTAATCGAATGATGGAATCTCGGTTCACTGACCTCTCCAACATAGCTGGTAGTGGGATTGGCAAAACTATATGTCCAGTTTATAGAAAACTAATTAACCTCCTTTCATGGATACAAATCAAAAATAACAAAAACATAACACTTGGGAGTGTAGTATTTGCGGGTTAACTGATTTATTATTCTTACTCCGGTCCCCGCCTTGTTTCTTTAATCTGCTTGCAACACGATTGGTTTTTTTGGATCGCTGATTGAGAAGATTAAACCGATGCAGTTTCCCACCACTTTGTGGATCATCTGTTTTATTGAAAATGTGTTGGACACGCGTTGAGAAATGGGCACTAAAACTTTTGAGAGCAATGTGGTGGCCCTTACCGTAAGTGAAGACACTTTGACGAAAGGACCGTTTACGGTACCAGATGTGGCTGAAAAGCTGTCTCATCAATCGGATCTCGGATTAGCCAGAGGCACTTCAGTCTGGAAATGAGCGACCTCAAGTTCTCCATCGCCCATCTAATCGGCGAAGACTCATCCCATGGTAAGTCCTTGCTTTGTGTGATCTGATATGATAGTATTATTGTTTATGATCATTTTGGGTAGGCAGAGTTTGTATATCAGTGGGGTCTCATTCCTGCTAATCTCTGATCCGAGTTTCATAGTGCAATTCTAATTTTCTGTATACCAACTGCACTGTGCATTCCCCTGCCGCATTCTCTTTGATCTCCCGGAATCGCTCGCTATGTGTCTGTTCGCTTGTTTCCTCTTTCTCGCTTTCTGAAATATATCGCGAGTCCAATGGATTCGCGTAGGCTGATGATTATTTTTTTTCTAATGATTGGGGGACAAAATTGGGACAGTGATCAGTTGACATTTATTCTTTCTCACTTTTTTTGTATTTACAACCACAATAATCAATCTCTCCTGTTTCCTTCCTAATTGTACAAAAGCCAGACGCTTGAATTTTAATACAAATCCAACTTGTACACTTCTCTGTTATTCACATTATTTTGCAAGGTTTGAGGACTGAAAATAATGTTGCACTTTTTCCGTTTCTATACCAATTCACTGAAATATTCAAGAGAGTTGCATGTAAATTCAGCTGTTTCATGCATTGTTTTGAGCTCCTGAATTCATATTCTGCTTTGATGCACAAGACAATATTTAAGATGCAATCCCCGGAGATCTGAAGGATGTGAAGGTCAGATTGGAGAGTTCCCATCTGTGGCGTCGTTTTCATGAGTTGGGAACTGAAATGATTGTCACCAAATCAGGAAGAAGAATGTTCCCGACTCTACAGTTGACGGTTACGGGATTAAACCCCGAGGCCAAGTACTCTGTAATGGTTGATTTTAATTGTATCGATAACATGAGATATCGGTATTCTTTTCATCAATCGAAATGGATAATTGCTGGACCAGGTAAGCCTTATTAGATGGAAAAGAAAAATATTGAAAAGGTGATGCTGAACTGCCTTGCCGAGTACATGTCCACTCAGAAAGTCCGAATATGGGGAAACACTGGATGAAACAAACGATCGGATTTGATCGGATAAAACTGACAAACAACCAGCTCGATCAAAATGGACATGTAAGATAGGCACTTAAAAGGGAAGTACTCCAAGTGCGACGCTCAAGTTTTCTTTAAATTATTCACAAACGTCTAACATAAGCTATATATCAAACTGAAAATCGTAGCTATGCGTTTTGCAGGAACAACCTATTCAACGATCTTTAAGCCGAGAGAGTATGAGAAACGCGGAGAGCGGTCACAGAGAAAAAAACTTTTTAGCCATACTTTTTTCCAGTTTTGTGCAAAAAAAATTTTTTTTTTGTGAGGACTGCCGTTTACGGTAGAAATATTAGATACGAAACTTTTTGTGATAAAATTTGCAAAAAGGGTCACGTTTTTTCAAACTTTCGACTAAAAAATCTTGGTAAGTTCTGAGAAGCGAGCTAGGAGACTGGCTTAGAAAAAAATATCCTAAATTTGAGCTTCATCAAAACCTGAACGTCGCACTTGGGGTAAGTTTTGTGGTAGAACAGGTCAAGCGTTTTTATGGTGTCTAATAAGGTCGATTAAAGGTAATCGTCAACTCCATGCATCGTTACCAACCGCGGATACATGTAGTTCTTCACAATTATGACGGGACCGAGAAACAAAGAACGTTTATCTTCTCAGAGACTCAGTTTATGGCTGTTACTGCCTACCAGAACCATAGAGTAATCATTTTAATTAAAATAACAAACCTTAACACCTTTAGATAACCGAATTGAAGATTGAATGTAATCCTTTTGCCAAGGGATTCAGAGAGTGTGAAATGGATCAGATGAGACTTCTGACCGCCGCCCATTCCCGTCTCCAACTACCGTACGAACAACTTTATCCTCTTATCTTTGGCAGATTTACGGTGCCCTGACTGTTTTATGACCCAACTGGTTGCGTCAGTAAATATAAATATTATTGCTGATCATCGATTTGATCTGATTTATTTCGAGGGTGTAAAGGGAACAGGGAGGGAGAGGGAGGGTTGACACGCGACAAGAAGAATTTATGACTGCGACGACAACGTTGATAATTCAAACGCCGAGTTTTTATAATATTTCATTAAACGCGGCCACACGGCTGTTTGTTGAGTATAAGGTAATACGAGGTGATTCTACTGGAGCTTCCAACCTTATTTCAGGTACTTTTTCGCAAATAATACACCGATTTCTATAAGATTTATATCAAATTGAAGCCGAGGTACCCCTTTATTGTAGATCTGTATGACTATTCTACGGTTACGCCGACCCGCGAACGGCCTTGGCCTTTGAAATTTTCAATTCAAATTTTGGAGCCCGAAATTAGCGATAAATGTAACTTTTACAAGCAGCAGAAAAAGCTGACGGCAGGCAACAGAATAGTCGTTATAATCCGTGAAGACGCTTACTTTTATATCTGGCAAAATATTATACTTAATCGAAAAATTCGAGTAAATGGGTGGAGCTGTCTGCCTGCATGACGACATTTATCCCGAATTTGCGTAACAACTTTTATTTATCCTGAAATATAAAAAATTTTCATGTCGGATAAACGCAATTGAAAATAATTGTAATGTTTCAACGATTTCGGGTTCTAAGATTAGGATTGAAAATGTCAAATCAAAGGATAGTAAGCGGGGCATCAGACCTAGAATAGTCATGCTTAGTATGAAAAAATGGGGTACCTCACCTTCCATTAATACAAATTTGTACCGAAATTGGCGCATTATTTGGGAAGAAATACCTGAAATAAAGTTGAAGGCTCCGAGTGAGCCACGCTGTGGATAAAGTCTGATAAGTATGTATAGGTGTTGTCCTCATCGGCTACTGTTTCCAAGGCCCTGCTTCTTTCCAAATGCCCTCTGTCGTCGTTCCCTTTTCCAAATCAAAATATTCCGGACAGAGAAGGTCCGATGACAAATTGCCTTTGCTCGATTTAGGAGCCACCTTAAGTCGCTCCCCTCACCAGCCCCCATGGGGTTCACCATTCCGTGGACCCTTTCCCATTGGTCTTTGGCATACTGTAGACGCTGAACAGTCCATCATGCGATGCCTTTTTTTCTCTCATTTAGGTGGGAACTCTGTTAACAAAAAGTTGTTTTAAAATTTCTTTCTGCTCTGTTTGTTAACTTTTATTGGATTTTAATTTATTTCGATGGGTTTTCAACGATTACTTTGGCACGAATTCCGTCGACACTCAAATTTATAGTCATTGCATCGGAAGTTGGGTTTTGACTTGGAAGGATTGTTGCGGTGGTTGACTACAGTTCTGATCACATTGTAGTAATCATAAAGGAAAAGAGTATTTTTAAGTTATTAGGAAAAATAAGTTTACATTTGCTAAACTTACATTAGCTTGGTCCTAAAAGTAATTTCCATTTATATCATTCTTAAAATGCATTAAATGCTGAGCTGTAATCAACCGATTACAGAAAAGTTAGATTAATGCAATTTTTTCATATTTTTTGGGAAGCAAGGCAAAAATAAATGCATTTTACAATTAGATCTACACCTCGCAGAATTTTCTTTGTGTTTTTGCTCCTTTTACTTTTCCACAATGCCAACTTACAGATTGTCCAGCTACATGAGTTGCTGTGTTGATAAGTCAATCGATGTTATTTAAAGAGCCAAAAACTTTTATTTCGGATCGGCTTTACTGATTGTTTAATCAACAAAACGTTTTTAATTTGAACTTTGGAAACTTAACGTTCATAACTATAATAGATGAATAAACAAAATTTTTTACATGAGGCTTTGTTTTGCATGCAAATTTAAGCAAACAAAAGTGGCGGAAGATTAACATGGCTGCTCACCCAAAACTTTAAATTCCATAAACGTAAGAGTTCTTGTGAAACCGATGTTTTCGTTTATTTTTTTTAATTGCTTGACTTTTTCTGCATGTTATGTGCAATTCCAGTCTTCCAACCATGCCTTGACATTCCGTAATATCATCTGGTTGTTCAATCGTATATGTTTTTAAAACAATCAAGTATATTTCTTCAACCTTTCTGAAGCAAAGAACGATTATTTCCAATTACATTTTTTAAAACAAACTCCTGTCTTAATTTCAATGTCAAGTTTATGATTAAGCCAAAACGTATCATCTTTAGCATCCAAATTTCATGCAGAATACCACAGAATTTTAGTTAACCTTTGGATTTCTTTTGTGGACACGAATTGTTTTGGGCGCTTTTCCCTTTTCCTTCGCCTGCTACCGTATCCCTCTCTTCAAATTTATGACTGACAGCAACGAAAGAGAGCGAATGGAAAGGGAGAAAAAGAAAGCCCTTCCATTCAAAATGCCCCTTAATCGACTCTTTTCGGCATATGATTTTAAGAATTTTATTCCAAAACGTCTGTATATAATTGTTGGACATGCACAGAATCCCAGCACTGTGCAATCGAAGAGAAAGTGAGCCTTACAAACATATCTTCAAAGTTAAACATATCTGATAGAAGAGGACATAAAACTCTCGGAGAAGGGTGTTATGTTCATTGTAATCACATCATTTATACACAAAACAGCGACAGGACAGATAAAGCACCAAGAACGGAGAGACGGGAAAGGAAGAGAGGAAGAGAAAGGCAACAGGATCTTACATCAGAAACACATTGCAACAAGACATTATAATTATGATTATGAATAGAGGGGACATCTTACACGGCCGCTATGACCTTTAAGATTACTACACCTTTTGCAAAATAAAAGTTTTTTGAAAAAGGATCAAATTAGATGTAAAGCTCAAAGTACCGTAACCTCGAAGTAAAATTTTGTCTGTTAAAACCAACCATCTACCTTTCAAGGACATCGAGTCATAGCGGTTTCTTCATTTCAGGATCCCTCAAAATCTTTCAAAGCTCCTACGGAATAAGATATTAACTGTAATTGTTGGTTAAAAGGAGATTCCGGGGAAATCCGAGATGTCCAAATCCCATCGATGGGAATTGCATCGCCGCATTGGCCACAGCCATCTGATTCTGGCCCGCTTGTTGTGCTGCCATTGCCGCTCCCACCTCGCCCAAACCCGCAGGCATTGGTCGGTCCTTTGTCTCTTTTTTGTGTTTCATCCGCCGATTCTGGAACCAGATCTTGACCTGTCGTTCGGTTAACATCAGGGAATGGGCTATTTCGATTCGTCGTTTCCGAGTCAGATATTTGTTGTAGTGGAACTCCTTCTCCAACTCCAGCACTTGGTTCCGAGTGTAAGCGGTCCGTTGGCGCTTTTCGCCTCTATTTCCACCTGAAAACAGAGCTTTACCCTTTTGTTTCTGACATTTCTAAGGCCATAAATTCTGCAGTCAATCCCGACTTCTGGCCAATTTCAGTGGCCAAAACAACTGCGTGGAAATTTATGGCCGCAGGACCTGAGAAGAAAAGAAAATTCATTCTTTGGATTTGGACGTCATCCCAAAGTGTAATATTTGGAATGTTGCGAGAGCGGGGACGCCGTTTGACCGCTAGAGTCATGCAATAGGAAACCCGATGCAATTTGCCAAGATGTGATATACACAAGAATTGATTTGGCTCTTCCCAGAAGTCGGTGTCTTCAATTTATCATCGTTATCGAGTGGACAGTTCGCGGCCGAAAAGAGCGGTTGGCCTTTTTTCGGGAACGGGGACCGGAAGGACGCTCGTCTCAGCCCAGAACAGACCCCCTTGCCCTCCCTTCAATCTGCTGGTGTCCACGGAGCTCATTAATAAACGTCCGTGATCAGAGGCAGAGGGACTCGACTTCCCAGAGAATCGGTCACAAGTCTTTTTTGAGACCCGCCAGATTTCTGAATTTAAATCCAGGACGACAGGCCTCCGATGATTCGTGTTTTGCGAAAATTAATGGCCAAGGTGGGACCGCCGATTGCCACAAATTCATTTTAAAGCAGAAAGTTACAATAAATGAAGCCCTAATAAATCATAAAAGGAAAGCAAAACCCAGGTTAAAAAGTCTGACAAGGGGAAATACAGTGCCTGCATCCAGCCCCGCCGTCGCCCCCTCTGATACCATCTCCGTATCTTCGGATGGAATGGGCAACACTTCAAAGGGAACCCTCGGTTAGGAAATATAAATCACAGTAAACTCGCTAAAGATGACATAGCCATTAAAACAAGAGTTATGGCGATCTAATTGAATGTAAATGGGTGCACGTGAACCCGATCTTAATAATAAAAGATCCCGGTAAAAATAGATGTTTGAAAAGGCGGAAAAGACCAACAAAAAAGTAAACAACGACTTACCAGTACTGGAATGGACTCGTGTCATCCAGGGATACACGGCGACATTGTTCTTCTCATCCTCCTCTTCATTCTCCTGTTTCATTCCCTCTTTATTGTAACTGGCCAATTGGGTTTGCTGCGACCAATCCAGGGCTGTTGGAGCTGAGCTGGAAGCCGTCTGAAGACCGGACCCGTACATGCACAAGTTGTTCTGAAACTAAAAAACGTGACTCCCCAAAAGATGAGAAAGGAAATTCTCCAGGGTTGCTTTTTAAGAAGCTTTGACGCGTTTCTGTGATTCGGTGGGGACGCTTCCCCAAGACACTCCACCACACGACATTTCAGGGTCGGCATCCAAAAAAGTGGCGAATAAAAAATAAGATTCTAACCGTCTCAATAATCTCAAGTTACTCTCCAACGATCGTGGAAGCGAGATTCGAATTACTAAATGAAATGATCGCTCTGGCTGATCAAAGTCATTAGTCAATATAAGCGATGGTAAAGACACGCACTTTGTAATAACTATCCCTTTCCTCAAACATGGACCCTTTGGATAAGAAATAGACTCAATCTGACAGTGAATGGTAAGTTTGGAGTGGAAAAGAATTGATAGATTTCGCAACAAAGATTAAGGCAGCGAAATCGATAACTTTGGGAGAAGAATTGTGCGCATACTTTGAAATAACAGAATCGAAAGAGGAAACAAAGCAGTCAAAATATAAAATACCTTTAATTGAAACGTCCTCGGATCCATCGGATAACAACTTCTGGCACTGATCTGCGACGTGGGCGAAGACGTAATATTACTCAAAGAAGTTGCGTTCGAGTCGACAGAGCTGGAATTCGAATAGAAGGGCTTGTTATTCTGGAGATGGGGGCTTTGGGTCGCCGTCAAATTGAGTGTTTGGACACTCTCGTAGTCGTAAAAGGGCTGGGAAGTAGATCCTGTCTCAGACGATCTACTCATCGCTCAACTACAAGAGCATGCACTGCAAGAGTTAAGGTAATAATTTTGCTTATTCCAGACAATCAAGCATGCCCGATAAATGGCTTTCAGTTGAGGTATCGATGACAAATGATTAACGGTTAAAGGCGTAAAATTAATTATTTTGGTCGAAGATAATAGGGTGAATTAAAGAAGAATGAAAGGTTATCAGAGAGAAGAAAAAGATCTCTTGGAAGGCAGCTGTTCCCGTAAGAAATGCACTGAATTTCTTTCCAGTAGGAGTGTTCAGCGACAATGACTAGCAGGACAGAAGAGAACGGACGGGACGGGGCGGTTCAGTGGAAGATGGGGGAGAGTGCAGCGCTCTCCCTTCTCTTCCACCCCTCCTCCTTAGGGTCCAAAGATTTGGTGCGCGGATCCAAAAAGTCCCCGGCCGCTGATTGGCCGCTCATTTCGGTTTCGGCCGCGGCCAAATCTTCCAGCCCCCGAGGGCCTCAATTTGAATCTCATAAAATACCGAGGAATGTGCGGCGAGTAATCACCCAACCCATCGTCTTACTTTTCTCGGGGTTCGTGTTCGAAATTGGCGTGCAAATCACCTAATTCAAGAGGTTATGACTCCATTTTCACTGGGATATCATAATTTTTGTGTTTAATGGGACACGCCATTATTTTCGCCAACCAAAAAATGCTGATTTCTGAGGCAACTACGCAATTTTACCTTGCATTCATCGCTGCTATTATGAAAGATTGTTTGAGTATTCGGGACGCCCTCCTTTCATTTGTAGCCCTTAATTTACACAATACTATGTTGCTACCTTGGGGAATTAGTAATAGATAAATGCAATGTCCTGCTGTATCAGCCTACGCGACTACGGTAGAATATTGTTCTGAATTCAGATTCCAAATGGCCAGGAAGGGGAGAGAAATGAAATTTAGAATGGGCTAATGTTGCGAGGCGTCTTTGTTCTCAGACCACAAATTTAGCAGGCAATTAGTAAAGTGGGCGATTGATGAATTTAGGGCGCTGATTGCACTCCAAATTTACAGTTTCAGTCACGGAAAGAAACATTTCTAAATTAAATGCCAGCGGCGTTTTTTCTTTATTAGACACCCAGCTGGAAGTCTGGAGGAATGGGAAATACAGTAAGACCCCAAACAGAAAACTCCTCGATTACACCACCGTCGGTGATTTACGGCCAATAAAACTGCCGACTGATTATGGGGGACTTGCGTAACACGACACAAATATTATTTCAGATCCAATCTCGACCTCCGATCTGACCTCAAAATTAGGGTTGAGTTGAGCAAGAGGAGAGTCCCTTCCTTTACTCACCTCTGAGCGAAAATTGGCCAAAGGTCATGAGGTTGGTGGAGCCGGTCGGTTCCTTTGTCTTAGTAATTACAAAACCTCCCAAATGCCAACTTTTTCCCTTTCATGCCAATCTGAGTCAGACTCATTGTGTTGACTAGGCTTGTCTTTTGATTAAATAAATATAAATATTCACCTCGAAGGGACCGTAAGAATTAAATAACGTTAATGGAGGGGATTTAAATAAACATTCACTTCGTATCGTAAAATTATTTTTTATAACAGCAAAATGACTAAAAACGCTGTAAATTGGAGAATTATAACACGAAAGTCGGTGACAACATTCATGTCCTCTTAATTTGGTTCCCAAGGCGGCGATCAAGCCGCCCACAAAGGAGAGGGCTAATCCCAGCCAAGCCGGCTTGTTCCCGACGCGCAGCTGCCTGTAGGAAGTTGAAGATGTACATGGAGAAGACGGCACGTGGTGGCGGCTGTCTTTTAGGTCTGGTTCGGGGTCATGCCCCCGGTCCGAAGTTAGGCAGAAGATGAAAAGAAACACCGCCCGATCCATTTCAAATTCAAGAAAAAACACGGCCGCCGTTCCGCGCAAATCGCAACTTTTGGGAAGGGATCATTTATCTAATTTGAGGCTTTGAAGAAAAGCGGAGGGCATCTTTCGAAAATCAAATACCATCAACACACAAATTATAAATAAAAATTTTATAAACCTTGGAAGATGTATAACGTAAAACAATATTATCATTAAACCCGATTCCCTTTCACCAGTAGGAGACCAAAAAGAACATAAAACTTGCGATCAGACCATATCTCGAGCCAAAACGGCTTTGAGAAAGCCGCGCGGGGCCACGCGTCTGACACGAGAGTCGAGGGAAGCTGACAAATTATCGTCCCGATTATTTCAATCAGTATTTACCGTATGCTCCTTTTGCAACAGTCGAGATGCCGCTCCCCAAAAAACCGCTTCGTTTTTTCTTTGACCCGAGGTGGCCAGGTCAGAGAAATCGCTCGATCAGGCGGCTCTCCTTTTGTTTCACCGCCAATATTTGGATCTACTTGGCACTCTATCCGTCTTCGGCATACTCCAAAGTTTTTTCCGAATTACTTTTAATCCAAGCGAATTGTTTTTATGTGCTATCAAGTCGTCTTTACAATCAGCACTTCACATTGAAACTCAACACTTCATGTAGAATCCTATATTTGGTGAGAAAGTTCGACATGCAGAACCTCGCGAGGCCTCTCTATTTATTGATCTGAAAGAGGATGTCAGAAGAGGGCACCTCACACCAACAAGGCCTCAAATTTGACGAGTACACCTGGACATAAAGGGTGCCTAGGGAAGAGTACACCTAGGAAGCACCCCGGAGAACAGCTCACCTTGAAAAACGCTGAGCAAAAAGATTCACAAAAAAAGAGGAGGAGGGGGTTGATCATCCTGATTTCAAAAATGGCATTCATTTTTCGAATATTTACTTGTTTCTCTTAAGCAGTAGTGTTAAAGAAACTTTTACCATCCTGATTTCGAATGTCACATTCATGTTTTCAGATTTTAACTTGCTAATTCAATGATATGTAACTTTAAGGGAACACGCACTCTATTGGAGTTTATTCTCAAAAACCGAGATTTAGGATTTTTTATTTACAAATAAAGTACCCCAAGTGCGACGCTCATATTTTTATGAGACCGGGTACAAATAAATATTAACTTTTCAAGACATGCCAGACGCCCAGCCCGCGCATTGCAGAAACGACCGAGATCTTTTCGCCGAAAGTTGAGAAAAAATAAGTCACTGTTTTTGTAAATCCCTATTTTTGGAAATGTTTCTACAAGACTTTTTTCTCTCTCTAAACTGGAAAAACGGCTAAAAATGTTTTTTTCTCTGACCGTACTCAGCGTTTTGCGTGCTCTCTCGGCCACAAAGGTTGTTAGATATCTCGACTTCGCCTGCAAAGTGCGAGCTAGAATTTTTTGGAGAATTTGAACAAAATTCTGTTAATTTTGTAACTTATATTTCTGTCAAGAATAGCGTCTGTTTTCATGACAATGGCTTTCCCGTGCCATGTCATTCTTATGGCAAACCAAAACATCATTCTTGAAATATCAAACAAATCAATCAAGGCGACTTACCTTGACCCACCCTTGCCATATTTATGTTTTCACAAACCAAATTCTTTTCCCCCGTCCTGATGCGAAAACATTTCAAATCTTGTTTACATTCTCCAAAAAATACTTTTTTGCAAGTCCCGAAGCGAAAACATTTCAAACTTTGTTCAATTTTAACAAAAAATATTTTTTTTCTAGGCGCACTGTTCGAAAACCTGAGGTGCGCTGTTCGCTCAGGTGCACAATTCGCCGGGGTGCACTGTTTGTGTCAGGTGCACTTTTCGGCTCCAACCGAAAATGGCCTGTTATAATACCATACATACAATTTTCTTTATAATACATAGTACACGTGGATTGCTTTCGGCGACAGTTATTGCTTAGAATTCACAACATTATGATAGGTAAGATCATACGGATTTAAGTTATGGTCGAAACAAGAACCTTGAATAACTAACAATATCAGTTCTCATGAGCCAATTCCAGTCTGAATTACCTCCGTGCCGTGAAACCTTTCGCTAACAAATACGTTTATTGGTGCTCTTAATAAGACTCATCGCACAGAGGGTTCAATGTACTATACAACTAACTATAATACTAACTATAAATTTTGGCTCCGGCTCTTAGCTCCCAGAGCCGGAGCACGGCATTCTGTACTTTTGGGACACAACCGGTCTCCCCAATTTTTTTCGATTTTTTCAAAGTGGACCTCCTTCTTTAATTCATTGCTCGTTAGCCGTTCAAGATAGAGACTTGAAAATTGGCGTGGGCATAGAGTAAAGGTTCCGCTTCCAGAATATATAAATATCATAATGAACCCCGCGTTGTAAGCTCCGCAATAAGATGCGAAAATATTTCATTCTTAAAACTTCTTGCACCTAAAAGGTCATTTTGCAAGATCGAAGTGACAAATTTTAAAATGCTGATGTGTGCAGAACTTTTTTCTCTATCAGATACTTAAATTTCGTGGAGTTATATACGGGCATGGCTGTGCTACGGACGAAAAACTGAGTTTCATAGTGTGCTTTTGGAAATTTTTGGAATATCTCTGCCCTCAGGGCACAGATAAATGAAGTTCCGATTCAGGTTTGTTGCCGATCATGACATACTATGTAGCCTTGCCAAATTACAATGTTATATCTTCAAAAGGCTTGACAGTGATGACTAAACCTTGCTTTCCGGATGTTAATTTTTTAGCTGTTATCTTTCATACAATGAAATGATACTTCCAATAGACCAACGCGTTCATATGAAGAGTTTATCATAACTACTTCTTAGCGTATTGCCGTTTTAGCAGTTGGTAATCATCTAGAAGGACTCTAACACCATGTAAACTCGAGGTAATGAGTGCCTTCTCCATTTCCCGGCGTCCAACGGTTGCGGACTGACGGGCAAATTCGCAATGCAAGCTTTCCAATCCCTGTTCCGATGCTGAGCCGCAGAATCCATGAGTTTCAATCAATTGTCGGGCATGTTGAGGAATGAAATGAACTTTAGGCTTCCCTCCGGCGCTGGGAAAAATTTCTTCTATTGCCGTGATTAGCCGGGTGGAGATGCAACATTCTCGACTTGTATGAGTTGGACAGCAGAACAAATCTAATTCTGTAGGTTGTATTTGATGAGTGGCCGATACAACTTCACAAAATATTTTAATTTTTCTTTTAAGTTGGTCTTCACAGTATTCATGGCACTGAAGCTGGGGAATACATGGGGCGCCAAGGAATGCATGTAACGATACTGTTCGCATGTGAGTCGACCACCAAGAAGAATTCCTAGTGCATTTTCGGGCGAAAAGGTGTCCTTTACGCAATTGCCGTTAGCGACCACCGGTAAACCATCTGCCGCGGCTTCGTGTTCAATTTCATCAACGACATCTTCAGCGTTCAGCGCCGGAGTGTCGTTCAAAGCCTTAAAGATCACCCAAAATCTGATAAAACACCCAACCTGTTTAAGCATTTTCTATTTGCCGGAGGGCAGCATCCAGATTCCTCTTCATGTATACCTCTCTTTTCTCAAATTGGTTTACGGTCCTCTGGAGTCTTGCTGCTTTCGTCTGATGAGTTTTGCAGGCTTGGCAACCTTGCGATGACGCATCAACTAGTAATGCTTGCCTTTGAATATCGGTCTGTCGGGAAAAAAACGGCGGATCGTCGCTCCTCGTAATCGCTCATCATCGCTTCGCGATGCAAGCGGCGACTTGGGATTTGATGCGCGATAGCGGCGAGGCGAGACATTTTGCTGCGACGATCCGCCGTTATTTTTCCGACAGACTGATATCTCTCGCTTTGGCCAAATAAGCCTTCCTCGCCTTCAGAATTGCTTTTGGTCGACCCATTTTCTCAAGGACAGACAAAGAATGATAAAATTTGAGTTTCATATAACCTTCAAGGTGTTGGCGGGGCATAACTTTGGGTTGTTGTGCATGTATTCATCAGTGTCAAACCCATTTTGATAAAAAAAAAGTTGAAAAGCGAATAGCTCCCTTGATTTTGAAGATATAACATTGTAATTTGGCAAGGCTACATATGTCATCATCGGCAACAAACCTGAATCGGAACTTTATTTATTTATCTGTGCCCTGAGGGCAGAGATATTCCAAGAATTTCAAAAAACACATTATAAAACTCGGTTTTTCGTCCGTGGCACAGCCATGCCCGTATATAACTCCACGAAATTTAAGTATCTGATAGAGAAAAAAAATCTGCACACATCAGCATTTTAAAATTTGTCATTTCGATCTTGCAAATCTTGCAAAATGGCCTTTTAGGTGCAGGAAGTTTTAGGAATGAAATATTTTGGCATGTTATTGTGGAGCTTACAGCGCGGGGTTCATTACAATATTTATATATTCTGGAAGCGGAGCCTTTACTCTATATCCATGCCAATTTGCAAGTCTCTAGCTTCAACGGTGAATTAAAGAAGGAGGTCCACTTTGAAAAAATAGAAAAAATCATGGAGACCGGTTGTGTCCCAAAAGTACAGAATGCCGTGCGGAGCCGAGACCAAATTTGCAGCTCCGACTCCGGCTCCCATGAAAAATTAAAAAATGTCTTCGGCTCCGAATCCCGGCTCCCGTGCAAAAAAATTTTAAAAAGTTTTCCAAAAATATAAAATTTGTTAGTGCGAGAAATCATACACCCAACGTTTTGCAGCCAATTTTGTTTAACAAGATCATGAAATTTTTACTTTTCTGAACGCTGAAAAGTTTGGCTCCGACTTTGGCCTCGGGAGCCGGAGCCGCACCCAAAATTTCCGGCTCTGGCTCCCGGCTCCGGAGCCGTGGCAATCTCTGATTACAACGTTATTCAAAAAATCGGCGGTTTCAAGTATATAAATTTACAAATCAATTTTGACGAGCTCCACTTGGTAGCTGGCTGGTGCTTACTGTTGGATAATCGGTAGACGTGGCTGAAGGAAAGTTGAAGGACTTTTAGAAAAAAATAAGGAATTTGAAGTTTTATTACGCAGATTTCACTTTTTTTCAAAATCCCAAATATTACTAGGGATGCCCGCTAACGGAAAGTACGTAAAAATAGAGTCTGAAAACATCTTACATGTTTGGAACATCTTTGGTTGTCTTGAGTTACAGGACCTAAAACATCGCGCAATCACCCATTGAGTACATCGACCTGAATGTCTCAAACTCAGAAAACCTTTTGTATTTTTTGACATAGGTTGAAGCGTTCAACCTCATAAATGACTAATATTTATATCAAAAGTGATTATTCGATCTCGTTCACGTCTCAGAAGCAGAGTTCCAAAATTCAATTTGGAAATTTTAAAAAATGCCCGCTAGCCAGCGCGTAAGTGAATAATAGCAGCTAATGCAAGGCGATCCTAGACCAGTTTTTTACGCTCTTTCGAATGGTGTATGTTTCCAGATAAAACCAGGGGACGAGGTTTTGCCGAGCCCTTGTAAGACCGGGCACCACTACCAGCTGACGCAGTGGCTCAAAAATCCTGTTTTAATATTCATTTAGTATGTTTTGCTAATGACTTTTTGTGCTTTCAGCAGTACCTCTTTGTCCATCGTGTGATCTTGTTCTACTTTGTGGAGAGATATAAGAAGTATGACCCGAATGATCCCCGCTATGTCAAGTTCCTCAATGAATACAACAAAGCCGTGGCTTGATCTCTTTCTGCCATTTTCGTTGAGTAAACTGGCTTCCAAGCTCGGTTTTGGCCTTTTTCCCTCTAATTACTCTGTTCATAATGTCAAAAAAGTGTAACCACCCATTTCTGTGGGTGTACTATGGATTGACCCATGTCCTAATGAGGACACGGTTATCTCACCGTCTTCCACGACCCGGTTCTCCGCATCCCCTATAGCTTATAGGACAACCCCAAATATCTCATGGTGTCTTTATTGTCTTCAAAATGAGACGACCATGCTTGCTCCCATTCCAACTCTCTCTCTGAATACGGATCGCGAGCCCTTTTATACCGAGGTTCCATGCGCCATCAACAACGTCTACCTCGCAGAAACAAGGAGGCGCGTTGTCCGCGACAAAAGGATTACAAATCCAAAGTATGCAGACAGCGAATATGGGCCAAAAATATGGGGATACGAAGTTTTATTGCATTCACAATCACGTGTTTATGCAAATGTGCTCACAAAATCTTCGTGTTTATTGTTGCTTGCAAATGTCTCAGCTGCCCGCAAATGTGTTTCCGAAGTGTTGCCCTCAAATGCCGCAACGTCTGGTCTACGTCCTGTCCCGGCGGAGAATCGGCAAAGTCTGACTGTGGAAGCTACTAAATAGTTACCCAATGTGACATGTTATACGATGAAAAAATTTTTCAAATTGAAAAAATTAGGTGTGAGGTGTGACATGACATATATGACTGAAAAAAATTCTCAATTTGAAAATTTTTTCCGTCGTATAACATGTCACACCTATACTGCGCGTCAAAAGTTTGGAACAGGCCAGATCTTCTTTGCGGCTTGAGATGGGAGTTTCGTTTCTTTTTTATTAGAAGCTCCATGTATTAAGAACCTCAATGAATACATAGCCATGGAAATCAGAAAGCTCGTTGGAATTTAAAAAAAAAATTTAAAAAATAAGTGCGTCAAAAGTTTGGAACAGCTTTTGGAAGGTGATTATAAACTTCGGGATGGAGGCAGGTATCCTCGCATTTAGTGTTTCTGGATGATATATGGAATCGGCATGCCAATGGCATACTGATTTTCATCGATAAACCCAAAATGAAAAAAATGCTTATTGAGTCAAAAACTACGGTCAAATTTGCGAAAAAATGAATTTTTTGGGTTGGGTTCTCTATGTTATCGGTGTGTAAGCGTTCTAAAATATTTAATGTGGTCGCACAATTGTACAAGGGCACTCAGATCTTCGCATAGGAACCATATCCGCACAGCATAATTTGTGAAAATTTTGAGTATTGCTATAAATCTTTATTTAATGTATTTTATATTTTTCATAGAGCGGCTTGGAGGCTAATTGGCTTGGACACCGTTATCGTGGAATAAAAAGGTGTCTTTAAGAAGCAGAACCTGGCCACTATTTGCAACATCAAGGCCACATCTTTAAAAATAGCGGGTATATGAAATGTTAATATTCCTATATTTTTTATCTTGGATTTGATGCCGCTGCATGGCTCAAAACTAAGTGCCTTTATCGTTATCACACGGATACAGTATTATAAACCAACTCTCCGAATTATCCCGCCACAAATCCGGGTCAGATATGAATATTGATTTTGGGGACAAAAATTTTTTAATATCTGAAAGATGTGGCCTTAGATGTTGCAAGTAGCGTGGGTTTTTGTTTCTTGAAGACACCTTTTTATTCCCCGATAACGGTGTCCAAGCCAATTAGCCTCCAAGCCGCTCTATGAAAAATATAAAATACATTAAATAAAGATTCATAGCAAAACTCAAAATTTTCATAAATTATGCTGTGCGGATATGGTTCCTATGCGAAGATCTGAGTGCCCTTGTACAATTGTGCGACCACATTAAATATTTTAGAACGCTTACACACCGATAACATAGAGAACCCAAACCAAAAAATTCATTTTTTCGCAAATTTGACCGTAGTTTTTGGCTCAATAAACATTTTTTTTCATTTTGGGTTTATCGATGAAAATCAGTATGCCTTTGGCATTCCGATTCCTTGCATCATCCAAAAATACTAAATGCGAGGATACCTGCCTCTATCCCGAAGTTTATAATCACCTTCCAAAAGCTGTTCCAAACTTTTGACGCACTTATTTTTTAAATTTTTTTTTTAAATTCCAACGAGCTTTCTGATTTCCATGGCTATGTATTCATTGAGGTTCTTAATACATGGAGCTTCTAATAAAAAAGAAACGAAACTCCCATCTCAAGCCGCAAAGAAGATCTGGCCTGTTCCAAACTTTTGACGCGCAGTATAATTTTTTCAATTTTCAAAATGGGAGAGAGTTCAGATTTTTTGGTGAAAATCAAAAAAGGGGGAGAATTCGGATTGGGGGAGAGTTCAGGAAAGGGGGAGAGTTCGCCTGCAACGGTGCGAGGCTGGGGAGCAAAAATCGATCCATCTAAACGTTGTGGTAAGCCTGCAGTTTTCAGTTGTCTCTGTGCCAATAAAATATTTTGAGCGAATCACAAAGGATCGTGCTATACCGAGGTCCATTTTGGCCACAAATTGACTTATGGGACCTCCGCTATTTCCCGTTACAGACGGGTTTTGTTTCTCAGAGGGCCTACTGTATGTGTTACTTACAGCTGTTCCCGCGCCCATATTTTTTGCACCAAACGCAAAGTACTTTGCAATTGGAAATAACAAATTGTTTATAACCACTGACGTCACGAAGACGGTAATATGCTATGACACGAGCACTGGAGCAATCTGTGCCATGGGCGACCCTGATCTTTTGATTGTAAGTTAGACGAACACATACGGTTGTGCGTATACAGTGAAACCCCTTACAACGAACTCCAGTACAACGAAACCTACTCTAACCAAAAATAGAGTGGTTACAAGACTCCACTTTTCGGCCAACCTGAACCTCCATTCAACGAATCGCTCTTTTTTTGCCCTTTTGCGGTGGTGGATAACCAGATCAGCAAGACGAGAATCTCGAGCTATCGGCGGCACATGAATCCGGATACTTATTTAATCCTGGTCTATGAAGAAAAGAAGAAGGCCGCTCTAAAGTAAAACATTGGGGTTAACCTAATGAAATACAGGGTGTCCCGAGAAATGTGCCGGAAAGTTTTTGTCGATTTCTTGGCGCTCAATCAAGATATCCTAAAATTCTTTTTGTAGGATAAAGAAGAATATGGGCGGTTTTTTGTGCAAAAGAATCATTTTCTCCGCCATCGCGGAAGGCAGTATATTCGGCCGAGACATTTGATCGCTTTTTTGGTCATCGCACCAAGAACCAAGAACTTTGATGGTTGAAACAAAGATATTTGCATATTTTCATGTTTACCAAGTGTTCGGCGAAGGTATGGCGGACGCTCGCCGAATCGGCGGAGGCCATAACTCAGCTGCGGACAAGACACGGTCCAACACAATTTTTATGGTCTGGCTAGAACACCCTGCTGGCTTCGTATGTTTTCCAAAATTTTGTTGCCAAGCTTTAGGAGAAGTTAAGACATCGGCAAACCACTTGGTGTACCAGAAAGTTTATTGAAACTAAACAGTTAATTTCATTTTTTACACAGAAATCTGGATTATAATGTTTGCAGTAAATTTTAAGAATCCACAAACACCTCTGCTCGTACTATATTTTCTGGATTGAGCCCGAACTCTCCCCCTTCTTTGAACTCTCCCCCCCCCCCTCTTTTTTTGAACACTCCCCTTTTTTGATGGTGACATGTTATACGATGGAAAATTTTATAAATTGCAAAAATTTTCATCGTATAACATGTCACACCTAATTGTCACTAAAATGGGGAATGTTCGGATTTTTTGGTGATAATCAAAAAAGAGGGAGAGTTTGGGTTTTTTGGGGGAGAGTTCGAATGGGGGGAGAGTTCAGTCCTTCGGAACGAAAATGACCCAGAAATGACAAAAAATTCAAATTTTCATCAAACGTGATTGAACAATGTATTTGGAATATAATATAAGAGTGAAGAAATGTCGAAAAAATCGAACTGCAATGATTTCAAGTTACAGAATCCAGAAAAGAATCACTGGAAATTTATTCAAATTTTTTTGGAAAACTTATGATTGTTAAAATGAATAACTTTCAAATTAAAAAATTTTTTATATGTATTTTTATATGTTTATTTTATATATTTTATGCTCATTGAAATTCGACATTTGCATAAAATGAAAATCGAAAATTTTGGGTGGTCAATTTCAGTAAACAAGTTTGCAACCGTGTCGAATCAGATTTTTCAGTTTTTGGTATCATTCGAACCGCCAAGAATTCTAGTTTCTTTACGTGAAATAAAATCACTGGAACTTTATTCAAATTTTTTAAAAAAAGTTTGCCACAAAACCCTTTTTTTACATTGGAACTACTATTAAGGTGTAGTTGTAATCCAATTTGATATTTTAAGGCTTGTCAAGGCCTCAGAATTTATTTTAGCGCGAAACAAAATTTTTTTATTGGTAAAAACACGATCAAAAAGACACTTGCATGGTGTCGCGAGAAAACTTCAGAGGACAAAAACATGTCATTAGACCAAAATTAGGCAGCTAATTTTTATATATTCTGAATCAGAAAATTTTTGCGAATTTTTTGACATATACTCAACCTGTAACTCCATACCCCATAAAAGTACTTCCCTTGTCAAAATTTTTTTCTGTGTCGAATGCATACAAAAATGATGAAAAATCGGTTTTTCAGCCTCAAATGAGGAGTAGGCTTATGATTTTAACATTTAGGCTCATTGAAATTTGAAATATAAAAAAAAATTAAAATCCAAATTTTTGGATGGTCAATTTCAGTAGACACGTTTGCAACCGTCGAATCAGATTTTTGAGTTTTTGGTGTCATTCGAACCGTCAAGAATTCGAGTTTCTATATGTGAAATAAAATCACTGGAAATTTATTCAAAATTTTTGAGAAAAGTTATGATTATTGAAATTAAAAGCAGAAATATGCAAATTTCTTATGCTTTCCGATGAGCTAGGACCTGGATGAAAATTACAAAAACATGCTTTAGAACACAAGAAAGATGATGGTGAAGACCGCTTGTCTCTACGATGCGTACGTTCAAAGTTACAGAAAATGGACCTCCACTACAGTACGCCCAGCTACAGCAACTTTTTCAAAATTTTTTTGTGAAATCGTAATAAGGATTCATAGACCAATAATATTTGAAAGTTTGAACAAAATTGAATAATTCTGAATTTAACGTCGCAGCTGTAGTTGAGCCTCGCTTGGCCCTTAGAAAAAACGTGTTTTAACATTTTTTACAATTGGCCAAAAACGTTGTTAATGACATTCGAACGGATTTTCGGAATATTCCCATTATGGGCCGTTGCCGTATTTTTCCGTTTCCCCGATTTTTTCCCCAGTTGTCAATCTTCGACCTCAAGAAAATGTTTTTTAAGATGCATTACCGCCGAGTACGTGTACATATAAAAGTATACATAGTATATTGTTTTATCTAATGCTTAATTTTTGCAGCACCCTGACCGTCAAAAGGCTCGTAAATAAGGTGCAAGAAGGAAGGAAGAGGTGCGCGAGATCTTGACAATCACTGAAATGAGAATTTTATATGGTTTTATCTTCTGTCACGACAACATAAATCACATGAAACGACTCCTCGAGCGGGGCAAAATACTCGAGATACCTTCTTCTCCTTCTTTCGAAGGCATTCGTTTAGTGCTAATTATGTATTTATTTGTTTGCGTGCCTATAAATCGGGCATCTGGTGATCCTTTTGCAATTTCCACAAATGGGATTATCTCCCGCTTGGATTGGGATACAGTAATGAATTGTTGGTGTAATGCCATAAACAGGAGAGGTACATATTTATGAAGGTCAAAACCTTGGAGGTCTTATTATGAAGCTTTATTTAATTTTGATCAGTATTTCTTATTTTCATCAAAATTATTGTCGTTTTAAAAGTTACTGCATAACTTGATATAGCGTAGAGCAGATTGGAATCCATTTTCCCCTTTGGCTCCACGGCGGATATATGCACTGATATTCTTCCTACACGCCCTAAAGGATGGAGTTTCCTTCGGTAGAAATAATACCGTATCCCCCGGGCTGACAGCCTTTTAATTTCTGAGGGGTTGGTCGCCTCGAGATGTCTTCAAGAAAGGTCGTATTTAAAATTGAAGCCGACTTCATGAATCTTTTGATTCGATGGAGTCCATCCATCTGCCATCCTACCGTAACCCGGTCCGTTATACGCATTTGTTGAAAGGCCTGCCAACGCTTTTCTGGAATTTATGGCCCGTCCCGAAGTTGGCCAAGTCTGGATTCGCGCAAAGAAAGGCAACAGTTGTCGCCCCCTGTCCTCCTATTGTCCCTCCGATCTTGCCGCTGCCGTAAAACCGGGGATTTCTTTTGCTCTTCACAGATTTACATCTCTCTCCGCTCTTTTGTCGCTTCTGGTGTCAAAACATTCGGACAAAGGAGATGGATCGACGCCAAATTAATCTCAAATATTAATCCTTTCCTTTCTAATTAATGCAACCGTTTTTTGAGCGTTACGCTTCTCTTGTTGCATTACTGTAAGGGTCCATGCTTTCATGGGGCGTGGAAGTGTTCTGCGGGTTGTTTTTAATATTTGGGAGGGGTGGGGACACTTCCGTTTTGAGATTTTAAATGTTTCCACGGTCTTTCTGTGTTTTTGCTCTATTTAGTGAAGTTTTCTGTAATGTAACAACTCCTTAGTACTGTAGCAGTTTTAGGGATTTTAGATGATTGTTAATCCTCCGAATCAAACTTTAAAGCAAATTGAGATTTTAATTACTTTTTTTTCGTGCCGTCCAAAACGTTGTCATCCGTTTTGTTTTGATTTGTATTTATGATTTTGACTTGATTGCCTTCATTTTGGATACATTTTCTTTGAATCTTAATCCTGCTTTTCATTTGATGGTCGATAACAACAGGAGGGTATTCAAATATTTTCTGTAAAATCTTGTTGCGCGGCGATAATGCGGATTGCATAATTTTAACAGCCTCTCGCATCCCTTGCGCAATACAGAAGTTTATGATGATCAGAGAGGTCATTTGAATTTAGAATTATCCCTTTACAACTACAGTCAAACCTCTGTGCGAGAATCCAAATGAAGAAAAAATTGATTCCGTATACAAGGGTTTTGTTGTACGGAGGTTAATTTTGACTTAAAATTGACTCCTTGGACTAATGAAATTATTTGCTATAGGGGGGTTTCTCGATGTACCACTTCTTTACGCAGAGGGTCAGGCTTCCTGTTCGTTTTTGAAAACTTTGGTTGGACGGAGATTCAATATTACCATAAAATTTTGTTAGGAACTTTGAAAAGGGTTTACTGTGAACAATATTCAGGCGTTTCTTGATTCGCAGAGAATTAGTGAAAAAACTTTGTGATCAAAGTTGAATGAGTCATAAAGAGATTGGCAAGTTTCCTCTTGTTTATTTTAAGTGAGTGAAAAACTAAAAAGATCTTAATTTTAGCCGCAAGGATAACCTTTTTCCACAATCCATTTTTATGAGGAATTGATGGTAGAAAACTTTTCTTTTAAGTCTAGTCCAAATTAACCAGAAATTGGACAATAGTCTCCTCTAAGTCAGTTCAAATGGAAATTGCCATAAGATTGCAGGGATTTTTTCGAGCACTTTTCACTAAATTTCCACTGGCTACAAGTTCCCTTGACAAATCTTCAGAGATCTTTCCTCGTCATCCTAAAATCGAAAACAAAAAGAAAAAACTTTAAAACTTACATTCCGTGTCTTAAGAAGTTTACAGTAACCGGAAATTAGAAGACCGGAAACGAATAAAGATCCTTCCAAAAAATCTGACTTTCTTCAAGACAAAATGTTTTGGCCAACGTTTCCGGTCCCATTCCAACACAATTAGAGAGCGAATCGGAAAAAAATAAATATAATTCCCCGATTCCCCAATTAAGAAACCCTCAGGGAAACAACCAATGTGCAGGTGAAAACGCCGAAACATCGGAGAATTCTCTTTCTAATTTACGAGTGTTATCAGTAGGGAGAATGGGCGACCTTGTAATTGGGCCTGTCATGTCATGTCTTGGGCTGATTATCAAAAACGCGAAAATTTACGACATGTTTTATGAGGGGGTTGCGGCGACTTGAAAAGGGCGTCGAGCACCAGTCGCCTTCTGTTTTGGTTAGATTAAACTTGAGAGGAATATCAGCGGAGAAGTTGGAGCCCTTTTCGTTCCTGAGAATCCCTTTCCGGACACTTGCGCAAGACAGGTAGCCATCGGGGTTCGGGGGTCCCTCCTCGATGGTGATTGGCTGCTTTCCCTGCAGCCAATCAACAGCCAGGAGGTGGGGCTAAACCTCTCTGAAGAGAGCCTTTTCTCTCGCACACAACGCCACAGGCAAGCAAACTCCAGCCCCTTTAACCCCCTCCCATCCCTTCACGAGACCTTCCCCCCATACTAAACTCCGTCTTTTTTGCGATGATCATTTTTATGTCCGTTTAATGACTGGCCGTTTTCTCCTCTCGGAATGTCCCTATTAAATTAAATTTATTTGCTTCTGTTGACTCTCGTCGTGCTTTGCAGGGGGGCTTCTTCCATCGATAAAGTCTTCACATTATGTTTAGCACTTTCTCTTAATTATCTGTTAATTACTCGGGGAGAAAAAAAATTTAAAATAAAATAAATTTTATCGCGGCGGAATTAATCACGTGCTAGCTACACTCTGAGTGTCGATGTGAATGATGATTGCGGGGATTGTTTCCGAGTATTTTGATAAAGCGTTTCCTTTCAGAATTGCCGATTCTTCAACGCCAATCGGACTTCTGGAGAATCTTGTTGAACTGGACGCGCGCACGGGATTCTGAAGCTGGATACTGCCTGGAGCGGATCCCCCGCTCATCCACCAGTCACCACGACGGCCTCGTTGCCCCGTTCCGGGCCTCAGGCGTCCGGCTCCGAAGGTGTGGCCGCCTTCTTCAATCCCCAGCCCTACTACGCATGGCCTCCCAACTACGCGAGTTCCTCGGCAGCCATGATGTATCAGCAAGCAGCAGCGGCAGCAGCACTCAGTTGCTGGCCTTCCGACATGACCACCTCCCAAAACGGAGGACAGAATTCTTCTAATCAGAACTCCTCATCATCAACTTATTGGCCTCTTTCGGCTTCCAACAATCAGTTACCTTCGAGTACCACAGCTTCCAACAATCAGATGTGCTCGTCCTCAGATTCTACGAATACAGTTATCAATGGATCCAATGAATTAGGCTCAGCTGGGACTTCCAATCAGGTTCAAAATACCTCATCCTCAACGGAGGACGGACAGAACACGACAAAGAAGTTATATGAGAATACAACGGCAGCGTCGTTGTTGTATTCCAACCCCAATAACTACATGAAAAGCATGTTGGGGGCAGCAGCTCAGTGGGCAAATGACGCGGTGACGTGAGTTTCCGGCGCTTCTTTTTTATTAATCAATAAACAGTGACTATTTTATGGAGTTTACATTGCGCAATCAATTAGGTTTGGTTCTAAGAACTCTGATTTCAGATTCCCTTCTGCTTATTCGGGGTTTTCTCAGTCTTCTTCCGCCCAATTGAATACGGAACGAAGTCCCCAGATCTCTTCCCATCCAGTGTTTCCCTGGATGAAGATGACCGGTAAGTTCAAGATTTGCATTTCGCTTTGCCGAGAACATACGGATTCCGAGTTACGGTAGCTTCCTTAATTAAATGCATAGAACGTTGCGGGATGCCGTGCCTTGCCCGCTCGTCTCCCTCCAGCCTGTCATCTCAACCTTTTTTCGCCCATGCCTTTTCCCATCCAACCGTGGATTGAATGGCGCTTACTGTAATTTCTCTGGAGGTCAGAATATAATTGTTCAGACTCCGGTTCCATCTCGACTCTACCTGTCGGCCGGACTTCGAGTCGACTGTCCTTGGCTGTTAATTTATGCGTTTTTGAGTATTCTTCTTTGCCTCCGATCCCATAAAACCGGGCCCAAACCCATTTAATGCCACCCTCCGATCATACGGGTTGTCGTGTCACCGGGCGTAGTCGGGTCTTCTGGTTGGTTGTCCAATTTGCAGACTTGAATGCGGCCTCAGAAGCCGTGGAACAATGGTCCGACCTTATGTGTCCCATATGTTTGGCGCAACTTTTCGAAAAGTTATTAATACAACGTTTAAGGCGTCATTTGTAACGGGGGATGTGTGCTTGGGGATCATTTATAACTCTTGACACTTTCGGGAATCCTCTCGGATCTACAGCTGGGCCTATTTTTGGACGGTGAACCGGTGGGTAATGAGGCTGGGAAGGGTGAGGTGGATTAAAATGGAGCTGGGATTGTGCCCTGGGGGGAAATAAACTGTCCAAAGTCTTGGGGGATTGCTCGGACCCGCGTTCCGACCCCAAAAAACCCGGAGAAAAGGCATGGCCTGCAATTGTTGTGCTGATATTTCACAGAGATGAAAGGGCGACGCCGCCTTCGGGTTCGAGCCCACGAATGAAATATGGTTATGGCCGAAACGGTGGGGAAAAAGAGCGGCGGCGGCGGTTCAGAAAACAGAGCCCGGCCTGTTCCCCGATTATACGTTTAAAAAACTCGGAAACCGGCTGTCTCCTGCGAATTGTATCCCTTTGAATACTATAATATCCGCTATGATATCGCAGGTATGAAACCAGGCGAATCAAAACGCACCAGACAAACATACACAAGGAAACAGACACTCGAATTGGAAAAAGAATTCTATTACAACAAGTACTTGACTCGCAACCGACGACAACAGATCTCAGAGGCATTACAGCTCAGCGAACGGCAGGTAAGACAAATGCAAATAAAAGTTGGGCAGAGCTAGGTTTAGAGGGCTGCAAAAAATTAATTAGATTTATTTGGAATCTTGATTTGGTTTAGCTGTTGGCCATCAAAAATTGTGCCAAACGGAAAATGGTTTTTGAAAAATTTGTAGAGGCGATCTATCGCCTGTTACGGTAGAAACTATACTTTATGGGGAATTTTATTATATATTTTGCCTTAAAGAATTGATTGTAAAGTTTTATGAGGGTCCATTCTGTCTCTCAAAATGTTGTTTTTCAATTTTTTGAACACTGTGCAATTTTCTTGAAGTTTCAAAACGTTATAGGCTATGTTTGCCGATGATATTACTACTGAAAATAAGAAAATTCTGAGCTAGGCATAGTTGCGACCATATATATATGAGGGGTTCCGGATCAATTCAAAATTTTTTGGCCATGATTCTCAGACACGCGCTTTGGCCATATCGAATTTTTTATCCCAATGTGCAGAGCCCAAGACAACTTGTTCTGAACAGCGTAGTGGAATGAATTTTCCGCTCCTCGCAAAGTTTTTGCCTATTTTGGGCCTTGTACAGTGCGGAAGAAAACATTGCTATAGCCGAAACTCGTGTCTGGGCGCTATGGCCAAAAAAATTTTGAATTCACCCGGAACCCTTCTTATACTATGTTACACCGCATAATAAGATGTCTGAATACCCGGATTAGTAATACTTCCTCAATTTGGTATAAAATATTCTCAAAGCAGTAAAAATAAATGGGCAGAGGCCATCACTTAACGGGCCCGAATCGCTACAATTTATGATAATGGGGTGATTCTCACTTCTCTAATGGGTTTAGTTGTTGATTAAGGGCCTTCTGTTGGGTATTTTGGCCTATAAATATCACCATTTCTATACAAATAATAACTTTTCTGAGGGAATCCGAGGCCATTAACCGCATAACGCGAGGGTATTCTTTGGCCTCATTAGAAGTAATGAGCCCGATTTTGAGGCGAGACAATCACAAATTGTAATTGTTAACTCTCTCGGGGTTTGACTCTCATCATTTTCAGGTGAAGATTTGGTTTCAAAATCGTCGAATGAAATTCAAAAAAGAGGTCAAAGTGGAAAATGGGGACAGTGGCCCAGAGGACAACTAAGTTATTCGAATCTCAATGATCCCATCCAAAATGTCGCTCAACCGTCGTAGTTATCATCACTGGCTTTAATTCTCTTCTAATCATTCTCATATATCACTGTTTTCATTTCCTTTTCTTCGATTTGTACACATTTTGTATTAAAAAAAGAGCTAAAGATTACAATAATGGGTTGCAACAAGGATCGGTTCATGATTTTAATTATTTTATTCGCTCGAATTGGCAATTGTTTTGCGAAGATGTAATTTATTTAATTTATAGTCAGATTCGACAATTTCATTTTAAATATTTTTGACTTAATTGAACTTGTAGATATAAGAGTGAAGATCGCACCGTTCTTTCAGCAAAAAATTAAAAACGCTTTCCGCACTTTTTATACATAAAATAAAATTGAAAATTCAGGCAGACATGAGAGAACAGTGCGAAAAGGGAAATTTATAAGGGTTGTTAACTTTCCAGAATTTTTCAAAATGGCGTCAAGTTGAAGTCAAATTGCGTCAAATTAGCGTCATTTTCGTACTAGTCCGTTCGTAAAGTCGCTGGAATGTTTTCGGCGACATGCACCCTGCGAAACCGGAAGTTCACTTTGCACTGTGCAATTTTTGGCTTTTTGCACAGTGCAATAGGCTTTTTCGGGCTGTCGCCCGCACCCTGAGTTTTCTTGCACAGTGCATGTCGCCGAAATCATTCCAGCGACTTTACGAACGGACTGATAATTTTGGCTGACAAGGGAAGTACCCCAAGTGCGACGCTCAGATTTTCTTTAAATTTTGCACACACGTCGGGCATAAACTTCCTGGAAGTTTTACCTCGCGCTTTGCAAGCGCCAACGAGATATGGAACTGTTTTTGTCGCCGAGAGAGTACGCGAAACGCGGAGAGCGGTCAGAGAGAAAAACGTTTTTTGGCCATAACTTTGGCAGGAATAAATTTTATTTTTTTGTAGAAACATTATTCTCTACGGTACAAATAGGTATGAAACTTTTCGTGCCGAAATTCGGCAAAAAGTGTAAATTTTTTGCCGACTTTCGATCTAAAAATCCCGGTTGTTTCTGCAAAGCGCGAGCTAGGATTCTCGCATTTGTCTTAGAAAAAATTATTCTAAATTTGTGCCAAGTTTCATCAAAATCTGAGCGTCGCACTTGGGGTACTTCCCCTGTGAATTCAAAATTTGATATACGAAGCCCTCAAGCACAACTTCCAAATAGACTATGATGAATACCATTAATATTTGTCGTAACTGGTTTAAATGCTTATTTCATCGGACGTTTTGACAAGAAGACAATTTAGTTCCTAAAAATTTTAAATTCTTACGATTTTTTAGTTAAAATTTACACGAATTTTCCAAAAATAGTTCAATTTGACAATCACAATTTGACATGACGAAGTGCTTCGGTAAATGACCAATTCTATTCTGATTTAAATTGTATTGGAGGGGGATGTAGTAAAAGAAGATCGGATTGAATCAACAGGTGGCTAGATCTTAAGTCACCCCTATATAGAAAAGATTCCGATAATGGATAGTTAGCTGGTTCTACAAGTCTTGAAACCAAGGTTCAAGTTGGGGATTTTGGCAATCTTGAGTTCAAGTCCAAGTTTAAGTCTAGCAACGCAACCCAAGTTCAAGTTCGGAAGAATTCATAGGCCAAGTTCCGAATAAAGGTTGGTAGGCAAAAAGATGTTGAATTGGTAGTGCAAAATAACGGATGTCTGGCCAAGCGCTGCTTACAGTACAAAGAATAGCTGTGAGTTACCCTAGACCTGGCTCGACGGCCGGCTCGGCCCGTTTCAAATTTGCTTCTACATATTTGGCCCGGGAGCCATGTCTAGGTTACCCTTCATTTGGGACAGACCGGATGTTGGCTGCGTAGCCAACGTTGCAAAACTGTTTGACCAGCAATGAGTTGGCATAACAGTCCAATTTTTTAGCAAAAAAGTTGGATCGGCTAGCCAAGCTTTGTTGTTCTCATAAAAACTTCTTTTATAGTCTCTTTTGACATTACATGATGATCTTACAATTAGTTGATCCACCCAACTCTGAAACACACGTTAGATGCCGTTTCGTAAAAGCTCCATATACATATTGGGCCCTCTGCAGAGGTTAAACTAAGATCGTTAAACTATCCATGACCAATTGAGGACATGGATAATTGAAGACAAATACGATTGGAGCGTTTTCAGAGGATAGGCTAGCCGATTAGGAATTTGGCTAACGAAAAAAGAGTTTCTTTTCTCCAATTTAGCCCAATCGCCGACGTTCCGTGTTAATGGCAATGCATTTTATGCAATTTGCGTAAGGGTTAAATGATGGTAAAGTTTTGAAATTCATCCAAAACATAGAGACTCCTGCTGGAATCGCAATAATAATGCGCAATGAAGCCTTCGTTACGCGAAATCTCGTCCATCGTCACCACCATTGAGTTCGGTAGAACGTATCCCAATTATTTCCTCTTCTCGTCTATTTTGTAAGTTCCGTTGACCTGAACGTCAACCTTTACCTTCATTTTTCCATTAGAAAAAACAGGTTTTTTGTCTGGCCGACGCTCCTAATTTTACGCGCCCTCTCGTAAGAAATATCATCGAATATCTTGAGTGATATTGGAAAGCGCGACCAAGCATTTAAGGTATTGGTACGTGACTAGCTTAGAAAAAGGTTTAAGAAAATCTGACCGTCCTGCCTGAAAGACTTGCCTTGCCGTGAGAGTAAAGATCCTTCTCAGTTGCTAAATTTCAGAACTAGAGCTATAATTGTAATGAACAGATTAGCCAGAAACCGTACGGCCTGTTAACCGGGTTATCTCTTCGGCGTAGAAGGGAACTCTGAGAGAGTTATAGAGTTTTTGTGATTTGTTGTAAAAAGTTTGACTGCAATTGAGGTTGGCAATTTGTAGAGCGTTTTGCGATGATTACTTCTCAATAAAATTATACAATAAAACATTAACTAATGATGTAGAAGCTGCGTGTTACCGATCTAGAAATGACGAAGGGAATGCACTGCCGATCAAGGGGATGCTCGAGAAGGCTTGAATTTGATTACGAAGTTGGTCATGTTTAAAAATACCCTCAATGTTATCATTGAACTTGTTCGTTATAATTGTGACAGTTGTGACAAACTTTAAATATTGCAGTTCTGTTACTTATGTATTAAGATGGCACTGGATTTCTGAAGGATAATTCTTTGTTCTAGAATTCATCTCTAGATAACAAGGGATTAAAGCTCAAAGTGTTTACGCTATTAGCAAAGTTCAAGACAGGGTACTTAAACATCTAGTCAATTTTTTTGTTATTCCAAATGAAATTCAGTATTCCTTGATTCGAATTATGTGGAAGTTGAATTAATGCGTTTGTAATATTTAGTAACTACTTGATGGCCGACCTGCGTCATAGCTTGTATCTCACGGTTCTATTCGCCAGTGCCAATCGAGACCGTCTCCTTTTCTTCTCATCATCTCCTTATATTCTTTATGATAATAATTCTTTTAATCTGACCTTGTTTTTTATTTCTTTTTGGCGGTTTTAATCAAAGCCTCAGCAATAAGCCGAAAGTCTTTTAATTGCATTAACCGCCGATTACACCTGACTCTTGACTGACACTTTTTGATCTGACCTTTCGGCCAATTATTCCCGCGCTCTCTTCGCAAATTCAAATATTTTTTTTCATTGGCTGACTCCGTCATTGGTTCAAGCATTGGAATGGCCATATAAAACATTTACAACTCAATATTGCAGACTTGATTTCTGCAATAAACTACGGTAAAAAGTGATGAGTAAGTTGTCAATCAGAATCGCTGACAAATTGCGGATCATCACGTTTTTGGAAGAAATCAAAGTCCATCCAAGTTTTTTTCCACGATGACGTCATTCATCAAACCAAAGAACAAGAGTACTGCACTTTGTTGGGAGAATACTCCACTTTCTCGACATCTCCTTTCCTGGACGCCTTAAAACCCAATTTCCGACAGAGAGCGTCGACGATCTGAAATTTTATTTTTTTTCGAATCCCGGAGAGTGAAAGACGGCCGAAAGGGGGCAGGGGCGGCTGTACCGTCGGCTAATCAATCATTCAAAAGTCGGGGTTGGCTCTTCGCATGTTCGAACAAAACATTTCCCCAAAAATCCTCCGAATAACTCCATTTTATTGGAAGGAAAATATAAAAACGGACTATCATAACATGCATGAGTGTGGATTAATATTACCCTGTACGTGGAGAGAGGCGGTCGTTATATACAACAAGGCTGGGCTTATTATTAAATTCTGGGACTCCTGCTCTCTTTGCGGCTTTCCAGGCCGCATCATCCATCATCTCGGAAACTCATCGAAAACAGAATATTTAGATAGACACCAAGGTAGAGAGGAATATGGTAATGAGGACAAGAGGGCCGCCTCGGGATTGGTATGCAAATTTGAGAGAGATTAGACAACTAATCCTTGACATACCGAAATGACCCTCAACATAATGCAATTTCTATTGAGGACAAGTTTTGGGAGAATCTGATGAACTGAGAGATATGTTGGAGGCCGAATCCGAGCTGTTGGAGACTCCGGAAGATGAGACACTGGAGGTCGGACGGGTCGTTGAACTCGACGTCGACCAGTTCTGTCGTTGTGATCGGTTTTTGTTCAAGAATTCCTGCTCTTTCTGTCTCTTCTTATCCTTCATTCGTCTGTTCTGGAACCAGATCTTGACCTGAGTTTCATTCAACTTTAACATCTGAGCGATCTCCGAGCGTCGGCTCTTGTTCAGGTACTTGTTTGTATGGAATTCCTTCTCCAATTCCGTTAGCTGGGTGTTTGTGAAGTTGGTGCGATTCGTTCCATTCGTCTCTTCCATCGCCTTCTTCTGTTTAGTGACTGAAAGAGAGCACTTGGAATGGCATTTGATGATTTACGACCCCGCACCCCTCCCCACTTTCTTTACAATCCCCAAAAACAATTTGCTTAAGATTCTCACCTGGTGTCTTATGTGCTGCCCGTTTGACCTGCATCCATTTGTAGGGCTGGTGCTGTCCGTGTATTGAGGGGCTTGTCCTAGGGCTGTTATTGCTGTTGTTGTACTCGGAATGCTGAGAAACTGAGACCGCCGGACTCGACCAGGAGGCGGTCGAAGGGGTCTGGACTAGATCTCGGTACATAGAAGCCGCCATCAGATTGTCGTTAAGGACTTGGGTGTGATCCGGGGCTGGCATTAAAGGCGCAGAGGTATGGGTCGAGAAGGAAACCCCCAGGGCATTCGTGTTACTCACTGACGCCGTCAGGGCCTGATTCCCCACCAAGGCCGCCCAGGAATGGTCGGGAATGTAGCCGGTCTGCATGGGATGAGGATTGTAGTACATAGCTGGACTTGACGCCGCCATATACGACTCAGCACAGTTCATCAACTGTAATGGGCGGAAACGGGTAGTTGCTTTTGTGGGATGCCTAAACGAAAGACTTTACTGTAAGAGAGTTCTCTTCTCGCTTCTACGCTCCATTTCTCGGAAACCTGAAAAGTGGAAGCGGATGACAAAACACACAGTAAACCGTTTCAAGCTAAGATCTTCACAATTGGTCCCCCCAAGACGTCACGCTACTCAAAACCTCGCCTCAGAAGGCGACAATTCCGGCCTCGTAAAACTGATTTATGCCTTTACGACAAATTGTGGTCACCCCATTAAGAGGTCCGATGGTGGCGAAAACCAGATTTATCTAGTCAATAAATTTCTTTCATGGAGGATATCGGAAGCCTAATTACACCTGCATGAAACACCCGAGTAATTAATTACGACCCCCAAAAGTTTGTGGCCACCAGATAAAAAGGAAATTAAAAAGTCGTTAACGGGCGCGGACGATTTATTATAATAAACGAGCTCTGAATGACGGACTGCCCGGAGAGGGGAAGGAGTTAATCAGCAGACATTGAGGTAATTAGGGGGCGGAGTCCGGGCCCTCTCCCAGGGACGCACCAGGTGCCAAGGGCCGCAGTTCGAAGAGAAGGGCGGCCAAATCAAAGGAATTCCGCTAGATGGATCAGAAAGGCCCGAGTCCACCATGCCCGAGGCATGCTAGTTCGAAAAAAGCTGAGAAAAATGAAATCAGAAGACGCAACTTTCTTCTCGCCTCTCCTTTCTATCTAAAATAAGACGGGATGGAAGGGTGCACTCTCTTCTCCGACCCCTCTCATGGCATAAGCGCACATCCCCTGAGGCCGCGCCCTTTCCCAATCCAATCAGCGTGGCGGCCTACCGTATCTCGGAGCTTTGTACGACGCTGTCTGAGGCGACCTTCTTCCTCCCCATCTCTTCTCTTCTACCCCGCTTTTTACTTTCTTGGGGTCTGCGCGTCTTATCAGGCCCAAACCCGTCTTTCTTCATCTTCTCTTTCCATTACTCCCATCTGAAGGAGTCATGTCCAAAAAGAGAAAAACCAGAAAAAAAAATTTATCGCCGACCTCTTGTAAATCAAGAAACAATAGGGCCAAGTGGCCGAGCGGGATAATGAGGTGCGAAAAGGAGGGAAATAGGTGAGAATGAATTGGATATTGTAAATCTGCCAGACGAAGAGCCGCCGACACAAGAATAACCCAGATCCGGGATGATGGATGATCATGGACCGGGCCGTCGGTGTTTCTGGCCATAAAAAACCGAAAAGTATTTGGGCGACGCGGCGAGAGAGTAATGCACCGCCACCGCGCGGTCGGAGAAAAGTAATTTGTCAATGGAGAGAGACGGAGATGGAGATCGTTCAAGGCCTTCAGAAGCGTTGAGCAAAGGAAACATTCCATCCGCGCTCTTTCCTTACTCCGGGTGTTCCGTCCGTTTCCTGAAGGCTTGTTTTTGTATTTTGTGGCCGCTCTCCCTTTCCTACAGGTGTGGCGGTGACTTTTTTGTTGCACGAATGAGCTGATGGCCATGGAATGGGATCATCTTGCCGTTTGTTATGTCATCCTTTCAGGTAAATGTTTTCTTTTTTTCTTTGCATTTAGGGATTAATCGCCGTAGAGATCCATCCGTTGAGTAACATGATCAATAGATCAATGGTGGATTTTGGTTACGTGATTTTATCAAAAACATTTTTTCTCTCCCAAAAAACGTCCCCTGATCAAGTTAGCAATCGTCATACTCCACTCTACTTATCCTGGTTATAAAAACCTCTTATCCCGAATTATATTTTAAAATCGCGCTTTTTTGGAATCTTGGAAAAAGAGAATCAAAATCCGACGCAACTCATGTCCTCTTAGCCTTCTCCCGAGTAATTTTGAATCCCTTGAGATGTGTATATTACCGTATATGGCAATGTCAGCCGCACAGTTCAAAGGCCAAGTCAATCCCCAGAGTGAACGGCGATACCATGTAGCGATGATGGATGAGGGCGGCGTTTCGGGTGCGCAATAGGGCCGAGGGTTGGGTTAGATGCGCAGGGAGCTATCAAGAGTCATGTGTAATGCGGAGAAAAGGCTTGACCTCTTAATGCAATTAGATACAATAAGATAACCATTGTCTGATCGACAAGCTTAGATAACGATAGCAATGGGGTCAATGATCTGCGAGATGATTAGCGCATTCAAATTAAAGTTCGTTGCAAAGTTTGCAAATCAGATTGATTTTACAGCGCAAGGATTTGAAATTCTCTAACAGCTCCTCTGAGGGTGTAGATTAATTCAATTTTACTCTAACAGAAATTTTGAGCTGACCTTCAAAGAATAAAAGTCACCCCTAAAAATTACATATCTATAGTATTTACAGCCAACGTTAGAGCCAAATCAAAAGCTAACAGAAGAAGAACATTTTGCTGACATTACTGCAAATCTACGACCGTATTCTGTTGTTTCCCAAAAAGTTTTCTTTCTCGACCGCCTGACGCTCTTCTCTTTTCTCTTCTCCTGTCACTCTTGGCCCCGTATTTACAGCCAATAGAGAAAATCCCGGAGTGATGGATAGTAGACTTAAATTCTAACAGATCACTTCTTTGTTCGGGACAGTTGTTCTGGCCTCGGATGTTGGCCAAACACAACCTTCGGGATGAAAATAAAAGAGGGATACCCGCAACTTTCGGCTGGGGCAAACAAATAAAACCCTGTGGACGGGTGTCGCGATCATCGGCCTCGTTTTTGCCGATGTCAAATCTGATTTTATTTCATTTACTTTTTTGATCTCTTATTCTTCTTTTTCAAGCCTTAAAACTTAGGACAGGGAAGAATATTTCGGAAAAATTTTTTTAATTAGCTAATCTTTATATAATTTAACTTTTTTGATGATGACTTTAATTAACAGAGAATTAGTGATCGTTATCAAGTAATTGTTTTCGTTGGATCGTTATCATTGCATGAAAAATAAATAAAAGCTGATAAGAAAAGACATAAATCGATCCTCGAAGATCTCTCCCGTCCCCTCCCGAGAGCACATGAGAGGGGGAAACGGCCTCGGGAGAGAAGGGCCATAAATCGCCGTTGCCGCCTCGCCCTCGTATAAAAAGCTATAGCAACTTCTTCTCACTCCTCCCTCCCCTTCAGTTGCATTTAGAAGTGTTTTCCCAACATTTCCCGGCATCCGTTTTTGTTTTTATTTTCTCCATTTCCCTTTTGTTGCCATTCTCTAACTACTTATCAAACGCATCTAAATTAAGATTGGACCAAGGGTACCCCTGTAGAATTGAGCTTATCTCTTCTAATTAATGGTAATAAGCTCAAATTCGCAGGTATATTCATGTCCGATTGTGATCAAACTGAAGGTAAGTTCTTTTGTTCGTTAAGAACAAGAGTTAAAGTAAGTCAACTTGATAATAAACTTAATATCATCGATGAAGTTTGGAAGTAAGAAAAGCTTTCATTCAATATTCCTGTATGTATACAGATTAACAATTTAATTTACCAATGATTTCCAAAATTTTCTGAAAGGTAGCGACCATTTTTGATAAAATAGTTATCACTCGCGTTAAATGTGTGCATAATCGAGCAAACTTGTTATCGGAACTCGCCCACTATGTAGAAACAGCTAGATCCCTTGACCGAATGGGGTACACACAAAAAGAACGGGACACAATAATAATAAATTGTCATACAAACGCGTTGAGACGCAATCTGATTGACTCAAATGAAATCTTCCGTAGTGAAAATTCCAACCTCTTCTTCACTTTTAAATTTCGCTTCAAGGAACGCCAATCGGAGAAAAAGACAATTGGGGATGGCACAAATTTAGACAGATTTATTTTTTAAACATATGCGGGAATTCTATCTTCGGTTTTGCAAAAACGATTTTTGGATCGAAGGATGGCAAAAATGTGACACAATGAATGTTGACATTTTGTCATGATTTGTATTTTGCCGTTCCAAACTTGACTTTGAGGTCGACAACTATTTGGCCAGTTGTGAAAGGGAAAAATTCCAAATCTGACTGCGAAATATTGGATACAGTAAGCCAAATCTCAAAAAAAGAAGTGCCAAAAATTTTTGTTTTGTTAGTGCATTAAGTGTGTTGAATTTCGGCCCTATAGGACTAACTTGGTAAAAATGTGCCAAGGAGTTCTCGAGTCTCTCGCAAACCTCGTTTTTACAAGGAAAGTACTTTTATGGGGGCTCCTACTTTTTGACGGGACATATCTCAAAAAATCAGAAAAAATGTGCTGATCAAGGATATATAAATCTTAGCTGCCCATTTTAGGTTTTTAGGGGTGAAAAATCAATCGGAAGTTGGCTTAAAGTCCTATATGAACCCCTTTTCGCTTAATTTTTCACAGGTTTACAATTTTTATTTTTGCTTAAAATGATGCTTATTGAGTTTCTAAGATGTAATAAATCAGTGTTGGCCCAAAAATTTATTTTTCCGACCTTCAACTTCAAAAAAAGTTGATTCAGTCCAAAAGGGAAATCGAACCCGTGCGGCGTCGCCCCTCTTGATTCCCAGACTACGGCACTAACCACTCGGCCACACCGCTCTCTTCCGAAGGAAGAGACCGATTGCGCTTTTTATCGTTTCGAATGCCTGCGCATTTGTAGGGAAATTAAGCCAGTTTTTGGGCATTTTCACCCATAAAAACCTAAAATGGGCAGCTAAGATTTATATATCCTTGATCAGCACATTTTTTCTGATTTTTTGAGATATGTCCCGTCAAAAAGTAGGAGCCCCCATAAAAGTACTTTCCTTGTTAAAAAAAAGAGGAACATAGGGTAAAGATCGAATTTTCATACCCAATATTGCAAAATTGTTTGGCTATCTAGCTAATGAGTTGACATGGCAGCCAATATTTATTTGCCGTTTGGCTAGCCAATTAGTTGGATTAGCCAGCGAAAGTGTTAGAATTTCTGTGGGGATTCGAAAATTGCTAGCCACGTTTGGAATAAATCTCATAGAGCCGTAGCAACAGTCCACATCCCGTATGGGGCTAGCCAGTGTGTTGGGATGGCTGTCCAATTGCACAAATCGCTAGATAATCCGACTAATTGGTTTGCCAAATCTCACAAAACTTTGACTTCCCCGGCTAGCTAGTCAAACAAGCTTGCAACGTTGGCTACGAAAATTATACCCGATCCCAACAGAAAGGCTGCAATAGAACAATCTCAAATCGACTGTGTTTGGAGTGAAGTTATAGGGCGAGAGTCCATTGGATCTGAGAGTTAGCCTTCCTATACCAAACGTAATATCCAGTTAACAGATCACCACCTATATACCAACACGAGCTCCATGCATACGTTTGGTAAAGCAAAGATGCACGTAAGTGAACCCCACAATTTAAGGAAAAATTTTTTTATTTGACTTAACAGTAAGAGAGTGCCTTTCAGTAGAGGGTACACAATCTAAATACAATCAAAATGCCACAACTAAAAAAAATGTTGGCCTCCACTTGACATTCATGTCTTTTTCCGGCATTATATTGTGGAAATTCAGCCCTGGTGCTTTTGTAGATACCGTTAATGGTAGTTCCAACAGCATAGATGGCACTATGTGAACGACGAGCAGCTTAGCACCACTACCGCCACAGGGCAGCCCTTCGCGCACAAGAAACGAGCTTCAAAATAGAAGTGGAATTGTGTCACTCCAGTAAAGTTCAAATTCGCCTAAAGTTTAATGTAAATGTTACTACTTCCAATGGCGCAAAATTGCAAACTTCCTAAGAACAGATAATAAAGTCGTATTATGGGGAATCGCTGATGGAAAAGGTGGAAAAAGCAGAGAACATACCACATGGATTGGCCTTCCAGGTCTACTTCCAGGAGATAATTGGTCGAAACTCCCAAAAAACGGATGAAAATGTTTTTTTTTACAATATTGCGTAAAGTAGTACTTGATTTTACATTTTTTAC